AAGTTTCTTGGATTTTTTCTGGTTCTTGTTTTTCAATTAGATTGTTTTTCTTTATTCTGCTTTTAAATGGAAATTTTTCTTCGACTTCTTTTAAAAAAATAACGATTTTCTTTCACTTACAATCCATTAAAAAACTATCTAGCAAGAAATAAAGTACAAATTAAATTAAAGTTCATTATTAGTCCCTAACAAATTATAGGCCTAGCAAGCTTTCACTGATACATGAAAATATGAGATTTTCACTCCAGGCATTGCTGAGATGGGTCACGGTATTTTATCAAGGTTCCCCTAGGAATCCCCGCTGGGGGAATCCCCGGGGAAAATAGAAACCAAAATTTTCTGAGGAATTTCAATGAACTTATTAAATCTGCTGCGCTTCAAAGCATTTCATTATCTGGACTCAGCCAATTTCTATCGTTTGAAACTATAAAAGAATTCTTTAAGGAAGAATTTTCTTGTATCAAACTTTTTAAAACAGGATGGGGACGATGTGGCCATTTCAAACTTGTGATGAAGTAAAAATGGTTGACTATTCTATTTCAACTCTCTTAATTCTTGTCAAATATTTTTAAAAACTTAAGCAAGATAATTGAACAATCACTAGGTCTTCACTTCAACGTTCCGAGATCTGTTTAATTACTTAATAAGAACTGATTATTAGATGCTTAAATAATAGTTCATCAACTTTGTTGTAATGATGATAATAGAAATGTAATGAAGAACAAAACTTTAAATGGCTCATCCTTAAGAACTTCTTATTTTCGTTCGTTATTATCATTAGTTAGAATAATTTCTGAAACAAAATACTGAACCTTTCATTACCAACCATTTACAAATTTAATAAAACTGACAAGTCGAAAAATATTTCATCATTTTATTATTTATTTATTCAACTTTGCATTTTTTATTACGTTCCACCTGATCTCTAATAACTTTACGTTCATTTTTCCAATTTCATCTACAGTTTCAATTATACTTAAACATTCTGGTCGACTTTATATTTCGGAAATGTACCACTCGTGGAATGATTGAGGTTTTCAAATATAAATTTCAAATCATTCCAATAATGTCGAAATAAAATCGTGATTTAAAAACCTTAATTAATTTTTAAGTTGCTTCAAAACATCGCTCAGGATATTCAAAAATTTCGGAAAATTCTTCTGTGATGTTATAAAGTTTTGAAATTTCTATATTTGCTGTCATTCCGTAATCAAACATGAAGCATTTTGCAATTTTAATGTCCTTTGAGATGTTCATAACTTTGGCACGTTTAAAAATGTTTTATTATCATCTTTTAAGTGTTTTTGAGGTTCCGGCTTTGAAGCTTTAAATCGTTGATAATTATTAACTTGTGAATAGTTGAAGGACGAAACGTCGTCCGATTTTGAATTGCAAGCTTCTTCTATCTTTGTTGCATTATTATTATTCTTCTAAATATACAAACATAGATTATCGTGCAGGTATAAATGTAAATGTTATTGTTTCATTAAATGACTAATAATTCTATATTCTTTGAATAAAATCAAACTTTTTCCATCACTAAAAGATTTTCCTCTTCTTCAGATAAGTCTTCGTTCCTTCAAATCTGGCCAAAAAAAACTGAAGATAAATAAAAGAAAGCTTCATTTGAATTCGCACAAATTATTAAATACATTATGTACCTGTCTGTATTCTCATCAACACATTCAATTCAGTTAATGGTCGCACGAATTGGTTTGAGACATATTCATATCAAGAAGAATCATTCAAATTATCAGATATCTTCAGTGGTAACGTTAAATTGTCAACAATTCTTAGTTCTCTGATGCTTCGAGGATTGGAATTTGATGGATTTTTTTTGCAATTCATCCAGCAGTGGTGGTAAGACAGTTCAACATCTCTGATTCTTGATCAAAACGCCAACAAGTACATAAACATTTGTCCAATATGTTTTCTAAATTTCTTAATTCCTAAAACTTAACAAATCTTTGGTTACGTTTTCTGTTATAAATGTATAACTAAACATTTGAAAAAACATCAGTATTGTCCTGTTACCAATTATCCAGCATCATCTGGAGATTATTTGTTAAGAATATACGATAGTTAAACTTAAGAAATGAAAGGGAAAAAGAATTTGACTTAAATCGGGTATTTTTTTAATAAATTTTTTTTAATATAAGCTGGTTTTCAATAATTCTTCCATTTTATTAGTTTCAAATTGATTTTCAAATTTTGAAACAACAAAAGAATTTCGATGTGTCGGACCTCGTTGAGAGCCAACAAAAACATCATGTGGTGACCCTTGAGAGCCAAGAAAATTTACATAATGTGGTGCCCCGCTGTAATCTGATGCAATTAATTTAACCTCGAGGCACATTCGTAGCAAACCAAAAAATAAGAAAAGTAAAAAATATCATCGGTTTCAAATCAACTTAATATCTGACTTAAAATTTATTTTCCTTTTTAATTTCAAGATGCTTTCTGATGGCTCTTCATCCCCGAAAATTCTCGTCCCTCCTCAATTTAAAGAAAAAAAAAAATGCTTGCTAAGAAGTATTTGAAGAGCATTGAGAATTTTTTGGAAAACAAATTAAAGGACAAAGCAAAAGATGATCAATCATGGGAGCAGATCCGTTCAACACTAACAAATGTTAGAATGTTTTTTCTTGGAAAATATCCAAATTTCGTCACCACTATGGATGCTTTGGAATTGGTAGAAAACTATCTGAAGGTTCAATTTCTACCAGAGGAAAAAAAAACAATAACCATTGACTTGACCCAACCAACATGTCGCTGAAGGCGTTCAAAAATAATTGTTTGCATATTATATTATTTTTGAGAATGATGAGAAATAAAAATCCTGAAAGTTACAAATCCACAAAATTTATATTTTTTAAGGAATTTTTCGTCGGTTAAATTTTATTGCAGAGTTTATTTCAACTGCACGATCGTTTCCAACTACTTCCATCTCACAAGACGAAGGAAAGAAAAAAAGAAAAAAACCAAAATAACTTCAAATGTTTAGTAGTCCACAACATTAATTAATTAATAAATATTTGATTGTATCACAAAATCTAGAAATTCATAAAGATGTTTGAAAAAAAGAAGCAAGAAAGTAAGAAAAGAAAAGTTGACTATGAAAATGTGCAAATAAAAATATTCATTCGAAAAAATGTTTTATTTCTTTCATTCTTCTTTTGATTACATTACTTAGAAGAATCCTTCATCATTATCAACATCAACATCTGTTGCTCTATCAAATGATAAAAGTTTTGAGCCTTCAGTTCCACGCACCATAAGATTGTAACATACATGTTCACATTTTATTGTCGATGCTCGCATTGTTGACATTTTCTGTGAGAAATCTCATCCACGATTAGGAACTGAATCAAATGTGAGATACTTCGAATAAATGTTCTGTAAAATCTGCATGTTTTAAAACAATTATCAGTGTCTCCTGATCCGAGGGAATTGATGCAGCCTCTTATTATTTCTCCCGTCAAATCAGCTAAATCCAACATGAACTCGCAAGGTATGAATTCATATTTGTATTCCTTATTGTCTTCAGTCTTGTACTTGAAATGTTCTTCAATCTGAGTCCAATCTCATAATTCTTTGTCTTGAATGGAACTTTTTAAATGGTATTTGCATTAACATTAACACAAGAATCACATCCAATATATTGTTTTAAGCTTAAATTCACAATCATCAGCAATTGGCATTGGAGGAGAAACACAGATGACAACTGGCGGTCAGGAGTTGATAAATGATGTCAAAAGATGATGTCCATTAATTTTTTTGATGAAGGTGTATGGTACCGCAATTGAAAGTGAACGAATAATGCACGTGTAGTATTGACATTGAAGTTTATTCCATTTACAGTTGCTAATTTTATATTGATATTTTAAATATATGATATTTTTATAATTATCTTATCGAAATATTAAACTCCCTAGATTAGTAAATCTATGAGCCTCTTATGTATTTAATTACACGTATTGTTAATAAAAGTAAAATAGAGAATAAAAGTGAATTGTTCAGCGTTTAAATCGACTTTTTTTTTAAGTTTGAGAAACTTAATGACTCAAACTATGGCTCATGGGTTTTCAAAATGAGAGCACTTTTAAAAAAAGAAGATTGCTGGAATTCAATAAAATCCGAAAAAGAAGCTGGTGAAATGAACGCAGCAATATTGGCCTTAGATCAGAAGACTGATCGTGCTCGTAATTGATTCTGAGCAGTATCATGTCATTGAAGACGAAGAAGGAGGACTACAGTGGCATTCATCAGCTTTAAAAAAGCACTTCGATCGTGCACTTAAGGACGTGCCATACGAAGATGATAAAAATGATTCGACACAAAAAAAAAAGACTGAGTTTGGCAATAAGGATGCAGTTTTTAAGCACTGCGTAAACATGGCTATGTCTGGAAAACCGTTCGCTTTATTTGATGATCCAAATATCTTTGGACTTAAGACGATCCTTTCTGTTTCGGACTTGGTTCGTAACGAATTTGTGGTTTGCGCAATGGTCTGCATTTTGTTCCGGAACAGTTTTGCTGGTTAGTGGTACGGTCCGTTTTTGTTCATGGTCCCGCTTAAGGTCCGTTTTTTGTTCCGAAACAAGAAAAAAGGTGCGGACCGAAGCGCTGCTTTAAACAATACAATACAAAAAGAAGCACTAAAACGAAAGAAAACTGCTGCTGAAAAGAAAAAGAGCCTCGAATAAATTAATACAAAAGAACTGAAGCAAAAGAAAGCTGGTGCTGAAAAGAGCGTCCTAGAAATTAAAAAAGAAGAAAGAGCAGTGACAAAAAGAAGAGAGGACGACCAAAGTTCATTCAAGAAAATATGAAATTTGCATTCCGGAGATTAGTCACGAGATTTGAGTGAAGTCCCCCGGGAATCCCCGCTGGGGAAACCCAGGGGAAAATGGATGCCACGACGGTATTCAATGAATTGCACTTCCCTGTAGACCGCGTTGCAGAAAGTGTAAACAGATTCCTCCTACCAGTATCGATAAACTGTTTCCCAGACCGTCGCTTCCATTTTCTTCTTCCTCTTCTGCTGATTTGCTCAAGGATTTGCTGTTTTCTCTTTCCGAAACTGTTTCATCGTCTCCTTGGCTCTCATTTCCTTCCTCATTGTTCAATGAGTTTGATGCTCCCAAATTTTCCATTTTTTGTTCCTTATTCCATGTAAAAACTTGTGATAAACTTGTAAAAAACTAATTAGGAAACTTATAAGAAAACCGTAGTTTTGCCCCTTTGAAAGACATTCGAATATTCTTTATGAACAGTCTTTGAATATTCTTTATGACACAGTAGGCATTCCCCTAATGGTTTTCCTGTTTTCACTTTTCCAACCTTAAAATATTTTTCAAGTAAGGATGATGAGATTCATTCAGAATCTTCTTAAGCTTGAACTTGATCATCGTACATTTCTTCTCTTCACAAATCAGGAGAATGTTGTTTTGGTTTTCCTTCAGCCATTTCTTTTTTTCTCCGCTAATTTTAAAAATTTATTGGTATTTTTACCGACAATTTTTTCTTTGAAAGTTTTAAAAAAATTGTTGAACGCTTCTAACAGCTTTTTTAGCAAAATATTGTGTCTTTAAAAAATGTTTGTAAAACACAAAGACGTTGAAGAATGTTTGCGAAACACGAAGACATCATGTCTGGCAGCCACGAAAATATGTCTGGCAGTCAGTTCTGCAAAACATGTCTTCGGTTTGTCAGACCTTTTTTCAAAAACACAAAGACATGATTCAGAAACTCTGTCTATCATAAGTCACGGGGTCACGTCTTCACATTCCTTATTTTATTTGTGTCGTAACAAATTAGAGAAAAGAGATCTTTCAAACCAAATTTTGCAGTTGCGAATTTATCTCAACAAGAAGTAATCTCAATTTATCTCAACACAGAAGAATAAGAAAATTCATTTCGTCTTTTAATTTTTATTTGCTAGCATAATCTATGCTAAATTAATAATCATGTTTTTCATAAATTTCCTACGAAGATAGGTGGAAAAAAGGAACGATATAAGCATACCTTTAAAACGTGTCTCAAAACTGAAAATATCAGCTTTGTTTGAAACATAGATTTAAATTTAACATAATTTTTAAATGAGATATCTACATATAATTTAAAGACATCTTTTGGTACATTTTCTTGAATTTATTTTTCCTCGAAGTTTTTGAAAGTGAACTTCAATTATAATCCCATGATTTCAATGTTGTGGGAAGCTATGACTCCAATGTATTTCTCTCTTAACAATACTTTTCCTCTTTTCTTGAGTGCGTATAGATTTCATCTTTATAATAAATAAATATTCTCTTTACCTTAGTTTAGATATGATAAATAAAATATTTTAAAGAAGATGATATGTATTTATCATGAGAAAATACTATAAAAAAGGGTAATATCACTTACTAAACTTATTCTCAACAATCATAAAGATTATGATATTAGACAAATATTTAAAACACAATTTAATGTCTTTTTTATATTCTTTAAAGAAAACAAAACTTGTAATTTTCTATACAATAAATTTGATTCTTAATTTACTTCTCAAACATTTTACAAGAATTTAAATATTTCAAGAAAAGCATTTTTGGAATTATTAACTAGATAGTGATATAAATAAAATGATCACATAACTCAATACCTAAGAACTTGTTTCACTGATATTTATGTACATATAATAATATAAAAACGATTGCTTACAAGTTTTGAAAGTATCTTATGGATTTCTTCCTTCTCTCATTCTTCAGTTTTGTTTTGTTTATTTCCTGAATTAAATATTTATGTTGTTTTGAATATTAAACCATCAGAATGAAAACAACAAAACAGAGCTCACTAAATTAGTGTTAATGATATTCTCATTTCTAAACGAATAGTAGTAAGGAAATTCATTACACTCAACAGCACTTTTTTCTCTTAAAAACCATTTCTAAATTTTCTTCCAGCAAATCTTTTTTAAAAATATTGGCAGTAGAAAATATTAATTACTTCATCTAACCAAAACGTTTTCTCTCTATAAGATATCATTCAACAATTCAAAGTCAGTTAATTATAATCATCATTCTCGTAATAAATAAATCTATGTCTAACTTTAATATGCAGGATATTTTTTAAGGCAAATGTTTAAAAAAAATTCATAAATAGTAATCAATGTATATGCAACAATATTTGATACTTCATATTCACATCTCAATAAAATTTTCATTTGTTTGTTTTCACTTTTTAATTCTTGTTATAAATATTTAAGTTTGAAGAGTGTATTATTTCGTAAAAATGTCATTTCATTTCATTTTGCAAATATGAACTTATACTAACCCGTTTAAATATGAAAAAGTGGTATATAGAGTTGGTTTCATTAAAATTTGTGCCGTTATGAAATTTTAAAGGGAATGCTGATCAAATGTTGAATCAAGAACTGCGAACGAATCTGGAAGAAGTACAGCATATTCAACACGATCATTATCCATTGTCCCATCATCGGTCTCTTCAGTCGGGCTTAACATTTGATTCTGGTTCAACTTTATTTGTTGTAATGGGAAGCGTTGGTGTTGTAATGGGGAGTGTTGATGCGTCAGGTCTTCGTCGTGGATTTCCGTTTTCATGTGGATTATCGATTCCCTGCTTGAGTTCACGTCTGAAGCTTGCTCCTAGTATCACACAGAGGTTCAAAGAGAAAAAACAAAGAAATAAAGATTTTTAAGGATACAAGCGAAAAACAGAACGAAGCCCATTTCCAATTACTTACTCACCCATTTTAATGCAGCCGACGAAGCGATTGCTGTTCCTGGTTCACTGCCACAAGGGCTAGCCATTGAACTCATCATTCCGCGTTCTTGATTAACATTTAATAATGTGCTTTTTCCCTTTGTTGTTGATACACGGCGCCACCGTGGCCATAATGGCTATTCGTCTAAAAATTATGATTTATTTTATTCATTTGAAATTTTATTAAAAAAAAGTTCACTTACCAGCAAGCTCCCAAAGCATAAGAGAAGCATCGGTACCGCCAACAGTAACCAAACTACGCATTCCATACAAGAAGCGAGCACAAGCAATAGTTCCTGAATAGACTTTCGCTTCAGCAAACTCTGCTCGTGGCGTTATGCATGGATAACGGAATAAGCGAAGATATCCTTCAGCATCGCCACCTGCCAACATATCATGTCCACTTGCTCGACTAGCGGTTGTAATGAGTGTATTTTGTGATGAATAGTAACGATTACTCCACATGCCACCGACCATAAATCCAACCGTACAATTGTGTGTCAACCATTTGACGTCTTTCATTGCTATTGGACTTCGTTCAGCAGAAAGCGCTTTAACATCCCAGAACAAAAGATCAAAATCAATTGTAGCTGTTTGTAAGTAATTGGAATCCAAACTCCAATCAATATGTGTCAAAGGCTGTGATCCACGAATTTTATTGACTCGTTTGTATGAAAAACCATCGCGTGAAACTCTGAATAAATAAATGGACCCTGAAAAGAAAGAATAAAAAAAAAGCAAACGGAAATATTATTACGCAATGTTATTTTTAAAGCTTTCACCTTAATTTTTATGAACGTATATTTACCATTTTGTGATCCAATGGCAACCATGTCTCCAATTTGATTGTATTCGAGACAATTCAAAGGAGAACCACACACTCTCAATGTAAGCATTGTCGAACCTGTTTCACCATTTACAACTATCAAGTGACCTTCACTACTACCAGCAGCAAGCGCGCTACCAAATGGATGGAATGACAAGGAGATACATTCATAGCCGACCTGTGGGATTAAAGTCATATTTAAAAGCTTTCATTAATTAACTAAATCCAAGACTAAATCAATAAATGAAAAACCTGAGAAGTCCAAATAAGTTTGTGGCGCCTCCACAAAGCAATATTCTTATCATGACCAGCTGTTGCAAATAATTCATCTTCAGGATGTGCTGCTAATCCCCATAATTGCCGTCCGTGTCCAAATATAACTTGATTAAAACGCCTTTGAAGGGATCCTTCGAGAATATTGTTTCGAGTTGTTCCAACATAAATATTTCCATCGTTCCTACCAGGCCTTTGAGGATAAATCGTACGAACACCTCCAGCGTTTTCAGGAAGCTGGAAATAGTAAAGAAAATATTTGAAAATGTTTCACAAAAACTGAAAGTTCACTCACTTTGATATCCGTTATACGCTTGTAGTTTTGAAGTGAATCCCATGCTGCTATTTTACGATCTCTTTCTCCACCTGATAACAAAGTTCCTTCTGAAAGCATGACCAAACAACTGATTCCTTTGTTATGAGCTTCAAACTCCATTCGCACAAAATAAGCTCCATCAGCATCAACAGAATAAACAGTAATGAAACCTAAATTTATAACGAAACAAATTTAAGGTTTAGACTTGCAATTCAAAGAATTGTGAATTATTAATTTACCATCACTGTCTGCTGTTATAACATCACCATCAGGTTCAAATTGTACACTTGTTACATGAGTTCTTGAAGGCTAGAATCGTTAGAAGAAATAAAATAAAGTTAAATACTCTTTAAAGTAAAGGCAAACTGTTCACATTACCGGTTTTATTATATCCGTTTTTTCAAAGAATCCATCCTTACGACGATGCCAGAATGCCAGATGGCCTCTTCCATGAGTAATCAACAAATTATCGTCTAAAGGATGAAAAGCAGCGCCCGATAATCCTTCTTGAAGAGTCTGAATATGTATGAAAGTTATTCAAGTTAAATTATGGAAAATACATTCAATTAGATTTAATTAGATATTTGTGACCTACCGCAACTTTTCCTAACAAGTGACCCCATTGCCACTGCCAAACTGATAAAATACTTTCACGACCAGCATCAACAGCCAAAATATAACTTCCACCATTCAACTGTGAAAAAGCAACTGACAAAACTCCCGTGTCTAACTCTCCCATTCCGAAAACGTATAAAGTTTGAAGTGATTCCGTACTCCAAATTCTAACATGCGCTTGAGATTTTCTATCTCGTCCACCACGTTGACCCGATCCAACAAGTTCACGAGATGGGTGAACATCCATACTGAAAAGGACTTTTAAATGTGAATCTTCTAGAATAGAACTTCATAATTTACCACATAATGTCTTCAGTGTGACCAGTATAATGACGTTGATTCTCTTCTTCACGATCATATAAAATTGCAACAGCTGCAACGAAATATAAAAGTTCACCGGATGGTAACACCCACAAATTTCGTCTTGAATCGATGCCACGATATCCATGAACCCATGTTAAAAGCAACTTCTTGTCTGGTGGGCTATTATCGATTGGCGCATGATGTAATGGAGGATAAAATGTTCTTCTCAACCCTCTAATAACAACACGTGTTGGATCTTCCTTCATACCATCGATTGGATATTCTGCAACGGCATTTGAGTTTGGTGGTAACACTGCTGGTCGTCCCATGTCATTTTCAGGTGCATATAAAACTCTTGGTCGACTTTTGCTTCTTGCTCTCTGTTGTCGAACTGCCATTGTGGTGGGCTTTGAATCCATACCAGTGTCAGTTCCAGTTAAACTAGCACGTGATCTTGAACGTCGAACGGGTGACGCAACTAAGCCTGGCCCTAAAGGAATAACCGGAGCAGCTGAAGTGTTACTCAAATAGAACGTGTCAACCTCAGCAAACTCATTTCTTAATTGCGAGAAACTTCGCACTTCCTGCCCTGCGTTAGTATACATCTTTTTGGCTCCCGTCATTTTTAATACTTGACCTAGATCCTCTAAAACTTCTTCAAACGGTTGCGATGTACGCAAATTCAACAAAACACGACACTGTGAAAGAGAGAGATATGATTTATTAGTGAAAGAATGTTTTTTGATGTTGCTTTTTAGGAAAGCTTCGTATGGAAAGAAAGTGGAAGTGGAAAACGGGAAAACAAATAATATCAACGAAAATTTTTCAATAAAGTTTTCACTGACCCACTAACATTCAATTTCTTTTCTTTTACGTTTCAACGTCAAAATGAAGGTTTCTTGTAAATTTATTCATTCATAAGTGACTTTTTATTGTAAATTATGTTATTCAACTTTAAACAATCACCGAAATTATCTTAAACGTGGTAAAAACTTAGACAACCATAAAAAAAAGTTTTAAAATTTATTTTTTTCATGAATGAACTTTAATTTACATTTTAACTTAGACATGTGCGTCAAAGCATGATTATCAAGAAAATATAAATATTTATATGAAATACACGTAAGCAAAGGATTTACATGAAATGAGTACAATTTCGCGACGTCGAGTAAAGGTAGAAAAGAGCATTCACTTATGAAACCGAAAGCTTTCCGATGCATGCATTTAAGTATTATGCAAATTTTTCCCATTGATTTCATATGAATAAGATATCGTTTCATTTTTTTTCCCTTATTTGAGTTTGTTGATACAAAAACTTATAAAAATGTAAATTTTCGATTTCACTTTAACAAAACTGAAAATTGCGAAAGAAAAAAAATTATTCATTTCAATTTTATCGAGTTAAAAAATCAGTGAATTCCTGTGATTAAATTCGAAATTGAAACTTCTTAGTCAAGGAAAATTCATCATGATTTGGTTACAAAGACGACCGTGAAAAAGGCGAACGAATCAAAAACTTACTTGCACACTGTGATCATTATTATTAATTATCCTTATAACACGTCCCGCGCTTGGCTTTAGACTTGACGATGGCAAATTATCGGCATCAATTACCGAAGATTTACGACTACGATTTCCACCCCATCCTTGATTTCCCGGGGATTGATGCCATAAACCGTTCTGCGTGTGTGAAAAATCATTTGATAAATTACAAAAATTGAAAACTTTCCTTCATTTCATTGAACTTTGACTTGAAAGCTTTGCGTCAATGTCAAGTATACTCACCTTTTTGCCATAGCTGGCCGGCTGCATTAATGAAGAAAGGAAAAGAATACAAAATTAATTAATTACCCACATCATTAGTAATGTAATTTAATAGTGATAATTACTGAAAAATTTTCTTTCTATCTGATAAAAAACAAAATTTGGGTTTTCCCTTCAACTATTTACAATTCAACGACACGAAAAAGAAATTTCCATCAAACCTTTTTAAAGGAATTAACTCGAGACAAGACCACAAATGAGTATTCATCATCGCTTTCGTACATTGATCAAAATATGATTTATTTAATTAAAGTCGTTAATTTTAATTTACTAAGTTTAACACTTTCTTCCTTTTTCAATCGAAAATAAAATGGCTAACGGTTCGTTCCGAAAGAAACTGATTCGGCTAGTCGCTTCAAAAGTTCTCCATCAACTGACTCAACGACATGCCAACTAATATGAGGCGCACCACATAAGGAGACTCTCACTTTCTTATGTTCTTTACCGTATACAGCAATATAGTTTTAGTACAAGGAAAGTGGAAGAATGTTTTTTCCTTCTCGTCTTTCACCATGCGCTACCGCCCCTTCCTCTTCTCATACACCAGCGGATACTTAGAAACAACAATAGGCAAAGTTAGTGGTGTGAGATGGGACCGTATCACTCGAGTGAAGAAAATTAATATTTTCGTTGTGGCGTTTCCTATTTCAAAAAAAAGTGAACACTTCATAGCCTATCAAGATTTCCCCATCGACATGCAGAGCTCTTTGCTGTTGTATTGATTACAATATCTCGTCATTCATTCTTTTTTTCCTTAGTAGAAAGGGAAACATCCTTCTCTATAGACATAAATGAGTGTTAAGAAAACAACCGAAACAAAAAAAAAAGAAAATCTTTTTCCTGCCAATCGCCCAACAAACGCCCGTAGTTTATGGAAATTTATTTTTTCAAGCATAATTATTCGTAAATCCGACCGTGAATCAAATGTGTAGAAAAAAAAGTGGTTTTCGACACATTTGCGTAATTCTAAAGACATAGCGCAATGAACTTATTTGCATTACAAATGTTTCAGGAAAAGCTTTCCTTTTTCTTATCAAATTGATTTCTTAATTTTCTTTGTTTATTTTACTTTTCAAATGATAATGAATGTTCAAAAAATAAATGTGGAGAAGAGATTATAACAGGAAAGGAGGAGAAGTTTGGAAAAACCATAAAATTTAACAGTCATTGTTGAAGATATCATGTTAACGTGAAGGCCATTCGTCAAAAAAAGTCTTTGCTTTCTCTTTTCCTTTGTGAAACGCCTCCATCTGTGAATATTGTCACGCAAAGAAACTTACGTTCTGGTTATATATTATCCTACTTTCAAATATATGAATGAATGTATGATATTAACGTGTAAATGACAAAAACAAGATCTCAAAATCCTTATGGCCGTTTACAAATTGTTCTCTCAGCACGCGCGGAACTTTTAATTCATCAAAATTCCTTCTTGCTAACTGCTTATTCAAGGTCCTTAATTTTTGGATTTTGTCCTTCTATCGCCAGATAAGCGTTTATATGCCCTTAAGAAGAATTTTTGTTGCTTTAACACGCAAATTTTAATGAAGCAAAGAAATGAAGTTTATCGTTTTGCTAAGTAGACGAAAGCAAAAAAAACGTGTCAAAAACAGAATGAAAACGTTTTGACAGTCACACTCATATTAAAAAGAAGTGGTTGGAAAAATAAAGCAAAAGGCGTTGACGAAAGAATGTTGGAAAACTTAAAAGTGTGTCAACGAGAATTTTTTTCTTTTTGTTTTTCTAGGCCGTGTCAATTTGTCATATTTTCGATTGCCTCCTGACTCAGCGTAAAAGGAATCTGGATTAATGAGCGAAGAATTTGCTTTTTGGAACGGAAGTCAACAATTAGAAACACATTAAGGTAGAAAGCAGAGAAATTTCCTACAATGTTGCAGCAACTTTAAGAGAAGCAACATGCAAAGCTTCCACTTTTATTGAGCTTATGAACTTTTTTTATGCTTTTATTCTTGAAAACTGCAATCACTCATTCATGCAGCAACGCTTAGTTTCATTTATCGTATGGATCAGGTCATTGTTAAGTTACAATGTAGTGAATGAATGTAATTAAGAAAGTAAATATTATAATGTGGTAACAAGACTTATTTCAATGACGCATCGTATTTTTCCCACTTAGCTAATATAAATTCCAATTGCTTTCCACTTTCCGTGATGCATTTACATACTAATGACTACATGTTAAAATTGTAAGTGGAACGAACTAATCTCTATTCAATCATAAACCAAAATTCATTCAGCTAATAAAAATTGATTACCATTTTATATTGTTAATCCAATGCTGCACCTACAACTTTAAAAATTCCTTTCTCTTGCATACGTGGACATCATTGCCATTGCAAAAGCTATTAATCATAATAGCGAATCAACACGTCAATATGAATTAAGAATTAGGAATAAAATAAATCCTTCACACGATTACATTGCTTTACCATAACTTTAAGACGGGGGGAATCATTTCACGTGATGTGAGTATAAAAATTTCATCGTGTGACCTTAATACCTTCATTATTCATAGGTAAATTGAAGCTTTCTATGACGGCATGTAAGTATAAGTATAAAGTTATTAAGTTCTGGGAAAATTTCTCAAGAATTTTTCAGTAGAATTTTGGAAACGAAATTGAAAGCTTTTTGTCAGGAAAAATTATTTTGATCATTAGCAATAACAGGAAAATCTTTCAATGGCATTCTAACTTTAATCCATAATCATTCTCATACTTGTTTCATTCCTCGTAAGTATTCATTTATTTCATTCATTCCGATATGGATAATTTGCATGATTTTCCACCATTTCTACGGATATTTCAGTCAACAACAAATGTGAAATGACCTTGTACGATCAAAAGGCTGAAGGGAATTTCGCCTTGAAATATTTCATATCATCTTAGGCTGTGAAAGTATGGAAATAATTTGAAGTCCTTCAAAGGCCGTAACAAATAAAAATAATTTTTCTAATTTGAATGTTAAATGACAATAGCAAGTAATTACACAAAAAATCATTAATTAATTGAAAAAATCACTTAAAACTTTCAAATGATCATCAAAACTTTTTTCAAATGAAAACATTCTTATGGATGGTTTGAACTCATTTTAATTGTTTGACCGCGTTTACGATATAACTTGACTGCTTTCTTTTCCCCGCGCTTTTTTTTCACTCATGTACTGTTTCCTTCAAAGCACGACATGCTTACAAGTATTGATTTGCTAGAGGGGGAGCAGAGAGCTTGGAATTCACTGTACAAGAATCTCTTTGTGAAATGTCGCAGAAAGCAACAAAACAAAAAAAAGAAAAATTTGAATGAACATTTTCGTTCTTATAACAATCAAAGTTTGTTTTTCTTAAAGTATAAGAATAGAATGACCACATAACTAAATCCTACCTTAAATTGTTTAAATGATGACACAACATAAGATGATCCATCTTCCAATTCATCTAACGATGTCTTTCTGTCACCATCCATTGAAAAAATATATCGAGCACCACGTGGAAGATCCATCCGTGAAGAGATTTTGTCCAATAACTTATCTAAAGTTGATATGTCTCGTCCAGGTTTGAAACGAAATTCAACTGCAGGAAAAAATGGATCACCATTTCGATAGAAGAGAATACGTCTTGCTTTCCAAAAGTTTGAGACACTGTAGCGAGAATTTGGATAAGCCATACCAACACCACCGCCACTACTGCCTGGCATGTCTTGACGTGACTTAGGTCGTGATGATCCGCCATGAATGTCACTGTAATTATCCATAGGACTTTGGGGATTACTGTTTGGTTCTCCCGATCCAGGACTTCCACCTCCCCTGACACCCCAGCGTGAATTATTTGCTGCACTTTTTTCTCTCGCTGGTGGATAAAATTCAGTACCTTGGTTAGGAGACTTCAGAAGACCACTTCCAACTGAATAGCCTTCGTCTTCTGGAGTATCAGGCTTGAGATTTAAGCTACTTTTAGATGGTGCAATTGTTACGTTGTTATTTATCGTTGTAGCTGGGGAAACTGAAGTGGCTATTCCTGTTCCATTTGATTTCTTTTCACTCGAAACAACTCCAGACTTTGCAAGCGCTTGACCATCACTATTGAACATTGCTTTGTCCATTTCCATACTATCCGCGTTATTGTTACCCGCGTCTGCGCTCTGATCTGTCATCGCGCTCTCAAAGAAACGCTTCGTTTGTTCTTGCTGTTGCTGTTGATCGTTTGTCTGTGTATTGAATTTTCCGACCGGACTCGCTATTGCTCTCGGTTCGCTCTTGCGATTCAAGAGATTTGTAACTGCTAGCTTCTTACGACCTTTTTGTAGTCGCTCAAATACTGATGTTTTTGTTGTACCCGCCTCGACAATCGATGCTTGGGTTATTTCGCTACTGAGACTCTCTTCGTCTTGACTGTGCGCCTGTTTTTATGATCATTGATATCATAGATTAAAAAGAGTGCGGAAATTCATATTTCACACCAAGTTACAATTAAAATTAAAGGTGAATGACATCAAAACATACTAAAATATGTTCAAGTTTGGTTAGAAAGTTTTCCAATTTTCAGATTTATGTAAAATATTTCAAAAACTTCTTTTCAAAAGCCAAAAATTTGTGCATTGAATTTGAAATCTTGAATTGGGTGCAAAAAAGCATTTCAAATGCTCAAAAGCTTAAAAAAACATCTACTTTAATTAAACATTCAAAATCGTGACTATAAATATAATTTGCATAGAAAAACAACACTTGACACTACAAACAACACTAGATACCTGCTTACGCTTTATATTTGTTTTTTTGCACTAATTTGTTTATGTCTTCACTCTATCTTTTCGTAAACTGTCATGCATTAAACACTACATAAGTAAAGAAAATATAATTTTATTAATTTCATCACCATTCGCCATTCGCCATTCGCAATTTAAAATAAAACATTGTTGGTTAGTAATTTATTGCTTCAACGTCTGAACTTAAGGGATGTCAAATGAAAAATGAAAATATGAACAACAGAAGAAAAATGAGTTAAGCCGATTCTCAGCCAAACAATGTATCGGAAAAAGTGCATTAAACTACAATTATATTATGAATGTATGCTTAAATTATAAGCATAAGTATGTTACGAGCGCGACGAAGCTTGCATGTGTTGTGAATGTGCCTTAAGGCCGAAAAGGGCCGAAGAAACTTCTTGCTAACAAACTTCTTATCAAGGATTGAATAAAATTAAGGAAAGCACGACATTAGTTTTGAAATATGTTATTGTGTGTGTCAAATTCCTCTTTTCAAAAAGAGAACAGTATCCTAGTTCTTGTTTCTTAAATGTTTATTATTTATCAAACACAACACATTCTTGTTGCATTCAATTTTATTCATTTCCTATTTTTCTTTGCTTTTTGTAAGTAAGAATTTAATGAATTTCATCACATGTTAGTTTTTCTTTATAAGTAAATTAAGCTCACGCTCTCAGCGTTTCTTTTTTCACCCCTCAGTTTACATAAACCAATACTAAGTTCAGCAGAATGAGCATTTCTTTAAAAAGAAAAAGTAACAGTTACGTGAGCGTCGCGATTATCATATTTGGGTCAGAAAACTCTGTGTAAAAGAAACGAAAAAGAATTTTCTTTTCGTTTTCTTTTATTGCAAACACCATGTTGGGGAAAATCACTTTAGGAAAATTACAAAGGCAAATTAATGGTCAAATGGGGAAAAAATCGATGGTAAGCTTTCCTTCTTTGACTGTACGATTTTTCTTTCCATTTTTTTCTTCAAAGGAATGAAAGTTCCAAGGTTTATTTAATTTATTTTCTTTCTTTTTTTCTGCTGGCGTTTGCCATAAGTCAATCAAAAGATATGAAATCTAAGATATTACCATTTATTGCTTGTTTTCGTTGGAGAACAAAGTAAATTATTAGGGAAAGTCATACTTTCTTATCGCTTCAATTTTCTTATTAAAAACTATGCCACTCGTACGTAAAATTTTAAAGTCATGCAGCGATAAATGATGGAAAATATCTTTTATTTTATGTTTATGATTATGATTATAAAAAAAAAACAACTAAAACGCTTGGAATCAATATGAGCGTATTAAAACTTAAGTAATGATGATTTAATTGATTAGGAACAAAATTTTAAAAACGTTTCTGAGGATTGAAATAAATTCATTGAAATTTATGTTACGAGGATCATAGAAAACTCATTATGATGCCTTGAAAAGCTTTATGAGTCGGCAAATCGTGTCAAATTTTAACTTTTATCGGTCAATAAAATAAGTTTAGTTACCATTTTTATCCACTTATGTCAGAATTCGTAGAATTATCCTTTTTGATTGAAATCTATCCTTATCTATAATAAAGAAACACACACAAACTTCCACAACAATAAAAAAAAATTTGGAATTTCCTCCAAAACTTTTTGTTAGCGCGCAAAAACGAAATTAGCGTCTGCACGCTTTAGTAACTAAAGATGAAGTAAGAAGGCTATAAGCAAACTTTCACTCGCCACAAAATTAATTCTGCCCAATTAACATATTTTTAATCTAAGAAAGGAAAGAAAAATTGACCTCACTGAAAGAGAGAAGAAACACAAAAAAAAGCAACACCAAAATTATTTCAATTGATTTTTGTAAGTGAGAATTTAAAAGCAAGACTAGTAGTCATGAAACTGTGCAAATACTTGTGAGCTTCGAACAGAATTTTCTTTTTGAGCTGATTCTTTTGAAAATCAAGAAATGGGAAAAACACAAAATCTGACCACGCACACAACTTTGAAAAAGAAAAATAATGGAAAAGTTTTTTGGACACTAAATTACTTGCCCTCAGTCACAGGCAATGGAATGACCAAACAATATAATGAATTACAACAACTTTCTTTACATCAATTCGTTAGTTTGCTAATAGTTCTTGATTAACTTCAGTGCAATAACATAGAAAAATTACTTAGTGGTGGAAATAAAATGTTTTTTTCTTTGGCGAGACATAAACTTGTAAAATGCCGCATATTGGAGCGTAATAAAAAGCACAGCAGCGGGAAAATTCATTTGAAAAAACACGTTTTATGGAGCATTAAGCTTACTTTCATGCTTGGCGCTATAATTTACTTCTTTTACAACCTTACCGAGCTTTGAAACTAATCTGTACTCACTTTAATAAATTAATTTTTCGTTGATGTTCTCTCCCATTAATGTGCTAATGTGCAATTAGCTTTGTTGATTTATGAGATAATTTGTCATAAAAGTAAAATTTCTTCCGTTTTTATCTTGAATATTATAAAATTTTATGATTCAATTTAAGTTTTAGGGAAAGGAAAGTGACATATGTGGAAATGATGACAGATGAACAGACATGCGTAGAATGAAATATAAAAATTAAACCAATGAATCGCTTCCGCTTCACAGTTTACCAATAACGCTCCTCCTTTTCTGTTTTTAACTGCAACAAGTTGGTAGCTTGTTGATGAAAAGTGAATATCGTGATTGTATAAATTTAAATTATGTTTTTATTCAAAGTATGCAAAAAACAATTTTTCATTTATTTCAATTTCAAAATTTAATTTTTATTTCTTTAATAAGTTTAATTCAAAAAAAAACATTTTTTTAGAAATTAGGAGAATCAAATAAATGGAACACATTTTCATGTCAATTGTTCTGCTTACTATGCTTTTCCATGAAATCAAAATACGCTAATTTACTTTCATGATACTGCTTCTTGTATTTACGGAAATGTGCAATCGAATCTTTCTTCAAATCTAAGTCAACAATAGTTGCATTTACAATAAAATTTTCGTAGAAACCTCGAGGTCCTTTTAGAGTAATGTAGTGGTTCGTGTCGTTGACACATTCACTGTTGGTTAAATTATTTAAATTCGAAGATATTTCTCAAATATTCGAAAATCATTTTACCTTGTTGTGATTGTTGGAGTTGTTCTTCGAAATGTTAACATAATCGAGCAATCTAAAGCTGTCGATCCTATTTTATAATTTTGAAGTATTGTTTGATCGTTTACATCGTAATTAATTGGTTCTTTCGACTTGTCGAGAATCTCCATTTCGGAGAAGTTTTCACTAACTAATAGCTGCGTTTTAAGGATACTGTTGAGAATACAATTAGTGGGAAGTGATTTCCATGCCTCATACATTGAACAATTGCGAAGATGAATGTTCTCATCATCGTCGTCGAAAGAAGAAACTTCAACATTTTTATCACAGAAGCTGAAGTCTTTCAAAAGAATCTTTCGTATCAAACTAACAAATAAAATTTCTTTTCTGTAAATACAAAAAGAAAAGTTAGACAAATTTAAAAATTGTTGAAATTTTATTACCTACCTTTCGGTTCTCTCAACATTTGGAAATAAATTTGTCAAAATCTTATGCAATGAACTTTGACATTTCAGATATTCATTGTACACGATTTTGCCGTCACAAAAAACCTTGAAATTATTTTGTGGATTTTTCATGAGACCTTTGATTGCACGATTTATACGTTCAGGTGTGCCACTAAATAAATCAATCGGGCAGTAGCTTGAAACGCTATTTATTTTCTCATTCTTCAACTTCAAATACTATTTTGTTTAAAATAACAAAAGATATTTAATTAATTTACATACTTGTTGATAATTGTTTTTAATTCTCACCTGATAGAAGCAATAGCGACATTTTCTTACACACAATGTCTCTTCGTCATTGATCAAATACCCTTGCTTAGCTTTAATTTCAATACAAAATGTTGATGTGTCTTTGAATGTTCCATTCACAGGTTGATTTCCGGTATAAATCTCTTTAGGTAAAAATGCTACATCACGGTAAAGAAGTCCAAAGTTGCTGCCTATCACTGCTTTTTGTCTTGATACTTTAAATAGATAAATTAAATTATTTTAAAAGATTCATTAATCATTTAATGTCCATACCTGGTCTGTCATGTTTCAAGAAATTATTCAAATCGGTAACATCAACATCTAAGAAGACGATTTTAGGTACTACCGTAAATTTATCAGCATTATCGAAGTACTTTTGAAGTAATTGTTCGAAATTGACAAAATTTATCAGCTCATGTTTGTGATCAGCAAAATCAAGACACTCTAGGTAGGTTATAAAGAAAGGCAATTGAATCAGTCAACCATGAGTTTCAATGAATATCACGTAGCAAATACAAGAGTAATGAAATGTTATGTTTGCTGATATGATATCAATCTCGTTTAGACTATCCTTTATTGATAATCAGCTTTAATTACTCTACTCACTTGCTTTGTCATCAGCTAGGATTTTTTTAAAGCGAATGACTCGTTTTTCTTCGTTTTCTTGTGAATTTACGCTGACGACAATATTCATCTAAAACAAAATATTTACAGAAACATTGTAAAGATGTTATTGAAATAATTCATCAATCTAGATTCAAGTTCGATTTGTACTTACATTTCCTTCATCTCGATATGACAAGAAAGCGGAAAGATTTTCGGTGTTGAGTTTTATGATGAATTCTTCAACTTCACAGTCATTATTGTTATTGCTTGCAATCACTTTGTTATACATGATTGGAAAAGTTTTTTGAAAACTATAATAGCCTATCTAGTTACTTTTTAATGACTCATATTTATCTTCTTAACAGAAGAAATCATAGATTGAAGAATTTCATGGAACTGATGACACAATTTCCTCATTATATTTCAAAAACTTCAATAAAGTCCTTAATAAAAAACGTCATTTGACTAAATTAAACTCTCTTTTCATGTTATAAAACTAGCTTAATATTTATAAGCAATGATAAAAGTTTAAATAAAAATGATTCAATATGTTTAGTTTATTTATATTTTGAAAATGACGAGAATATCGCGTAGTGTGAACCCTTCGAATGAATTTCCATAGGCCACGCGTGTGTGACCCGGATAAACTAGTTTCCCGCGGACCGGAAATTCAGTTTTTCATACAAAGTCGACCGACCAAAACCCAGTCTGAAGCTGAATAAATTGTCTGAAGCTGATTACACTCTTCACCAAAAAATTGACAATTCCGACGAGATTTTCATCATTCCGCGAGATTTCACACTCTGAGCCACCTGAAACTAGAGGCTTTCCGGGGCTAGGAAGTAGTTTCAGGTGGAGAGTGCAAATCGATGTTTTTCAGCTTAGTGTTCATTCACTGGCATAAATTGCAAGCCATATACCAAGATATGTCAAATAATGACACTGACAGTGAATCAACAAAACTTTTGCAAGATAATTGATAAATGAAGAATGATAAATTGTCCAACATATCATGTGAGAAGAATGTTATATTTTGTTTAAGGTAGCAGTTTCTTTTGAATTGGCAAACAATCACTACTGATTAAAACTGAACTACATGGGAAATATTGCTTAAACATTTCAGCAATCTTTCATATTTTTTGGCTGTTTGGCACACTTCAAAACCAATTAGGTATTAATCTAAATCGTTGATGAGCAAAATGCATTTAAAAATTTAACTTTCGCATATATCAATAGATATTAACCTGTAGAACCATTCAAGAATCAGTGCGATTGTGTTTAAAATACTTTCACGAATGAACTTCTTGATTCCCAAGCTTATTCAGTGAATAAGTGTAGATGACTTTTACAAGGACTATTTATACATTCATGCATGATTAAAATCTAATCGTTATTTACAATTTTATATAGTTCAATACAATGTGTCAAGCTTACAGTAATTACTTTCATCATAATAGTTCAAGCTAATATAGAAATCTTTTTTAATGTTTGTGCTACTTTGTGAAATATTTTCAGCAAACAAATTTTCAGAGAGTCGAGAGAGTGAAATGAAAAACAGCGGTGAAGAAGCCGACTCGAGTAAGAGGGTTGAAAAATTTTAAATGGAAATTCAGATGATGCATTATAAATGATTCTTATAAAGTTTTAAAGATTTTTTTATTATTTCCAAATTATTTCAATAATTTTGTTGGCAAAAAATCAATTTTTTAAACATTTATTTAATATTGATTTATCTAACTTTTCTTAACAAATAATTTTTTTAACTTTTTTATTTTCTCTTTAATTTCAATAAGCCGTTGTACACATTTAGCAATTAAATAGTAAACAAAATATGATGGCTAAGCGAAATGTTTGAGAGAAAATTTTCAGTTTTCATTGAAAATTTTCTCCCAAATATCGAGAAGATTTTTTCATGATTTCGAGAGTGAAGAGAGGAAAATTTTCTGCTTTTCTTATGTTCACTTCAATTTTTTCAAATTGTGCGAGGGTGTGCCCTAATGTAAAGTGTAGGAACTTGTGCAGGAAAAAATTATTTTAATTGTTTAGAAGGAAAATTCATGTATTAATATGCTAAGATCAATAAGAAGTGTTCTGTGTCTATAGAATTACAAAACTTTCATGTTAGAAATGTGAAGGATGAGTTGAATAAGCGATTTCAAAACTTCCAACTCTCATCCATTTTCGCTGTTCATTTTTCCAAAAGAAAAGAACTTAAGAATCTCGTATAATGTTTCATTGTGTGTGTAATTTTGTAGTGTAGATGACAAGAAGAAAAATGGAAAATTGTAAAATGATTTTCGGTAATAATAAATGCAAGAAAAAGTAATCCATTTCATTGTATCGTTCTAAGCAACATAAATAAAGTATCTCAGTGCTATAATAAACATTTTTCCTTATTGGTGAAAAGAAAAATTTGAATAACTTGAAATAGAAAAAGAAAATGGCTATGGGATATGACAATTACTTGGAGGATCAATATAAGGTCCCCATTCTAGCAAGAATTTTGCATTCCTTGCCACATTTGAACATAACATTTCATCGTACCAATAATACATTCCGGCCAACTGATGAAATATATCTTGAGGTAACGTGATGAAAAATCAATGATTGTAACAAAATATTCTACAGAAAAAAAATCAAATTAAAACTTTCAGAGTCTTGGAATTTTGGGGTCACTTCCAGCAGCAGCGCTCATTCTTTCACTTTTCTGTCTTCTTTTGTATTTGATGTCTCGCTGCTGCGATCGGAAACCTCGACCGGCTCATTCAATAACCAGCTTGAAAGTTACATTGTCGATTGTCACCGTTCTTTGTTGTGCTGCGATTGGTTTGGGTAAGTATATAAGCTTATTGAAATCTTGTTAATAGGATTATGAGAAAAATAAGCTTTTCAGGGATTAATAATTCTTAATTAGTTACAAACAATCTTTACAAGAAAATGTTCTCATATCGTTTAATTAAAATTTCAATGGTTTAGTTGATCATAGTATCAGTCAAAAGCCTTTTAATCAGTTTCAATCTAGGATAGGATTAAAATAATTAAATGTTGAATCTCTTTCAAGGTTTATATGGAAATGATGACCTACACAATGGACTTCTTGAAGTTTTAACTGCTGGTCGAAAAGTAGACAATTTGGTTTCTTCAGTACGCAATCAAACGAATGCACTTGAATATACTTTGACACAGAAAATTCGACCTCAATTAGCAGAATTAAAAGACCTTTTTGGCGAACCTGTATCAAATCAGACCGCACTGTCCATTCTGTTTAACTCTCTGGATATGGTTCAAAACAATATTACAATTGCGAAGAGTGCTGCTGGATATATCCGAAGACCTTTAGTGGGAATTTCTTTGAATCACATTTTAAATGTAATTTTAACATCTTTCCATTTTATTTCGTAAAAGTTTAATTTATTTTTTTCCTTCCTTTTTATAGAAAGGAGATCAATATGAATTGATTCGTTGGCCAGGAACTGTTGCAATTCTAGCATTGCTGCTCGTCCTATGTGCTGTTTTACTTGTCGGCGTTGCGCGTCATTCACGTTGCGCTTTAATTCTATTCTCAGTTTGTGGACTTGTAGCTGTCACTGGGTCATGGTTGATGTCGGGAATATATCTTTCAGTATCTGTAGCCATTGGAGATCTTTGTGCAAATCCCGCTGAATATTTAGTTTCTCAATCACCATCAGGACTTTCACAAGATGTTCTTCTATATTACACGCAATGCGAAAGTATTCGACCGAATCCTTTTACACAAAGATTAAGAGAATCTCAAACTGCTATCAGCAGTGCTCGTAATTCGATGACGACTGTTTCAAGGGTATCAATGGCTTTGTTCAAGAAACTTCCGCAACCAAAATTGAGTTCAATTGTTTCTGATCTAAATACAAGTGAACGATTATTGACAGGTGAAAAACTTAAATTATTTCGATGAAAATGTAATGGTTAACATCAATAATATTTAATTATAGGATTAACGGCACTAGTCGATTGTCAACTGATACATTACAACTATCTAATAGCAACACGAGGGCTATGTGAAGGCGGACTACTCGGCCTAGCTTTGATGCTTGTTGCGAGCTTTTTAGCGGCATGTCTTTTGACAATAATGGTAATTTTAGACACAATTGCAACTCGTCTACTTTTCATCAACTGATTTTTTCTTTCTTAAAGATTTTCATTGACTCTCACACATGGATTTACATTCGTAAAAGAAACGACTACGCCCAGGTGGAAGAACAACAATACGCGATTGCACAGCAGCAAGCAGCACAACAACAGATGCAGACACACCAAAATATGAATCACAGAACATTGCCAAGACAACAGAACGGGTAGGAAATGTTTATTAATTTTATAATTGATAATTTTTCATAATTTTATTTCTATTTAAGCCCTCCTGTCATAAGTGGATCTCATACATTGCAACATCCTTCAAAAAATAAGCATCATGATGCAATGATGGCGGCTCAAATGCAAGCACAACATCACCATCCACAGATGAGACAAATGGGATTGGGGACTCAGACATTGGGAAGACATCACAGCCCAAATCATTTGCGTCAGAATAGTGGTAAGTTGAAGAAATAAAATTCATTCAATAATCGGAATTTTACAAGTTTTTTCTTCTTAAAGCTTGCACTGACCATTCACATCCCCATCCACATGTTCAACCTCATCAAAATCTTTATCAAACTCAGCAACAATTACAAGTACAACAGCATGGTCACTACAAACAATACAATCCAAATGTTTCATTCACTGATAATCTGCCACCACCTCCCGTAATAACTGCCGTCTCTACTCAACCACCTCAAACTATCAGTGCAAATCCAACCTACACTCAACAACAACAAATTTATCTTCAGCAGCAACAAATTTATGCTCAACAACAATATCAAACATTAAGAAGAAAACAAGCTCAGGCTCAAGCTCAAGCTCAAGCTCAAGCTCAGGCACAAGCACAAGCACAAGGTCAACTTATCAGCCAAATGCCACCACAACAAGTTTATCAAGCACAGCAACAACATCAACAACCGGCAAATCATCAAGTGCAGCAGCAACAGCAAATGGTCATTCCTCCACCACAAAATTCACAAATTCCTATTCAAGATCAACAACAGCAGCAGCAGCAACCACCACCACCACAACAATATGTTGTTACGTCAGGAAACTATACTCATGGTCCATCTGCTGCACCGTTGGCTGTTGTGACGTCGAACAACTCAATTTACGTTCAATCGGCAACAAATACATCACAAAATCCGACGTCATCAGACAATTCATCGGTATTTGAGCGTGATAAGCATATTTATAAATGTTCCACATTAGGAAGGCATGTTGGCAAATATAACGAACAGCGTCAAAATTTGGTGCCTGCTGTGATTCCAACAGTCCCGCAGATTCCAAAATTTAATGGACAAACTCAAATCATGACCACAACAACTGCTGCAAATAACCAAACGTCATCCAATAATTCTTCAACTCTTCGGCCTTCCATTCAGAACTGTCCACTGCCTGATATACCAAATTCTCAAACAAGTACATTCAAAAGTAACAACGACACTATGACTGTAGTCAATGATTTACCACAGACTAGGTGAGGAAATATTAAAAGAATTTCTTTCAAACTTTCATTCATTTTCTTCTTTAGATTTTACACCCAAAAACGACCAATTGGGAAACCAGTGGCATTGCCAAAGATAAGCTCATTTGAATCAAATCAGCCTCCATATTTGAATAACAGCAGCAACAATAATAATAACAACAACAATCATCCATCGCAAACGAACAGTGATAATAATAGCAATATCAAAAGCACAATAGAAAACAACAACATGAACTCCATAAATCCAATTAGCCAAATAAACAACAATCAAAGGCAACAACATTTATTACATCATCAACAACAGCAGCAGCAGCAGCAGCAGCAACAACAACAACTTCCACCACCACCAACTGATGACAACTATGCAGTTACTGAATTATGAACTGAGTTATAATATAATGAGAATGATGAGAACCTTAATATGGATTCGATGGAACTCGTGAGAAATACACCATTTGTAGCAATTTAAATGCAAATAATCTCCGATATTATTAAACCAGACCGTTGGTATGATAAAACATATCACGATTACGAACATTCCACGAGATTGAGAAAAAGAAATTCCAATCAAAAAAAACTTTTTTAGATATTTAAATGAGAATTTTTGTGTTATTAATGAAAGAATTGAAAAGAAAATGTAGTAAGTCAATTTTATTTGAATGAGTCAAAGGGAAAATTTTCAGCACGCAATGCAAGTTAATTTACTTTATAAAAATTGGTCTTCATAAAAACGAAAATTTATCATCATTAAGAGGCTAGTTGGAATTACCCAAGAAAATCTGTAAATATCTAAAACTTCTCTCATGTCACTACATCATAAAAAGATAAACATAAAATCAAGGATATTAAATATAAGAATCTCATTTTTTTTTGAAAAAGAAATTCGAAAATTGTAATGTTTCTAGTCTAAACAGAAAAAGAAAGAAACTCAGTCAGTCAACTAAAATAATTCCAAATAATTGTTTTAACAAACTCCATTCGATGATACATTGTTATGTTTTATTTATAATAACAACGCCTAAACGAAAATATGTAAGTCACTGACAGTGACAGGCTTAAGATATTATTTATCGTCATATTTTTATGCTGAGCTTTTAACTTTTCTTTCCAATACAATAATAAGAATATTCAACATATATTTTTTTTAATTACTTATCTCAAGAAGTAACTAAATTTAAATTAGAATGGAAGACTCAAGCAAACATTATTCAAAGTATAATGAAACATACTAAAATAAGTAAATGAATACACTTTTGCATAAAACATTGTTGTACTTAAGTAATTTATTATTGACAAGGACATTGTAAGAACATAGTAAGAAGTATCCAGACTATTTAGATGAAATGATAATCACATTGAAGCTTTTCCATAGGAGCATATTTTTTAACTTTCAATAGGGACAGATGAAACAAGGAAACCATTAATAAGAATAAGCCACTTAATGTAACAAGTGAATTTTGTTAATGAAAGTTGTCTGCATTTACATGATGAGATTGATTGAAAAATTTCACTTCATGTGAAGAAGACATGCGCTTGTAAGAAAACTATCGAGAGAAACTTCAAAACGAGACCAAACAAAGCAAAACAAAATTCATATTCTGATGCTAAAACCATGCTTTTAATAGACTGATTTTGTTATAAACGAGTTGTTCTAACTTCATCAAAAACCCATTACTTAAAAATTCTAAATGTTTATAAATTGATTTTCATTCCACATCTGATGATCGCCACTTTAAAAACACATTTTCTACTCGTCAAACTCTCTTGCGCAATCGTCATTTACTCGACGACGATGGCTTTCAAATTTATAAATATATTTATACATAAATAATAGAAATATGATTAAGGAAACGGTATTAAATCATGGAACAAGACTAACTCAATGTTTTACCCACCAGATGAAAAAGAAAAATGTAAACTAAATTTAATTTTCCTGTTTTTTAATTTTATCACTGACAATTGTACTGTAACTAAAAAGTAAGAAACGATCAACTCTTTTCAATGAATCGAATATAACTAAACGATTGAAAACAGCTCAGTTAAGCATTGTGGCAAACTAATAAGAAAAAATAAAATTTAAATAAATTAGTGGGTTCATTAACTATGGAAACTTTTAACTTTTATTAACACTTCGTTGGACTTCGATGATTTTGGTTAAATGGAGGTGCAAAAAATTCTAATTTGAGATGATTAGGAAAAAACAAACATTTCTTTGGTTTCTTCATTATTTAGAATTCTTTATTAAAATTCAAGAACTATTCTTGAAAAAATTGCAAAGTCTTCAATTGACATGACAATTTACCTGAAAAAAGAAATTACAATTCATTTCAATGTAACATTGAATTGCTATTAGATTTACGATTTTTTAATACAGAAATTTAAGTGAAAGGAAATTAAGATCTCTGAAATATTTTTATTTAATGAAAAAGGAAAACTTGAAATCAGAGATCAAATCATTAAGCTGATTATCTAATTCTGTTATTTGTGCTTTGAATATTTATTAATTTATTTAAGTTAATGCGTTTGGTTCTATCTTAGGTTCGCCTTCATCAGGTAATGTCGACATTGCTGTCACTGCGACTGTTTTAGAACTTGAGCTGCTTTGACTTCCATTTCTCGAATGATTTGTGCTCGATGTCTTATTTAGTGGCAATTGCATGTGATACTTGTAAATGTTTTCTGTTGACTCAATAACGCCTTGTTGTAAATTTAAAGACCTTCCTTTAATGCCACTTCCATCTTTCGGTAAAGGATTAATCCAATTTAGAACACTTCCAACAACTGGTACAACTCTTAAAATTCCATCATTCCAAACTCTCTCGTCAGCTTCTTTTCTCAAATCTGTTTCAACAGCTTCAATTCCTTTCTTGATGACTTCAGCCATTGAGTCAAGAACTTTTGAGCTTTCTTGCAATTCATTCCCAGCATTTACAACTAAATCCAATAACTCTTCAATGTCTGTTTCTGATGTCACCATGCCAAATCTTTAAATATAAAATCGCAATTAATAACATCACTTTGATATGTTTTGAATTATTATCTTGCCTGATACATGCAACACCGTCTGTTGATTCTCCCAAACTAAATGCATTATCACTTGATTTTAGCCGTTCTACAAGTTGCATGTTAAGCTTATTTAATTCCGTCTTTCCTTGATCGGTTTCAATTGTTTCCATTTGTTCAGGAACGTAATGTACACCACCAAGACCAGCCCAATCGTCATTTAACTTCACAAGACGTAAAACTTTGTTATTTTCCACCAAGTCATTAAACACTTGCTTCTTCTCAATTGTTGCGCGTAAAATGTCAGATTGAGCTTCAAAGAACTCATTAAATTCAGCGAATGTTTCCAAAGAAGGAACCTTTTCAAAAAGTAAATAAATTAATTAAAATTTTTCAATATTTTTAATTTCTTTCACCTTTTCTCCTACACCCAATTCAAATGGATTGTAACGAATGCATGTTCCGAATATTTTATCATCTTTAAGTGATAATTGTAGTTGGGGAAAGTCACGTTCTAGTGTTTGTCCAAGCCACGAATTTAAACGATCAAAATATAAAGAATTGTTGGTTTTCTCAATGCCTCCTCGAGAAGTTTCCTCAATCTTTCCATCATTAGATGTTTCACCGTCAAATTGAAATAACACGACAGTAGCATTGAAAAAATCTTTATCGTCATCACCACTAGGATTTTTACTTAACAATCGAAAGCCTCGAGCTTTCGAAACCATCTCGTAAAGAACTCTACAGCTTTGGAAAGCTTGACTAAAAGCACCAACGATTCGATCACGTCCTAAATTTTGCATGACTGTCCACAATGGAAAAGCTTCAATTTTTCTTATTTGGTTTTCAATTCCAAAGAAATTATTGTCAGGAACGGTGATTTGTTTATGTAAAAGTACATAAGAAACACTAGGAAGGCCCATCCAATCTTCAAAGTCTAAAGTCATTGAAGAAACATTTTTTAGATTCTCTTGCTTATTCTCTGACACTGCTAGTGATGTGATGTAGCCACCAGTGATGTGAAGCCATAATTGATGTTTCTCAGATACCTCAGAAAGTTCAGACAACGAACTGTCAAATGCACCGGTGATTGAAGATCCCATATCGGCCATAAGGAACAACGGAATGATGTTATTTGCTTTATCAGTTTCAATTTGGTTATTTAACTCTACAAGATTTAAGTGATCAACTCCATCTTCTGAAGCAATGACTTTGATTGCACTTTCACTAAGTCCAACTAGATATGCGACGAACTTCAAATCATTCAAAAATGGATTTTTACTGTTGACATAAATTGAAACACTTTTTACACCTTGAAGTCCTTCTTTATGATAATTTTCAAATTTGCACATCAATGCGACACGTAGTGCTTTTGATAAGCATTCAATGTTTGATGGCAGAAATGTTGCAGTGGAATTCTTTAAGAATAAGGAATTGAGCCATTTTGAAGTTTGATTGTAGATGTTATCAGAAATTTTCATAAGGCGAGTACCAGGTGAAATTGTTCTTATGTATGAAAGAACCGACTGAGATACGAAAGCCAGATGTGAAATGTCTAAAAATAAAACAAAATTGGGAAACATTGTAGACATAATTAATTACGCTATTTGCTTACCATCAACGATGGGCATGAAGAAGTCGTCGTCGTCATCAGAAAAAAGAATCAATTGCTCCAAATTCCCGAAAATTTCATATGCTGGTCTCGGCTCGTTTAAAAATTCAATATTAGTTGAAGGATTAACTGGAACAGTGTCACCTTTTAAAAGTTCTAAATTTTCTAATTTGGAAATAAGTTTCGATGAACTCATTATAATTTTTTCTGTTGCCTGTAAAAAAATATGAATTAATAACTCAAACATTGATTATATAAATTGATTTCAATGTAAATTAACTCACAGATGGTTTCTGTACAGATTGATCTGCCATTTTAAATGATAATGTCTTTAATTTTTAGTAACACTCCAAAAGTTCGCAAATTTATTTATTTTTTGCCAACAAAACACTATAAGGTTTGAGTGTCGCTGGTTTTGTTAGCAATTCCATTCAGGGCATCCAAGTACAACATTTTATTTCGCTTAATATCTCCTTAGTTAGTTACCTTTTAGAAAGAATGTCTTCGGCGGAAATATCAATTTTTATTACCTCCACCGAACGTCTCAAAACATCCTTTCTAAAGTTAACTGGTCGCCAGATATTGGAGGAAAAAGGCGATTTCCTATAATAACCAGCGTAGTTGGAGCCATCTTGCGGATATTTCTGACAACTATTAGTTTGAAAATTTGGCGCGCCGACATGAAAATTCTGATAAGAATTAAAATTAAATTAAACTTAAGTTGCCTTATATGTGCTGTGAAGTGCTTTCTTTGTGAAAATTCCTTCATTGATGTAAAAGATCAAGAATCAACCTCAGGACTTGTGCAATTTCCCGAGTGCACAAATACATTTACCTAGGTCTCGAAGTAAACATTATAAACAGAAACCAATGTTTACAAATAAAATAAAACAAATTTTTTTTTTACTTTTGTACAATTTAATTTAAATATTGAAACATCATGTAGTGTTTTTAATTATAAAATGTGGTCGGAGCTCCAAAAATACCTACATAATATATGTAAGCCGCTTATCAGAACGAGCCTTCTTTTGAATTGTCAATTTAGTGAAATTTAACAAAAAAATGCATGAATGAAGGAACTTAAATTAAATATCATGTAAATATACTAAAACTTGAAATATGAATAGGTTCTTGACTTTGAAACAGATTTAAGTTTAATCTTGTTTTACGCTTAAAAAATTGATTTTCAATTTAAAGGTCCGGTTAAACTGGCGCACAGAAAGAAACACAACTGAATATAATATGTTTTTATTTTTTGACAATTCTTCTTTATTCAATAACAGGCTTAATTCAGGATCTTCTCTTTTTTCCCTCGTCGTTTGTAAAAAGACCAGCACGGCACCAAATAAATCAATGGATATTTGTAATGCTTTCAGAAATATATACTTGCTTACCTGTCTATTCTTTGAACGACGAAAGGTCTCGAGAACAATAATTGGAAGACAAAGAAACACTTGAGAAAACACAAAAGAGTGTGAAAGAAAAAAAAAGAAATAGTTACAAGTCTGGTTTTTCTTCTCATTTTCAATATCCAATCCTCTCATTGTCTTCTTTATTATGAGCTCTAAAGTCGCCGCTTTGTTTCTTAGAAGCTGGTTATTCTTTTTGTGGTGCTAAAGGAGATTTGAAATCGAAATAAAAGAGAAAAGATTTTGAAACAGTTTTAAATTAATTTTTTTTCAAATCAAAATTTTTTTTTTATCATGAATGATTTTTATCCATTATCTAATTTCTTATAAAAATATCTCCTGCTTATGGGTTGTTAATTCTAGGATATTAGCTAATCATTCTATTATGAGAAACTTTTTTTGTTCGATCAAGATATTATTTACACATATTGAATTATCGGTGGTGTTATTAATCTATATTTTTTCTTCAATTAGATAAGAGACTATAGCAGGTATCCACTTGTTCATTCAAAAATATTTATTCAACAGGCAACAATTAGACACGTCCATAAACTGGAATTTGCCTTATAACGACAAATTTCTGATCTTCTGTTCATTAATTTTCATTTTACCTTTCCTACCTATTGATTGTTAATTATAGGGAGTTGAGCAGGCCATAATATCAATCGGGTTTCTGCACCTAAATTTACTACTTTAAAAATCCATCCATTGAAAAGAACTTTTAGTTTAGGAAGGTATCTCATTTGATTATTATTTCTTCTTTTTAAAATTTCCATTCTTTTTTGTCAACCCAAACCAAGTTTTTTTTCCTAAAATATCTCCAAAGCCTAGCAACTCTTATCCAAATTCAAATAAATTACCAACTATGTACAAGATGTTTTGTAGCTATTGTTATTAAATTATTGCTTGAATATATTCAAGATATCTAAGTTGATTTCAAATATCTCAAAGAAAATACGAGAGAATCACAAAAAAATCAGAAATTCAATGGAATGCAGACTTTGAGAGCTACTAAATACATAAATGTGTTTGTAAAAATATACCGGAGATTGCCTACCTACAAATTTTTAATAAGAGAATTTTATCATTTACTATTAATTATGATGAATGCATTTAAGGATGGTCATTAAGATTTCTTTTACTTAATTTCATGCCATAAAAAAAGGATTCTTTTACACACATTTTATTATCTTAAGATATTCTTTATTTAATTTAATATCTTTCAATAATGTACAAGTATTTTCCTGTGTGTAGATATTTCTGTTCTTATTTTCGTTACTCTCAATTTTCTTGAGTGTTTATATTTCTCTCAATGCTTGACTTTTTTCAGAGTTTCTCATTTTATTTCATTCGAGATTCAATCAGTCGAGAATGAACCACAAACAGTGGATGTTGAAATAAAGAATATTGTTTGTGCTTTGGTGATATTTAAAAATAATTTTGATAGAATATCAAAGAAAAAAAGAATATCAGCGACACTTTTTAATTTTCAATCTGGTTTTAATTTTTTTATAAGTGCATAAAGAAGCAGTTTTCAATAAAATTCTAGTTTAAGTGATTCATTTGATTAAACAAAGAAGTGAATCATTATTCCATAATGAAGTGCTATGTGTTTAAAGATGTGTTTATTGTATTGACGTAATATAGCACAGAATAGCTCGTTTAAACTTAAAAGGCGAGTGAAGAATAAAACAATTAAATCTAATCAAGAATAATCTAAAAATAATAAAATTAAATAAGTAAGCAAAAGGAACATCCTGGGACGTTATTCTTAAACGTAAGTGCAGAATATTATAATTTTTTGCGAGATGATGTGAATGTTTGTGTGTATGAGTTTGTATTTTTCACCGGCAAAAATCAGAGACCGCTTATGAATGTGTAAGCTTTTATTGATTGGTATAAAACAAAATACAAATGAGAAAAATCTTTTTTTTGTTTTGTGTGCCTAAAGTATTTCTAGAGGTCAAATAAAATTAAAGGATCAGTGACGACTGGTATCTGAGTTATAAACGAGAAAGAGAGAAGGAAAACTAATTTAAGAGAGAGAAAGACTTTTTATACATCAAACATATACCTAATTTATAAAATTTAATTAAATGTGAATAACAAGAGAAAAATCAAGATCAGATTTTTACTCTTCTCAAGGCTCTTCCAAAAAAGAATTTCTGAGAATTTTTGGAGATGTGATTTAATAAAAAATGCTTTTATGTATAGAAAACTATCCTGTTTGCCATACATATTATCTCATTACCTCTAGCCATTATCTGTATAAAATGAGACTGTATTAAGCTTTAATTAGTCTTTCGATAGCCTAACAACACACCATTTCAAAAGCTCATCGTTTCTTCTTCTTACGTCTCCCGAAATTATAACAAATACAAGCTTGGCTGGAGGAATTTTTTACTACTAAGTAGCCTCTACTCCGTGTGAGCGTATCAAATATTGAAACAAACATGCACTATACAAGAATTTCAAACGAAACAGAAACGAGAAAGAAAAAAATCTACAAACCGGTTCTGAATTCTTCAAAAAGTAGTTTTTTTTTCTTTTCAGATACGTTACTTGTGTGATATTGTGATAGAGAATATAAAAGTTGTAGGACGGATACAACGAATTTTGATTTTTGAGTGCGAGGAAAAGGGAAAATGGTATGGGGATAAAAGGTTTTTGCAGAGTTTTTGTATCTTAGAAACGAAATCTTGAGATTCATTAACACTGATTTATCTGTCTGGGAATGTTAACTTTTAGAAAATCATTTAGTTATTACCAAATTTGAACTGGTTTTGACATAATAATTACCTATTCAATTAGATAAAGTTAATTCTATAAGCAGGGAAGTTTCAAATCAAAATGATCCATTTTTTGCGCATTACATTCAAATATCTCTACACAAACATTCCCAATTTTATATATTCAATATAGTCGGTACTAAGAACAAGATCTTAATAATATCTTAAGTCTCGCGTCGAATCCGTAAAATACCAAGTGTGGCTGCCTGCTCATTTAACTTATTTATATTTTTTTGTAAACTCTGCTAGACTTCTAATTTATGCGCAGATTTTACATGCTAGAATTTTTTTAAGAAACTTCGATTTCAGATTTTATAAATATTTTGTTAAAGCACCTTAATTTAAAGCCCAGACAAAATTTGATGTAGAAAAACGGATGTTTGATTTTTTACTGATAATGTATAAGAATTGATTCTAAAAACTTGCTTGCGCAAAGCAAACAAACAAGAAAACATAAACTATGTGAGATTTTTTTTAAATATATCCTCAAGCTATGAATACAATTATGAGTACTAATTTTATATTTATAATTAACGATCACGTTTAAAAGCTTATAAATAGAAGTCATAATGTTGTATTGGCGACATCAAATTAATTTTTCTGTTTAACTTCAACGTAGCATTATCGTTTTAAGTAAAAGGAATAAAATGATTTGAATTTTTGTGCTGTAATTAAACAGTCAGTTTTATTAATTATGTTACGTTTTCGAAGCACAACTAAATAAAATCGCTTGAGTCAACATCGCGTATATTTTACAAATTGAAAAATGCAATTGCGATTTTTCTATTTTAGCATCAATGTAGGTAATTAATTTTTGTCATCATTCCACGTTCATAGACCTTTTTTCAGTTGCTTTTGCACTTGCTATTTTGAGTCATCAAAATTTACATATTATAGTTGCTATAGCCGTGAATTTTCATTTGTATGCATAAATATGTTCTCAGCATAATGCAATTAAAACAAAAATTCGCAAGCGACAGCAAAAACGAACGGGAAGAAAAAGAAACGTCTGAGAGAGTCCGGGCTAAGCTTTCAAGACTGAAGATTAACTGCTACATGTGCTCTATAATTTACTATATTTATTCTTACTTCCTTGAAATATCTGCAGTTAAAAATGTATACTTGATGAAGAAGAAAAGTGTCTGCTCATGTTGTAGATATTTTTCTCATATTTTTAGGCTTCCCTTTAGACAACATGCTTCTAAGAAATTTATTATTTCTTCTTCATTCCGACAATACTTCTCTAGATGAACGGATTAAATAAATTAAGAAGTGCATTTTATGAGATATAATGTAAAATGTAGACAAATTACCATAACGAATTGCGAGCAGAATTTTATTTCATTTTCACTCAGCATTATACCCAAAAAGTTACGTTGATCGATGACTAAAAATTTGTTTTTGTTTCTCCATAGAAATTCCAATAAAACTCCTTCTCGATTGTAACTTGAGAAAAAATATATTTTCATCATTATTAAATAATTCAGATACACGTGTTTACAGAAATAAATATCCTTGAGAATGATTTCTTCTTAAGATGACGTCGGTTGAGTTATTCCATTTCGATGTTTTTCTAACTGCTTTTAAAAATGTTTTCGATACTTAAAAGTTATAAGTTCGTGAAATTTTTAATCAGATTAAGAGTCGTCAAGTTGTTTAATCCTATGTCCTCTGATACTCTTCCATTATAGCTCTTGAGTTCAATATTTAATCCTATAATCAAAAGAGATTTAATGTTTATTTTCTAAGACTTTGACCGTACTGCGCAAAGCTTCCAACATCGAAGTTCAGGAATTTATGACGAGTTTATTTTGAAGATTTATTAACTTTCATATTTTATGTTTTATTTTTAATTTTTTTTTTCTACTTCATTCAATATCATGTGCCTTTGGACGAAAAATCGGTATCCAATATTTTATCTTTTACCCATTTAACATTTTTCTTTGAGAAATTTTGTGCTTCAAATTTTTTTGCATGGAAGCTTTTTAAAGTATGTGGGTTGAAAGGAAAGCAATTTTTGTATAATAAGATGTTTTTGACGCTGTTGTTTGGCAACCAAAAATTACCTTCTAATTTACTCAGCATCCTTCTTTCTTCTTGGAAATGTTCGTACTGTGAGGACTTGCAAACGTTACTCGTGCCAAGGAGCAAGTAGAGAACTTCTGCGTGGGCTTTTGATTTTTAGAAGCTGTATTCGATTGAAATGGAATTCCAATTTTAGTGAGGTTGTCAGATGTTGAGTGGATGTAAAAGAAAAACAGTTGGTAACAGAATCAAGACTAATATTTAACATTTGATTCCTTTTTTTAAATTTTATAACATTGTGTTGTTAAGATTCTTCATGGATGCTTTGAAATTCGACAAATTCACGAGATTTTGCATTCATTATCGTAACAAAACTATTCTGTTACCAGCAGAGAAATTCAATTCTTAATTTTCAGACTTGCATCATCAAGTAATCATCTCATGTTTCCTTAAATCAAGCTTTAATCTTATACTCATTTGCTTTATAATTGGACAGCAAAAATAAATAAATAAGAGTAGCCTTGAAATCAGAAATTATAAGCCACAGGGCATGGAAAATAGAATGACATGCGCCTAAATGTGTTAAAATGAGTAAGACGAAATCCTTATAAAGTGATTTAAACGAAATGGTGAACTCAAATGAAACTCACAATAGAATATTATCAAAATGAATTTGTAATAAAAGTACCAAAATCTTTTATGCACGACATTTAAGAATGGAAACAAAAAATGATTCAATTCTGAAAATGATGTGGGTATAAAGAAAATATCACGGAATAATAAATATCTTGTTGCATAGATTCAGTCGGTGAAACAATTCAGTGCTTCGTGTGACCTTGTAATATCCTGAGAGAGTAAAGAGAGAAAGAAAGCTTTGAGCGAGGATATTCAATTAGCAAGGACTCTCAATTTACAACCCACTCATTCATGCTCTGTTTATATACTCTTAGCGTAACATCCTTTTCGTAACTTCTAAGTATTCTTTCGAATTCTTTTTATCAAAGAAGTTTCAAGCTCCTTTTTCTAGTGAATAATTATTATAAGAAACAAGTCGCAAAATTATTGAGAATTATTATTACATAAATAAATATGCAAGGGGTCGTTCATAAAAATAAGTTGGCCTGCAAAGACAACATTAAGTAAAAAAGCTTCAGGCAAGTTCCAAAATTAGCAAGTTCTTGGAAATGTCGATATGTTTCTAATGATTTAAAAGTAGCCGGCAAAAGCACTAGGATGAACAGCCCCTTGAAAATATGTGCATATGGAAATAATTATTTGTGTAAATATGATAACAATCGAGTCATATTAGTAAATATTGATAAAGATTCTTAACAATATCTAATCTTCATTTATGATTTCTTTACTGAATATTAGCAAAGGTACTAGTAACATGACCTTTTCAATTTAATCAATTGATCCTATTCGTAAATAGAAAATTATTACTGAGCGTGTATTAGTTTCTTTCGTAGCTAAAAATATTGCACAGTAAGATTTATTTACTGTATGAATCTATGGATAAAAAGTTATTCCATGTTTCTCAAATAACACACCACGCAATGAATATGATTTGATGATGACATGTATGAATCATTTCATGCGAATCTCGAATTTATGTATAGCTTTCAATGAAAGTTTATCGATACGAATTTTCCTTAAATAATCATTAGTCTATTTTAGTTTTTTTTTACTTTTGATAGTATATAAATACCTGATATTTTGAATAAATTGGCTACACATAAGAAAGAAAAAAAACTAAAACACTCTTAGGTCAAGAGAAGCAGAATGGAATTTGAGATTAAATTATTTATAGAAAGTGAGGAAGTAAAAACATTTTTTATTTATTTAATCATCATGACATCATCATTTTAATTAGGAATCCTAGCAAGCATTAAATTTCGGTTTTTAAGAAAAGAAGAAAAATAAAATGTGAGATAGCTAAACATACTTTGTTTTGTAATAGCGTGAGTGAAAAAAAAGTGAGAAATTTTATTATTCAATGAAAAATATTTAAGCGAAAACAAAGTGAGAGGCATGAAGAGAAGCCATGGAGGAAAAAGAAAGTTCAAGGTCAAAGAAAACCGATAATATTTTTTTCTTCTCTTTCTTTTTTCCATCCACCACACATTCTAAACTCAATGCCAGTTCTATTAATACCACTATGAAAAATAATAAAAAATGAAAATAGTAACAAAAGCTATGTAAATAGTAGTACTTTGGCTCATTTTTCTTTTATATGGTTTTATTATTGTCCGTGTTGAAATTCTATTAATTTTCTTTATTTTATGAATGTAACGTTCATTCGATTCAATTCTTTAAGTTCGGAAAAGATCTCTTTTTTGGACCTGCAAATAAACAAAACGAAGCCTTAATTTGTGGCTTAGATAATGATGACTTAATTGTAACAATCTCAGAAATTGAATCGCTGCAGCGTCTTCGTGTGTCATCACTTATGAGTGCATGGTCATTCGTGGATAAAATGCTTGGGGCGTGGATCATGCGACACCCTAACCGTGACCAGCTTATTAAGCATATTGAACAGAGCATCAAAGAAATTCACAAGATCTTAATTGCCGATATACAATGTCGTTGGGGCAGAGAAAATTCAAATATGTTTATGACTGCATGCAGCATATTATCTCATGAAATGTTAATTTATTTTACTAAATCAAGTCAGCATGATCATGTGTAATAGAATTGGTAATTTTCAATCGAATTGATGAAAATTTTGCTAAGTGCAAACTAAAAATAAATAAATAAATGTTTTACATATAACTATGTGGGTGGAAAGATATCAAATATTCAATATTTTCCTTCAAATTCCTACTTGTTTTTATTTTTCAATATTAATCTTTACTTTTGCTTCCCTTTCAAAAACGTTATCAGCATATTAAATGACATATTTTTTACAGACTGACCTCCAAGAGACTGCTTATTGTCTCAGACAGTTGTAAATGTATCACACTTAATTTATTTAAAGTCTCGATTACGCGGTTTGCTTATTAAAATGTCGTTTGAAATTTCACTCCATCATCACAATGTGATATTTATTACTTTGCATGTTTATCAATCTGTGAAAAAAAGCTTTGATTGTAATCAGTAAAATTTGTTATGAACCATTGATCATAATCGCCAAATGTCAAATATTATTTGTCAAGTTTGTCTCTTTTTTATGTGCTGACCAAAGTTCTAACATATTAAATTGAAATCTTTTTTGTTTTCAAGCTATACAAGTGGGTTGAAAGTAAAGTCTTTTAATTGTGTGCGAAGCCATTTGTGAAAAATGAGACAGTTTCAGTGGTTATGAATCACTTATTTTGACGGAAATAGTAGAATGAACTACATACATTCATATTTAAATCAGAGCTCGGCGTCGATTTGGAATGTTTTAACGGTCAAGGAGATATTCGAGAGAAGAAAAAGATTCTCATATGATGATAAATAAACAAAAAAGCTTTAATTTTCCCATGAGAAAAAATCGATCACAAAAATTATTAACCGACACTGTGATCTGATTTTATTACTAACGATGCGTAGAGACAACTTGTTTAAAATATAAACTCTAGTTTGATTGAATGAGTTTTTTAACATTCATCAGAGAGTGTACAGAATTCATCACTTCTCGAATAATTTCACATATTTAATATAAACTTGCTTAGCGATTCAGTGAAGAATAAAAAACAATATTTCGATACTAAAACATGCTTCTTCAACGAAACGATTAAGACCTCATAAAAGCAAATGTTTATCAATTATAGAAACAGTAGAAGTTGTTTAAAATGAAAATTCCGAGAGTGTGTGATTGAGGAACAATAGTATGTGATAGAATAATATTTACTCTTTTGAGTTCTAAACAATCGCAAGTATATTTGTGCATAAGTTTACGTACATACATTTTTTCCTTCATTGATTAATTCAGAGTTTTCTTTCTTATGAAAATCTGAAGATGTTATTCGGTGAAGCGTAGTGATAAAAAGATTATTCAAATGATTCACTCAAGTAAAAAATGTTTGGCATTGAGTGGGATCGTAAAGATACGCGTTGAATTGTACACAAGCGAAAATATTAAGAAGTAAAGTATCACTACGACTTTTTGTTTTTGTGTTTTTATATATTTTTTCTCCATCATATGAAAACAACTGGCAAAAGCATGGGAGAGAATAAAAGTTCTAATATGTACATATATGAAAAACTACTAGTGAGTGTAAGCTCGTCGTTACGACATGAAGAATAAATGGAAATTCTATGCTTTTGCTTGTGTTTGCACCTCGATGAATAAACATGATAAAGTGAATAATTTGTAGCATATGCATATATCCTAGCATATACATTTATATAAAAAACAAGAAGAAGAAGAAGAAGCTAAAACACAAATTGTGTGAAAAAAGTTTACCGGTACACGTTGAAAACGAAAAAAGAAAAAAAAACAAAAATCATCAGTTGCTGTCGTTGTTCGACCTTGTTCATGACATTGATTTTTAATACTATTTCTAAATATTCGAAAAACGCTTTTTGACCATCCGATATTTATTTTTTGTCGTTTGGAAAAGATGGTGAATGATAAGTTTGCTTGTTCGATGTGAAATATGAAAGTAAAAAGAAGCGCTAGAAATATGAATTAACTTCAGGTTTTTGTTTCATCTTACAGAAAAAAAATTGTCATTGAAAGATTCTAACCAGCAGCTAGTGTAGCCCTGGCTTTATACACCCTAGTCGATGCTTTCTACGGTTGAAATTCACGCCGGTCCAGGAGGGATTGGAATATATCCTCATCATCCAACATTTGGTAGACCAACATCGACATCCCTTTTACAACAAATGCCATTGGCTTCAACAGCCATTCAACAACAGCAACAACAAGGATCAGTTATGTCGGGTGTTGAATTCGCTCGACCTAAACCTAAAAATATTGCATCAATGAACGGTTTATCGCCTTCAGCATCATCAACAATGTCAACGACGACACAAAAATCCTCGCATCATGAACAAAATGGACCCGTCAATCTAGCTGTGAATCACCAAGCGCAACTTTCAGCGAGAGGTTCACCAAATTCAAAAATTGATCATTCAGAACAAAAGGAAATTGATGTTGTTGGTCTTGGTAGCACGAGCTGTTCTGCTATTGAGTCAGCAATGTCTTATCCCATCAGCAGTTCACGCATATCCTCATATCCATCAAGTTTAGGAAGCAATGCGTATCAAGCTTTGAATTATGGATTTTATGGAAATCGTTATGGCGGGTAAATTAATTTCTTTTTATGAATAAATCATTAATTATTTATTTAATAGAGAAAATTATTATGTTCCCTTCTTAGAACTGCTCTCTTTCCACACCGTTCAGCATACCCGCAACATCATACGAATAGGACGACGTACTTACCATCTCAACTTGATTCGTATCCGTCGTATTTATCAGCTTCGTATCCTTCTAATAATGTCGGGGGCTATTCAACTGTAACATCACCACAACTAACGTCTGTGGGTGCAGAAGCATTAGCTATTGCTCATAAAACAATTTCCGAAAGATCTCATTCATTGTCATCGTTGAATAATGGCCACAATCCATATTCATTGAAAGACAAAGACCAAAAGTCAAGTGGATCAAGATTTAATGTTTTAGAAGATTCTCAAAACAACAACAGCAACAACAGTAATCATAACAACTTTAAAGTGCCTTCCGGCAAAGAAGGTTCTCTTAAACATCGCATTTTGACCACGACACGTCCACATGATGATAAGCATGGAACTATTAATCATCCAGCAAATCGGTAAATGAAAGATTATTTACATTTAAACATTTATTGAATCTTTTTTATGACATTCTGACTTTGTTTCTTTTATTTTCTTAAATACTTATTTAGATCATCGCTCGGCAACAATTCGTTACTTAATTTCACTCGTGGCTCTCTCATTGAACTCAGTAATGGTTCATTACGTCGCGTTGAAGAATTAAGAACTGAGGACTTTGTGATGTCAGCAGAGAAGTCACTTGATCTTCAATTAGCAGACTCAACAGTCGTTAAGATTCTCTCGTCTAATAACAGTAACTGTGTGATGATTACTTTCAGTTATGACAACAACAGATCAAAGGTGAGAATATAAAGAAAAAAAATATTTTTCATGTTTAAAGAAGAGTTTTTCTTTATCGAAGGTTGACATCGAAGCAAAGCTTGAACATCCATTTTTTGTATACGGTCAAGGATGGGCATCTTGTAATCCTGAAGGTTCCTTGACTGCCTTTGGCTTAAATTGTCAAAGACTACAAGTCGGTGATGTTTGTATTTCCCTTAAACCGCGAGAATCTAAACAAGATCCATTTTTGAGTTCAATATCACAAAAGCGATCTACACAACAACAACAAATGAGTCAACGAGATCTTTATGAACAACAAAATCAACATTTACAACAACAGGAATCAATGCCACAAAATCTTTCACGTCGATTGTCCACAACAACAACATCTGCAACGACTGGTGAAAATGTCATAAGTTCTCAAATGGCACAGTATTCTCCAGCGCTTTACAGTCTTCAAATGTCACTTTTCGCTGCGGCAAGTCAAGGTCGAATTCCAGCACCTTTTCCGCCTTTCATTAATGATGAAGGCACAATTGTGAACACACATTTATCGCAAGATTTAAATACCTCAGTGAACAATAATTCGAATGTTAAACTTCCACCTTTAATCTTAAAGAATTCAACGATTCAGGATGAGTATATTGAAGATTTACAATCGAGAAAGCGACGATGGTCGGCACCAGACATTGATGAAGACCAAAAACAACAAGAGCAACAACAGACGAGAAAAATCGCAAACTAATTGTGATATTTACGTACTAACCGAATCTTGAATGTAATCAAATACATGGAATTTCAACCTCAAGATGTGATCTCGCAAAAAGTGCTGAAAAGTTCTTTCTTATATCGATTTAATTTTCTAAATACATAAAAATAATTAAGTTGGAAGACATTTAACTTCTCCAAACGAGAAGGAAAACAAAGAAAAAAGAAAAAAGCAAATTGATGAGATGTTTGCAAACGAACACATAAAAAAAATACTTAAAAAAAATTTGAATCAAAAAAGAAAAAAGTTAATTTGCGAATGAAACTAAAGCTGGAAAATTTTGATAAAAAATTTGAAGACGTTAACTTTTTGAATTGAATTTGTTAATTATTTAGCACTATTGGAAAGAAGAGAAAATTATTAAATTAAATCTAAAATATATAAACGATGATAAAAAATTTATTGTTTCTGTTTCAATTATAACAAAGTGATTTTTCTATTAGTTTAACTATTACTGTGTACAAATGATTTAAATGTATTAGAAAATTATAATACTCCATTGATGGGAGAGATTCATGAAGATGAATCTGCACAAACAAACAAACAAAAAAAATCATACAAATGAAAAAGCTTGACGCCTAATGAACAAATGAACTGCTACCTCTTAAGCGAACCATGAAGATCAACAAGTGATCATTAATACATATTCAGTGTCGCACAAAATTGACGTAAACTTTCTTGAAAAACGATTTGACGAAAGGATTCTTCTTCCAAAACGTTACATTTTCCATCAGCTTTCTTTTTCTTTCTAAAAACGTCTAAAGTTCAAATGAAAGGTTAAAAAATTTTCACTTTACTTGACCGCTGTTTGATCTCATCAAACCACATAATGAAACGTTTAGTGTGGACATGAGTAGCAAATTTTGCTACAATTTATGTATCGATAAAGAAATCAAAGCTGAGTGTTGAAAACTAGACAAAAATGATTTACGTTTAAATTAATCTACGAGAGTTGTAGTGCCGTGACGACAGACAAAAAAAATTCTGACAGATTTTTCTAAATATCTCAATGTAAAAATTTTCATTTATACCCGAAATTTTACAAAACTTTGATAAAATGCAACGAAAGAAAGTTGTGGCATTGCAGCTCTTTTAAGTATCTAAATGATTAAAAGAAAGAAAATAAAGTTGGAAATTGGTGTCTTATAAATGAGATAAAAATGTTTAGTTTTATAACTAAAAAAAATTCAAAAAAAAAGTTCGCTTGGTAAGAGAAACTTCAAGGATTTTAAAGAACAAATGCTACTTATCGAATACATAAATGAAAGCTTTACAATTCGTCCTCAAAATTTATTCTTTTACCAAACGAATTAAAATAAAAACTAAAAGATAAGAAGGTAATAATAATCTAGTGACAGGGTTATCAACACGTAAGAATATTTGACAAATGTATTTTCTTAAAATGTTAATTTTTATAAGAAGATAAAAAAGAAAAAAAATAACAATAAATGAAACAAGATGTTATAGATTCAGTTTTTTTGGAAAAGAATGATGGTAAATATCTTCTGTGGTGTCAAAGATGTAACTTTTTTGGAACATTAGAGAAATGTTGTGTTGATTGAATATTAGAAATCTCAAAGTTTTCATTGAGAAAGACTAAATAATTTATAAAAATAAAACCTTTAAGGTTTATTAGATAAAAAAAGAACGAATATTTTTTATTTTTGGACATCTGATAAAACTGAATGTTACTTGTTGTTTGATAAAAGAAAAAACTAAATTGTTTCTTTAATTCTTTTCTATTGATTATTCATAAATCTCAAAATTTCCTTTTGAATTTATAACCCGATCTGTTTAAACAAATGATCACATTATTGTGCTTCACGAACATTCAAAAACAAGACTGCTTACTATACGTATAAGTTAAGGTATGCTTCAAAATAATATTGACATAAACTTGCGACTCGAAACACGATTCAAAATTTGAGTTGAATTCATCAATCCTATCTTTGTTATTCAAAATTTCAATCAAGTTTTTCATATCTTCCAAAAGTTTTATATGAGTGTCAATAAAGATGCCTTGCACTTAGATGTCATCTAGATTTAAGTTCACAAAACTATATTTGAAATACAGTGGCCATTACCCTAGAGATTGGCTGATATTTGAAGTCCTTTTTAAAATGAAACTTTTATTAAATTAATAATAATATTATAAATAATAATAATAATAAAGTAAAACGATGTTCCTGGTTTTGAAACAAACATTTATGGACAGTAAATATACTTAGATGAAAAGAAAGAAAACAGATTTGTTGTGTTACGAGTTATGTGTTTTAGAACAGCATAAGAAGATGAAGAACAAAACATTATTTTGTGTTAATTTAATGTTCGATATAATTATAGAAATATCTGCAGACAAAAATGAAGATACTTTATAAAAATATATTTTGAATGAAAATTTTATCTTTTCACTTTTTAATGAATTTCAACGACGTCACTTCGAAGAAGAACGAAGAAATTATAAGTTTTCTTAAAAATGTTTTTATTTAAATCTTTTTCAGCGAATAATTGCGAAACTTGACATGACAATTGTTCAACCTTCTTTTTAGTTTTTTAAATGATGAATCATGAATGATAAATTGATTCTAATGAAAAAAATATTATGATGACAAACGATAAACAGAAATTCTTAAACAAAGTTCAATTAAAATTAAATTTAGTTCAATGCTGCATGAAATTCCCGAAGATGCTTGTTCATATTGGCTCGTAAATGGAATTTTCGATTACATCCTTTGAAAGTGCAGGCAAAAGTATTTCCTGATCCAGTTTTTGAACTGTCGCCAGAAATTGGACTTCCAAATATATCAAATTCTTGAATTAATTCAACTGATGATGATCGTGAACGAGATCGAGTTGGTTGTGCAGATGCAGCAACTGAATTGAAGCTAGGCACCTTCTTTTCAAGAACTTTATTAACATCAACTTCGCAAAAATCTGCAAGAATTGAAGCTGCATTCTCATTCTCAACGCTATTGTCTGAATCTTGAATTTTTCTTGCTTTTCTTATCTTTTTTTTGGAAAAAGATGATTGATCTGAAGAATCTGTATCACTTGAGGATTCTTCTTTTTTGATTGGTGAAATTTCTTCATCTGAATCAAGAAATTTGGTTCTTGGCCTGCCACGACCGCTTGGAATAGAATGTTCAGTTGGGCGAGTCTGATTGGATTTTTCATACTTTCTTGGCCTTCCTCTTCCTCTCTTCTTGGATTCCTCATTTACAACATGATGTTTCGATGAACCTTCTGAATTGTTTTTATATTTTGGCGGTCTTCCTCGACCTCTGACCAACGAAACATGTCCTGTCGTTTCCCTGAGTAATTCATCCCCTTCGTCATTCATATAATCAGCTGTTACCATTTCACCGAAGTCAGGAGAAGACTTTCCTTCTTGAGGATCACATTTAAGTGAATCTAACAATTCAGGCTTAATTTTTCGTGGTCTCCCGCGGCCTCTTTGCACTCGATTTTCTGATTTATCTTTCACCAATTCACTTTCTTCATTATTTTCATATACTGCTATTGAAGTATCATTGAATTCTGAAGAAGAGTTTCCATCTTGATGTGAATCTGATAAAAGACTTTTCAAAAACTTTTGGCGTCTTCCACTTCCTTTCCGTATTGGAACATATCCTGTTGTTTCCGAAAGTAGTTCATCTCCTTCATCATTCGTATAATTTGATGTTTCCACTGAAGAAGATTCTAATAAATTTGAATCAAAAAGAGCGGGAGAATGGTATGGTGAAACTGAATCGTAAGGTGATTGCTGCGTTTTCTTTGCTGGAGTTATATTTCCATTTTTGTTATGCAACATCATATGATTCAAGAATGGTTTTGAATATTTAAATTGTTTCAAACAAACTGTACATGAGAATAGACTTCGATAGCCGCGTATTAGTCCCCGTGACAGTAATTTTTCTACGTCCCCATTTTTAGGACTTTCTACCTGCACCAAAAGACTTTCTCCATCTGATACATCATATCGAGATGTCGACGAATAAGTTGGTAGCGTCTCTTGAGATTCAATTTGATTTAATAAAATATCTTTCAGATATTTTTCTGATTCTTTTCCTTTGCTTTTAATTTCATAAGCTGTTTGAAGTTTTTCAAGACATACTTGACAGATGCTTTTAGGAAGAATATCGCCTCCTACAATGTTACAGTCAATGTCAAGACAGAATTTAATCACTTGAGGAATGCTTTTTAATGTGAAATGAACTCTAAAACAACAAAATATATTAATTACTGCCCATTAGGAAATCTTTAGAAACTTACCTTGAATCAAATGGAATTAAAATGCCAGGTGATTCCAAACAAATACGACATAAATCGGATAACTGAAATATATAAAAAGATTGATTAGTTCTTTATAATTTATGCTTTAAAATGAATTAAACAAGTACCTCTTGAACTCCTTCCATTTTTTCGTCTCTACACAAAATTCTTTAGAAAGACGCACGAATTCTTAAAATGAAGCAAAAAAGTTCCTGACCCGCGTGTTTGTAAACAGCAGCTCTTAAAACAAAGTTTTCCTCTGATGGCAACAAAATAAATACCTACCTATTTCGCTTCATAATACAATATGTTGCTCTAATGTCGTGATTTTTTCTATCACTTTTAAAAAGTCACCTAGCGTTCCATTGGATATTCTTTTATTATGTTAAATTTGAATGCTTTAAAGTTTTCAGAGAATTAATCTTTATTAACCAAGAACAAAACTTAATTTAAAGAACTTAATTAAAAGAGAGAAGTAAAGAAATGTCTTTCGGTACAGTAAAGGGCTTGATTTTGTTTCAATCAAGTAATTTTTTTGTAGATAGCAGTTTGATGATAGTGAAGAGGAAAGAAACTTCTCATTTTTAAATTAACTTATTTCAGAACTTATGAGATATTAAATTTTATATTTATAATAACGAAAATTCAATTAGATAATTCTGAATGTATGATTTTTCTACATTTTCAATCGTTTAGATTGTTTACGAGGTTCATCTTCAAAGTCTTCATCATCCTCAAAAATTGGTTCATCATCTGGTTTAGTATCTTGTGAGGTTTTGGTGGATTCTGAAGTTTCACCTGAACGGGTCTTGTTTTCTTTAGTGCTTGCATGTTTGTTACTTGTATCTTTTTTAGAACTTTTATCCTTTGATTTGTCAACCAAAATATCTTCAATTATAACATGTTTGGATTTGCGCTTACTCGCATGTTTCTGTTCAGGTGATTGCTCAGGAGTTGTAATAAGCTTACGCACATAGGCTCCAGTTTCGACTTGACTGTCTTCAGCAATTATGACATTCTTTTCTAGAACACGCCGACGACGTACAACTGGAGGCTTTGTAGGATCACGAGGCTTGCGTGGCTTCTTCTCTTTTTTTATTTGTTTCAATACCAACTTATCTGGTAAGCTGCTTATGTTATCAATATCTAAGTCCAATGCTATTAAAGCAGCCTCCCTTGCAGCTCTCTCATCAGCTTTCTTACTATCCTCACACTCTCGTACGTAATTGCGTAAGAAATTGCGATTTTCCTCACAACGAAACTTAAATTCATAAGCTGACTGCAACTTCTCAAGGCATTCCTGACATAAAGACTATTAAAAAGAGATAAATAACATAGATACATCATTTTGGGTACAATTTATAATCTCTTTAATTTGACAAACCTTCGGAAGATTTAATTCTTCTTCTGGATCTTCTTTAGTATCAGTTTCGTCGTCTTCACTTTTGATGTTTTCTTCTGTTGAATCTTCGGGAATAATTTTAATATCCATGGAAAGATAATTAAGCGCATCTGTTATTGTTACTGATGCTCCTGATTCCATAACTAGAATGCAAAAGTCAGAATCTAGTCTGTAAAGCATTTCAGAAGAATCCAAGCACAAGCGACACAATTCATTCATCTAAAATAATAGAAAACACCTTTTATTATAAACAAACTCAATAAGTTAAACATTTAATTAGATGTTTACATTAGAAACTGCCATTATAATCAAGAAATGTGAACTATTTTTCAATTTTTATTGTTGGAATATTAAATATCCTAATAATATTTATCAGGCTTTAGAAATTTTTAAAATTTTCAATGCAAATGATGCTAAAACGCGGGGCTTTTTGAATTTTCCGTTAATTTTTATACTTGAGATATTTTGTCGGTTTTTTAATGTTGTGTTAAACATTCTTGATTTTATGAATGGGAAATGTCTAACACTGATTCAATCGATTTAGAAATAAATCTTAAGATTAAATTTGATTATATAGATAATGCCTTCTATCGTTATCAATTTTTTGAAAAGTTCAATTTATATTTCAATTGTATAATAAAGTGATGTTTACACACAGTTTGAAAAATGTTTGAACCTTTTACATTTTTACATTTTTACAGAAAATCTAAACTGCACATTTGATGGCGCATACATATCGTTATTCATAAATTTGATCCCACACAACATCATTAACATTTTTTCCTGCCTTTCACACGCAACCGACAATAAAAATGTCTGGTAAAAATAAAAATTTCTGGGATGACTTTCATTTCATATCTAATAAAAACTCAAATGATATTTTTTAATTTTAAACACCAACTCCAATACAGGCTTTTTTTTAGTATTTTGTCGTTTTATCATTATTATAAGTATTTTAGATGTCCAAACATGGAAAAACTTGTGAACTAAAATACAAATCTAAACATCACTCGACATCAGGAATCGTCCAGTAAGCAGTCACATTATTTATTTACATTAAACATCAGTTGTTAAAAAGTCATATTAATAACATGTTTATGCAAAAATCAATACATAATAAGAAAGTTTATTTCTATTCATTCGAAGCTGCGGATCAATCTTATATCCAGATAATTTCTGATTTCTTTTCAACGATATAGAATTTTAAGGTCTATAATTTGATACAAGCATCATGTATGTAATTCAATAAAATCATTAAGTTAACTGCGCCTTGGGTGTTATTATTCCTTAAAGCATATGATGATTGATATAATTCAATATTGATATGTATCCATTCATATGGATCAATCATCGCTTTGCAATGTTTCCCGTTTCCTTATGTCTTTATGTCTTTACGTTAAGTGCATCTTTGAATAGGTTCAAAAAGAACATTTAGGGACTTTATAGTTTCACGCATCTTTAAATCCATGAGCAGCTTATAAAATCTAGAAAAAAACAACGAAGAAACTTTAAAGTAGATAGGCTGGAGAAAACATTTCAGTGGCCCTGAAACATTGAGTAAAATTGTAGTATGAATAGAAGAAAAATGAGTGATTGAAATATTGCTCGGAAAAGTAAAATTCCATCACAGTATCTCATTCGACAGAATATCTCTCCTCAATTTTCTCTTGTTTTTCTAAATTTTCCTTCTCTCACAATGTTTTTCATGAAAGTATTATTAAACATTACCATAAGTGTAAAGTATGAAAATTTATGTCATAGCACGGTATAGAATAATTTCAAGAAATTATTATAACCACCTGGAAAATCGAAAATTTAAAAGAAAACATTGAAGCAACTTCATCTGGCAATCCAATGCTGAAAACGATGACGTAAAACATTTAAATGTGAGAGCGAACGACGTGAGAGTTTTACACTCGCAAACCAACAAAACCGAAAAACGTTTTGCTTAAATCCAAACTCGAATGATGTTTCATTCGGCTTCGATGGGAAACATTTTCTTCTCTCGATATCAATTCATTCTAAGGATGCATAAAGAAAGGATACTGTGCTTAAATCGCTGCTGGAATTAAAAAAATATTTTAATAGAAAGACAAAAAAAAAGAACTTTTAATGCGATGATAAGGGAAAGTGAAAAAGTTACAGAAATAAGTAGTGAAAAATGAAACTATCAGTAATTGTGTAAAAAAGAGTGATGAAAATAAACGATCCAACTTGATATGATATTGTAGAACGTAATATGAAATCAAAATAACAACTATCATATCAGCTACCGTGGCTGATAATATTTTTTTATTATTTCTTTGTTGTTCACTGTTAGTTTGTAATTTTTTTCTCTGCATTCGCGATTCTGTGCTCGGCTGCTGACGATCGTACGGAGGGGATTTCAACACATTATTAGTCACGGAAAGAATAACTTCTATAGAGGAGTTAAATTATTTTTTTTTCGCTTTGTTTCTGTTCATAAAATACCAGTGTGAATCAAAGTTTAGCGAGAAGAGGAGATTGTGAAAAAAATGAATCAAGGCAACCGCGTTATGATATATAAAATGCCATATACATATAATATATACAAATACATTATTTATAAAAAAAATATATACTGTGAACTCAGAAGCGGAGAAATTTTCACGCAATGAATTTATGTATGAAAAATTTCACTTCGCTTGGATTTCGAAGAAAAGTTCATGAAATTTTCATCTTTTACAGCATCTGTGGAGGAAATTTTTTAATAAAAGTCAGACATAATAATTTTTCAATATTTCACACAAAGGGAGAAGTTTACCTTTTTGTTCATACATGTATGGTTGATAAACTCACAACAGATTTATTTACGTTTTCTTTTGGTGAAGAAAGAACAAAAAGAGAGAAATAGTCCAAGGAAAAAGCGAAAGTGCCTGTAAAGGGAAGCTTCTGTGTTTTTATGTGTGTGTAGTTCGTACGTTGCTAGATTTTTTTGTGATATCGATTTTCTGCTGCTTTTTTATGGATGGTTTATATATGGAGAAAAAAGACGGAATGAAAGCAGCTTTTGGAAAAGAGAAATGTTTTTCAAGGGAATTTGGTTTTCGTTTTCATTTCTTTTTTGTAAATTATCCTGTTGTTGACTTTTCAAAAGAAAAATGTTTTTCTTTAGCTGCTCATGTTTGATTTCTCTCGATCTCTAAATTAATTATTTCTATTACGAAATGATGTAGATATGTACTTACATTATTTAGAAGAAATCAATTTAATGTAAATGTCATTTGAAATTAAAAGTTATAGATATTTACATATTTGAATTTTTTTGTGGCCAGCTTTTTATATTCAGCAGTCTATTAAATATTTTTTATGTGTTTCGCTCAGCATTTTCCTTTGAATATTTTCGTCACAAAACGACTTTATCCTACAAATAAACGTAAATTTTAGAAATGACTTCCATTTTTTAAAAATATTTTCCAATGATCTTTTATGATCGCCAAGAGACGGAGAGGTAAAAATAACTTAAATTTATGAGTGATTAAAAATAGTATGAATTTAGTGAAAAATAAAATAAAATCAAAATTTGTCAACTTCAATTGATAGAAATATGAATAATCATTCTTGAAATAGTTTATAACTGAAAACTTTTAGGAAAAGTTGTTTTATTAATTTCTCTTGAAATTAAGATTCATTAAAAACCTACAAATGATGAAATGAAAATTCTCATAATTCTCTTAAATTATAAACATTGATTCAGCATGCACATGAAGCTCATGGTCATGGCGATTGAAATATTTAAAGCAGTAACACAAAAATTATTTTGAGCTCGCTCATGTGTTTCCAGAGACAATTTTAGATTGACACTTTCATTCAAATAATTTTAAAGAAACAAAAATTAAAAATAATTAAAAATACAATTCCGTAAAAATGAAAAAATCTTAATTTGAAAGATGTTTGCTTTAACAAGAAATGAAGTCTTATTTTTGATTTCCTTGATACTAAGAGAAAGAATGCTGAAGTAAAAAAGAAATCGAAGAAATGTGTTTATTTCTTCCTTCCTAATTACGGATCAATAGAGCTTCATTCCTTTGAACGATTTCTTTTTTCAATTAGATGGTCACAAAGCGTCAATTATTGTACAGATAAATATCACCTTTAGTCATTTGAATTAATGCCATTAGATAATTGATTTCTTTAAGTAAGTCGAATGTATCAGTCAGTAGAAAAATAAAAGGAAACGAACCAAAATTTTAATTGTTCCTACCATCGTGGTAATGGTGACAGAGAATTTAGTAGGAGGAAGAATTCACCAACACTTACCATTGTCCTTATTTAGAACTTGGGGTTGGTTTTTGAAAGGAGAAGGGAAATGATAAAATTGCGTGCTGTATAAGATGAGAAAGTCGTGATGGATGCAAATGAAAGAAAATTAAATTTGAAATGCTTCCCTTCTGTGTACTTTTTCCTTCATTTCCTAATGCTTTAAAAGCTTTTTTTGCCTTCTTGTGTATTCTTTCCGTTCTTATTTCTTAATTTTTAGTCGTCTTAAAAATATTTACAGACTTTTAAAACTTTTCTGTTTCATATCGCGAAAGTTGTTTTAAGCAACGAAATCCGTAATTTTACACTTGAAATAAGATACAAAGTTTTCGGAAAATCTTCTTGAAAGTTATCTAATCATTAGAAATATACGATTAAAGCGTATCTTTGTTATAAATTTTCAATGCGCCGGCGTTCTGACCTGTTGCATGAAAGAAAGATGAAAAGCTTTGTGCGAACTGCAGGGAAAAGCTTTTAACGTTTTAACACAAGAAGGAACGTAAAACAGAAAGGATTTTAAAAATAGGAACGGAGAAGCAACCCATCAAAAAAATGTTTGAATATCTTATTGAATATTCTTTCTTGATTCAACGGTTATTAGAGGCTATTATGAGTAAAAAAGGGACTTTTTATCGTCCTAATTGATAAATTGTTGCTACGGAAATATTTTGAAATCTTCTTCGACGATCTCGGCTTAAAAAGTAAGACACAGAACTCGAAATGTCTTTATTATTTAATTCTATGGTTTTGATTCTTTTTCAATTTTCTACTCTGTTGATTTATCAACTTCATGAAATATCTCAACTTCAGATCTGACTGAATATTTCATGAAATTGTATCTTAGATAATAATTTTTTTATTTTTCAATAAGTATAACTCGTAATATCAAATTTTAATATGTCTGTTTACATTAGACTTCATATAAGCATAAACTTGTGGTTAGTGAATAACAAAAATATCTTAAAAAGAGTGTTGATCTTTGTGGCGACTGAAAAAGCTTTTCCGAAATATCTCGGTCAGAAGTAAATAAGAAAACAAAAAGTTTTCACAAGAAATCAAGATAAACTTCCGAAAAGAAACTTTTAATCCAAGAGTGAAAAATAACCAAATAAATTGAGAATGAAAAAAATAATTCATTGAACTTAATGAACTTCATTGAGTTCATTAATGTTTGAAAAGTTTATAGAACTAACATCAAGTCAAATAAATGCGTTTATTACAGCACCGCGACCATTCAATTATAATCCCTGGAGTGAGTTTAAAAGCAATGCTACTAAATTCCATTAATGGAGTTTATCCAAAGTTTTGTAACAGAAAAAAATGAAACAACAAAAATCACTTGTTAAGCTGTTGGAATATTGAATGTGCTTAAAAAGCCACTTTAAAGTGGATTAAGATCCCATCCACAAAAAATAATTGATTTTTATTGACTTATGGTAGATTTTCGCTTTTATTAAAAATAAATATTCCCAAAACACTCTCATCTTGATTGTATTGATCTATAGCACCAGCAAAATCAGCGAATATAAAAAATCGTGGAAGGGCAGAAAAATATTTTCCTCAACGCTGTTTCGTTGTTGTTTGCCGTGCCGCGGGGGCTCATCATCAGCCCCCGCTGAAAACAGTAGCAAGATCGAAAGAAAGCTTTCAGAGAAAGGAGACTTAACAACTTCAACAAGCGTGCCGATACAAACGCCAACGTATAGTACGTTAACAGCACTTTCGTCGCCACATATTGACACGGCTGTAACTACAACTCTTCTTGCCATAACAACAGCTTCTGTTATAACGTCGGCTTCCACGTCTCCAACTTTAACAACACCACTACTTAGTGATCACACTTCAAGTCCTGAAGCATCTTTAAATGCACTAACTAACGCATTAAACTCTATATCTACTGCCACTTTGTCTTCTTCTTCTGCTCCCTCCTCTTATACTTCATCTTTTAACATCTCAAACCAATCAACTGGTAATTTGTCTAGCTCACAACAACAGCAACAAATATCAACAACATCCTCAAATATCACTCGATTCAATCAGAGTCATATTTTAACACTTCCCCATATCGATGAAGATGATGAAGATGAGAATAGTCTTGTTTCTTTACCGCTGCACGTCTCAGCAACACACTCAGTTAGACATAAAGTACAAAATGACAATCTTATAAATTTTAATACTACGAACAATACTAGTTCAACTTGTAGTGTTAAAGATAATAATAATAATAAAAATGATAATAATAATGAATCATCAACGGAGGTGCCGCTAGTAATAAATTCGCCAAAGCCGAAAACTTCAAGAATCAAATTTAATCCTCAAAATCTTCAACAACAATTAGTGGCACTTTCATTAAGTGCATCAAGTGATTCAGATTCGTCGGCGTCGACAGTTCATCAACAACAAAATATTAGCAGTAGCAGTGGAGATAACGTTTCACCAAACAAAATGCAAGCCGAAAGTGGATCCATTGCGGAACTTCAAAAGTATCACAATAAATATTTGAAAAATCGACGACATACGCTTGCCAACACAGCTGCGATTACACTTCGGTAAGTTGAAATATTTGATACAATAATATAATCATTCTTATATGTTACAAAAAGAAATGGAAAAAGAATCGTCTCAGATTACAAAACATTTCTTGATCTTATTCTCAGTGTGAATGTTGTTTATTTTCTTGTGTGATTTTAAACACTTGACAGATAGAAACTACTCACTTCTTATTGTGGGTTGTAAATCATTTAAAAGCATTATTGAAACATTTCTTTGGGATTAGTTTTATCGTTATTGACATACTTTAATATGTCTTTAGGAAAATAGTTTTTATGATCATTCAGACATTGTTGTATCAATTTATTATTTCAGTCATTTAAAATACAAAATTGCGACTCTATCGCGTAAATAAACGTTTAAAACTATTTATCTCAATTTATTTATTTTCCTCGTAAAAGATTTTATGTTTTCATCACTTGAATTCATTCATTCATTGCACTTTTACCTAAATTCCTTTTTTCTCATGCTCCAGTTATTTTCTAGGGTGTACCAAACCTTTTTCTATTTTATTAGTGTTTCCTCCATGAACACACTAAAAGAAAAAAACAATCAATCGGAAATCGGCGTTGAAATGAAAAACATCCTCGTCACATGATCAACATTCGGAAATACAATTTTATCATTTTCATCGTGACGTTAGTGTTTATTTTGCTCCCTCAATCACTTGCTGAATCTCGTAAACCCCAACGAATAGAGAAAATGTTTCATTTCTTGATGTCTATTTAAAAAAGAAAAGCAAAAAAAATCTAATTTTGACTCTGCTCTACATAGACTCTCATCAAAATATTTGTTTTATTTATTTATTTCTTTTTTCTTCTTTCGCCTGTTTGCTTGCTCACCGATGTTTACAAGTGACTAGCGACGAAATTGTTTCACAGGAAAACTCTTCCTATTTTTCTTCTCTTTGCTACTTTTATTTTTTTTGAAAAGAAAATTCGTGTAATAAGATTTTTCTCAGATTTTCATTTCTATGGAGATCATAAGTAAACGATGTCTCAAGAAATTAAGTTAATTTATTGCGAAACATGTGCTGAATGGCGTTTGAATATTCGGAAAAGTAAGAGAGGAAATATTTATGATGCATGAATGATGATGATTCACAGGTTTTTCATCTTAATGTGATGTCAATAACGAATAAAGCCTAGAATGCTCTACTTAAAGGAAAAGAGTGTAAAACACAGAGAAGCAAATTAGGATTATCTGGTGCCGCCTTATGACATGAAGCATTTCAAAGCTGTTTACATATGCCGTGAGCAACATCGAAATATTTCTCTCAGTGAAGTGTAGCAGTAAAAGGCAAAATATAAAATAAAATAAAATATCTCGAAACGCAAGAGCAACTTCAACGAATGTAAATTCATAGTGTGAAAGATTTTTTTCTTTTTTCAATTGATATAAAAAATTATAATAAAGAATATTAAAAAAGTGATCGTAGTTAAAAGGCATAAAAGTACTGTCGTGACGTGTATTTGACTTTACTTTGTTCTCAGAGGTCGGGTTTGTGTGAAAGCGAAGGAAAATTAATATAAACCAAATGAAAATAGATACAATAAAGTGTTATCATGTGTGTAATGTTTGAGTTATCACAAAGTTTAAATATTTCTTTTTGATAAATACTACAAATATGAGAGTTTTGTAATGTGTGCGATTGATTTTAAGTGGACCTGAAGAATGATATAAGTGAGGTTTCCCTCATTCCTAGCCAATCATCCGAGAAAAAAAGTTATAGAAATTGTTGTTAGGAATTTATAATATTTTCTGCTTTAAAACTCGACAAAAAAACGCAATAAATTGTTTCTTTTAAGTTAGGAAATGAGAAAGAAGTCGATCTCATCGTATTTTTAATGATTCGCTTAAAATTGTGAGTGGGAAGCGAGCAAAGTTCTCTTAATAGAATTTTTTTTCATTTTTGACTCAACTCGATATGAGAAAATCTTTTTTATTATATTTTATTGTGCAGAAGGTTTACTAAATAAATTCAACGAGCAAACTTTTTTTGTTTTTTGGTTGTTGAACGACTCGCAAAGGATATGAAATAATAATTGCCCGTAGCATTTAAATAGATTTGCTTAAATGGCACATTTTACCTCTCACACATGTTGAATAACGTAACTAAAAGCTCTCTGAGCACTGAGATGGTATTTAAGTATTCATAAATATATTTATAATTAATGAAACATTTGAAACCGCGAAATTAATTAAGAACCAAAATAAATTTTGAGTGCCGCTTTTGCGTCGTGCCAGTTTCGTGCGTCTGTTGTGAGTTAAATAATGTAATAATTTATTATGATTTAAATTGATTATTTTTTTGCTTTCCTTTCTCCTTACATCAGAATATTTTCTTTTTTGATTTATTTGATGGTCGAAATATTAAAATTAAAAATAATTTCTATCGTTTCGGTTTCATGCGCAATGTTTCAAAGTTTAAAGTTTACATTTTTGATGGTGCTCTTGTCAGCGTACATATTATCTGAATAATAAGTGAAATAAATCTACCCTCTAGTCGATCTTGAAAACAATAATTTATACTCTTAGTCAAGCAGTGAATGACAGTAAGCATTTGTGCTTCGCATTAGGGAAAGATATCTTCGTTGAATTGTTTTTGCTCTCTGTATCTATGTAAATTTAATTATAATCAGATATTTTCAAGTATTTCGATAATTTCCATCAAATGGTTTGAAAATTTAAGCACATTTTAGCGAAATAAATTCTACGGAATTGATTTTCATGACTGCTGAAGCGCAACATAGATTGCGCAAATATTTTCATTCTCACAACGTTTTAAAGCATTTTTCCTTACCAATGAAGTCAATTTTAAAGCAGAAAATGTAAAAAGCGAAAAATCTCTGTAAATTCCTTCCAACAATGTTAATATTGTGTAACATAAATTCGTTGGAATGAAACTAGAAATTGGGAAGAAGCTACACAAAAGTTAGAGAGTTTCATATTGTTGTCAGAGTTGAGGACAACGCTTGAAGGAATGTTCATCTAAATGGCAACATAGCATCTTCTCACGAACAAACAACAGGTGGCAATAAAATGTTGAACGAGGAAGACAACAAAGCATCGTCAGACAACAACGATTCCGGCGCATGTCCTATTGTAGCAAGTACAATGCTCGTGCAGCAACAACAAAAACATCAACAGCAGCAGCAAAGCAGCATTGCGTCATCAATGTCTTCGACAGTAGCTTTTTCGACTACAGAGAAAACGAAGAAAACTAAAACATTAAGTTTTTTACATAATGAAGATTTATTCACCGCTGGGAGTTTGGCAACGATATCGAGCGGAAACAGCACCAGTTTTCAAATTGGTGATGATGAAACGACACCAATGGCGTCTAACCTCTTCCGATCCATTTCGTTTCAAGAGCAACGTCGAAAATGTCACCAATCAAATTTACAAAGAGCTGAGTCAGGAAGAAATTATGCTGAAATAAATAAAGGCTTTCAGAAAATGGAGATCTTCAGTTCACGACAATCGCTACAAAAACATAGCGAGAAAATGAAACAACAAATGACCATGCAACAACAGCAACAAATGTTTTATGGTTCTTCGGAACTGTCTCTGTAAGTTTATAAATCTAAATTGCATGAATTATTTACAGAGATACCAGAAGCATTAAAATTAAAATTTGATTATAATTCTCAAGTACACTTCAAGGATGAATTTTCTTCTTAAGTTCACAATAAAAATTAGCGCAATTTATTATGACTACAAATGGCAGCAATTTCTGAGAAAATTTTTCATAACATAATTAGGTATCTAAAGAATTCAAATTGATTTATGTTTGTTTGGAATGAAAGTAACGTAGATTATAAAGCTTTCAGTTTAAAAAAGGTTGTTCTAGATACTTGGAAATGTATGTACATAAACGAAATAGAATCGGAATCCTAAGGGATTATTCTAGAGATTATTAATGGTTCATATACGTAACTTAGACTGCTGCTGTTGTGAGAATGCGACTCAGTAGAGATTTTCTTTATATTATTAAAGATAATGCAACCAATATTGTTTTCAAATCATTTCACTGAGATGACTTATAAAATGAGAATTATCTTCTCTAATATTATCTCGACAACATTATGTTATCAGATCTTTTGAATTTGCACAAAAAAATTGAGCTATATCAAAATTTTACAGTCAGTATTTATGTAAACAAATGTAAACAAGCTTGAAGCGAAAAAAGAATCATTTTTTATGTTGCTTCATGTTTTGTTTTTATTACATAACATTCTATCCACGCGTTAGGATTCAGATCCGCATGTCAAGTTGTTCTTTAACAATAACAAGTCATCAACATTTTTTTTTACATTTTTTGATTTCATTCCCATGTTATCGTTGAAAAGAAAAACAAAATTAAATATTCTTGTCTGAAAAGATATTAAATGAATGTTTGTTTTTGTTAAGCGAATCCTTATGTTTTTAATAAACAAAATACCTTAATAACAGGTAGTGGCAATATTGCAAATTAAAGCTGACAAACTGTTACAAAATGCCAGAATAAAGAAGTTCATTAACATTTTTACTAAAATCCGGTAATCGACTCACAAATTTACTTTTCTTCTGATTCTCAATCAATCAACAACAACCTACAAGGATGAACAAAATTGTGTTGATAAAATCATGTTATTTTTAATATAAAATCAATATAAAATCTGTTGAATCTGGATGGTTTAACAACAACACAAACAACATACTCAGTCTAGAGGAAACATTTTTAGGTTGAAAAAGCTTAGATGGATGGAAAGGGAACAAAAGTTTTTCATGGTTTGAGTTATGTTTGAGTGTGTAATAATAGATAGGAGATAATCTAGTATCAATTTTACATAGGTAATTTATAACATAAGAATATTTATGTTGCGAAACTTTTAGCATAAGAAGATGATAATAGATTTGTGTTTACTTGAAAAACATAAATTTGAACTCCCAAAAGCTTCATTAAGAGTCTCAATTATTTTAACATAAAGGGGTAAAAAACAAAACATTTTGAAAGAAAATCTCATGAAAGCAAAGATACGTCATGTTATGTTCAATACTCATGATTGTTATGATGAAATGTAATATGAGTAAAAACATATCAAAGCGTAGTTCGTTGTGTCTTGGAAATGGGATATGCGAAGAAACAAAGCTTTGAAATTTTATAAACATTTTTGTAAAGCATTCTTGTGTAGGTTGATTCAAAAGCTTGTAAATTGTCATTTGAGGTTTCATGAAATTTGCTTTTTGCAACCATCAATCTACAACTTTTTAATTTTTGGATGAAATTTGGTGTGCAATTAATTCGTTTCAAAACCGAACTTTCCATTCCTGTTACTGCTCATGCGTGTTTGAAAGCTTTCTCATAGTTTGCCTTTGCTTCCATATAAAACATGAAAAAAAGGGAGACCAGGACCGAGTAAAACCAGACGAATCGTCACGAAACAAAATTGATTTGTATTTTAGAGATATTTCCATTGAAAGCTTCCATGTTTCCTTAAATTTCTTTCCATAGTTACGAAGGTTAAGAATGGATAGATAGTTCCAAAGAAAAGGAAATAAAAGTGAAATACGAAAGTGTTGGTGTGATTTTACTGGAAATTGAAACCGCGTATAAAATTCGTTTTATATTTTCTGTAGAAATGTGTCGGTTATCAATTGTGTAACCTTTTCGCTAGAGGTATAACTCAAAAATCTCAAAGCTTTTTGGAATCTATTCGTGAAAGAGTGAAAATCCTGTCGCCAAAATTCATAGTCATTCGCGCGTTGAAACAAATCAAATATTTTTGTTTCAAAGTTTTGATGAGCGGAAAAAATTGAAATAACGCAAAAGTATTCAATGGAAGAATAAACAAAATTTGTGTTGAGAAAAAGCTTTCCTTCCAGACAATTTTTCGTTTTTAAACCTCATATCCTCATATTGGTTGCACATTTGTTTGAATGACTCAAAATTGAATTTATGTGAGATAAAAAGTAGAAGTGGACAACAAAGAGAAATTAAGGACATTTAAAGGGAAAGTGAAAAAAGAAAGAAACTACAAAAAAATTCAAGAATTCCGTTCTGACGTCATTTGGCGGTAGAAAAAAATCTACGCAAAAAAAATAAAGAAAAAAACAATAAGAAATTGATGAATCGATTTTTACGGTGCGAACTCCTTAAAGAGTTTTTTTCGTAGAAAATTTCTTTTATATTTCTATTAGAATTGATTTTTTTCATCATAAATCTAAATATTTTAAGGAAAACTTTTAATATAAATTGTGAAGTTTTTATCTCTGAATTTTGTTTCTCAAAATAAATAAATAAAAATAGTTAAAAAGCACATGAATATTTTTATTTGAAGTTTCTTAATATAGTGAGATGTGCAGTAGTCGCTTTCTTATTTAAATTTTATAAAATATTCTTCGTTTTATTTAAATATTAAACAGTTTAATTGTCAGCTTATTTGATTTCGTTTCGTTTATATTCATTTTAAAAGAAAAAGAAAAGTTGAAGTAAAACATTTTTAACATAAAAAAGCATAAATATCTCATTCTCATTTCTTCCAATCTTAAACAGATTAAGGTTTAAATTCTCATCTTGTAGCTTATAGCTTAAAGAAATAATAAAAGGAAAACTGTAAGACTTGTGATGAAACTTGCAATAAACATTGTTATCCGTGATTTGTTAAAAGCTCTGAGATAATCTGATACTAAAGATAGAAGAAAAAAAAGTTGAATCGAATATTAGGAAATTGATTACAAAACATACAAACGCTAAATTTGGGTGTTATAAGAGAAGTAACATTTCCAAGCAGTGTTAATAGTCGTGCTGTAATGTTACTTTCTATAATTGTTCTATATTCGTTCATTGTGCGATGTTTTACGCGAGAAAACAAATTAGCTGCGATTGAAAAGTCTTCCGATTTTTTATCTGGCTCCATGACTTCAAATTCAATTACGTCAAGTTCCACGTCCTCGAGCTCAACAACTTCCATAGTATATAATAATCTAAGCAAGAACATACTCAAAGACACTGCATTAAATAATCGAGAAAAAGTTAAAACAGTTTCAAGTTTTAGTGATAAGGGTGACGACAAAGATTATCTTAATGACAGTGGAAAAGAGCCATACTCGGACGGTGAAGAAGCTGATGATAGTCAGTTTAACGAAGAAGAGTTCTACAACATAATTCAAGAAAAGGGGTTTGCTTTTCAGTCAAAACGTAATAGCAGCACATCAACTGTGTCAAGTGGATCAATTTATGATGATACATATAGAACAAAGCGCAGTAGTCTTCGCTCTCAATCATCAACTTGTTCCGACATAATTGAAGGCCCAACAGATACAATGACAAGTCGCAGAAGCTCGGAAGATAAAGCAAATAAAAAATTAAATTACAAGACACGTCGTCACGGCTTCACAATGTTAAGCAAGCGACGGAGAACTACTGGAAGGTATTTTTAAACTAAGCAAACATCCACAACAACCCTGCTATCTCCGTAATGAAAATAATTTCTTATTCTATCAATTTCATGCTAGAAATTCAATTAAATTTGAACAGGAATAAGATTAGGATAGCAATGCAAAATTTTTACAATCCCAATATTTATTTAATTTTTCTATAAATAGGTTAACAATTTAATTGCACTTCAATAATCTGTACATACATAAATTATTTTCTAGTGCCAATCAATTTTTTTTCTTAATAGTTTTTCGATAACACAATTATTCAAGTATCATTGTCCTTGTTGTATTTGAAAGAAATTTTACACAGCATAAAATTCAATGAACCTTTTTTTATCCTTTGTCAAGCCTCAGAACAATTCCGCTCATTATTAAATATTTATGTAATTGAATTATTTGAGAACGGCGAGCATCGTACAATTAAATATAGACCGGAAGTTTTCTTAACTCTAATAGCTGCAATGAAGCTTTTTCTCTTGCAAACAAATTCAATATTTTTAAGTGATATTTATCATAGTCTGTTGTAGGTTTTGTTTAATTGAAATATCGCTGCTGTTAATGATATACGCTTCGACTCAAAATAAACACAAAATTTCCGTAAAGATGATAATTGCTGCTATCCGTCGTTGTGAAAATTGATTTTTTCCTCTTTCTCTTTTTTGATATCTATGGAATCAATCAACAATAATTAATCTTGTTAATTCAATCATGGTGATCACTTATAAGGAAGGATTTTATTGAATTTATTATTATGATTGATAAGGAAATGCTTGGGTATTATGAAAGATTGTTATGATGAGCTGCGTTGCACTCTATAATAATTTTATAAATTATCACTGAAATCAACTTTTTCAGAGTATCAAAACTATTTTATTCATTTTATCTAATTTATAATATTTCCCAATTATGAATTATGATGTTAATTTCTCACTTTTTTATCATTTATCGGTGTTTCATTTATCCGTAGGTTTGAAGATTTTTTTGATCTAAATTGTATCACATTTTGAATGCTGAATTGTTGAACACTTTTTATCTTTAGATATTGAAAGAATTTCTTTTTATATTTTTCAATATTTCTTACCAACTTTTTAGATCTCACTTTTCTTCTTTTGCTGATAGTTGATCCATATTACTTTGAACTTTAATGCCTTTGATTAATTTAAATATATTTTACCTTGATTGTTTTATTCTTCTTTCAACTTTTTTATATTGAAAACAAAGTTAAGCAAGTTCTAAAGAGTATTTCTTTGAGTTAAACTCTATGACAACAACATGAATATTGAAAACTTATTTAAAACAATTTTATTTACTTTTTACAGCTTTGATGTTGAGAATGGACAAGGTTCACGTTCACCTCTCGAAAGTTCGTCACCAGCTGCTGGACTTGTCCTTCAGAATATGCCGCAGCGACGAGAATCATTTCTTTATCGCTCAGATTCTGATTTTGAAATGTCACCAAAATCTATGTCAAGAAATTCAAGCATAGCAAGTGAAAGGTATTTCAAAGGAAAAAAATCTCTTCAAAGTTTCCCTTCGTTTTCCTAATTATTTTTCCTTTTTTTTCGTTAATAAAGAATCAAAGAGGTAGCTGAAACATCAACAGCGCCAGTGGCTACGGTAGCGAGCGAACGAGGAAGTCATGTAGAAGATCTGATTGTTACTCCATTCGCACAAATTTTAGCGAGCTTACGCTCTGTTAGGAACAATTTATACAATCTCACAAACGTTCAGTCGTCAAAGTAAGTATCATAGATTGTTGAACTTTAAGTTGAGGGAGAATTTATTACGTAGTTTAAGTTGTTTTTCTCAAATATTCCGGAGACCTTTAAATATTTCCATAACGATAATATTATGCTATTTCTATGAAGACGTTTTTGTGTCATGAAATGATGAATGTTCTTTTCAATAAAATTATCTATTCAAGGCCCCGTCGATCCCAACCATCAACATCGCAACAGCGTGAAGCAAATCGAAATGTCGTACATGGTGACGATGGCTACGTTCGACTTGCTATGGATACAATTGATGAACTTGATTGGTGCTTAGATCAATTGGAAACTGTGCAGACACATCGCAGTGTATCAGATATGGCTTCCTTAAAAGTAAGATTCCTTGAAATTATTATCTATTATGAAAACCTTTAAGGCTGTAAATGGAATTTTGATTCTGATGCTACCAACTTTTATGCATTTTTTATCTCTCGCCCATCATCACCCCCCACAATTCTCAATTTAGTTCAAGCGAATGTTGAACAAAGAATTATCACATTTGAGCGAATCAAGTAAATCGGGTAATCAGATATCGGAATACATTTGCTCCACATTTTTGGGTAAGTTTTTTTCATTTGTCAAAAGCGAATTATATGACGTTCAATTAATTATCTTTCTAATGACTATTAGATAAACAACAAGAAGTAGATGTACAGACGTTTGAAAATCAATCACCGGGCTCAGCAGCGACAACTTCGAACCCTCAAAGAACGCGCTCGCCTCGTACAATGTCACAAATATCTGGATTCAAACGACCATTAATGCATACGAACTCATTTACCAGTGACCGGTTACCACCTTTCGGTGTTGAAACACCACATGAAGCAACATTAGGCGCAATGCTCAACGAAATCAATACGTGGGGCATTGATATCTTTAAAATTGGAACAAGCAGCCTCAATCGACCATTAACGGCAGTTGCTTTCCAAATATTTCAGGTATGTAGCTAAAGTTTTTCCACTTTCTTTTATTCTTCACCTGAGACTCATCCCATGATGTTTGCTGCAAAAAAAGTGACAACGAATGGCAAGATAGTAAAAGTTTTAAGAGCACTTAAAAGTTCAGTTTCGATGGTGACGATATCTTAAGTTAAATGGCAGCATAATGGCAACATATTTTCCTTTCATTACTGTCTAAGGGTGTTTATAGTTCGAGACTCATTTAGATGTTTCAAAATGAGATTTTTATTCTCAATAAACGTCATCCAATGTATTAAGGTGCTCAACATGCCGTCAAAGGCTATTAAGATAAAGCTTTTAAAATGTGTGAAAACAAGTGAAGACATCATCAAAAAATCAGATAGATAAACGACGTGAAACATTTTGTTGTGATTAATAATGAATTTATAAGGTTATCAAATTTAGTTTCAATAAGATTTTTTTAGATCCAAATTTCATCATGATGACAGATAATCTTAACATTTTTAATGTTTCCTTTTTTGATTTCAGGAGCGTGAAATTCTCAATACATTAATGGTGTCGGCCAAAGTATTCTTAGCTTTTATGAGCACATTAGAGGATCACTACGTTAAGGACAATCCATTTCATAATTCACTTCACGCAGCAGATGTAACACAAAGCACCAACGTACTCCTTAATACGCCTGCATTAGAAAACGTCTTCACGCCGCTTGAAATTTGTGCGGCTTTATTTGCCGCTTGCGTTCACGATGTTGATCATCCGGGCTTGACAAACCAATTTCTTATCAATTCAAGTAAAATTTATTAAGGTCTTTCGAATGTATTCTTTCTAATGTTTAATTCATTTCTCTTTTCCCTTCTCTGATTAGGTTCCGAACTCGCAATAATGTATAATGATGAATCTGTTTTAGAAAATCACCATCTTGCTGTCGCTTTTAAATTATTACAAAATGAAGAGTGCGATATATTTCAGAATCTACAAAAGTAAGTGTTGCCATTGGAGCTTTTATTTATGAGATATTATCTTAGGTGTCCAATAATCGATTAAACAATATTTGTTTCTTTCTCATTTTTTTGAACTTGAATTGAAGGAAGCAACGTCAGACGTTACGTAAAATGGTAATTGATATGGTGTTATCGACAGATATGTCAAAGCATATGACACTATTAGCTGACTTAAAGACTATGGTTGAGACAAAGAAAGTAGCTGGTAATTAAATATTTTTCTTAACTTGTCAATAATATTCTTGCTAATTAATAATTGTCGTTCAAAGGATCCGGAGTTCTTCTTCTTGACAACTACACGGATCGCATTCAAGTGCTGGAAAACTTGGTGCATTGTGCTGATTTAAGTAATCCAACAAAGCCTTTGCCATTATATCGACGTTGGGTGTCACTTCTGATGGAAGAGTTCTTTTTGCAGGGCGATAAAGAACGTGCAGCTGGCATGGATATTAGTCCAATGTGCGACCGGCAGAATGCAACGGTGGAAAAGTCTCAAGTTGGATTTATTGATTATATTGTTCATCCATTGTGGGAAACCTGGGCCGACTTGGTTCATCCTGACGCTCAAGATATCCTTGATATGCTTGAAGAAAATCGTGATTACTATCAAAGTCTGATACCACCATCTCCAAGTGATACTGATGACGAGAAAATACGATTTCAAGTTAGATTTTCCATCAACAAAAAGATGAATAAGCGTTAAATTTTTTTATTTTTAGGTAACGTTAGAAGAAGAAAGTAACTCCGATACAGAAGATCTTAAATCATCCACAAAACCAGAAGATATTACGGAAGAAGAAGCTGACGAATAATTTATTTTCATAATTTTATTATTTGAACAGAAATTTCTTAAATCTTATTGTAGATTATGTTCACTTAAATCAATTAAACAACACAAAAAAGAACATTTAAATATTTATTTTCACGCATTTAAACTTAAAATGAATTTCATTCATTGCGAAGAAAGAAAACTACAATCAATCTAAAAATAAGAACAAAGAGTTTTAATTTTAACCATTTTTATTTATTTGTATTCTCATTCGAAGAACTTAATATCTTATAAATATCTCTGAGATTAAAAGAGAAAGGTCAATGGATAATCAATAATAACACTAGAATATAAAAACAAAAGTATGTATCATTCTGAAGACTTTATAGAAAATTAATTCATTATCTTAACAAGACATTTTCGTATAAAAAGAAAAACTGTTAAAGTGTTGGGTGGAAAAACTTTTATTCGGAGTGCAGGAAAAATTTCCAGATTTTGAAAACATAGCGTAAAAACTTATCAAAAATGTTACAAAAAAAGCCCACGAGTCTTGCCATTGACATTTAAAGTTGCATAAATAAATGAAATTCTACAACAACTTTCTCTAATGCGTCATAAGAGCAGGCCTCTCATTATGGTTGAAGAAGAATTTGATCTTGTATTAAAAGGGAAAGAAAATGATGAAAATGTTAATGGAGAGGAAATTTATGAAAACGTTGTATAAATTAATCTTTTATCAAAGAGATGAAGGATTGGCGATTACATTTACTTAATAAATAACTAGAAATAATACTTTAAACACAAAAAATCGGTGCATTATTCATAGTTGTATAAATAAGAATATTAAAATCGTTTATCGTGTGAATGTAGCTAGTCTATTTGAATCGAAAGGAAACAAACTAACAAAAATATTGAAGGGAAAATGTAACAAGAAAAGTTACAGGAAAAGTTCGAGATCAAGTTTTAAATTGAAATCTTATTAAAACATATGGAAAAGTAATAAAACTTACTTCAACATCATATTAATAGCGTCAAATTGATATGATTCGTTTTCATTCTAATTTGATTATAGAGCTTTAGGAAATTTAATCAAAAGATATTAGAAGAGATGCAAAGCGTTATGTGGAAGACAAATTATGATTTAAAATACTTTTTGAGAAAAGAAACAAAATTAGGTAAAATATCGCAAAATAACTAACACGCCTTTTAAGATCACAAGAAGAAATTAATCGTGACAGAAACCAAATTAAATTCTCTTCAAAATTGACGAGTTTAACCAAAAATAGAAATTTAATAATTTCAATAGCGCATTTTATAGAGCGTAGCAGAAAAAAACAATATTTCTAGGAATTTAGTGATATTATCAATAACTAATCAACAATTAGATTCATGTCAAGATTGTTTATCTCTGGCGACATCCATCGCCTTAAATGTTTCATCCTTTCAAACAAAAGATTTCGTTATGATATAAATTATTATGAAATCAACTTGAAGAGATTTTTATTCAATGTTTCACAAAGACTATAGACAGATCAGAACAAAAAGGTGCTTCGTCATTAGAAAATTATTTTTGATTTTCTATTCAACATGATTATAAAAAAAATGTCTAAAGCTTAGATACTTCTTTGTCATTTTGAGTTATTATAGACAGAAATAAATGCAAGCAAAATTGTCTAAATCCTTCTACTTACTTAGAAAGATGGATTTCCATAACTCAGCAGAAATCATATGCACAAGCAAATAAACGTTTAATGAACGCTTATTAAATTTAAAGTGTTGTAATATTTAGCTTTTTATTTCTATATTGTGTTTTAAGCACATTTATGAAACCTGTTTGAAAACTATCAATCGCAAAACCACATAAGAAATGCATCAGTTTTTGAGATCTTGATTGTTGAGACAACAATAAATACACAAAAAGAAGAATATGTTGGCATATAAAATATTTATAAGAAGAGCTTTCTACACTTTAAGAACTTACAGCATTTCAAATCTTTTAAAGAAATGTTTTGATTGAGTGATGCAAAGGGTAAAAGGTGTCAAGATCAGTAAACATCCGGAAAATCATTTGTGCCCTTCATAAGCAAACAAAATTAAAAATGAAATGAAAGAAAATTTATTCTTTCAACTAGCGGATGCAAAAGTTTTTAAACTGGCAAATTTTAATGAAAGAAATCTGAATTGGAACGACGTTTATGCGGGAAAAGCGATCAAAGGTGAAGCAAATAAAATATTGAACAACTATAAAGTTTACAAATTTGGTGACGCAGGTCGTCAAAATATAAATTTGTTATGATAATAAAACAAGAAAAAAATGTATTTAACCAAATGTTTTAAATTTTTCTAGCAATGCTATGAAATATAATTTTTCTCCGTTTTCATATGAAAGCTGTGTGTTATTTTTTAACTAAATAGAAAATCTTGTGAAAAATGAAAATTTAATAATTTTAATTAAAAATACAGGCACAATCCTTTTGTAATCAATTACATTTATAAAAAAACCTACCAATTATCTGTCTCATTTTAATATTGAAGCAATATGGATCAGGATCGAACATTTTCAAAGCAAAGCTTTTAATATTTTCTTTATGCTTAGAATTTTTTTTGAAATAATCAACACAATCATCACAAGAAACTCTTCTTTTGAGAAATTAGAAAACAAAACTCCACACAAATTTAACGTATTTAAAGCTCAAATATAAAAGTTTTCCAATTAGACATCATTGCTAAGAAATGTTCGATCCTGATTAATTAATTAATAGACCATGAGATTATTAATAAAACGGATGATATGTAAGTATCTTTGAAATTGCAAATCATTTATTTTCAGACAGAATTTTAATATAACCGATTTTTATTGCTGTTTTGAGAAAGATGAATATAACATGTGTTGTAGAATTTAAATACTTTACATAAAAGCATAAAACTATGTGTTTATTTTTCAATTTTTCATGAGTTTTTCGAAACTGAAATTTTATTATGGATAAATAAACGGAAGTATACATACATGTAGCATAAAAGAAAAACATGAGATAATTCAGACTTTGAGTTGAAAAAAAAAGGAAAATCATTTTATTTGAATCATAAGACTTCGCCAATAAAACATAGAAAATCATAAATAGGAGATCTACATGCAAATAAATGTCTTTTGAATAAAGAAAACAAAATAAAAATATAAACATTGTTTTATTTAATTAATGATTTTTTCTGTTCTTGTAATTACAGCCATCGAATTTAAATGAGCTTAATTATGATAAAATATTCTGATTTCTGTAGAAAGAAAAAGTTTACGCAACTTCTACGCAAAGTTTGTTTTCATTGCAGTTAAGTTGCAGCTACGTGTTTACGCATTGTTATTGATCACAAACACTATCTTAACTTCTTTTACTTTTCTACTTTTACCCCACACATTTAACGACGATTCCAATAAAATAAGTTGTTGAACAAGTTGAAAGCTTGATCATTGGTTCAGTTGGTAAGAAAATGTTGTGTACAAAAGAAGTGTTCAATGGTAAAAATTAAAATTCAAATTAAAATAAAAATGGGTCATTTTCCAAAAAAAGATATCTTAAGATGAATTGAAATAAGATTAATATGGAATTGTGCTTGAATTAAACGAATTCTAAAGAAATTGGACGAATAAAATAGATTAGATCTGAATTTGTGACTAAATTGCAAGCATACATTTTGACTCATGTTCTTAAGTCGTGTTTAACACTAACACAATGAAACAAGCAGAGAAAAAGAAGTCAAGTAAAAAAGAAAAAAGTGAAGAAAAAAATAATAAATTTGTTTGGCAGCAGGTCTAACAGTTCTTGAAAGAGTTAGATATAATAAAATCGTAATAACCGAGAGTTAGAAGGTGTCAGTTATCTTGATTTGGAAAGAAAATCTTTCTTAATTTCGGTAAAAGTGTGAAGTGAAACAAAAAGAATTTGAAAAGCATCAAAATGATTGCGGCAAAAGAGAATCGCATTGCTGAAAATTATAATCATGATAATAGCAATGAAATATCGCAAGATAATGTGACCTTTCTCAAGATAGCGAAAAGATTACATGGTGCTAAGACTTTCAGCATTTCTACATCAAATGAAAAACGACATTTTGATCTCTTTAGAAGTAAAAGTGAATCTCAGTTATCTTTGCTGTCCCTTAATTTAGAAAAAAGTATTAAAATGGGCCAAGAAATCAGAAAATCGAAGAGTTGTGAAGAAATGAATAAAGATAGTCCTGTTTATTGTTCATTGGTAAAAAGAATTGATGAAAGAGTCGACGAAGAAAGTTTTAATTATTCCGATGAAGATTACAAATTGTTGGAAAATTCAGAAAATTCTTCCGACTATGGTGATGATCTCACAATAATAAAAGCAAATAACATTAACCATTATGATCAAGATAATGAAGTTACTGAGTCAAGAATTGATGAAACCAACATGCAAAGTGACGAGCAAAGTTCAATTCGAAACACTTTTGATGTTCAGTGCAAGCCTTTTGAAAGCTTCTTTAAAGAGAACAATGTGGCAGCAGATAGAACATGTTCTACATTTCCACGTAAAAGATTTAGAAATGAATGTTTTGTTAAAAACGAAGCTAGAAGATGTTCATTGTCTTGTAAAGCAGTCGAAAATCAATCGCGAGCCCTAAAATCGTATAACAAAAGTGTTAATAGTAGTGAGTTAAATGCTCCAAATACAAGTGAACAGAACCACAAAGAAATCGTGGAATCACCACTGAACCGTGATGACTTTTCATCTTTTAGACGAAGTACTTTACCAAAAACAAGGTCACGTTTTGACGAAAAAAATTCTCATTCTCGTCATAGTTTGAGGCGAACAATCAATTTCACCAATGTAACCAACCCGGGGGAGCAGCATAGAATTGTTATGAATTGTAATGCCATTTACATGCCAGATACTGAATCGACATCGGAAGTTGATGGTAAAATTCTTTCTTTTTTAAATAAATTTAAATAAATTTCCGTAATTTCCTCCCATCAATAAATTAGTTTTAACTTCAAAAACTAAAAGACCAAGAAGTCAATTTTCATGGCTAAGAAAATCAATGAGGAAATTAAATCCATTTCAATTACAACCATCAACAAATAGTGATTTAGAAGTCACTCCAGTTGCTTCGGGAAATTCAAATGAATCGACATCATCTGGAAGAAACTTTCACGATTTAAATAAAATTCCATCAAATGTTATTGATGATGATGATGATGCATTGAACGATGTGAGAACATCTGATGAAATTATACAGCCATGTGCATCAAATCCTGATTTATTCAACATTGTATTGTCGGAACAACAGCAACAAATGCATGTTGATGCAAATCGTCCTAGACAATATGGCAGAAGAACGAATCAAGTTCGAATATCTTCATCTGCAATTGATTCGTGCAACAATGGAGTTGCCGTAAGACAAATAAATCTGAATCGAATCAATATTTATTCATTGAATTTTTTATTATTTTCCAGCGATTCATCGCTCATCATCATCAACAAGTTGAAAGACGAACAACAAGTGAACAACTTCAAAGGCCAATGAATCCTCAAATCAATGTTCATAGATCGCGACTTTTCTTACCATCTGAGCCCAGTTCGATAGCAACATCTCGAAATTCTAGTCCCGTTTCTGTATCATCAAGCACAGGTTCAAGTTCTGTAGCTGATCCCATAACAGAAGCTGAAGTTTGTTCTCGATCTTTAACATCACGTGAACAAGAGAATGAATCTGCCGACAATTTAAAAGAAATATGGCCACATTCACTAAGTCGACCAATATCTTGTACACTTTGTACACTTGGATTGTTCAACATGTCTCGATTTGCAATATTTTCTGTTCATTTTGGAGGTTTTTTTTTCTTTTTCTCATGTTGTTCATTAGAATGTTAATTTATTTGTTTCTTAATTTTCTTACAGCAAATTTTCTAGTCCAATTTTTGATATTGTCCTTCATCTTTGGCATTCCTTTGTTGTGGCTTCAAATGGTATTGGGCTTAAAAATCAAAGGCGGAATCGTGACGATGTATCGAATAACGCCCATTTGTAAAGGCATTGGTATCGCTCTCATGATTTCTCATTGGATAATGAGTCTTTATTCATCGGTTAGCATAAGTTGGTTGATGATTTATTTTAGGTAAATTACAGCAATTGATTTATTTATCAATCAGTAATGAAACATTCTTTTTACAGAGACTCGTTCATTTCATCTGACTCACAATATTTGTGGCAAGAACGTTTCAAAAATTATCGTAGCTATCAAAATAATTCAGCATTAAAGTTATCAGAAAACATCGCCGATTATTTCAATGGTGTCGTTCTTCAAAGACTTTCAGATGCTTCAACAAATCAAGATGGGAAAATGCGATTTCAACTTGCTTTCAATGTTTCCATTGTTTGGTTTCTTGTTTTTATTCTTCTTTGTCGTGGAATTCGATCTCTTGGTGTTCTCGTCATTGGAATAGCTACATTAGGATTTTTGGGATTATCCGCTGTTTGCATAAAATTTCTAACATTATTAAGTCTTGAATCGATTCAAGACATTTTTCCCGAAACTGATTGGCAAGATTTCTTCGCAAATTCAAACAGTTGGTCAGTCGCTGCACAAGAAGCTTTTTTAACGTGGGGATTGCTAGGTGAGAATTGTTTATAACCATTGCGTTAAAAAAAAATTGATAAATAAAAATTATCATCCAGGTGTCTCCGTTTACACAATTTATTGTAAGAGTAGTAAAAACCAACGACCGAATCCCACTGTTCTCAGACGTGAAGCTGTTCTTATTGTTTTCCTTACATTTTTCGGATTATTTCTTGGAGCTGTTTTGGGATCAACTTGCATCATTATTCTTAAACTTAATGGCTTTAATTATTTTCCTGCTTCATTTGGTAATTTCTCTTTTTATTTATTGTTATGGAACATAAATTTTTAATTATCTTTTTAATCTTATTTAGAAAATCCAAAAAATGACATATTTTTATGGCCAACACATCAATCAGTATCACCAAATTTTCATCATTCAATAGCATCGAAGTGGGTCGTTCGAAGTTCAAACATTGTTGGTGAGAGCTTTGAACGACCAGTTTTTGTCAATCAACATGGACTTCTATTATATAAAGAAAGTGGATACAAGACAATTCGCCTTGTGACTGAAATGCTTCCAGCAACTTTAGCAATCAGCTCAAAGATTGAACCAATATGGGGAGTGATTGCATTTGGGACGCTTATTCTCTTTGGTGTAGCTCAGTTAGGCATAATGTGGAAGCCAATTAGTGGAACTCTTGGCAATTCACCGCCAGCTCTTCTTTTAAGTTGCATAACTGGGTTATTTCTAAGCTTTCCATTGACCACCGATAAAGGAATTGTCATCATTCATTTCCTTGACTTCATTTTTGGTGGTGCATGGTGGCTGTTAATTCTTTGGGCGAGTTTCATCATTACATTATTTTTGGTTCGTGGACGACCATTCACCAGTGATGTTTTAGTCAAAGAACTTCAATTGTCAGGAACATTATCAGCGTTCTTGGCCTTCTCTTGGAGTGTTCTTTTACCACTTGCTTTAATTTTGCTTTCAATCATGGAATTTAAGAAAAGTCATTCAAATGAACTTTTCCATCAACGCAGTAATTTGAGTATAAATTATTTAATGAATTGGCCTTATTGGGTGAAACAACTTGGTGGGTTTTTGCAATTATCGTTTTTGATCCTCGTACCATGTGTTGCAATTGTTCAAATCTACGTTTATTTGACAAAAGGTCCACCGGATATACTTGATGTAATGATTAAGACATAATTATGTTAATTTAATTTTTGTTATTAATTTATTTCTTTATTTTTATACAGCGCATTGAACTTTTATTTCGACCGCCATTAAACTCTCCGGAATCATCTTCATTACATACCCCAGTTCGTCGTTTAGCTAACCAAGATCTCAGTCAATTTCAAAACACTGCCATCGCTCTTTCAAATACCAACACTCTTGAGCCAACACAAGATCCTCCACCAAAGTATTCACCGCCACCATCGTACAGTAAAGTTGTAGGTTTAAGAGTTGCAAAAGCATTAAGAAATAGTATAAGACGAAGTGTCAGAGTATTTAGAATAAGTGGAGAACCTAGAACAGACTCGATTGAATCGTGTCGTCAAAACATTGCATCAATTTCATCACAAGTTCCTGAATCTCGCGACACGGTTCGTCAGAGTTTTAGAAACAGTTCTCAAAGTGTCACAAGAAATTTAAGTAAACTTATTGGATGGACATCAAATTCAACAAATAACGGAACACAATCTGTAGAGAACTTGGTTTTATCAGATTTGTCTTTAAATGTTGAAAATAGCAATGAAAATAATCCTAACAATAGTTTAGGTAATCTTATTTAAGATTATTTATGGAAGTTAGAATTTCTACTTAATATAATCACTTGTAAATATTATTAAAAACTGTATCACGATACTAAGTGCAAGTACAAGAAATAAATATAAGATTCCCTATTTAAATTAGAAAATTATTGTGTTATGTTTATTATGTTTAAATAATATTTCAAGGATAACTGAATTACTCTATAAAATTTAACGTTCTAAATAAATTCAAAAAAAATTTAAATGAATATCGATAAAGGGTATTAAATTTATTTTTAATTTTGCCTTAATAACTCCTAAACCAAACACGTATTAAATTATTCATCCTCTACAAAACTATTCAATATTAGATTCTCTATCGATCCTGAAGAAATGTTTGTACTTGATGGAACGGTTTACGAGATTTTCATGAAAAGGAGTTCACGGTTAACTTAATTCAGATTAAAGAAGTTTAGATTAATTTTTATATGGAATTGGGGTTAGATTAATTCCATTTTTTAATCGAGGTAGTACTTTGACACCCCGAATATATAAAAATCCCGCATTTCCATACAAAGTGGACAAATTTAAAAACTCATTCCGTGCGTGGACAAATTTTCCGTGCGGCGAGATTAAACACTCTCCACCTGAAACTAGACTTTGGGAGAGTTTGTGCGCTCATTTCACGTACTTTTTACACAACCCTGCGCTAACGTAGAAAATTTATTTTTATTTTTCGTTCGAAAAATAATTTTTAAGTATCATCTAAAAACAACAGCGTGAGATAAACTGAATAATCAACAAGAGTCGAAAACAAATACGAGTGCTTAAAGTGTGTGTGTGGAAATATCCAATATCAGCCGATATATCCGGCTAATCCTTTTTGATAAAAATTTGTTTGAGGCAGAAGAAAAAATGGGAAAATTGCTTAAAAAGTATACAAATTCCCATAAAAATGTGCTTATTGTTAAAAGTTTGATATTGAAATGATGCGATAAACAATTTAAATTACGCCCTTAATTATAATTCAAACAAATCATAGCATAAAATATTTCCTTGCACCATATCAATTTATCGTTTTGACAGGGGAAACTTTTTTCATCCATCCTTGAGAAAAAGGTGAGAAGAAGTTTTTTTTCGCTGTTTGTTTGGCTGTTTTTAACATGTTAGTAAAGAAGTTATTCAATCTAAATACTGTTACTTTAAACGCAAAGATGAGAAGAGGAAAAATGAATTAAATTTAGATTAAGTTTCATNTTTTGATCCTCAAAGAGCTTCCAATGAGGAAAATTTGCGTTGTGTTCAGTGGAAAAGAAATTTCCAGTTTGCATTGAATGCCTCCAAAGTTAAGAGCGATGCTCGACGTTATTATGAATTGTTATTCCGTGTTATTGTGAAGGAAATGCATCAAAGAAAACAAAACTTGATTCAGTCGTTGAAGAAAACAAATCAGTTGAAGTTGTAACAGGAAAAGTTGAGCAAAATGAAACTAATGAAAAGGAAAGTGATGATAAAGAGAATAATCATAAATTTAATAGAATTTCTAAAGATTGCATCAATTCTGAATGCTCTCATGAGTCTTCAAATTTTTGGAATGTTCAATTTCTGTTTTGAATTTTTATTATCGTCCAAAGAAGAATAAGCCGCAATTTGTGTGTGGAATATGCTTTGAAAACTCTATGAAAAGTATGAAATTATTGTCGATATTTTGGTCAACAACAAACCACTTCGTGATATTGAAATGCATAAGAAATATGAAGTTTTTTCGCTGTTTGTTTGGCTGTTTTAACATGATAATAAAGAAGTTATTCAATCTAAATACTGTTACTTTAAACGCAAAGATGAGAAGAGGAAAAATGAATTAAATTTAGATTAAGTTTCATATCATTTGCAATCTTGTATGAAAAATTATCACTGTCTGAGTTTTGTGATGATCTCAGCTGCCTCACACTTTGGAAGAATTAAATCATGATTATTGAAGAGGGTGTCGAAGCTTTTGTTCATTAAATTTTGTCGGCAGAAGTATATTTCCTATGGGAAAAAGACTTATAAATATGTTTTTATATTCATAACTAGATAAATGCAATAACATTCATTCATTCTTACCTAGATTCACAACAAGTCCTTATAAATTGACAGCAAGACTAATATATATTTTTTCAATCATCTTTGATCCACTAGATAACTCTTAAGGATTACATTGAGTGAGATGAAACTATTCAATATTGCAGTTGTGGGGTTGAGTGGAGTAGAGAAAGATAAGGGACAAGCTGGAGTTGGAAAATCATGTTTATGCAATCGTTTTGTTCGTCCATTGACCGATAGCTATGAAATTGATCATATTTCAGTATTGAGTCAGGTAAGAATTTTATAGACGATTACAATAATTGAACTAATTAACATCAATTAGAAATATCGATCTAATAATTTAATAATGAATGAGATTCATCTCTTGAGGCATAACTCTTTTCTTAAAATTAAATGAACATTGCTCACATCTAATTTTATTTATGTTTTTATTTTTTTCTTTTCAATCAGTCTGATTTTAGTGGTCGCGTTGTAAACAATGATCATTTCCTTTATTGGGGTGAAGTCAGAAAGACTTCAGAGGAGGGTGTCGATTATTCGTTCCAAGTCATTGAACAGACAGAATTCGTTGATGATGCGACTTTTCAACCATTTAAAGTTGGAAAGATGGAGCCATACATTAAACGTTGTGCTGCACTTCGTGTAGCTTCAGCTGAAAAGCTCGTTTATATTTGTAAAAGTCAATTAGGTATTGAGCACGAGTATGAGCAAATTGTATTGCCAGATGGTCGACTCGCTATCGATGGTTATGTTTGTGTCTTCGATGTGAGTTCCGTGCCTAATCGTCCTGTAGAGAAGCAAGCTGACTTCGTCATGAATATTATAAATAATTTGTTAAAGAATAAGAAGCCAATAGTTCTTGTTACAACGAAAAATGACGACGCCAACGAGTCATATGTTCGTGAAGCTGAGAAAATAATACAACGAAAGGACTTCAAAGGTCAGATCGTAATGGTTGAGACATCAGCTCATGAAGCTATCAATGTTGATCTTGCTTTTATTGTGCTTGCTCAAATGATTGACAAAACTAAGAATCGATCAAAAATTGTCTCATATAATGATGCGGCGCGACAAAGAAAGGAACTTCTTGATACAAGTACCGAATTTGTGACGAGATTAATTCGCCAACAAATAACCGATCATCGTGCAATTTGGACAACGTCAGGAAAGAAACTTGCACAACATAAAGAGTGGCAAGATTTCATAGAATTATTTGGCCAAGATGCAGGCTTGAGAATCTTTCGAAGGCATTTGAAGAAACTTCGTGAAGATTATCAGAATAAGAAACTTCAAAGATATCTGAATTCATTCATTTTAGTGCTTCATGAGATCTTCCCTGACCTCAATTCGCTAAACATCGACCCGAACTTAGATTGGGAGAAGATTCAACTTTATTTACGCAATCACATCGATTTCGATCAATTTTTCTTCGATAGCACACAACAGAATGTCTCTTGGATGGATTTAAGTGATTTTAGTGACATGGAAGAAGAGAATCGAATTCCTTTCGATGTCATTGACACAACAGAAGCTGAAACCGTCTTTAAAAATCATTTGAATAAACTTCAACAAGAACAGAAGAGATTAGAGTAAGTAATAATAATTCCTTTAATTAAAATTAATTTACATTTCCATCTTTTCTTTCAATTTGCTTTCATTTCCATAAGGATGCCAAAAAGGTGACAGAAATGCTTTTCATAATGCTTTTTTCTTCTTCTTTTTCATTCTTATTTTATGGAAATTTTCTAAAATTTTTCTTTCTTTTACTCGCTCTTTTCGTTGTGACTTTAGATGGAAGAAGCAATTTAAGAAGCTACTCGAAGAAACTGGATATGTAACACCTGGAAAGCAACTATCAGAAGTTCGTGTTTTCTTTCTTGGTCGTGAATGTTTTGAAGCATTATCAGAGCATGATTGCCAACAGATTTATGATAATCATCAGAGAGAATTGATTGAAAGTGCGAAACATAACTTTCAAGAACTTTTATTGGAACATGCTGAACTATTTTATCATTTTAAGACGATTGAACCAACGGGAACAATTACGCAAAATGATATAAAAGAAATCACTGATAATCTTCAAGAAGACTTTCGTTATAAAATGTTGGATCGACTTGATCAAGATCGAAAGTTGATGTTGTTTCAACATCTTGGATTCGTTCATTGTCCCATTCGAGAACATTGCCCAGCATTTCCCAATTGCATGGATGCTTTAATTGAACGTGTTGTGACATCAAATGAAATTCTTCCATCAACTCGTGCTCCACATAAAGACGGTCAATTACAACTCAATCTCGTTGTCATCGGTCTTGATTATGTTGCCAATGATCTGATAAGCAAAATTCACCTGAATTGCAATGACAATGGCGAATATTTATTCGATGGTAACACTTATGGCTTGTCAATTGAAACAATCAATCGTGACAATGATTCATTCGCTTACGATCTTCAAGGAAAAGGACTCATTTGTTGCTTTTACAATAAAACAACATTCCAATATGTTTACGATATTGTCGAGAAACTTTTAACTGATAATTCCGATTTCAAAGAAAATATGAGTAACATTCACATGGTGCTGTTAAACGATGTTGACAGCAGTGGCAAAATTGATTTAAGTGAAATCAGTGAAACGAGGAAAGAATCGCAACAACTTTGTGAGAAACTTCATTGTATTCTACTTGATGCGAATGATTATTATACGGCGATATCGCCGCAACATCAGCATAAGTTTATTGATAACGTGCTGAATAGTGTAATTGAGATAATGCCATTTGAAGATCTCAAATACAAAGATGTTTATCTTTCTGAATCTCCTGACATTCGCATCATAATGTGCTTGTTTTGTGGTGATCCATATTCGATTGAGAATGTTCTATCGTCGATGATTAACGAAACTGCGTGTATGGCGAATGGTGACAGAAATATTTCTTTTGAAATTTTTCTCGGTGATCAAAAGCGTCGTGTTGAAGTAATTCTTTCATCATATCATGGAGCGAATGCTTTTCGCGATGAACTTGTTCATGGTTTTATTTTATTATACTCCACAAAACGTAAAGCGTCATTAGCAACACTCAATGCTTTCTCAATTAACATTCCAAATCTGCCAATGCAAATTGTTTCCATCACAGAACCCGGTGGTGTGAGTGCTTTCTTCAACAACGAATTAACACAAATTCTGATAACTGAAGGCAATGCTATCGCTGACAAATTGAGAGCACACTTTGTGACAGCCGCTGATGAAGACAATGGATTTAAGTTTGCGTCGTTTGCACCATTTTTGAAGGAAGTTTGGGATAAAAAGCCGGAAATTGAACATGCTTTCCATATGGAAGAACCATTGACAATTGATTCTGGTGAAGGCACAATGGAACATTCAATTCATCATCATCATGCACCACCGCAACCACCCCCACGATTTGAAAGTTATCTAATTAATGACACTTATCGCCATCACAACTTTGACAAGATGAGTCACCGCTCAGTCAATTCATTGGATGGAATTGATGAAAGTGTCAAGTATGGAAATGTTTCAGACGATCGACAAGCTTACAGCAACATGTACTTTTATGAAGAGAACAACAGCGATGCTGACAAAGATGACAGAAATCGCATGTTAGGAAAAGGTAATCTTTTTTATAATTAATTCATTTACAACAAATTTTTATTAAACATTGTGTCAGGCTTTCAAATGTACCCTGCACCATCAACACCACCAGAACCAGCACCACCGGATCACCATCTTTTAACACCATCGTCAATTTTACGTCAGTTAAAGGAAAATGCGGCAATATCACATTCACAGTCTAGTCTAGAGGAAATAAACTGTAAGAATAAGAAAAGTAAATATCGTTTCATGAACAAACTTTTACTAATCAAATTCAATTAAATTTTTAACGCAAGCTGCTGATGCGAGTGGATCAAAAGAGTCTTTGAACACTTATGATTCAGGTTTAGTTATAGTTGACGACATTTCATTATTAATGTTTATGATTATTAAGACTTCCTTTCTAATACATTTGATTTTTTGGCAGGCTGGATTGATGACCACATGAAGGATGATGTCTGGAAGAATATGAATGCACAGACGCATGCCTTTACAACAGGACGACCACGTCCAAACGCCAACACATCTTTTAGTTCTAAAAAAGTCCCACCAAGACCAAAAGGCTCGAGTCAAACGCTCAAACAGCCGGGAAAATTGAACTTGAAAAGTTTTGCCATCGTCAATGAAGCGCTGGCAAGAATGAATTTAGGTGATAATAATAATCCAGTTATAGATAAAAGATTTTTGTATCAATCCGGTATTAAATATGAAAAATCGAAATCTCGCAATGCTTCCCATATGAAAGTTGCACCAGACGAGGAGGAAGGAAATGAAAACAACAGAGATGATCAAGATTATGAAGAAGCTGAATACGAGCAGATAAACGATGGCTTTAGTGAGGCTGTAAACAACATAGCTAGTCAATTGTTTACGTATTCCTCACAAGATCAATCGCGCAACAAGTTCAGACATAGACGTGAGAAAGAGCAGCAACAAAGTAAAAAAACTTAACTTCAACTTTTTCTTATTATTCAATTCTTTTTTATTATTTTCAGAAGTTTCAGATTCAGAAAGCGACTCTAGCTCCTTAGAGCATAAAAGAAACTCTGTTGAATCTTATAACAAAAATCGAAAACCACAAACGCACAAAAGACGCCAAAAGAAACGTGTAGCAATTCCAGTAGCAACACCAAAGATTCCTATGGGATTTGAATCTAACAGTGGAATGGGAGCTGCCGCTTTGATGTATCAAAAATTGAAGAACGAGGCCAATAGTAGTTTGGAGAAAGGTAAATTTTTATTGTAAGGCTTAAATTTAGTGGATGAGCTAATAATGGTATGGTAGAACTCAGGTAGAACTCAGGTAGAACTTAACTTTAAAAATATTTTTCTGCAATGGAGAACGGTAACGAAAAAATATTGTAAAAATACTAACATGGGTCATTTTAACCAACAATTGGTTACAAAAATGAAAAACAAAAATAAAATTGTTATTTACACATTCCAAAATTATAGAACGAACTGTGGGCGAAGATGATGTATCAAGTGTTGATGTATCAATTTCATCGCCTCGCGAAACGCAATCACCAATCGTAAGTCGATCGAATGGTGTTGCTAGTTTGCGAAAACGTTTCAACGGTTACAATTTGCAGTTTGGTGTTGTGCCGAAAGTATCGAAAGATGAACGTGATAAGATGTTGATGGGACAACAAGCTCAGCCTCAGACAAAATCGAAATGGTTTAGACAAGACACAGAAAAGAAGGCTGCTCAGGCTGCTGAAAAAGAGGAGAAGAAGAGGATTAAAGCAGCTGCTAAAAGTGCTGGCAAATCGGGAAAAACATTATCCAATTTTAAGATGTCTGATAAAAATCAACATGTTCCGATTTTCTTGGAGAAATGTGTCAACTTTATCGAACGAGAAGTGGATTCGGAAGGAATTTATCGAGTGCCTGGTAATCGAGCTCATGTTGAGTTGTTGTATCAAAAGTTTGAAGAAGAAGACAACGTCGATATTGAGAAACTTGATGTTCCTGTTAATGCTGTAGCTACGGCGCTGAAAGATTTCTTCTCGAAACATTTACCACCCTTGTTTGAACCTGAATTGATGAATGAATTGGAAGAAGTTGCAGGTTCTCGAGGTGGTCTAGCTTCAGCAAATCCAATGAACATGGAAGTCAAAGCTGATCGAAGTTGCAGATTATTGGCATTACGAGGTCTACTCAATAAACTTCCTCCTACAAACTTTGCTATTTTAAAATTCATTTTCCAACATTTTGTTAAGTAAGTCTAATTTCATCAAATTTTTTTCAAATATAATTCTTTAAATCTTTTATTCAAACAGAGTCTCTGAGAACTCCAAACTTAACAGTATGGACAGTAAGAACTTGGCAATCTGTTGGTGGCCAACACTTCTTCCCATCGAATTCACAGACATGCTTCGTTTTGAATCAATGCGACCCTATTTGGAAGATATTGTTCAAACAATGATCGATCAATATCCATTTTTGTTTTGTGGTCAAGAGGCTTTCGTTATGGTCTGAAAATAATGGAATGCAGTTGGAAGTTATTCATGATCTGCTTTTCTATTGTATTTCATTGAATGTCATATTTGCTATGTGTTGCTTCAGAAGACGTCCTTTTGTTCGGTTACAGTTGCTTGCCATCATCATCGTCATCATCAATTCGTGTAAGTAGAAGATTATGAGATGTAACCAAGTTAGAGTTAAAAGAAACTTTTAATCATGCAATGAAGTCAGCTTTTAATATTATGATTTGCATGTTGCAATTTTAAACTGTTTGTGCGTAAATTGCGTCACATTGAAACGAAAATAAAATAAATATTTATGTAATTTTCTTTCGCAATGATTAAGGAGTCAGAGCGTATGATTGAACAATAATTAGAAGTGATGGCGTGATTTATGCACAAATCCATATTGGCATAACGAAATTGATTAGTTAGGAAAGCTTTTTTATATGAATTGAAAATATTAAGAAAGAAAATTTTAAACAAACAGTATGTGAATCTTTTTTTTTTGAAACAAAATGTGTTAAGATTAAAAACAAAAAGAATAAGAAATTGTAATAATTCAATGAACAACATAAAATGATATCGATGCACCACACAATGATAATTAAAGGATGACACATTTTTAAACGTTTACTGCTTTAATGAGGATTTAGTCACAATCAATCACGTGTAGTAATTAAAATAAATTGTCTGAGAATCTCACGAACTTTCACAAGTCGCCATTAATGAAAAATATCAAAATTATTCATATTTCTGTCAGGGTATCATTTTTCCTTCCCCTCTAAATATTTTATGGTAATTTTTGAGTAATTAAAGAAAGAATTTACAGAGGAGGAATGTTGAATAAATCTTTTTTAAATTCCGATATTTATTTATGCCATTTTATCATGGGCCAACATGACATTAAGTTCCAAATTTCTCATTTATTGCTTTAAACCAACCTCCAACTAACTTATTTTCGGCATCAAAATTGTGACAAAAAAAAATTGTGTACTTAATCATTATTTAAGAATCTTTCAATAAAATTTCCCTTAGGTCTTACTTAATTTGCTAACATCATTTCTCCAAAGACAAGCTCTCTTCATCACTTGAAACAGAAAATTATTTCCACTCGAATTGCCAGAAACTGAACTTTCTTTTATATTCCAGTCTATTTTTACAAATAAGAAAAATGTTATGAGTGCCATCAAACAAATATTTCCGTGTTCGATCAGGCAAATCATTGTCCTACATCTTAAACCTCATTCTTTCAGGTTTCGTTACTCATGTAACTATCAATGACCTTTTATAATAATCAATTAAAACCAAAATGCTTTTTATAATGTGCAAGATATTGTGAAATCATACAAAACAAAAACATGAAAAGTTTTTTATGAAAAAATAAAAAGAAAAGAAAACATTATTAAATATCTTAAATGGAAAACAAAAAGTGTTGGAAAAATAAGTTAAAACTATCTTATAACTTAAGATGAACAATTGAGTTGAATGAAAAACTTATTGAAACTGATTTTAAATTGAAAACCTAAAACATATTTATGATCAGTGTAAATAATCATGTTGAACGTTTAAATTTTCGGTGTAGCATAAGTTTTCTCAATTATCATGGTTGATATTAGTTTACAATGAACTTTTAATCAGTATTCCCTCGTCGGCATTTAATTACCACATGAATTAAATAAAAAAATATATTTTCAACCTAAAGAACTTTGTCGAGTTTTTCAAAACTCCAACTACGAAGAAATATTTGCAGAAAACTTTAAGACATTTTTTAACGAAAGAATATAAATTAGATTTTTAAGTAAAGGCTCATTAAGAGACTTTATTGATGCCATTTTATTAATCTTAAATGAAAAAGATTGATGTTGTTGTATTTGTCAGCTAAATGAAAAAGATGAAAAACGCTTTATTTGTGTAAATTTAAGGATTGTAAGGAATCAGCAAAGTTGGCAGTCTTGCCAAAAATTCAAATGAAAGGAAATTCTTAAAATATTTTGATTTGTGAAACCTCAACTCATTAGTTAACATTAATTACACCACTACGTGACATTTCCGTGATTGTTTTTCTCTGAATCTCAAATCAATGACAATTAAAGCAAAAAACGAGTGAACCAATCTGTGAAAAATTAAATTTCATTCCTTCCTTACTTTTAAAACTTATCAAAATTACTTTGGAAAACACAGAAGAATTTTCTCAACCACCATCATCAACAAAAGTTTTAAGTTTTCAGTATTTTCTTTCATTGAGAAACATTCCATAAGATCCTTTAATAAATTTTTTATAGACTCTACGTGGAACTGATGTAAACAAATCTTGAATTTGAAGAATAAAAGTGGAAATTAATTGTATCACATACTTAGACATTTTATTTAAGGCTTCCCACGTACCTTTTTTATTACAGTCGAATGCAGCCGTGTTGTTTTTACTGCCATCATAATTTTCATCGTTTATGACCGCAACAGAGGAAAAATTAAATAAAAATAAATCAGTCAAGAAAATTGGCAAGCGTAGGAGACTTTTGAAAATAATTTTCATTGATTAATAAGATATTCTACAGGTTTTTCTTTCAAGATTTCTAATCTGGATTTATCTTTACAAACGTCGTCATTTATTTACATGATACAACAAATACAAGCGGAAATCAACAGTCAATGAGTAGCGCAAACGGTAATGCAAAATATCACCGACATTTCAATGAAAGCAGATCGATCAGACATAGACATGCAGTTGGGGGAGTTCACTTTATATGCCAGTAAAATTGAATAAAACCCTTCATTTTATTATGATAATTTAAGTAAATAGGTAATATTATTTAGCTCACATAAATAACGGACAATGGAAATTCAAAATGAGTTCTAATACAATCCGTTGTTGTACTGCTATGAAGAATATCTTTCAACAAATAAAATAATGCAAGCAAAAGATTCGCGATTTAAAGTGTAAGATTAGAAATGAAATGAAATAAGAATGTGCTTTGTGTTGAAGGAAATAAAAACCATTGCTTTAAATGAAAAAACAAGGGATCAACTTTCAATAACAAATAAATGAAATTACATAAACATTCTCAGTTTTCTTGTATTTGACGAAGAGAAAAAAATCAGATCATCTAAGAAAGACATAATTTGAATAATTTTAAAACAACAAGTAGAAACGTAGTTTAAAGATTAAAAAAGTGTATAAATGAATGTTTAAAAGTAGAAGAATCATAAATTCAGTGCAAGAATTTATTAAAAGTTAATTATTTCTCCAAAATTCACCACATATACATCAAGAGATTTTTTGTTCTTCAACAAGATGAATTTTAGTAAAACGCAATTACTTTAAAAAATCGTATATCGCAATGAATGATTACAACCAGATTAAAGTAAATAAATTTACTTCACCTTTAGTGTTGAGTACATAGTTTAAAGTAGTAATTTGTTGCTTTTAACAGTTCAATAACGAATAGGAGAAACAAAAATATAATTTCCTTTGTTGAGTCTAAAGGGTGTTCCAAAAGTCACTTTATCAGTTAATTTTACAAAGAGACAATAAATTGTTTTAATTTTTTGTTTTCTTTATAATAAATTGCTTAATTGGGTTGAAAACAATAAGTTTTATAGTTTCGATTTCTTGATCGATTACTTTTACTCCTTTGTCAATAAAGTGTTCATTTTTCCATTGTTATTGTTCGTCTTATCCCATAACACTACAACGGAGAAAATATTTCATAATTTAACGTCAGGTGTCTATGCCAAGGTTTATGTCATAGTGTACTTTAAATATAGCACATTTCAATGTATGATTCTGATTTTTAAGAAGCAGTTTCACAATTTTTACTGCATTCTATTGTCACCTTGAAAATTTCCATTATTCAATTCGTATTTAAAAATGACCTTTAGATTATCAATTTCCAATTTAATTCGGTCTGAGAATGCTTATCACCTGATTGTTTTCTTTTTAAATCTTTTCATATAGAACTTCTGCTAGAAAAGACGTGATTTTAAGAAAAACGATTTTTTTCTTTCTTTGTTTCAAAATAATTATTTGCAATAAGTTCACTTCTTTGTAATTAAATACTTTCTTTTTTCACAACTACATCATCATCTTCTTTATAGGAGAGAAGAGTTGAAAATGTCAGCCGAAGCCCATCAAAAGAACGCACCATCGTCAGATGTCGTTCGTTTAATTCCCCACATTGTCCCCCCTCAAGCCGTTAGTGATCGCTCTGTTATCGATAGTGTTGCTGGGTTCATCAATGATGTAGCACTCACAAATACACCACAAACTGATTCCAAAGATCATGTTCTTTGGGTGAAGTTTGAAAACTTAGCCGATATCAGTGGAACATCTCATGATGATTGGGATCTTGAAGGAAATCTTCCGTCTCCTTTACTGTTATGTATCGGATATAGAAGTGGAGTTCAAGTGTGGGTGATTCCTGCAAATGGTGAAGCTGTCGAAGCCATGTCATATAAACACGAATCCGTAAGTTTTCTTTAACAATATTTATTAATTTTTGTTTATTTACGAAAAACAAATTCGCCCCAAGGTTAAAGTACTTCGAATTCTTCCAACACCATTTCTCAGCAGCAATAGCGAGTTAGCAAGTGATTTACTCGATCAGTTTATTCATAAACGACCGCTTATGGCTTTATACAGTGATGCACCCGTTCCAAACCCATCAACACTTCATCAAAGTCAACAATTTCATGCTGTCAACTTTGTTTCAATTAAAGATGGTGACATTGTAAAAAGTATTCGATTTAAGAATCCAGTTGTTGATATTATCGCAAATCGAACATCTATTGCCATAACATTTTCTGAGAGAATTGCTGTGTTTGATGCGAGAACGTTAGAAGATCGTTTGACTGTGACAACTTGTTATCCATGTCCAGGGTTTGTTTCATTTCAATAAGTTTAATGAAAGCAATTAAAAATGATTAAATTTTCAGAGGTCTTTGCCCAATTGCACTTGGTGATCGATGGCTTGGGTATGCTGAGAAGAAGATTATACCATCAAAGGCGAGTGCTGGTGGTTGTTTCTTTGATGGTGTGTCAAGTTACACTGCGACAGTTTTAAATGCTGCTAAGACACTTAGTAAAGGATTACGTGAGTTAGGAGAACATGTAGCTGCTGGATTGACTGGCAATGCATCAACTCTTTCAACATCACCTGTCAATAGTCCCAATGCAGTATCAAGTGCTGTAAATACCGATGGAAATCAAGCTGGAATTGTTACAATCATCGACATCAAGAATCCAATTAAAGATGTTAGTCCAACATCAGGAACGCCCGTAACGGTCAATGGAAATGATCCAATCATTGCTCATTTTATAGCACACACTGAAGCTGTTACAGCCATGTCGTTTGATCCTTCTGGAATGCTTCTTCTTACAGCTGATCGTCGTGGACATGACTTCAATATTTTTCGAATACAATCACATCCTTGTGGTTCAGTTTTTGCTGCTGCTCATCATCTTTACGTTCTTCATCGTGGAGATACAACAGCAAAGATTCAAGACATTTCGTTTTCATTTGATTCACGTTGGGTTGCAGTTTCATCATTACGTGGAACAACTCATGTGTTTCCAATAACACCTTATGGTGGTCAGCCTGGATATAGAACACATTCAGGTACTTTTGCTTATTTAATTATAATATTAGATGTCGATTAATCTCATAATAAATTCTCTTTAGCACCACATGTTGTTAATCGATTGTCACGTTTTCATCGATCAGCGGGATTATCTGCTGATGGTCGTTCAAGCAGTCCAATTTTAATATCTGAACATGCAGTTCATTCAACAGCTTACACCAATCCACGTTTGCCACCATTTCCCCATCCAACTGTTGTACTTCCTTTAGCACAGATTCGTCAACCAGCTAACTTGAGTTCCGTTTCGTCTTTGAGTATGTTGTCATCACCACAAACATCCCAACATCAAAATGTCAAAAGTCAAGGAAATAATCGTCAACGTCATCATTCGATTGAAGAATCTTATTCAAAACCTTTAAGAGTTGCATCGTTGTTTGCAAAGCCTCGTTCATGGCTTTTAGATCCACCAGGATTAACACATGAAACAACAACAAATTTACATCTTCGTCCAGTTGATTCGCTGTTTGTCATAGCCAGTCATGGTGCACTTATTCAATATAATCTTGACACAAAACATTCATCAGGTAACTTTGAAGGATTTTTAAGAAATTTCAAATCATTTAAATTGTTTCTTTCTTAACAGCAATTCCCAAAGAAAAAGTTCACGATGAATCACCAATTGAATTGGATGTTGAAGCAAAAGCACAATGGATTCTTGGAACACGATCGAATTCTTTTGGTGATCTGTCACCACCACTTCCGATTGATAATTGGTTGATAAAAGATCGTGTTATTGATAACAATTTGAATTTAGACTCGAGTAATATTGAGAATGTCAGTGGTGATGAGCATGATGATCGTTGGTTGTCACAAGTTGAGATAATGACTCATGCTGGTCCACATCGTCGTTTATGGATGGGACCACAATTCATGTTTAAAACATACAACACACCGAATGGGTAAGTTCATCAACATCTCTATCCATTAATATAAAATTCATTTCTCATCTCTTTATTCCACAGAAATTTATTAGGACAGAATGACAATGAATCGGTTGAGAATGAAGCGTCAAAAACAGCACGATCAACACCAATGAATATGCCAATTCAAAGGAATCCAACAACAGCCACAAGACCTTTGGTGCCAGTTCTCATTGAATCAAGTTCATATAGTAAGTTATAAACTTCGTCTTGAAAAGTTGGAGTTTATTAAATTTTATTGAATCTCTCTGAATATTTAGGTAGTCACGAGCCGAGTCCACTTCTATTGGATTCATTTCATTATGAAAGTACAGACTCGGATATCATTATGGGACCCGAATCACAATTACGTGAAGATTTAGCTGATGCAATGAAAGATTGTGCAACAGTTCCAGTTGGACGTGATTCAGGTGAGCAAAGAATCATTTTTAGTTAAATTATTATTTATTTATGATTCAATCACGTCTTGTTGACCCTTTTTGCGGTTCGGTTTATTTATCTATTAATTGCTTCTAACTAATACAAAAACATATTCACATGCTAAAATGACATGTGTGGGAGAAGAAGCAACTGATGAATGTTTTTTTATAACATTTATACAATTATAAATTCCACATCTCGTCATTAGCTCGACGATTAATTAAAAGAAATAAGTTCGCTTCCTCTTCGATACAATGAAACATTTAAAAGTTTTTATTTTTTTATTTCTTTTTGTTTTTTGTAAATTCCTTTTTTTATCATATTTTTCACTGTTTAATAAATTAAAATCTTGCGTCGGTGTAAATATGTTAATTAATTAAATGGTTGTAGTTGAATGAAAGAAACAAGACAAATAGGGAATGGTTCGGATAGTTTATATTTTCTGTTTTCCTGGTTATTTTGGAGACATTAATACAATTAAGTTTTATTTTTCTTTTTTTATTATTAAAATGTCACATTTTTCTAATTTTTTTACTTGTTATTCATTATTCAAAATTTGATTCGTGTATTGACGCACAAACATTAAAAGAGCTTTTATGGTCTTCCGTTGGTTTAAATTGTTTATGAAGGAAAATAAGAGAAGTCGGGGGAAAAGTTAATTTGGAAAAGTTGAAGCAACAATTATAGAACAGAAAAGCCTGGCAGACTTTAAGAGTTTTTTTTTAATTTTCCTTCTTTCTTCTTCATTATGATGATGATAGAAAGAGAGAGAGATATTGATTTAGTAGACGAATTATTAACATTGATTTAAATGAAAGTTATCACAACATCATGTTAACTTTCATTTCAATTTATTTTTTATTGTTTTTAGTCCAAGCTAAAGTAATTCCAAAACAAAACAAAACTGCATGTAAATAAACAAACAAGCAAACACTTTTTTATTTAAATTGACATTTTTGATATCTAAAGCACAATTTTTATGTTTTTACTTAATTTAATTTTGGTGAAATTAAAAATTCTGATGTTTAACATTAAAAACAAATATCCTTAGCTTAATCTGTCAATGGCTCATAAATAAACAAACAACTTTTTCAATCTCTTTTTGACCGATGTTTTTCTCTTCTCTTTCCTTTTTTTCTTTCATCATTTCGTAAAAACAAAAATTGCGAATCGAAAAACAAAAACAAACAAATAAAAATTACGGAAAACGAAAGGGCGCTTAACAAATGACGCGACACTTGAAGTTAATGTTAGCGGGGATCTGAGACCTTTGTCATCGGGTAGTGGAACGTCTTCGTTATCTCCTTCTTGTAATTTACAAACTGTGGTCATGTCAATTGTCAATCCGCAAGGAACTGTGACAACTGTAATAAAAAGTCCTATCGAGTTTGTTGAATTATACTCGGGAAATAATAAAATTCTTGAAAATTGTGATGAGACAATGTTTCGTCCTGTTGTTACAGTTATGAGCGATCCAAATCAACATCAACTTTTCTACGAAGAGCCATCGCAGCCGCTTGAAATGTCATCGAAACTTATTGTGCCCGCAATTGACGAAAGAGTTCTGGAAAAGAACAAGAGGAAGAGCAATGAAAGTAATGAAATAAAGAAAGTTTTAGATCGTCAAGAAGTTGAAGATCGTCGAATTAAAGAAAGTGAAGAGAAGAAAACTGAAGAAGTAGTGAAGAAAGTTGACGAACAATCAACGGGAACTGTTAACAAGAAAGGCAAGAAAAATCAAAAGTTCAATAAGAAAGTTAATGAAAAGTCAAAGGAATCTCAACCCAAAGTCAAAACATTTAATGTTGAGCCTGTCAAAAGTTCTGTCGTTGAAAATGTAACAGTGAAAATCACAGAAAGTCATTTCGAAGAAGAGAAAATTCTTCCTCTGATAGTTGTTGAGAAAGAAAAGCAGCAAGAAGTAGGAGAAGAAAAAACTTCAACATCGCTAAAACAAAAAAAGAAACTGCCATTGAAAGAACCGTCACCAGTTCGTAAAGTAATTGAAGAAAAACAACCGACGACTTACAATGAACTTTTCAATAAAAATGATTTTCCTTCAATGTCGAAACAAGCAAAGAAGAATAAAATTCAAAACTCACCAAAGTTGGAAGAAATTGTGCCGAGTTCTGAAATAAAAGTTGCTGAAAATCTTTCAAAACGTGAAAATGAAGACGATGAAAGATTTGAAGGAATCGATGACGATCATATTGAAGTAATTCCACTAGAAAAGGAAGTCGTGTTTGATGAAACGACGGAAGAAGAATCGGACGTTGAAAGAATTGACGAGCTTGATAAGATTTCGATTGAGATCAAAGAAGAAATTTTCATTGAAAGTGATGAAAATTCTGATGCTGATGATGAGCTTCCATTGTTTAAATCACTTGAAACATTTGATGAAAACTTTGAGCCTTTATGTTTGAATGAACAACGACAATCTTCTAATGTTGATGAAGATGACGAGAAGAATAAAAATTTAAAAGAGATGAAAGAAGGAGAAGAAAAACTTCAAGAAATTTTCAAAGACAAAACTTTTGTCATGGCGATGTGTTCAAGTTTAAGGGAAATGAATGAAAGTTCTGACGGTAATTTTGGAATGATGAGAGAAGAAAAAGAACGTTCAATGTCTTCGTCAATGGTTAGAGACCCTGAAGACGACAAAACATTCGCTTGTGCCATCACAACCACAGAAGCAACGACCAATGAGATAGACGAAAATGAATCTGATTCTAATTTTAAAGAGCTTGATTTGGATCCAGATGAAATGACATCAGCTGATATAAAATTCAAAGTTCCAGCTGACGTTAAGAAGTCAAGCGATGAAGCTGAAGATATTTCAAGTCTTGAAATGAATTCATCTGAGACAGACGATTCTTCAAAGCGCTCCATTTCAACAACAATGTCAAAGTTCAAGTCTGATGACGATGAAGAGTTGAGACCGCTTTTGCAATCATCTGCTACTTCATTAACATCTCCATGTTTATCGTCATCAGTCACGGTTAATTCAACTGCAAGTACAACCGAAGCTAAAGAAGCAACCACACTGCCAGATTCTAATCAAAAAGCTTCGTCGCTACAAGCAAGTAGCAGCAATAATGGAAATGGCAACAACAAACGTAAAAATAAGAAAAAACGCAGATAATTGTCATTTTCTGATTAGTTTGATTTTGAGAATCTTTTGTTGAGCCAACATTTATTCATGTATGTTGTTCAATGTTTAATTTCAAGCATGCAACAGGCGAAACAGAAGTTTCTTGCATAAATATGTTCAACACCAACCACCTCTCACCAGCCTTCTTTCTTTTTGTTGTAACAAAATTTAGATCAATATAATTATATTTATTTTAAATTATTAATCACCAGCTTTTCCCTTTTATTAAAGAACTTAATTTCATCATTTTTCCTCCCACAATCTTTTTTGTTTATCTTCATTTCTTTTTTCTTAATATTATCTAATAAGAAGTTTTAGTTTATTATTTCTTGAAAACAAAGATTTTGTTGAAGATTAAAAATTAATTTTACGAGTTAAAATCAATAACAAATAGAAAGAAAAAAATATTTAATTATTATTACCATCATTATGTTAAAATTAAATTGCTTTCCATCAAACTCAATGTGCTTCATCATCATGATTATTAACAGCTACTATGTATCTTAAATACTTCTGTAAAATATCTAAAAACTTATTTGTTGATTATTAGTATTCTACATCTAAATCTACTTCAAAGCATAACAGATCTCAAAAAAAAAAGAAACTTGAAAGAAGAGGATATTTAATCATAAGAAAAGCTTCCTCTATAAATAGATAAATAATCAATCCTCTGTAAAATATCACATTTCACAATCAAAATCACAAGAATCATAACACAAAAAGAATAATAAAATAAATTAAAGAATTGCCTCTGAGGGCTGTTTAGCTAAATTCATAAAATTTAAATCCTAGAGGTTGACTGAATTGGAAAAACTTAAAGAAATTTATTCATGCTGCTCATAAAGTAAAATAAAAACGAGAGAGAAAGTTCATAAATGAGAAAAAGAATTATCGACAGATGATACAGAAGCTTAAATATATTTATTTTCATGCAACTCGTAACATCCGAGAAGCCACAAAACAAATTGTTATTTTTTTTCTGGTGATTGTTAAGAAAAGTTTTAGAAATTGTAAGATAAATAAACTAGAAATGATGATGGTCTAAAAGTATAAAAAGCAAATTTTCATGTGCAGATTGAACTTTTTTCTTGAACTTGATTAGATGTTAAATATTTTAATAGTTTTTTTTGTTGGAAAAACGAATTGGATATTGATAGAATTTAAGCAAATGAATGCAATGTGTGATGGATGCAAATGTGAGAGTTTTCTCCGAGCTTCACAAGATGAAGCATGAAGGAATTAGTTTTATAACTTAAAGAGAAGAAAAAGGAAATATTTATGCTATCATTTGTCTCGCTATCTTTCCTTTCCCTTTCTTAACATGTATCTAGATATTTCTTGTTTAAAATTTATTAGATAAAAGTTAGAAATCTACATCAAAGATATTCATTCTTCGTTTCTTTATCTCAAATAATTTTAATTTCATTTAATTTATTTTGCGAAAGAATTTTATTTAAACGCATAATTACGTTGCTTTACGAGAAGAATCATTTCTGTACTACTCTCTACTAAGTTACTACTTACATAAATAAATATTTACATAGCGACTTCTTCGATCATCAAATATTTGATTGACCAGAAAATAAATTTTAGAAAAGGACTATAAGAAAAGATTGTTTAGATTTTTTCTCTATTTATGATAACAAAAATTCTGATTTAAAGAAACAACAAAAAAAGTAATAAAAAGACGAAAACATAAGTGAAAAAAAAGTTAAAAACAAATTTAGAAAACTAATAAAAAAAAAATGGATATCGAAAACCGAATTTTTGTGCTATTTTTATTGGTTTCATTAAATCTCTTTACTTTCATTTAATGATACTTCAAATTTTTTTATCAGAAGAGTTGAAGGTTTCAATTTTCCTGTTGCTTTTTTTTTTTTCTTCACAGGATCACCAACAAATAGTTCAATATTATCAGCTGAAAGTAGCAGCAAAAGTAAGGACTCAGTTGACAGTGCGGAACCAAAAACCGATCTGACAGCATCCACTGCCAATGTTTACGGCAAGGATACATTAATCAACTTTGAAAATGAAGAGCTGAGTTCTTCCAGTTTCAGTTCGTCATACAGTGGCGATCTACTTCATTTTACAAACGCATCAGAAGATTTAATTTAATTTAGAAAAGATTTCATCATACTTTCTTCTTCTTCTTCCCTTTTTATACAAGAAACAAAAATCTATTTCCAATTTTTTATTCTTTTTTACAATTCAAAGCTCAAGTTTCGTCTTATTTTATTTAATAAGATAAAAGACATCAACAAAAAACAACTAAAATAAAAAATTGATATTTTTATACAGATACCTACACACACAAAGGATAAATCTAGAAAGTAGCGTGAATCTTTTTTGGACGTTTCTTTATATTTAAAAATCTTCAATGATATTTCTACAATCATGATTAGCAATTATGTAATATGCATTTAATGCTATGATTTAAATTTAACATTATTAATGTTTGTTATGAAACACATCATTAAAGCCAGTGATTCTCAAACTGTGTGTGCCGTAAAAGTTTTAAAAAATACTTGAAAATTCCCACTTTACAAGAAATATTTTTTCATCAAAAAAGAGAATAGTTAAAAATAAAACAAAAATGCTTTTCAAGTGTTTCATGAAAACATTTCAACTTTACTTATCGTAGGTCGAAAGACGAAAAAAAAAGTTTGAGAAACACTGATTTTTTTTAGTAATAACTTTGAGTCCGATCTAAACACATTTAATTGCATTTTATATTTGATAGATTCTCATTTTTAAGTGTTTAGATTGGTCGCGTAAGTAAGTTAATAATGTAAGAATGAAGTTAAGAACGTTTAGAGATGATCTTGAATTAAGTTGAATATGAATCGATAGATGTTAATGATTTTTAAGACAGTTGGATGTATTTTCAGATTCTTTGAAAGCATAATTAGGACCGTCATTCTAATTCAAATTTGCATTTACGTGATGTTATCATAACAATGATTTGTTTTATTCCAAACATTTTCATTATTTATCTGTGAACATTTTTTCTTTTTAAATCAAAACCGAACCAATCATGAAAAAGTGAGTAGAGCTCGTATTTGAAACTCATGAACCATTTCCACGTTTATTACTTTTATAAAAGTAAACGTTTCCAAATCAATCAAAAAGAAAACAAAAAATTAATAAATAAAAATAAAGCTCAGTGATATCAGAAATTAGAATAAGTGGCTTGCAGTTGATTAACATGCTTATCTATTATAGAAAAAGAAGTTGGAAAAAGTTGATTATTTCATCCGCACAACACTTTAAATCCATTCAAATATATTGAAACTTTTCTTTCATGGAATAGAAGAAGTTATCTACACAAATATTTAATATCCTATCATAAATATTACAAGAAACAGAAGGATTTACAAAAGAAAACTAAAGGAAGAAAACCTAATCAAATTAACGGTTTTTGAAGTTGTAGATGAATTTATTTAATTACAGATGTTCTTATTGTACTGTAATATCTACATGAATGGATGTAAATAAATGTTAAGATTTAATCATTCAGATCTCTTAATTATTTATTGTTTTTCTACTTATTCCCAAACTAAATTGAATTTGATAATCTTATTTCGTCCACCCACAATTATTCAATAAAATAAACATTTATGAATCGCCGATTGTTAAGAATCAACATGGGTCATCATCATCATCATCATATGACAGCAATTTGCGTCATATATTCTGACTTTGTTTCAATTAACAAGAAATATTATTAACACTGGAATGGTCTTTCTTTCTGTTCTGCCTTAAAAGTATTGTCTTAATCTCCATTGAAGCAAACATTGAGTTGGTAAATAATGAATGAAACACTGCCCACTCAGAAAAACGAAACATTTTTCACTTCATTTGAATGCTTAATTAAGAATTTATTGATATAACGAAGACACATTTTAGCAACAGCGTTAAAAATATAAAAACTCCGAATGAATTGATACAAAACAAGCTGGAGCGAAGCTTTACATGTGCTTGCTGTTATGCAAGCAAACAAACTTTTGTATTCGTTTTTCATATGTGAGGTAAAAATATTTCACTCCGATATCATCTACTAATGTAAAAACAAAACAAAAAACGTGAAACTGTTGCTGTTTGAATGTTTTTTAATTTTTACGAATCGTAGGAAGTTGAATTTAACTAAGAGAGTTTTTTTCGTCGCACTCTCGGGGAAATATTCTCGTTCAGTCGCGATATTTGTTAGTTCGAGTAGTTTGGTATTTTTTTCAGTTCAGACTTTAAAATAGTTTTTAAGTCTGAAGATTGATTTTAATTCTACAAAAAAATTCTTTCTAAGTAACATCATTTTAAAATTTACAATCTGGAAGTGATAGAAACTGATTAAATAAAAAATTTAAAAGGAAATATAATTTTTTTACTTTGTAAGGTGAGAAGACATTTTGAAGAGAGACAAACACGAAATATTTGAAAAGGTAAGTAAACCAATATCATGATAAAGTCATGAAAATAATTATTTAGTTAGTTGTTAAATTGTTTCAAAAATTATTAAATTGCACAGCAATATAAATGAGAAAGAAATGAATAATCTTGCAAAACCTGAATATTTAAAGGTCTTCATGTCTGTTAAATAATATTTAAGAAGTTCAACTACTCAATTCATTTGTTGTTACTTATTCAAGTAAATCTACATACATGTAGGAAGAGTTTCCGAAAAAAAAAACACGCAAGTGCTCTTTTCTGTCTCAGTAATCTCTTTTTTCTTCATACTTAGATACGTGTTAAGATATATGTAAAAAAAAAGAAATCACACACGAATATGTATGTGAATTAATGACGTATGGAAGACACTGAACACATTAACACCATTCGATGACTAATTCACGAGTGTCAACGTTTTTAAAATCATTGGAGCTTGGCGCTTAAATGAAAACGTTTGTTTTCTTGTCAATAAAGACGTGTTGAGTGTTGGGGAATAAATCTTCATTCCTTAGAACCGAACGTCATGGAAACCGATTATGTATGGTGTAAAAATAAAAGCGTTGCTGCTTTATTTTTTCGCTTAAATAAGTAGAACGTAATTAGGGATGAGAAACTACAAACAAGATTCTACTACAAAACAAATATTAATTACGCGATTATCAATAAATATTTCTTTATCAATAAATTTTCTTAATCTTTAAAAACAAAACTCGAATATTTGAAATGTTTGATTCATTCAAAGTTGATGCTTTGCACAGACAATACGCTCTTTGAAACTTTATTTTTTGTTCCTGATGAAGTTGTTTTGGAGATTAAATGTTCGAAATCATCTCACGTGAGTAATTACGATTATCAGTAAGCGAAAGGTTAAATATTCGGGTTCCAGCCACAACAGATTCTGTTAAAACTGGAAATTTTATTTTCTGACTCATCGACGACGAATGTGTTGAGTTTCCTCACATTTTTTATCTCCCTTTCGAGCAAGCCTCCAGACGCGTGTATAAACTACTGAACTTTATGAAAGCGAAAAAAAGATTAACTCAGTTTGTTGTATTTGTATTAGAATTGAATTTCTTCAATATAAAATAAGTTACTACGTTCAAAACGATACGAAATTGACGTCATTGCGTAGTAAAGTAAACTACGATTCATTCATTCATAAACCTACGTCTCGTAATTTCTCACTTTGCTCAATATGATTTCAAGACTTGAATGATCCTTCTCAAGTGAATGTTAAAAAAATATTCAATGACTTGATGAGCTTTTAAAAAACGGAAAGACTTCGTTTTTGGTTCTTAGGACATCCTGAAAATTCTCTGGCTACGTGTTAAGAAACTTCCGTTATTAAAGAGATCATCAAAAAGAATTTTTTTTTCTTTCTGATTAATTTTAATAAGAAGCAAAAACCAGCAACGTACATAGGTACAAAGTTAATTAAAGTTCACTTAATATTCACTCCTGTACATTCGAGAGAGGTTGAAAAAGTAAACACAAGAGAAACGCATTGAATTGACTTGCCTCAATAACATCACATTTAACCTAGATATGCAGACCCAAGTTGTATTTATTTAGGAAATGCCTAACATTCCACATGCAAACACTCTCTTTGTACTTAATTTAAGAGAATTGATTTAAGGAAGATTTTTAATGATTTGGTAGAAAAAATAATACTCAGACATTTGAGAATTTAAAATTAAGAGATTGAAGTTTAAAAGTGAAGATCATCCAGATGTTAAAAACCTACACAAAATGCAAACAAATTTCATCATATTGAGTATAGCTATTTGCAACTAAATAAATAAATATTACTGGATTTTCTGATGGTACGATGACCTACTAGTGATTCACATTGAGAGCTAAAATTTTAATATTTTAATTAAGAAAATTGAAAGAAACTTTTTATGCATAAAAATGTTATATAATTATTGTTTGATAATAATTCGGACGTCAAATAAAAAACTTTTAATTTATTACATCCGTTTCATATTGAAGGTAAATCTTAAGATTTGATATTTGAGGTTCTTTCTTAAAAAGCTTCCGTCGATAAGTGCAAGAACGTTTGAAATGTCGAGTACTCTCAAGCAATTGAAGATTCAAATTCCATGAAATCCTTTAATGATCATAACATCGGATTAAATGCATTAAGAAAACGATCAGTATTGAAAGTTTTGAACCAATTTCACAATAATTCTTCAACATCTTATGTCCGATTATTAAATTAAACACCTTCAAGTCCGATGGTGTTAGTTGACGAAATAAGTGCGAAAAAAGCATAAATGAAGAGAACCGAATAATGTAAATATTTATATGGATCTGTAACCGTCTTTATGTGTTGGTTATTCTTGTGCTTTCAATAAACAATAAATTATGAAATAAATTAAATTAAAAATTTATAATTTTGGAATCATTACAAGTAGAAATATTATTTCTATAAACTTCAGTTATAAAAACATAAAAATCATACAATGTTTGCATTAGAGAAATAAAAATTGATAAATAAAAGATATGATGAAGCATTGCAAAGCCAAGGCAAAGACTACAGGTTGCAATAATATGATGAGAGAATGAGCAAATATCAAGATATATGAGAGAAGTTTAGCGCTGTATTGGTTTGTCCAGTATTACGCGAAAAGTCTAATGTATGACAACAAAACAGAAAAAATCATCGTGCAGATCTCAGCGGTCATATAAAAAGGCTTCAGTGTCGCTAGAGCCATAATAACTTAAATAAGCTGTCCGATAACAAACTATTACTCAGTTACATTTTAATCTTTGAAAGGTTAACAGCTTCTCGTGAAGAGAAAAGTGAAAAAGGAATCTTTATGTGAAAATAAAAATTTAGATAACTGAAAATCAAACAAAAAAAATTATAAAAAGAAAATTTTATTTATTTCTCATGTGATATTATCATAAAAAAATTAAACATAAGTTTTATGAACATAAGATTATTAGAAATGATGAATATTAGTGAAATTATGAATCGTGATCAAAGAACGACGTTTTTCTCTCCGATTAAATTACTCTTGAAAAGAGGCACAAAAAATAGTGATAAAATATTAAATTACGAAGAAATTCCTGACAATTGTACAAATTGTGATAAAAACCGATTAAAACATAAGAGATGGAAGATTAAGAATAAAATTACGAATATTCCTGAATTATTTAACTCAAAAAGTAGGTGACAATTATCACATTTTTTATCATAAAACCAATCTTGATTTTATTTGCTTTTTAAATTATCTTTAAATTTTAATCTAATAATTATGATGATATATGAAGTATCCGTTTTGTTGTTCTGTACCTGTATTGTGATCTGATTTTCCTAGAAAACACGCTGACGAATCAGCGAATGAGAGAGCGACTCATAAAAAAAATGGAAAACACGAAATAAATTCTGCACAAGCCGCCGCACAAAATATTTTGAATGACAAACGATATAGATATTCTTCCGATACTTGTTACTGCATAGTAAGCGTGACTCATTGATCATTTTTGATCAATTAAATTGTGAGTCGAAGAGATACAATATCCCGCATTTCATTTACATCTGCTTTGGCATTCTATAAAGAGAACGAACGGATCCATGAATTATAAAAGTTAAAGATCCAACAAAAAGAAATTGAAAAGACTGTTCCTAAAACAACAAAAAATAAAATGATAAGTTATCAACATTGTTGTTATAGGCCTTGCAATTATAACTTTAAGTAAAAGAGTCAAAATGAACTAATTATTTGAGGGTTTTATGATTGATAATATTACAAGATTTTTGTTAATGAATTTTTCTCGATCCTTTTCTTAATCTACCTCTTTCATAAATATTTAGTAGGTGGATCTTTAAATTTATGAAAGAGATTATGGGTTTTCCTATTTATCTTCTCTTTCTCTTGTACATGTTTAAAGTAGTTACTTTTGAGGTTTTGATTGAAACACGAACAACCAAAAACCAAACAATTGTTTTATGCCTCAACTCACTTTCAATTTTCTAAAGAGAAATTTTCCTTTTTTACGGTTCCGTCTGATTACAGAATTGAAACTTGTTAACTTTAAAGTCAGATTCACTTTTATCAGGTATGATTTAAGTGGCGTCGAAAGAGAAGAATTGATAACATTTTAAATCTCATGACACAAAACATGTTGACAATTTTAATGAAATTAGAAACACAAAAGCATTTCGAGTTTGATGAAATTTTTATTTTTTTAAATTTGGATAATTAAACTTACAAGTTATTGAAAGATAAAAAAAGAGAACCAGTAAAATAAAATAAAAGTGCTGTTTGGTGGATTATGTGCAATGAGTGAAAAATCATTTCATTTCTTTTAGAAAATTGTAAAATTATTCAAAATAATTTTCTTTGTTCAACAATCATACCCAAAAGATTTTTCTTTTTATTTTTGAATTTAATTTTTATTATGAAAAGTTTTCTTGGTAGCCAGCTGCAATTTGGCTGAAACGCAAAATGTGATTAAAGGAACGGGTGTTAATGATTTTTTAATCAATCTAATCATTTTTATCAATTGTCTTTTCAGAATTTCTCAATTATTATTTACTGATTACAATAAGCATCTACGTTATGTCTTCAAACCAAGCTGAAGGCAGATCTATTGTTTATGCATCGTCGGAAGAGAATTCTTCAGGGCGCGATGAATCTGACAAAATTGATTTCTTAAATCTACAATGTGTAGTTGAAAGAGATAAACCAAAAGCTCCTCTTAGTGATTCAGCACTCAAATCAAGACTCGAAGCAGTTCTTCTAAGCTGTCGTTCGGCATTGTTCCAGACAAAAGATTTGACAGACAATTACGTGAGTATAAACTAAATTTCTAAGAAATTAAACGAAGACTAGACTATAAAAAACAAAGAACTAGAAATATCAAAATATTTGTTATCACTAAACACATGTTGCATTAAAAGTTGCATAAAAATATTAAATAAAAGCTTAGAAAAGTTGTTACATATGTGGCGAAGAACCTAAACAAACAAATTAGCTTATTATCTTTTGCGACGGAAAACTACTCAAGTTTTATTCGTAAGATTTTGAATAATTTTGAACTAGAAAAAAGTTTCTTAAAAAAAGACTCTTAAGGTGCAGCAAATAACATTCATCAACAAGAAATTGCATTAATAGATTTCAAGAGCAATTTTCGTAATGTTTTAAGCTGAACGCGACATCGATAATGTGGCTAAGCAAGTTTATGTTTTACATTCAGATGATAGCTGTTTCGAACTAGACGCTTTGACGCCGCAGAAACTTTTTGAATTGCGTATTACATCTAACAGGTTGATACATTTATGTATGCTTTTACATCTTAATGACATGTTTATCGTAAAAACATTCCAAATGGTATTGGAAGTGCAATAATTCAAAGACATTTGCTTAGATCCTTGTTTAAGTGAATAAAATAGAGTTTTGGCACCTACCGCATGTTTGACATGAATTTCAAAAATATTCATGATAGAGAAAAATATTCCAAAAACTAAACAGAATGCAGGTTAATTAATATACAACGTAAATAAATAAATTGCATTAATCACTTTTAAAGATATGTCGTTTTAAACTAAATAAACAACGTTTTTCAATCCACAATTCAAAGAAAAAAAGTACATCACAACAAGTTTCCTTAGAATTAAACTTTAAACATCATAATTCAATAAATATTTACATACACGGATTTAGAAATTATTCCCTTCTTCTTCTTCTTTTCTCAATTTTCCCGTACTGTTCACGAAACGGAAATAAAAATTATTCTGTTTTTGCGCACGACAGAATATGACAAGAAGCAATAACAAATATTATACAAATGATCGATGTCTGATATCTCAATATAAAATGTCGAAATGAAAGAGTTAATAAACGGATATAGAATAAATAAATTATCGTATTTCTTTTCACGGTACTTCATTCAACACCTCTATAAAATATAAATTTGTCACTTCATGCTAGTTTCATTTCTTTTGAGTGAAGATTCCGCATGGCTTTAAAATTCCATCATTCGTCATTCGACAAGTTTATGGAACTTCTACAAGTTATGTTGATGGGATTTTGTTGCCAATTAAATAAATAATCGAAATAAAACGAGAAGCAAAAAAAATCAGAAAGTTTAATTAAGAACAGGTTTAAGAGTAAGATCTATGTACATATTGTGATATATGTATCATGCCACAGGATGTTGAAAGAATGTTCTCTTCAGAGATAATATCGACATATTTGCAACGGATATATGCACGGAATGAAGCAGAAATCATCCGCGATAAATACAACAGATTGAGTGTAACTAGGAATGTGATGTAAACGTTTTTTAATCATGACAAATTATTAGCATCATTGCATTTAAAAAGAAGTGTAACCCAGACAATTTTTCTGACATTTATGATGTGTTAAATAGCGAAACAATTAAAAGGAAGAAGAAGAAAGAAGAAAAAAAACTCACAAGAAGATTAAAAAGACAGAAGGCGAAGAGAATTGTTTCTCTCTTGATATCAACACATATTGGTGTCAACTATTTTGCACATTCGAGGAACTTCCTTTCGGAAGCCAAACAGACACATATGGCCATTGTTTCAATACAATCTTAAACGTTGTTAACCGATTCCATTGTTTCACGATTTTCAAATTATTTAAACACTTTCAATTCTTTCGTTCTTTCCCATTTTGTAATTTTATATTTTATATTTTTCAGATCAAACAGATTTGGGGAAACGATGTTACAGTTCACAGGCATCATGAAACTTGGGAGCGCAGGAATATTCCATGGCTTTGGCCTGACAATAAGCCATTGCAGAAGCATTTTCGTGGTGAAATTCACGCGCATCATTTGAAGGAACTGCTCGAAACCAATTGGACTCATGAAAAGGTAAAACAACACTTCAAAACTTATAAATGATTTGAAAGTCTAATCAAAGAAATGTTCCAGATTTTTGAAAAGTTGGGAAAAATTTATCAAAGGTTTCAAAGAATTGGTGTTGGCGTACAAATTGTTAACAAATGGAATAACATTGCATCGATGGAAGGGACACATTTGTTGAATACAGAACAAGTGAATATAAGCACGAAGCTTTTTAAAAATGCTACTGAAGGGATTCATGAAGGTAAAATGAAAGAATTTTATATCAAAAAAATATTTTTTTCATTATTTTTTTTTCTTTTAAATTCGTTTTAGTTCTTTGTCAAATTCAGGCTATTTTTTATGACATGGCTATTGATCCTAAAACTGATATGGACATAACACCATTCGTCATGGACAAATTTATAAGACTAAATCATTGGCTTGTTTATCGGGAATATGAAAATCTCATGGACTATTCACACAAATTACTCAAGATTATGACAGATAGGAAGGAATTCTCAAAATAAAATTGCTACAATTAAATTTAAGTAAGGCACCCAGTGAAACTAAAAACAAAATATAAACGTTAATAATGCTCAAGAAATTTTATGAACGAAACAAGAAACATTTAAGAAAGCTTTCAAAAGGCTTTGTTTTTATGAAAACATGCGCTTGTTTTATTGATGTGCAATTCACTTTTTGTTATGCAAAATCTGTCCTTAGCAGCAATCAGTGTTTAAAAGTTTAAATGTATGTGCAAAAACATTAAAAAATACGCTTAGAGTTTTTGTACATATGTATATCAAAATTAATTATGAATCTATTATTGTTAAACATTTATATTCTTAATTTTAAAAATCTTACAGAATCTGTATTAACATGCCACCCAAATTTAGAAATTATTGCCATTAGAGGATTTTTAAACTTAGACATTGATGATACTTTTAAAAATATCTTCATTGAAAAACATTTTTCTATAATTAATTTTGATGTCAGATAAAGAGCAAAAGTGGACCTCGCAATGTTTAGACAAAATAAAGAAATATATTTATTGTAAAATTGCAAAACAGGTAGAATTTTGAGTTTTGTTTGAATTTTTAATGCTGCTGTTTGTCGTCTACATGACAAGAGAGATTTAAATGCCGTCAAGGTACACGAGAGTTACGAGTTTGGATATTTCTTTTAAAAGCTTTTATTTGACTCTCTTTGAATAAAAAGCTCAATCGAAAGCTCAAATTTATTCGAGAGAGTGAACATGACTCACAAAAGAGAGTGAAAAAGCAACGTTAAAAGGAGAGAGATTAACATCATCATTGTGTGAAACTGTGTGAAACGATGTGAAGAAAAATGTCGCAGAGTTGATTGGGTTCTCTTGAATGTACAGAAAGAAACCATAAGAAATATTGAATTTAAGAATGAAACTCTCAGCAGGGAGTCTATCAATAATTTTCACTACCAAAGCATAGCGGCGAAAAAAAGGGCTCAAGAGGCCGAAGGAAAGAAGAATAAATATTGATTCTTTTTGTTAAAACGTGTAATGAAATAACAACTTGGAAGGAGAACTGAAGTCATAAAAGCGAGAATGAATTTTTGAAAACTGTTTGCCAGCATTCATGATTGGCAAATCAATGCGTTATGATCCGAGTTAACCAAGGCCGAAGATAGTTTCATTTTTTGTCTTCTCTTCTTTTTCTTTCAATTTACTTTTGCTGAATGATGATGAGAAAATTTCTGCCCATTTTTTCTGCCTGTAATGTAAATTCTGCTTCTATTGTGATGTCAATTACGATAATAATGTAGCTTTCTTTCGGCAAGATACTCACTTCACTTCATTTTTTTCGGATTTAAGAAGGATTATCTAAAAAAAATGGCATTTAGTAAGCTGATCCATTCAAATAACAACACTTTGTGTTAATCTTCAAGCAAGTGGCTATTAATCTAAAAAGTAAATAACATGAAAGAGCCTGTTGAAGAAGCTTAAAAAAATGTGTTCATATTTGATGCATATCAGCATACCGCATAAGTTTTCTGTGTTCAAGGTGTTCTTTTCTGACCACAAAGTGATAGATAGAACGAACAAGGGAAACAAAACGGTACCGCAAGTAAATTGAATTCTTTCACATCCAATTATATTTCTATTTATCAACGATTTAGTTGTCTGACGTTAGGGATGCGGATGATATATTTATCAGGGTAGCATTAATTGACTCATCATCACTGCTACCCTAAAAATTCAAGCACTTTTGAAAATGGTTTCTCAAATATCAAAACGTGTTCTCACTCAATAAACTGAACACGTTGAAATTTCACAATTTCATGCTTCCTAAATAAAAAAAGGAATTTTTATGAATTGCCAAAAGTCAGATGGTTTTATTAACAACTTCAGCAACGTGTGTAGGTAGCTGAAGGAAGAAGGAGAGAAAAAATGCAACAGTAGAAACAGTGGAAACAGAAATCTCTTCTGAGGGTGCGAAAATTTCTTAGAAATATTTTTGTTTTATTACCTTCAATAATTTCAGTTGTCAAATCCTTCGTACTTAGCGTTCCTTTTGACCTACTATGTTCAAATATATCTGTTTGTAAGGTTGTTCCTTTTATCATTGAGCTACATAAATGTGAAGAAGCGAATAAGTTGAACATTTCCCAAATGCATTTTTTAATGCATGAATTTAGAGAATAAGAAGTGTGAAGCTATAAAAATTGTTGCAAGCGCATAAATCATGCGGCAGTCAAGGAAAAGCGCTTTTAAAGAGCTTGTTTACCTTCGAACGGAATTTTCTAAACAGAAAATAGGAACATAAAAAGATAAGCAGCTCCTAAAAACAATTTACCTTTATCCTTTGACCATGCAAGATAATAAAGTCGGATAGTATCGTAAAGCGTAATAAAAATTTGAGAAACTTTTAACACAAAACCACCGATAATTCCTGGAAATCATTGACTTTCCTCAAGTTTTTACGATTGTTTTTAGAGAAAACATTTAAATGACTTTATTGCTTTGCAGTCATTTTATTTCTTCTTCTTCTTCTACTTCTTAACATTTATTTGTATGATTGTAAACACACCGATTTGCTTCAAATATTTCTACAAATGGCTGTAAATATTTTGAACCCTTTTAATTTCTTTTTCTTTTTCACCAACCTTATAGCTATCAAAAAAAAAAAAAACAGCAAAAGCGTGCTGCTGTGTGCAATCATAATTTGTTGTGAATTTTTTTATAGCTAAGATTTGTAAACAAGACAGATGATCGCTGCTTGTTTTAGTTGAAAAGTTGTTGAAAGAAAAAAAAGTTTCGAACAAAAAAAATGTTTTTGTGTTTCAAGCCGCGTTGCATTTACTTTTAGTTGATTTGTCTTTATTATGTCATAGTCTAATTACAAAAGTAAACAAACAAGAACCAGTTTAATGTTTAATGTTTTAAAAACATAAAGAGATATAATGACAAAATCTAATATGATCATCTCATTTATTTAGCTATGGTTCGTTCTAATATGTTCATCCTGTTGACATTTATCACAAACTAAATCTCACAATTCTTCACTCTCTGAATATTTTATGTAAAAATCAAACAAGAAACAAAATATCTGAATGTAGATATGTCTTATTAGCCGCTCTTCTTACACCTCGCTGCATTCTTTCAATTTTAAGTCAATATAAACAATCATAACTAAGTATTTACCCTTGTAGAGGTCAGAAACGTCAAAAAAGGTCTCAAGACTTGTGATTGAAATGCAAAAAGATCTTTTCATTAGTTCTTCTTATCAGGACTTTGTTTTCCAAGAAAGTTTAATTAATATTTTCTATTCTAATTATATTACGCATTCAGTGGCCAACTCTTTCATCTTGGATAATAAAAAAAACTATTTTTTATGGTCAACATTTTAATTTGAGTGCATTTAAGCTTATTAATTCATGATAAAATTTTATTGCTTCTTAGTTTGTATATTTATTTACATACTTTTTTTCGAGAAGGGAAAATGATGACGAAAATGGTTTAAATAATTCTTTCCATTTCTCCTTTTTTTTTTTCTTAAAGAAAAGAAAGAAAAAATTTAATGAGTTTGGCTGCCTTGTTGATTCACTCGACTTTCAATAACCACTTTATGCCACACACAAGGCAGTCACAATAAATACTTATATCAGAGCTATCGCATTGTCACCAAAAGCGAAACGTTAAAAATGAAATAAAATAACACAAAACATTCCATCATTGTCAACGAACATGCTCTTAAAGTTTAATTGAGATGAAAAATCGATGAGCCTTGTTTTAAAATTAAAAAAGTTGCATTTGTGCAACAACTTCAGTGATGTTTCCGTTAAATTATTCTTTATTTACAGTTTATCGAATAACGAATAGAAATCAAGAAGAAAAGTAAAAAAAAGTTTTATGTAAACATGTGATCAGAGATCAGGTTCACCTTATTAAACTTTTTTTATGTAAATTAGACAAAAAAATCTACGTTCTTGGGTTATTAATCCCTCGAAAAACAAAAATGTTGCTTAAGAAATCATCTACTTCAATCACGAATGAATGGAGACAAAAAATCATTTGTATTCTTAGCGCAAAATTCATCTTAGCAGCTCAAACGTATGAATGAAGAGAAAAATAAAAATTAACATAAAGAAATCTTACTTCTTTTCAATTATGTTATTTATGCTTTTCTCCACTTGTAACGAGATGGTTTCCCAGGGACAGAGAACGACACCAATATGCACAGCTTCAAAGGACATGAATGTAGCTTCTTCTAAGAATTCTCTTATGAATCGAAAGGAAATTCAGAGTCAGATATTTCTACTTCCTTAATTTTATTTGATATTCAGAAACTATCCTCTCCGAATAAAAGAAAATAAAAGTTAATTCAAGTTAAGGAATGTGATCCTCATTCAATAAAAACAGCCAACAAAAAAAAAACGAGAGTAGCACAAAAAAGGGAACTTAATTTTAAATGAGAGGCATAAAAAGCCACGAACGTTTGCACAAATAAGCGAATATCTCACCGAAATATAAACGAGACTAGAAAACACACACCGATCATTATCAAAATTAATTAATGACTCGATGTTCAGCTCCAAGGGAGTGTTTTTATTATTGTTGCTTACCGCAGAGAATATTTTTATGTAAATTGTTTCGTCTTCGCAAATTCATTCTTTGATTTTCTGGTGTTCTTTTTCTTGTTTCTTCCCAATTTCGACGATTTCTCATTCTTACGGGTTTCTCTTGTTCCCATTGATGTTAACATCGTGTTATAAACTGTTACGGCGTGATTTTATTTATATTACCTTACCTCTGAAGCATTTTAAAGATTATATTGTGAATGAGTGAACATTTTTGTTCAAAGTAAACATTAATTGATGTCTGTTCATCTCAATTTTATTTTGATTCAAAACATATCATTTGACATCAAATCACATCATTGTTTAGGATAATAAAACGATTAATAAATCTAGAAAGTGTTGGCTAACATTTCACGCTCTTTTTCCTTGCTATATCGTCTACCATAAAATATGTAAATGACTAAGCCAATAGCAATCCAAACACCAAAACGAATCCATGTTGCAGTATCTAATTCAACCATTAAATAAATATTAACCATAATTGAAAGAGCGGGAAACCAAGGAACGAATGGGACACTAAATGTCAAAATTTTCGCTGATTTTGGCTGACGAACGAGTATAATCATGGAAATAATAATTGCAACAATCGGTAGACATAAAAGAACGATTGCTAATGCATCGCCTTCTAGAATATCACCGCCCATAAGTGATATGACAAGCGACATCCACATACAAAAAACTGCGTAAAGAGTTACGATTATGGTCACCAATCCCGAAGTATATTTTGTTGGGATCGTTAAACCATCGATATTGAAAAGTGTGTTTATGAATCCAGAACGCTCATCTTTCATGTTTTCGCCTTTTTCTCCTGGTTGTGGGCTGTCAACTTCATAACGTAATAAGAGAACGCAAGCAGCTACCATTGAATAAGCCATAAACTAAAATAAAATATTTGGAAGCATTCAGTTTATGTCGAAACGAGTTTCAATTTTCTTTTCACTTACAGTTCCAATACTCATCATGTTTATAAGTTGATCAAGATCAAAGAAAGCTGCAAGGGAGCCTGTTAGTACACCAGCAATTAATGTTCCCCAAAATGGCGTGTTGAACTTGTAATGAACTCTTGCAAAGACATCAAAAAGTAAGCCATCAACAGCAATTGCATAAATCACACGAGGCAAGGGAAACATTGCGCCCATCAATGAAGCAAACATTCCGAAAATAGCTCCAAATGTTACCAAATACTCAGCGAAAGGCCATTCAAAAGATCTGAAGACAGCAGGTAGTGGCGCATTTTCATTCTATGCAAATAAAATATTTATTGAGTCAATCAATTCGATTTCATTCTCACCTGATCATAATATGGAACCATAAGAGTTAACACAGAAGAAATACCAAAATAAGCAAGAAAAATGATGAATAAAGACAAACAAATAGAGATTGGAATTGATTTTCTTGGATTTCTTGCTTCTTCGCCTGCAGTTGCAATGACGTCGAATCCAATAAATGCATAGAAGCAAATCGCTGCACCTTTTACAACGCCCACAAAACCATATGGAAAAAATCCGCCTGTACCTGCACCTTCAGGAACTTGTTCAGCAGGAATAGCCCAGTTTGAGAAATCCATTTTAAAGAATCCGCAAATAATCACAAATAGCACAATTGAGATGTTTGTAATAGTGACTGTAATGATAGATTTCTCAAGTTTATTATCAACATTTAAAGTTTTATGTGTTGATAAGATTGAAACTTACAAACATTATTCATTAACGCTGATTCTTTTGCGCCGAAAGCTAAACCGACTGAAGAAAGAAAAAAATATTTATCAATGAAATCATTAATTAATCTGCGATACCCACGTGAGACAACAATAATAATTCCAAGAGCGAAAAAGTCTGCGTATCTTCCAAAGAAAGGCACACTTATTGGAACAATCTCAATCCAAAAGTTACTTATTCGATTCCCTGTTATTTCGTCAATATAATTTGTAATTCCTTTTGACACACTTGCGCTTCCAATCGCATACTCAAGAATTAAATTCCAACCGATTAGAAAAGCCACAAATTCTCCAATTGTCACGAAACTGTAAATGTACGCACTTCCAGCTTTCGGTACTCTGGCGCCAAATTCAGCATAACATAATCCAGCAAGAACACTAGCGAATGCCGCAATAGCAAATGAAAGTATCACTCCAGGGCCAGCAACATTTTTAGAAACTTCACCAGCTAAAACATAAACTCCCACGCCCAATGTTGATCCAACTCCCATAGCAGTTAAATCCACCGTCGATAGAAACTTCTTTAGCTTGGATTCGCCAACCACCATTGGCTTTTTACGAGTCAGCGATTTATAAAATGCTCGTAAATTCATTTTGTTAATTGGTTAAGTTCAAGTATTTGAGATATTCAATGAATTGCGCGTACTTATTTTCGAATTCATTTAAATCCTTCCACTTCTGATGATTGACTGAATTATTTCACTCAATGAAATCGCAAAATATACTTCATGTTATCACATTATTAATACCAAAAGGGTACTTGAAATGTAATATATCCAGCCTTAACTTTTTCAGACGCGTGCTGATAATAATAATCGTATTGTCGAATTTATATTATCTCCGCACTTGTGAGATTTTTCGAAAGTTTTGTGTCTGAAGTAATTTTTATCGACTTCTGTTTCTATTTTTGACTTAACAGTCATGAAGTTAACAATGATAAGAAAGACTTTTCCAAGGATGTTTCAGAAAGTTCCACGAACTTTCCATAATTTTGCCGATAAATTATAAAAATATGACGCTGCATACATTAAATGTGAAGTATGTAGTTAGAAAAAAGTTTTATTTAAATACAATTTCAGCTTGGTTGTCTGTCCACTTGTAAAAAAGCAAAGCCAAAATTATAATAAATAAATAAATAAATTATTGACTTTTATAGCTGTGAGAAATCGCGCTCTTGTTAACAACAGTGGTAAAGAACGATGAAAAGAAATAAGAAAAAAAATACGCGTTGGTTCTTTCAGTGCATTTATTATGTTTTTTTTTATGTTTTGCGGATATTTGCGAAAAGTTGTGTGGCACTTTTACAAGTTATAAAGAAGAGCTTAACTAGATAGTAACATAGCTATTTATCATCAATCAATACAAAAGCAATTGTCAAACACTTATCAGTTCAGTCGTGAATATTGTTGATCAAATGATGGAAATAAAGTTGAAGAGAAATGCGATGAAACCGTGGCGCAACACAAAAAAGTGTGTAAACCTAGGGCATATTTTTTATTTATTTATTTTATTCAATCTTTATCACGATTTTATTTAAACAAACTGTTTTCCTCTTGGTTATTGCTTTACTTAATTCGTTTTGGTAATATATATTTTAGCAAAAGGCATCATCGGATATCATTAAAAAGGCATGAGTTAATAAAGGACCGAAAGACCGAGCGAACGAGCGACCGATCGGCAGCAGCTTCATTATGAAAACGTTCTTCTCATCATTGGATGTAGCTACATGTGTATACATACATATAATCTAACGTTCTGATTACGGCATCAGATAAAAGGTTTCTCCCCTTCACAACAACTAAACACATAATGTAGACAAAATTAAATGTTGGCCTTTGAAGAGAGAACAAAACATAAAAGAATTTTTACTTTCGGGACAATATGAGACTGCGAAACATTTAAAATTAGGATAAAAGCACCGCGTTTTATGGTCATGATATATCAGTCTGAGTCGTAGAATGAATGTATGACAATAAGAGATCAAATTTATGTTTTATTTAATGATCGCGAATCTCTTTGAGACTGATGTGGTATTTTGAAAGTAATTTAAATATATTTATGCAGATATCATAAAATATTTAGAGAGACTTATTAGCTTACAAGAAAAATTCCAAAACAAAACCGACAAATTAAAACAAAAAAGAAAAAATGATTTTCGTTGTTGATAAATGCTGCCGGTGTCACAAAAGTTTTAAATCTATTTAAGAAATAGGAAAACTGAAACTAATATCTAGAGGTTCTCTTAATTCATCTTAATTCATGGGACGACGGTTGCGGCACATTCTGCGGTTGTTGTCGTTGATAATCTTGACCACCTAGCTCTCATAATGCAAATGAAATATTAATACGAATAAAGTTATCTTGATTTGTCTGCTTCGATATGAATCTGCTCATGCGAAAAAAAAAGAAAGAAACTAATAAAAGTGTCATAAATTATTATGAAGAGACAAATGAAGAAAACACGAGGAATATAAAATGTTTTACATTTTAAGGTATCTGCAGACATAATTTTTGATGATCATTTTTGTGGGAAAATTGTGATTCTCAGCCTCAGAAACATTTTTTGCAAATTAAATCACAACATCTCGTTTATTCTAAAATGTGCTCGCTATTTTTTTGTTTTGACTTATCTTTAGCGGAGATTCTTTTAATGAGTCACTAGAATAAATTTTAACATAAAATCTCACGTGTAAACATATTGACTTAACAAAGAAACAAAGCGATATGACATGATGAGATTAGAGAAATTAAAGAGATGTCATGCTGTTTGGGGAATCTATTTTAAATGTTAATTAAATAAATAGAAGAGATTAATTGGATTAATATTTATCGATATATGTGTCCAACTTCTAATTTAGTTTAAGATTCTATTAAAAGATTAGAAAATCATAAAATTCTTTATCACAATACGTCTGACATTGAACAACATTTGGTCGAGTTTCATCAAGTTGAATGGAATTTGATATCAATTTCCGAATGAAACAATCATGTAAAGAAATTCAATATTAGTCATAATACACCTAAATTAAGAAAAGGGAAGCGAAATATTATTAAGCTAAATCATTACAAGATATATGATACGATAATTCATTTTTTTTTATCTTGCTTTGGTCATTGCACAACCGACGGCATTTTATATTTCTGTGGCTTTTTTTTTTCGGTGTTTTGTCATATGAAAGAGAAGAAATAACACCACAAGTGCAAGATCATTCAAATTTCAACGTTTTAAGCAACAAAAAAATAAAAGAGAGAAACATGGACTCGTTCGTTAAATATCGACAGTGTAAATTGTTTTCTGGCCAGCAGTGGTGTTGTTAACCATATACCTTCAAAACGATCAAGTTCCACCTCAAAATGTTATAATAAAATGGCAGGTATTTTTTTAAAATATGCAGTTATGCACTCAATGAAAATGGAGAACAAAAATACTGAATTCTGAATAAGGACACCGGCGTTGAAGATAACAAATTATGTTTAATCTTTAAGCTATACACACAAATATCTTTTTTTCTTGTTTCCTTTTGAGAGTCTATTAATTTTTATTCTTAACAAAATTGAATTGAATGAAATAGTTGCAGATCGTTATTGCTTCTTTCTCAATGGCTCAAGAAGTGTCAAATTGGTGAGACCCTAAATTTTTAACTCTGCAGACTCTTTGCGCTCTTGTCAAGAAATATGCACACCTTTCATTATTTTACTTCTTTTTTTTTTGCTTAAAGTAAAAAAGGTTCCTTTAGTCTTCACCCGCAAAATAATAGAAAAGTGCAAAACTGTTTGCTGTCGTCGGAATGTCTGGACCTTTGTTATATTTAACAATGACACTTTTATGTTTAATGAAAGAATTATTCTCTGACCATTGTTCGGACTCCAAAAGGTCTATGCAGCTTTTTGTTCTCAACAATCCACATGGTTTATGGAGAAAGAATTCGTTTTCATTATCCAACAATAAAATGAGGAACAGATGAACATTTTAGTTCTAACATGACTTTTTATGTCATTTCATGAATGGAACATGTTTACTCTGCCATAAGCATTGAAAATCTGTAGTTCAATTGGTTAAAGATAATTTTTAAATTTAGCATGAAATATTTAATTTTGTTACGACATTCAACTCAAGTGCAATTTCAAGTTACGCCACAAAATCCGCATCAATACTCCACTTAGTAACGATAACATTCCTAATCTTACAAAATTTTTCATCATATTTCAATGTAAAAGTGAAAAGATTAATAGGAAAAGAAATTGAGTGGAAATATTTTCATTAAAGATAAAAAGAAAAAGATTTTAATCGTCATCTTCGGTGTGATCAAAACGACAAAATCCTTTGGACAATTCTCACATTCCTTTTTGAAAATATTTAACAATAAACCTTGTCAGAAGTGAAATATCAAATAAATAAATAAATCAAAGAAATTGTGTGCTGCTTGAAAAGCGAAGCTTTGAAAAATATCTCAACTGTCTGTGCTAGAAAGAGACAGTCAAAACCTGGCGCCAGTCGCAAGTAGTTGGTCTTTTTGTTGCACGAGAGAATAAAGAATTCTATTTTTATTCAATAGTCTCCTTTTTTACTTTAAACTGTGATAGATTGGTTATTCTTTCTCAAGTCTTCTTCATCCGATCCGATACGAGAAGGCAACAGCAGAAAACCCAAATGCAGTTGCTTTCATGAAAACAATCAAAAAGCTTTTCAGTTCTTTTCAAATACAATGGAATTCTTCTCTTAGTGAATACATAGATATATTGACGATAAAAGGTGATCAGCTTTGCAGAGAAAAAAAATAAATGAGAACAAAAAAAAGGACTTCAACAACAACTTAAACTTCGATCTCTTTAAGTGTCTAATTTTGCGCTACCTCCTACATAAACCAATCAAGCCTTTTGAAATAGACAAACCAGTGTGACCAGCTTTTTTCTTCTCTTCAACAGTTGTGAAAAGTTTTGCCTCAATCAGCAAAACGATTTACTATGCTTTTGTTTTCAAATTGCTAGAAGACCCTCGAAAACGACAGATAGGTGAAAAGAATGAGAGAAGAAACAATAAACATATAATTTCAGGATCTTAGAGAAAGGAATCTAACAGCATCACGCTGCAGCCATTTAACAAAGCGGTATTTCCGTTTCAGTCTATGCGAAAAATATATAAATAAATATCTTCTCAGCCTGAGATTTTACTTGAAATTTGATGAGAGACCTTCAAGATATTTATGAATGGGGCTAGGAAAAGAACTGAGAAGTTTTCTTGGAAAAATTTCAGGTCCGTTCTTAAGGCGTTTGCCGCCAGGAACTCAACACAACACACAATGAAGAAAAAATTCATTGGGGGGAAAATTTCAGCCAATTAAGAATGAATGGTCTGCTTCTTCAACGAAATCTTTTTCTAAATTTTTTTCTAAACGATTTAAAAATAGTTCTTTTAAGATTATTCATAGCTCACATATGTATTCAGCTAGACACAATGCTGATGATTCATTAATAAAGACTTTTAAGATTCCACTAACGTGCTTGGTTTGAAAATCTTTATTTTTTCTTAACTCAACTCTTTCAATTTGATAACTGAACAGATTGTGAGGTGATTTGTATACTCCGAGTATATAAATTCATTCGTATAAAGATTTATCTGCTGTTCAGAAAGATTACTCGAGAACAAAATAAAATTATTTATCAAAAACTGGTGATCTTGACGTGCTTCTTTCCATCTATATCACATGTTGAAGAGTTAAATATTCTAGCAGCACTTCAATTCTCCTGTTCGTTTTATTAGGCGCTTTTTTGATAAATTATTTATTTTCTTGGCTATACGTAAAAGAAAAGAGAAAGAGAAGAAAAAGGAAACCACGGTGGATAGTGATGGGAGGATGTAGTTCATCATTCATGATTGTTTGATCTGCGGATCATCGTGATATATCTAACTAATTCAATGATGGATTTCAGTATTTCACCTAACAAAGTCGCATTTGTTTTAGTTTTTCTTTTTTTTGTTTATTCTGTTTGTAAAGATAATTCAAACTTGATAATTTTTCTTTATTTGTTGATTCGCTTACTTTTTACAGATATTTATGACTCCATTTTCCAGAGACATTAAGTATTTGATTGTCAACATTATTTAATGTTAAAGCTGCTTTAAGAATTAAATCCGAATATCTAAGCACTGCCGACAAAAAACACTTTTCAACAGTTTTAACTTATCACCCGCTGTGTCGAGTGGCACATTTTTTGGTTGGTGTGCAACTTTTTGGTTTTATGGATTTGCAGAAACATGAGTCTTAGAAAAGTTTGGAAGTTATTTAGGTATACATTTTGTGACCTTCAATTTTTCAAATCTTTCTTACCTTACACAGCTTTTAATGCATTTTGTAGAAAATTGATGTTTGCAACCGTGAAAATGGAAAAATAATATTCAGAAGCGACATAAATATTCGTTGAAGGTCAGAAGAGAAGCAATAGTTACGATAATTAAAGTTAACAAGCAGATATCTATCTCAGACACAAAGATTACTTCTTAAAAACACGTAAGAAAACATTTGACCATATTAGAAACATTCTGTTCACCATAAACAAACTTTAACACCAACGCATGATCGTTTTCCGACTTTTCTTCCTCATTTTCTTTAAAACACTCAAAATTTCTCTTTATCAAATTTACTTAAAGTTTTTCGACAATAATGATAAGTAAACCGGGCAAAAGAAAAAGTTCAAACTGAAACCAAACAAATTTATTTGTCAACCTTCTTTCACTCACAGTCTCAATGGTCATTTTCATATTAACTTGAACATTGAGGTTGAGATCCAGCAACGACGCCTAAAAATATGAATTACACGAATGAAATTTAATCCATTAATTAGATTGCTTTTATCCACTTCTTCAATGTGGCTCTAGCAGACCATGTTGAAAGATGAAAAGTTCGGTCAATCGTGAACATTTAACAGCAAAAAAAAATTAAAAACTGAACGAAATTTCTCAATGAAACCTTCACGAGTTACATATTCGAAACAATTATCTTGTTATGGAATTGGAATTAACAAAATCATTTGGGGTTTGTGTCCGACAACAAACATTTGATACTTTTCAATCTGGAATTGCAACCAACCTAAATTTAGGATGTGCAACGTGATTATCTGCAATTATTAGGGCTCAATTTCCTAATTTTTCCTACATCGATTGTTCTCGAAATATTTATTCACAACTGAATGTGATCTTTTTACAGATATCTAAGCATCTTTTTGTAAATCGTCTTATTACTTACTTCTAGACTGATTTGTTTATATTTAAAAAATATTGTTTTTCAGCATTTTATTTTGCAAACGTGGCCTTCTTAAATTTAGTTTAATATTAGCAAGTTCTTCCAAGATAAAAGTCTTGTGTCTTATATCTTGTGACTAGTCTTATGACTGCAATGTTATTGTATTTGAGATTTATTTTGTTTACAATTTAATTTTGAAATGCGTAAACATTTTGGATTCTTATGTAAATATATTTTTAGATATACATACTTTAGAAAAGCACAAGTGAGTTTATAAATGAGACACATATGTACATAAATAGATCTATTTAGTTTAAAGTTTATTTACAGTTTCAGGTTTTGTTTTCAACCTTATGTGGTCAAAAAGTATTAATAACCTCATTGAGGAAGCAAAATGAAATTAAAATTTGATGATAGCTTTGCAAATTCGCATTTTTATCCAGTTCTGATATATTTTCAGAAAATAAGAAATTCTCGTCACCATTTAATCACGTTACTGTAAGTAACAAAATATGCGCAAAAGGGAAAAATATTAAGCAACGCAGCATCTTCCTGCTATGTGAAATATACGACTGATGAAACACAATATGTTTCAGCGATAAGTCAAGCATTTATATTATATTAACATTTTGTAATCAACTGGTACAAGTTGTACTATAAGGAGACGAAGAAAAGAAGCATCAGATAATATTGAACGTGTAATAAATCACAGCATGAAAACACCCTGATGTTTCGGCAAATATTTAGTGTAAAGAAAACACCTTTTCGAACTCCTAAAGATATCCACGTATACTCAAAAAGATTTAAAATGCACAATTTTGCTTTCTTTAACCGGAGAGTTTTTGTTTACTTTTTGAAAAATGAACATTTAAAGCTGTTCAACGACAAACACAATAGGATTTATTAAAGCCACATATTTGCAAGCAAAATATTGATTATAATCACGGTACTAACTCTCAAGACATTGCTTCAAAACATTATCAGCCAAGTTTTATGCTTTTTAAATTTTATAATGTTTTGGCAAAAGAACAAAACAAAAACTTCCAATTGTTTACAATCTCAGGTGAAAAATTTTCATTACAAAAAAATCGAAATTTAAAATTCTTCTTTACAGTCAAAGAATTTTTTTTTCTCATTTTTTATTTAACTCCAAATCCCAAAAGTCAAAAGAAAAATCAAGAATTTGAAGAATGACATGTCAATTATATCGTTAGCTATTTTAGTCGATATGTGTCTCCATAAATTGGTTATGGTTATCTTAGAGAACAAATTTTTTAACATGTTGAAGTGCCACAGAGTTACGATGTGGTTTGAATAGAAAACTTCATAACGATTATCATTTCTTTTTTATTATTAAAAAAAGTTCAAGAACGAAAGAATTGTATTATGAAGATTATTTTATTTGATTTGATTGTTTAAGACCTATGAGAAACAATTGTTGTTCTCAACTCTGTGTATCTTAAGCAGAAGTCAGAACGAAGTGAAGGAAAGAAAATTCCATACTCCCCGCTAGTTTGAGCCAATAGTCATAAGAGGCTGCTGAGTGTGTGAGGTCGACTCACCCGACATTCTCTCTTCATTATATCCATGATGTACGATCATGCTTTATGTTTTTCGTTTTCTTTGAGTTCGATCATGAAGCCGTTTAAGACAGAAGAAAAACATACAAAATTTCTTGTGTTTATTAATTTTATAAAAGGAGGCACAGGTTGACTTCTATTAATTATGAAATTTATTTTCATTCACAGGTATTAGTTACGAATTTGTTTTTACTTCAAACTGAAATTGCATTTAACAGAAAAAATATCAAAATATGTTTTGGTTTCACTATGGATACTTAAAATACCTTAAAATGTAAAAATATTGTGTAAATAGTTAAGGTTTGTGTATTGAGAAACTCTTTTAGAGGATTTTATTTTCAATATTGTTTGCACTTTACTTTGTGACCTTCTCGAATACCGTGAAATTTTAAATTTAACAGTTCAATTGCCTATTCACAATTGAGACGTAGAGAAATATTCTTTGTTCATATTACAATAGAAGGATTAAGTTGTAACAACATAAACTGCTTTGACTGAAATCTTTACAACCAAATTGTGACTGTTTTGTGTGACTTATCTTTTGTTCACCTACTTACTATGAATATTTAATTTTTCATATTTTAAAGCTTCCTTTATTCTACCTGAATTATCATCCAACGTTTTCCTTTTTTTCTCTCTGTGTAATGATCACAATAATTTTGATTGAACAGCAATTCTTACTGATTAGCAAACGTGATGAATGTTCCCCGAGATGAAGTTGTTAACTTTCAAATCTCTCATGTGGCAAGACAGCAAGAAAAGGGCAAGAAGACATTAAGAATTTTTTTTACCTTAAACCTATCACAGCAGGGATTTTAAAGAGGGAACAGATAAAGAATTCTTAAGTGAAGTAAAAATAATTTGTTTTGAAAGACCGAAACACCTATGCCTGCATGATAAGGATGGTGTTATTCCTACTTTGCACCTATTCTTACGCTTCCTTGATGTGTCAAGTCTTTTTAAAATCTCACAAAGCACCGAATTTTTACTTGTTTAAAAATGATTATCATAAAGAAAAAGGTGAAGATGAGAATGGTTTGTTACAAACTCATCGATTATTATTATTTTTTTTTTCAACTAAATCCGTCCGCGGAAATATTTTCCAAACTTTATTACTATGGTCTGGTAATGGATCAAAGGCCAGAGTAGCTCGCATTTAAAAAAAATTTGGAATCATAAAAATCAAAAATCTTTAATAAAAAAAAATTAAATTTACGGGCTGTAAAATTAATAATTTTGAGCCATCGACTGATCATTTCAAACATGAATCGTCTTAGCCGATTATCTGCTACAATGTTGTAGATTAGCCTTTTTAAAAATTACTAACAGTGTCAAACAAAGTGTCTTGCAAAGTGTAAAACTTTATATCAATAAGTAAACTCCCGAAATAATATTGGCAATAAATATCAAAACTAAATAAGGAAATATTTTACTGTCATATTGAATTTTAAGTAATGGTAATTTCGATAAAACTTCAAACAGCTCCACTCATAAGTTCTGCTCTGCTTTTTATGATAATTTTTCGCCAAATGTCAAATTTTATGTGTTCACAAACGTGACGTCTTTAGAACTCAATCAATCGATTGGTTGAAAGAAATAAACTGAAAATTTTATCCATGTTTTTATTATCCTATTGGTGAGGCGGAATTAGACGTTAACGACAATAAATTCATTTCGGATGATTGTCGCTGGTTGGCAGGTCAAAGCAATAAGACCACACACTGTCACCGCTATAATCGGAATCAGACGCGAAAAATAGTTTCTTCAACAAAAAAAAAACTCGAAAATGGTTCAAAAGCAAATTCCAGATGAAGATGATGATATATTGCAAGTTGCATAAATGGAGCAATCGACTCAAATGCAAGAAATCTCAGTCGCAATTTGACTCTTGCAGTTTTTTCTCTCTCGCGCTAAAATTTATTGTTTGCTTCATCAAAATCAGAGGGTCTAATTAAGTCTGAAATCTTTTCTTTTCTGCAGATTGTGTCATTTTCTCATTTTACGTTACATTATTTGTTAGTGGAAAGAAAAATGAAATAAAATCATGAAGCAATTTTGAAGTTATGAGAAAATTGAGGAGACATATCAAAGATATTTACTTACTGTTTAATTTTCATAGATCTCAAACAGTTATGTTCCCACGAAATATGAATTTGTAAGTTGATAAACTAAGGCTCTGTTTCTAAAATACTATCAGTCAATAAAATCACGATGCAAAACATTCACACGCATTTAAGGGAAAGAAAAACCAAAAGCATAAAGAAGGAAACAATGGAAATATGCAAATTATCAAATGGGACAAGATTTTATGGCGTCGTTGCATAAAGTTTTTGTCACAAATATCATGCTTAGCATTATGTATGTTTAAACGTTAAATATTCTTATGAATGCAGAAATGTTCGGTAAAAAAATATTTTTTTAACTTAAATAAATCTTCAGTTGAAGTTTTTTGCAGTGATTCATGCTAATTATATGCCAAATTTAAGCTGTTGAAATGAGTTTCTGAATAGAAGCTTTGCATATACAAATCATGCGGTGAAGTGTCAAGAAATTCTTTCTTCATCAATTCACAATTCAAATAATCTAGTCAAGTTCTTCTTTCAGATTTCTTTTTCGGTAAGTTTTCGGCAGTTTCTTAAGATGTCAACTCAAATCGATACGAAACCACATATAACTCTTTCATTTTTACTGTAGAGAACAAAGCTTCGTTCTTAAATGATTTCTCGCTACATTTACATATCAAAACACATTCCCAGCTTGACTGTAATTGAATACTTTTAAAAAACTTTTACTGCTTCTCATCTTTTAATCCTAGTGTTGATTTCTTTATTTTATGTTTGGCTACCAAGATGTCATTTGAAAACTCTCGCCAAAACATTGTAAACGTTTTGTTTGACAAAACCTGAGCAAAATAAATCTTTTACTGTAAATTGATCACTCAAATCGTGTAATTATCGTAAATAATAATTTTAAACTTATGAATGTGACTCGTAATTGTTCAAATGATCCCAGAAATAAATATTTCGATATTCTTTGTCGTTGAGAATTCTGAAATTTCAGTTGACAATACATTGATAAAAAAAATCATGAGAATGACGTCAAACAAGAATCGTTTCGAATCACGAGTACGTATTATGTCACAATTCATTCTAGATATGACTTCATATATTTTATAACAAATCTGATAACACAAAATTCATTTCGGAATTTATTTCTTTACAGAAAGACGTCAATGAAACGATGCATTGGTTATTCACTGTCTATCAGTTTTTATGACTCTTCTGATAATTTACATTCCTTAAAAATTATTTTTCTCTCAGTAACTTTCAAAAATTATATTCGATTCCAATATTCAACACAAAAATTAATATCAAAGCTTTGTTTAGCTGGTGCTTAGGTTCAAAATTCAATAACACTATTTGAAAACAGTTCAGAAAATGAACAAAAATAAAATTATTAATATTCATTATTCACTGTCATTTAAGAAAACAATCTTTCTGATTATTATCATAAATCAATAAGTAAGTGGATACTAGGAAAAATAAGCTTTATAACCACCGACTAATTTAATGCTAAATAGATGTAAAATAAATGATCGCTTAGATAAAAACAGAATAAATAGTAGCAGTACCTATCTAAAAATAAATGAAATGGAATTTTTAGATTCTTTGTTGACAATTTTAATTAGGTATAAATATTTGAGGAAAAAGGCTGGTGCTAAGAACCGAAATCCAAAAATAATTTTAAATCAAAAATATTAATGAATAGCATAATGAACATTAGTTTTTTAAAATGATTCATAAATATTTAAGGGAAATCTCCAAACACGAACAAATATTTCTAATTTAAATTTCAATTGGTTTAGGGTTTTCCGAAATTAAAAACAAAAACTATCAAAGTTGATGTTTTACTATTGCTTCAATTTGTAAAGATATTAATTATTCAAGTTTAACAGAGCGTAAGTAATTTCACGTAAATAAGAACAAAGAACAATTAAATCCGGTATTATTCAATACGTAAAATAAAAATAAATACCTAAATAATAAAAAAACATTCTACGGTAATCAATAAGTATAGATAACCTGATCATTGACGTTCATTTATATATTTCAGAATGTGAAATTAAGCTTGAAATAAAGTACCAATAAATACTGTTATCGCAAATATTTCCGGTTGTAGCTCAACAAAAGCTTTCTACAGCTACAAGGGAACCTTGCTGCAGATATTGTTTATGTAATTTTAATGAAGTCAAAAGAAAGCTGAATATAGTAATTTTCTTGTTGATCAAACAATTTGAGCATCAACGTATGAATTACGCGTGAATAGCCGCGTCAATACCATTTCGAATAATAAATCTGTAATTTTAAATTGATCATGGAATGAAAACTTGCGACTAATGAATACTTCCTCAACAAATCTTATGAATGTGAATGCAGTGTCAAAGAAGAGTTAAGTAAACAAGATGACAAGATACAAAGTTATAAAGAGAAATGAGTTGATATGTTAATTAAAGATTATTGGTTGGCATTACATCTCTCTGTAAATTAAGTAGAAGTTTAAGAATTACATGTACACAGAACTGATTATTGTAGGTAATTTACCATTACAATTCACTTTTTCACGGATTTATTTTACTGTATTGTCTATAACAATCAAAAGTCACGATATATTCGAACAATTCATAAGTTAAAGGATGTAACTGCGATAGAATGAAATCATTACGTGAAAAAAACCCAACGTACTGACGGGGTATTCTAAAAACTAAAGTGATCACAGTATATTGTTCTGATTAATGCTCGGAAATTTATTTGATCTATTGTTCCACCAGGAACCCCAACTTAAATGATTTTTCCTAAAACTATGACCTTTAAACTGATGATCTAATCAAAATTACCTTAAAATTAAATATGCTGTAAAATTTTACACATCATTTGTTACCGTTCTATTCAATAGATGCTTAAGAGGAGATATCGAAGATGAAAAGTTTGCATGAGATGGATTGCAGCAATCTTAACGTGATATTCGATACGATTATTATTGTTTATTTAAATAGACTCGATGCTTTCTTCATATTTCTTCTTTTTTCAATCTCGTGCAAAGAATATTGATTGCTAAACGCACATGCATGCGGATATGGTTCATCTCAACTCTATTAGAACAAGTTTGCAAAAGATTGTTGCGTGTATGAATAATTGAAATAATTGTTCTTCAGTTTCTGCCATGTCGGACTGTTCGCGATGTTCTTTTCATCAAATGATTTTAATACCTGTGATATTTTCTACACGTTTCATTCCGTGAGACTTTAAGATTCATGAAGCAAAACCTTAAAGTCATGCAACTTTTTAAAGTTCATCAAATTATTTACTTCTTAATGATCAAAAACGTTTCTTTTTACGATCTTAATTTCTCTCTTTTATATGCATTTGGAGACTTCATTAAATACCTTACATATTTATTTAAGTTGTTAAGAGGCTCATTGAATAGACGAGCCTTACGAATATTTTTGCTTAATAAATTTGATTGTTTTTGATAACGAGAAAAAAATTGCGTTTAGCCATGCAACATCAGCAATTTTTTATTTATCGAATAAACATTCAAAACAATAAAGTTTACATTATCTCTCTAAATACGTCAGAGGAATTTTATTTTCGTGAATCCAAACGCAAAAATATTTGCTTCTGTGGTCAAAATTCTTCGAGTATTTGCGAATAAAATTTTTGATATACAGCCGAATCGCTATAAGTGGAAGCTGAAGGTGAGGGTCAAGTATAGAGCTTATCTTCTTATAGAATTGCTTTCCATTATGATTGCAGTTGAAAGGGATGGTCGTGTATAAAGTTTTTCTTGTGTTATAGAGCTTCCACTTAAAGCGAGTCGACTGTATTTTCTTCCTGGTTACCAAGTATCGTGCTACGTCTTTGTGGTTAATTCACGCTTTTTTCACATGACATCGCGATCTGCGAACCTTTTGGCATACTGTTTTATTTTCTTGTTTAATTTGATGATCTCTTATTAACTTTCCAAACCTACACTTCGAATGATGTCATGCAAAACTATTTGAGATGCTTACGAATATTAAATGAAATTCACAATATAGCTCCTTGAGACATAAAAGATCAAATTGTTTCATTCAATGTTGTCGAATTGTTTATCTGCAAGCTTACATATTTACTACACATCGAAATGAAAGTTGATATTTCAACATTTTCTGCAATAATTTCTTAATAAAATAGATCTACAAAAACCATTTTTTATTTCCTTAAAAAGCTTTTGTTGAGTCATCCACAATATTAAATAAAATACCATTCAAGGTGCTGTTGACAAACACTCAATCCACTTAATTAAATGGTCAAAATCTCAATTCTAGTATAAAAGTTCTTTTTCACACGATTATGAATTAATTAAATATGGTCACAAAAGAACTTTAAGGAGTTTATTAATATATTCTTGGATTGTGACTCTTTTGCTGAAACACATCATACAAGATTATTAACAATAAATGTACATTAACACTCCTGGAGGCTATTTGGCATGGGAACAATTTTTTTCCTTCTCTCTTTTCAACATTCCAATCATACTTAGTTATACATTGGTAACATTACTTGGTCTCAAATCGGAAATTGTTGAAGCTTTAAACACCTTTTCAAATATGCTATTCATAAATGATCAGAAATATGAAAACGATGACGTGTTTTAAAGACTGCAAAAAAAAAAGAAAAAAAACAGACGCAGATATTTGAATGAAAAAATAAAATTGAGAGGAGCGATCGTTGAAGAAGAAGTTGTGGTAGGTAAGTTAGATTGTCTTACACTTCAACACTCAGAGAAGTCAAATCAATATTTGATGATAATCAAACAACGCGTAACGGCCAATCATGAATAATAACTTTCTTTGAAGAAGAAGTGAAATAACTTCTGTAAAAATATTTTATTCTTCACCGATTAAACAATAAACTATTTGTAAACAGAATTGACAGACAAACGAAATTGTCAAAGCAAACGAATGATGTAATTTACATCGCACAGATTTACGTCAATGGATCAATGTCTGTCTCATTAGTCAAATATTTTTTGGTTTTCAACAATTTCATTTGAATAGTGACATCAAATTGCCGCTTTTGCTTTCGCTATCATCAGTTAAATGAAATTGCATTTCATTTAACGAATAATCACCAGAAAGCAATCAGTCAACAAATTAATCGACAGCCTTTAAATAGAAAATTGATGACAAGTGACAGAAAAGTTACTACTTTGATAAGTAGATAAATGTTGAATTTTCGTCTGTTATAGATGATGAATTAAAACTGTTGACTTTGGCTTTTTTCAGACTTTTTCTTATAATTTTATTCCTTCAACCGACTAGTTTCGAGTCTGGATTTGACTCATCCTCAGGGTATTCTACAACAATAATTATTATGACAATCAATGCACAAATGACTTAAAATCTCAACGTTAACTTACAGAAATGATTAAAATAAAATAAATAAATAATTTAAAAAGGTCAATAAAAAATTAGTTTAAAATGTCATCGCTTTGGAAGTTACTTGGTAAATGGTTTGGTTGTGTAAAATACTTTTTATCTTCTTATCTCTGGATTCTCTCATTTCTCCGAACAGGTCGCGGCTTTCTCGGTAATTTATTGGTCATTTTTAATACTCCGTTATAAATTTGACTGAGTTTCATGGTGTCAGTGCGTCGATTGACTGTTGAATTCAGACTCGAAACTAGTCGGTTGAAGGAATAAAATTATAAGAAAAAGTCTGAAAAAGCCAAAGGCAACAGTTTTAGTTACTACTTTGATGAAGTGTAAGTCACGTACGGCATCGTTATCACTATCGCTAAGCAGTTATTTTTAGCACAAGATATTTCATTCATGAAGAGGAAGTTTTCACTTTTTTTTTTTATTTTATCAGTTCGTCATAAACTTGAAATAAATTCAAAAACGCATTGTTGAAAATTCTTGTTAAATGAATGCGTCTTATTACGTCACATATGGCGCTTGTCACGATTATGATTCTATTGATAACAAAATGTTTGTCGCAATTATGATGGCAGTGAAGTGTTCATAAAACACGTAAGTATAGAATTGCATATGCCAATAAAAAAGGCATCCGTGTAATAAATGAATGACAATTGACATGATGATAAATAAATGAACTATTTACATGTCATATGATTGCTGATAATGCATGAGTGACAGGGAGACGTCACTGGTTTATAATGCAATGATGACGTCAAAAGAACATTTGCCTAAACAGTTGTTCCCTATACTTACTCAACAAAATAAATAATCTGAAAAAAAGAAAAGGCGTTTTACCATTTATGGAATCATTTGTGCGCTTAAACTTATAACGGAATAGTTTGAAATCGATGATTCAGGACGTTTAAGAGGTAAACGTCATCAATTCAATCTTACACATTCATATATGTCGTTTTATATCATCAAGGTTAACTTAACAGTATTTGGGTCACGAATAGAATCTGTTAGAGAAATTCTTTTCTTTATGAAAAGTGTTTGTGAATTACATAATGTTTAAGTCTTATCACAAAAATATAATTAATGTATTTATTTATAGTTAATCTAGAGTTTTCTATAAATTCAAAGCAATGAACTTATCAACAAACAAAAATTATCGTTTGATTTAATGAATATCTTGTATAATTTATTTCCCTTAATTCAAAGCTGTAATCGTAATTAAGCTCTTTTTCGTTTGTTATTTTTATGATTGAAAGTTATTTTTATACTTTTCATGATAATTGGATAATGATTACTATTAGATATAACTTGCCGCATAAGTTATCAATATTCCTAAACAATATTCATAAAAAGATTTAGAAATATTCCGATTTCGGACAGATTTCATATCAAAACACTTACGAAACATGATTAAAATCATATTTTTAAATTAATTAGTGCTTTTCTTCTGGTTTCATTGTCAATCTGGAAGAAATTAGTCTATTTTTAGAAGCAAATTTTATTATTTTATGCCTAAAATAAAAAAATCACCGAAATGTTGATACTTCATCATCATTCCTTCGATAACTCATTCGATAAATCCATAAAGATAAAGCGAGATATTTATAATTAGATATAGCAATTTCAATTTGTGATTGATATTTATTGTCATGAAATTTGCCAAATTAACTCTAAATAAAAAATTATCAAACATTCTTAAATATTTAAAATAAGTCAATGATTCAGGTTTAAAAAATTTTCATTCATGAATGACAGAAACACCTTTCAGAGGATTTCGATTTTGAAACGCAAATCTCATTGCAGCAGAAATATGCTTTGCCCATGACATGGACCAATCGGAAAGCATTATTCACAGGAGCACTCACACAACAACAAACCGGATAGAAAAGCTCTACCTGGCTATATTTATGTTGAATATCCCGAGTTCCTACATTGCAAAACACGAATGAGCGCTCAGATATCTTCTCGGATTGCAGGAAAAAAATCAGAGAGAGAACAGTCAACTCTCTAATATTGGCGTGAGAAGTCAACTGTGTTTGTGCAAAAGAAACATGTGTGAGGGAACGAACAGCGTGCGCAAGAAGATTAAACAATGCACAACGAAGGCTTCCGCGTGCTTTTGCCGGCGACGCATACGAATGTGTTGAGCAGAGACTTGTTTTTTCTTTTTCGTAAATTTACCGGTAAACGGATTCTCCACAAATGTATATAAAGATGATTCGTAAAAAATTGTGTGTTAATTATCAAACGAATGCCAAAGACTAAATATTTAAGTGAACTTAATTCAATCGGATATAGTAAATAATTCAGGCGAATAAATAAATGTAATAAATACCTGGTGAAATTTATGAATTAAGTGAATATGGTGAAATATCTTTGAACTTGTTTTAACGTGCTAATACTAGATATCGAAAATTAGTTGCGATTTTTAAAAGAAAAGAATAGACGAGCAGCAAATGAAAAATCATTTTAGTGCTAGAGGTACAAGTGGAAGAAAAAAGAACGTAATCTGTTGAAAAAGATTGCGAAAGGGAAGAAAAAAACATGGAAAACAAGAGTACAACAAACAGTAAGTGGATCCTCAAATATCGATGAGCACAAATTTCCTAAGAAACTTTAAAAAAACTGGCGAAAACTTAGGTTGTTGATTCATTCAAGTCACTTGAGGAAAGAAAACATACATAAAGAAATTATTTTTATTCGATCTGAGAAGACAGATATTATTTGTGAATCACCATCAAGTGACGTAAATTTTATTTGTTGAAACAGTTACTATCGTTTATCAAATTTCGCTTGAATTTAATTGTCTTTTCTATGAAAGCTTTTGACGTAGAAGACGTAAAGCCCTGACGAATAAAAATTACTTATCGATGAAGTTCTAATGTTACAAATATTTAATGTTTATATCGCGACCAAAATATTTTCATTTGATAATCTTAAACAAAATGTGTGTCCATGCGCCCAATGCAAAAACAATTTTTTGATGACTATTAGCGATCTCTTAATTGTATCTCACAAAACAAACAAAAGATATCGCATCAACTTTTTTCACATTGAGTGTTGTATTACAATTTATAATCTAAATAAATAATGAAATTCACATGATTTGATGACCAAAATATTTTCAATAATTTTTGTGTTCAAATCAAATGCAATCTTTCTTTTTATTAAACGATTGTTGATGAGTCACAGAAAATGAAAAGGTTTAAAGAAATGTGACAAATTACGTGTAGACTTTGTTATCATCACCTGTAGACTTGAAATATTTCACAGCTGATATAAATTCTATCGAAATCATGCAATAATCTTCTAGAACTTTTTCGTAGAAAAAATACTTTTCAAATTATTTACAAACATCCTTAACATTTTCACGTCAGAAAGTCACGAGTAAGATTGTTTTCAAAGTCGTAACGTTAACATACCTTTCACCTACCTCTTCAAATATTTCAATACAGCATACATACTCTCCACTTGGTTTTCAATTATTATCATCCCACACATGAAAGATGAGTTGAACTAATTAAATAATCTCCAGAGAGATGCAACAGGTGAAATTATCATCTATGTTCGCACATGTGAATATATAGGAAATGAAGGTTGTCTGCGTGACATCATGGAAATGAAAAATATAAAAAATAAAATGATTCGTTTAAGTGAGGCAGGCGGGATGCCAATGCCATTGATGATTTCATATACGAAAATTAAAGTTAGTTTAGTGTCTCGCTATGATTCATATTTTTTTGGCTATAGTGCGAGAGGAGAAGAAAATAGTTTTCTTGTTACCCATGACGTATTCTGAAAATGAATGAATGAATGAACAAAACGATTTTGAGCGCCTCTCTTTCAGTTGTGTTTATTTCAATTGTGGCGCATTGAAATAGTTGTTCATGAATGAACATGCGATGATTCAACACAGGGGAATCCCGCGTTCACGCGAAAAACATTTGAATCACTATTTTCACACATGACGTTGCTACAAATTTAATGATGTGCAATGTTCTTATTTAAAGTGGGAAAATTCACCGGCACTTTTACATTTGAAAATGTCTCTGAGATGTTGTTTGATAAGAAAACCCCATCATGGAAAAACAAATATTGAGTCGGCGTCATAAAAAACTATCGTGGGAAATGAAAAAATAAAAGAATTCGAAACCAATTTATAAAAGTCGCTGCTCGAGTTAGAGCATCTCATATTTCTCTTCGTTTTCTTTTTCTCTTGTTAGTTTCTGAGAGTGATCATAATGCGCAAAACTATTGAAATGAATGAAAAGAGCCGCTCATAAATGTGTGTGTGCGACTGACTGTTGAGAGCAATATTGAGCTTTCGTTTCAACATGTTTATCCCACAGCCATACATCTGATCATTCAAACATTTCTGTTCCAAGCACACTGGACACTTTCAGATTTTGTTTCTGTTTCCGTCTTTAGCAACAGAGTAGTAAAAAAATCTTCATATTGTATCTTTATGTCGACGTGAACAGACGTGTTTCAGAAGTGTTAATACGGATTAATATTCTCTTAGTGAAAAAGATAAAAAGATAAATAAATAAATATCTACAAAAGTTGATCAAGGATAACTCAAATGAAATCAGTGAAAAAAATAAATTGTGCCAGTTTTAAGGAAGAATTTAATATTGCGAAACAATTAGAAAATTAAAGGAAATTAAATAAAATTACGCAATTTTTAAGAGTGGACTATTAACGAACGAGAAAGTTTAAGTTCTATGTTTATGATAAAACAAAACCCTTCTCGTCAGAGGCTAAGAACTTATTGGATTCATTTCTTATCATCAAAAAAGAAAAGACGAAATTCTAGGGAATCGATATGTGGTGTGTGTATTAATCCAATTGTGTCATAAACATTATTAAAAAAAAATTCCCCAACTTATAATTTTTCCACTCATTAATATTGAAAATTTTGAATTTAAATTTTCATTCTTTGTTGACGTTTCAAAGATCATCACGCCCGACGGCGTTTTTATTTTCATAAATAAATAATAATCTTAAGAATATTGTGTTCTCCAGTAACGTCAACAAGTTTAGTGTAATTAAAAAAAAATGTTTTTGTTGCAGACACTTCACGTTTCATTCCACCTATAAGAAATTTCTAATTAGTAATAACAAATATCTTCGATTTTTGTCTTACTCGCACTGTTTGTGATTGTATAAGTGGAAATAATCGATTCCTAAATATTATATTTTGCTTATTATCCCAAAATAAATATTAAAGTCAACTACATATGTTTATCCTAAAGAATGTTAAATTAAATGAAAACAAAAAGAGTTGAAAAAGTCATAAAATATTTTCAACGAGCCATGCTAACGTTTAAGCAGCATAAAAAATATTTACATATTAGATCCTAAATATTTCGATTAAGCGAAGAAGATTGTGGATTTTATGGACGCCAGACGCGAAAGAAAATCATGAAAACTTTCTGAGAATTTCTTATCAATAACATATTAAATACACAACAGAAATGGACGAAAAGAAAGAATACTAAAATATTTCTTTATTTTTCTTCTTTCTTTACAGTTGCGAAAATCATTATTTGCCTCGTAATTGCTTCCATTCTTATGGAAACTGTCACATCAGCTCCATTGCTCAGCGACGGTAAGGAATTAACAACGAAGTCAAGAAACACGAGAAGGAAAGATGGAAGAAAACTTACAACTAAAAACTTAAAACATCGTAATTATAAATTATTTGCGGAAGCAGCTAAAGAGTGGAATAATTCTTGTAGTTCGATAGCTTGGGAGGGTGGTTCTGGTTTTGAACAGAATTATAATTCATCTTATCAGAGTGTAAGTGTTACTATTCAAATATAAGATTCAATGACATTTTTCTTATTTACATTCCCTTTTTATCAACAGTTTAAATTATCTGTCCACCAACTGAAAACATCGCTAGCTTCAATGTCGATGAAAGTAATCAATTCATCAGCAGTGAAAGGCTGGGAGCGCTTCCACAACGAATCTTATAAATTTTTGCCGACGAAACCAACTGTGAGTACTTTCAAATATATTTTATAAATAAGTATAAGTTAAACAGTTCACCATAAAGCTCATAAGAATGAATTTTATCAAGAAATAATAGTTATTAAAAAAGACTGATTGATTTATGTTCCAATTGAGTTGTAATTTGCCTTAAATTTATCACAGATATTATGCAGAATTTTATGCCGTCGCATTTACGTATTTAAGCATAAGTTACCTCAACTTGGGTTTCAATCTTTAACGTTTATTGTTCCCCTTTCATCATGACAGTGCTTTCGAGCGATTTTTTCGATCAATGCTAATTATTTTGATTTATTTTTTCGCTTGGAATTGCTTCAATCTTAATTTGTCAAAGTCTCATGTTTGAAGAGTGTGCGCTTCAGGACGCCATCAAGCAATGCTTTCCAAGACATCAGAAAAAATAAATAAATATTGAAAATGCTTCAACAATTTCTTTTTCTATAAATAAATAAAGAACAAATTATTGACGAAAGTAATTTCTAATAATTTAAATATGCAGCGGCGTGTGCATGATACCCTTGCGGTACCATTTTGATTTGTTGATCTCGGCAATATCGATAAGGAAAACATTAATTAGCGAAAATTACGCAAAATAAAAAAAAAAGTCTAAGACAACACAAAATATAGTGTCGAAGCAAATTACTATCGCCTACCTAAGAAATTTTGTAGCACTCACAAGCTGTCGTTGAGCAAGTAAAACGCGTTGAGTTGTTTTGATTAAAGGATTAAAGTTCTTTCTCAGCAAATCATGTATGTAATAGACTATGAAGTAAAATTAAATAAATTACAACATAAAAAAATATCGACGATATAAAAGCGCGGTGTATTAATGGAATTATAATACTTTTCAATGTTTTATCGCGTTTGTGAGATCGAAAAATATGGAAATCGAAGGCTAAGTTATGACTTAAAGTCAGATCGTTTTACAAGCTTCTTTTTTTTCTTAAACTCATAATCTACAAAAAAGAAAAATAATTAAAAGAAACTCAGTAAATTGATAAGAAACAAAAGAAGGGGCTCATTGAACTTTTCTCTTTTATTATTTCACTTCATGATCCCAGTTCGATAACTTCAACTTCCCCCAATAAGAATCAAATTTGCCCAAGGCTTTGACATTATGACTGACACGAAGTGAACATCACAAAAAAAAGTATGTTGAAGCGTAGGAATGAAAGAAATAAAAAAAATGGGCAGCAAAATCGTGAATTGCACTTGCAACTGGAAATGAATCCCTAGTTATGAAGTAAATCCTCATTGAAAAGCTTCGCTTAAAAAGAAGGAGAATAATGTGAAAAGAAAAAGATTCATCGGCGCATAAGTAACGCAAGAAATACTTAATATTATCAAGCCAAGACCGAAACTTAACCCGAGGGCTTTTTCAAAATGCTTGTTTTTTGTTGTTTGATGGGATCATACCTTAGAGAATCAGTTCGGATCTTGCACTGTGAAGGCATAATTATCTCAGACCGCCACAATTTACAACAAAGTTCATTCAAGAGATTTTTTTTCCTTAGCCTGGCGTCCGCGATTTTTTTTTCTTTTTTTCTTATGTTAATCACTTGCAAAAACTCAACAAAACCGAAACTTTATGGGAATTTTTCGCCAAACTTCTTTCTTATATTAATGTCGGCAGCATGCAATCGTATCCCCCTAAAAAATGAAGAGAATTAGGCAAAAAAAAGATCGAAAGGTTTTTGTGGCAAAATTGATGGGATAACAAAAAGATCTCTAAATATTCTTTTTTTTTGTTGGGATCTAACGGATTTGCGATCAGGCATTTGATTAAAAAGGCTATTTAAAGTGGTACATTAAAATGCGACCGCAAATTAAATGCTTTTGATAGTTAATTTCTATCTTAACTTTAAATGCAGTGATTTATATCTAATTTTTAACATTTATACAAATATTTATAAAGATTCCTTTCTTTTTATATTGCAGGGTATAGCTCGCAAATGGCATAAGGATGTACAAATATATTATGCAAGTATTTGGCTCCTACACAAATATCAAATTGAATCTGATGCAATGCATGACAATGACACGATTTCTCAAGAGCTCAAGGAAATTCTTGATCGTGCTCGCGAGCTTTTGTGTGACATTGAATTGTTCGTGAATGCTACAAGTAATAAGAATGGAAGTCACAAGCCACATTGGTATGATGCAAGGAGTATGTCGGAAATTGTAACATTGGAGAATGATGAAAACAATCCACGCTTAAAAATCCACGGGATTTTTCTTAAAGCCAGATTTCAAGAATATGTTAACAAATTATATAAACGTATTCGGACGTTCAAACTAGACAGGAATCTGAAATCGGGTAAATTTAGAAGAACATCAACAATTCAACCACATAAAAATCATAGGAGGAACAGACCAGGCAGAAGGAGAAAAACGACAGTTCGTTATAATGGAGAGCCTGCAGTAACTGAGAAAACTTACATCATCACCACAAGAAACCCTCGCAGAGGATCAAAAACTTCGCGACGAACACGAACCCCAGGACAAAAACGACAAAGGCAAAATAAAATTATTCAAAATCTACAGTAGATACAAGCATCTGACAACATTTTCTCATTCTCTCTTAAATTCCGTTACTTAAAATTGTTCCCAGGTCTTTTCCCAGGTCAACATTTTCACAAACTTGTGAATGAATCCACAAGACTTGCATAAAATGTGGCAGCTTTGACAGTTTTCAGTATTAAAAGGATAAACTGACAAACTCTGTGATACTAAACGTAAGAAAAAATAATTTAAGTGAGAAAGACAAATGAAAAATGCAAATCAAATATATAAGTAAATCTCATGATTTTGTACATATTTTTATATCCACATAGATAGCTATGTAAATAATTAGATTATTTAAAAAAGAAATCTAGGGTAAAGAATCAAAAAGTTCCTGCAATCTTAGTTCGTAAAAGAAAATTGTCAAGTCCAAAATACAAAATTAGGAACTGAGAAAATCTTAAATATTTAAATACTTTTTAGTCTGAAGTGAAGAGTCTATCGTGAAATGTTAATGTATGTTGTATCTCTTATGCATTTTAACGCATAATATCTCAAACATATATTATATATTTTTTACTTAACTTCATCTTCCTGAATTGTCTAGACCAATGCCTATCAGTATTAAGCATTGAGGCTTTTGATCTCAAGAAGTATTGAAATATGAAACATTTGCCATTTTTATGTATCTCTTTTGTATAAAACTTTAAATTTCTCAACTCTCATTTAGGAGATCGTACATTAAGGTTCATTTATACCTCGAAAATGTCCTTGTTTAATAAATATTTACAAGAAAAAACTATAAAATAAAGAGAAATACTTATCATTTTTATAATTTATATGAAAGTATCAAATAATGTCAGGAAGTTCTTATTAGTTGAAAATTGTATTATGCTTGATTTAATAAAAAAAAAGAATAAAGAGAACGTAATTTCAATGAAAAGAGAAAAAATTAATCTTCCATAATAATTAAGGCTGCTTAAACATTGGCACAAAATAATGTAAGAATAACATGAAGAATACAAAATAAAGAAATATTGTCATGAACAGAAAATAAAAAAAAATTTTAACTGACCGTTACTTTTTTCAAATTTTCCCGCGATTCTATATTTTAAATTTAAATTATCTTACTGAATACACCGAGTGTTGACATCACTTTAACGGCCGATTTTAAAAGTTAACAACAAAATTGCTGCTCTTGTTTTGAAAAAAGAAAATTGACATAAAATATTACGCTATCTTGATCAATTTTATATTTTGTTTATCCGTAAATGATTGAAAATATTATGGAGAAATCGATTAACGTTTATTTAAGGATACGACCCAATACAACTGAAAATGAAAATATTTTTGATGAAAACAATTCTCAGAACACTTCAAAAATGGTTGTGATCAATTCAAATCCATACATATTTGATCATATTTTTTATCCAGTTGCTACACAAGATGATTTCAAAGTGATGGTAAGTAATTCATTTGTTATTTATAGCTTACAAATTATAAATTTTTATGTTTTAAGGTTGAACCTTTAGTCACAAAATTACTCGCTGGCTTCAATTGCTCTCTGCTTGCTTATGGACAAAGTGGAACTGGAAAAACATACACAATGGGCTTATATGAATCATCTGATGGTTTAATAGCACAAACCGTTAATTCAATGATGAGTCAACTGGAAAATGATCCAAGTGATGTGAAAAACATTGTGAAAATTTCTTACATAGAAATTTACAATGAAAAAGTTTACGATCTCCTCGTCGAAAATTGTTTTGATCCTATTTATGCAAAGGGTACAATTTTTCAAGGTTCAACTCAGATTCCTATCAAAGATTTTAACGAAGCTTATGAAATAATTCAGAAAGGGAACAAAATTCGTCATGTCAGAGACACGAAACTCAACAGCTCCAGTTCAAGATCTCACGCAATGTTATCTGTTTTCCTTACCCGGAGTAATGAAAATTCAGCAGAAACTTCTGTTATGCGTTTCTGTGATCTTGCTGGATGTGAAGGAATTCGAAACACGCATCATATTGGAATGGCTCAGAAAGAAGGTGTCAACATCAACAGTGGTCTTTTAGCAGTTGGGAAAGTCGTAAAAGCTTTGATTGAAGACAAGAAACTTATACCTTATCGTGATAGTGTTCTCACAATGGTTTTAAAGGATTCCCTCAATACGAAATCATATATTAGCATTCTTGGCTGCATTTCTTCGTCGATCAAAGACAGAACTGAAACTTTGTCAACGATACAATTTGTCCAACGAATCAAAACATTGGACTCCAAAAATATTCCCGAATATAATGCATATATGAAGGAAAAACAGCGTTTACAAGCCCGTACTCCTTTGAAATCTTATATGTTACCTTTGTCAACTAATAAACGTGTGAATTCTGTTGTTAAAACTCCACGAGCCAAAAGTGATTATAACTATACAGGAACAATACGAAAGACTCTTACAAAACCACAAATTGGACAATATTCATTCAAACCTAACAGTAGAAAGTCACTTCGATTCAACAAATCAAATCTCAATGACACTTTTAATGTTGTGGATCACAATGAAAGTTCCTGTTCTTCAATGAATAGAGAAAATCATCGTATTGAGTGTCAAAATCAGCACAACTTTCAATTTAGTCCTTTGATGCGTCGAATTGAAATGGCAATCGATAATAAATTTTCTTCTTTCATGGAAACTATCAAGAATCAAACAATTCAAAATTCCTTGTTTTATCCTGAACTTCTGAGATCATCTGTTCGTTCAAGTGTTGCTTCGAGTGTAGCTAAAACTATAAACTGTAATAAGGATCCACTTGATGATAGCAGTTACTCAGTAAGATTTTATGTTCTTTTTTAATTTTTTTAATTAAAATTTCTTCTCAATAGGAAATTACAAACTTTACTATTTCCAATGATGATGCTTCATCACCAACAACATCAACAGTTCTTCGTCGTCAAGGGACAAATGAGAACAATAACTTTATGATGAATAAAAGAAGCAACGATGAGCTTATGGCAATAGCAATTAGTGATTCTGAAAACGAGATTACTCTAGAAGTTCCATCGAATGAGACTGTAATCAGTCGACCACCGATTAGAAGAAGTACAAGAATTCAAATTCGCAAGCAAGAAGAACGATTACGAAGCATTTCTAATGAAACAATACCTGAAGAAACATCACATCGAATCACTAAGAGAAGTCTTGAGAAAAACATTTTGCAGATCTTAAACAATGGATCATTAAAAGAACTGCAAAAAATTCCAGCTGTGGGACTTAAAACTGCTCAACAAATTCTCACTTATCGATCAGTTAATGGAAAATTTAAAACTCTTGCTGCTGTCAAAAAAGTTCATGGGATGAGAGGAAAGTTTTATGAAAATTTTCTAATGGTAAGTGAAACAAATTCTTGTTAAGTTTAATTTCTAATTCTCTTTCTTTATTCTCAAAGGCAAACACGTTAAAATGAATATCTTGAAAACTTTCCATAATTTATACCACAAATCATCATTTATCATTTAATTACTTGTCTTTTTTTATATTCTAAACATTCTACGTTTCAACGACATTTCAATGCATTTTCTGTTTGTTTAAGATTTATGTAGAAATAAATGTGATGATTTTAAAATATTTTCATGTTTGAAATTTTCCAGAGAATTCTCAACTAAATAAATTGGCAAATGAATTTATCTACACGAATTTCGTTTGAATGATATCTAACACCATACTTAGCAAAGCTAAGAAAGTTACAAACTTTCTAAGTAAATTTTAAGATTATAATTAAATTTTTATTTTATATTTTGTGTGTTTTTCTCAGTTCATTAAAGTGAAGCGTTAAAAAATATCTTTCTCCATAATTAATTCATTCCTCAACATAATACTAATTTATTTCAATTTATCCATGTGCAAATGTTTTACTTATATTCATGGAAAGTTTTAATGAACACTCGTCGCAAAGAAAAATAATTTTCTAATCTCTACCAGAAGGAAAAAGCTTTTAATTATAATTAATGAATATTTTTTCGTTGAATATCTTCTTAAATATTTATTAGTGTTTTTCTTCGTTATTTTGGTAATGTGGATTTTTCTTAGGCACTTCGAATTTTTAAAACTTACAAACGATTTTTCTTTTCATTTTCCAACTTTTGCGTTAAGCTTTAAAAAATTCTCGTTCCATCTGATTTATACTACAGAAGCTCAAACCTTTTTCTCTGTCAAATCTCAAAAATCTGTTTGAGAATCTCTGGTTTTTAAGTTCTTACAAATTTTCCTTCGAATTTTCTACAATTTCTGTTTCTGTCTTTTCGCGAGGACTGTTCCCACGAATAAAAAAATTTCTTCATTATTATTAAATTTCGATTAAAAGTTGATATCCTTCAAAATAAATCATTAAATGATGAAATAAATGCTGATTTCCCTCAATTTAACAAGGATTCGATTCGGGATTCGCATCTTCATCTTGTTCTGATAAAAGTGGACTTTTATCAGTCGTGAAAGTGGCAGGCAAAAATGTTGCTGGTGTGGTTGGTGCTGATCTCGATACCCAGCCATTCCTACCTTTTATCATACCAGCTTTCATCATGAAATTACCTACAGAACGTGGGCTTACAATATTTGGTGCTACAAAACTACTCGTCATTGGCATGTAAACCGATCGATTCTTCATATTAAAGAATTTTCTTTTGCTATTAAATGACGTTGGTCTTTTTATAACAGGTTGGTATGAAGCTGTATCTTGTGCTAAGTTATCATATTCACAAGCTTGTCCATTATTTAAATTTTCATCAGAAAATTTTGCGTCTTTCAGTTGATTGATTTGTTCAAGTAATTCTTTAACTTCTTGTGTCGGACTTGTTGCTTGTGGGGGTGATCCAAGACTATTGAAATTCGCTAAACTTGAAACAGTTGATCCAGTATTTGAGTTGTTATATCCTTCCAATGTTGGCATTTCACAAATCTTCTTAGATGCTTCTCCACTCAATGGTGAATCATTATCGAAACTTGAAGTGACATTAAAGTGCGACCTTGTTTGTGCAATCTGTTGTTGCTGTTGTTGTATCATTTCACAACATTTTTCCAATTGTTTCTGAATCATATTTAATTTAGTGTTGTCATTTGTTTTACGACTATATGAAATTTTATCCATCATAGCAGCTGACAATGAAATTGCATTATTTGATAGTAAAGTTTGAGTTTGACCACCAACAACGCTACTGTTGAAATTCATACCAGTATTGAAATTTCCTTGTGATAAATTGAAACCAGAACTCGCTTGATAAAAGTCATCGTCGTCATCATCATCATCCGATATAGCATTTTGATTCTTACTTCGTGATGAACTTGTGTGAGTCGTTGTCACTGTTGAATTCGAAAGTGTTGAAGCAAGTTCATTGTGTCGAATTAAAACACAAGATTCTCTCTCACGTGGAGAATTCAAATTCATAACATTCGCACTTTCATACGTATGAAGTTGATGATTACTACTTATTTGATTGAAACTTGTGTTTGGTACTGACATTGGCCGATTATTATCTCGATACTGTGAATCGTTATTAGGAAAATTCGACGTGTTATTGATGTAGCCTTGTTGTGATGATGATCGCGGAATTGCGTAATTTTGAAGTGAAACTGAAAGTGCATCAGGACTTGCTGCATCTGAATACGGCGGCGGTATCATCGTATTTGATTCATTTGCTGTACAAATAAAACTTGAACTCAATGAATCAACCGTACTTGCTGCTGAAAGCGAGCCAATTGGTCGTACAATATAATTTCGAAAATATTGCACCATCAGATAATTGGCACCGTTACTGCTATTTTTTGATGCATCACTTGTATATGTGAAGACTAATGGATAAAGTTCTGGCTTCGATGTAACTTCTGTATAGGGTGGAGGTGCATGATAAAATGAAGTACATCGAGAATAATGTGGAGGAGCGTAACAAGAGCCTGCTGAATCACCTTCCGATGTCGTTCGATGACTTGAAGATGTGCTCCAACCTGAGCAGAATGTTCGACGCTTCTTCCACAATGAACAAAAGAGAAGCAAGGAAATCAGAATTGCTAACAGAAAAAGCCTAAAAATCATTGCAAGAAAAGGTAAATGAAATTTTGCATTACGAAGCAACAAAATTTCCCTCACCAAAAATACCAATGACTAATGAAAAAAAGATTCAAAACGTGATCTGTTGGTTGAGCGGATCGTGGAGCACTTGGTGGTGAATAGAGATAGCAACAACCTTGAGCACAGCATTCTTTGGGTGGCAAACATTTATGATTTCCACCCTCACAAAAACGAGCTGATACCTGATTGAATTATTTAAGAAAAGCAACCATGAAAATTCAGTTTTACTATTGAAAATTTATTTTCTTTAAATTCAAAGGAAAACCCCTTAGAAAAGAAAAGAACAAAGAAAGTGTGACTCAGTTTTATTGATGAAATGTGACAGGTAAAATTTGGATAAAATTTTCGTCTTTAAATTTTGAATGTATTAAAGAAAATTGGAAATAAATCATGAAACTACGTACTAAGTAAAACTTGATATTGTAATGGGGATGGTACAGAAGAAAAGGTCGAAAATTGGGTGGTTGAAAGGGAGGTTTCAATTATAAAATGATAAACTACCAAGGATGACTTTTAAAACATGTTTCGACAATATTTATAAATATCCTAAATATTACCAACAAGAAAATGTATCACGTTGTAATAAGAAAGAAAGAAAAAGTCTGAGGAAAAGTGATAAATAAAATATTTCACACAAACTTAACATCATTTAAAATTTAAATTGCCCTTCTAAATAATGATTAAAAAAATTAGATGACGCAATAGAATGCTTTAAGGGATCTCACTATATTAATGGTCAGGGCAGTCAATAAACTAGAGAAAATCCAAATCAGGTTTTCCATAACGAAAATTGTCTGCTAAATATCGATGTTTCTGAAATGATTATTTTGCATTATTTCTTTGCGCTAAATGTGCGCAACGAGTAGCTTATGTGATGATATTATGAGTTCATATGAGCTTTAAATTTCGAACGATTCTCCTTTATTTTGACAAACTAATCGTTTTTCAATTGATTATTTAAAAAAACACTGAATTTCTTAAAACTGGGATTTTATGATTTTTTTCTTGGAATATTTCAACACTTTACGATTTCACTATTCAGCTCAATATTTTCTTCTTTTTCCATCTCACTTTAATATACTTCGTTTCACTTCACATGATCTACTGATTTTTTGATTAAATGTGTTTATTATTTGATGCATAAGCGAAAAACAATTATGCCATATATTTGGAAAATTCTTTCTTATTATGTAGATATCTTTTAAAAAACATCCTAAACGCGATCATGCGCATAAAATCTTTTGGATTGTGTAAAGTTTTGATAAAATATTTTAACAAACTTTAAAAGAAAATTTGAATGAATTTATCTTTTCTTGGAAGCATTTGAGATAATTTTCAGAATTTATTAATATTTTTGTGAAAAATAAATCGAGTTTATCAAATTTATGAAATTTATGTTTTGCATATTTAACGGAACATTTGTAAGGTTTTAGAAATTTAAATTTGATTTTATTGTTCCTCATCACGACGAGATTTCTACGCGACTCGATTTTCATACAAAACAGGCCAAAACCTGGGTTTCGTGCGCACGATTACACTTTCCGCCTGAAACTAGACTTGGGAGATGAGTTTCGGGTAGAGAGTGTAATTATCGTTCAGATTTTGTTATTTAACAACAAAGTCTGAGAAATATCTATAAAATAGAAATGAAAGTAACTTCTCTATTATTTTTAATCGTTCTAAGTTCAAGTTCAGTTAAAGCATGGGACCAAGACGACTTAGAAATATTCGATTTAGTCGAATTAATCAATCAAAATTTCTACACTTTAATGGGAATTAACCAGGCATGTTTTAAATTATTGTTACGTGGAAATTTTTTTACAATCTCATGTTTCTTTTATTAGGATGCCTCATTAAGTGAGATAAAGAGAGCATTTAGAAACCTTTCAATCATTCTTCATCCTGATAAAAGCGATGCAGAAGATGCCAACATACAATTCAGAAACATGGTAGCAGTTTATGAAGTTCTTAAAGACACCGCAAAGAGAGAAAAATATGACAATGTATTGAAAAATGGGTTACCAAATTGGAAATCTGCAGTGTATTATTATCGTAAGGCAAGGAAAATGGGCCTTATGGAAGGTACACTTCTTCTTTTCATCATCATTACAATCGGACAGTATTTAGTGTCGTGGGCTGTTTATTTCGAGAAAAAGTACACAATGGTAAGTGAATCTTTTATTACCTTTATGCTTTTATTTCATCTGTTTTTCATTCAGGCACAATTCTTTGAATCAAAAGCGAAAAAAGTGAAAAAAGCAAATGTCGACTTTGATTCAATTCTTAGTGAAATACCAAAGCCAAGTATCAAAAATACTCTGCCATTTCAAATTCCCATTGGATTATATCATATGGTAATTGGGACTCCTTCAGCTATTAAAGGATCTGTTAATTTGATCAGCGAAGAAGTCAAAAAAGAGTTAGAAAGGAAACGAAAGGAAAAGGAAGAAGAAGAATTAATGAAAAAATTGGAAGAAGAAAGACAACAGCAGAAAGAAGAACGAAAAGAAGGCTTGAGACGTCGAAAGGAACAGCGTTCGAAACTTATGGAACGAACTGATGAAGAGTTGGCTGCTTATTCTGCAACAATCATTAAACATAAAGGCAACGAAGAAATTAAAGTGAAAGTTCCGATTTCTGGCGGATTATGGACTGACGATGATTTGGTGGAACTAACGAGACTTACAAAGAAATATCCAGGTGGGACTGTTGATCGATGGGAAATCATTGCTGAGACAATGGGTAGAAATGTCAGTGAAGTTACTTTCATGGCATATAAACTGAAAGACAATGTTTATCAATCCCCTGGTGACACTGAAAAGTTGGTGGAAAATATTAACAAAGAAATTACGAAGAAAATTAAAACTCGATCAACCGATGTCAGTTCTTCAGCTGAGAAAGGTTGGACACAACAGCAGCAAAAAGCTCTTGAGAATGCCATACAAAAATATCCTAAACGAGGAAATGAAGACAGATGGTCGAAAATTGCTGCTGCTGTGCCAGGAAAAACAAGAGAAGAATGTCAATTACGATACAAATATCTTGTAGAGTTGGTGAAAAAGCAAAAGGAAGAAAACGATTCTAAACAGCAAGAACCAGAAAAGGAACAGGAAGAGGAAGTAGAAACAAAAGTTGAAGAGGAAATAGTAGAAGATCAAGAGGAAGTTGAAGTTCCGCAACAAAAAGCCGGTGGAAAAAAGCGAAACACAAGAAAAGAAAAGAAGAAGAATATTGATTATTATGATAATGAATCTTCCGAAGATTTATCAGATTAATTTAATTGAAGTATAATTAATAAAGAATGTTGTTTTACATATATTAATCACTACTTATTTTTTCAGCAATTAGAAGTGAATAGAACACTTTATTCGATGACAATTAAGAGATTATTTCTTCTTCTTTTTTGATATTCCAGTGTCAACTGTTACTGGTGTGGAATGGAAATTTTGTGAGATCCTATTTATGTAGTAGAGTCCTATCAATGATGTGAGTAGACATGTTGTTACGCTTACACGGTGGATTGTGGAACAAGCGAAACAAGCAGACAGTAAACTTATAATAACTTCTGGCCAACGTGCCTAAAATTTAATCATTCAATTAAAGAATTTCTTTCAGAACTTAATTTTAATTCACAAACCTGGAATCCTTTTCCAAGAACGACTGCTTCTAAATTCGATATAGTTGTTAAAAGCATGATAAAGAACCAGGACCCTACGATACCGGCAAAAATCGTCAACATTTGAGATGACAAGAAAAGTTGTTTACAAAATTGCATCGAAGAAAAAATTAAAATAGCCGAGAGCATTGAAATGACCAACGAAAGTGATGTTTGAATAGCTGGAAAGAATATTGAGATTGTTAAATTGATGATTCACAATGAAATTAAGAAGCGTTTACCCATTTTGAAACAATTTTGTGAAAACTTTGGTAGTGAATTGATGACTGTCGCGAGAATAATTTTCAAATGGCTGCGTTCAGTAAAATGAGTGTCGTATAAAGTCGCATACTTTTCTTCCCGCCCTTTCTGCAAATTCTTGTACAGTCAGAATATTTTTTTGCTACCTCTCACTATGAGAAACTTTATCAAAACAAATGGCTCTAATCTTTGACAAACTACTTAATTCCTAATTGATGATGAACTTTGTTTTAAGATTAATTACTTGTTTGTGTTCATTAAACTTAATTTTATGTCAATCATGTGAAGTGAAAGAATTATTTTTAAACAAAAATTATTGTGAAAAACATGAAAATGGTGACAACAAATCTGCGATTTATATTTTGTACTCAGTAAATCCTATAGAAGGATTTAATTTAAGACGTGATGTCTATATACGAATGGCAGTTTTCTTAAAGCATCTACGAAAGCATGAGAAGTATTCAAATACTCGTCTTGTTCTTCCTGTTTTTCACCACCTTTATCATTGGAAATCAAACTTCCGTCAATCAAACATGTTTTGGAATCATTTCTTTGATCTAGAAAGTCTGAAGCAGTACACAAATGTTATTGACATGTGGGAGTTCTTCGAAATCATTCATAAAAAGACTGGACGACCTTTTGTTGAGATTGATGAAGTTTATAAGCTGCAACATTTTGATGCAATGTTTGAAAGCGGAGTTTTTATTGATAAGTTCGAGGAAACAGTTTGTAGTCGTAATGATTACGATAACAATCATTACTTTGAGTACTATAATATAACTGAGAATCGCATTACCTGTTTAAACTTTCAAGGAAGTGCTTCATTGCTTCAAAACGTCTTAGAAACTTACGAAGACAAAAAGCTCCTGAAACATAAGAAACAACGAATTGTTCTCTTTGCTCATGCTGAAACAGCCCTTCATGATTCATTTGGTGATAAAGAATATTGGGAAGCTCGTCGTTCAATGAGATTTAATAAATATTTAGAGGCAGTCGCAACAGCATATCGAATGGATTTCCTTGGATCTACAAATGAGAATGGAAAAGTTCAAAGACCAGATTCTTGGACTGATGAAAAAGTAAGAATTGCATTTTTATAAAGTAGAATAAATCAATACTGTTTATATGAAACTATTTCAGAGTTACCGTGGTGCCGTTGGTGGCGAATATGTTTGCGTTCATATGCGGCGAGCTGACTTTTTATATGGAAGAGAACCACAAATTCCAACACTTCGTAGCATTGCGAATCAAATTAAAAGGAAACTTGCTGAGCTGCAAATTCACAAAGTTTATCTTTCAAGTGATTGTTCAGGATCAGAATTTCATGACTTAAAATCTCTGCTGCGAAGTGTTAGCTTATACAGATTCAAACCACCTTGGGAATATCATGTTCACTTAGGTGATGGTGGATTAGCTGTGATAGATCAAATAATATGTTCCCATGCGAGCTGGTTTATTGGAACCTTCGAATCAACATTTACTTACAGAATCTACGAAGAAAGAGAGATTTTAGGCTTTCCACAAGAGACAACGTTCAATACTCTTTGCAAAAGAGACGACTTAATTGATTGCAATAACAATTCCGTATGGCCAATACGGCATTAACTAATAAACGAAATAAGTGTTTTTTACATTCATATAAAATGAATCAGTTCAATGAAGAAAACTGCAAAACTTTCCAATCAGGAAACACCTTAAGTTTAGCTTTTATTATTAATTAATTCTTTACACATAAGCTGATAAAATATTCATATGAACGTCATAAAAGCAATGTTAATTCTAAGTACACATTTTAAAACTCTTAATTGGAAAACAAGTACAATAAAAAGATTGTCATAAAATGGCATTAAATGCAACTTTTCACAATGAATAATTAGAATGTCGGTAAGTGCATTATTGCTTTTTGGAAAACGAATATTTTATTGAGGATTGAGGTTTTCATTTCTTCGCATTGCTATTCCAGTCAAGAGTCGGTTATCGAATGAGTTAGATTAATTCATAGAAAAATTTTGACCTCTCTTGATTCAGAATGAAGTAATTTAGTGCACAACTTACTTAATAAACTTTCTATCTACAAAAATCTACACTCAACTTTGATGTTTTTTTAAAATTGTTCATGATGTAATGACTTGCACAGATGTATTGAATGACATTTAAAGGGAAAATAAAAATGAAAAACTCAATCATGGGGAACAGCTTTCGAGTTTCATTCGTAATTTGTTGAATACAGTAAGGCGTTAGGAATTAATCACTAGAATAATCATGTTCCTTGAACATGTCACGTCCTGACTCGAATAAAAGTTTCTTTTGTCTCAGAAATGCAAATCTTGATGGCTTTCGTTTCATTTTCTCACTTTCTGTTGAAAGCAATGGCGATGTCGCTTTAGGTGAACCTGCTTCGTTGCCTGTTTCATCGTCACTTTCAGATTGAAGTTGCTTTCTTTTCTTCAATGCGTGTTCTAAGCGATAAATAAACTTTATCTGATGACCCACTGCTTTCATCCGGTTGATTTTCTTTGCTTGAGTTACTTTATTGTTCTTTACCTTGGGACAATTTCATTTTATCATTTCATCATGTTTAAAATGTAAAAGAAAATAGAAAATTCATATGAAACTCACCACGTTTTCATGGATCTCCATCGTGTCAATTTCATTCGCGTTGTCGTTTGTTTCGCAGTCACTGCGCACTGAAAAAGTAAGAATTTTTATTTCCTTACTTTTCGATTCTTTTGCTCCAATTTACTTTTAACTGTTGCTACTGATGTCTCCTTCGAATAACTTGTTGTCAGTGATTCTGTGGATGATGAACTGCTAGGCGTGTAACGTTGAAGTGGACGTCGTTTAAGATTCTTTCTTGTTGGATGATATTTGGGTGAAGACGATGACGAACTCGGTGCTGAAACCTTGCCAGGAATCTCTAAATGCAACAAATTTGTTGATGACGATGGTGGTAGAATGTCTAAAAATAATTAAAAATAATTAATAAAATAATTAATAACATTAATTAATGAAATTTACTTGACTTTGAGCATCTTCTTTCTCGTCTTTTTCCTGTATTTTTTCTATGTTGCGTGAGTGATCCTGTGGATCCACCTTTTCCATCTGACGAAGGGAAGTCATAAAGTCCATCGGAATCAGTGAATGGTAACTGAGAATCTTTCTTTCCATAAAATTGTGGTGAAAATCTTCCCATTCCATTATTACGGTCGCTTAAGGGACTCTCAGAACGTGATGACACTGGTGAAAGCTTATCGCAATTGTTATCAGAATGTACGATAATTGAAGGGAGTTGAAGTTGTGACATTCCCACAATTTCTTCTGAATTCAATAAACTTTTACCATGATCCAAAAGCTCTTTTCCAATAAAAACTTCTAAATCTTTAGCACTTTTAATGTCACTCTCTTCAAGTTTTTCATCCAATTGATCTGTTCCAATTCCTTCGTCATTAGATTCGAGTAATATCTCGTCAGAAAAAGTTTCCGAATCAGATCGTTTTCTAAAACAATCAGCATTATGTTCAGGATCATTCTTCATCATAATTGATTGTTGAAGACGAACATTATTCAAAGTCACTTGAAAGTCTCTTCGAGGTTTCATTTCGTCACCTTCACTTGCACAAAGTTTGCTGCTTGATCCACATGGACTTGCCATACTTGAATAACCAGATGAACTGAGATTGCCTTCGGATGGTGCTCGGTCACGTGCACAAGTAAATGGACTCAAATAAACCATACCTGTTGAGCTCGGTATGAACTTGGTGGGCATGAGAAGCGATGGTTTCAAAGTTACTGGTGATAAAAATTCAGTATCAGATTCAGCTTCACTACACATGTTGACAGTTATTACAGGGGGAGTGGGGATATCAAGGGATCCGGGTTTCTCCATGTGCATCAACAAACGTTTCTGTTGTTGCTTATTAGGAAACATTCCACTGGTGTCACCAATGCTAGCACGTTTTGTAGGTGGCGGTGAACCAGGAAAAACAATAACTGGATAACGTTCCTTTGTCGGACTTGGAGTTTGAACGACAAGTTCAGGAATAATTAAATCTTTTGGTCTACTTGCAAGCATCTTCTCATGACTCATCGCGTTATTAAGTGCACTCGAGTCTATTGAAATCAATGGCACCGATGCAAAGTTAGAACGTTTCACAGAACTATTCGTCGATGATTCTTCGCTTGACGTTTTTTTGTTGAGCGAATATGAATCGTTATCAGAATCGCGCTGATTCGATTCGATTGCTATTGTTGGTGATTGCTGGTTGTTGACGTGATGGTCCTGAAATATATTTCATAATTTAATTTCACTACAATTGCATTCACTACGTAAAAGATAAAAGAAAGAAATTTTTTTTTCATCCTAAAAAGCTTAAATGAGATTTAAAATGAGTTTCAACTACTTGATCAGCTACGTGACTCGACTAAAATGTACATAAATGAATTTTTTTTCGTATTTTTGTCTAGTTACATGATATAAGTTTGTTTGATTATGTTTTGTATCATCGTCATCATTTAATGTAACTGATAAAGTTTCATCTTGCATGTCAGGTGCTCCACTTAATGTCCGATGTGGTCTTGACATGACGGGTGTTAAAGCAGGCGTGGGCAGTTCACGAATAGGCGATAAACATTTATTAATATTTCCTGGAATTTCAAGCAATATCGATGGAGGGTGCAAAAGAGTTTGTGCTTGAGTTGTTTTATGAGCGCTCATAGCATCCATGACTGTCACTTCTACTGTATTTGTTCTGAAATAGATTGGAGAGTCTGGTGCACCACTTGAAGCACTAACAGGAGTTAAGATCGATGATGTCGATGATTCATCATCACAAGCATTGTCATCTAGTGGTGATGTTGCTGTTGGTGTTGTCGAAGGTGAAATCATTAACGATGTTGATAAGTTATTTATTCCACTATTTGACGATGTGAAATTCTTAAACATTGCTAAGATTGAATCAGCGCTTGACACTTTCGTTCGATGCTTTCTTTGATTGTTTCTGAATGAAAAATCGTGCAAGGCTAGCTCACTACTAGATAAAGAGTCGCTTCCTTGATTAGATGATGTGCTATGAGGTGATCGAATGTCATTTGTACAAGGTGATGGTGGAACTGAGTTAGCTCTTAATTGAACTTCTGTTGGAAGGCTTATTGCACTGGAGCGGCTGTTACCCTGTAAGGATTTTTAATATTCTCTTGAGATTCATCAACTTCATTAATGGCATTATTCTTACATCAATGTTATTGCTACTGTTGATTTCGGCTGACATCTTACTAAGCAATCTAGCAAAAGTTACTTTCTTTTCAAGCTTGGGATCTGACGATAATTGTCGAGTTAATGCTCGCAATGGTGGGACTGGAATATCAACCGAAGTAATGCTTTCATTTTGAAAAGCTGTTTCCTTTAATCCGCTTCCATCTTCAGCTGTGATTATGTGATTATCACAACTACGATCCGAAAATTGAATAAGCTCTCCCAACGTGACCTTTTAATAAAGTAAACATGAAAGGTGAAAATTTCTGATGATTTTTATTCATTCTCATCTCATCTGCCAACCTTGTTACTGCTGCTGTTCGCTGAAATAAGATGTTGTAAAATTTGGGTTTTCTCAGCAGCATTCTTTGGCGTGGGTGTTGAATTGTTGCGCTTTTTTCTTGGCGATGGCGAACCTATGTTCAAATTATTTTCTTTAGATGAATAATTTTCATTCGGTAAATTGGAAGTAATTGCTGAACATTTTTTATTGTTATTTTAGTTTGATTGATTGGGTTAAGACGGTAGATAGGTACGGTAGATATTGCGGTAATATAAGCGGGCAAAAAGAGAAACATATAGCTCAATTATAATATATTTTCCATCAAATAGATACTTCTACTGTAAAAATAGATAGAAAATTGAAAACTAAACACAAGTTATGCCATAAAATTGCTATAGATAAAGTAGACAATGTTAATAAGAAAAGAGTGAATATAAAAGTTTAAGTGCATCAGCAGCCACAACACAAACATTTACTTACATTCTCATCGAAGCTTCGTTGTAAGTTTTTATTTTTTAAAGGTTTTTCAAGGTTCTTTTCCTGTATAAGTATGTACATGATTCAAACTTACTTCTAAATATTTAATATTTAATATTTACATTAAAAGGATATGAAATAAGGTTGAAAATGATCCGCAGTACCTTGGCGTTTTGTTAAATTAAAACACATAGATAAGGATGTCAACATCGGTTCAATCCAAGGCTTAATTAATTTAATTAACTTGATTTTGAATTTTAATCATCATGCAGAACATAAAGTGCAGATATATTCAATGAAGAAATCAATGATTGTTCATTATTTTGTGTTGAATAAAATGCATTTAAGAGGGAGACAGAGAAAGAACATCAAAATGAGAAACAAAAACGGAGTAACAGCAGATGTTATGTAAGATTTTCCATTCACTATCGATTGTTTCATGTTTGTGAATTTCGAGTACAAAAGAGTGAATGGTTTTATGTACAAATCAATTTGATATTTAGGATACCTAAGATGTATAAATAGATAGGATTTGAGTAAGAAAATAGAGAAAAAAGTGCTTTACAATATGAAACTCATAGAGAAGTTTGTTGAAGTCGAAGAAAGATGAGAAAAGCTTCAAGCTTACGTCGAGGGAGTGGTCGTAAAAGATCGTCAAGTGAAAAGGTTCGAGCGGTAGAACCTTGTGAAGGTTGAGGGCTGCTGAGGCTTAAAAGCGATGGTTTTCTTATACCCAAACGTCCGAAAATCGATTTTTGTGTTCCCATCGTTGTGACGTTAATTTGTGAAGCTCCTGCTTGCATCATTGGATTATTAGCAGCACCGGCAACTTGCAATTGCTCTCTAAGGGATATATGATGATGATGTCGTAAATGAGCAGCTATTTGAAATGTTAAATTAATTAATGTCATTAATGTTTAATGAAATTGTCTTACGACGATTTCTGTCAGCTTCTTCTTGCAGAAGCTTCTCAATTTTCTCAGGAAAATGTCTCTTTGCACACCAGACTAATCCAATTACTGCTAAAACTACAAAGACTGTTATAAGGCCAAGCCAGAATGGTTCTTGTAACATTCGTTCGCTTAATGGACGGTAAGGGACCTGCATTCGCTTCTCACATCTGGGGCCTTCAAACCATGCAAAGCAACTGTGAATGTTGGAAAAATGAATGATGTATGAAGAGAATTTTCTTTTTTTTAACACAATACCGGCATGTAAATCCGTCGTTCTTCTCGACACATTCACCACGGTCCTTACATGGATGTTCATTACATGGCTTGGTTCGTTGTTCGCAGGTTTTTCCTTGATATCCCGGTTGACAATTGCACTGTTCAAAAACATGAAATAAATCATTCATTCTTATGTCAAAATTGTATTTCAAAACCTTGAAGCTGCTGTTCGTTAAAGTGCATTGTCCAAATATGCATGGATCCAGTTCGCACATGTTCAAAGCACAGAAACGACCAGTAAAATGTCCATTACATTGACAAACTTGCTTTTTACTAGATGTTATGCATTTTCCACCGAATTGACATGGATTTGGATGACATGCTTCGACCCAATCATCCGTTGTCGATATCAATTTGAGTTTATAATTGAGATCTGAACGGAGATGAATAAAAATGAAAATGTCAATTAAAACCGACAGAAATTCTTTTATTTTATTTACCCGATTGAACACGAATGCTGGCATTAAGAAGTCCAATGTCATTGTCAAGAGATTTCTGTCGGATGTGCAGAGTATTCAGATACGAAGTTATGATAATCACTGAACCCGTCTCTCTTCGATTCAATGATTTTCCATTTGACATCGCACTACATAATCGCCAGATTGTTCCATTTGTCTCAGCATATTTATCATGAATCTATTTGTGTATAAAATATTAATCTTAATACGTGATAATCGCTGATTAAACGAACCTGCACAGAGCTGCCATCAGCACAATCATGTTCACCAAACTCCATTCCATAAAGTTCAATGGATATGACGTTTCCCACAGGCGCTATCAGATATTGAGTAAAATCGAAAAACTTCGGCAACGATAAGGGAAAGTTGAGATGGTGAAGTTGTCCAAAGGTAACGTTTGAAAAGTTCATAATGCGATGTTCAACGGGCTGTTGCACTGTGAATTTGTTGAACGATAAACAAAGTTAAGAATTGTTTTTTTCAAGTTCTAAATTTATTTATTTCACCTGATCGAAACTTCAATGAAAATCCTTTTCCACGTGGATTTTGTTCAGTTCTCAGAATGATTTGTAAAGTCTCTCCGCGACTTAAGAATACTCCGTCACTTATCAATTGGTTGTTTGAAAAAGGTTGAATTCGAATGCCATCACCTAAATCCACATAGACAACGGCATCACTTAAGATACTGTGCGACGTAAATTCAATCCAAATTTTCCGACCAATCGGTGCTTGAATGGTGAAAGTGCAACTGAGATTATGTAAAAGAAAATTGGGAAAATTTGGACTTGTTAGAATTCCTTCATGAGCTGTCATTGTTTGACCGGGACATGCTGACACATCAATTGAACGCCAAATAGCAGAAAATCCTTCACCAGACATTGAATAGTCAGAGACGAAATTTAGAAATAATTCATTTGATTTCGAAATAAAATCGAATCTTGACATATTTGCTGAATACGAGCCACACCATCTGACATATTGTTGGAACGATGGCGAAGCTATTTCATTATTATTTGTCGATGAAAATCTATGAAGCATTTGATAGTCGACATTCTCAGATTTCCTTACGTTTCGCTTTACGCCATCACTTTCATTTCTCAATTCAACATCTTGCACACTAACGTAGTCATATAAACATTCCTGCTGTGATTCCACGTCAATCTTTTGAAATTGCAGAATGATTCGTGTCTTTTCTGGTGCAATAATATGAACCCAATAATTTAATGATGGCGTGTAATGATTTGGATAACTTGGTGACGTCAATCTCCCTTCCATTCCACGAATTGTTTGATTCTGCATTAATTCATCATTCTTTCCACTCTTCTTACAAACATATCCACCAAGATTTGAGCAATTCTGATATATCCAATAAAAGTTGGAAGGAAGTGTTGTCATTTGTGTCACTTTCCATTGCATTGCTAAACATAAAGACTTCATTGACTTATCAGGTTTCGTAATCCAACCTTTGAAAATCATTTTCGATCCATCAGTCCACTTGTCATCACTCTTTGAATTCTCAGCACAAAGCCAATAAAACGAACTTGGATTATAGTCTTCATTACTTCTAATTATTTCAGCAATGAATCTAAGAGAATGTGGAAACATAAAATTAATGACTTTCATGATACTGAAGTACATATCTAATGAGTCAAATGAAAATATTTCTATTTAAAAATGTCTAAGTTTATATAAATTAGTGAATAATTGAACAATTACTTATGTTCTTCATATGATAAAACGAACGATAATTGTGCACCCATACTATGGCATATTTTTTGTGCTACCACCCACTCTACTTCCGGGAAAGAAACGGCCAAGTAACATGAATCGTTAAATAATTTAAGTCGCTCGTCGGAGCATTCGGTTGTTGCTGTTGATAACAAAAAAAAATGACAGAAAGTAAGCAAGCGAATCAGATTAAATATTTGGAAGGGACAAAATTTCATGGCAACTCGAACCTTTTTCCAACGATATTTTTGCTTTAAAGCCGATGAAATGATGTGAGTAATCGGATGAAAAGCTGATACCAAGCAGGTTGCCCTTGGACTTGTACCGCAGTAACTTTAGTTTTGAATTCCAATCGCCACAAATCTTCCGGGGAATTCTTTCAGCTAAGTTGGTTGGTGGTGAAATGAGCTTATTATAAGTGATGTTCGATGGATGCAAAATATATGTCGATGTATCTTGTTGTGTAAAATCTTTGAGAAATTCATCATAAATATGTTCATTTTGAAGACTATTCCTAACATCCACAATTAAATTATTCTTGCTTAAAGCTGATCTCTTTTTATGTTTTATAAACGACATCACGTTTACATCATCCCCATATGGCTCAAATAATTGCAAGTAATCATAAGCGCATTGCGGTTCTTGTTCCATGACAAATTCTTCGAATTCTATGAGAATACTGAATCCGCTTGGAGCCGTAACAAATGTCACACAATTCATGTCGTCTGGATAAAAGCGAGGGAAGCTTGGACTACTAATCATTGTCTTCTTTTTATCCTGTGACAAATGGATTGTGTCGTTACAGTATTTTGCTTCGTTATTGTTTGTAAGCTCTGTGAATGTTAACAACAGAATTATGACAATAAAAACTTACTTAAGATAACAAAGAAGTTTATTTACCTTCAATCAGAGAGTACTCGCAAATAAAAGGATTCTTTGTTTCACAATCTCGATCATTCCACATGAAGGAATCAGTCAAAAAGGAAGCTAATGCCAAGCCACTCGATGCTGGTCTATGAAAGTATCTTCTAATTTCAACACAATCCTGTTCACTCAACCCATCATCGTTTGGTTGTCGGTTGTAGTTTTCATTTTGCTTCCATCCCGGAAACCATTCTGGAATATAAACAAAATGTTTTGTACATGCGTAGGTGGGCGTGTGGGTGTAAAAAGGAAAGAAATACTTGAAAAAATAAACGGTAATCCATCAATCCACCGGAAATCTCCTTCTTCGTCGTTGTCACTCGCTCCAATCCAATAAGATGATTGTGCTTGATAGTTGGGACTGAGAGATTGAGAAATTGAGAAAAGAAAAAGTTGAAAACCTTTTATAACTGTCAATGACTCTTATTTTCCTTCTTTACCAATTCAAAAGTAAATTATCAATGAATTTCTGATCAGATTCACTTCGAATCGACACCAAATGTCCGCCATTACTATTGCAATGATTTTCTGCATTTTTCCATGACATAACTTGATTAAATACTGACACACAAAATGGTCCAATTAATACCCATCCAAAGGCACAACGTGACACTATCATTTCAATGGGCACAGCTGAATAATTCAATTTTATTAATGGGCCCATATTTTCTCCATCTTTATATTCGTTTGTATCTTCATCTCTAAAAAATATTTTCTTTGCAACGTCTTTTTGTGCTTTTTTTATCGTGATGCGAATAAATAAAACATTATCTGAAGTCGTTAATGTGTAAGCAACATTTTTAATCGCATCTGAATACTTTATACAATCATTCCACTTTTCACTTAATCTATTAATCACTTCAATTAAGAAACCATCATCACAGGTGAATAATTCACTTTGGAAAGAGGCATCGGGAAAGAGTGAAAAATCATCAAATGTAAGATAATTGAGGTCGAGGCGAGTTTCGTTTTTCCTTCCACTTCCTTCACTCGCGCTCGTAATCGTCTTCGTAGTTGTCGGAGTAGAAGTAAGGCTTATGTTAGAATTTGTCAAAATAATCTCTCTAATATTAATGTTCTCTTGATTATCATTATCATTAACACTTAAATTTCCACCATCATCAATTTGTAGTCGCATCGCAATTCGATTTCCGTATGGTAAATGTATTTTGAAATGACATTTTGAGGTCAAGTCCGATGCTTGGATTAAAGTTAAATTATTACGATTCATCAAGGTGATATTGTAACAGTAGTCGACAAATTTGAAGGCGATATAGAAGGTAGGATTTTTGTGAGTTTTCAAGGTAACGTTTGTATAAGAATGAAAATATATTGTTCGATGATTTTCTGAGAACTCTTCCAATTTTCCGCACATCTTTATATTATTCTGACTACTCTCATGAAACTGTAGGAATCCTCCATTATTACATCCACCGCTATTAAACCGAAGAAGTTTGATAACAAGGCCGGGAGGATAAGTTCGATATCGATTTCGCATCATCGTTGTTGAGAAGTGAAACGTGCAATTCTGATGGTTTGAGTTGATAAGAGAAGAATCTAACCAACTTATGTTTCTCTTCAAGGTCAACGAGCAGTCTGGAAAAGCATTCAAGAGAGATTCAAGAAGGTATAATTAAATTCAGATTATTCACTTTGTGACACCAACGACAAATGTCGTTTTAGTAGAGCATAGAAGTTCGTAAACTTGTAAGCTTATTGTATAAAGTCAATTACAGTCAACTGAGACTTACCTTGAAGCAACTTATACGTGACTGAAGTTTCAAACAATTCTCGTCTGTTTGCTCGACGATAAATCAACCTATGTAAATTATTGTTTCAAAGTAATTGTTTTCATTAGATTGAAAGTTTTAAAAGCGAAAAGAAAATGTTCTTGTTATGTTAATCGAAAGAAATTCTCACCTAAATTCTACAACTTTGCTATCTGCAGGGATGTTCTTCATCGTCCAATTCCATGAGACGACGCTTTCTGACGTTTTATTTGTATTAAATTCGTAATACGCTAAGTTTTTCTCACAATCGTTAAACTTCTTAAAACTTTCGCTAAAATCATTGCTGCCGCTCGGCTTATTCTTAAGATTATCTTTATTAGTATTAGGAGGTATGAGAAATTCTCCAATCTGCATATTTTGGTCCGAAGTTGTTTTCAGAATAAAATCGATGATGTCGCTTGAGCCAAGAATCCGACAATTCACTGTGATTGTTGTTAAGATGAAAACAAACATCAGAAACAAAAAATATTTTAAAGAGATGTTATGTAATGAAGACGCCAATTTATATGTTAAATAATTTTCCTTTTTGTTGCAAACAAAACAAAAATTGATGGGCGATTATTTTTTATCATTATTGTCTTTACATAATTTTAACATACATTTTTTATGATATGAAATGATAAATGATTAAATGTTGTTATTTTTCTACAACGAGTGACAACACATAAATACAATGAAGCGTATAAGTCAACGAAATCGGCAACATAAGCTTACCTTTATAAATTATTCCGTCCATTAGGCCACTTTGACTCGTCATTGTTTCGAATACATCGTGAGTGACGTCAATCTCTGGCATTTGTCTTGCAACTTCTCCTCCCTGTGCTGTATTTTTATCCTTTTGAGCATAAACTTTTACGATTTTATATCCCAAATTAATGTAACTCCTTAATCTTGAGTTTGTTGCACTCACGTCACATCGATTTTTTTGTTTTTCATTGTTTTCATTCACAGCTGTCAATTCGCTATGAGATTTCTTAGAATTCATCCTTGTCTGATCTTTCTTAGGATCATTTGACACTCTCATCGTTGCTGACTCATCACTTTTATGCTTTTGCAAACTTTCTAGCATTTCATATCGCTTATTGATTGACACCTTTTCCCTTTCATTGTCATTCAAGTTAAGCCTATCGAGATAATCAATATTTTCACTACTCCTACTCGAGAATGCATTTGTCATTGGATTAGTCTTGACATCTGCCAAAGCTTTTGATTGTACATTACTATTAATAGGTCGATTGCTTTCATGACTATGGTCAGTCGAATAAAAATCATTAAATTTCGATGAAGACAACTCGGACGTTTCTAATACGAGATTGGATCTTCTTTTACTCGCCTTTGCTTCGAATTCGGTGAATATGATGAATAAAAGTACTAAAAGCTTCATATTGAACTTTGCCCTTTATTATATTTCTTTATAATGTCGCCTACAATAACACTGCATATTTTTTATGTGGGTGAGATTAATTATTCTGAAGCTTTTGTGCTCGCAACGTAATTATTTCAATTTTTTTTATATTCCCGATGGCGTATCGATTTTTTTCTTTTCTTTTTAATGAATAAAAAAAAAGTACGATTAAATTTATAATAGTTGACTTTGTTACGCTTCGTCCCTTTTCATGATTAACATAATGTTTCTCGTGTTGTGTTTCTCATTACTTCACGTTTCCGATTTGCTTTTGCTTGTTTAACACTTTAAACTACATATTGCTTATGTCAAAGATGATAAGTGAGAAATTGACGAGGGAAAAGTTTAAAAACACATGAAGAAAAACTTTTGATCCTTGTCTTTATAATCTTTATAAAAGATGAAGAATGACATGCTGATCGTCACTTTATGAACACCTGTCTGCCTTTAAATTCAAATTTTCTTTCCGAAGGAAACTTTCATGTTCTTATGTTGTTTATAGAATTTATTTGTTTTTGTTTCAAATTCCACATAAGATTGGAAAATCGATATCAATATCACTTAGGTTTCATATTTTCAAAGAGGAAGAGGGCAGAAAGCGAGAACGCTGAAAAAAATTTGCTCTGGGCTTTTCTTTCATTATTTTTTCTCTTCCATTTGCGTTTCACATTTTCATCACTTTTCTTTCTTTTCGATTAAATAAAGCACAAACATACACTAAATCTAATACAAATATCCTTATGAGTGGAGGAAAAAAACTAATCAGTTTATTTTTTCTACGTTTTCTATGAGCTCTCACTACATTCTAATAATTTATGCTGTGTAAACTATTTTAAAAATCAAAGAGAGTGACTTTTTGTCTTTAATCACGATGACTTCCCGATGACGACTGAAAGCTCGTTTGGAAGAACCCTGAGAAATACTTTCATTTATTACATTCCACACTTGAATTGGAAGCTTTTGGAAGTTTTTCTTCTCTCGCACATGGGTTTAATTTTCCCATGAAAAGCACGTGGCATTGAATCATATGCTGGGATGGAAGTAAGCAATTTCCTGTCTCGGGTCAAGTGTCACGATTAACTCTTATTAGATATTTAAAATTAATATTTATTTTGTAAGTTTTAAAACCTTATCGAAGCTTAATTTTTTAATTTATTTATTGGAATAAAAATTTCACATGACAAATCAAATATAAAAAATAATTCATACAAAAAATGTTTTTCATTTGAAATCAATTAAACATAATTTGATTAAGGCACGAGATATCTAATCAGCTGTCTTTACCTTTTCCTTCCATTTCATGATTCTCTTATTCTTATCTCAATTCCATCATGGAACGTAAGCTATACTGGAAGCAATATTTTATTTTTCGCGCCACACTTCTTTTATATTCCTCTTAAAGTTAAGAGTTCTTAATAAAGTAATAAAAAGTGAAGAACATGAAGATTAAAAAAGACAACAACGACATTGTATTAAAAGCTTCGTTAATAAATAAAATAAACATTTATTCATTAATTACATTTTATCTAACATAACATTTTCTGGTAAGTAAAAATAAAGTTTACCTCGTCATTAAATTTGTGTGTGTATGTGTGGTGTGTGACATGAGAGTATATTTTTTAAGATCATGGATATTTGAGTGCTTTACATGTTCATATAACTTTTATGCAACAAATATTCTTTCATCACCAATAAAGTATTTCTAGCCCCTGTTTTTCATGTTTCTTAGGTCCAACAAAAATCAACCATTTAGCTTTTATAAAATAAATAAGATAAGAAGAAACATCAAGATGAAAATTTCAATTTGTCTTTTGACGGAAATTCTGATTTGGCTCGTAAAGATAGCGAAACTTTTCTTCTTTTTCTGTAGCTTTTCGGAAGTCCTCAAACAGGATGTAACCCTTCTCATCTTTATCAAGTTTGAAAAAGAGTTTGTTAATATCAGTCGATGATAACTTTAGAAAAAGTTTTATAATTTGGCAAAAAGATTCTCGAGGAAGTCGTCCACAGTCTCCATAAACTTTAAACAAAAGCATCACTAACTCAATTTTGGGATTACGAATCTTAATCAAAAACAATGAATGAAGTAAATATTCTTTGAAGTCAATAACAGTTGCTTCCTCTTCCGATGAAAATATCGAGAAAAGTGTGTAGGAAATATCATCAGCAGGAATTTTCAATCGATTTATAAACTCATCGAATGAAATGTTGAAATCCGCTGTTCCTTCAAAGTTTTCATTTGCAATACATTCTTCAATGTTGGATCCAGACAATCTGTTTGAAAGATTAAGAGAATGAGCGTCGATTTATTTTTAAAGCTGAGTAGGGAATGAAAGATAATGAAAATTTTTCTTACCCAATCTTGTGTCTAAATTTGGCAACATCTGCGATTTGTGGTGCAAACTTTAATTTGCATTTTTGAGCGTAATCCATTAGCTTACAGTCGTCAAAATTATAATCGGATATTGGAAGATTCATTGCTCTAGAGAAATAAATTATAATTTGAGTTACGTAAACTTCAGAATAAATTAATTTCACTAACTTTGCCATTATTTTTTGTACATTTGATGCAAATAATTTTGGATTTTTGATTTCTTCTTCACTTGGATTGTACACTGGTAAATATTCGACTTCAATGTAAGTATGAAGTTGAGATAAACTTCTCCAGAAAAGAATAAAAACGTTTGGTCCTTGCCAAGCCCATGTTAATGTGTCAACCTTATTCGGATATCGGATGACAACAGGCTGTACGGGCAACCCAGGATTAAATGCTCCAGGTTTAAACTGAACCATACTCTTCTTGTTTGTGCATGTACCTGTGAAATAAATTATGATTATATATTCATTAAACATAATTATTTAAATTATCTGAGTATAAACTTACCTTCGGGGAAAATTAATGTATGAGGCCAATCATCATCAGAGTTCGTTCGTTCATAAATATCTTGAATGGTTTGTGATCTCGAATCATGATTTTCACGACTACGTAATAGGAAGATTTTTTTATTGAATTGATTTGAGTAAATACAATAACAAACTCACCACACATAAATTGGTTGTGCCAAATCAATGATTTCTGAATAGCATGAAAAACAAATTTAGATTATTTTTGTTTATAAGAACGTTAAGTTGTTTACATACTTCCGAAAAATGGAATTTTGCCTGCTTCAACTTTGCCCACAACAGAAGCTGGACCACTGATAATCACAATCAATGCATCAAAGAAGCTTGTATGTGGGCCACCAATCAATATTGGAGCTTCTTTGGGTGATGCTAGTTTTCCTTTCACTTTAATCCAATTTGCAGATCCCACAACGTACATTAAACGAAATAAATGTCCACACAACGTTCGAACTTTCCTATAGAGAAACATTTATTTTGATGATAGAAGTTCTAATTGATGTGACTAATAGCTTGACTAATAGTCATTGCATAACATGGAATTTGCGATGATATTATAAATATCGACGTGACAATAAATTCCCAACTGACCTTCGCCAACCTTTCAGCGGCTTCCTTTTCAACTCTTCGTGTGTGATGCCAAAAATTCCTATACATGCTATCGACCAAGTCACCAGAAGAATTGTTAAAATACCAAAAATTCTGAGTGGAACGAGTAAAACAGTTAAGACGATCGTCTGATGTGGAGAAAAGAAGCAAAACAAAAGCTTATAAGTAAAAACGGTAATATTTGCAGATGATTGAAAATAAAGAGTTTTTTTTCCCACATGATTGAATTGTAATACGCAAACAAAGAATAAACATTAATGAGTCTTTTGTGCAACTACGCAAAAACATATTTTGGAGAGCAAAACTACGTATGCTATGAGATGAAGATCAAAATTTATGACGCATTTTCTTTGCATAGTGATTGGAAATGTAAATAACTTAAACATTTTCCTTGAATTGCTTACTGAACTCAGAAAAAGTTGAATTTTTTAATAACTGACACACTTTCCAAACGGTTTCTCACAAATTCTTCTGTCTTTTTACCTGTTTGCATCATCTTTTTCATTACTTCACTTATAAGGGTCTTCAATTTTATTTCAGAACCTTTTAGCAATTTTCTAAGTTAAACATACCTTTGTTATATCGAAAACTATATTTTCTTCATCCCAAATGTTATCTGGATATCTTATGAAAGGATTTTCTAAAGAAATTTTCCGATACGGTCTATTTCTGTTGTTTTTATTTAATTCTACTTTGTAAACCATCTTCTAAATATTTGCTTAACGGAACAACAAAGGTTTCTTAAACTTTAAATATATTTTCACTATAAATATAATTCTACTATTAAAAATAAATATTCTTGCTTTTAAATAGATTTTTGAGATTGGGTGACTATCCAGTGAACAACAAAAGAAAACTTTTATATTGATTTTTTGGGAATATCTCAGATCTTACTGACTATCTGGTCACCACTTCCTTCGAAGTTCAAAATAAGTCAGAACAGGTTCAATTTAAATTATTTTTAAATTCTTTCTTTTGAACAATTATTCTGATGATATTTCTATCAAAACTTTAAAAACATTCATTAAAAGCAATTAAATTTCAATTTTAACATTAATTTCCTTTACAAATTCCACAATTTCCTCTTAACGATTTATAATTTGAATAACTTTTGTTGACTTTAACCCCCTAAAAGGCAAAATCTTAATACCCCTGTTTTCCACCTAAAATTTTTACAATACAGTATCGGATTTGAGGAGTATATTCTGGAGTTTTCTGCTTTGAGTGGTTCATTAGACATTTTTTCGCAGGTTTAAATATAAAACCTCTGAATATATCACGAAAAATAATTATTCCAAGCAACAGAAGTGCGGAAATTTATATTTTCCTTTTCACTTCGACCATTGCTCATTGAAAACAAAAATGGATGATCCAAGTAGAAATATAACTTTAAATTTCAAGTTGCTGACAGGTGGAACATTTACAGTCGGTGTTGATAGTGACATTTCAGTTGATTCATTAAAGAAAATCGTTTCGAAAAAGCTGAAAATAAGTAAAGATAGGATATGTCTAATGAACAGTGAAAGGTGAGAAGAAATTAAAATAAAAAAGAAATTCCGCCATAGTAACATTTTTAATGAATTTCAATTTCAAGTTTAAAAACTTTGCTTAGATGAATGTTTCTATATTTCGTGAAAAGTTTTAATCTAGTAATGGCCTTTAATAGGGGATTTTTTGAATTCGAATAAAGTTTTTATCACTTTTCGGCACACATACGCAAGTTTGGTAAAGCATCGTAACTCTCTCCTTAATATAAAGTTTTATATTTCCTTTCCATTCGCTCATCGGCGATGCGAAAAGAAAAATATTAAATCTTCTTACTACATATTCATAAAATTTCAATTCCTTTTCATAAAATTTATCTATATTACAAGTAAATGATGAAAACTGATTTAAACTAAATAATCCGTCAAATAATGTATTGATCTATTGATAAATTTTTTAATTTGGCGATAATTTCTAATAAAAAGAATTTTTTTTATTCAGAGAACTTCAAGATGGTACACTCAAGGAAAATGGAATTGTAAACGACTCAAAAATTATCATCACCCCCAACGTAGAGAGTGGATTGGTAAGTCAAATCAGAGAATCGAATTCAGAAAGATTTCACATCATTTGTGTAACTCTTCTAGGCCCAACGCACAGAAAACACCGTGCTACAAGCACTTGAATCTTTAAATGACAACCAAGTGAACGATTTCCTCAGTGGGAAGTCGCCATTGAATTTAAGTGTTCGTCTCGGTGACCATATGATGCTTATTCAACTTCAACTTTCAACTTTGAGTCCCTCACAACAGAACTCACTAAAACAAAAAGTTGTAAACGCATCAAAATTCAAACAACAACAACATCAACAGCAGCAAAATTTGAGTCCTTTATCAATCATAAATCCTCAAGAGAATGATATATTTTTACCCAATAACAGCATGAAACGTCCGATGGAAGATATGGAAGAATCTTCAGCTGTTAGACAGAAATTAATGACATCAAATCTTGCTTCGAATGATTCAAAAGACAACAACAAATCTTCTCCAATAAAGTCGCTCTCAAGCATGGTCTCGAGTCCACTTTCATCAGCAGTACAAAATATGCATCAAAGTAATAAATTGTGGCAAACACCAGTCGATCCAATTTCTGCTAATTTAACATCGTGTTTATGTAAACGACTTAGTATCAGTTGCAACAATAATTGTGGACAACGATCAGACAGTGCATATGTTTCCTTTGGTTCGTACTCGAAGAACTCGTCACCACACACAACATCACTTCCCGTCCCTTTTCATCAACGACCGATTGACAACAATTTTGATGTAGAACAAACTGAGCTGATACCAGAAACAACCACATCAACAGCAACAGAAGAACAAGATTCAATTTCTTTACCGTCGAACAACAAACAACATCAGCAACCGCTGCTTAACACTGATAACCCAGCACTTGCTGAAGCGTCAAGAAATTTGACTCAAACTTTAAAAAGATTATCGAAGAAAGTCTTTACAAGCAAGTCACATTTAATGGAAGCAGCCGCATCATCGTCTTCTTCAGCATCATCACCATCGTCTTCAATGTCTTCTCAATTTAAGGGAAATACGATTCGAACGGCGTCATCAACTTCTTCTTCATCATCGTCTTGTTCTTCTTCCAATTCATTGCCAAAATCGTCAGGCGCTGTTATAGAATCAATGAAACACCATGGAAAAGGAATTTATTCGGGCACTTTCTCAGGCACATTAAATCCAACACTTCAAGATAAAAATGGTCGTCCGAAGCGTGACATTTCAACAATTATTCATATCTTAAATGATTTGCTAAGCGCTACACCACAATGTTCAAGAAATGGAGCGAAAATATTTTTTGAACCAACACAGCCACCCGTGGGCCCAAGTGGAAAATTTATTAAGGTACAAAATTCAATTTACGTTTTTTCTTTTATTTTTCAGTATTTATATTCTTCTCGGTTTTATTTAGATAAAAAAGCAATCGCATTCGCGAAGTTCTTGTGTTCGTTGTGCTCCACCTACGTTATTACGTCACACACAGTCATGTTCATCTGATGAACCGTCTACAAGTACGAAATGCAGCAGTGAAGGTTTGATAATTATTTAAAAAAGGTTTCAATTTTTTATTTTATGAACACTTCATTTTCATAGCTCACTATCCAATACCATCAACATCGAGTGGAATTGTACGTGGTGGTAGTGGCGGCTGTTCAGATTGCAATAAATGTGTAACGAATCGAAAGTTAGAGATCGAAAATATGAAGACAAAGACAAAACTCGATCAACTGAAGCTTGTGATGAAACAGAAAAAGGAGCGACGTGAAGCAAGAAAGCTGAAAATTGCGCCTTACAACAATCAGCATGAGTCAATGATTAATGTTGCTAATCAAGCATCGATGACTAGTCCATCAAAAGCTTCACCAACAAAAGGTTCAAACAACAAAAGTTTAGTTCATGATGGTGAAACAACCCATCATGTTGATTCTTCTTCTCCTGCAACTGCAACTGCCGCCATTGCTACGTCAATTTCCCCCAACAACAACAACAGTGAAATGGAAAATCATCTTGAAGAAGTTGATTCGGTAGCTTAAAATATTACCGTTTAGGATGGATCCTTGTACATTCTGTATATAGCATGTTAAGAATACACCAAACGAGAGGCATGGAAACTGTAGATACGGAAAATTGAAAAGGCTTAAAAGCTTTCGTAGACCTTTTGTAGACTTGAAAGGTCTCCAATTTGGTGTGTCTACAAATTTTCCAAAGCTTTTCTCTAAACTCTACGAAAACTTTAAAACTCTCTTCTAATAATTTACTTTAATAATACATAATCAATTACGCCGCTTTCCATTTTTTGGGTGCATGAGTTTTCAAGCAGGCTTACTGTGAAATTGATTTTAAAAAAATACATAAATAAATAGATTGTGACGTCACTTTCGATTGTACTCATACTGCATCCTATCAAAAGTATCAAAAAACATCCTTATTAATTAATTAAAATAAATGCAAACGTTATGAGTTATTTTGTTAATTAAATATTATTGATGATAAATGCAAATGGTTATTTTTTTGAATAGATATTAATTTTTCTTTGGAAAAGTTTTGTTTTATGGTTTTTCCTTTTTTCCTTTTATGACACAGTTTTGTTTAATTTTAGTTGATGCCTTTTAAAAATATTGTCAAACAAACATGACAAAATATTTTTGTTGTTCATAATTGTTTTGATGTTATCGAAAATTTTTTAAATAAGCTAAAATTATTCTGGATCCAACTTAATTATAATTAAAGCAAAAATATTGAATAAAAGATTCCATTGCGGGACAAATTAAAATTTAGTTACGTTCGCTTCACAAAAAAAATATATCGTAATAAATAAAAATAGAATTCAATTAGAATAAATTGACAGAAAATAATAAAGTTAGTCTTAATTATTGAATAATTTAAGCTATGAAAATACTTTGAAAATTTAAATATCTATGACATAAATGAAAAAAACATAAAATTTGTATCAAAATAATAAATAAATATATGGAAGATGGAAATATGCATTAAATAATAAACAGATATTTGACCAAAACATAATTTTTGTGTGTTGTTTTGGGGAAAATTTTACTTCAGTTAACCGCAAAATTGTTTCCACAACGAACATTTCATAACTTTATAGAGGAAGTGGAAGTGGATGTGGGACAATAACAATAAAGATTCTATTTTTACAGCTGACCTGTTGACCTAAATGAATGTCAGGGAAAAGCATCAATAATCAATTTTTGTTTTTCTTTAAATGTATTCCTTTATTTTCACAAATTTTTTTGTAATGTTTGAGAAAATTTAATTTTTGGTTTTGCTTTATTCCTTTCTGATGAAAAAAAAGAGTAAAGTAAAAAAGCTTCGCTTAGCTTTGGTAGGAAATTTTGAAAGGTTCTTTGGGTAAAGTTTATTGGAAATATACATATTTAAGTAATTTAATATTTTAAGTCTAACAGAAACAGAAAAAAGTCGTACATTGTGATGTGAAAAAAAATGTTGCATAATTTGGCACATCAATTAGTTTTGTTTTTCAATTTAATATGATTTGTAATCAATTCAACATGCTTTCACATGCTGCTGATGATGTTGAGAATGAACCTGAAAGGAACTCTAAGTTCATTAAACATATGTATGCTTACAACAAGTAAGAAAATAATACTGCTACATTAATATCTTCATTCTAGACGCTGTACGTAATTAGTATAACATTTATTTTACTTTATGTCAAGTGGAATAAATTTTCTGTTCTCCCCTTTCAGAAGTTTCAGAGTTAAGAAAATGAAAATTAATGAAAATCTTATCAACAACAACTCTTTTCCTCAAATCATCATAAAGTGAAATTATTGAAACATTTTCCTTTTTGAACTAAGGAAAAGCGATTTTAAATCTTTTTTTCGATTGATTAAACTGATTGAAATATCAGCATTAAATTAAATTTGAGCTAGGAATGAGTTAACTTAACATAAATAGTTACAAAAGAGTAAATTCGATTGAAATTTAAATTAAATCAAAAGTTCTTTTTCTTTTTTCTTCTTAGCAATGCAATGATAAGATAAGATGATTTCTTTCTTTGGACATACATAGATATATGTATTTATATAAAGTTTTCTTCAATTTAATATCAATACGAAACCCCATATACAGTAGAAATATTTTTTTTATTAATAATATGATGCTGGAAATGGATGATAATTCTGTTGTTGATTTGATTGAGGTGTTTGATGATATTTCACTTGATGATGTGTATGATGAGGATGATGATAAGCTCCAAAACCACGTGGCGAGACAACATGACGATTTGATTGACCATCAGACAACAGTCTTGACTGATCCAAAATTCGATTGTTTTCTGATGAAAGCAAACGATTATTTTGTTCGAGTATCAAATGTGCTGTTGGATCAACAAGCATTCGTTGATCTGTTGCTGAAAGGAAGCGATGATGATCAGGAAGATCTCTGCTTGTCGCATGAGAAAGAAAAGATGAATGATGTCGCACATGATGAGAATTATTTGTGCCAACAATGCTGGGTGAAGCTCCTGAACTACTCGAACTTAAATCTAAAGAAGCCATTCGAAGCATTTCTGAATGTGTATGCGAATAAGGAAGATGTGGTGGAGACGAAGGTACAATGTATGTGTTAGATGTTCTACTCAAATCAACACCAGATTGCATCTGATCAGATTCTTGATCATGCGATATGTGGTCTTGCATCAAATGTTGAATTTGTTGTTGTGGGGGTTGTTGAATCTGGAAAGGATGATGTTGATGATCTTGGTGTTGTTGCGATTGTGCGATTTGCTCACGATCTGTTAAAATGTCATAAATATGATGTTGATAACGATTGAAGCTTAAATTTGATCCAACAGATGATGTGAGTTGAAAATTATGTGCATGATATCCAAGACCAGCACGTGATGACATATCAAGACCCTGATAATCAGATCCATTTCCACCATTAATATTCTCATGAGACACCGAGTTGCGTGTGTAATCTTGGTTTTGTAAACCTTGCTCGTTGTACTTCAAACGCAAATCGCTAAGCGATTCACGGTGCATTTGATTTGTTTGATTGCTGATTGCCAGCGAATTATTATCATACTTTCCATTGTTAGCATAAATAAGATCGACTTGGGGATTAAGTTTGATTTTTTCGTTTATGATATGATTCTGACTTTGATGGCTGACACTAAGATTTTCAGCAATGACAATTGAATTTTCATCATCACTCGAGATGTGCGTACTTTGTGATGTTTGCTGTTGTTGAATGCTTTGAATATTTTTCTGATATTCAACGTTACTCAACACACCACCACCACTCATGCTCTTCTCAGATCGCTGATAACTTTCACCGCCAAAATCATATCGTGGAAGTGATGGTGTTGATGCTGGTGACTCAATATTATGTTCGGAGCCATACATTGTGCGAGCTGACATTTGATTTGGCGATGTTTGGATTTGTGACGCTTGAAGATTTCTTTGTGAAGTAAAGTTTGGATTATAATTTGGGTTCTTCTTGTCTGGCGTTAATGTCCGACTTGGCGAACATGAATCATTTGCTTGATTCTGAAATGAAGTCATGTTTAAACGTTTGTCACCAGATGATGCGAATGAACAAAGCTTATCGTGTGGCTTAGGCGTTGAAGAAGCATCAACTTCAATTTCATTGTTCTCTGACATCAAATTCGTATTTACATTATTATTAAATGAAGCCATTGATGGTAAATGAATGGGAAAGTTTTGTGATTTCATCAATTTAAGGTTGTCATCAACAGATTCCATCATAGTTTGTGAGTTTTGGAATTCTTGACTTGTCATATCATCAGACATATCTTGTTGTGGTGTTTCATCTTGATTCAAATTAATCTGATGACTTGTGCCACCATCACTAATTTCACTACTCTCAATCATGTTACTGACAGAATTAAGGGCAGCTTCAACAAGAAGACTCGCTGATGTTGGAACTGATCCATTTATGCTTCGATTAGAATTTATGTTGCCATTATAGAAGCCTCCTAAGGAATGATTAAAATGTGCGTTAAACGCATTTTGATTTGAGTTATTGTGGTTGTTCTGGAACTGAGATTGAATCTCCATCATGTTGTTACTGTTTTGTGTGACTGCATTATGATGAGTGAATGGTTGGCCAAACTGATTGTTTTCCTGCTGTTGCTGGTGTTGTTGTTGCTGCTGTTGTTGTTGTTGCTGTTGTTGGTGATGCATGTTCGATTCAACAACATCAAGAATTGGTGAAGTTTCATTCATCTCATCGTTGACAACATTTCTCGATCCTTTGTGAAGTTTCGACGAAATCAACTTTGCAAGAAAATCTCGATTTGCTTGTGTCATTAGATTGGCATCAATGTCATCGATATCGTTGCTCTGATTTGTTGAATCGCTGATCCACTTTTTGCTTCCTTTACTGATTACCAAATTTGGATTATTTTGGAGAAGAAAATCTTTAAAACGTGGATTTGAAGTGATTGGAAGTTGAGAATTTTCCAACATGCCACTGCGACTGGGTGTCTTGAAAGAATTTCCATCACTGTCTTCACCATCGCAATCATCATCGTCATGTTCAAGATCATTTGTATCATTCCCAGAGAATGAATCGTTTACTTCTTCATTTCGTTTTTGCTGAAGTAAATCTCTCATGTTCTTACTCAACATAGACTTCTGTTCCATCCCCGATGCATTCATGCTGTCAGTGTAATCGTTGACATTCTCGAAATTTTCTTCGTCATCTTCCATACTGAGTTCTTCTGGCTTCTCACTTAGCAGCTTCTTATTGATATCTCTTAAGTTGCTATTTAATATTGATGAAATTTTCGATGAAAGAAGATTCAAATTATTCTCACTTTTACACAGATCAGTGATAGAAGACAAAAAGTTTTTATCCTTTAGAATTATTTCTTTTTCTCGTTGCGGCATTCTTCTTGTGACTTTGTCAAGTGATTCGCCTAAATTCTTGCGCTGTCTTCTCGTCATTCCTTCTAAAAATCGTATTGAAAGATAAACAAAAAGAATATTTTTTGTTTTATTTTATTGGATTTTAATAAAATGAATTTGCAAATAAAAAAAACTTGAAAATGTCAAACCTAAAGCTTCATTCTTTAATCCTCCAGAATAAGCGTCAAAAGTATACGCGACACTTCGCTCAATCTTTGGCATTTGTTCTTGAGTGAAACCATGAACTTTCTTATAATGAAATTGTAAACATTGTTTTGTTGTAAAAGCCGCAGAACATTCATTTTCAGCGCATCTAATGGAAAATATTTTTTAATAAGAAAATTGAATGCTTTAAGAGAAATAAAAACTCACTTAAATGGTCGCACTCCACTATGAGTTAACCTGACGAATGTAGGAAATAAAGAATTAAATTCATGATGTTCAATAAATATCGTCAAGAACTCACATATGAATCTTAAGATTGCTTCTATTTTGGAAGAGCTTTTGACATCTTGGGCAACTGACGACAGCAGAATTTCGACTGTGAACTTCCTTCGAATGTCGTTGTAATGCAGCACGCGATCCCAAGAGCTTTGAGCAAAGTTTACATTGAAAGTCTCGTAAAACTTCAGCCATGTCTAAGTTGAATACAATTTTATGATAAATTAGCGTATGCGAATAGAAGTTTAGAAATAAATTTCTTACCACTGTGCATTCGTTTAATATGAACTTTAAGCTTTTGTGGTTGACAAAATTTCCTTCCACAAAAGTCACAAAGGGGTCGGGCCCGTTGAGGATTGGCTGCACATCCATATGTTCGATGCATCTCTAAATAATTTAATCGTAAAAAGAATTTCTTGCAATACTGACATTGATAAGCGCCTTTGCCATCGTGAAGCTTCTCTGCGTGCTTCATAATGTTTTCCTTTCCCAACACTGCCACACCACAAATCTTACAATGATATTTTCTGATAGTAAGACTAAAACTAGGATCATGAAAGACGGAACAATGTGTACGATAATGTAGAGGATGTTCAAACCGCAAATTGCAACCGCCACAATCTAAAATATTTTTAATTAATTATCAGTGACAATTGAAATTATTCATTCTTACTTGTCTTTTCGACTTTTTTCTTGCTCCAAGCTGAATTAACGTCATCACTCCAATAAAGAAGCTCACAACCAGCATTAATGTCCATGCAACTGACAAAATAAATTTTATCTTCAACTTTGATGAGCGTTAAATTCCGAAGATCGCGTGCTTGTGCTGGTTGTAAATAGCGAATCCAATTGGACTTTTGTCTGTTTTCCGTATTGAAATAAATAGATTTGGACAGAATACTATCGTGAATCTCAAATATATTCGTCATGTTGCAGTCATCAGGAATTTCATTTTCAGCTGTGACAACGCCTACTAAAGGTCCGATTTGCGTATACTTTGGAATGAGAATTTTTGTGAAGACGCTTTTGCTGATATTGGGATATGTTAATGATGGAAGAAATTCGAATTCATTTGGCAAGGAAACTTCGGCAAAAGTAATCTCATTTGATTGCTCTGAGTTCAGATCGATGGGCTTGTTGTCCGGTTCTTCATCATCTTCCATATCATCATCCAACTCATTTAAATCATTTTCAGATTTTATTGAATCATCGTAAAATAATTTCTCGTCTTCAAGAGGTTGATCATCGTAATTAATTCTTACAGGTTCAATTATCGGATGATCTTGAATCCAATCAGCAAAATCAATTTGATTACAAATTGATGAAAGTGGATTTCGAATGGGACAAGTTTCCTTTCCATGTTTTGTGTTGCATGCGTAACATAATTTTGATTTATATGATTTCTTATTAACAGCAGATTTTCTATCTCGAATCATGAAATCGCTGTTGATCTCAAGTCGACCTTCACAATCATCATCGTCATCATCTTCTTTGAAATCGAATACGCTTTTCTCATGATTCGGTTCTGCTAAAGTATTTAACTGAACATCCAACATTGTCGGTGCTTTTCGAATGTCATAGAATCTTCGCTTACTTAGAATGGGTCGGATCGATTCAGATTTCTCATCCATTTCATCATCTTCACCTTCACTTATCGGCGTTTCTCTCAAACTTGAACTGATTGGGGGAGGTGTTGGTGCTTCATCATATCGACCTCGACTACTTGATCCACTTATACGTCCATAGTTGATAAGCTTTTGTTTCTCTTCCAACTCATTTTTTATTTTTTCTTCAATTCTGCAATCAAGAATCTCTGTCGTGTTATTCGATTCATCAGACGACACTGACCCATCAATTGTGCTGCTTATCGAATGATCTTGAGCGTTATTATCACTAGACGTTGATACTTTTAAAGACGCTTCTTGAGTCTTTGATATTTCTTCGTTTATTATATTCACATTATCCTTGAATTGTACTCTCTTCACTTTCTTTGGTGTGACGACTTGTGGGTTGACATTTTGAAGAATTTCATCGGGAACTTTTACGTGAATCTGTTGTTGAAGACAACTTTGAGAAAACGACGACGTTGATTGCTCTTTCTCATAATCTTCGCTGTTTTCTGTGTAATTACTTTCCTTTTGAAAACACGGCATTTTGAATCTATCAAAGAATAAATTAAATGAAATTCTAGATAAGTAGGTAATTAGTTTTAATTTATTGATCGAATGATAATTATTAATTTGGTTTATTTAATTAACTTGGCATAATATTTCTATCGGCAAAATTATTTCTTACCCATTCTTGTGGGATCGAGCTTCATTTTCAGCAGATGTCAAAAGAAATGACACAAATTCAACATCGTTTTTAAATTGAAAAAGATTTCTCAAAGAATCCCATCGTTCAGCATTCTTAGTTCCAATGTAAATATTTTTACTGAAATGTTGATGACGAAACTTTTTATTTGCACTTGCACTACTTGCATTTGAGTTTTGACTTGAATTGTTGTTGTTTAATGTACTTCCATTTAAATTAACTATCGACGATGTTGATGAAGATGAGTTTTGATTGAAAGCCGATGATAATCCTGACACTTGCGATGTTTGCCGAAAGAGATTCGATTGATTCGACGGCACAAGTGGATTAATTCCACTTAGATTACTGTTTTCATTCGCACTGCTAAACTCGTTTTCACTCTCTTCGTTTTGCATGAGTGATTTAGGCATAGCTAAGATTTTCCCAAAGAAATTTCACGACACTTTTTTTTTGTGTTTTATTTTATTTTTTTTCTTTTTTCTAGTCTTTTACATACGCCTTAAAGTTTAAAGGAAAAATTTCCCTCTAAGCTTTGAAGGGTGTAACAAATCTTCTAACTTATATATATGAATTCAAAAATCACTTCAGTGTCTGATTTGTCAACGAAACTCACATCACAACGCAACTTTTATCGAATTTTTTTCCCATCACTTTTCTTTCATTTCCATCCTCCATAATTCAACATGGATGTTTTCCTTTCTCCTTTTCACCACATCCAAAAACGATTCTTCTTATTTCGCATCTCCATTAAAAGTAGAAAATATGTTTGGTCCATGTTTAGGCAACATTAATGGCTTGAAATTCATTCACTGTGCTGATTAATAGAAAACTTTTCACGCATTTTCAACTTAAAAATATTTTTCTGCACTTTTCAATGTCTCTAATTTAAAATATTTTCACTCGTGTGATGCTTTAACATGACGACACATTTGATGTTTGATGGGTGCGAATGACTGAGAGCGTGAAAATTGATGGAAAATTTGTGTGAGTTAGAGGCTGAAAACTCTGAGAAAAACTACACTACTACAGGCACATTTTTTTGGGGAAAATTTGTGAGCCTCTCGAATCTCATATTAGGAGATGCTTTGATAACGAGAAGAGAAAGGAAAAAGAATGTTTTCACTTCGATATTTATGCTTTAAGCGATGGATGTGGGTGTAGTGAAAATTTAGCATGTTTAGCTTATAAAGATAACACCGAAACTATGAGAAATCGTGGAAAATTCAGAATATATTTCACTATAATCTACAATTTTCCATCCAACATTAGTGTTGGTAGCATGTTATGGCATTTGTCAAGGCATTTGTGATTTTCGCTCTTTTCATTTCTTCTCCCTTTTCATTAAGGGATGTTTCCGTAATGTTTTCAATTATGAATGTGTTGGTAACATGAGAGAGAGAAAGAGAGAATTCATAGAAAGAAGGAAAAAAATGTTTTTAGGATATTTTTTTCTACGCATGCATTTTATACAATAAATTTTCACTCAACCCAGAATATTTGCAGCCTTACCCTCTCTGGTGTTTCATAAACTCGTCAAAACTTAATTTTTGATGAAAATCATTCGTCGTCGAACTAGAAAGAAACCGGAAATTTCAGAAAGGCCTTTGAAAATGTCCTTTTCTTTAATTAAATAAATTAAAGCTTCTTTCGAGAAGAAGAAAAACTTTTCTGAATTATATTTAATCAACATTCAACAAATGAAAGAAACACAAAAACATTTTTTTTTGATAAATATTTTTATTAGCATCCTTTTTGAAATTACTTGAATATTTTTTTTCCAGCTTATTTAACATTCTCAATTATGTATCATATTTTGTGTAGCAATCAAGCATTTTCTTATCTCTTCTTTTTCTTCTTCCTTATTCATTTATTTCCTTACTTGATTTAAATTTTCAATTTTAAAAGCAAAACTTAAGAATTGAAAGAAAAAATAGATAATTGTTGAATAAAAAATTTCTTCATTTCATTCTAGATTTAACACCAAAACGTCTTTTAAATTGGATTAATAGACAAGAGATCTGAACGTTAATTACTTCAATAACAATCTTTATTATTTATTAAAGTTCATCGCTTGTGTTGTCGCTTGGGAAACACTTCAAAGGATTTTTTGCTTAAATCTCAAATCCAAGAGTTAATCGGTTTAAACTCATAGCAAAGCAATATTTTCATGTCACGATTTTGTGAGCAATTTCATGATTCACTGTTTTCAGCTTTTTAATATCTTCATCAATTCTTAAAGATTCCAATTTCCGAATAAGCGACAAGCAGTTTTATGTTGAAGGTATTTGCATTTATGTGAATAAATCTTCATGAAAGTTTTTTCCTTTATTAATGTAAGACTGCACACGCTTTCTGTTGATCATTTCAATGAGAGTGCAAGTGCGATGCAAGATTAATTTTAATCATAAACAGAAAGAAGCTTTTTGCTATTAATTTCAAAAGATGACAATAAAAAAATTAAGAGAAGGAAAATAAAATGCTTCTTATAATTAATTGTTGTAATTTTCTTAAAATTACTTTACTTGATATAGCTTTCTTATTTAAATATTCTTCTTGTATCTTTAATGAGTAAGATTACACAATTTATTTTTCTTTTATCTTCCTTCAAGTTATGATTACATTTTATAACACTCACGGACACACGAACACGCTAACTTAACTTTCTGTTTTATCTTTCTTCCCTTCAAATCAGTTCTATCTTTCAAACATTTCTTTCGTGTTGTTCAGAAACAAGCATTTCACATAAATCTCTTACTGCTGCTGCTGCAATTAGTTAGTTGCTACTTCTTATGAGTATAACTTTTAAGCAAATTACACATCCACGAAAAAATCTTTTTAGATTTACTAATCAACATAAAAAATATATCATAACTAGACTTTCATTTATCATCTTAAATAGATATCCAGTTGAAAAATATATTTAATCGTGCAAAAAGCATAAAGTGAAAGGAGAGATATGTGATGATGACTTAGATGCAATGAACTTATAGATATGCAAGCTTAATAAAGTTTTCTTTCTTTCCTTTTCATCTATCGAACATGAATCTGATCATAAAAATAAAAGAATCTCAACTATCAATAAATGTTAAATAGTGTGGGTGGGTGGCAATTCAAAATATCGTAGCCAAAGCGTGGGTTGCAGAAACAATTCAAATTATTTCACTTACATATCTTAGTTTCATTTTTCCGTTCATGAATTAATTAATAAATATATTTTTATAAATATTGAAATCTTACTTTCTAAATTTTTATCTTTTATCTTTTGCAGAATATTTTCCAAAATTCATGCAAGAATTTATACAAATGCAATGATTTATCTTCATCTTTTGCTTGCTAAAGTTCATGAAACAGAAGCAGCAATTAAATACTGAAATTCAGTGAGTTTTTTTTCTTCATTTTTATCATTTGAAAAGTTTAAATTTATGCGAATAATTGTTAAGTCTCTTCGAATAGTTGCAGTGTAAATATATAGCAGATTATAAACGCAACTGAATGTTTCACCTTTTATAATTATAATTATTGGAATTTAAATATAAATTGGACTTTCTTGTCCAGTTAGCAGTCGGAACATCGATGTCGGCATTGTTTTCATTAATATCTGAAAGAAGAAAAAAACATTTTAAGAAAATCAATTTAATAGAAAAGTTTTTCATCAACCTCGCCAACAGAAGTCGCCAGCAAATTAACGATTTTTTCATGTGGAACAGCAACAACACTTTGATTATTTATTTCAATGATCCGATGTCCAACACGAACACCGCCACGTTCTGCAATTCCACCTCTCAAAAGACTACAGATCTGAAATAAATAAAGAAGAAAAAAATGTTAAAATTTCTCAAGAAATCATCATCGAACATTCATTTCATACCACGCCATTTTGTACACTAAATCCCAGCTGGTATTTGGTGTTTGGTCTTTTAATCTTCACTTCCACCACAGGAGCGCACGGCACAACAGTGAACTTGACTACAGTCTGATTCTTTGTATTTTTAATATAAGACTGACATTGAGAAAGTGGAAGTCCAACGAGACTTAATCCGTTAATCGCGATGATTTGATCACCAATATTGAGTTGGCCACATCGAGCAGCCGCTCCATTTGAAGCGAGATTTGCGATCACGACTGTTGGAAGCATCGATCCCCAACCAGATTCAACAATAACAACGCCGAGAATTTCTCCCTTTGCTTTAGGAACGACAACTTCTTTCTGCAATTCCTTTTTAGCGAATATTTCTAGTTCGTCGCCAAAGATTTCTTGACTGTTAAGCACTTCCTGATAATCCATTTCCTTCATAAAGCTGTGATCTTCAATTCCATTCGCTTTCAGAAACTCCATGTATGCCACTTGGAATGCTTGACCTATTGATTGAGCAATAAATTGCGCTTCTTCACTTTCAAACACATGACAAATCATTTTCGGCGTTCGATTAATTTTTCCACTTGTTGGGGGTGTTGGACCGCTACTACCGCCACTTACATTACCACTACCTCCAGTTCCAGTTCCGCTGTCACTATTTGTTTCAATATCTTGAGGAACGAATCTACGACGTGCCATTAATACAACAAGATCACCAATATCAGCAATATATGAGATCGTTCGAAGTGCATGATCCATCATAATTTCCTTCAGATCTGTGTTGAGAACCATAATTTTTTCAGTCGATATAAAGAGGTCAACCTCTGTGGTCGGTTGGTTTTCTCCATCAGGAGCCTAAACAATTTTATTTTATCTTTAATTAAATTCATCATAAACTAAACTTCTTTAATGAACTTACCAAAGCCTTTGAAATTGAATTAAAAATGAAAAAGAATTTAAAGAAATTTCAAATTGAAAAGTTTGTTAAGAATTTTCTTACCTTAATTCTCGAAACAGCTTCTTCAGCTTGCATCATCCTTGTTGATTTTGTCGGTTGACCTTCACAAACAAGTTGCGTCGATCCCAAATATCGTGCTCTGAATAAAACTCCTTCGATAAGCACTGCAGCAAACCTTTTATTTAAACAATACTTAGTTTAATTAATTATTCATAATGACGTTAAAAAAAACTTACAATAATTTATCCATAAAATATTTTAAGAAAGCATTAAAAATATCGAAAAATTTAATCATTTTTATCAACATAAATTTCCCTCATTAACTCACCTTCTTTATTTTTATTTTTCTTCTTTTTATCACTGCTTTGTAAAGTTTCCTTTTTAAATCCATCAGAACTTGATCCACCTGGACTATCAACGATTTCATTTTCTAAATGTTCAGGGGTTTCTGTGAGATGTTTTGGTGCTGGTGGTTCTTGTTGCTTAACTTCTTCAATATTTCTAAGCGAAGATTTCTCATTCTTACGTTCAGGTGAAGCTTCGGTGCTTGCTGTAATGAGATTTAATAAATTCCCTGACTCCATTGATGGTGAATTCTTTAGAGATGAGCGTGTTTGTTGATGAAACGAAGTGTTTGTGTTCAAAAGTGTTGGGCTATTGCTGTTATTATTACAACAATCCGATGAATTTGAAGTGGGAAGCAAAGCATTAATACTATGTCTTAGAAGAGACGAATTTGATTGTGGAATCGATGGACTGATTTTTATATTTGGTGATATTTTTGAAGTCAGTGATGTGTTTAGAAATCTGCACTGCTTTGAATCAGCCCATGCTTTCTCATTATAAAATCCATCATCAAGCATCTGATGTCCTAAAAGTCGGTCTGTTTCTAAATCAGTATCAATTTCTTCTTCCTCTTCATCGCTATGTTTATTTTTTGAAAGCAAATAGTTCGTCTCATTAGGAACTGGTGAGTGGTCATTCTTTTCACGAGATCTGTGAAAATACAAGAATTCAATTATTATTAAGGACATTAGCTTTGAACTCCGGAGCTGAAGGTCATCAAGGCCAATTACACCCCAAATCATAAAAATTCTTATCGATTTCTACCCCGCAATTTTGTATAACATGAAATAACAAACCCTGCATGATAATTTTATTTGAATCCTTACCTTGGAACCCAAACTGGAGACATTGACATAGCCGAAGTCTTCTCATAGTAGTTGGGAAAATTATTTTTCATTCCGACATTATTATTTGTATTAAAATCTTGCGTATTTGTGATTTCAGCAGTTGGATTACTTTTCTGCAAAGTTGTTCTTATATCTTCCAATGCTGAATGGATGTCAGTGCTTTGTTTAATAGGCGAAGTCATTTGGGTGTCATTAAATTGCGGTTTTCTGTGTGGTACTGGCGCAGGTGGTGGTGGCGTATGTTGCATTGTGTCTAAAAGATTAAAAACAACGGTTGAGTAATTATTATACAAATAAATTTCTCTCAATAGCTTACTTATTGTGTATAATGATTCTAATTCAGAATCACGATTTCTAAAAAGCTTTTGTGGCTTAATAAAGTTTGTTGTTGAATTTAGAGACTCTCTTTCACGGTTCATTGGACAATATGAATGGTAACTTTGTTGAGATTGAACAGAACGTAAATCATCAGTTTTTTCTGATAACCCGTTGCTGTTGTTATTGTTGTTATTTTTAGTAGTTGCTGATGAAATGTTGCTGTTATTATTGTAGTATGTATTATTACCATTATGATTTTGTATCAACATATCTTGATATTGTTTTTGAATCGTACTAATCGACAACGACGCATTATTATGCTGTTGATTTAAAAAGTTCAAATCGAATGTTGAAGTGACTGGATTGTTATTTTCGTTATCCGATGCATGTCCACTAGATAAGCCATCTTCGAGAACTGGCATGCTTGAGCAATAGCGTGCATAATTTGTAATAGGCCCACCACTCAAATCAACAGTCGCTGAGGGAACAGTCGCTGTATTTGAATTGTTAAACGCCAACATATTCAATTGATCGGACGACACGAATCTTAAAGGGCTTTCGCTATCAAAATCAAAGTCTCCATAATTGGAGTCATAATCTGTCGTATCGGGAGAATAATTAAAGTTCTTCGATTGCTTTTTATGTGTGTTAGTCTTGGACAATGGCTTGTTCAATTTTCGAATGCTTTTGTTTGTCAAAGTATCCAATCCATTCTCATGTTCGACATTCCCATCACATAAACTGCTACGACTTGCTGAATCGAAGAAATAATCAAGATTTTCGCCTTTTTCTTTCGTATATTTTTTATTGCCAAAACCATTTTGTTGCTTCGTCTTCAAATAAGCTTCTTCTTCTTCATCATCTTCGTCATCAACTTTATCGTCTCTATTGTCGTCATCAATGTCATCAGGTATGTTCATAGGTGTTCCAGTATTTTTCTTATTAGAATTTGACAAACTTTCCATTTCTTTTTCAATTTGTCGACGATAATCAAATTGAATATCCTGTGAAGATTTTTAAATATTAAAAATTAAGTAAGACGAAGTTAAAAAAAGAAATCTTACCAAGCTTTCATTACTCTCATTAAAATCGCTGAGTTTTTCCAATTCTACGATGCGATCAGTGTCGGGACATTTGAAGAATTCTTCCAAAACTTTTCTTGTTTCTGAAAATTCATATAAATAATCGAAAGTTGATGTTGGAACATCTTCAGTTGGTGAGTTAACTTGAAAAACGACATCGCTATTATTTGTTTGCTTATTTTCCAAATCGTAACGATCATGTTCATTTGATGATTCTGTTGCATGAGTTGGAAAGAGATTTGACGTTGTTACTTGAGATTTTAGATGATTTGATGTCTCATCAGTTGTTTCATCTTCAATATTCGTTTTTTGCTGTTCAACTTGAGCTTCAAAGTTTTCGTTAACAATGAATGTTGAAGGAATCAACTTAGAAGATGTTAAATAATGTGGAACTGGAGAAACATTTTTATGATCATCACTTTGAACATCAACCAACTGATTTGTCACTGCTGGTTGATGATGTCCATAAGAAATAATTCTTTGCGGAAATCCAGGGCGTGGTGGCGATGGCGATGAACGATTGTTGTCTTTATGATCAAATGGCTGATAATGATTTTCAACTTCATCATTTGTTGACATTCCAAAACGTCGTGGTGAACCATCATATTCTTCAATAATTAATCAATCAACATTAACTTCAATAAATTATGAATAAAAAACAAACAAAGGAAACTTACCCATGATCCCTGAAGCAGACTTAGACTTGACAATTTTCCTTTCAGTTTTCTTACTTATTTGCGAATAAATTGATTCCGATTTCTTCATTTTCAATTCATTATTAGAATGTAATGTGTTGATTCGCGAATCATTTTTCACTACGTCATTATAACTTGTTGGTTCATTTGAATCGCTATCAGTTTGAAGTGCTGAATAATACGGATTTGTGTTATTGTAATAGAAATGTCCAGCTTCAGAATCTTCTTCGATTGGAATGGTTGAAGCTGCTAATTTCTTATAAGATCCCCTTTGAGAACGTAAATACGAGACTAATGATGGTGATTGTGTTTTAACTTTCGTTGGTGTAGTTGTTTTAATAGGTGACAAATCCCAAACATTTCTGTTATATTCATGTGGCGATGGTGAATCGGCTGGTGATGACACTAAAGCCGGTGGTGTTGCTGGTGGAGTTGCTTTTAAAATTGTTGGTGAAATTGTGTTCACTGAGTTAAGCTTTGTGTTGACCACATAAGGATTATGTTCAACTTCATCTTCTTTGAAATAATACGATTGTTGTTCATCTAAAGGCTTTTGATAAAGTAGCGATGGCGAATGATAATGATGCAACATATTTTTATTATTTCCTGCTAATGCTGATGCCGCTGTCGTTGCAGTGCTATTGTTATTCTCAAATATTGAGTCATGCTTTGAAAAAATGTATCGATTGCTATTTCCGATACGAAAAGGGTTTGTTTCTGCATAACTTTCGTTTTTGTCATGTTTAGGTCTCATATTCTTTCCACTTGATTCAGGATAATGACCTAAAGGTGGAAGCTGTTTATCAGGTGATATTGGCATATGCAATTTCATGAGTTTACTGTTATTCATGTTGAAATTGCTTGGGCCACTGTTTGCTGTTTGTGCATTGAACATATGTGCTGACTGGAATTGAGATGTCGTAGTTTCAATCGATATTAAGTTGGCTAATGATGAATTGTCGAATGAATTTGATTTCGTATTTTTCTGATATTGATAATCACTTCTCGGTTTACATTTTGGGAAAAGCAACTGAATTTTCTCACTAGATGCTAATGGATCACCACCAAAATTCACTTCAGTGCTATTTGTGTAATTGTTGTTGTTGTTATTAATATTTATGTTCACTGCGTCACTTTGAGCTGGTGGCTCCTTTGTTAATGTTTTCTTAATGCTTTGATCCAATGACGAACTCACCATAATTTACGAACTTCTTCTTTTAAAAGCATGAACATGAATAATTTATTTTATTATTTAGCGACACAGTGATTTAAGAACATTTATTTATATATCGAAGTAGCTTTCAAAGGCTGTGAGGAAGGATTGGGAAACTTTTGTTAGTCATAGATGTCTAATAAAAAACTATTTCAGATGAATATGATTTAATTTAAGTGAAGGAAAAAGGAAATCTTTGTTTGGAAAAAAATCGATGAAAAATATTTTTCGTAGTTGAATGAAGAAAGGGAAAATGAAAAATCGATATTTAAAACTTTTACATATTTTCTTTCCACATGCATTTTAAAGCTTTTCGAATTGATAATGATAAATAACCACCTCTTAATTCTTTTCTACATCATGTGAATGCAATGTTTAACTGCTTTCAACTGAATTAAATATTTTTTTAACTTTTATCTTGACTTCACAACTCCGCACGGTTCAAAAACTTTTCTTATAGGATACAAGGATTCGAGCCGGTTAATTTTCTTTTGCATAAAAAATTTTAAGTTTGAGCCGGCTCACTATCGAAGGATACAAACTTTTCAAACATTTCAAATACGGTAACTGATCCTTTTTCAATAAATTGTTTTCTATTAAATCCAAGAAAATACTTGTACATGACCTATTTCCTTCAATAATTAATGGTAAATTTTCAACCAATTTTACTAGCACTACAAAGAAAGAATAAAAAGATGAAAAATCATAGAAGAGATATTTTAGTTTTTAACGGTTCATAAAATTTGAAACTCCGTAAAAAGCCTGAACACACTCCTAAGAAAAAAAAATTCCGAAATTTTTCATTTTTCATGCGTTTCAAAACAATAACATGATAGTAGTAGGTAGTGATATCATGAGTCTTAGTTAAATGACAAAAAAAAAGTTCCTTCAACTCTTCTTCATATAGGTATGTCAAGTCTTGAAGTGTTTCATAAATAAGTTTCAGTGATTTTGTCAAAATAAGAAATTAAAATAAGTGTTCTCATTCTTTCAGATATTGACGAGAAAAGTTTTTCTTCATTTGCGTAAAAAAGGGAGTGTTGACTGTTTGATAATGATTTGCATTTGTGAAAACTTAAATAGATATTAAACAAATAAACCAGTGTTAGCATATTATTTGCGAGTGAGGATTATCCTTAAGTTGAAAAATTATATAAACTTCATCTACCGACAAATATCTAATTAAAAATAAAATAATTTTTAAAACAAATATCTGAACGTGTACAAACAAAAATTCATCATGTTGGATCATTCACCAAATCAGTAATAAAATTGAATGCGAATACAAATCTATTTCGTAGTACTATTTGATAGAAAAATAAATACATAAATCCTACACATTTGAAAAATGGAAAAGCAGGAAGTATCCCAAAAGACTCCAAATAAAACTCAAGTCGATGACCTTTCTGAAAAATTATCGATTGCTGTGAAACTTTCGGTATCGCCGAAGGAAAACTACGAGTCTCAAAATATCCTAAATACTACACGCAAACCTCCAGGCTTAGCTAAAGTAATTGAAAAATTCTTAATTAAATAAAGCTCAATTAAAATTTATAATTTTTTTTTAGAGAATTCTTCTTTCTGTTGATCATACAAAAAATGAAGGATTAAATCATTCATATCAAGAATCAAATCAAAAGAAGTCTACATTTGATGATGAACTTAGATTTTTAGGAGAATTTTCTTCGCCTCAGGAACAACAACACTTCCAACAACAAAAACTTTTAGAATTTCAACAACAAAATAAATTGCAACAAGTGGAAAAAGTTTTACCCTTAGATAATTTCGGAGATTTTAACTCACAACACTCGTCTGCTACTTTCATAGGACAACAATTAGCTCTTTTGAAGCAAATGCAACAAAAACAACAATATGAAAATCTCTTGCGTCAACAATATGAAAACAGAGATATTATAGAAGAATTTAATAACGCTGAAAACTTCCCAACTTCATTTGACAACGAATGCTCCTCTCAGTGTTATTCCGAAGAACTCACGTTGCCATCAAATGTTATTATTGTTGATGATGATAATAATTTAGAATCAAATCATCAGCTGACAACTTCATCACCACCAGAAATTTGTGAAAATATGTTAAATTTGAAAGACAAATTACGAACAAAATTTTCCGAATCAGAGTCTGACGCTGAAAATGGAAATGCTTACAGTACAAGTGAGGTGGAAAGTCACCAAAGAAATGATGAATTTGAAGAACAAGTTTCTTGTTTAAATCGTCAATCTAAAGGTGAAAACGATGAAAAAGCTGAGTTAGAAACTGATCAGCTCCTTGGACAAGAAGAAATCAATGAAATACCAAATGGATCATGCAAAGAAGTAAGTTAACTAAATTTATAAAATTCCAATTGAATTTTACGATGATTAAATCTTCTCAGAATCTCACAAAAATTGAATGTGCTAATGGAAAAATTATTTTACAATCTAAAACAATTGTTAATAAAACTCCAACATTTATACGGCAAGGAAATGGAATTCAAATGATTTATCCAGTTGAAAAATCGAAAGATGAAGGAATCAGTAAAAAGTTTACGATAGCATCATTTATTAAAGATAAAAGTAATTCAAAAGAATTTTCCATCACGTCTGCGGATAGTTTTGAGAACAATAAGAAAGGTATGAAAATTGTTTATTATTTAAAGAAAAATCATCGTTTAAGTCATGTTTTGTTAGCACCACTACTTGATCTTGATGTGCTTGTTGAAGGAGTTGTATTCAGAACACGATATTTGGGATCTACACAATTATTTTGTGAAGGAAAGCCAACAAAATCTACTCGACTGATGCAAGCAGAAGAAGCTGTTTCGAGAATCAAAGTAAGAAAAATAAAATTTTATTTTTATATCATCAGACGACTTTGAGTTTGAAAACTTTAAACGAATAAAAACGAAATAACATTCTTTGACCTTGCAATTATTCTGGAAACTTTTCATCATAAAATCACTAATCAAGTTAATGTTCTTTTACATTTATTTTAAACATTCATAACAAAGGCTTTGGTAAGAAGCGTAAAATAACAATAAAATAAAATTTGTTTGTTGGAAAATGATTTTTATAGGCACCAGAAGGAGAGAGTCAACCAAGTGTGGAAGTTGAATTATTTATTTCGGCTGAAAAAGTTATGGTCTTGAATTCTGATTTAAAAGAAATCATGATGGATCATGAATTGAAATCGATATCCTATATTGCTGATATAGGAAATCTTGTGGTGCTTATGGCTCGAAGAAAACTTCCACAAACAATCCCAAGCAATAATGATGATGTCGTTGGCAATACAAAGCAACGAAAACCGAAACTGATTTGTCATATATTTGAAAGCAGTGAAGCGCAAATTATTGCGCAATCAATAGGCCAAGCCTTTCAGGTGGCTTATATGGAGTTTTTAAAAGCAAACGGAGTAGAAGACCACAGTTTTATGAAGGAATTAAATTATCAGGAAGTGCTTAATAGTCAAGAGCTTTTGTGTGACGAATTGGATCATTTTTCAAAGAAAGAATTGCAGAAAGAAGTTGTCGTTCCTAAAGCAAAAGGAGAAATTCTCGGCGTTGTTATTGTTGAATCTGGTTGGGGATCAATGCTTCCAACAGTCGTGATCGCAAATCTCGCTTCAAATGGAGCGGCTGCTCGATGTGGCCAACTCAATATTGGTGATCAAATCATCGCGATTAATGGATTAAGTCTCGTTGGACTTCCACTTTCGCAATGTCAGTCATTCATAAAGAACACGAAGAATCAGACTGTAGTCAAGTTCACAATCGTACCGTGCGCTCCTGTGGTGGAAGTAAAAATCAAAAGACCAAACACCAAATACCAGCTGGGATTTAGCGTGCAAAATGGCGCCGTAAGCTTGGTTTTTATTTTTACCATTCAAAATTTATATTATAAAATATTTATTCTGTTTAGATCTGTAGTCTTTTGAGAGGCGGCATTGCTGAGCGCGGGGGAATTCGTGTCGGTCACCGCATTATTGAAATAAACAATCAGAGTGTTGTGGCTGTTCCACATGAAAAAATCGTTACTCTTCTTGCAACATCTGTTGGCGAGGTGAAATTATTCGAGAAATATCATGCACACAAGAAAATAATTTAATTTATAATTTTTTTCTTTTTTCCTTCTCTTTTTTTATCCAGATTTCCATGAAAACGGTAATAGTTCTTAATTTATAACTTAATTTATATCCTAACATATTTTTCTTTGACATTGTCGTTTAGATGCCAACATCAATGTTCCGCTTGCTTACTGGCCAAGAGAATCCGACTTTTATTTAAAGTGACTTCGGCTTTGCTGTGTCTTTGAATAGATAATTTAATTCTTAAATGTGAACAGCTTTAGCTTCGGAAAACATGAAAAATTATCCCCAAGAATTTTTAAGATCTTTTAAGAAAAAAGAAATAAGTTTTAGGGTTTGATATTTACTGTCATGTGATTGCGTGTGTGTTGAAGTATCAAATTCGCATGTTGATTAAAGTTTTTGCAGTGTTAATAAGAATTTTGGAAAGTCATGTTTTTCACGTTATTAGTGAAATTTATAAAATGACATTTTTATAACAAAATCATATCTTTATACATATATGTATGCAGTGATATAAAACGGATTTTATATTGATTAAAATAGAAATTATGAAAGACAGAATTGCTGACTCGTTAACTGGCAATAAAAATAATTGAAAAGAAAAAATGTTGAAAAAAGAATTTTTCGTCGGCAATTTTGGTTTTGATAATTTCTATTTCATGCTCTTTCACAATGGCAAACCCTACATGAGAAAAGCCTTTATAGCAATATTAATGTTTGAGAAAAAAAACGTACTTTACTATGCTTTAGCGTATATGGATAAATATTATATTTATTTATATAATGAGAGTAAATTAAATAAAGTGTGTAAACATTCTAATTGTCTGTTACATAAAAGATTAATGAAAATGTTTTTAATCGTCAGAAGCTGCTACTAAATATCTCTAACGAGTTACGACAATGTCTCGTTGAATTATTTTCATTTTCTTGACATGATTTTTTATTTGTTGAAGCTTCATAAATAACGTTGAAATTAGACACTAATGTGAAACGACCGGTAAAATATCTAAAGAAATAGAAAGAATATTATATACATATTTACCAAGTAAGCTAATCCGATAAAGATTTATTCTCAAAAGCAATAAGGTTGCAATTTGTTTAAGGAATTGACATGAAAATTTGGAAATTCACACATCTGTAAACATGCTACAACACCCATTGAATGACCGAAAGTAATTTCAGCATTAATTTACATATTTTGTCTACAAATTCGAAGTCATAAAGCCTTAAAAAATCCAAAATCCTAAAAGATTCAGATTATGGGAATTCCGGAAAGGTACAAAAGAATCTCCCTTAGAAAATCTACCTGAAAAGCCCCGAAAAAGCATCAATAACATTATTTTTCTTTAACAAAGTGTCATATAATGTGTTGGTAAAACCATTCCGGCCTCATGCTTTCTTTTCTTTCTCATATGTTCCTTTCATAATACAAATTGCAAGGAAGAAAAGTCCTAGAAGATCTGGAACCACATCGTTCACATCTAAGAAACTTTAAGTCTCATTTTACAAAATAAACATGGTTTATTGACTCCTCCTTCTAAATCGAAAACAAATCCTAAAAGTATTTCAATTTCAGCTTTTAAATCAGGCAAAAAATAAATGAAATAATAAAAGAAGGTATGAGAGAAATGAAAATGGAAATTTCTCAAATGAATGACGGTTGACGAAAGTAAAATCTTTAGTCAGAAATTCTCGTTCGCAGTTAATTTCGACTTTAAAAGTGTCACATTGCGTACATGATGATAAATGTCCTCGACTATCAATAAATAATATTTTTCATCTTCGTTTTTAATTGCGGAACGTTCCAAGTATTTAATTCGTTGAATGGCTGACCAAGGATTTATCATTTCATCGTGCCGTACCGAATCAGGAAGAAACTTTTTTATATTTTTCTCATTGAAACTTTCTTTAAATCAGATTTGCGATGTAAGTATTCAGATATCTGTCGTCATCTATCGAATAGAAAGCATTTAAATAAAGTCAAGTCGTATTCTAGATACAATAATTAACACATTTAGAAAATATTTATTTTTCTTAAAAACAGTTGGTTTAAACAAACTCGTTTACACGGGTCAATAATCTAGTTTCATTACACTTCCACAAGAGCTGATGTTCGATTAAAATTAAAAGGAAAAGCCAAACATGTTTATTATTATTAATAGATTTCTTTCATTTTTGATGGAAGCGCAAAAGAAAACGCAAATAAACTTTTTATGCTTTGCTCCATTTTAACGGCTATCCCGGTTGTCGTCGACGAAAAAATAAATTTACATCCTCCGTGTGCACATTTATTTAACACATTTGCGCGAGTCCATCCATCGGTTGATGAAATGAGAAGCAAATAAAATAAATATCTTGCATGATCAAGTAACAGCACACAATGCAATTGTGCAATATGGAATATCGGATCACGCCGTCACTTTTTCGAGGCGCTTGTATTGGTATGCAAAAAGAATTATGACTTTGAGATGCGGCCAGAAAGAATAAATTGTGTTTTTTATTTCATACTGTCGACAAAAGAAAAATAATCATCACTTTTACAATCTCTATACACATGCACACACATACACACACCGCAACCACCGACGATAATATGTAGGTACATTCATAACTTCATAAGTAAGTAAAGCAGCAGCAGACGATCACATCACGAAAATAAACGATAAAGAAAATTTGTTGCAGTTTTGTAGAGGAGAAAAAGAAAACGCGTTTTCTTCAACTTTAAGTGAGTTGTAATCCTTTCTTGGTGTTTTCTGTTTTCAAAATGATCGACCTTTTTACAAAGCGCGTGCGTATACATTTTCAAAATTTTAACTTTATTTAGAAATCTTAGAGATAATGAAATGTAAACTCTTCCTTCTTGTGATGATGAAGAAGATGATGAACAGTTTATTTTGTTTGAAATGCTTCTTCGAGTACCATGCTTTTCTGGGAGTCGCTACATATGTATGTGAAAGTGCAAATTATTTTTTTTCTTTTCGAAACGAGAAAAAAGAAATAAAATAAAATAAAAAAAAGCATTGTACGTCACATGATTTTGTCAATGTTCGACGTATGAGAGTATTTGTTGAATTTTGTGTTGTTGAAAATGTGATGTAGTGTATTTGCTTCAGTTAGAAAAAAGTATCACAATCGTGAGGGACTACATTGCGTCATGATCAAAATTTTCTTCAAGTAGCTTCTGGTTAAAAGTCTTGATACACATTTCAATTCAATTCAAATCCAAAAAGATATATAGAGTGGTTTAATAAACAGAGAATAAAGCATTGTTGCTTGAAATCGGTAGTGTTGCAAACTGAATAAATAATAAAATGAAATAAAATTTAAAAAAAAAGATACAATTTTATAACATCGCGAGTCACTCAAGGTGAGATCATTCTTCATTCTTGACCACCATTCGCGAATGAAAATAATAATATAAATCTGATTTTCTCTCGAAGCAGAAACGAAAAAAAATGATGAAAAATCTTCCTTCTTGAAAAATAAACCAATACTATCGACTTAATCGCGCTTTTCTTAGTTTTCGGTTTCAGATTTTTGTTGTATTTATTTTAAGAAAATAAATGAAAAACAACATCGACTTGAAAGATGATGAGACAATAATAAGAAAAAGTAAAAACCGCAATGTGAGTTTAAAAATAGTTACGCGATGGCCAGAAAAGTGTACGAGATAGTTTGTGATCGCTGTCTAGAAATGTGTCGAATGTTGCATGCAAAAGGACTGGAAATTTCTTGTGAATATTTTCAATCATTCGTGAAGATAAAAATTAAAATAATTTAAAAGAAAGATGGAAAAGTGTTGAATAAAAAAATTTAAAAAAAAAATTTCAACCGAATTTAATTCTGTTTTTATTTAGCGGCTTATGTGATTTAAAGCAGTTGCGCAGACATTTAGGAGTTGAATGAAAATTCATGTCAATAAATTATAATTTAATTTCTTGGAAGGAGAACTAAATTGAGAACATTCTAAAGCAACAATAAGCACAGAAGAATTCCGTTCATCAGTTAACCGAGAGATTCAGGTTTTCATTATAGTTTAACTATTAAAAGAGATTTTTCTGAACTACTTCTTGAATCGTGGTCGACCATTGATTCATCTCGCCATTCGCAGCCGCATTACACTTACAAGAATTTTTAATTCAGCATCGCGAGAATTCCCGCGAGAGAACAGCGATACAAAATACGAAAATTATTCGAGTGCGAGCCACTTTTCAAACATTTATTGTGTACATGAGTTCATATATCAGACTTGGACATTCCTTAAAAACTATGAAGCGATTTGTGAATGCATATCGTGAATTTAAATGCATTTACACCGAACAACACAGAAAACATAATATCATTAGATAAAATTCTTTTCCAACTGTGCTAAAATACATAAGCAAACTTAATTCGGATTGACACACATAAGTGTAAACTCAAATAATCATACTTCGTCTATTTTTCTCTCTTGTTTTCAATAAACAATAAGTTATTCACTTAGAAGTTTCTTTCAAGCAAGCTTCTCTTACACACATATAACATTTATATGATTGTGTGTCGATCGAGAGACCCGAAGATGTTTAAAGTTTAAAGCCGAAACGATAGCACCAACACTTTCACCCATCGTGCTATTCCTATTCATGAAAGTTTACTCCTCAGACTGTGAGTTCATTCTTTGAAAATTAACCGTGAAATAAGCACGAAATTTCTGTCTGTGGCACGTTATTTTATAATAAAAAAGAAAGGAAAATTTTCTTAAAAGAAAATCTTAAGTAGTGAAATATAAGTTTTCAATGTTCCAAGAACTGCATCAAATTTCCAGGTGTATTAATGTTGACTGTATTTAATATAAAATAAAAATACGAGTAGTAAACTTGCAAAAACAAAATAAAATCATTCAAAACTATAACTTCTCTAAAACGTTTAATTCGGAGGATTGCTAAAGAAGAATAAATTTGTTATTTTTTTGCAGTGATCCTACACCATTTCGAATTCAATTCAGAATCAGATAAAAAATGTTTCTAGTTGTTTGTTACTAGTGAAAGAAAAAAGTTTGATAAATATCATAAAAAACGAATGAAGTGTTATTGACTGCAAGCAAAGTGAATAATCAAATAAAATATTAACGCGCAAACGAAACTTTCTGGTAATTTTTTTAACTCGACATTTTGCACAATTTTTATTAAAGCAGCATCGAAGCAGTATTGTGTTTATTTACTGCTCATTTTTCAACTCTAAAACACCAACAAGGAAAAAAAAATCCAATAAACTCCACGACATTTAAAAAAGGTTGGCTGAAGTGAATGTGAATGAACAATTTAGCAGCTCTGGTTGCAGAACACTACTGTTGTTCCATTTTGAGTACACAATGAATAATAATGTTGATAACTTGAAACATATTAAGATAACTATCAGACATGGGCACATCAGTGATCTGAATTTATAAAGCTTCAGCAACTTTTACGAGTCTCAACTTACCTCTAGTGTATCAGTGTGTTCACAGTCTATTAAGTGAGAGAAAAAAAATTATGAAATCGCGCCTTATATCTAATCAAGAGCCGATTTTGGCGACAAAATAGTAAAAAAAAAGATAAAGAAACTCATAATTGATTTGATTTTTTTCCGCGTAAAAGAAGAATACTCAGCTTCAGATATTGAAAACTTGACACACGAAAAAGTGGTTTGTTCATATTAAAGACATTATAAAAAAAACTTGAGATCAGCCTTTAAGGCAGGTCATGTCATTGGAGTAGTTTATATACCTAAAGACATTTCGATCAAAAAAATAAAATATAAGAAAAGATTTTTATGTTGAATTAAGACCAGCTAAAAAAACAGAGATAAAATGGTTAAGTTTATTAAACGACTCGTGGTTCTTCTTGTGATCATCATATTCACTGGATTAGTGAAATGTTCTCGTCAAAAATCACCTTTAATTGTAGAAGACGATGGAAGTCGGCGAAATCGTCCAGCGGGTGAGTTCATTTCTAATTAAATATTTTCTTAGAATTCTCTTCACATATGTGTATCGCGCTTGACAAGCAAGCAAAAAAAAAACTTCTCAATTTCTATATAAATATACAAGCAATCTATTAAGATCATCATCATCAAAAATGAAGCAAGAAAAAAGAATAATAAAAAATAAGCAGAACAGAACATCAACTCAACAATAGAAATGCATATGAAACGAGAAAACTGTTAGCATATAGATGATAATTAACGAGTTTGAAGGCAAAAACTTTTAGCATTTGCTGAATGTGCTCTATTAAATATTTTATTTCTTTATCAACTCCCAATACCCGAAAAAAAAAGTGGTGCGATAATATTTTTTTGACGCCACATTGACGCTGAAAAGTTTTTGTTTTGTTTAAGATCTCGCTCCGTCACGTCACTCCGTTTCCTTTGAATAATAAAAGAACTGAAATTTTCTCATGTGTAAAAAATAAAAACTCCACCATTACAGCGAGACACTCTACTCTATCTTTGGCACTGTTTATCGTGACAATTGATTGCGAGATGTTTATATTCTTATCAGGCAATTTGTAACATGGTCAATTTGCTAGTTTAAAGCAGAAGTTCTACTTGTCAAGATATGAAGGAACGATATGATTGCTAATGAATGATATTAGATAGTACGAGTATTGTCAAGTAAAATGTGATGATTGCTTACTTTGTAAGCCTTGAAAAAGTCTTTTGAAATTATTTCATTGCAAGAATGACTTTAAAGATATTTTCGCGCTTTAATGAAAAACATATAGCTTCGAATAGTCTTCTTAATTGCCTTCTCGTTTTGTTTTGTTTTGTTCTTGTGCCGACGCGCTCTTAAAACAAAAAAAATGTTTTTTGTTTCTTCAATCAAAAATCTCTTTTTTTTATTCAAAACAAAAAAAAATGTGTCGTACAATTATGAAAAACTCTTGAATAATTTGTTTCAAATTGTATTCATTAAATAACCATTTCAATGTGAATTTATTGTTATGGTCTTCTATGACAATGCTGATGACAATTTAAAATATCGCTTATAAGTTATAACGATAGCAATTTCTCGCTCTTCCTCATGTCATGCCACGGTTTTAACAATAATCGATGAAAACTTTTTCCAAATATTTCCTTTAATTGAATTCGATACACAATGAATGAGATGAAATAAATTTCTCATCAAAACTTTAAGTAGTTAACAATAATCATTATGAGTGGGCGGTTTTTCTTACAAAAATAATTTTTTTAAAGCTACAACGCTCGAAGCTTCAAGATATCGGTTGCGCTTGATTTACCAAAAATAATACTTTTATTCGCATGATAAAAGTTAATGAATTATTACGGTGATCATTTTTGATAGCTGAAACATTTCAGCCGACGTTTGATGATCCAAGGAGTATGAAAAATGCTATAAATTTTATGAAAAAGATATTCAACGATACATGAGATCGAGCACAGAAAAAAAAGAAAAAAAACTGCAACGTTTCACTTATTTTCTTGAGGAAGAAGAAACATATTTCAACAAATATATTTACTGTTGCTCTAAGCACCAATGAGTGAGAAAGATAGAAAGATAAGAAGAGGAAGGAGAAAAAGAAGAAGGAAATGATAAATTACATTTTTATGCAGTTTGATATATTGATCTTATCAAAAAGTGTCGCTTGAATAAAACATAAATATCTACAACTTAGATAACGACTTACGATATTTATACATACGTGTGATATATGTAATATCTATGTGTAGGAGATATTTAGGAACATAAATTGAGGCGAGATGTTAGTTATTTAGTTTCATGAAAGATAAGTAAATCTTTTCTACAAACTCAATGTTTAATATTTGTGTAAACAGCCTCAAAGAAGCCGAATAACGTTTAATGCGATAAACGAGTTAATGAACTGTCGAATTCTCTTGATACATGTTTGAAACAAACAAAAAAAGACAAAAAACGAAGTATTTCATGCTGAATCAAATCACTTTTTTGTAGTTTTGCAAAATTTTCATCATTCTGAGAATGCGAAAACGTTGAAAACCTCCGCAAACGAAGGCACATTCTCAGTTTCAATATTTTTATGTCCTTCAAGAAATGGTGAAAAACTTATTAATGTTCATCATTTCGTCTCTCGAGGACCATAAAAAATCTGTTTCGGCTGTCTGCTTCACGCCAAAGCCAATAAATAATATGACACATTCTGTCGTTCGTGATAAATAAAAAGAAAAGCAAACCAAAAAAAAAAATGCTGCAAATTGCGTAGTAGAAAACTCATGCGTTTAAATTAAATCTTACAAAATCTCTCACGGTTTAAGCTGAGCCAACATATTTAGAATAGAATTAAAATTTATTTATAAAACATGTGATTATTTTCTGCGTTGGCCGCGAAGAAACCAAATAAAAAAAAGAAAGTTTAACTGCAGGAAAACAGTCGAGTCGAGTCGGTGTCTTGTCTAGAGTCTAGACAATGTGTGCGAAAAATATTTTTTCCTTCTTCTTTGTCATTTTCACGAATTTTCACTTATTGTTCTCACTCACTGGAAGCTGTCATCACAATCAACACTATCGTCACGCAAAAATTTATTTTCCATCATCGTGACTTCTTCCCTCACTTCTGGTATGAATGAATATCTCGAAGATATTTATTATTAAAAAAATATTGATGTTGATGTTGTTATTATTATTATTAATTTTATTAATATTATTATTATGAAGATATTCGCTTTTTCTATCGTTGGGAAATAAAAAGAATTCTATTTATAATTTTTCTTCATTTCTCATTTCTTTTCGACTCTCGGCTCAATGCTTTCCTCAAGTTTTTCAGTTATTATTTTTTTCTCCTATCTCGATATCTGGCGTTGCGCGGCTGCTGAAAAAACAAATAATAAAATAAAAAGAAATCTTCCACTTGTGATAGATTTCAAAGTAAAGTTGTGATGCTTTTATTTAATCGGTTGAAATTTACAAATCATCAAATGGCATCACAATGTTTGTCATTCACTTTTTATGTTGTATTTAAAGACAACAAATTTTCACCTTGTGTTGACAATCAAGGATTGAATCAAATGTTTAAACATTTGGTCTCAAAACGCGATCTTCTTTAATTTAACTTGCTGTTGTTTTCCGAAAGAAAATAAGTGGAGACGATTTTTATCTCTCATTCATTTAAAAATGTTTTAAACGAAGATGACGAGTGTCAAGACACAAATTATGTAATGAATGAATAGAATCATCTCAAAAGAATGTTTTGTTAAGCTTTCATGATGACGACCGACACTTGGATATTTCAGATTTTCGCATAGATACTGAACAATTTTTAAAATTTCCTCTTCATCGTCGTTGTCGTCTTCGTCGTCGTCTTCTCTTTCCTGTGACTTATTCATTTATTTAAATGTCTCAACATTTCAATTCTATTAATCTATGGATCCACTTGTGAAAGATTTCAAAGTAAAGTTGTGATGCTTTAATTTAATCGGTAGAATATTACAAATCATCAAATGGCATCACAATGTTGTTTTATAGGAAGGCTACAATGTACAATGTTTTCTTTTCCGTTTTTCAAAATGACATTTTATGTTGTAAAAACCACAAATTTTCACCTTGTGTCGGCAATAAAGGATTGAATCATACACTCGTATCGTATCTCGAAATATTTAGTATCAAAACGCGAGCTTCTTTAATTTAAGTTGTCAAAATAAATTATAAATTATGCCAAACGAATATTTTTCTTCTTTTTTCCTACTTTTTTTCGGCAGCCGCCAGATTTTTTTTCAATTTTATTTAATTTTTTTTCTTCTTCTTTACAGAATGTCATTTTGGAAAAGAGTTGAAGGAATTAGGATCAACATGGTTTCCAGACTTAGGAGCACCGTTTGGAAAGATGTATTGTATCAGATGCGAATGCGTTCCAGTAAGAAATCCGGAATGAAACCATTTGAATGTGTAAATATTTAAAAGAATTCTTTGTTTCATTTCATTTAGGTTCAAAAGAAACGACGAATTGTGGCAAGAGTTCAATGTAGAAATATTAAAAATGAATGTGCCAAGCCTACGTGTGACGAGCCAATTTTATTACCGGGAAAGTGCTGCAAAACATGTCCAGGAGACACTCATAGTGAGTTAAAGTTTTTAAAGCTTTCAAGGTCTCAACTGTGAATGAACTAAATCTTTTTTTTTCCTTCTTTTTCTTTTCTATTCTCTCATTTAGGTCCTGACACAGTGCAAGACACGCCCGTAACAAATATAACAGAGGTCGAAGAAGAACGTAACATGAAATGTAAGATTCAAGCAAAGACTTAAAAATCATTTTTAACATTTTTTTCTTTCCTTTCCTTTGAACAGACTTTGGTGCTCTTCTTACAGGGCGAACCTCTCTTATGCTTAAACGTGATGAAATGCTCAACACATATTCAACAAAAAATCCTCAAAATTTTGCTGCTACCGGACGATTTTCCTTTCATAAGAAAAACTTGTATTACTCATTTTATGTGTCCGAGAAAGCATCAAGACCACGTGCCATACAATTCATTGATAACGTTGGAAATATTTTAGAAGAACATAGTTTAGTTATTAGAAATAATGAAGCTGACAGTTCTGTTGATATTTATCAGAATGCGACAGGGAAGATTTGTGGTGTTTGGCGTCGTGTTCCAAGAGATTATCGTCGATTATTGCGTGAGAACAAAATTAATGCTGTTTTGATTTGGGGTGGAAAATATCAATCCGAACTTGCCCTTGCTGGTCCTATAAGCAAATATCCCGCACTCTCAACTGAACTTTTCAGTTCACTTCTTGAACCAGCTCCAGGAACAAATTCTGACATCATGGCAGGTTCCGGTGGTACAGCAATTGTATCGACAAGTAGTGGCGTGACGTCATCCATTCACCTCACACTTATTCTCAACGGACTCTTTTCAATGGATGAAATTGAAGATGTGCCATTAAATATTCGATTAGAAAGTGTTGAAAAGAAACAAATTATCATTGAAGACATTCAACGTGTTAAGAAACCAAATCATGATATAAATGTTATTGAAGTGGTGTCGCCAGTGTCCATTTACGATTTGCGAATGTTAACGAGAGGAAAGCTTCAAATTACGGTTGAATCGAGGAAACGTCCCGATGCTTTAAGAATTCAAGGAAATGTAATTTCTCGTGTATCGTGTGAATTATTTCAAGCTCTCCTTTCATCACACAATCCGGAATCAAAAACAAAATCAAATGGAATGGCGTGGCTATACATGAACAAAGATGGCTCACTTGTATACAACATACAAACGCATAATCTAAATTTAGCCGAGAATCCACTGATCACATTGACGAACGATAATGGCGGAAAGAAGAATACAGAACTCGAAGATTTGACATCATCATTGCAAATGGATCGTGCGCACGGAATTGTTGAACGTTTAGGTCCGCGAGTACTCGAGCCTTTATATAATGGAGATTTGGGAATAAATATCGCAACGAAAACAGAAACAAGCTTGATTCGTGGTAAGTTTACTGTTCGACCAGTAGCTGATGCTCGTGACGCTCAAGAGCCGATATTATTGAATCGTGTTGGTGACTATGCGCCAATTCATTCAGTCGGCATGGCATGGATTGCTGTTGATAATGAATGCAACCTTCATTTTGACATAAACGTGGCTGGAATTACAAATCAATTTTATCCACTACAAGCTTATTTAGTGGATATGCCGATGGAAGTTTATGGTGCGCCAGTCAACCGTAGATTACTGGAAGAATTCAATAATAATCATTTGGAGGGATTTGTTCTCTCAATTTCATCGAACGACTTGGCGAAATTAGAATCAAGTGTAAATTATTTGGAAATTGCCTCGAAAGATGACGACAGAAAGCTTTTGAAATCGAAACTAAAGCCGATCAAAATACCGAACTCATGTTATCCAATTTACACTGATAACGATGTTGGCGTTGCAACTGCTTCAGATAATGCACATCAACAATCGACCGAAACGAAATGTTTCCATTCGAATCGTTTCTATGACGATGGTGAACAATGGAATAGTTTAACTGAAACTTGTACTGTATGTGCATGTAATAACAAACGCGTAAAGTGCGATCCTATTAAATGTCCACCAGTTAAATGTAGAAAAGATGAACAATTACAAAAGAAAGGTGATTGTTGTCCCGTGTGTGTTGGTAAGTTTTATTCTTTGAATATTTTCATTTCGCATTCTTATAAAATTCTTCAATATTTAATAATTTAGGAAAGAATTCCGATGACTCAAAGAACAACACACCACAAAGAGGATGCAAACTTGGTGAACAATTCTACAAAGCAGGTAAGAAAAATGTGAATTTTACTTCCTTCTTATTTTTCTTACACAATTGAATTCTTTTCAAATAAAAGGATCTTCATGGCATCCATATTTGCCACCGAATGGATTTGACACATGTGCTGTTTGTACTTGCGATATTTACACTCTACAAGTTTCATGTCCACGCACTCAATGTCCGCCACTTAATTGCAGTAAAAAAGTTGCATATCGTCCAGATAAGAAAGCTTGTTGCAAGAGATGTCCCGATGTAAGTTTAATGAACGATCAAGTGTTTTCAATTGTTGATAATCTAGATTAATAACAATTATTGCTTTATTTTTCACAGCCTAAAGTTATTAAGGAAACAAACAAAGATATCAATACAGAAGAAATGAAAGATCAAGGAAGTAAATATGATACATTAAATTCACCAACGGTGATTATGAGCAGTGGTGGATGTAAATCACCGATGGGTTATCATTCTAACGGACAAGAATGGCATCCAGTTATTGCACCGCACGGCGAACAAAAATGCATAAAATGCAAATGCAAGGTACGTTTTGAATTTTAATTTTATGATAAATAATTGAAGTTAATTAATTTCTTAATATTCACTATAGGACGGCAATATTAATTGCGAAAAGAAGCGTTGTCCACGTTCTGTTTGTCATCAACATAAAAATGGCAACAAGAAACAATCACATGATGATGAACAATGTTGTCAATGTAGAACGCGTCGTCATCAAGGCGGGCAGCGTCGGAAACTTAAACAACAACAGCATCATGAGAAACATCAACAAAACTCGTCTAAAAGTTGAGATTTTTCGTTAGAATAAGAAGTTTGATTTATCATCAGCATCTGACTATAAAACTTCGAAGGAAAAAAGCTTATAAGAAGTTTATTTTTTATTTAAAATCCTTTTAAATAGTCGTGCTGAAAACATTTCTTTTGTAACAAAAGGAATCACTTAAAACTTTGTTAAACCTAAAAAATCTTATTTAAGACACCTAACAATTAAATATTCGCAGTGCTATCAAAGAAAAAAAAAGCTTCAGAATTGCAAATGTCGTCTCTCAATTTTTATTAATTTTATCACATGAAAAATGGAACAAAAGCAAATACAACATAGTCACATTTTTCATGTATATCTTACGCAAGAACATTCTAAGAAACCAAAAATTAAGCGAAAACAGATAAAACTTTTCATCGAACAACTTCTTGAGAAATTTTTTATCTGTTTTCATGTTTTTTTTCTTTTTTTTCTTCAAATTGATCACATTTCCTTGATCGAATAAAATGAAAAACTTTTCAAGCAGAAAAAGAAGAAAAGAAAGAGGGAGAGAAAGATCAAATATTTAAATCACAAATATGTATGTAAATTAAATTACACGAATATTTTCAATCAAAAAAAAAAACATTTCATAGTCACTACTAACTTTCACATAGTACAAAGCGTAATAAAGCTCATTGTTACGCTTATCGTTTTATTATTAAATTAATGACCTATGAGGAGTAGGAAGATGCGAAATGCATGTGAAGATGTTTAATTATTATCGCATGTAATGCTTAAAACAATCAATTATCCAGAATAAAAAAAGATCAAATTCAATTAACATCGCACGCCAAGCAACATAAATAAATGGAGATCGTGAATCGTCGTACTTCTTCGATTCGCTACACTCTTTTTTTTAACTTCTCTAAATATCAATTTTATTTGTTTGCATATTTGGTTCAACAGACAATGGAACGTTGCCCACACGAGAAAGTTGAAGAACAAAAAAAACTATCGAATTTAATTAAAAAAAAAGAGAAAAAAAAGAAATGCTTTTTGTTACCATGTACCAAAGACTGACTGTAGGCAAAAAATTTGTAAAGACGAAATGGTTGATATTGAATTTGATGACTTAAATGACGATTGTCTATGTTTCAATGTAACTAATGGATTTAAAGAGGAGTTAAGGCATGTATTGTTTCATTCCTTTTGCGAAGAATCTATCAAGAAATGCTTATGTTGAACATCTCGAACAAATATAAATTGGCAACACTTCATAATATACATGAACTAAAAACTTTATTGTTTAAAAGAAGAGAAATGATATATTTTATACATATTCATGTAACAATAAAAATGTAAAGAACAAAAAATGTAAGCCATCACAAAACTGTTTGTAACAAGACCTATGTATTTATGAAATTATAAACAAGATATAAACATATTTTTTCTGAAGAGAAAACGGAAATCTTTTTGTTGCTTCATTTTGTATACCTTCAATTGATTTATTATAAATGATTAATTTCTCTTGACGCCTCTCATGAACGAAGTTTGAATGCAAATCACTAGATCATGCAACTCATTTCTTTCTTCTCTTCTTTTATGTTACTTACGAGGTATATTTTATTCACATACATGCGCATGTTATGCGTCGTTAATACAACCACGATCATTTGATCCAAAATGTATCACGATATCCAAGACGATATCGAAAAACGACTGACCTTGAAATTAAATGTTCAAATTCAAATTTTCAATGCGAAAACGAAAAAAAAACTATCTACAACTTATGAATTTAAACAGAATTCGCGTTAAAGTATTTATTTGCTTATTAAACTACCTATTTAAAATGCTTTTTAGAATTCGAAAGAACAAATAAACAATATGAATATTATTATCTACCAAGATTTATTTATGCTGACATTTTAACTACATAAGTAGATGAATGTTGCAAACATACTGAAATTGGCGAGAGAGATGATGGTAAGTAGAAAATTTTCCAGAAATACGACACGTGACTGTTATCAAACTGATTTGATCTGATTTATTATAAGGCAATCTGTCTATTCAAGTCTAATATTTTAAAAAAGAAAACTTAAGTGTTATTTTTTGCTCAACTTTGTTTCAAGTGACACTTTAGATATTTTTTGTCAGATAATTTGGAAGTTTGCAAAGAAGTATCGGATGCTTTTGACTCCTTATGCATATGCAACTACTGCCACTTAAAGATTTCTGCCTTATCTTTAAATTATTCCAATACCTTTAATTAGTAGCACTTACTTACTTTTCTCCAGAAATTTCAATCGAAAATTTTTTTATCAGTTTTCTCAGATATAAGAAAAGATTAAAATTCGACAGAAATGTAATTTGGTGACATCTATGAGTCACTTTTGGAACCTTTCGAAATGTTGACTTGGTGCCCGCTTTTGGTTTTTTTTTCATTTTCATTATTATTTCTAAATAAATTCAGGTAATGCTCAAGAATGTTTATTAGTATCCTTGTTGATTGATTTCAGATGTTCTTAAATTAAAAAAAATGAATTAAGTGGGAAATGACAAGGTTTATTTAAATTAAAAATTAAGTAATAAAAATTTAAATTTACAACATGTTCAAATCTAATTTATGGGTTTTCCGTATCTTTCTCCTGAAGAAACAAATATGAATCATCCTGCATTGTATCGATCAAAGGATCAATTGATTTCTTTACCAAATCTACTTGCTGCTGCATAATTTTTACATTGAATATTAGCTCTTCTCGGTGTTCAGCAATACATGCGCGCTCAAGTTTTTCTAGATCCTGAGTTAACTCAGAAAGAATTACAGGAAGTGATGGTGGTGGTGATAGCGATGGTGGCAGTGAAGGTATATTGGGAATATTATTTTCATCGTCTGTATTTTTCTTCTTCCAAGCTCCTGCTTCTGCATGTCTTCGCAAGAAATTTCTTAACCACTTACTTGAAGGCTTTCCATGTTTAAACCTTTTCTTAAAGTCTGGATTGAGTTGAGACAAACGAGAAGCTGCTTCAAGAATTTGATTTTTGGTTCGAGGATTTCCTTTTGATTTCCAATGAACAATCCATTTTGCTAAATACTCTTCAACTTGTTTTCCGAGAACCGCTTCAAATCCATGTCTACTGCTCGATTTGTTATTAATTCGATTCCATAAAGTTTTTTTAGGAACGTTAAACGTATCTGCAGCTTCAGCTAATCTCATTCCTTCACATACTTTTTGAATTGCGTTTTTTATATCATCTTCTGTATAATTTTGGAAGTACTTTCCACGTTTCTTTTTCAATTTGTTTATAAATTCACTATCAGAAGAGTAATCGCATTCTTCTGAATCCATTATGAAAAATTTAAATAATTAGGAGTTATTTATATTTCGACTCTCCTAGATTTACTTCTACTTAAAAATATTTTATATTTTTAAAGTTTCATCGATTTTCGTGAATTAAACTTATTTTGTTTATGTGTTGTTTAGCTGAATTCAGTTGAAAGTAAATAAACAAGACTTAGTCGAACACCCTTCTGATTTTTTCAAATCCGGGCAACACTAAATCACGTGAGTTTTATCAGGCAAGAACTTTTCATAAATTCGTTTTTTCCTAAGTTTTCCTGGGAAAATCTGAGTAGTTGGATCTGAATCTAACTGAATTCAACGATTAATGTAAGTTGTCACAAAAATTCATAAAAGTTTATCTAAACATTTTAATAGTAAAATTTGTAAAAGTAAAAATATAAATTTTGCTGTAAAGAAAGTTTTTCTTCAAAGTTTTTCTTTCCTCTATTAAGTTTAAATCTATGAAGTTTAAGATAACAATTGGTGTTATAAGTTTCATATATCATCATCAGTCAGTACGTTCTTAAGAGAATATTATCCGTGGAAATACATAAATTGAAATATCATTAATTTTTGCTTCTGCTTTTCTTTAAGGACCTTGGAAGAATTTTCTTCAAATATCCTTTACAAGAAAATCTATTCATTGTCAACTAACAATGATGACCAATTGATTTGTTAAAAATCTAAATTAAATTAGACACATTTCTATGTTTCTAGAATACAATACTCGTCTTCTCGTATCGTCATCATGTGACCAGATAGAAAAAAATTATTTTATGTTTCTTTCAATTTTAGATTCTCGATTTCCAATTGAAAGTGGAAAACTTCTGCTTCCATCATGAGTGAATATTGGTTGATATCAGCACCGGGTGATAAGACATGTCAACAGACATGGGAAACGATGAACAGCGTTACAAGCAAGCAAAATAATTTGTGTGAAAACTTCAAGTTTCATATTCCTGATTTAAAAGTGGGAACACTTGATCAGCTGGTAGGATTGTCTGATGATTTAGGAAAATTAGATGCCTATGTTGAGACCATCACAAGAAAAGTTGCCGTGTATTTGGGTGATGTGTTGGAAGATCAGCGTGACAAGTTGATTGAAAATTTGCTGGCAAACAACGGTTCGTGACATTTCTTCTTTTATATCTTGATTATTTCATAAAGTTTATTGTACTATTTTAATTTAGTTGATTTGTCACAATACATCACTCGTTTCCAATGGGACATGGCAAAGTATCCCATTAAGCAATCGTTGCGCAACATTGCAGATATCATCTCGAAACAAGTTGGGCAAATTGATGCTGATTTAAAGACAAAATCTTCAGCTTATAACAGCTTGAAAGGAAATTTGCAAAACTTGGAGAAGAAACAAACGTAAATAAGTTAAAATAATTAACAAACTGAAAGATATTTAAAAGAAATTTTTATTTTTTAGTGGAAGTTTGTTGACCAGAAATTTGGCTGACTTAGTGAAGAAAGAACATTTCATTCTTGATTCTGAGTATTTGACAACATTGTTGGTGATTGTTCCGAAGTAAGATAACAGCAATGAAATTTTTTTGAAGGATTTGTAAATCATTTTTCTTTTTTTCAGGATACTTTTCAGCGATTGGAATACTGGATACGAAAAACTTACTGACATGATTGTTCCACGTTCATCACAACTTATCACACAAGATCAAGATTTTGGACTGTTCAATGTCACACTCTTCAAGAAAGTTGTTGAAGAGTTCAAACTTCATGCCCGTGAGAAGAAATTCGTTGTACGCGAATTCACATACAACGAGGAAGAATTAGCTGCTGGCAAGAACGAAATCACCAAATTGGTGACCGATAAGAAAAAGCAATTCGTAAGTTGTTACGTCATATGTTGAAGTTTGAATGAATCTAATTAAATATTAATTTAGGGTCCTCTTGTACGTTGGTTGAAAGTAAATTTCAGCGAGTGCTTCTGTGCATGGATCCACGTCAAAGCACTGAGAGTCTTCGTAGAATCCGTTTTAAGGTAATCAAATCTGTACATTTTAATTAATTTATAATTAATTATTTATATGTTAGATATGGTCTACCCGTGAATTTCCAAGCCATCCTCATCCATCCGAACAAAAAGAATCAAAAACGTTTACGTGATGTGCTGAATCAACTATATGGACATTTAGATGGATCCGCTTCTTCATCATCAAATGTCAATGCTGATGTAAGTTAAAATTATAAACAAGCAACATCAATTTAACTGTTTTCATTTATTTAGACTGTTGATATTCCCGGTTTGGGCTTTGGTCAATCAGAATACTTTCCATATGTATTTTATAAGTTGAATGTTGACATGGTAGAAACGAAAATCTAAACGGATCCAACTTCATATGCACAAGATACCAGCAGAAGTAATAAAAAGAAAAAACAATAATTTAATTCTACATATATTCGCTGTTGTTTGTTGAAAGAAAAAAGATAAAGATTCATGAAAAATCCATAAATATTTTCATATATAAATATGAAAACGAACATCATACGCTAAAACTATTTAATTACTTATCTTTTTCATCACGATTGAAAAGAAGAAAAAACCTAAAACATAAAAAATAAATCCGAAACTTACATTCCAGATCATTGAACTGTTTCAGATTTTCATTAAATTTCGGCAAGATTTTCTTTTGTTTCTTGAATCTTGTATTCTTAACACTTTGATACAAATCTTTGTTTTATGATGGAACATGTAAATATCGTGGTAATGTGAAGATGAAGACATGAAAATTAAGAAGCAAATCATTCGAACTTCATTCAAATGTTTTAGTCAAAAGTATTGTATTTTATTTAGGGTAGTGAAATATATTTTGAAGATGAAAAACTTTGATTAAATGCTTCCTTTTTAAGTGTAAAAATTATTAAATGAAAAATATGTTAAAAACAGTTTAAAATCAATTAAATTATCATGAAAAAAATATCAAAAATTTATTTCTCTTTTATTTTATTTTGTGTCTGTAATTTTAATAAAAATCAGTGGGATTGCAATTCAATTAGATTTAAAAATCCATTTTGAAAGTTCATTACGTGATTGCACAAAAAATTGTTTTCAGCCAAGGGGATGTCATCGAGAGATTTGTTTCTTTATAAAAAAAAATCAGGAAATTCATTCACGATCAAATTGATTGCAACAGTATTTGAATCACGCATATCAAGCTTTTAATTATCTATAGAAAAAAATATCAATTGATTTGTAAAGCTCATTAGATTTGAATCTATTTACCGACAATAACATTATTCTCATGCAAATTCATAATATTTAAATGAATCGCTGAGCCTGCCATGTTCTGAGGTGTGTTAAGTGATCTCATTAAAAATTCTAACTGCTCAACAATTCCTGCTTAAAACGGAATACTAAATAGAAATGCGGAAATAGAAAATAAGAAACGGCACTGAAGAATTAAGTTAAATTAAGCTTTCAATGGTAAGTATCGTAACTGTTGTTAACATTTCTCAAAACTCATTCCGCACCCTCTTAAAGAAAGATTTATTTCTGCCTTAATTTTTCATTGAAAGAAATTATCACAATGCACTTGACAAATTACTTGAAATATTAAAGCTTTTAAACGTTAAAAGGTTCCGTCTGTCAATTAATCTAAAACTTTAAATTTATTCAATTTCCGCTTCAATTATTTAGACAATCAGAATTGCAATAACGAGAATTAAAATTCTAAAATTGAAATTTGCGTAATCATTGAATAAATTTCTTCATCTGCAACAAAGTTTCATTGGAAATGATGTCGTTGACTGCTGATTATATTGAAACCAGTTTGTATACATTTTTTTCCTCATCGCTTCCTATCTCTGTCTCTCATCATTTTTATCCATTCGCTTTCTTCGCCGATATGCGGTTAAATAAAGTGTTACATAATGATTTTTTTTCTATGCGATTTTAGTTTGTGGCGACAATCGAAAGTGTTGCTTCGACGCTTAAAATTAAATGAGGATGAGTCTGCGGGGAGCAAACATAAAATATTACACCAATCAACCTATTGTCCGTATGCAAATTGAGTGTCATAAATCAACCAGGTTCACATTGTTGACGTTTCAACTTAAAAAATGAAAACTTAAAATTTTGGCTTCTTCATCAGTGAGTTGTGGAGAAGAAAAGAAGAAAGAAAAATACAAGAAACTACTTAATTATTTGAGATTAACTCATGTTTCAAACATGTAATGATTAATCAAGAATAGTTTCTTTGTTTTTGAATATCTTCTTTTGCAATTAAAGTTCAAGAGAATGTTTAAAAGTTGACAAAACTTTACGCCGCAGGATAAAATAAATCAACATTAATAAGCGATGAAATAAATCAATATGAGTCTTTCTCCAGTGCATAAAAATTATGTTAATGTCAAGAAAACAATTATGAGCATTTAAAATTCAATCATAATTTCTTGCTTCAGTTGTTGAAAGAGCCATTCCCATAGAAACTCGGTGAGAAATTCCATTCGAGTTCACGGATTGCCCATGAAAATGTGTGTTAACGAAATTTTATGTTATTTTTTTTCTCTCGTTGAAAGTCAGGTTTAGCACATACTTAGATACTTATGTTGATCAACAAATTGCGCATAAATGAAAGGCATATGAACAGAAAAACACGAAAATCTTACAATTTAAGTTAGAAATAGAAAAAAAATCATAAAACCACTTGAATTTTGTATTATTAATTAAAGCATGTGTTGAAAATTTTTCCTACCAATTTGCAATGTCTAACTTACGATAAATTCTCTATCAAATTGCCACACAATGATTTTTGTCTCATATATCGCCCAAGAAAAGAAACTGCAAGTTAATGTCGTTTTATGAATGTTATAAAGCCTTCAAGGTAACACATTTCCTAACAGTTATTAAGACTTTTCATTCTTTGGTTTAATGAACTCAACAACTAATAATTCGTGATTCATACTTGAATATGTGACGTTAAAGTTAAATCACGAATTTTCAGAATAAACTTCGATAAATATGTACTTAAGCATGTGGCATCCTGACATTAGTTTTAGATGGAAATGTTATTACAAACCTCATTGTCTTCTTTAAAGTTTAAGCTGATGACATCCATTAAAGATGATCAGTGATGATGATGAACTTCAGTGAAATGTATAGAAAGGTAAGAAGTTTTAATTTGGAAATTCTTAGAGTAATAAATCATAATTGCAAACTTTTCTCTGCTTCGTCTTAAAATCAATTTCAAAAGAAACATTTTAAGCGAATTATTTAATTCAATATGAAAGAAATAATTGACTGTAATAAGAGTATCTAATGGAATTAAGAGATGAAGTTAACATCTACATTGTTCATCTACTTATATTCAATTATCTTGAATTTCATTTCAACAAAAATGTTCAATTTTTCAATTAGTAATGAAAAGTAATTTTAGATTATGCGGATGTAAAAAAAAATCCCCGAACGTCGACCATTTTAACAAGTCGTGCATTTGAAACAGTTTTTTTCCTATTCTTTCCAACATAGATACTTCTTTCATCAGCTAATGCGTAAGTTTATGAACATTCTATACAGGTACGGAAATGCATTTGATGTTTATTGACAGTTAATTTTCTTAGAGTGTAGACAAGTGTTAATTATGCAGCGTTGTAGTGGCATAATTGGTTCCTTATCCTTATTGTTCGTCAAACTTTTGACAACACAAGACTTGTGAAGGTCACACTAAATTTGAGCGTAAAATTAATGCAGTCAGTTAGGCAGCAGGGTTTTTGTGAGACCACTGTTGTGCTCGTGACAATGCTGATCATTGATGAAAGCTACGCAACAAAAAAAAAATATCTCGCAGCTCTTATTAACACAAAATTATAAGCCTCAAGTTATAATCTGAAAACAAAAGTCATTAGCCGTCAATACTTCCTGTTTTTCAACGTAAACGAAGTGACTTATGCCAAATTAGATGGACAATTTGAATAACCAGCTATTATTAAGTATTTCACATCTAACAGTTAAGATTTTTTTATTGTTCTATTGCACATCTTTACGTCGTTTATATCTCAAGAGCTTAGACTAATTGATGTGTTAAAGTTGACGAAATATTTTTTTTTATCACATAACTTCCAACATAAAAGTAGTTTTGAAATGTCGAAGTTTATATGCAATAAAAGTCTTTGATTCCCAATTCGAAATTTGAGACGAAAGAAACGTGTTAACTTATTGTTATTAGCTTTATAATTGACGACATTTTTCAATACGTTTTCATTGCACCGTTAAGCTCTTAAACTTTTTTTCCACCCAAACGTACATAACAAAAGCATAACTTTAGGTCTCGAAACACTTACAAAACCGAGAAAGACAGAAAAAATGGAATCTTTGAATTGGAAAATTATGATGTTCGGTTATTGAATCACCTCCTATTGAGTAATTTATTGAAAAACAAATAAAACGCTTAAACAAATTGGTGAAAAAAAATGAAATAGAGTCGAATGTAGTAGCTTGGAACAAATAGATAGACGTAGAAATAATCGCCAATTAATAAGTTGCATTGAATGAAATGAAAAAATTTTACGCAGCTTTTGTTCCGTAATCATTCCAGATTTGTTTCAGTCGTTAGCATATTTACGCAAAATCGAGCATTACAATTTATATAAAATTGTTGAATATGATTTAGAAAAAGTGAAACTAACTCAGTCGGTATTTTAGAGTTGAAAACGTGGTGAAGAGTTTGGTTGTGTGATCGTCGTTTATTAACATGAAAACATGAAAACTTGTTTATTAATTATCTTTTAAACTATAATAACTCATTGAAGATCATAAATCTCCACAAAGAACTTAACTCGTTGAAATATTTATTGTAAATGAACTTTTTGAAGTGCAAACTTTAATGTAATGAAAACACGCTTTGGGTGTTCCTTGCTTCAGTTTCAATAACTTCCACAGAAACGAGACGAATGAATGAATTCGAAATATTTCTTTTTCAGAAACTTTGCAAATACGATTAAATCATAAATTTTTATGCAAAAGTTAAATCCCAGTTTTGGATTGAGATCACAACATAAATAAGCAACCTTCTGTTGTCATCATTCAAATGCCACAATCAATTACTTTCAAACTAGTTTTAAGAAGTATGAGTACCGATCCGATCAGTAAACATCTGCTGCACTTTGTGAAAAGCTCTTCGCTTTAACATTGAGTGCATTCCGAGAATGCTAATAAGAATAAACATCAAGCTCACGCTCAACGTGCTTAAACCACTATGGTTGATTTATTTTTATTTTATATTTAATGTTATAAAGTGTGCACATTTGAGTACACTCATTATAATCATAATTTGCAGCTTTAAGTTTCTCTTTGTTTGATCCATAAACTTCCAATAAACGTGACTTAAGCTTCACTCTAGGTAGTTGATATTTATAATAACTATTTTGAAACTTATCAATCAAACAAATCGCTCTGTTTCATTATTTCCTGACATTTTTAAATTTGAAACAAACATTTTTGGAATTGCAAACATGAGAAATATTTAATCTTGTTTGATTAAACATTAAGATGAAATAATATTCATCAATAAACTATGAAATTCAATCAGATATTAACTAATGTTATTATAATTTAATGGACCACCCACGCATTCTAAAAACAATGTTCATTCCTTGAGAACTTATGTCAAAATAAAATAAAATTAAAACAGAAATTAAAGTTAATATTATTAATAGAAAAAAGCACAACAGTTTAATTTGGTATTTGGTGGTAAAATAAAACCGCTGAACGTTTCGATATTTCGCAAAATGAAATAATTATTCAGATTGTTTCGTTTTTATAATGCAAAGGTAGAGCTCAATAAATTATGTTTCGCTCATTTGCTATAAAGAGATAATAAACAGTGGTAAAATTTGATTGAAGATAAAGTGACTACTGTAGAGACAATATTTATCTACATTTTATTGAAATGAGTTTGCTTAATACACTTTGATTAAAGTTGATTATTAGATTATGATCGTTAAGCTCATTTTTTACTTCTCTATTTTACACAAACATTTACCAACTTCACTTCAGTGTGGCTTGATGTTTTCATTTTCTGTTTGTTATATTTGAATATAAATAAGATGTAATTGGTCTCAGAATGGCAACGAGAAAAGAAACCAAAAATTTTATAATATTTATTCAGTTTTTGTTACAATATCTGGGCCATCACGAAGTAGTAAAAATAAATATGAAGAGAGTTGAAAGATGTCAAATAATTTTTAATGTTGTTAATATTTTAGCGATGCGATCTGATCGGAAAGATTAGGCTGATATTTTTTTGTAGGAAAGAGTCTTCTACTTAATACAAACAATACCGATAAATACAATGAAAAGCTCTCTCAAATATTTCTCAATCACATTTTTCTAGTAACAACAAACTATCTACGTAATGTTGATGTTGAGAGAAGAATTAAGTTTTAAAGAAAAAGTAAATGCAGCATAAAATAACAAGTCGATAAAGTTATAAATGATCTTTGAGTCAGACTCTCTCTTCACGCCAAACTTATCGGATGTTTCACGTTTCTGTTGTTATTTAAGAGTCATTCCATCTAGTTTTATTTCTTGACTTTTGTCTAAGACGAAAACGAAAAAGATAATATCAAAAGGAGAAGCTCATTACGTAAGGAGAAATGAGCAAACTTAAGCTATCGTTGTTTTTCTCTCTGTGGTTCAGCATTGCAAATAGTTTTCCTGCCTCAATCCACGATCAAAAGTCGCGTAAGTTACAAAATCTTTTCTTTCTTTTTTTTTTTGTGAATAGATAATCAATTTACATAAAAATTTAACAGTCAGCGCAACATTATTTGGCTGAGTTTGTTTATTGTTATGCACTTTTCTGTTACTTTTCGCAATGTTCACGATAAATTTAGCACAACAAATTTTGAGTTGCCGGTTGAAGGAAGAATTCATTTTTTGTCACATTGTATGCACATTTCCTACTTTCGATCACAAGCCTTAAATGTCGCTAACGGTAGAGTTGAGTTGATCAAATCATCACAATCGTGCGAAAAAAAAAACTTATTTAAAAATAGATATTCACTTTCACTCCAAAAGATTGCGATATAAGCTTGTTTTTTCCTTCATTTCATTTGTTAAGAAATAATCGTGTTCATGTAGTCGCATGTTGAAGACATATTAATAATATTGATTTTATAAACACTTAAAAGCACATCAATCAATAATTCATTCGGATGGACTTTTTAATTTCCTTCAAATCACTTGATACTTTTCCTCTCAATCATAATCAATTTTTATTCAATTTGTTTTATTTTACAGAAACATCAAAAGACTCTTCAGAATCTCAACATTCGAACAATGCGCCGTTTGTACCATCACAGTCTGATCCACATCAAATGATTGCAGATCTCAATTCAAATTTAAGTCCCGCATTTGCTGAACAAAACTTCTTTCCATCATTCTTTCAACCACTTCAACAACATCAAGCAGCTCGACCTTTTAGCAATCGTCATCATTTTACTCCATCTTCAGTACCTTCAGCGCGATATTTATCATCTTTTAAAAGTTCATTCGATAATTCAATTCTTGGATCGGGAGATTTCGATGTCGTTGAAGGTGGAACCTTTTTTGCTGACGGAGATCGTTTGCGAAAGCCTAGTCATCGTTACAGTCATCGGAATTCGGGAGAAACTGGTCAACCATTTGCATTACCACTTCAGTCATCAAGCAACTCTGGTGATTCTCTTGCAAACTTCAAAGATTTTGCTGACATCACTGCAAGTATTGATGGAGAATTCTCAAATAACATTAATATTTATACGAAAACAGATTCAAAAGTTAAACATGAGCCGAGAAATATTCTTGAACAACTTGAAATGATCGATAAAGAAAAAATGATGGAAAAAGAAAAAAAGAAATTAAATTTGACATCCGCAAGCGATATTAAATGAAATGAAATGTTGTTGACTTCACCTCTCGAATTTTTTAATTTAAGGTAAGTTTAGAGCAGTGAATGTAGAGTAAGAAGTGAAATAAAAGACTTAATAAATTTCCATATATAAATTTTTGACATAATTTTGAAACGTTTTCAGTGTAAATTGATTTGCTAACGTTAACTTTTCAATTATTTACACATTCGATCTTTTCAAACGAGTCACTTGTTACAAAACAACGCATTATCTAGTAGATAATCTATCTTTGTAAGTTCCACCCCAATCATTTGATTGCATTTGATGATGTTCACATTATTTTCTGACCACGCCAAGTTTATTCTCCTCTACTGTTTAACGTGCAAAACATTAAAATAACTCTGACCTACCTGTGATGCACGAGTGCGCCCATTAAGACGAAAACAATGGCAAAACCTCATAGCAAAAATTTAATTTGAATTTAATCTGAGATCGTGAGAATGCTTGAACAAACAAAGCTCTCTTCGAAGAACTCAATGTGACTTATGTTATTTTATTTTTTTATTCTTTTTATTATTATTTATCCTTTGCTATGATCATCTGTTGTTTCATGACAGTTTGCAATTGCGAAAAAATGTTGACTATGCCAATGCTTCTTAATTTATTTTATCACAACGTTTTTATCTCTACGTGAAAATGTTTAAAATGAACAATTTAATTCATAACTTGAACTCATCAAAATGATTCCAAGAGTGGATAAATATTTTAATAAAAAATCCATATCCATGTAAATTAAGCGAAATGCTTTCATTAATTGGAAACCGAAACAAACAGAAGACATAAATCTGCCTGAGTCATTTTGCCTTTTATTTTCTCGGGTACAAAAGTTGATGTTTTAGCGCAATATCTTTAAAATTATCATAAAAATTAATTCTCAATGACACTTTAGTGTTATTGCTCTCATTTCATCACTAAATGAGTTGTTTAGGTTCGCATTGATATTTAAATACACTTCCCTCATTAAATTCATATTTTCGACTTCATCATTCATCAAACAAACTAATCATCTTTACAAGAAATGTCGCTGTCACATTTGAGAACGGTCTTGAAGATGAAGTTTCCTTTTCATCTTTTAATTTTGAAGTCTAATCAGGTAACGATCGTAAGAAGTAATTACTTATGAAGCTTTCAACAACCGTTTCGTCAAACGACAACAATTATGAATTTTAAATCTTCCAGTTTTTTGATTTTGTAGTCACAGCTAATAAAATTATTTTTAATTTCTGTTTGCTTTAACTCTTGACGATTCTTTATTAACTCTTTGAGTCAAAGATAATAAAATTATTCATTTGCAAATATTTGAAAAATTATTACCTAGTAACATTTCTAAATGTTCACAATCCGAGACTAAAAAAATCTTCAAAGAAGTTTAATTATCTACCAGATTGACTGACTGTAAGGCAAATGAACAAAAACAATTGTTTGTCCTCTTTCATGCTTCTTTTCTGACAAATTTAATTTGTAACGCAAAGCGTGACAACACTCAACAAAATGAGTTCTCACCATCTTTGCTTCACTTAATATTGTTTAACGTACCAAACATGACCTTGGTGATCAGCGAACATGAAACATATTTTAAGCTTTTAACTAGTGCTTGCTTTGGACATTCTGATACTGTTGTCATCATCTCCCTTGTGATTTATGCTTTGATAATTACATGAATCGATTTCAATGATTTATATTTTAAGACCTTTTTTAAAAGACTTAACTTATTGGTCGATATTGCAATATCATTGATACACAATACGCTCAATGAAGATAATTTAAGTCATTGTTGTCACTTCATTGCACAATAAAATGCTCGCGCTTCGCTTATGTAATGGGAAAATAACTTAAATCAACTGTGAAGCAATTCAATGCAATTGTTAAATATTCAGATTGCACTTTACACTTTCAACATTATTAAAGTGTTAAAATTCTTCACCGTATCAAGTTCACGGTTAGCTTTTCAAACTCAACATAGTTTTATGAAACTCACTTCCCAAACACAAAAAAAAAGATCAAAGAAAGCAAACAAATGTTTACCCTGGTTTAAGTGAAATCATTTTCAACTCATGGGAAGTGGAAAATATAAAAAATTAAACAATTTTCTTAAAGTTTCTCATGTTCAAAATGATGAAAGACATTAAAAAAAAAGTTAAAGTGTTGGACATGACTCGAAAACTTAAATTCAGTGACAAATATTTAAAAAAACGACGTGCAATGCATTTAGCATTGAAGTTCGAATTACAAAATATTCAATTAACTTTCAATTTTTATTATTTTTCTGATTGCAAAATCATCCCAAATAAATAGAAATATATTTCATCGCTTGATTGGATTCGAATTCAATTCCTAAATTAGCAAAAATTTTATTAGTTTTTTTCTCTTTTATATTGATAGATTTATAATCAGAGTTTCGAATTAAAATTGGTACCGAGACATTTCTCAATAATATAAAAAAAATGGAGAAGGAAGGTCCATGTTTTCTTATTTTTTTTTAATTTAAACTGTTTTAATTATCCACATACATGTAACGTAACATGAACATAAAAACAACAATCTAGAATTTTGTAATTATCTTCAAGGCTTTGTTTTTATCATTTCTCTTGTCTTTAATTAAATAGAATTAATTGATAATCATAATTAGATTTTTTAGAATTAAATGGTAAATCACTTTACAGTTAAGTAGATACTGTAATTAATTATTGTATGTTCTCTTGATGAATAAGATCGATAATGAGTCATTCGTATCGATATGGTTCAAAAGACCAGACAAAGCTATTGGATATATGTTAGTCAATCGGGAACCTTGAAAGTCTAATGCTTAACAACTTCAAAACGACATTAATTTGCCGTTTCTTGCGGTTATTTGTGAGCCGCAACTTCATACTGTAAATAGAGAAACACGTACAACAACTTTATGCAAAACTTCTGGCGCAAAATGAAATTAAAAGTCTTAAGCATGGTAAAGATATAACAATTTCATTTCTACATCTATATATCTAAAATAAAGTGGACAGAAATGATTGTGCTAACTTATGTTCTCATGACCAGTACATGATCCCATGTGAAGTGTTGAGAACCTCCTTTTTTTATGGGATCGGTAAATCTTTGTAAGCATTTTTTATGAGTGATGTGGTCAAATTGAAGTGATTTAAGTACTTAACTAATTTCTAAAAATTCAAATATTCCTCCCATGTATTCGTCGCACGTTAATTAATCTCATGCGATTTTAATGATTCGCCATTACTGTGTGAGCATGGTAATAATAAGTAATAGATAATTATTTAATATATGTAATTTCTTAGTATTTATTTGATTGTTTCACTCGTTAGGAACAATTTTATTAATAGAAATCTATAAAGTCATGCAATAAATGTATGAAACCTAATCAATATATGTATGTTTAGTAGCAATTACAACATTATGAAATATTTTTATGTGAACAAAGAAACATAAAATTAGATAAAATTGATTCTTGAGAGATATCGAGTTTTATGATTTCTTAACAATTCTGTAATTCGAGATCAATTTTGTTTTCTCACATAAAACTTTTATATCTATCAACGTTAATAAAACTCAATCTGAGATGTAAATCACAGTCTGTAAATTGAATTTGTTATGATGGAATGAAAGGTTGCCACGTAAATACTTTCATGAATTATTTATGTAAATTATGATTAAAATGTGATTTAGCAATCGAAAAACTCTTCCTTGCAACATAAATCACTGTCGCTTTTTTGCAAATTTTATGTTTTTCAGTTCATTTTATCTTGAAGATGTTAAGTATTCATTCACATAAGTTTTGTGATATTCAATGCAATCTCAACTGTTGCGTAAACATCACCCAAGCAAAACATCTTTCGTTGTATCGTTCTTATGTAAGAAAACATTTATCAACTCAAAAGAGAAAATTTTGCATTCTTCCGTCGTTTATTTCTTTTTAAATAACAGCATCGTATGCAAATTTTGTATTGAAAACATTATGGAAAAACTTCATCATCTTAGAGTTATGTGACGTTTGAATTTTCATTTTAAAGATTAAGATTTGAGATTTGTTTGATGTTGCATAATTTCATTCTTATGAAGCTTCAAGTTACCATAACGAGATCGCAAAAACTGTCAAAATCGTGGAAATTGTTTAAAAATTAGAGTTGACGCGAAACTTATACAAAAACTTATTTAATTAATTGTAATACAAAACAAATTCTATTCTTTTGGTCACACCTTGAATCTTCAGAGACTTGCTAGACATTTCAAATATTTAATCCACATAAATTCAGTCATCTTTTCATACAAGTATCAAATGGATTATTTTTTTATTTAATTAGATATTTATACATTTCAGAAATATATTACATAACAGAGAAGAAAAAAATATCCGATGACCTCTAAGAATGCTTTTGAAAAGCAAGATGAAGTAAAAATTTGTATGGAACGCTCGAACGACATTTCAAAGTCAAGTTTCATTCATCTATCAAAATAAGTTCACTGCCTTTCGTACTCAATCGTTCAGATCAGAAGCAGGGTTGGAAATTTATTAATAAAATTATGTTCAAAGGTAAGAGTTTTATTCTTTAAGACGTATTCAAACCTCTGGTCTCACGAACGTAAATCATTTAACTTCATAACAATTTTTATTATGATTTGAAGTTAATGATGAAGTTGTTGAAAGCTTCTCGAGTCACCTTATTAGATTTATTTAACTGATGTTGTAAAAAGGCAGCTTTTAAGTTAATTTAACTCTGGAAAAATTACGACTCAACCCTTTAATATTGTTAGGAGTTGCATTATGATAAGCCCGGTAATGTTCTTTCAACCGAATCGCGTTGATTTCAATGAAACCCGTGGCAGCTGAAGGGTTGAGTTGCCCATGAACACTCATTGAAGCTAATTCTTGATTGTACAATGAATATAACGATTCTCTTGATACCGCCCAACAATTGCCTTTAAAAATTTCAACCGTTACTCGACCATTGACGGTTCTCTGTGACTCCTCGACACAGTGTTTAACATATTCAGCTTCAGGCGAAAACCAGAACCCGTTGTAGACATAATCAGCCATTCGGTCAGCTAATAAGCTTTTAACGCGTAAGATCTCTCGATCAAGGCAATAAATTTCAAGGTCTTGGTGTGCTTCAAAGAGAATTCGTGCACCAGGCGTTTCATATACCCCACGAGATTTTAAGCCAATAAAACGATTTTCAACAATGTCAACACGTCCAATCCCATGTTCACCGCCAATCTGATTGAGGTACTCGAGAATATGCAATGGCTGTTCGAAAGTTTTTCCTGTTGAAGTCTCAACACAACGAATGGGAACTCCACCATTGAAGACAATTTCAATTAAGATTGGAGTGTCTGGAGCTTTCATTGGACTTTTTGTTGAAATGAAAATTTCATCCGGTGCTATTTGCGCGGGATCTTCAAGAACGCCTGCTTCAAAACTGGTGTGCATAATATTAGAATCAGTTGACCATGGTGATTTAAGAGATGCACTGACAGGGATGGCATTCACTTTTGCAAATTCCATTAAATCGTTTCTTCCTTGAAATTTCTCACAAAACTCAGGCAAGCGCCAAGGAGCGATAACCTTTCATTTTTTAATTAAAATCTTTAAATGAAAGATCAAGTCTTATCATTATTGTACATTTACAAACCTTTAGATGTGGATTCAATGCATAACATGACAACTCAAATCGAATCTGATCGTTGCCTTTACCAGTCGCACCATGTGATATGTACATACAATTGAATTCTTTCGCAGTTTCTTTGAACAACAACAGAGATGTTTAATATTCTAAATTAGAACAATTGAAAGTCATAATGTGTGTACGCACCTATCAAAGCTAATGAAATGCAAGGTCGGGCTAGAGCTGTTCCCAGTAAGTAACGTTTTTCATAAATCAAACCCATTTTTACAGCTGGCCAAACGAAATGTTCAACGAATAAATTTCTCAAATCCTTAACAACAACTTCAGTTGCACCAATTTTGATGGCCTTTTATGGAGTATTTCAAATGATTATTCAGTACTTGTGAATTGTGATGATAACTTCATCATCTTACTTTATCTTTCACACTTTGAAAATCTTCCTTTTGTCCCACATCACCAACGAAACAAATAACGTCAAATCCTTTTTGTATCAACCACTTAAGAATGCAACTTGTATCGAGACCTCCCGAATATGCTAATAAAACTTTTTCCATCTCCATTGTCAACTGAACCATTTATTGCAATGTTCAATTGTAAACTGAACACGCGATTTAATTTTTGTTCCTTTTTTCTATCAATTTTATGTAATTAAGTAAAAGGTTATCAAAATATTTTCGCCTCTTCGTGCATGAAAATTATTTTAAAAATAGACAAAAATTCATCATAATCTACACGTATTAACGATTTTGAAAATGTTATTCTTCGGCACATTTTAGGTGATTTGAATTAATTATGTCAAGATGTTAAGACCTTAAGAAGGGCTGTTGCTTTAATTATTTATCTAAATATGTGAGTGCAACAAAAGTAGTTTTATTGAAAGAGAAAAATTGAATGGAAACACATTATTATCTTCATGGTCAACACATGAACTCTTAAAAAGAATGCTCCGTTATGGGTTGGGTTTGTTTAAGTCTATTAAAGAGATTGTTTCAAAAAGATCATAACCCAGTTTTTGATTACATTCTAGCGTTTATTGGACCATTATTGAATAGGAATCAAACGTCTTAAGCTGAAACAATTTCTATGCTTTGCTTGCCAAACATGGAAATAGTCTAATTTAATATAAGTCGCTCACGAGTTTAAGAGTTGCTAATGGTTACAATTTATAATTCGCCCATATTCTGTATTGTCAGAACCGTTCATATTCATTGGCATTGAAATTATATGCCTTTGTCACTTGTGAAACATAAATATGAGAGAAAATTATATAATTACCACTTCACCATCGCTAATAAGGTAAATAGACACCACAACACGCCGAAGAATTTCAAATGAATAAATATCTAATAAAAGTCGATACATTAGAGGTAATTTTATTAGCCTTACATAGCATGAAATAATTAAAGGATCGTATCAGATTGGAATTAAAAAAATTAAATTGTACTTTTCTTTCTTTTCGTCATTCGTGAAAACGAAGTCAACTAAATGCGCATATATTACTAGCATTACAAATTTAATATTATTCATCAGAAAGAGAAAAAGAAATACAACTCAATAAATCAAAATCGAGAAAACTGCACAATTAAGGCTCAATTATCTTTTCAAATAAATATCGACCGTGAAACGAATGGAGTGAAAAACATTTTAAAGAAAAAAAAAATTGGGTTTGGTGTAGCTATGTAGGCTGAATTTTATTTGCATTTATGTGACTTCAACTATTTGGCTTTCGAACTATGCTTTTTGGTGCTTTTGTAGTTTTCAACTATTTATTTCAAAATATTCACCGATCATGCTGCGATCATAACTTACAAACTATAAACTACAATTTCAGTTTGCATATTAATATTATTTTTATTTCAAATTATCACATTCTAAATAATGTTTGCGAGACATTTCGAAAGCCAAAACAAACTCAACTTGATGGATTACAAGAATAAGAATCGAAAGTAAAGCAATTGAATTTAAATTTGAGATCACATCATGTGAATCAATTTTCTAGCTTTTGTTGAATGATGAAAAGGTGAATGGAAGATTCGTAAATAAAATATGATGTACAAAGAAAGAATGATCGATTACTTGTTGATTGATGTAGCGAGATTAATTGTATATCTAACAGCATAATCCAACAAGAGATTGTGAGAAAACTCGATTCGCAATCAAGTGAAAGTGATCGTTTTGAACTTTTTCTCTTCGGCATCTTTATCGTCATCATCGATCGCGACATTTCAGGCTTGAATAAAGCCAATAGTAGGAAGTAAATCATCGCGAGTTTTTTTTTTCTTTCGACCTAAAGTTCAACCACGGGAATAGCCTGAAATAAATGAGTTATCGCGGACGATACGAGAAAGCAAAATGAATAATTATTTAACTGGTTATGTTGACTACTAAATTTCTGCTTAAATCGAATTTTAGCAAAAAAAAGCCGATTTTGTAAGTTAATCGAATTTTAATCGTGGAGTTTGGCAGGGAAATCATTTGAAAATTATGCTTAACAACACGGAGAATCGCATCTGCAGAAGTCTGAGTCCCAGTTTGTTCATATGTCGTTACATAACGTGAATCAATATTTAAATTTTCTGCTGTTTTAGATAAAAGATGAGAAATATATTTAAAGTTTGGAAAACACGACGAAAAACCAGAAAAAAGTCCAATGATCTCTGTTTGAGATAAAAAAAAACTTTAACGAAGAAGCGATGAAGTTGGATGGTCAGCATCATTTTATGCGATGAAGCGTAATGTGTAAAGCTCAACAGAAATTTTAATATAAATAAATAAATCTTAACGCTGCTTTTACTTTTCTATTAATGCTCACTTTTCATTTTAACTTCAATTTGAAAATGTTGATTGAGAAATAAAACTTAACTCGAAAGTCAATTATTGCATCAGCAGATGGTTGGTCTACAAATTGTTACCTAATATTTATGGTGGTGCATCAAACATACATAACTAAGAAAATCCTATCATCTTTTTTTGTTCAAGCTGTGCTAAGTTAATTACGAGTTCACTGAACTATGATGATTTTTTATTAACTTATTAAATCGGCATTTTACAACGATCTTGTTTTCAGTAATCAACGCTTTAGTGTGTTGTTTTTATTATAAATATTCATGACTCTGTCAATGCCAGTCATTTTTTTTTGTAATTGTGACAAATTGTCATCGACGAGTGTAAAATATTAATTTTTTAAATGGTAAGGCTGGCACAAGTAATTTGCCGATAATTTTAAATAAACACTTTGAAAATAAACAAATCTATGAGACTTTTTTTCTTCTATAGTAAATATTTTTTGCTGAATATCTGAATGAATAGTTGAATTAAAGAAATAATTACTGTCCACTATATCGTCACATGTTAAACTTTTTCAACAGCAAACAACATGACAAGTTTGATCAAAAACTAAATTTTTAAACCAAACTTCGTCAAGCATCAAAGCAGAAGTGGCAAAAGAATAATAAAACACCTTGCACAATTTTATGCTGAGTTCTACTGAATTCAACATATTCGACACATAAATGCAGACAGTTGATTGAAACAATTTCTATGAATTTCTATTTAAAAAATTAGTAAATTTGCTGCATTTGAGTGAATGATTTACAAGACTTTTAAAATATTTTCCATTTAATTATTACTGTGGAATTCTCTTCGTCTAATTGATATTTAGCACTTCATAGTTCATTCGCTGAGATATCGTCGTTAGTTGTATAGAATTGAGAAATTCCTACAAATAACTTTTACGAAATTTACTAGAAAATGACGAAAGATTCATTCGTGAGTTGTGCAGTTCAAAAATAAAATAAAAAAGGCGAAGCCAAATGATATTTGAAAAGCGAAAACTAAAATGAAAAAATAAAAAAATGTTTTCCGATTGTTTCAAAGAAATCGACATTTGATGTTGTATTTTACAGAATGGATTTTTATTTTTCTACCACCTTGAATTGGAAAAGTGATGAAATGTCTTAGTCGATGTGGCAGTAGACTAATAAACATTCTTTTCTACTTTCAAATGCTGTTAGCGTGAACATATTGGCTCAATTTATTCACTTGTCTTACATCGCAGAATTAGTTGACCTCGAGTGCAACAAGTTGTGAAGAGTGAAAATATATTCCGACTTCAATTGTCTCTTATTTCGGTCACTGTTTTCTAATGTAAATCTGTGTGAAGATAATTCAAAGACTATCGCTTTGAAACGTGCTGAAAAACATATCAATTGAAACTGACGACATCAAACTTATTTGAATATTTTTCGATGTTTTCTATGTTGGCGGCAAAGCTGATCGTTTATGTCAAGATTTATAATATAAAGTTATAAATAACAATTTATAACATAAATTTGTCTCGCATAAAAATCTGTCTTCACTGTTTGATTCCATTTATTTATTCATTTAATTCATGAAGTGTGGTTTATGAACCGTGTTCATATTTTTCAAAAAAAATAGGCTAAACAATAAGAGAATGCAATATTTTCATGCTGCTTAATTTACAACATGCAGTAATAATTTTTATGTTCAAATTTTTATTTCGTAGGCATTTATGTATTGAAGTTATAAAGTTAATTTATTTATTTTCATTGTAAGAAGTGAAGATTTATTTTTGTAGATATTTTTCTTATTTTCATTTTTATCAATGGAAAAAGTTTTGAATTGCATGAAAAATTTGTTTTTGAAAGTTTAAGAAACCACAGAATAAAATTATGTTGAAATGTCTAATATTTTAACAGAAATTTGCAGCCATAACCTGTCACAACATTTACATTTTGTGCCAAATAAGTTAAGTTTTTAAAACAAATATTCTCAATATCAAACAGTGTCGAACATAGCACCACACATATCTGGTTGCATGTTTCTTAAGAAGAAATAATATTTATAATCGGAAATACACAAAACTGAAAGGCGAGGAAGTCAACGAACTCATTCGATGAAAATGCAAATAAAAAAACACTAATCAGCTGATATTTTTGTTATTCATTGTAGTCCGTTAATAAACATTTGCGGTTAATCTTACCGCTCTTTATAGCAAATGAGAGAAGCTTAACTCTCAACATTTTTTATAGAAACGTGAAGCGAACTTTTTTTAATTCTTCATACCGTGTTTAGTGTTCATTTTCTTCTGAGCATTCAGAGAAATCGGTCGGATTTCCATTTGAAACACCCGCGAAGCTTTTTCTGATTGTAATTGAAAATTGAAATCGTGGACAAAAATGCAATGATATAAAAAAATGCATTAAGAATTGACGGCATAACAAAATTAAAAAAAAAAATAATTTGTGAATAAGCATTAAGTGCGTGTTGTAATATAAGCATGAAGAGAATTTTAATAATTTATGTAACAGCTTTGGTGTTCAGTGGAATTTTTGGATTACCACACGGTGAGAGTTGTAAGTTTTATTTGACAAATCGAAGAAAAAGCAAGAAGAAGTTGTAAAATTAGGAACTTATTGAAAAGAATCCCACGCGCACTTTCGATGCTTTTAAGAAAATAAAAATGAAAGAGAAAGTGGTCTGAGAGGAAATAAATTAAATAAATAAAACAGGAATGAACAATGGCGAATATTTATATCTCTATGTCGTTTTGTGTCGGAGGAAACTTCGAAGAAGTCCATGAGAAAAATAATTAATTTCATAAAGAACTAAACAAATAGTTGAAAGAAAAAATAAAGCAACAAATTCATGTTTAAACGCCGTACAATAAATATTATCCTTGGACTTGAATTTGTAGCACTTGTGGAGTTACATAGTCAAGTCATGGTATCGTAGCAAAACACCGAAGAAATTACAGAAATAAAAAAAAAAAATTATTTCCTCAACCAGCCTCTTTGAAATAAAAAAAGAAAAAAAAATTATCGTGAAGCGGAGAAAAATGTAATGAACGAGATGTGAGCCGACAAACGTGTTAAAGATGTTACGTCTTGTGGTGATTTTTGACCATCAATGGAAAAGGAAAATAATAATCGTTACATAATAAGCTTCAAAGAGAATACGACCTAATGCGAGAAGAAAGTTGAATGATTTTTTTTATGATGTGTTCAATTATGTGATTTCCACTCGAAGTCTAATGTCTAAATAAACAAGCGCAAGCCCAAAGCACTAAAATAAAAAAATACTTGAATTTGCATAGCAAGTAATATGCGCATGAAAAATAAAATATTCTAAATAATTCACGTTCGTTCTTACATGTCCAATGTCAATGAGAAGAACTATTCAGAAGTGCAGCAGATGTTGAAAAACTAATTATTTATTGAGTTGTTTGAATAATAATGGCAGTAGAAGGATTTATTTTCGCTCCGATTCGTGTGAATTATATGTTGTTTCCTAAGCAAATAAATAAGAATCTTAAATCGTTTGCAAGTGACTTTGAAACGACTTTTGTTATAAACTTGGTTATTAATGAAATTCTTGCGATTCGGAACCCACTCGGAACGGTTTAACTTTAAATGAATGAAGAAAAAAAAATTAAATTACGGATGAACTCGTGATGTAAATCAAAAGTTTTAGTACTCAATGTTACGATTAAGATCTCAAGAATGTTTTGAAACGGATTTTGAAGGCATGAATATCTCTTCTTTCTTTAAATTAAAGGAACGGTTTGCATTCAGTGAATAAATGTGCATTTGAATTACAGTGGAAAATGTTTGTCTTGTCAATTACAACTCGCGTCAGAAGAACCATAAAATGTAATTCATACAATGATTTATTGGAATTAATTTTAAATTAAAATCAATGAATCGAATTAAAAGTTATATTCAATAAATAAATTCAGAAAAGAAGAAGAAAAAAAGACAACAACAATTTTAAAGCTTCACTATTAGTCATGAGACTTCAACTGCTTACCTTCTAACATCGACAGATTCCTTGTTTTAAGAAATATGTGAAGGTCAATGAAAAAAATTAAAGGGAACTCCCAGATTACTCTCATGAATAGAAAATAATAACTGACAGAGTTGATTTCTGATTTCGCCCTGCTCTAAATTTGAAAATAGATCTTGAACACTCCTTGCAATAAAAACATGCTTACTTATGATGATGATGATGTTGATGTTGATGACTCCCTTCACAAAACAAAAAAAAATAGCATGTAACGATTTCGTAACGATATAAACACAATTATCAGCACATCCGACCATTCAGCGTCATTCGTCAAGACTAGATCAATGTCATTTGTGTCGTGCATGATGGAAATTATTTTTTATTTTCAATCCGATGTAGGTGTAAAATAATTGAATACGTTTTTTTTGTGATGATGAAAAATTGATTCTAATGATGAGTTGGAAGTTGAACTCACGATTTTTTTTTCGTCTCGATCATTAGCATTGAAATCTAAGTTTTTGCAATTTTTCATTTATTTTTTTTCTTCAAGTGGATATCTACAACACTTGTGTATGAAGTCTTTACAATAATAATTATGTAAAATTGATAAATTGAAACGAAATATCTTTAAGTTGATGTTAAACTACCTCCAAAAATTTCTCTTAGGCTTGAGAAAAATTTCTTTGTCCTTGTGGACCAAAAATCGCGACTGAAACATGATGTTTTTATTAATACAAAAAGAAACATACATCAAAAATTCCATAAATGAAGCAAAAAAATGAAATAAGAGTCAACTATCATGAAAAACATCTCGCGCTTTCACTTTCATTACTTTCATAAAAGATTTAAACAGACATTGGAAGTAAGTGGTGATCGCTTTGGAATTGTTTATCGATAAGCGACGCTTGCAACACGACGCACGATGTTTGGGTGACTGAATTGTTTTCCTAGGTAGCTCTTAAATTATATTTGCGTTCAACACATTTGGTTCACTTCTATTTAGCAAAGAAAGAAAAAAAATCTGTAAATAGTAAATCTAAGTGCGGATGTAGGAAAAACTTTTAATTTCTGCCGCTTACGTAAATATCGTAAATATCTTTGCCGGTTATTTATTTAGTCAATGAAACTGTCAGCAGCATGAAAAAAAGCAACACGAAAAGAGAATAAATCGAAGCATAAAAGTTTCGTGCTTTTATCGATTTATTTAATATTTATGAGAACACTTGACAAAATACTTGTTGATTCTTTTGATTTAATTTTTTTTATGTTTACAATATTTTCACAGCTTTCAAAGCTTTTTTTACGTTTCACTTTTTTTTTCTTTACTTTAGTAATTTATGTAAATTCGATGTACTGATCAGTTGCGTAAAATTTTTAACGAGCCGAAGAGTTCAAGAAACTTGCATAAAAATTTCAGTAGCTAAGAAAAGTTAAGTAGATATTTACGCAAATCACCGAATTTTATTCAATTCAATTCAAAAGTGTTGGCAAAAAATCTCCTAATTATCTACAATCCTAATTACATGAATTGCAACTCATTAACTTTTACGTTGGTTTTCGGTTGTCTGTTGCAATTTGCAAATCATTTCGTTCGATTTTAAGTTAAGCTTCGATTTCTTAATAAGAAATATGATTCAATATTTGATCACCATAATTTTTCCATTCACATTTATTTTGTTGCCGTTGTTGTGGCTATTTTCTGTTTAATCTGATATTGACATCGTCATTCAATTTATTGCTTAGATTCGGTTTTAAACTGTTTTCGATACATATGCTGATATAATATGTCGGGTTTTTAAAAAGGAAGTAAATTTAAATGAGTTTCATAGTTCAAGTTGCAAATTATTGTCAGTTATTGATCATAAATTGATAATCATTAATTACAATACATTAAACTTTCCAACATCTTTTTCGGTTAAAGTTTTCGACGCTAACTAGTTCAACATTGGAATATAAATTTATCACTTAACATGTTGTTGTAAAACCATTATGCAATATATCATTTTCACGCGCGCAATTATTTTAATTTTACATCCTGAAAGAAGTCGATCATCGTTTAGTTAGCTTGTGAAAGGAAGATAATTAAATGCTTCCATAATTCACTCATTTCTTTCATTTCTCTTGCAAGGATAAAGTTAACATGTTCAATGTTTTTCTTCTTTTCCTCATAAATTATCATGAGATAGCAAAAACGCATTGCATGACATAAAGCATTGCGTAAGATAAGCGGGAAATGTCTTCCTGGTCACAGAAATTATTCTCTCACATATGTGTATGGCTAATCAACTTTATGCGTCGCTTGTGCGCCTTTGATTTGTAATCGTAAGCGCTTATTGCTTATTCTTCAAAGGCATCATTATAAATGATTACAAATATCTCTCTCACTGAAATTATTCAAGCAAATAAAACTTTCCTCATATTCATTGGCGAGACAGTCACGGGTGACATATCTATGTATGTATACTTGGGTCATCATGATTAAAAGGTTTACAATGTGTTTAAGAAACTCTTGATTATTTTTTCTCTTTTTAATTAAGGATTAGACAAGCTTTCATGCTGTGTGTGTGTCATTAGCATAATTCGAATCTCTAGCATTACAATTAATTAAATTACAACAATTCATTGTGTTATTAAATGTCATAAAAATTAATTAACGTTTTAATTTACAGCTACCGATGATCATCCCGACTCTGACATGTGGATGGAGCCTGACGAGCTTCCTAAACCACAGTATAGTGTTGTAAGGTCTGAGTCAAGAGTAGTTCGTCAATATTCATCATCACCACTAATTCGGGAGTCAAACAATGGGTTCAGACAAATTCAGACCCCCAACAGTTATGCTTCAATCGATCGAAGCGATCAAACTCAACATGGCGAAGCTTCTCATTCATCTTTCGATGCACAAAATCCAGCTCCAGCTGAACAAAATTTCTTTCCATTATTTTTCCGTAATTCACCAGCAGGTTCATCACCAGTTCGAAATTATCAAACACAAAACTCAGCAGCTTCAATTGCTGGTCGTTACAGTGCTGGTCGCGCTTCTAATTTTGATCAATCGATTCTCGGTTCAGGAGATTTTTCTGTTGTTCGAGGTGGAACATTCTTCCCGGAAGGTGAAAGATCGTTTAGATTAAAAGGCGATAACGATTTCTATGCAAGCTTCTTAAATGGACATGGAAGACCAAACGCTCAACAACTTACTTCTTCGAAAAAGGAGGCATACTACCCACAAGATCCATTTAAAAACTTTAAAGATTTCGCTGAAATAAATGGGGGAAGTGACCCAGCCTTCTCTCATTTCATCGTTGTTTATGCTAATAAAAATTCCTCCCAATCCCATCCATCACATCCAAGCCCAAAGAATATTTTCGAACAATTGCAATTGCTTGATCTTGAGAAAGAGAAGGAAAAGGAAAACGAAAGCTCCGATTTGACAGATGTTGATCAAGGAGAAAATGAGAAAAAATTGATGAAATTAAGCAAATTTAAATCAAAGCTTTCAAAGACGAAAGTCGTAAAGAAATATAAAAAGAAGCTTGGGCCAAAATACACAACTTCATCAGATTACACAGATCCGCTACTTGCCCTAAGCTAAGCTTAGCGATTACTCAAGTGCTATATGAAGATTTTTTCAAAAGTATCTTCGTATGATTATAAAAGGATACAAATATTAAGATTTTTTTAAGAAATTTGTTACCCATTAAGCGTAATGTGACAGAAAATTTAAATATTGGATACACTACGTTATTTACGTAATTTTTACGTAACGTAAACCGACGTAAGTAAGCTTTCAACTCTGATTCAAAAATTTTTTTCTCTCCTAATCTTTTCTTTAAATAGTGTACAAAAAAAGACATCTTGACAGAGTTTAGAATCGTATTGGAAATCGATCTATCATTCTAAACTCTCGTTCTTGCAACAACAGAAAAATTGAATAATTTGTGAACAAAATAAAAGGAATTGAATTTTACAATAGCAATATTTAATTAAGAAAACTCTACAGATATTGTTTGATTTGATTTTTTTGTATATTTTTCATTTAAAATAAGACCTTAGAATGTAAGCAAGCTCGCCATTCCGACGAGCTTTATGTGTCCGCATTAAACATAAGATTTTTATTAAAAACAAAAAAATAAAGAAGTTAAAAGTTATTGAAGTCATCTCGTAAATTATTCTGAAATAAAAACAATGATTTACAAGCTTTTTTTTCTTAATTTAAAATTTATTCAATGCAGACTTCAAATTCTTTAGAGACTATAATTTAATTTTTTTCTAGAAAAATCTATTTAATTTTATGAATGGCAAAGCTTCTCATGATCTTGAAGCTGCTTCGAACCATTGAAGAACAATTGACATTCGCTACATTTATAACTGGTTGGTTTTTGATGATTCATCATGCACTCAACTGATCGAGCTGTATCGAGGAATGCGGCATTACATACACGACAACGATGAACTTGGACTTGAATTTTAGGAAGAGGTGGATGAGGCGAATTCTTTGGAGTTTCTTCTATTTTATCAGCAGATGACGAAGAATCATCGTCATCACTTGAACTTTCATCTTCATCTAGCGATGTCGTTGCTTGTTGATAATCAACTTGAGCTTCTTCAAGTTCAACTTCATTTAATTCTTGCTCCACATATTCATCAATATCAAGTTCTGTGTCACTTTCTTCAACTTTTTCTTCTTTCTTCACCGTCGTTTGTGTTCCACCACCATTCAGAAAATGTTCAGCGACATGTGAACGAAGCTCTTGTGAATTTTCGAAATTAAAATGACAAAGTTCACAACTGAAAGTTTTTGGTTTACTATTGTCATCGTCTTCTTCTTCATCTTCATCATCGGAATTTTCAGTTTCATCTTCACCTGATGAATCAGCTTCATCTTCTGAATCTCGTACGCCATTCTTTGAAGTCTTCTTTTTTGACTCATCATCTTCTTCTTTTTCTATTCCTTCTTGTTGTTGTAATTGTTGTTTATGAATTGCAAGAACATCAGGATTCATTTCACGATCATTTAAATGACTTAGCATATGTTGCATTAATCGTTCTTTTCTTGTGAAAATTTTTGTACAAATTTCGCAATTCCATTCATAACCACCACCTGATGATCCACCACTTGAAGGTACAAAGGATGATCTTTTATTTTTAGCATCATTAATTTTATGATCAACCCACTCGGCTAATGTTGAGAATGTCACATTACATTTCGTGCATTCACCAACACGATCAACTTTTACATCATCATTCGTTGTTCCATCATGTAAGGTGCTTCCACTTTGACTCTTTTTATGAACTTCAATAATATGACGACGAAGATTATTATGACTGGCAAATTTTGTATTACAATGTTGACAAATTGGAGTTGCGACTGATGGCAGCTGAACTGGTGCAACATTTCGTCGTACTTTACTTGGTGGCGTTTGATTTGGCATCCACATTTGTGATGGGTCTGTAACTTTACGACCATCAGGTGAACGGAAATGCCAGCCACGATGAACTTGGAGGGCATTGGCATTAGAAAATGCTTTCGGGCACATATCACAAGCAAATTCACCATCAGGCGTTTCAGACGGTGCTGGACGGTTACGTTTCTTTGTTCCTGAGTTTGTTGTTATCATATTGATGTCTCTTCCTGGTGGTTTCATTTGTGTTGGTGAATCAGATGTTGATGAATCTAACAACCAATGGCCATCAGTGAGGAATGATTCGCCATCATCCGCTTCTCCTTCCAAATGATTATCGACACTTCCAGGATGAACTTGTTGTTTGTGAAGAACAAATTCAGCTTTATCAAAGAAAGTCTTCTCGCAGGCAATACAATGAGACGGTTCAGGAATTCGCGGATGTTTCTTATGTCGATGAACCCAAAGCGACTTCTTTGACTTATAAACCATGTTGCACTCTTTACACGGATATTCGCCATGTTTGTCAGGTCCATTCGATGCTCCATCTTGATGACTATTCATATGAATTGTAAGCTTCTTACTCGAATTAAAAGATCGTTGACAGAAACGACATTGAAACCAATATTCTTGTGCATCAGCCGCAGCATTCATTTGCGAGTCATCATCCCCCGTCACATGAGCGATCGGCGTTGCTGACGAATTCTCTTGCATTATTGCGTTATATGTATCATCAGTTTCCATCACATCAACATCATCCATTGCATGAATTGTCTTCTGATGTTCAGCTAACTCATCACGTGACGTATAAACAATATGACAAAGTAAACATTCAAAAACTTTTGTACTTCCAATTTGATTTGCAATGAGAATTGATTTTTGTTCTTCTTCTTGTTTAATCTTTCTTTGTTGTTGCATGTAAGGATCGAGAAGATCTGGTGGTAATATTTTCTCATAATCAGCTTCACGTATTTCATGACAACGCCACAAATGAACTTTCAAGCCTTTATCGTTTGCAAAATCAGCCGGACAAAGCGTACATTTAACGAGCTCACCACCGACATTATGAACTTTAATCATGTGCTTTTGTAAGCCTGTTTTTGTTGCGATTCTTTTATTACAATGACGACATTTATAAGATTTTGTTTGTTCAGGATCTGTCTTTGTTGGTGTTGGATTCTCATCGTCGGATTCACCTTGTGTTTGGTTCATATGACTTTCAACATGCTTCTCGAATTCTTCACGACTATCACCGATGTGATCACAAAACATGCAACGCAATTGTTGATCATTATGTTGTGATACTTGATGTTCAAGCCATTCAGGAATTTTACGAAATTCTTTTCCACAATTTGGTATTTTACATACAAATGCTGGCGTTATTTGATGTTGCATAAGTTGTCGTGATGACACGTCAACTTTATTGTGTACTTTTGCCAAATGCTCTCTCAAATATGTTTGCTTACTGAACTTCTCATCAGGACATTCGGGACATTGATAAACTTGAGGTACTTGATCAGGATGTTTCGCTTCCATGTGACGTAAAACATTGTAATAATTATTGTATTGCTTATCACAAACGGGACAACTTTGTGTACTTTTATTCGATATTACAATATCACCACCACTACCACTCAGATCCATTTCAGGTGGCTCTTCAAATAAAATTTCTTCACCACCATCACCGTTCTCTTGCGCTTGTAAATGTGTCTGATAAACATGTTCGAGATAAACAGCTTGCGATGGAAATTGTTCACCACATGTGTTGCAAACAATATAAACGATACAATCGAGATTATTGAAATGTCGTCGTCTTACTGATGAGTCTGTAAATGATTCATTGCAATTTATACAACTGGCATTTGGTGTTTCGCGATTCTTTGTTACTTCCAAATGTGTACGATAAACATGTTCACGAAAATCTGACTTAAGTCTGAATGTATCGTCACAAATCGCACATGCGTAAACGCGATTAGCGAGAACATCTTTTGCTGGTGTTCTTAAATTTGTATCAGTTGGAAGTAAATTTTTAGGAATTTGGTCGTCAGCCATGACGAGCCTATAAAGATTCGGGCATGTTCCACCTGGACGTTTCAAATGACCAATAAATTGTCCTTTGCTGTCAAATTGTTTCAAACATTTAAAGCAAACATTTCGTGGCAATCCATGATACTTCTTTCTCATGTGTCCCATGAAGAATTTATAACTTGGAAATTGTTTATTGCAGCATTTGCATTTCATGTTCTGAGCTTGCTCTAAAAAGTTTAAATTACTGAGAATGAAATGCAACTTTGATGGTGTCAAAAGATGACGATATCTCTCAGGTTTCGTGTAGTCGATATGAATTGGTGTTTGTACTCTTGCTCTCTTTGTCAGAGAAATATTTGATGACAATGGTTGACTCATTGTTGAATGTTGAGCTTCAGCTTTTACTTTTGATTGCTGGTTTGATGATGCTGTTGCTGATGGTCCGATAGGCTTTGGTGAAAGCATGTGAATGTTTTTCTCATGACGTCGAGCATTGGCACGGTTCGAAAATTGTAAATTACAAACACTACAGCTAGCTGGAACTTGTGTCTGTCGACTTCCATTACTGGACACTTCGCTTGCTTTATCCTCACTTGCTGAATCATCGGAGTTCTGCAAAATATTTCAACGATTAAGTTTTGAATTAAAAAACTTTTAAATGATTCACTAACCAAATAAGATGCAAAAGGATTTGATGGAATGCTGTTGACATGTGTAAGTCCAAGCGATGTTAATATTGGTGGTCCATTTCCATTCAATAAACTTCCTGCTCGACTATCTTCATTAACTGATTCTTCTTCTTCATCACTACTACCTTGAGCTAAAAATTGTGATGGATCTAATTCCATGACATTCTCTTCATCCTTAAAATATTAAAAAAGATTAAAGTCAATAATGAGAAGAACAAAGTAAATATTTTTCACTTACGTCATCATCATCAGATGCTGGTTCAGATTTTATAAAACTTGTATCGACTTGATGCTTCTCTTGTTGTTGCTGTACCAATTGTTGTAACTTTTCTCGTTGTAATTCAGCTTGTTTCTCTTGAAATTTCTGTTGTGCATTTTCAAGAGCTGGTTTTAAATGATTACCATGACCATTAAGTTGTGTTTTAAGTAACGACTGCCCACTGGAAGCTTTTCCATCACCCGTTGAAAGCCAAATTTTCTGTTTTCTCTGTGCTGCATCGCATCGATTTTTAAAACTTTGCCATGAATTTAAATAACTTATGCAGGCATGACAAATGTTCAGTGATAAGCGATCTGTTTCAGAAATCTATCGACAAAAAATGGAAAAAAAAGATTTCTTTTAGTGACGTTGATTGAAAAGTACATCAAAGTGAGCTTATGCAATTATGGAGAAAACATAAATCGATTTCAATTAGCAAGTTTCTGTTTTGGTCATTGCATGTGTCAATCACCAATCGTCCGTTCCGATGACGATGATGATGATGATGTTTGTGTAAGCGGATGAACTATTTTCAGCTTCACGTATTTGATTTTGATTTCATTTTTTTTCTTCTCTTCTTTTTGCGAACTCAGCCAAGTCACCAAAGACACGAGAAGCGAGCGATTGAAACACATGCAGAACAACGACGAAGAAAAAAAAGAAAGAAAGAAACGAAGTTTTTTGATGGCCTCGAGTTGCCATCAACATGGTCCTCTCTCGCTCGATTCGAAGTGAGCTTTGCGATAAGATAATATGCGGTTGTAATTTAATTGGAATCGGCTTTTTTGTGTGCGTCACCAGCGGCTTGAAAGTGCTTCACAATCACCATTACAGCACACGCTCGCGCTGATGATTGACTTCAATGTAGACACACAATTCAACTCTCAGCTTGTATACACGAAAAATTGTAGTTGACTGCTGTTGTCATCGTTTCTTCCATTTTGCTTCTTCATCCGTTCTCAATGCGATCACATAAAGAACGAAAAAAGAAGAGAATTTCATACACCATGTGATGTTGTTTCTTTCATAATGAACTCTTAAAGAAGGAACCAACGAAAAGAAGTCGAAAAATGTGAATGTCGATGGAACTTCTACCTAGTAAGCAATGCACAAAAGGAAAGAAGGGAGAGCATTGTCCGTCAATTATTTTCCTGTTTCTTTCGCAAAACGTCGGACGCTTGTTTGACTTCTTCGTTGTATCCTATATTTGATGATCATCCATCCGATCATGAATGGCTTCTTCTCATTTCTCAAGAAACGATGAAAACTAGTCAAACTGATTCATCATCATCACCAATAAATGGAGAAACGGATCCACCAACACATACAGTTGAATGCTTGAAATTGTCGAATGATGGAACGAAACGGAGTTTCATCATCGTCAGCTAAGCACCACACATTTTTTTCCTCTTCTTCTTCTTTTTCTTATATTTTATTTCTGCTGCCTCGTGAGCGACCACACTGACACTTATCGATTTTTCTCGTATACAATAAGCTCGGGTTTTTAAGGTGATTCACTAGATCTACATTGGCGATCCAAAATGATTGAAATGTTCTTTTATTTGCTTACCTGGATCTGTACACATGAATTTATTTTTGACTGGATTGGCTGTTTGTCAGCTGCTTGTGTTTTAAAGATGTTCACACATTCGTGTTCGGGTGCTAAACAGAGTCGACAACATGCCTTCCCTGTATTCAAAGACATTCCTTGTGATTCACAGTGCTTCTTCTTTCTTTTCAACGAATTTAACTACAGGAAAATAAGAGAAAGAAAAAAAACCTGGTTATATCACTTGAACCAAACTACTGCGTTCGAGTTTTTATGAAAATGCTGGTTATTTAGTTGGAGCTGCTGTCTTCTCGATGTATTTTTTTTTCAGAACTGGCAAAGTTTTTGAGAGAGGAATTCAAGAGAATGAGAGAGAAAGACAAACTTCTACACTTCAAAAAGATTCAAGTAAAAACGGAAGTTTCGAAAACGAATTCACCGTGCAAATATTAATGAATTTATTAACTTCAATACACTTGACATTAAATTAAGGATTAAAATTCAATGTTTTCCGTAATTATTTTGTTGATTCTAATTCAAACTGAACGAAATTTTAACGAATTCTTTAAAACGAGTGGAGAATTCGACAGTTGACACAGTGGAGCTTAACTCTCAAAACCCGCAATTTTTTTTTATTTTTCGAAGAAAGAAATTAAATGCTTGCTTTGAGTAATTTAATCCTTAAAAAATTTGAAGTATAATTCAGAATTTCCGGTTTAATCGATTTTTACCGTTTTTTGCACGACAAGAGAGAAGATAAAAACTGAAGAAGTCTTTTATGTTTTATATTTTCTACCTTCAGAGACACTTCCACTGTACTGAAGAGCTAAAACTTGACTGAAGCTCTCTCGTGTGTGCCAGCTCGTTTCAAGTTGGTTCGGATATTTTTGATTATGTGATGATGCATGACGACGATTTTGTGTTTCGAGCTCGATTTTTGTCGTGTTGGGAAGACTTGCCTTGAAACGAAAAGCCTTTCTTGATACCTGAAGTTCCATTGAAGGGACTAATTAATTAATTTCGGTAATTTACTCGAATGGAGGAATATTAAAATTTCCATTTCATCAGAAAATTTAATCTTAATCTTTTTGAAAAAAATATCAGCGCAGAAAAAATCAGGCATTCTAAATAGATTTTAAATTTATAAAAAATATTGATATAAAGAAATTACTCAGGTGGTTTCATTAATTATTGCTATCTGACGTCTTAGTTGACGTGTCTGTAGACAACAACTATAGACGCTACATGCATTTTATTCTCATTTTCACAGGAACCTGATAATTTCTGTTCACCACACTGCCATCGACCACAAAAGTGTTTTATTATTTTCTTTCTTCACATGCCCAACACATTCATTGGAAACACATCCAAGGAAATTCGTTGAAGCTAATAATGACCAACGAAATGTGTCAATCTACTGAAAAAATGTGTAAATTATCAGACCAAAAACTCTTGGCGTTGTGGTGATGGTGAACAACCTTCAAGCATTGTACTTGATACTTCAATAACGGAAACTGGTAACACAAACTTTTCTGTGATCATTCTTGGTGTCTCATGGAATACAAATTTTTATAATTTTAAGAAGCATGCAGTTTTTTTATAATTTATCTTGATATTAAATATTTTATGCTTCTTCTTAATTATTTCAAATAACTGAAAAATCAGAAACATGAGAAAAGTGAAGTGTCTCTATCAGACATCGTCATGAAAGCTTATTTGTTTGTCACCGTAGTGCTTCTATGTGTGGGTTTGAAGATATCTGAAATCATCATCGTATCAGCTTTAACTGCCCAATTTTGGCCAACGAGCTACAATATTCTCGACTTTATTATTGCGGTTCGTTTTTATTCTGTTTTACTGTCTGCTGTGCTGTTCAAACGACAAGAAAAGTATAATATTTTTTTGGTTGCTTCTGCGAAAACGGGATGAGATGGAATAAAGCGACGAGATGTTAAAGCCTAACGCAACACAGAGCATGACTCTTCTCTTTATTTTTATTTGAACAGACTGTACTTTCAGAGTTCACTTCACCATTGCCTTCTTCTTCGCCACTCATCGTCTTCCCATCTGCGCCGCGTTCTGCAGGTCTCGGCCTATGTGTTCGAAATTATTGCTAAAACACTTCCAACACATGCACATCACTCCATCAATCGTCTGCTTGTTTCGTTTGCTTGTCTCATTCCAGACTCGGAGAATAATGTGCAAAAAAGAATTTGAGAAATGCTCTTGTAAGATGCAATGGGAAGACGAATGCTTGATGATGACGATTGAATGGACACCTAAATTTATTTATTTATTTTGTATTGTAAGTATTGTTCTCCAAAAAAGAAATTTCATTTCATTTCAAAATATTTTACAACAAGGCAGCTAAAGAAATAGGAACAGAAGATTTAAATCAGTCGTTTTGGCTTTGGTATTGGCGATCATCGTCAGATTTTCTTCTCAAATATTTTCATTCACTCTAGTCTCGATATAAACGTTCTATTTTTAATCGACATCTTCATAATCATTGAAAGCTATGTAAACGTAATTTCTTTTTCTTTTCTCGCTACGCACCTGAAAAATAAAACCAGAATGTCATATATGCACACATCCTGTCCAGGTGTCTCTTAAAACGTATCAAAAGTTTTCTGTTTTTCCTTTTCATTGAACTTTCAGTACTGAAATTGTTACGTTGCTAACTTCCTATCAATTTTCAAGTAAGAGTGTCTTTATCGTGACTTGAAACTGTGATAGATAAGCGTTGCTTCTAATCTCAGTATTTGCGGCATCAAGTGAGCTTGTGTCCAAAAATCTACACAAAACATATAAAGACTGATTGATATTCTCGAATACGCCAGTTATTTCAAGTCATAAGAGCTGTGAACTTTTACTGAGTAAAAGAAACCATAATTGCAACGAAAGTAAGTTGATTACATAATAGAAAAAATAATCTGTCGAGAGTTTTAACAGTTTTTCGTTGTTCTTTTAAAATCTGAATTAAATTCAGTGAGTGAAAGGCTTTTTTATTTGATATTATCAAGTGAAGTTCCATAAATATGAAATTTTGTATTCTCATTTAGTTATTGCACATTTTCTCTCTCTTTTCTCACGTTTTCGTCTGCACATGTCCGAACAAGGGGTTTTCTTTCATTTCAAACCCTTCGTATTGAGAACCTGTGTTCTAACTTTGATTATGAGAGAGCATAGCATAAGGAAAATCTTCAGTAATAAAACATTTCAAAGTGATTTTGTTTACATTTTCACTTTTTTTTTTGCTACACAAACAATTTTTTTCTTGTTTTTACTCTCTTTCATCTACATGTGATTTTTGTTTTGGTCTCTCTCATGTTTATTTGAAGTTCTAAGAAGAAGTTGATATGCTGCATTCATTCATGCCAATTTTGATTAAATGCTTTTCAAAAAAATAAGAAACAAAAAAAAATAGAAAATCCTTGCAAAAAATCATTTTCATAAAATCGAATTTTCATTCATCTAAATGTTAGAAACTGTCATAAGCACTTATATACATAATCAATCATTAACAAGCGCACCGTTTATCCTATTAACGGCCATCTTCATTTCATAACGAGTGAGATGAGTGCCCATCACCACTAACCTTCCTTCGTTTCTCCCTCGTGAATATCTTCGCTCCCAATCAAAAGTGGAAATGTGAACTTAAGGAAAATCATCATCCAATCTCTCCCCCTCAATCCAATTGCCATCAAAACGACCAAATTTCATCGATTTTCTGCTTCCACTCACACCAGCAAATCTCAAGCGCTTCAAATACATGACTACATAGCTGCTTTCGTAACCCCAGGAAATGTTCATCAGTTTCGCAGGATCTTTTTTTCTTTCTTTCATTCAACTTCTCTTTATTTCGTGACTTTTTGGTCACGCATCATCCGCCGCTAAGAGCAACATTTATTTTGATTATAAACTCGGAAAGAAATCTTATTTGAATAACCAAAATAAACATTTCGGAGATTATTTCCTATTTTTTCTATGTACAGTAAAAACATTACATTACAATCAATTATTACGTTATCTTTTTGTTCTTCGATAAGCACGCTATAAAATCTTTACGTTTTCTTTTCGACTCATAGTTTGCTATCATCGGCTTGTGAACTAAGCGATTCTTCCGATAAAAAGGAAAGCAAAAAAAAGAAAGAATGAAAAGAAAAGGAAAAGTTTCTTCGCCAATTCAACTCGAGTGAGCGCTCTATTTCCTCTTCAATGTTGAATCCAGATTGTCTTCTTGTGTGCTCGTTAGGATTGTATGACAGGCGCAGAAGCATGAACTGCCAGCTTCATTCTGCCACAAACAACAACGCAACCCTCCACCTCATAATCTTCATTCGACTTCGAATTTATTCCCCATTCTAGAAGCATCATCCTTAGCCATAAAATTCCTTTTTACTACCACACAGCTAAGGCAGGCAAGAAAAGAATCATAAACTTTTTCTTATGTGCCTGCTCTGCTACAAAAGAAAATTTTATGATTTCATCCTACCTAGAGGTTGAACTTTCTCTTCTCGTCACTATGTACACGTTTCATCTTCATCTTTCGCTGCTTATGCTTGCTATCCCATCCGCTTCCTTTCTTATCTATCGAATGGCGTCTGACGCATGACGAAGTTTTTGCTGCTTCATCTAATTATTTCTATCTAACCGAAGAGAGAAAGAATGAAAACTCAGCAAAGACCGTTTGTTGATACGTGGTGAATGATGAGTTCAAGTTGTTGCCTAGTATTCTTACTACATATTATTCTTAAGTATTTTCTTGTGAATTTGAGAACCTTTTTTGAAGATTGCTTGAATGCTTATGAAAAATTTAATGTTAAGCTTCTTAATTTTCCTACTTTTATTGTTAACACGTTCATAAAAATTATTAAAGCAACTTGAATGTCGTCAAGTTTCAAATGATTTTTTTATAACGTTCACAATGTGAAACATTTATCAATTATTTTCATTCGCTTTATAGATTCATCAAAGCATTTCTCAAATAATCTCATTCAGAAGAAGAAAAAGAAATCTTTTAAAAGATTTAGAAATGTCCCAAAGTAATAATCATTCGATGATGCTTCGTTAGCTTAAATTGACGTTCGCGTTTTGAAATGATCCAATTTAGGTCGTAGCAAAATGAGGGTGAAAATCAATAACCAGAAAGACCGTCCCTTGTCTTCCTTTGCTTTCACTAGCCTCTTCTTCAGAATATATCCTATGACCGTGTTGATTACGTGAACGATTTGTTATGTGTGTGTTTGTGTAAATGTGTGCTGTTCTTGAACCCTTTGTCCATTTAAGACATCAAGTAATTTTGATATTCCTTTTGAGAGTTTTCTTTCTCTTCGGAAATCGAAACAATCACTGATGACAATAAAGAAACTTTTGATAATCATTTACATCCACAATGTGTAAATAAATTCATAAACCAACGTCTAAAGATTCCATCAAAAGCATGAGAAAATTTAAAAGACTTATTTCGATTTTTAAAATGACCATCATTGGGATTTCTGGTTTGTCAGAGAGTTGTAATGCTGAATAAGGGAATAGGGTTCATCGACGAGCAAGCGTTATGATGAAATCGGATCGAATATATTCCACCAGTAAGTAAACACAGTGAGGTTCGCCTGCGACGCAATTTTCCTCCACTCCTTAGTAAATTGGTTTATCGGTAACAGCTGGAATTGCTACGCTCTACATGTGTTCTCTCAAAATTTGCTGTCGTTGTCATTGGAGAGAATTGAAGCAGGCTGTAACCCGAGCTGTATGGATCATTTGATTGAATTGGTGACACTACCACTATTACCATTGAAAGAAACATCGTTAACGAGGTGATGAATCAAACAAATTTCTGATCTGAAAGGCCCATCATTTGATGAGAAAGGATGCTTTTTACTTACGAGTACGACAAGGCTTACAACTTTGAGTGCAAAAAAGAAAGAAAGAGAGAAAGTGTGGAAAAGGGAAAGAGAGAGAAGGAAATGATAAATTTTGTCAGGCTAATGTTTCGTTTTTATTTATTATCATCACTAGGAGATGATGTTAAATGCTAAATACTGAGCCTTGTTAACAATTATATTATCCGCTTTTTTGTGTTCTTTTTTTATTGTTGAAAGTCAAGCGTTTATCATGAAATTATATTGTAGCATGAGAAGAGTTATCTGATGCTAGATATGTATGAGAATTGGCGAATAAAAATATTATGGAACTAATTTTGATGATGGCGAGGTGATGAGGGTTGAAAAATCAATATTGCAGAATGGTTGTTGATGATGACTGTCCGGGATATTTATTGGACATAAATTATTTGCTTCTTGCGCTTTACAAATATATATCAGTGCATGTGAATGCGAACATGTCATTTCGATTCCATTGAAATTCGTTTGAATTTTTTAGTGAATTAAATATTTAATTGTGTCATAAATTGATTAAATCTGATAAAGCCGTTGCAAGTTGCTGCATAGTGTCATTAACCGTATTGCGAAAATTAATTCAAATTTATCCATAACTGATTTGCATTCATCAATTAACAACACATGCACACACCGTTGGGATCGAACTCAAACCCTTTCACTTCCGACATCGAGGATAACAATTGAAATCAATGCACTCACACTTTATGAAACGCCCACCTGAAAATTGTGTCCCAATTTAATTATCATAATAATGTTCATTGAAAAAACCTCATTACACACAAACACGCACATGAAATTATCCACGTTGACGATTGGAAATATCCAGGCACTTGCTTATTGAGTAACATAGGTTGTCGTGTCAAAAAACACCAAATTCAAATATGTATGTATGTGGGAAGAATGCAATTAAATTATTGTTGTTGCGGCTATGATAAGATTAAGAGGTCAAATTGAGATGCAACTGAATTCAGCATCTTTTAAAAGCATTTTTATTATTTTGTATCGCCCAGAGTTATATGAGGTTCTTGGACAATGAAAAACCGCATTGAGAACGAAGTAGGTAGTTGGCATAGAGAGAGAGAAAAGGAGAATTTAAGTCGAAAAGGAAACTCGCGAAGAAATCCATCACCGTCTACATCAACCCGAAATCCATCTGCCTATCCAGTTGCCTTCTCTTCGTTCATTTCATCTCATTTTCTACCTGACCAGAATGGAATTTTTTTCCCATCTTCTCAGTGTCTGTTAAGAAGTTTTATTCGAGTATGATGGTACTTACCAATACAGGCTTCTTGAAGCTTGTCGATTCCATCGCTCAAATTAATGACCTCAATTTTATATCGATTCGGTTCTGTGTGCAGATTATATTCCAATTGTTTTAATTTTAATTTATATCTTTATTTTTTATTGTTGCAAGATGAACTAACTATCGTTTTATTTATTTAATGAAAACGGTCATTCTCTTTTCTTCACTTAATATTCTTCTTCAAATATTTCACACATAAAACTTTCAATGACACAAAACAATCTGACAATCTGAATTGTCAGACGTTAACACAAAATATTTCCACCTCTGCGAATTGCACAAATTGGACAGTAAACACTTTGTACCATTGCTTTTGTAGTGAGAGAGACAGTTGAAGAAAAAAAAATCGAGAACTGAGAGCAGATGACACAATAAATAAATGAACCCCAATCACCCTGACGCTATTTGTTTGAATGTGAAGATGTTCACCGTTCGACGGATCAACTGGAAATGAATCAGCCAGCAGGCCGATGTTGTGAGAGGGATTTGTGTTCACTTTTCCTTTTTTCGTTTTTTTGGTGAAGGGAAGAAGAGAAAATGAAACTCAACTTTGTTGTGTTCTGTTCTGATGTTGTGTGATGTAGATGGATAACATGCAGAGATTGAAAAACGCAAACAAGAACCAATACTGTGTTTGATGGTACGTACACTTTGTTACATCTTCAACAAGCTGATTGACGGAAAAGGAATTTCTGATTAAATTCTCAACATTCTTTTCTGAAAATTATTACGTTTGATGGGTTAGTTTAATTAAAAGTTCATTGAACTTTATGTAACAATAGAGAGTAAAATGACATTAAAAAGATAATTAAATGAATAAACTTATGTTTAAGCTAAACGACGAATGAAACTTAAGAGAATTGTCATGAAGGTTTTCTTCACTTGAGCAAACAATGAATGGCTTTGCTCTTAGTCTTTACTTTTTCTCTTTTACGCAAACTTGACTTTTAAAGCAAGTCAGCTCAAGAAATCAGTGGAGATTTTCTTGAGAGAACAATATAAAAAGTTTCCATGCGACGATTGTTTCTAGTCGTGAATTTGTTGTTGACGTTGAGGTAATAAAAAGTGTTGCGTAGGTTCATCATGTTGAAGTTGATTCGTTTGTTAGCTTTGGTTCTGTTAAAAATCAGCTTAAGTTTCTCTTTCAACAGTCAAACTGGTGGAATATTTTACGATGGTTTTATGGAGGTAAATTTGACAGTTTCAAAACTCAATTTAAAACTTTTAAATCTAGACAGAAAGTTGAAAATAATTTCAACAGGAGTTCAGCATTTTTCTATTCTCTTCTACTTGTACAAGATTTAACGTAAATTGAAGAAATATTTCTTTTCTTCCTTGTTTCAAGATGTCACAAGCAGATATGAAAATCGAAGAACTCACTAACGAAGCACAACGTGGTGAACTTTTGGAGGGTCCACATTGGGATGTTGAAAGACAAAGTTTATATTATGTTGATATTGTGGCTCCAGCCATCTTTCGTTATGATTACAAGAATGGAGAAATTTATCGAGCGACAATTAAAGATAATAACGCTGCTATTGGATTCTTCATTCCCGTTGAGGGAACAACCGATGAATTCGTCATTGGTGCTAATCGTGAAGTTCTTTTGATCAAATGGGATGGAAAGTCAAGCCAAGCTTCAATTTCGAAAGTTCTTGTTGAAGTTGATAAAGCTTTCAGTGGCAATCGTTGCAATGATGGGAAAGTTGATCCATCAGGAGTTTTGTTCTTTGGCACAATGGGCGATGAATCAAAGTATGATTTGTCAAAAACACGAGTTGGAAGTTTCTATCGTTTTAAAGACTCCACAACTGGAGCTTTTGAACTGAAGAACGAGATTGGAATCAGTAATGGTTTAACTTGGGATGAAACTAATAAAAAGTTCTTCTACATTGATTCAGTCACTCGTGATGTGAAGGTTTATGATTACAATCAAACAACAAGTGAAATATGTAAGAATTTTCAACTGTACAGATGTCAAATTAAATTATTTTAACTTTACAGCAAATGAATCAATTTTAATTGACTTCAGTAAAAGTCATAGTGGAAGTTCCTTTGCACCTGATGGCATGACAATTGATGAAAATGGAATCATTTATGTTGCGACATGGAATGGATCTCGGATTATTGTCATCAACCCAATTACAAAGAAAATTATTCAAGAAATTCCCATGCCAACAGCTCAAGTGACTTCATTGGCATTTGGTGGTCCAAACTTTGACATTTTATTCGTAACAACAGCTGGAAAACCAAAACCAAAACTTCCACCAGCTGGTGGACTTTTCAAAATCACCGGACTTGGTGTCAAAGGATTACCAATGAAAAGTTTTAAACATTATTAATTACATATTTAATTAAATCTTTTTATTTCACGTTTTGAGAGAAAAAGAAAAATGCATTTTAAACGGGAATAAAATGAATGCAAATTTAAACAGTTGAAAAAATATTAATTCAAAAAATATTGTGTGAATTAAAGTTAACAGGATAATTAGGGAAAAATTACTTCAATATGTTGAGCATCGATTTGATTATAATTAATCATGTTTTTGATTAGCTTCTTGAGTTGCAGCAGGAACATTTTCTGGTCTTTCGACTTTAGCAATGTTTGGATCTGGTAATGGAACGATCGTTGCAATCTGAATTGGTTGCGAATTATATCCTTGAAGAGGCCCAGATGGTTGGAAAACTGGTGCTGCTTGAGCAACATGAGGTGTTTGCGGCATTGGAGCTTGAGTGTAATAAACCGGAACTGGTGCAGGATATTGCGGATAATATTGAATCGGATTCATCAAAGCTGAATCCAAAATCCCAGAATCATTACTGCTTAAAATCGATCCAGAACTATCAACTCCAGGTGGTTGTTGATTGAAGTTTTGAATTGGATAGAAAACTGGCGCTTGTTGGTATTGATATGCTAAACAAAGAAAGAAATTTAAAAAGAATTCAAACAATTAATGAAGGGAAATTTACGATAGGGTTGTCCATAAGGAATTGGTTGTTGTACTGGACGCATGGTGTATCCGCCATCATCACTAATTTGATAAATCATTGTCACACCTTGCTGCTGTTGATGTGGTTGTGGAACAAAATTCTGATGTGGTGGATATTGATGGAATGGTTGTGGCGTTATTGGCTGATAAACTTGATTATAATCAGTCAACTGTGTTTGAATCTGTAAATGCGACGGTTCTTGTGTTGACGTCGGGGAGTTTGTTGAAGTGTAAACTGGAATCGAAGGCGTTACTTTCTCTTGATTTGTATTTGTTGCAAAGTTTGCTGTGTTGAGTCTTGAGAATGTTCCTCCATTTCCTGCTTTTGAGCCATAATTTGACGATCCCATGGCTTTTGATTCCTGCTTTTGGACATTTTTAGCATTGGAATTAAATTTGAAATCTTTTCGTGTGTGTGGATTTGGATTTAATGGACGATGAGATCCGTCACGATCAAATGGTCGACGATATCCAGAATTTTGATTGTGATTATTGTAAACACGATTTCCTGGTGGACCATAATTAGAACCAACCGTCTTTGATGATACTGGAGTGTTGGTTGGAACTGGTGGTGGATCCAATTTAAGATTTCCTTTTTCATTTGCTTTGGAATCTGCAGCAGTTGTGCTTTCGGTGTTGATTATGATGTTATTATTGTCATCATTTGCATCGAGTTTCTCAAATTGAGATGCAACAGCTTCTAAACGACTTTGAACACCGCAGGTGAGAACATAACGAACGCCAATGTTATAGAAAAATTGAAGAACTGCAACGTCAGTTGGTAAATCACTTCCATTTGCTTCAACACTTTCCTTCTGCTTCCAATCAATTGTTGAACATTCAAACTCCTGTTCACGAATTAAATGAAGAACATCTTCAGCATTTCCATGAACTCCTTGAACAGATGCTGAAGAAGTAACAGCAGCAGTTGATTGTGGTGGTGGTGGAATAGAGAAATTTCCATAAGGCATGACATTTTGATAGTTCACTGGAGTTGGAAGTGACACTGGTTGCATTTGATATGGTGATGGCGATTGTGCAGCCATTTGATTGTTCCAATTTTGAGGTGGAAGATGATAATACATTTGTTGACTTTGCTGTTCATCATTTGCAAGTGAACCTTCTGGTGTTGTTCCCTCTTTTATATCTTGACTTTGAAAGTTCGAATCACGTTCGATGTCGGCTACAAATGACATTGGTGGATTAGCATCAGAAGAATATCTTTGATCAGAACGATGTTGATTATTCTGATGATTTCCATAACGTGAATTTCCTTTTCTTGATTTATAATTACCACGGAAATTGACATTTGCTGGCATGATCGTTAAATCCAAGGAATCTTTCGCTGGCATGAAATGATCCAAACTATTGAAATGATGATGAAACTTGTATGAATCTGGTAAAGGATCCAAGACAATATACTTCTTCTTAGTTTCATCATCCAAAGCCATGTAGCCGCTTTCATCAAGAACTTCATTTTCGTATTCAATTTTCCCGTAATTAAATTTCTTTGGTCCATTTCGATAACATTTATCGTAATCATAAATGACACAACGATTATCAAAATGATGTTTCATAGGAAAATCAGTCGAATCCAACCATTTCATTCGCTGTTCCTTTCGATTTTCACTCCACAGCTCAAACTCAGTATTACGATAAATGCTTGGATCTAAAGCTTTTGCGACTTTGTAAGAGAACGGCGTTATTCCTTCATCGAGCAGTTGACGAACACAAGATTTATCTTTGTTATATAAAAATCCATCAATTGGCTTGTAAATCTTGAGACGACTGGGATCATTTGTTCTGTTGATAACAGTGATTGCATCTTTGTTTTCATCAACTACTTTATCAAAATCGATTTGATTGTGAAAGTGACAAGTTTTGGGATCCTTCAGAACACAATTTGTTTTTTCAGGTGAGTCAAATGGAACAATTTCACCTGATTGTGTCTTATATTTCGAAGGATCGTCAGATAAAGGAAGAGTAAACTGTTCTTCTTGATCATGTAGCATCCGTTCAACTGCGTAATTGACATCAGGAAGTTGAAAGACATCAGCATATAGAATGTTATAAATTATTGCTGTTATGTGAATAAAAGAAAACCAAATATTATGAAAAGAAACTTTTTTCGCAAATTGAAAAATTTACCTTGGCATTCAGCTAAACGTTCAACGTAATCCAATGTATAGATCACATCGAAATGTTTGTCTTTGTGAGAATAGAAAATTCTCAACGGTTCTTGGTTATCGTAAGCATCGTTTTGAACGTAAATGTTATTTATTGTCTGTAAGTTTGGAGTTGGTTCATACAAAATAACATTGCGTCTGTGAAATATGAAATATTTAACATTTGCAATAAAAATACCAATAAATTTAACTCACTGGTACATACGAGCCATGACGCGAAGCTCTAGAAGACTTCCGAACGTTCGACTTTTACGTAAATTATTAACGTAATTATAATAATTCTTTTCCACCTCGTTTCCGTATTCTTTTGGATTAGATTCCATAAAAGAAGCACAGTCTTGTCGAACTTTTTGATGGAAAATTTGAAGATCAAATATATGTTCTGATATAACACGAAACAACGAAGACGCATCTCGAGCAACATGTTTACGATATAAACCTTGACTTTCCAGAAAATGATCAACAGCATCTGGCCCAGGCTTACTTCCTGTTGCAAAAGGTCGACGTATTTTTGACGATTCGACTGAATTTTCTTTCATGATATCTGAGATACCTAATTAGGATGGCTTTAACTTGATTATTGATACAGTGACCATGTAAAAAAGTAAGGTTATGTGTCAGAAAATAATTTATCTCCGTTTTCTCAAAACTGTTATTGTTGAAATTTAATAGAAGAATTATTATATATATAACGGATAATTTTACAGCGAAATATGCTTAATTTAAAAGTAATGGCTATACTTTTAAATGTTTATGAAAAAGCCTTGCGAAAAACACAAATTTTTATGTAAATAAGCTTGATAATTACCTTATTTATGTGACTACAGTGAACTAAATTGTTGAGAATTATTTTAAAAGCAATAAAATGAAGGAAGGAAGAGAATTTAAATATTTTTTAATTAAGCTTTTTCTGGGAAGAGGAACTCCAGCGACAAATTTCTATCCGAGGGGCTGTTAAAAACGAATTTGGAAAATTAAAAACCCTTAAGAGTTATTTTTAAATTCAAAACTTTCTGGAACCGTTGAGATTAACAGCTGAAATAACATCGTCGGTAATGCAGAACAATTCAAAATAGTTTCTCCAAAAATGCCTTTATTTAGTTTAAAGTAGTCAATTACAATCAAACTCGATTAATTAAGATTTAATCTATTTCTTTTCATTTTTGAAATGTTTTCATTAATAGTTAAGTATGGAACATGAAACAAGAAAAAAATAAAATCCTTGATTGCTCGTCTGGCTTTGGCACATTAGTACGATTTAATTTCGATTAATGATAAAATAATTTAAAACTGTTTAAAACCATTTTTTTCCCACAGCTTATAGATTAACTTCATCAAATTGTTCGATTCTTTCAACCCTTGAAAAATGGATAAGAAAATATAAAATTAATTCATTTAAACTAAACATTTTTTATAATTCACTTATTGCACAACAATATTTTTCAACTGTTAATTGCAAAATAAAACTTGTGATGAAAGCAGCACATTGTTGATGTGTCTGGCAAGCTCATTCATGAGGTTGTGCGTTTTATTACTATTTCAGCATTTAAGTTTTATGAATAATGATGAATTAATGTCATGTTGATAACATAAAAATAAGCATGAAAAACTAACAGAATTCTTTAAAAATATTTTTCTGCTCTTCAGATAATATAAACTTTCAAAGTTCAACAATAAAAGAAAATGTATTCAATACACAAAGGATTAGAATCATTAAAGTACAATGAATGATTAATTCTAAGATTAGAGAATCGGCAAAGAGAGGCACTTGGATTAAATATTAATTAGCTAGCATTCACATTTCACTTTTTAGTCAAACTCCATCTTCTCCACAATAATAAAAATTAAAATATATTTAACATTAAAGTATTTTTTTCTTCTCTTAGTTTAGGATGCTTATACCTTGCTTCTAACTAATAATAATTTGTATCAACAACGTTTTCCATTTTTATTTGTTGATTTGTTTTTCTTAAAAAATACCAAAAAGGTTCGTTTTTGAATTTTTAGACTATGAAAGATTTCATTTAAGCTTTTAGTAGAAAAAGATTTTGGTAATGTTGTAGTTAAGAGAACGTTGTGTGGATTGTTTTTATCTGAATTGTATTCTAAAGCGAGTTTAACTTTTTATCTGTTTTGTTTGGATGTTGTAAAAAATTTGTTAATATTTGTGTTTCAAAACAAGAAAACCAACTCAACTCGATCCCGACACATAAAATACCGGGGGAGAGTACGTCAATTTAAGCATATTGGTACCAGGGTTGTTTGCGAATCCATCTCAAGCGATGATTGGTTTGATCAGAGCGTATCTTAATACTTGCACCCTCAGCAGCACGAACCGTTTCCTTCACCTAATAAATGAAAAGAAATTTTATTAATTTCAAGCGTAAATGTTTGATATGAAAAAATCTTACACTTTGCATGAGATTCTGAGCATTTCCAACAAGCATTTCAGTAGCTTCTCGATCTTCTTCCGAACCTTGAGCTCCCAACATTGTAGCTTTAACAGTTGAAAGAATCTTAAGTTGAGTACCGATTGTCGGAATACGTTCGCAAACTTGCAACAAATTGGTTCTGATTCGTTTGTCTGTGCATTCACGCGCAAGAGCCTTTGCCAAGCGTGTTACATCTTCAGATGCTTCTGCAATCAATTTGGCTGTGGCAATAAGTTCACGTTTGCTTCCTTTCGAGTCTTGATGAACCAATTCAGAAAGACGTGCCATAAGAATTGCCATTCGTTTGGCTGCTGCAATAATTTCATTGTCTTTAGATGACCATTGACGAACTTCTTGATGTAAACCATGAGCTGCCATTAAAATTGGTTGATTCGAAGATGGAAGTGATCTGAAAACACTTTCATCTTCGTCATCAGTTTCTGGTGGTGGTGGACGTACCGGTGGGAGATCTTCACGTGGCAATGGTGGACGTGGTGGTGCACGATCCAAATGAAGATTAAGTGCAGAAAGATCTGGCGGTGCAGGAATATCTGGTTGGCTTCCAGTGATGGCATTACGAACATTTCGAACATTTTGAAGAAGCTGAAATGCAAATTTTAAATTGTTTAAAGTGTCAAAGATATTAAAATGAGAATAAAATTTACATTCTTGTTAGCATCACGCCAATGAGCGCCAGCTGCGGGATTTCCAATATCAGTGGCAACAGATTTAGCATTTTGAACCATCGATGGGACTGAGTTTTGAAGTTTATCTGAAGCTTTCAGCAATTCTGAGATGAATGCAGGATCTTCTGAATTATCTCCTTCTTGTTTCGCAACTAAAAGCACACGATTCGCCAAACGGGCAATGCTGCTTGTATTGTCGACCATTTTCTGAGGAACTTTGTTTCTAATTGCATCTTCACAAAGCAAAGTATGTTTCTGCATTTGTTCTTCGCTTGCTTTAATGAAGTCAGCTGGATCTGTAGCTTGATCGCACAATGTACGCATTCGCAAGATTGTATCAGCATATTGATCGCGTAAATTATTGTAATGTTCTTCGGCTGCTTTTGAGCCAGGATAATTCATGCGAATACGACCAGCGCTAATGAGTTGCGGTGTCAAGCTGTCAATTTGTGCTGCTGAAGCTAACAAAACTTCAGCAAGCTTCTTGTTACCACCAGACCCACCAGCAGCAACCATTCGACTTGTCTTCGAAGCACGATCACTGAAAGCTTGAAGATTTGCAGCTTTTTGATTGAAATTTTGATCGCGTCCAGGAGTTCCTTCTGGCACATTAACAGCTTCAGTGAATTGTTTCAATGGAGTCGTAATATCGATGAAATCTTCAACAACACGACTGACAACAGCCGCTTGAATTTGATTCTTCAATTCATGAAGTTTTGCATTCAATTTGCGAGCAATTTCTTGAGCTTCTGGTGTGTTTGCTAAACCAGCAGCACACAATTTCGCATATTGATTGGCAAGCCCTTCAACCTCATCGCAAAGACGAAGAATGTCAGCTTTTTGATGACCAGGAAGACCATCAGCAACACGTTTACCTTCTTCGACAATGAGAGCGATGGCACGTTGACCCAAACCTTTGTCATTGACACCGGGATTTGTCAACCAACGAATTGCTTGTTCTAAACGTCCTTGAACCTTGAAAAACATTTAAAGAATTTATAAATAATTTTTTTCTTTTTAAAAATTAATTGAAAACTTACAGTGTGGGCCGTTTGTTGTAATCCAGCTTTGTCAACGTTGATGACTGCTTGGAAAATGTTTCCTTCCAATTCTTCAAGCTTATCCATCATTTCTCGAGCAAGTTTCTCTGCTTGTGGCGAAGTTCCTTTACTATTCTGACGAAGCTCACATAAAGTATTTGCCATTGATGTCAAATCATCAGCATTCTTTCGAATACGAAAAGCGTCATTTGGAAGACAACGATCAGCGACTCTGTAAGAATTTTCAATAATTTGACGAAGTGCTTTTTCGCCAATTCCACCTTTCAAGGCGTAAGGATTCTTCAACCAATCTTTAGCTGCTTCCATCTTATTACGAATGGCGTTATTGATCTTTTTCAAGACTGTTAAGTTGTCCAATTCGCTGGTGTCTTCATCATAAGTGGTCAATTGTAAAACTCGAATAATTTCTTGAATCTCGTCGGTCATTCGTGTCGCGAGATAATTTCTATTTTCAGCAGCTTCATCCGATCCTTTACCACCTTGTTCGATGATGTGAATATAAACTTTCATGCTGCATATGAGAATTGGTGCCAATATTTTAACTTGCTCCAAGCAACGAACCAGAGTCTCGCTATGAACTTGATGAGTCAATTCTTTTTCACGATTGCTGACTTCACGTGAAACTTTACTTAGACATGGACTCAAATCTTTAAGGAATTGAACTAAATCTTCCATTGTATCGATGACCTCACTGACGGCAAGATAGTCGAGAACACGTTTGCATTCTCTGACGATTTTTCGAACTTCTGATTCATCGAAACACAACAAAAGTTGTGACGTTCCCTGGAGAATTCCACGAGATCCTTCAATAAGCTTCTTACGTGCCGGTCCCGAATATGGATCAGCTCTGAGAAGTGAAGAAGCTTCTTCCAATAATTGCGAGGCATTTTCAACTCTCATAAGCGACACGGGCATATCTTGTTTGAGAATAGCATCATCGGAACTGTTAATAGTTTCACGTCCGACTTTAACAAGATTCGCTACAGCAATGGAAACGCCTTGAACCGGTCGCGATAAGTCGGGCATTGCATTGCCATCTTCAGCTTCTTCATGCAAGATGACGAGTCGTGACACCTAAACAAATAAGTTCAAATTTAAATAAACGAGTTTGATCGCAACACCAGATAGGGATATGAAGAAAACGAAGTCCGTTTGAACAAGCGAACATATGCATCGATTAAGGTTTGAAAAAGAATGTCCATTTATGGATGATTTGATTTCAGGCGTTTTGAATTGTGTGGGTAGAATCAAAAAAAAATAAACGTCACTGACGAATGGAAGAAGACTTTTCTGTTTGGTTACTTAAGTGGAATTATTTCATCCAGACAACAACTTATAAGTATTGAAGATCGTAATTAAGAACTTCAATTGTCAGTTTAAACGTGACACTGACTCACTGACTATCATTGTTGTTTTTGAACAGGTTGGCACCGAAATTTTTTGAAGAAAACAATATTTGTTGGCAGAAGGCGATAGCTAATGGAAATTCTGTGCGTGGGCAATATTTCGACTGATTTTTTTTTCTTCATCTCTTTCTTTCCTACGATTTGTGTGGATGTTGATCATTTGTGAACGTAATGTGCTTAAATATTTTCTGATCGTTATCGACTTACATAAATTGTTACTATTTGTCTTTCATCATGACCATAATGATTGTCGTAAAAAATATTTTTTTCTTCCTTTCATTTGTACGAATTTATAGATTTCACTTCAAATTGCTACTCATGTCGTTTCGAGAACGACAACAAAAGCTAGGAATAATCTGCCTTATTTGTCAAGGTACTCAAGTCAATGCAAACAAGTGTCTGGTAAATAAGGAACAGCCAAATTGAGTGTTGGAATATATATCGATCGGTCAATTTATGACGCATTATTCAGAGAATTATTGATTTCAATTTTTGTTATTAAATATTCATAATAAATTTTTTTATTTCTCTTTTAAGAGAGCTTTTCAGTACTTGAAGGTAATAAATAGAAACACATGCGAACATCACCTCATCATCTTTCTTTTGTAGAAGCACCTCATAATGCAAGCACAACGAATGAATTATAGCGTAATAAATTTTAAGATTTTCTGACGATTAACCAACAAGGAAGGTGAAACTGTTTAGGATGTTACATGTTTTTTATTTTTAATTTTAAAGTAGCAAATTCAACTCTTGAGTCTCAAGTTTTATAAAATGTTTTTTTTTATTTCAAACGAACGTGAAAAGTTTATATGTAAAGAAAAACTAAGAAAAGAAGAAAGGAAATAAATGTCTATTTTTAAAATCATGTCTTCATCATAACTTGAGAGAGATATTGTAAAGTACACATGGGAAAATTATCGTAGCACTACAACGCCTTCGTAAAACAAAAAATTGCCCTCTTCATAAAGTCAGTAATACTCGTGACGATATGCGATAATTCGGTGGAAAATTTATTCACATTGAGTAGAAGCTGCTTTTTCTCTCATATTGAATAATGATTAGTGTCAATTAAGCGTGAAACTACAACACACATAAGGAGACATTGCATGATATGCCGTTTTCGTTTCATCGTATATAAACAATCGTTTGTGCATCTTACGAAAGCAAATAAACACACAAATATTATTATGAAAATGCTCCCAAGTTTCTCCCGAGTGACTCCCAAATTTTTATGAATGTATTTAAAGTCGAAAACAGAAGTGTTTGAAGCTACTTAGGCGGGTTACAGAAACAAGATGATTTTATTTTTTGTTGAAATAAATGCTTATGTTCAGAAATCTTAAGCTCGCTTTATAAGAATTCATTGCAATTTGAATGAATTGGACTCTTCATCAATGAATTTATTATTCGCATTCTTTATCCATAAATGCACTTAGATGAATGCTTATGGTGTCGATAGTAATTTATCTAATAATAAATCTAATAAAGAAAATATTCAAAACGAAGACGAAGCTAGCTTCGCGAGATTCATAATTAATTGTGCGAAGCAACTTTAGAGTGGAAGCAGACATGCTTCAATTAATTCATTGACAATATCACGAATCATGTTTTACACAATAAAAAGCGAATTGCCATAAAAATACTTATGAATTGTATTGTATGTCATCGGGCTTTTACAATGAATAAAAAATGTATCATTGTTGTTTAATCTTTTAATCAATAAATCAAATAATATTATTTGACTATTCTTATGGTGTTGTAAACTTTTGTTAAAACGTTATTAGAATAATTGTTGTGTAGGGTGACAACACATTTTTAATGAACGCACAATCGTCATTTAAAGATTTTTTTAAAAATGCAGAGTTACGTCATTCTTTTCTGCTACAATTATTTCAAGTTCATCGTTGTCTTTACCTTAAACGAAATTATTATTCACTTGGTTACACACTGACAGCTCAAAAGTTATCGCGCACACACATTCACGGGAAAGAAACTTTTTTTCAATTGTTTACGTTTTGATGATAAACGAATTTTTGTTTTTTTATAATTTGGTAAAACAGACCTCACGAAAGAAATCGGAAAGTAAGAAATTGTGCGTTTAAACTTGAGCAAAAAGCAAATTGAAGAAATTATCTACAATAAGCGTTGGCGACACGTTGCTGGCACATGTACCAATCTCGACTAAAATCTGCCTAGAATTGAACAAACTGCAGAGAGGCAAAAAAATCTTAATCGATATGATGAATCTCTACTGCAATTGTAAAGTGTGACTTGCGCTATGTGCTCATAAATGTTATAAATTTATATTTGTTTGGCGACACATAAATTCATAAAACTTTGATTAATAATAAAATGAGTAATTACGTCATAGAATCAGTCACGTTAGGAAAGGAAAAAAACTTGAAGATAAAAAAGTTTTACTCGTCGTTCGTTATATTAACACATTTCGGATGTGTGGTGCTAGGTAGGTATGAGATATGCTTTACCTGTGACGAAAAATTAACCGAAAAGAAAATAGAAAACTTGTTTTTCACATAGAGCAAAATGTTATGTGACTTTTTTTGAGCGACGTTCATTACTCATCATGTCAGATCAGATCGCATAAGTTTTCTTTTTTATTTTCATCCAAGCACATGGAAGCAAAGTTTGTTGTTGAATGAGAAGTAAGAATTCCAGTAAAGAATTTTTGCAAACTTGTGCACATATACGACGAAACGACATTGACAGAAGCTATGACTTTTAATGGAAATATTTCGAAGAGTTGTTAAGACAACTCAGCTTGCTTTCATTATAAACAGCATTGTTGATTAATAGAACAATCCAAAATGTTTTCTCCATTTTCTTGCTGATTCAAGTTTAAAAAATTTAAGTATGAGATTTTCTTTTAACTACACATTGTGTAGATATTCGCTGTGGAAATTTTAATTTGATTATTTATATCTAATATTCTTTCAAATTCACGTGTGTTTGTTAAGCGATAAATTTGCCTTACTTCAAACTTCACTTTTTTCTCATAAGAAACCAAGTAAGAAACGAAAATAAAAAAAAAGACGGCAAAAAGTTTTATCTTCTCACTAGTAGTAAATACAAAAAAGCCTTCTTCTTCGTAAGATTTTTTTTCACTTTTTTTAAAGTTGTATGAGTCATTTTCTCAAGAAAGTTATTTTTGGAATTGGACATTGCGATGAAACTTCGACGGATATCTTCTTGATTCTTTTTCAAAACTTTCAGCTTAGGAAAACTGTCATAAATACTAGCGATTTGTAATAAAAACATTACCTGATTGGCCACAGGCTCCAAGATAGATTCTATGGTTTTTGTGTGAAAAACGGGCATTTTTCTATATTCAATCAAAGACTTTGTAATATAAAGAATTCACTCCAAAAGTTGTTTGCACCAATTCCTTTTTGGTTTGAGATATCAAATAAGCTTCTTCTTCCTCTGCACCACTTATAACAAAACTTGCAACAATATTAAACTTCTTTTTGTAATTTTGGTCATCAAAATAACTCAAAAATAATTGAAAATTATGAACACATTACGCGACACGAACAATCAGCTACGAGATTAAACCAGCAACTAAAGAGAAATTTTTAGAAAAACTTATTTATTCATGAAGTCAATATCCGTACGTGTAATCCGCGCTCCCATCTTTGATAGTGTGAGTGAGATAGAAAAAATGAGATCGTGGTGAGAAAAAGGATTACGCTGATTCCTCTCCCGGTTTTCGGATTACACTGATAATAACACAACATGCTGTGGTGAATAAAACATTTGTTTGTTCCTCATAAATAAAAAATTACCTAATTTTAATTAAATAAAACATCAATAAAAATAAATAATAAAAATAAAATTTGTGACAAAAATACAACAAATTTCTAAACCAACACTTTCCTAATTTTCGGAAATGGAATACATACCTAAGAAGTTGTACACTTAGATATCAATGAAGGTAAAATAAAAACATTGACTTGACTGAATTTAATTTCTGACACTAAAGCTAAACGATGAAAATGTGGAAAATTCTTCTATAATTACCGTATAATGTGTTGAATAATAATATTAAGTAAAGTGGTTTACAATTTCTTTAATTGTCTAACATATTTTATTCATTTACGTTCTTACCGCTGTATTATAAACTATTTAAAAAAATATGACAAATAAAACTTTACATATCGAGTTTAGCTTAATAATCAATTAAATATTCATAATTACAATTTTTTTGAGCTTTCGTAATAAATTAATAACTAATCATATTTAAAATTATAATAAAAGTTGTTTGGAAGCCTTGATAAAAGCTTTTATTGTGTTGTCTTTTTTTAATAAAAGAATTTTAAATTGAGTGAGAAAACCTTTGTGAAAATTGAAGGAGAATAAAATATGAAAGCATGAAATTAAATGAGCTTTTAAGTGTCCGTGTTGAAAGTGTTTCAAAGTGTCAATAAAAGAAAAGAAAGTTGTTTAAATTGTTTTATGAGTTATAAAGTGACAATAATTGGTCTTGTCTTTCATTTTTTCAAATATATCTTAATAATTGCATAGCTCAAGATTTCATAAAATTATCATCTAATATTAAAATTAATTTGAGAATTGTATAATTAAATAATCTTATGACTAAACAGAACTGGAGAATCCCGAATGTGAGCTTTGATTCTGTTATTCCGAAGATTCCTTCTAGATTTTGAAGTAAGTTGTCTTATCATCATGATTTCAATGTCCTTGTTGTAACGATGTGTTGTTTATTCGTTCATATATGGTGAAACGCGTATATTGAGAAAAATGTCTAGCAAGTGGTCGTATGTGTAAAAGCATATATCATTTGTATTGCTTTTCTTTCCTTATCAAAGCTTTTTGACAATAGCAAAAAGGTTCGTGGAAAATTTTTGGCATCCTCAGAACAACTTTTCATTTCTTGCTGCGTTAATGAAATTGCAACTCAGCTGGATTTGACGAGTAGAAATACTCAATTATCTCAACGACCTTAACCGCTTGGATAATTGAGTTTTTGAACTCAAGTCAATTAATGTTAGCTTTAACTTGAGAGCATTTTTCTTTAACAGGAGATTCTAGCAAATTTGTTCTCGCCAATATTTTCCACTTTACAAATTCATTTCTTAAGCCTCTTTCTTGTTTGTTTTTCTTTCTTACAAATGAGTTTGAACATATTTATGCTTTCAATTAGTGAGGAGATTTAGTGCATGCTTTAATCTTCTTAAAATCTACAGATCATTAATTAAGTTGAAAGAAACATAACAAAACTTTACATCATTCATTTACATAGTTCATTTAACAAAACGAAAAAAACTGAAGGCTTAGAAAAAGTTAAAGAGTTTTTAAAAACATCAACACTAGTTATCTGAAACAACTATTATTCTTCTCTAAAGTATTTATCTATGTAAGTGTAGTAAACATGTAAGTAAGAGTTATAGTAAGTATATATAGAGATTTCTTTTTCTAAATATTCATATAAAGAAAATTTTCTAGATAATTGAAATCTTTCAGAACTTTCACAATAAATTTAAGAGAAAGAAAAAAAGAAATTAATTACAAAAGTTTGATAGAAGATTTTAATTGGAATTCTATCTAAGTATGACTAGGCAAGTGTTAAGTTATTTTCAAATTTTCCTGGGTTTTAGTCATGCGACTTTTAATTATTTCATACATCTTTCCATTATTCATAAAAATCACATTCCACATCACGAAAAAAACTATAAATTCATATTTTATTAACTCTGTTTCGATATGTTGTTAAACAGATGACAATTGCACACCCTAATGAATGCAGAATTAAGTAATGAAATATATTATTGAAATTTCTGTCTTCCGTTCCAGTCTTTGGCTTGTCTTCCATTTTATTTTTCTTACTTTTTCTTTTCTTAATGTTGCGGTAAGTTTCTGTCTTTAAAAATTACGCTATAGAAGAATTTTTCATTGTCACATACATTGAAATCATAAATCTAACAAGAAGAATTATGAAAGCTTTTATCTTTCAATCAAACAGTATTCATGAGTAAACCCACAACAAAGAGACATCGATCATTGTCATTCTCTCTGTCAATTAAAAGACATTGAAAATGTGATATGTCGATGTCAATACACAAATCTATTATTTATCTGTACCACAGAAATGCACAAGGCACAACAAATTATTTATTTAATGTCTTTTCAAAGCTTTCAACTCAAGACATTTATGAATATGAAATTCAATAATCACATACAAGTGCAAACACTGAAAATCTTTATTTAGTTATTTAATTTTCTTACCAAAACTCAAGAACAGAAAACAGAATGATTTCCTCGACGTCGGTTTATGTTTTTTCCATTCATCCACAATAATGTTAAATATTTTATTAGAAAAAGAAGAACTTAAAAAAATCCTTAAATAAAATAAAGATTTTTAAATAAAATTGAACATTGTTCATGCAAGCCGTGCAACATGTGTAGATACATGAATTTTAAGCATGTGAAGAAGCACAATTTACATTAATTGAGATTTTGATCATGTTGATAACAACTTGTCGACAGAGAGATCTTAAAAATCATAATAATTCATTCTCAATAAATGTTGCTGTCAAATTATGTACAATTAAGTTGTAGAGTTAAAAGTTACAACACTCATAATAACTTTTTTTTAATATGAAATGAAAGTCAAAATTTTCATTGCAAGAAAAACTTTATTCTTGTGAAAAATCTAAAAAATCGCCACAAAATAAATTTCTCGAAACATTTTCATTCTTCAATTTTTGTTTTTCAAACATTTGATGGCACCTTTTGAAAATCTATGCCACATTTCCCCATAAAATTTTATATTGATATATTTGCTGGACTGTCCAATACATTCAGTTAACATTATTTAACATCTAATGCTTGATGTATTATTAAAAATTCTTAATATTCCTTTCTGTAAATGTTTTGATTTTATAAAATTTTACTGATATTAGCGAAATTTTCACACAATTCCGAAGTGACGTCATTCTTGGATTAAGAAAATCTTTGATATGAGCAAAGTTCCTTCATCTCAAAATCTTATTTTAAATAAGAATGGATTATAATCAAGCAATATAATCATGTGAAAAATGAAAGCAACTTAACGATTGCTGAGTATCAAATTAAAAGTCATTTGAATGAATTCGAGTCATTCCATAAATATCTAATGGATTCTCAAGATAATTCGTGCAATATAAATAATTAAACTAACTAGAAATGGATGGACTTTATTGACGACAAGTAAATAATGACGACGCGATCAATGAATGAATGAAAGTTTCGTGTGCTTTTTAAGGGTCAAGAGCTTTCAAGTGTCTAAACAACTTTTTTTAACTTTCACCATTTCTTTTCTTTCTTTCTCTCTACCATTCACATGCAAACTTTGCAAAATTAAGAGATTAATTCTGCTGCATTCTGGCTTTGAATCATCTTCAAATTTTCTTAATTAATTCATGCGAATTTATTTTATTGTTTTATTTTAGAAAAAAAGTTTGAGATCAAAATTTTGTTTTAGTAGCCAATTTGTTTGCTTGTTTAGTAAAAATTCTGTAGTTTCAATTAATAATTATTAAATGTATTAATTTAAAGCCTTTTTAACTATTTCTCATTAGAAGTATTTTGAGTATTAATGTCGTTAAGAGACTTAGTATAATAAAATTATCAGAAAATAATAACGTTCTAGTGCCTTTATTGCATAAATCATCCTCACAGAAGCACATATGACCATTTCCAGAACTTTCCTGCATACACACGTGCTGCGGATTTGATGAAAGAAAAGGGAAATAATGCAATCATTATTGAAGCTTTCCAATTGTAAATGGAAACTATGAAATGTCTTACATCAACCATGAACAAATTTATCTGCAATTGTGACGTACACAACCTAGAGATTACACTAAGTGTTACTGAGAATCAAATTTCGGATTAAAAGTGCAAAAGTTTACCTTCGTACGACTTCATATGCTGCAATGAAAGGTAAAATCAATGTAATTGGTTTTTTTTACAATATCGTTCTAAGTAACTTACGACTTTTAGCGTGTCGAACCATTTTTACACAACATCCATTGCATGTCATTAGTGGGGGCTGGTCTCGTGGTAGTGCCGTATAGTTGAATGGATCTTTACATCGTTCATCAGTCCATGAATCGCATTCATAACAGTATATTGAACGTGCTAATTTCAAAAATATATTTCTTATTTACAATTTTTAAGCTTAATGAAATTAAACATCAAAGCATATGAAGCAAAAGCTGACTTTAATTCTTCTTTAATGCTTGTAAAATACATTTCCTTCAGATATATGTCAAGTATAATGAAAAAGCTTTCATTCAATTTCAAGGGGATCTGTTAAAGCTTATTATGAAAGTATGTTAAAATCTTTATTAATCTTTAGCTTAGCACATTTAATGTGTATCATAAAAATTCCTTACTTTGGCACTCCGCTGACACTTGTGGTATCCACACAATTAAAAATCCTCCAATTACTATTAAGTGTTAAAATTGATGATGTTAAAAGGATCAAAAGCAGCATAGTGAAAGAGAACATTTGTTGTTAAAAGTTAGTTGACAACCGCTGAATTTAAAACAAAAAGAAATTGAATTCATGATTCTTGAAACTCGCTATCGAATAGCTTCGTACACGTTCCAACACTTCTCTACAGAACAAATTTCAATGAATTCAAATGAAATTCCGTATAAAATAAAAAATATGGTTCACGTATTGGAAGTCAAACGGCGAAAATAGTAATGAATCAAATGTCATGCTTCGGAATCATCAACAAACTCATTCATTCTTCCCGTATGTAAGCGAAATTATATTCGGTGAAACAAATCTTAAACTGACTTGAATAAAAGTTATTAAGACGATTTTTGAAGTTTTCTCAAACTTCGTGTGTGTATAAGTTATGCGCTACCCACAAAACAAACATTTTAAAATCGAGGAAGAACCAAAATAACTCATTCATTGACCAAATGCAATGAAGATATTATTTATTTGTTTTAAAGAATCCAAAATCATCAAAAAAGTTTTCTTTGCTTATTCTAAATGTAAACCAAATTACTTGAGAAAGATGAAAATCATTTTTTGCTAAAATTACGACAATTTTTCAACCATCAATTATTTTCAAGGGGCAGATCATCGGAAAAAATTGGAGGGCAAAAGCACTATTGCTGCATTGAAGCACTAGACAAATTCCAAGAAAAAGTAAACAAATTCTTGGAAAAAGGCCATTTTTCTTGAAAAGCACTAGTGATTTTCGAAGCATCACTTGGAGGCAGCGGGCAGAAGCACTACCATGATCTGCCCCTTGATTATTTTCAATTATTTTTTTGTCTCTTAGACGAAATTTATGAAACCTTTGAAGTCAAATAGTTGAATAAATAAGATGCGACAAATTGATGGCAAGAAAATTTAAATGAAGCGTACATAATTAAATTTAAGTAATTTGTTTTAAAATAATATGAGATATTTCACTTGTCTATCTAACTTCATAAAAGCGATCAAAGATTATCTAAATCTGAGCAGAAAGAACTCTGTCGCTCGTTTACAAATATTTACAGATTATTTTTAGAACTCGGTGAAATTTCGCATATTCGTTCTTTTATAGGTTAAAATTTGAAGCTCTTCTTGTTTGTCTTGTTTGTGTTTCACTCGCTGATGTATAGCGACACTTGAGAGTGGTCCCAAAAATATCTTATTTATTTATATCCACTGACAAACACTTTATATTAATCGCATGCTAAGGGGTTGAAAGTTTATTAGAAAATTGAAAATACTTGATAATATCATAAAAATGTACTCGTCGTAATGACACAATAACGATGGTTAGTCATGAAATTTTCGTTAGCAATTTACTAGATTTGATTCCTATCATTCCAAGTGACTTACATGGAAAACAATTGTCGGATGATGCTAAATCGACTAGAACAGAAACGACTTTAAAAGAATAAGAAACTTAGAAAATGGCAATAATATTAAAAAAAAGGATATAATTATGGTAGTAATTAAGTTTGCTTTGTAAAATAAAAAATATGTAATTAAAAAATGTATTTTTAATGTCATGGTATAAGTTATACCTGAAACAATTAATAAAATCGATTTATGAAATTGATCTCAATGACTCACCTAAGGAACAAAATATCCAATTTTGTAGTTTGTTTCTACAACGCTCCATGATATTTGACAATCTTTCAAACGTACTTTTTATGTTTCATTAAATCATCATGAAAAGAAGACTTTCAGTCGATTTTACGATCAGTTTCTTATATCATTTTGAATTATGACTGTTTTCTCTTACATTCAGGAATATTTTGATTTTCTTTCTTGTTTTAAATAAATGAATTAAACCACTTGTTTCTCGTTTTAATTAATCACTCTGGATTTGAAGTTTCAAAAATTAATATTCTACAGTAGTGGAGAGACGAAAAATGTAATGTTTTATTTTTGAAGGTTCAAATATAAATAAAGCAAGCATGTGAAAATAAGAAAATCAAATGAAAAACTTTGCTGCACTTTGAAACTCTCTCAAGCTCGCTCAGAGAAATGAGAAAAGTCGGAAAAATCTGAGAGAGAAAATGAGTACAAGAAAATTATTTTAATGCTTGTTAAAAATGACCTAGAAAATTCATGAAAATTTATCAATATTTTAAAAATAATCTGCTCAATTGAAGTATAAAAATCCGATGTCACTTGATAAATCTTCATGCTTATTCACAAATGTTAATAATTTTTAATCCGTATGCATGACGATTGTTTCACTGCAATTATACAAAAAGAAGGAAAAATTTCATCTGCAATGCGACATTGCATTATGTTTTCAGATATTTAAGCACACCGAACAAGTTTTGCAATTTTTCTATCATCTTCATCATCAAAGTCACATCATTCTTTCACTTTACCACTTTTGATTATTTTAATCTGAGCTTAAAAGCTACTTTCTTTTCATGAAAACTTGAAAGTTTCAATTTTCATTTGCAAGTCGATCCTTTGAATCTCTGTGAGACACTGTGAGACGATATTTGATCCAAACAAACGAAAAAAGAGAGTTAACAAACATTAATCCAACAGAGAGCGTGAGAATGACGCAAAATATCACAATTTTTTCGACTGCTTCTCGCGTTTCGCTTATTTCATTTTCGTCTGCTTAGACATTTTTCATTCCATTGCAAGCGCTTTTTATGTACAAGTCAATAGAGCTTCCAAACTCGCTTAAATATTTTGTTTTGGTTCAACTCAATATTTTCTTTGTCAAATTAGTTTTCATCAAAAAAATACTCATAATGAACGATGATATATTAAAACCATTTCCGTGTAAAGAGTCAGATTGTGGAATGAGTTTCTTCACAGAAGATCACCTGTCAGTTCATTGTCAAGCGAAACACAACAAATTAAATTTGGAAATTCCGAAAGGTCCAAATATACAAATTTTTTGTAAGTCTGAAACTTGTTGTCTTAAACATCATTTAATTGCACAACTTTTTTGTAATAAAAAAACTTTAGCTGATCAAACGCCTACACCTACTCGACTTCTTAATAACTGCGAAGAGCTTCGAGTATTTGATGACCTACAAAACATTAATCCATTCGAAGAAGGTTTTCGTAGAGCTGTTGAAGATAACACCAATGGAATTATTCGTGACGTTAATTTTTTAGAAGCCACCTGTAATCAAGATACACTACATACGCCACAAATATTGCCTCAATTTGAAACTTATCCAGTGAAGAATGAACCAAAAACTGACACACATTTCCAAGATGACCTCGAAGCGGATGTTATCCCAACGACGGTAGACGATAAAACAAACATTCCCAAATCATATCACGAGTTGACGACAGCTGAAAATGTAAATGATTTGAAGAAAAATGAGAGAATAATTCAACAACCTGTCACTTTATTACCAAAACCAACAATAATTTATGCCACACCGATTGTGACATCACAAGCAAATTTAAAATTAACCGAAACTTCCTCAAACAACGTTCATCGATGCAGCAAAAGTGTGAAAGATAAACTGAAGAATATTATTTTAAGCAATAGTGGACAATCGGTTGAAAAGAAACAAATTAAAAACGAATCAGTGCCTACAATATTTATTGGAACCGTTCCTTTGATAGCTGCACCCACCAACGTTATCATCAACAACAGCAATAAGCTTAAAAGAACTAACGATGAGATTGGATCTCATTCAAAGGTCGTTGAAAAGACCACAGGAGATGAAAGTGGTACAAAAAAACGTGTGAGAGGTGAAAAGTCAGAAACAGCATCACTTAAAGTCGAAAGAAATCGAGCAGCTGCAAGACGATACCGGTAAGATAATTAAAAGACATTTATTCAGAAATTGATTTCAAGAATTAAATTTCAGCACAAAAATGAAAATTCAAAGTCGAGCACTTCAAGAGAAATATGAAAAATCCCAACGAGAAATTGCTTCGTTAAAGAAAGAATTAACAGACATGAAACAAGAACTTACACAAGTGAAAGCTCTGCTTTTGCTTCATAAAGACTGTCCTGTTACAAAGTGACATCGAATTCACGATTAGAATTGTGATTTTTGTTAACATGACAATTACCTTCGTAGATCTTAAAACTATTTCAAAAGTTTACTTAACTTTACATTTTATGACACATCACTACTTATTTATTTTTAAATAATAAATTAAAGTTAATTATTTATTTATGAATCTTTGATAATATGTTAAATTTGATAATCAAATAGTGTCTTTGATTTAAAATTTAATTTGTTGTACTTATTGACTGCTCGAAGCAATGAAGAAGACAATTTGCCATAAAACTAATTTAAAAACCGGAGTTTTCCTGAATTAGGTATATAAGCACAAACTAGATAAGGATGAACATTTGATGTTACATTTTTAATAAATTTAAATGTTTGATTCTAAGATATTTATTTGAAAATATTTCGATAGTCGTTTAAGTGCTGTTGCTGTTAAAAAAATGTTAGTTATAATTAAGTTTTATTTTTAAAACAGCACATTTTTGAAACTACCTAATTGCTGTGTCATAATTTATTTTTAAATGTTTTAAGTAATGAAAATCACGAAATAAATGTAAGGAGAATGAAAATGATGAGTTTTAGTATTTTCTTAATCATTAATGGTTCAAATATTTTCTCTCTTCTGTTTATCGCTTTTTCATTTGTTTTCGAGTGTACAAAAGTGACGTAAATAATTTGAAAGTCATCATTATCAGTAAGAAGCTAACTTGTGAAATAATATTGATAGTCGCTTTTGATAGTCTAATAAAAGAAACAGACATTTCTTCAATTAGTTTAAATAAATTTTTATTCTCATCTCTTCTCTCGTTCCCTTCTTCTCCTATAATAATCAATTTGGTTCTTCTGTTATCAAGACAAATTTAAGAGAAGTAATTCAAAGATTAAATTATTCACATTCAGAACACTGCACAACAATTTTGTTTTCCAAAACTCTTGAGTGTTTTTTGTTTTTCATTTTATTGTCGTGTTTTTGAAATGTTAAGTTGTGTTGCTAGAGTGACGAGTTTAAAGTTTTGTCATTTCAGAGCCATGTCTTCAAGTCGCTATTTAATCGATAACGAGAATTTCTCTTTTCTCAAGCAACTCGGCTTGGAACGAGTCAATAAAGGAGTTTATAATGGAGAATGGAAAGGAAATGGAGAAATTGTCAAGTCAATTGACCCAGCAACTAATGAAGTCATTGCTGAAGTTCAGACTGGAAATATTCATGATCTGGAAGAATGTTTGAATACCGCTAATGATGCTTTTAAGCAATGGCGAAATATTCCGGCTCCATTTAGAGGCGAAATTTTACGTCAAATCGGTGTCGAACTTAGAAAGTTTCGCGAACCTCTAGGCAAACTCGTTTCTCTCGAAGTGGGAAAAATTCAAGCTGAAGGAATTGGAGAAGTTCAAGAGTTTATTGATGTTTGCGACTATGCGACTGGACTCTCGCGAATATTTGCAGGTCAAATCTTGCCTTCTGAAAGAAATCAACATGTCATCATAGAGAAATGGAATCCTTTGGGTGTCGTGGGAGTTATTTCAGCATTTAATTTTCCAAATGCAGTTTTCGGTTGGAATGCTTCGATTGCTCTTGCTGTTGGAAACACTGTTTTATGGAAGGGAGCACCATCAACTCCTCTCGTCTCTATTGCAACAACGAAAATTGTATCTGAAGTGCTGAAGCGCAATAACTTGCCACCTGCTATTACATTATGTCAAGGAGGAGCTGAAATAGGAAAGAAACTTGCCGCCGATGAACGAGTGAAGCTCATGTCTTTCACAGGCAGCACAAAAGTAGGTCGTGAAGTTGGAGTTGAAGTTCAAAGGAGATTTGGAAAAATATTGTTGGAATTAGGAGGAAACAATGCTCTTATTGTGAATGAAGATGCTCAATTTGAAATGGCTCTTGATGCTGCTTTCTTTGGATGTATTGGTACAGCAGGCCAACGTTGCACTTCTACTCGTCGGTTGATTATTCATGAGAAACTTTATGATGGTTTCTTACAAAAATTGGTGCAACGATATAAAGGTGTAAGTTTTTCTTCTTCAACTTTTAAAATAATATCCAGAATTTCATTTCATAATATCTTAAGCTTTTAAAACGAGTTGGGCATCCTTTGGATTCGTCAACCCTCTATGGACCCCTTCATAATCAATTAGCCGTGGATAACTACAAGAGTACGATTGAAGAAGCAATAAAGCTCGGTGGAAAAGTTGAAGTTGGAGGAAAAGTCATCGATCGACCAGGATTTTTCGTTGAACCGACGATCGTTTCTAATTTACCGCACAATTCTCCAGTAATCATGCGCGAAACTTTCGCACCGATCGTGTACGTGTTGAAAACGAAGAGTCTTGAAAATGCAATTGAATGGAATAATGAGGTGGATCAAGGTTTAAGTTCAGCTCTTTTCACTCAAAACGTTGGAGCAGCCTTTAAATGGATCACAGAAAATGGATCCGATTGTGGTCTTGTGAACATCAATACATCGCCATCTGGTCAGAATTTAAATTTTTGTTAAAGTTTGAATTCTAATTTTTTATGTTTATTAAGGTGGCGAAATCGGTGGAGCATTTGGAGGAGAAAAACATACAGGCGGTGGCAGAGAAAGTGGATCTGATGCTTGGAAGCAGTACTGCAGACGAGCGACAGTTACCCTAAATTACTCTCAAGAACTCCCATTAGCTCAAGGAATTGTCTTTGAATGATTGAATTAATATTTTTGTAAGCTTTCAAAACGTGAAAGAAATGTGAAAATTTAATTTTTATCTATCACATAAAGAGTAAAATTTTTTAAACATAAATTGCGCTTTTTTTATGATAAATTAAATCTAAGGGGAAATGTTGGAGGTTCTTGCATACCCCTTACGTGTACACAGGCGTGAAAACTTATCGACGTAATTCAAACGTTAGTCATTTACACGTAAAATAAATTCGTCTGATCAATTTAAGTGTTTTGAAGTGATTAAGCAGAAATAAAGATGGAAAACGATCCAGCTTCTGATTTTCTAAATCGTGAGCGTGAGCAACTTGCTGATATATTGAATGAAAATGGTGATGAGGACGGTAAGTGATATTTATCAATATTTTTTAAATTTATATTTTGCTTATCAAATTTTCTTTGTAGGCAACCTCTTTAATCAGTTGTCGAATGATGATTTCAGTCTTATTAATACTGAAATACAGCAAGCTGATGCTGATGATGCTTTAATTGATGATCTTGCTGGAATGAGCTTCACATCAACAATTCCAGTTGAAGATGAAAAGAAAGTACCTGAAAAGGTACGCTTGTGGTGCGAAGAAATGGAAAAGAAACTGGAGGAGAAGGACAAACAGGAGCAAGAAGCCAAAGAGGCACTCTTGATTGCTGCTCAGAAAGAAATGTCTGAGTGGGTTTCAAAATATAACGAGACGATGGAGAAAACCAAATCCATGAACCGAAGTAACGAAAAAGCTCTTGAAGTTTCAGAAAAATCTGAACCTGAAGCTAAAAATATGTGGGAATCAATCAGCAACCTTTGCGATTTTAGTAGTAAGGGTCCTAAGCAAGTAAAGGATGCTACAAGAATGAGATCAATTTTCCTACAAATGAAATCTTCACCAAAAGTTAATTGACACCACAAAACCTTAAAGAAAATTCATTGTTGACTTCAAAAAGTTATTAAATATTTCATTTAATTCAACATTTATATTCTTGAATATCCTTTATTATCTTAAACCTTGATAAATCACATAAATTTATATCGGTAATCGAAATATAAGAAAATATAAAGCCTTGCCTTGAAATTTTATAAAGAAATTATATGGCCAAATAAAAAATAAATCTTGATAACAAAGTTTTGTTTTCTTTTTAAAAGAAATTTTTTAAACAGGAAGGAAAAGTACCAAATTTTTCGATGCTTACATATGGCAAGTTACGTTATTCGCACGTTAAACTTACGTAAAACTTTACGTAAACATTGAAGAACTTTTTCAGAAAAACACCGGAAAGTTAACAAATTTACTTTTTTAATAAAATGTCTGTTATCTTTAGAAATCCAAATGACAAAAATATTCCCGATGGAGCTGTTCGAATGACAGAGGAACAAGCAATGAACTACCAAAATAGTCTAATTAGAAATTGGCCAAATTTATCTGAAGTGTAAGGCAACAATATTTTAAAAATAATATTTTCAAACATAACCAAAACTAGATTAAAACATCATTTGCTATTATAGATTAGCATTGCGATGTGGACCTGGAATCCTTGGTGGTATGGCTATAATATCAACATCCTTAATCAACAACCATTTCCGATATAAATTAAAGCTTAGGAATTTTGGTCGGGCGTCTTCGTATTTATCAGTTGTTGGTTTATCAGCAATGCTTACAACTGTTTTTCACACAATGGTAAGTTAGCTTCTTCCTTTTAAAGTGTTACATAAATAAATTTCTTGAATAGTTCGTCCAATCGTATGTTATATTGAGAGCATATGATTGCCCAATGTGTCTACAGACTCGTGCAGGATTGATTCAAGCTACATTTAGTGTTGCATATCCATTCCTCTTGGCACCAGTCAGTGCTTTTATCTTTACAACAAGATATTTCACTTATCGTTTGCCATCTATTACGACACAAACTAAAGAAGTTCTTAAATTATACCTAAAGTTTACAAAATCAGCATCCACTATGGCAGGTGTTTTACTGGCAGCAAACTTATTCGGCGCAATGTACATAACTGCAAGAGAAATGAAAGAACTTGCTTTCATTAATCTTAAAATTGAAGAGTTTGAAGATAAACTTCAAAATGGTTCGTTGTCTGAAAACGATGAGATGATGTATAGAAAATTAGAAACAAAGTAAAAAAGAAATCAGATATGAAATAGCATTTAATAAAAATAGTAAATAAAACTTGTGTTTTTCCATTGAAAGAGAAATTGATTCTCAACGTTGTTTTAACTCACTGGAAGATATTTCACTCTCTTTTAAAGGAAAATCATTAATCGTTGGAAGATTCGGTTGGAAAATCAAATTTTCTTTTGTGAGGAGAAGAAAGTGAATCTCTGAACAGATTGAAAACATAGATTTGATGAATTGGTATGAATTTTAATTTATGATCAAACTTTTAGTTGTCCTCGTTAGAGAAACCATAATTTGATATCTTGATGATATCAGTTTTTATCGATATCTTTCAATACTTCATTGAACTATCAAATGTTTTATTTTCTTTATTCATGCTAAATTTCATCAATGCATCTACACACCCATAAAAAATCATACACACATCTCAAGTCACCTACATTTTTTTCTCTTTCATCTCATGTTATAAAATATCATGTTCTTACTATCAGCTTTTGTTATCGTCTTCCTTTTATTCGCTTTTATTGATTAAGTATAAAATTTTCACATCACAACAAGAGAAAAATCTTAAACCTTATCACATGTATCGACATTTGATTTACAACAAAATATGCTTTTTCTTAGGTGCATAAACACGTATGGTACCTAACGATGAGCAAAATGTTTTTATTTACAGAAATATTTGGAAGATAAATGGAAATGCTGAAACAGGTGTTAAAAATGTTAGAATTGTATCGTGTTTAGGAATAAAATTTCAAATAAATAACTTCGTTCAAGTTTCACATGAAAATTTACATGACTGAATTGGTTGAATTCTCAGTAGAAGGAAAATATACGTGTATGCGTATATGAAAATATTATCCAATTGAGCCTTCAATTTAATAGCATGAAAGTATTCAGAACGAAAAATCCATTTCACAATGGAAGTTAACGCCTCAGGCTTATCTGAAAACATGAAATTTTGCTTTTGAAAAGGTGAGTTGCTTTTGCTAACAAATACGTCTGTTGGAGTATAAAAGAAAAGGCAGTCGTAGAGCTACAGGGGGTCTGAAAAGCTAATATCCATTAAAACTCCATCATAGCAGAAAATTTTAACTTAAAAATTAATTTCAATTTAACCCTCTCAGTGAAGAAAAGATTTTCAATTAAAAAGATTGGAAATTTTCAATCTCACAGATATTTATCTACTTGAACTTTAATTTTTTTGAGAACAAGCAAGTAAATATGAAAACAAAGCTTAAGGTTATCCAATAAATTTCCAATTCATGATATGATTTTTATTCAGTTGAATCGCTAAACACATATGTCATGTCATATAAAATGAATGAATAAAAACGATAACATGAACACATAAATGCTTGCAGAAATTTACAACCTACTAGCATCGCCTTATCTCGCGAATTATTTTTATTAAGCACGGATGGCTGGAGAGCAAAATTTTACTTCCATAGCATCTTGAGAATCCACCTATTTAATCGTAACGAAAGAGACAAAGACAAAGACAATAAATTAAATTATTTTATCAATTGAGACCAAAAGCACGAGCAATCGGTTGGAAAAACAAAAATTCGACATTGCTCCGGGGTAAGGGAACCTGAAATTCTAAGCATTTTTATCTATGGAAATGGTGTAGAAGCATGGAAAACAACATTAAATTATTAACATCATAACATTTACCTTATTCCTTGTTTTCATTTTCATATCTTCTTCATTCGATGCTGTGTTAAAATATCATAAATAAATTGAGCATAATTATCCTTGTTGATGAATTTATTAGTATGAGAAGAAGAGTAAATTAAAGGGTTAAATAATTGCGATAATAGAATATTTTTAAAATTTTCTTTTATTGGATATCTGTTTTTGTTGTTGTCTAGAATGTACATTTTATATCTATTTTAAAGAAACAGAACGAAAAAAAGGAGATTTCTTAAGGCGCTTGCACACAAACATTTGATTCCCTTCATTTTGCTGGCCATTTTACAGCACATTGGGTTATAAATCAAGAATGGTTTTTGTTGTTATGTAGATAGTCGTAGAGAGATAAGAAAAAGTTAGATAAAAGAAAAAGGTTTATTGAGAATGGGATATTGTAAGAATTTTAAATGAAGTGTTCAATTAATTGAATCGTTGAAACTTTCTACATTTTAATAGATACTATAAGTTTTCTTCTAGAATTTACTTTTTTTTTTTGTGAATTGTATTATGTTTTATGTTTCATTTTTCGTTACACAATTGAATTGGAAAACTTTCAAATTGATGTGTAGGTCTTTATAGCCCTTGAAATGAGCTTTTCCTTCCTTCAATTTTTGAATAAAGCATTCAAATTTTTCTTATTTCCATGTGTCTGTCTGGTTCGAGTTAGAAATGATTTCTTTTCCATTTATTATTTATGCTTTATGCATTGTGCGCAATTTGATTTTTTTTTCATCTTTATATAATAACATTGATTTTCGAAATGATGAAGAAATGTCTTAGCCGGTGTGTCGAACCTTAAAAAGAATTCAAATATAGATACATCGCTTCGAACTGTAAAGAGATATATGCGTATGTAAATATATTAATGGAGTTCGATAAAAGAAAAAAATTGAAGTAGAAACTGTTTTGAGATAGAAATCTTCGTATTTCTTTCAAATGAATTTGAACATTGCGCGTTGAGAAAGAATCTCATGACTAGCTAATATTTTTGAGGATTATGATTATTAATGCTTTTGAAGAAACCCCATTCTCGGTTTTCTTTTGCTTACGTGATGATTGAATGCTTTCTCAATAACTCTAATTTATGCCAACCTTGAGTGTAATCATTGTTACTTCTTGTTAAATTTTCGTTGCTTATCAATAGTTGAAAATTACTTGAAATCGTTTTACACTTGTTTTCATTTCAATTTTCACTACACAATTCTTTAATGCTTTTCGCGTTCTATAAATTATCTTATAATCATTTATTTTGATCCGTTATTTCTCAATAGCATATATGCTTATGCTTATGTAGTATGCTTCATTATGCAACCAATTTCACATTAAAATGTTAATGTTAACTTTAAAATATTCATTATTTGTTTCATTCTCGGTAAAGGGAGAAAGAAAGAAAGAGAAAGAGTGAGGGAGAAAGGGAGTCAACTTTCATCTTCTTATGCGCAATCAATTCCTCGTTGTTAGAAGCAACCGAAAGCATTTGGAAAGTTTTCTATGACATCTTTATTTCTGTTTTTCTATCGATTTTGAAAATTCAGAGACATTCTCTAAGATCCTTAAATTCCTTCTGCTTTTTTTTTATTTATTTTTTATGTTATTACAATAAACATAAGTTTCTTTCTCCCAATTTATTATTCATATATTTCACGTGTTTTTGACTTGTTTAAAATATTTACAAATAGCTTAGTTAAATGTTTATTCTAGTTAGTTATACTTACAGGATAATTAACGATGTAGCCCGACATCGTTGCAATGTAAATTTTTAACACTTACATGTTTTTGTTTAATTAATAATAATAAATTTTTTACTTTTTTAAATTTTACACTACATTGAGCCATAATTTAATTGTCCTCGGAAATTTCCCTTGGAAAACATTCTACGACGAGCATTGAAATAAAATATCGAGAAATGCAAGGAAAAAAATACGAAGAATAAAGGGCTACATTGAAATAAATTAAATTTAATTATAAGACGGGTCTCGCGTGTCTCGTAATTTGTGTTGTTGCTGCAATTTCACTCATTTTAACATCAATTGGCATTCGACTGTCGTACAGTGTAGGCGCTTGCAAAATAATTCCAGCAGTACCAACTACAACAGCTATTGTGAAAATCCATAGAAATAAGCGATCTAACACCATCGCTACATATTTCCAATCTTCTTTCACCTATTTCATTAATTAAATATTGAAATAACAAACTTAAGCTCTCAACAAAACGTTTTAAACTGTTTTTAAAACTCACCCTTGTACTTTCTTCTTCTTTCTTTGTGTGATCAGCAATATAAGTTACTCCATCCATTGCCTTGTGTAATTCAGGACATGTGTGCCAACGATTCCTTAAACAATTAGGTTCCGTTTTCTCGGTTTTCTCTGTTTTATTTTCAGCATCAGCTTCTGTTGATGTTTTTGTCGTTTGTGGTTGTATGACACCGCTTTCAAGATTGGTCAAACCGATGGTCATGGTATTTGTTTTAATATTATTTATTATCACATTAGTTGTGGTTGTTGTTGATGTTTTGTTAAAATCGTTAGTTTTTGATAAAATATTATTATTATTTTGATGTGTGACCGATGAAGTCACATCACTGGCTAGTGTTGTATTTGTTTCAATATTTAGAAGTGGTTGGGATAGAAGAGCTTGTCCATTACTCTCAACAACTGATGGCGGTGGATTTGGTGACAACATTGGTGACTCTTGGACTAAAATATTCAAATGATGTTGATCCGTTTGAAATGGCAGTGGAATATCGTCCATTAAATCAAGGCTTTGTACTCTGCTATGAGATCGATGCAAATGCAAATGATGGTGATGATGAAGCCGATGGTGTGGAGAGACGTTCAATGATGGACACATTTTGGGACTGCCATGAAGCCGACATGTACCTATGCTAATCGTCTCTAAGTTTCTGTAAGGTAAACCATTGTAATTTAAATTAATGTAAATCTTCTTGAAAGATCACACAACCTTTATGTAAAGAAAATTAAAATTAATGATGCAATATTTAGTTATGCGAAACTTTAACTATTAATTTGTAATCAGTTTCATTGAAAGAATTTATGAATGAATTACAAAGTTTCATTAATCGTTGGTTCTTTGAAGTGTGAATATGCAACTAATCAAAGGAACTTCGTCGTTCTTCATGATAAAGAAGAAAAAATAATATTTCAGTTGATAAAACTTATAATCATGCAATTTATATTCAGTAATATTAATGTTTTGGTTCTTTGGCTTAATCTAAACTACTCATTATGAAGTTCATGCTTAGAATTTGAAAGTCAGAGATTGAAGAAGTAATGAAAGAATTTTCTTTCATTTTGAACATAACAATTTTATGTTCATAGTTTATGGATACACAGACGAAATATTTTTTTTCTTTCCATATTTGAATGATGTTNTGCAATTTATATTCAGTAATATTAATGTTTTGGTTCTTTGGCTTAATCTAAACTACTCATTATGAAGTTCATGCTTAGAATTTGATACTCTTTTTCTCTTTTTCTTTCATTTTGAACATAACAATTTTATGTTCATAGTTTATGGATACGCAGGCGAAATATTTTTTTTCTTGCTATATTTGAATGATGTTGAATTTTGATATTATTATTTCGATATTTGTATTTATTATAATTATCATCTTCATATTATCTCATTCATAAGCGGTTTAGCGCTATTAAATTTGCTTGTTCTAACAACTGATGATATATGTTGTGGAAGGAAAACGGCTGAGAGTAAGATCAAATCAACTAATGTGTTCCATTGCAGTCATAAAACATTGGATCATTAATAATTCAGCTTCCCATGAAAAAGAAACTTCCTTAACTTTAATGTCATGCCGTAATTCTTGCTGATGTTTCTTCAAGAAAGCAATTACGGATGAAATTGTGCGATTGTCCCTGTTTAAATATGCTGCTGAAAAATGTAAATATTTACTTGAAATGTAGCAACTTGAGGGAATATTTAGAAATGAAAAGAACTCATTGAAGAACTCTCTTAATAAACTAGCTTTAATTGACCAAGCAAATCATGTGATGAGTTGAAAGAAGAAGAAGAGAATAATTGATTACAATTGGAGAAGACTTGCTGTCTTTCTGTTTCTGTATCCCTCCGATAATCTGTCTTCACCAAATCGAAATAGAAGGTGAAGTTGTTAATAATTGATTTCCCAAGTTGTAGTATGTTACTAATAGTTATACCTGATTGATTTTTCGAATTGCAATATCCCGAAGTCAAACGATGATAATATGATTAATTTTTTTCTAGCATTTGATTGCATGTAGTAAAAGTTTAACGCAATTACCTGTCATTTGGATCTAGAATATGATGATCGAGTAAAATGCTGGGATCAAAGCCATGGAACGATACAGGAGGTGGAAGTGGAGGAATATCATGACGTAATTCAAGTCCAGTTCCAGACCTTAGCATAAATCGACGTGATGCAGAGCTGTTTCATTTATTTATTTTTTATTTTATCAAAGGGAGAAATAAAAAGCAATGAAAATATTGTCACAAAACTTAATAGCATTTTTTCTCATCGTCATCGTTTACCTGTATTGATCTAAGCCTCCATACATGGGACGTTTCATAACAAGCAATTTAGGTAAATTGTTTATGAAAATGGTGCGTACCCAAGGAGCCATCGTGTGTGTTTGTGGCGAACGAAAATGGATATTTAAAACAATTACAGTGACACAAATACTGAAATGAAATGAAATCGTGATGAGAATTAACATAAATTATAACGTCGTTAGCATATTGGAATGAATTTGTCACAAAATGTCTTTTTCGTTAAGTTCAATGTTTCCACAAATCTAAACTACGTGACTTGCAACGAAAATTTTCATCGTCATTAAATATCTGTTTAAGAGATTTAATATATGAAGAACTTTTTTAAGTGGCTTGATCAGACTAATAAATGAAAAACAAAGCGATTTTTTGTTTTTCATTTATTAGTCTGATCAAGCCACTTAAAAAAGTTCTTCATATATTATCAACAAAACAGACGTTAAAAATAAAATCATTAAGAGATTTAAATCAAAGGAAATCTTGATTGATTGAAATATTTATAGAGTAATCTTAAATTTCATTGCAAATGAAAGTTTCTCCTTTTTATGTTATTTCAAATAAATAGCTAAAAGTTTCAAATTGAAATTAAGAAAAAAAAAGTCATAAAAGCGAAAAGTAAAAGTTAACGTGTTAGAGAATGTGATGAAAGTTTAAATTTCATTTATGCTCTAACATATATCCAACAACTTGTCACGTTTGAGAACTTATAAAACGTCAATTTAAGTTCGACTCACCTAAATGTATCTAATATCATTGTGAATAGCACAAACTTTCCCAATAATGGAACGACAAGAGAAGTTGGCGGAATAATTTCAGCTAACAGGAGGAAGAAGACAGTCAATGACAAAAGAATGGATATGCTCAACGATACCTGAAATAAAAGCGAAAGAAAAAATCTGATAAATTATCGATTTTCTCATTATTGTCCTCCTCGTTTTTGGCGACACTCTCATGAAGAAAAAAATAACAATTTTTCTTTGGCTTTATCGTAAACATTGTAAATAACTCAAACTTCTTGAAACATCACTTAACTGATGTTGGCAATCTATCTACTGGTGGAATATCATTTAAATACTCTAATCCCTTGACGATTTAAAATTCTTGACATTTATTTGAAAGTGATGTTGTTTATACTTGCTTATTGATGATGTACATAAAATGAAGTTATTCAATGTGATATTGATAATGGAAAAATCGATACAAATTGTACATTATTCTGTTCATCATCAGATTTTAAAAACTTTTAAGTGTTTCGATGATTACCAAGAGTATGAGAAAATATCAAACGCACCATGTTGTCGCTCACTCAAGATATAAAATTAATAATTTTTCTTCTTCGCTTTTAGTGATAAAAAGACATGAAATCGTTTATGGAACTGTCGCTTCGAATTCTGATAGAGACTCTTGTCGAATCTGAATGTTGATGGCAATTTGATGAGAGAAGTTCTCAAGATATCTAAATCTAAAGTCAATGACTTTGAGAGCCATTTCAGCATATTATGAACGACTGAGACACATATATATATTTTAACGTTCTCGAAAGTTAATGAATAGTTTGAGAAGACAAAAGAAAATTTTCTTTTAATAATCACCAAAGTTTCTGTTAAGATATTTGTCAAGAATACTTTCGAGTTCGCAAGAAACACGTTGGAATGATTGAAGTTATGGAGTTTGGTCATTAAAAGAAAGCTTCTTAATTTATATCATGCTTAAGATTTGAAGTAATTTGAGTTGAACTCACTTTTTCTCCGCTATCCGATGGCAGGTAGAACACAAGGATTGTTAAAAAACTAATTCCCATACAAGGAATTATGAGATTGACTCTGAAAATAGAATTTATTTAATAATTTTTTCTCTCTTTAAATCAATTTAAACAATGTCTTTCTGACTCACGTATAAAACAACGTTTTTCGTCGCATTGTAATGTTAAAGGCTTCGAAAGATGAAAGAGATGAAAGAAAGAAACAAAACAATAAATTTGTTGTAAAAGTTTTGGGCTTTGTTAAAATTTTTAAACTTTTTTTTACTTACTTATATCCAAATAAGGTTCATCACAACAAGTGTAAAATTTCTCATTTCTGTAAAAAAGAAGAAAAAAGGGAACAAAAATATTTACTAACTAAAGATAAATAGGTACCTAACTAAATGAGTATCAACGTTTTAATATTTCAAAAAGCTTGTGAAAATGAAAAGCTTTTTAAAGAACAAAGACGAGTTTATAAGGATCGAATATAAAAGTTTGTGGATAATTGCTTTGAATATCTTATTGCTTCAGGTTTAAAAGTTAATCATTTCGTACGAAGTTGTCGCTATAATTTCAATTTAAAACGGGGACGTGATAAACTTTTCTCTTTTCTTTCCCACCAACTTTATTATTTCTCTGGTTATCATTAAAAAAAAATTTTTAACTGAGCGTAACGAAACAAACCTTCAAACTAATTGGAATTTTCTTTCTGCTTCTTGGATCTTTACAACTCTTTACAACATTAAAGGATTTCTTTCTTTCACTACAAAAAAAAATATAAAATGATATGAGAAAAAAAAGATTTTCCTCACTTCGTTTACTTTTATGTTTGGAATAACATTTGACGTGATAATTTTACTTCTTTTACCGAACAACGGAGGACATTACTTGGCGCTGGTAGTAAAATATCGCGTGCGTTAAATTTCAGAAAGATAAATGAACACATATTTTTCAAATAATATAAGCAGCAACCAAGTGGAAGAAGAAGACAGAAAAAAGGCAAAGAAAAATGTGCCGATGATAAGTTGGTGTGAAAGAAAATTTTATGTAAAAAAAAGTTTGAATATTTGATTTTATTGAATATCCCTTGAAGTTGTTGCGGTTTATCTTGGCTTTTTCAGTGATTGATATTATTTTCGACACTTTTAATTGTTCAATGTTCATGTTGAAACAATTGTTCATGGGAACTTAAAGACATCACAAATGGACAATATGATTAATAACGTTTTTAATTCTGGTAAATACCTCACAGCAGGAACTTCAAGAATGTCCCACTCAACTGATGTATAGAACTCTGATAAATCAATTCCAACTTCAACAATGTTTGTACCGTTTAATTCATCGATATGCCTCAAATCAACCTTAATAATGAAAAGAAATAAGAAAGTTTATAATTCTTAATGTAACAAAGAATTTCTCTTTTATATCTTACCTGGAAACCATCATAAGTCCATGATCCAAATTTCATAACACAAGTTTGCTCGTCAAACGGAAAATATTCTGTAAACATCACAAAGCAATCGATTAAAGTGTGAATGGTCTCAAGATGAATGTGAACTTTTCATACCGACATCGATTTCACATGAACTTTTATAGATTGCTGGAGGGTGCCAATCAACTCTCCCTGTATAGTTTAATGTTGCTTTTGTTGCTAATGTCACCTCAAAATTACCATCGGCACTGAACGAGATAAAAGTTTATTTACGTCTTGTAATTTTCAAGAAGTCGTTAAGGTTTGAGAGCCTTTTCAACTTACTTGTTGTATAAAACGATGTCGGGTCTCCAAATATGATCACTTGGCACATGTAACATCTCAACACCTCCATACTCTCTTGGATCCCATTTAAGTTTGTAATCATACCACGATTGTTCAACCCACAAATTTGATGTCATTATTTGATTTTTTAAATTCTGGTAGCGTTCAAATAAAATAGAAGAAACAATGGAGCAATGTTTAATGCTTAAATCTCAATGTACATACATAATGAAAAAAGTTGAAAGAAAACTGCGCTTTTTAATACTTACCACATCTATAAGCTGTGATAATTTAAGCTTAATCCTTACTGTTAATGCATCTGTAACATTAACAACCGGACGAACCAATTTGTTGTAGTTACTAAGTAGATCATCATATAAACGCTTTGCATCAGGATTTCCTGCACATACTGATAGATGATGGAAAACGGAATATCAAGATTAAATTGACATAAAATATTCCATTTAATCGAAGTATATTGATGATTGCACAAGAATCTCATAAGAAACTCTCATAAAAATTGCAAATATTTTCAGGAAGTGAAATTTTAAGTCATCGATTTTTTCTCTGACGCCAAATGGCTTTCATTCTTTCTTTTCAATATTTTCTTGCAAAAAAAGCATTCTGATTTGTGCAGTTCTTTTCCTTTCTTAGTTAAATAATATTTTAATGCCACTGAATGTTTCACTTACCTGAAACTATAACAAATATGATGAACGTTCCACCCTGAAGCAACTTCATTTCATCGCTATTATTGTTGTGTTTTGTGCAGTATTCCGCAAGAATATTCACAAATTTTATGTATGATTGAAACTTATGCCAATACATATATGAATATATTATAAATCTGTTTTCTTGTGATCAACATGAGACACATTTGTATCAATCTCTGTGATTTATTTAAGTAGGTTTGTTCTTTAATAAAACTTTTTCTTCAGTTCAGTTCAGTTTACAGCTTGAGAGAATACAGCTGCATTCCAACTTATAATCCCTGTTTTTATGACACAATTTTTGAGTTTTTATCTTATCCGTTTCAAGACACAAGTAGCCTATTTTAGAAAATAAAAAAAAGGTATGGAAAAAGTTCTTTAATAAGAAGAAATTTTCCCTCATGCATAAAAGAGTGGAAGTCATTGTAGAAGTTCTTATCTTTATCCGCATTAGTTTTTATAGGGTTTTTCGTATAGTTTGCTGAGCTAGATTCATGAATAGGATCTACCAGAATGTTTCTTAAAATAAATAATTCAGTTAAAGTCATTTTAATTCTGATCTTCTTAATTTTTACTCGAGGGAATAATCAGAGTATCGGACTCTAATTAGCATTGAGGGTGTGAGAAAATGTCCGTAAACCTTAAGTGGATGTTTATGACTAAATATGAGACAAGTTCAATGACGTTGAGGACTCCATTTGACTTGTAATTTTCGCATCAACAACTCTTCATTTCATAGAATCATTTCGTCGAGCTTTCTTTTTAGCTTTTGAATGTGTAAACTTACTTCGACATAAATCTTCATTACCTTCTAAACATTTTCCTTCACTATTTCTCGCTTCACCACCAAGTTCTCTACTCGCTTTGAGGATTGATGGAAAAATTTCGGACTAACATGAAACCTTAACTCTGCGCTTCGTGAGAATATTCAATGTGAACTTTTTACCCGTCTTGTATGCTTTCAAAAATTCGAGTTATTCATTCCATTAGTAAAATTAATGTAGCAAAGCTCTTGGCACAGCTGCCTCTTACTAAGTAAGCAGCAAAACGTTTTAAGAAGTAATGAAATATTTGGGAGAGTCATTTTTGGTTAAATAAAAATCATCTCATGATTTATAACAACTTCAAGATAATTTTCTATCCGACACTTTTCAAAGAAGGTAAAGAAAATTAAACCCAACACTCCCCAAAATAAGAAAAATTTAATCTTTTAAATTTATTTCAGAATAATTATGATTCATAATGAACTTTTAAAACATGGTTGTCAGTATTCCAAATGATATCGGATGATTTATAAAATTGTTTAAATAGAAATTTGTAATAATGGCTTTTTTATCACGCAGCATAAATAAAATAAGAAATGGAAAAAGGCCATTTAAGGCAGACATGATTCATCAGCGTCTTGTTGTCATTATTCCCAGTCACAATTCTCTTCGGCTCAACCTTCATTGAGTGAAAAAACACTCGAAATAATTCAATTTGACAAACAAGTTAACGTCTACGTTGTTTACGGGTTTGTTTTCTTTTTCATAAATGTAAGGAAAACTTTCAGAGCACGTGAGATTCAATTTTATAAATCATTCGGCATTTATTTTTTGTTGATTGTCACGAACCGTCCGAATAAATCTTCACCAAATATATGTTGATATTTATGAAACTTATGAATGTATGAAATTCTGAATGATGAGACTGGAATGATTAGATATCTCAAACTTTCTCATTTTTTATATTTCCGTTCCTTTTTTTTCTGCCAGCATTCCCGCTGCTAATTTTTTCATCTCCCAGAAGATTAGGGCCAAATATTGATTTCCCTTAGAAAGCATCGGGTTTTTTGTTTCTTTGCGTCAATAATGTGTAACGTGTGTGTGAGTGGGTGTAATTGACGAAGAAAAGAATAAATATGCCCTTTATTTCCCGACGCGACTATACGAAAGGAATGACAGAGAAGTAGATCGCTAGTCATTTTTAACATAACTGATGACTTTTAAAAGATTCCCATCAGATGTTGAGCACATAAACTAAAAAGTAATCTCAGAGTCACGTTCGAACTGTTCTTATTCTTCTCTTTTCTCAATTCTTTTCTTAAAGCGCCTATCCTATTCGATAAAATCAGCTATCAACGACAAATATTGAAGCAAGAAGTAAGGCAGAGTGTGTTTGAAACAATCACTGAAACAAAGTATTATAAAATGTAACGTAATAAAGTAATCCTTAAAGTTTATCTACGTTATCATCATCAAAAGAAATCTTCCAAGAGAAGCGTTTGGTATTTTTAGTGAAGGTTTTTTGGACACTCCCTAGACTTAAACACTCAGACAGAATAATTGTAAGATCTTTGTCTTCACTTTCTAATGAAAACTTTTGTATTATTTTATGATGACACGAAAAGCTCTTCGTTTTTAAAAACTCTTAATGCATTTGAAAGCTTATTGCTAATGAAGAAATTCAATTAGACAACTAACATTTTGCTTTAATCTCATCCATTTGTATCATTTCGAATCCTTAATGTTGTTAACATTGCCGTCACTTTATTTATTTGTAACTTTAATTTCATTAATGTTAATGATGATGATGTTGATGATGATGATGATGTAACCATTTCAATTTGATTTCATCTTGATAATTTTTTCTATTGCTTTTCATACTTTCTTGAATTTTAAAAGTTTCTTTTTTCCACTTTATGTTAAGGTGTCTGTTTATTCTTACAACTTTATGTACTTAACAATTTAATAAGACTAGAAAAGAATTATATTTTTTATTTATTTAGTCTTTTTATTATTTTTAAGATGCTTTCTGAACAATTTCTTAAAACAAACAATTGAGTCTACTATTATTATCAAAGAAAAAAATTGTGATTTGCTGTTGTTTATCCGACCGAACTAAACAATTTGAAGAATGACAAGCAACTGAGTGGTTAGACTTTATGGATCTGAGTGGAAAAATTACTTTTCCAAAATCTTCCTAATAGGAAAATGGAAAAGAGAGGAAAAGTTTGATGCCAAGTTTTGTTCTCTTCAAAATATTTCAAATTGTTCTTATTCAACAAAAGAACTTTCATTCATTATCTTTTGTGTTGGAATTTAATTCCATCATAAAGCCATGTGTAGTTGAAAGAGAAAAGATTATTTTCTCACAAAATCTTATAAATTTCTTTCATCTTAATTTTCATTTTGGCATTAAGACAGTTTTAAAAAATTACTAACTTTGTTTTCAAGTTCAGCACGTGTTCAGTCCAATTAGATATTAATTCAATCGTGATTTTATTTTTGTTTATAAAGTCTGTGAAATAATTTAAATTTTTAGTAAAAAGTTAATTTAGCAAAATGAATAAGTAAGGACGAAAGGAATAGATTAGTATAAAATGACATACATTATTCATGAAAGCTGAAGTTTGTTAAAAGTTTGAAGTTCTTCCTGTTTCAGAAAGTTCCTTAACTAGATATTTCATTACCAAAAAGTAGTCGTATTTCCCAGTGCTTTGCTATTTAATTTCTTAATTTATTGCATCAATAAAATTAGTTTAATTGTAATCAGTGGCTTTTCAGATATCTCTTTTAGTTTAAAAGCTTCATAGTAGGACGAATGTCTTTTGCCATGATGAGGTTATCGGTTACGATGTTTGTCCATTGAGTTTTGAATGTTCCGGAACAGTTCAATTTTATTTAAACTACCTAGGGAAATAAAGTAATCTAATTTAATCTCGTCATGAACTGAATCGTTGTCGTTAAGATTGAAATAATAATTACTTCATGCTTTAAATAACAATCGCAACATAACAAACATCACATGTCTTTATATTCACACTAACATCTTCGAAATTACGAATAAATTTGAAGTGAACTTAAATAGAAGTAGGATTAAGAGATTTCATCTGTGAGACGTGCTTTCCTTTCTTTTCTTTTTAAATAAATAGATAGCCAAAGATTGACCCTAACTTTAACTTCATTTTTTATATTTATTCTTTCTATGATTCCAATGTCCTAATTGCAGTCATAGGTGTACCACAGCATCTCTCCCCCCTCATATTCCAAGCATTTCCAGACTGGAAAGCTCTTGAGCTTTCAAAGCTTAAAATTCGTTAAGAGTGCAAGTGTAAACATTTTTTTAAGTTTCTTTACATCTATTAAGACTTATTTTAGAATTCTTAGTCTTTTAATTTGGACTTGTTAAGACTTTTAGAATTAAAAAAAATCCTAAAAGAATACCTATTTGTTAAAAATATTTTTTAGATTGTACTAAAGCTTATTTTATTTCAATTCAATTAGATATTATTATTCTTTTTCTTTCTTATTAGAGTTATCACATGTTTATTCAAAAATTCATCTTCTGCAGAATTTTCAAAGTTTTGTAGAATAGTTTTGTTATTCAATTCTTTGGGTCGACCCCTTTAACAGCTGATTTTGATTGAGATGAAGAAAATACTCGATTCATCAAAAAGGGGAGAATTTCTTTTCTTTTAGCATCATCTTTAAGCAAAGCATCCAAAACCTTTTTCATTGCTATATCTTTTTCTTGTTCAGTTGAAAAGTAAGATTGGTCTGATCGATTCCATTCTTCCATTAATCTGTTTGATGTTGAGTTGTTATTTAACGTCTTCTTGCGTTCCCGATATTTTGCTTTTCTTTCCTTTTCGTACTTCTTCATTTCATCATGTTTCTCGGGATCAGCTTTTATGCGCTCTCTATACAGCTTCATTCGCAATCTATTTTTCTCTTTCAAAGCTTCATGGTTTCTTGCACGGTAAGCTTTTTGACATTCAGCTCTTTTTTTCGTGCTGCTTCCATTATTTTGTTGATGTTAGGTATATTTATAACGGTTTAATTTAAATTGTTTTAATGGGGTGTCAGACTACTGCCCACTTTTTTCTTCCTAATTTTTTAGGTCAAATCCACGAAAACCTACTAATGTTAAAACTAAAAAGGCGAAAGATCTTGAATTCGTTCATAAAAAAAATTAAATACTTTCTTGATAACAACAACATTAAAGAACAGAATGCTTTCATCAAAATCTAAATAGAAGTTATCTTGTAATTTGATCTCGGCATTGAATCTTTGATTCGAAATTAAACTAAATTGATAGATATTCAAGAAAGTATTAGTAAACAATGAGTAGTTGTAACATAATTTATGTTTTAAGTTTATTAGCGTTAAATCTAATTGTAAGTGTTGCAAAAATCAATGAGCCAAATTCCATAAAATGGAATCAAAATGTGACGGATGAAATCAAGTTGAATGAAAATATTTTTTCTGAGGGAAATACTGTAACAGTTGCTACAAAAAGCAGAATAATAGGAAGAAAAGGAGCTATACCAGATATGATTCCTGAATTGAGTACTTCAAGTAGAGAAAGTCTTACAAACAATACGACACCTGCATTGGTGAATTTCAATTCGTCAACAACAGTAACTTCTACGGAAAAAAATGTGAAAATATCATCAACAACAACAACTAAAAAAGTTAAAGTTGTGCCTACAAAAACTACATCCAAAACTACCACTACTCAAAAACCAACAAAAGCACCAGCGAAGAAACCCTTAATAACATTTAGTGCGGACGACAATTCCCAAATACTCGAGTCTGAAAAGAATATAAATTACAATTTAACAAGCACCAAACTTGATTATTCAATTCCAAAAGTTTCACAAGACATTGATAGAACAATTATTGATGACGAGAAGAAGACGAGAAAAAGTTATGCAATTTTTTTAGGAATCGCTTTAGCCATTCCATTGTTACTTACTTTAATTCATGTGATGTATAAGAAAATAAAAAATTGGATCGAAAATCGACATTATCAAAGAGTCGTAAGTTGAACTTTTTATTTTATCTATGAAAAGCTTAAATTTTATTGCTTATCTTTGTTTCTTTATTCAGGACTTTTTAGTTGATGGAATGTACATCAGTTAAACATATATGTAAGTCAAGTCACCAACAACCAGCTGAGAAAGTATCTAAACCGTGCCTTAATATTTCAAATTTTTCTTTCCAATTCTTAAAGAATGTAAAATTTGTTTTTGTTTGTCTTCTTAAATCTTAATAAAGTTAAAAATATCTACCCACGAATTATTGAGGCTTTTCTATCAGTTTTGTTTTTTGTTTACGATTTCTTATCTCACACAATTTCAATGTCAAGGATTAAAAAAGCGATTCTATTTATAACTAAAGCTGCTTGATTATTTTTCCGTTTGTTCAACTCTCTTTGTTATAGATAGTTTTAGAGGGAAACTGTTCGTGTGCTGGAGTAAAAGACAACATCATGATATGACGTCGACCTTGTGGAGAGTTTCGGAACAAAACATCAGTTCCATGAATTCTGTCAAGGAAACCAAGCATTCCATAATTAGTGTTGAATCTGTCATAAAAAGAAAATATTTCTATTAGTTCATAATCAATGGAAAAGAATTTCAAATTACTTCAAATGATGAAAATCGTGTGCCTCAGGTGATGGGAAGAATGGAAAATGATAACCAGAATGAGCATTTAGAGTTGACAACAAAGCCATTGAGAACCACAACCATGCTGTTGTGATGTGAGAGCCACAGATAAGCACACCAAGGAAGGGTGGAAGCATATTTGAGAATATGTGTTCTGAAAATAAAATTAATGATGAATAAATAAATTCGTCTGATTAAACAACATTTTTTATAAAAATTACCAATGGGATGTGCATAAATTGCTGTAACCGCTACAGGACTTTGCCATAAATGGTGTTGCTTGTGAATATGTTTATAAATCCTTTTTGAATGCATTAATCGATGTGAATAATAAAATCCAAATTCTTCAACAAAAATACAGACAATAATGTCAAACAATATCCCATGAAATGTTGGCAGTTTTCTCATTTCCGGTATACCGCGCAATTTCATTAAATAAAAGGACAAAATCGCAAATGGAATTCCTATAAATATTTGATTAAACACCACACTCATTATCACTTTGATTAACTGTTTCGAATCAACAGGTTCATTTGTGTTTGGTTGAATTTTGTATTTGCGTAGAAATTTGGGGCGATTTGTCAGATCCATCAAAGTGTAAATTGCACCAAAAGACCAGTATAGTAGAAATGTGTAACCAGTAGTCCACCAAATAAACAAGTTAAATTCGTCATCTCCTGTCAATAGTTTAATTGGAATTTTATAGCAATTTAGATGAATTCACAACGTAAAGGGTGAAAATCTTTTCATTTATTACCCGCAAAATCTAGAAATCCATCCCATGACTTTTGCCAGAAATCACCAGAACTTCTCCAAAAGACTTGACAATCTTTATAAGAAAATGATATTTTATTATCAACAAACGCCATTATTAATATTGCAGATCAACCGACGATCAGCAAATTTCTCTATCGACTGAAAATATGAAAAGCTGAATGTGTAAAGTTACACTCTTCTCTTTGTTGTTCAATTATTTCGCGAATGATGACGAAGTAAACTACTTTGACTGTATACACGTTTGTATGAAAATAAAAATGAAAAGAAAAAACAAGAATGAATGAATACAGATATGGATTGAGAAGCGTGTGGCTGAATCTTTGTTTATGTTTAAGATCGTTACTTATGATTCGCTCTGCCAAAGTTGCGTGAAATATATGAAAGGTCATGACGGTATTTACTGCTTGTAGTCTATCACACTCTCTTCACCTTGTGAAATTAAAATTTAAAAGACACTAAAACAAAATAGAAGAAAAATGAACAGTTTTAAATTTAATTTGCAAATATTTTACGGAATCATTTGGAATTTAAAAGAAGTTAACTGCATTGTCTTTTTAAAGTTGCTGGTTGATTTTACAAATACTTAATTATAGTCTCTATAATTATTTTCAGCTAATATTTCTATTTCATTCATAATTCTGTCAAGTGAATTCATTCTTTTTAAAGCTTACTACAATTTTTATAACCTGCAACATTTTAATTTTTGTTTTTCAATTTTTACGAGTTTAGATCGAAAGGATCAGGATCAGGTTAGTCGTCTTCATCAATTTCAACCTCAGCCGTTTTAATACCGGAATCATTCTCGCAAGTTTTGCGAATTTTGACAAAATCGCCAACATTGATATCATCATCACTCGAAAGATTTTCCAATTTTATTGGCGATGCAAAGGCATAAATAGCGAGTTCCTTTTCTAATGGAACCTTGAATTGTGTTTGGTTGAGAAAAGTTGTTATATGTTTCTTACCACTATCAATATCTTCTAAAATTGTATATTTTTCTTCTTCATAGATGTAGGAAATTGTGCAACGAAGCCAATTTCCATCAATTTTTGCCATTACAAAATATTCCTTGAATTTGTTTAAATCAGCTGGTTCTATATACATCGATGAGCTTGAGTCGTAAGTTTTGTTGAAAGCTTTTCGATTTGTTTCATAAAGATTTTCAATATCTTCAGGAACAACCCAATATATGAAAGATCCATCTATGTTCTTAACTTTTTCTGTTATGAAAATCATGACAAAGCCTTTTTCATCTTTGAATTCTTCACTCCAAGGAAATTTCATGGCAAACTTTCGATCAAGTTGACCAATTCTGTCAATTTGATTATTTATTTTAGGCTTGGTTTCTTTTGTTTCGTCCTTAATTGTATTCAATGAAGTATTTGGTTGTAACTCTCTCTTTTTATTTCTTATATCCATTGGGGTCTTGACAACTGTTTCCTTTTTCCATAGCGAATCTTCGAATTTAACTTTTTCAATTGAATCATTTCGATCTTGAACGCTTTTATTATTAGCACGATCTGATCGTACTTGTGCCTGCGATGAAGTACGTTGATGTTTATGTGTTTCATTATCCTAAATGATAATAAAATTACAAATGAGGTTAAACATTCCTAACTCTGCACGATTTACCTTCATTAAACATGTTAAAGAACAGTAAATGATGTCACATTCAATACATCTTAAGAACGAAGTGTGATGACAAACTTGGCACTTTCGATTTTTTTTGGTTTTTAGATTAGACCCATCAATCTAAAGAAATACAGAATAAAATGAACTTAAGCTTTTTTTCTTAATAAGTTATAACTTACGTATTCTTCACGATCCATTTTAATGATTGATATTTAATGTGTTTGAAAATAAGCAAAGATTGATTTGTTTTTTTAATAATCAACAAAATAGCTTGCTTTTCGACAGCAATTCAATTCAAGAATATGTCCGGCAATAATCACATAAGGTCGAGATCTACTGGAGATCTACTGTTTGTTCATTTCGGTTCTGATTAATCGGGCAAGTCATTAATTTAAATTTTTAAATATCGGTTGGAAATGGACATTTTTTTTATAAGCGGGTGCATGAATAACTTGAATACCATACATTTCATAATGTTTCTATCTTTTGGAAGAACCCTTAACTGATGATCAATCAAATCGAAAACATCTTAAACATTAACTTAATGTCTACCATAATTTTTCACAGCCATTTAATTTTCCTGAAACAAAAATATAGAATCTAGAATATATTTAAGGATATTAAACAATTCAATTCAACATTGACAAATAATAACTTTAAGTTCTTATCAATTTATTTTCTTTACATACTTTTCCTTCACAGAGCTTGGAATTTAAACTTTAATTGTAAACTGTCTGGTTTCTTTCACTTAACAATCTGGGATTTCTCCACTCTTTAACATCAGAACATAATTAATTAAAACATTATTCTAAAGTTATTACATAAATTGGTTCTTTTAAAAAGTTTTGCTTTCTCTTTTGTAAATAATAAAGATTATTCATCATTTATGAAGCACACTTTTGATTATATATTCATTTATTCTAATTAGCTATATTACTCTGTTAAATTGTTATTGAATAAATATATTAATCTTTGATTTGTTTACAAGCTTTTCATTTATTTATTATTTTAATTTCAATTTAATGGTTTTATTTTTACTACAAGATTTAGCGAGGCCTGAGAAGAAAGCTAATCAGTTCTTGTTAAGCTTGAAATTATGAGTCAGTCAATCAGACTCAGTTTATGCCTGAATGATGAGGAAATCATTTGATAGAAAGATTTATTTAGATACCTACATACATTGTGTGATATTTATAAAAAGATTCTCTAAAAAGATTTTGTTAGAATGTAAGTTGCGCTATAGGAATTAGAAAAAATTGCTTATTAAATATTCATCATCATGATTTGTGTTGATAAATCATCAAATAAATTGATAACTCAACATGAGAAGTTCATAATAAACTTTCATAAAAGTTAAAAAAATTATTCAAAAATTAATTAAAATTTACTAAATATTATTAAATAACAATACCGAATGAATGAGAAGTATTTAGAATGTTAAAGTTTTCAAGAGAATCACATAAGCAGGGTTTTTTAAAAAAATTAAATGAAAGGTCGAGATTCATTTTCTTGTCAGCAAAATCTCTAGAGTTGTTACATCTCAAGTAATCTTGTTAAGTTGGAAATTTAAACGTTTTTCAATTGGCAAGTTATAAACAAATATAACAACTCCCTGCTCTAAACATTTCACTTTTAAGCAAGATTTTTACTTTGATTTAATGTGGATGATCTTGAAATGTTTCAAGCGTATCTTCTTTCTTACATTTTAGCAAACTAACGTCCATCATGTCTTTTCCTTTCACATAAACTTTCCCTCGACTTTCAAACTCATAAAGTTCTTCGAAGATTGGGACGCATTCTTTACGTAGTTGAATGCGACCTGGAATCCCAGTCGAGTCCATCCGAGATGCAACATTCACAGCATCACCTAATGATATGGGAGTAAAATTGAATGGGTTAAATAAACATTTCTAATCTTTTTACTCACCCCAAATATCATAATGAAGCTTAGTCGTGCCAATAACACCAGCGGTAACTTCACCATAGTTAAAACCAATTCTCAAGACAAGATTAAATTCCAATAAATCACGATTAAAATTATCAAGTGCATTCTGCATTGCAACAGCAAAATCAAGAAGCGCATAAAGATGCTCATATGAGTCACTACGATATGTCGAGTCCAGTCCACTTGCGCACATATAAGTCGATCCAATTGTCTTTATCTTTTCAATGCATTTAAATTCTTGACGTAGTAAAAGTTCATCAAAGTCTGGAAGATTTCAGGAAACAGAAAATTATTCTCAATCAACTCTTTATGATGATTGTGATGAATTTGTTCTTGATTTTCTTTGTTCTGATATACATTTTGATAACTTATCTTTGCATACACAACAAAGAAATTGTTATTTTGAAAAGATTTCAAGAAACTCACCTCCAATAAGTTCATTAAGAACTCGTAAATATTCCTTTCCGCCAAGATATGATTCGTCATACATCTCGTTAAAGTTTACAATACTCGCAAAAATAATCCCAACATCTTGATGATTCTTTGAATATTTCGCGGTGTTTTTTAACTCTTCAGCGACATGTTTTGGGATGATGTTGTGGAGTAACAAGTCAGCTTGGTTCTTCATGTTTTGAACCTTGATTTTATCCTGATTCGCAACTTCATTCCCATAGAAACTCAAACGATATCCAATTTCGAATTCACGATTAAGAAGAAAGACAAGAATCAAGACGAGGAAAATGTCCAAGAAGAGTTCAAACTCAAAATGCTTGTACCAAAATTTGTCTTCACTTATAGTAAAGCTTTCATCGTTTATCGAAGAATTTATTTGCTGTGATAAATTATTCGCCGACATTCGACTACCGTGATGATCATAAGCAATAATAATGAAAATAATCGCTGAAAGCATCGCAAGAATTGTTTTCGTCCAACAATTGAGTTGAATAAAATTACAGAAATGAATAAGACATACGAACAATAATAATCCATAATAAAATTGAATTGATGGAAATTTTTCAATGTCTGTGAGTGTAAAATTGACAAGAATCGATGCAACCGGCAAGGAGATGAGCAAACAGCCAAATAAATTCCATGGATAGAATTTTGATGTCCAACCAAAAATTGAATTAAAGTTTGAAGAAGTGTTCGTATGATGTCGATTTCTTATTCGTCGACAAATTTGTTTTGTACACAAAAATAAAACACTAAAAATCACTGAACTTGACAACACAAAGCAGCATACCCACACTTTATATTTTCTTGAATAAATCGATGGCGAAAGGAGAAACAACGAGAAGGCAACCATTCCGAAAATGACAGTAAGAACGAGAATGTCAATGAAGGTATTGAACTTTGGTGTTGTCAGAGTATAAGTTGGTGTCGTTGTCTCCTCATCGCTCTCATATCGATGGGCTTTATTTCTGAATGTCTTCTCCATCATTGATGATTCAAATAAAAGAGAAAACTTTCTTATCGGTGGCTTCACCAAATAACTTCTTTGTGATCTTGCATTGTCACGAACACATTTGATCAATTGAAGATCAGATTGCTTTCTTAAATGTTGTACACATGCTTTGAGAGTTTCTTCACCGTTCAAATGTTGTTTATGATGATTACCAGTCCCACCTACTACTCCTCCCTCTACTCCTCCTACTGCTGTTGATGCTGATGATGGTGGCAAATATTTCATGAGAATATCTTCAGTCTGATACTCAGTTGTTGGGCATAAACTTGATTGTGAACTTGTGTAGTATCCTGAAACACGATTTTGAGTGGTCAGCGAATTTTTATAATAATGCTGATGTTGTATACTTGATCTTCGACTATTCGTCTTAATACCGGAATCTTTTCGACTTGGAGAAACATATGAAAAATCATTTGGTTGCATCTGATACCATGGTGAGAGTGAACTGTGTTGACTATGCGAACGATGGTGAGTAAGATTTTGTGGACGATCAGAACTTCGATTACTTCCACTTCGACTGAATGGTGAAACATCACAACGCGATTGTGAAATATACGATCGCAAATCTGTTATATTAACACTTGAAGAATCATCACCTTCACATTCATCTTCTTTTTTATTCTCATTCAAATGTTGCTGATTTGCATTATTATCCACTACAAAAGGCGGTGATGATGATGATGACACAGAAATTGATGGTAATTGCTGATATCCGCGGCGATTTCCATCATATGGCACAAGTTTTTCATTTATTTTATCACAGTCATTATTTCTATTAGCATTTCTAAAACTTAAATTGTTCGTCGTCGTCGTCATAGTTGTTGATGTTTCATCTTTAAGAGATTCGTCCTTAATGGTCCCATTATTACTCTGTTCATGATTCATGAGTTCATTACTTATAGACACTTCAGATATTCCAATAATTATCGTAGGATTTAACGCTTTACGTTGTTCTTGGAAATTTTTATTTTGATCACTGTTGACATTTCGTGATGCAGCTGCTGCTGCCGATGAGAGAAGTTTTGAGACAGTTTCACTTATTGATGCTAATCGTCGTCGTGTATTTAGAATTGGTGATGGACTTAATGACTTTGAGTGATGAATTGATGTTACATTTGTTGTTGGATTTGGTGATGCAGGTGTTATTGATGGAATATCAGTTGTTGATAAGTTCTTCAATTTCTTTGAATTAAATTCAAGCCTTAGATTTAAACTGTTGTTGCTGAGAATTGATCGCTGACTTGGTGTTATATTTCGACGATTTAAAATGAAAAACGTTTTATGCCCATCAATTTCATCAGCTTCACGAACATTGTAAGAATCGTCTAGGAATCTTTTTGTTTCTTCTGATATGTGAACACGATCCGGATGTCCAGTACTTTCCATTTTATTCGCAAATGTCACGTCATTCGACCAGACATCAAACTTTACACGTTTTGTTCCAACAATACCACACAAAACATTTCCTGTGAGGAAATTCCATGTAAATTCATTAATTGAGAATTTTTATCGAAGACTTGACTTACCGGTATGAATGCCAACACGCATTTTAATTCCTTCATGACGTTCTGCATCGAATATTTTCATTGCTTCAATCATTCCGAGTCCCATTTCAACACAGCAAATTGCATGATCATCCTGAATGAAGAAATTATTTAGATATTAGATTCATTGAGAAGTGATGCGATGATTGAAAAATAAATGAGAAATTATTGAATTTCCATTTCAAACTTTTCCAGACCTTTGAAAATCTTCTACGTAAACGGCTACGAAACTTTTCATTTACGTTTTTCTTAACTTACGTAGCCTTAGGTTTACGTTAAATATTCATCTACGTAATTTTCTTGAAAATTCTTTCTTTTAATCATTAATAATAAACATTAATTTTTATGAACTTACCCTCGCATGAGGACAACCCGAAACACAATAATAACAGTCGCCTAATGTTGATATCTTTTCGCATCCATGAATTCCACAGAGACTATCGAATCTCTCGAATAGATCGTTTAAAATTTCCACAAGTTGTTCGGCTGTTTTTTTACTCGACATTTTCGTAAATCCGACAATATCAGCAAAAAGTATTGAAACATTCTTCATGCTGTGCATGTGAAATGGACGAAACAGAGATTTTAAGTTAAAATCTGAAGTTGATTGTCTTGGTTTTTGTATTGAAATCTCATAGTCATTCTTCGATTCTTTAAGCAACATATCCGCAACTACTTTCGGCATCATACTTGTTATCATCTTCTCTTTCAATTGCTTCTCAAGTTCCAATTGTCGACGCACAAGTAAATTTTGTCCGACTTTGATGAAGGTTCCACGCATCCGCACCGAAGACATTAACATCATATGAAAGGAAATGATGTGAACACATATATGAAGCATAATCCTTAGAGTGATGATTTGATAAATTTGTATGTTGTGAAATCCATCGGGACCTGGTTGATAATATGTTTTGTCTTTCATAATATACGAGAGAACTTCAAAAGCTATGGAGTAAGCGACCGCCATCAAAAGACATTGATACATTTTGAGTGGAATGACAGTATAGATGCTGATTATGCAAATGATACAGATGACAAAGTTTCCCAGAACACTTAGCGTCGTTCCCGCATTGTAAAGCCAACTCAAGCATGAAGCGATTAATAACAATGAATACATGCTCGAGAAAAGTATCATATGCTTCTTGTAGAAGCTTGTGAAGGTGACCCAAATAGCTGCTATTGACATAATTATCAATAATCCAAGCGTCACATTTAATGGAACTGCAACATCTTTGGCTCGAAAAGTGAAATAAAACAGCCAAATAATCGTCATACATAGTATATAAAGTAAGGCGAAACTGTATGTAAAAAGAATAAAAGACAGAAAGATACAATCATGAAAAATATTGAAACAATTTAAAAAGAAGAATTGTATTTGCATGCATTCTAAAATAAAAAAATCGTTTGATTAAAAGTTTCTCCACCATGAAATTTTCACATTAATTGTAATTGAATGCAATAAGACAACGAATGGATGAAAGTATATATATGTTTATATAGTTCTTCTTAATTTGATTAGCAGTTACGTTCACCCTACACATGGAGACATTTCACGAATTCATTGTCAAACGGAAACTTGCATAATCAATTTCAATTTTCTCATTAATTCCGGATTTTTTTTTTGCCTTTTCTTTTTGTATTTTTGCTCTTCGTTCCAATGTTTATCATCTGCTTGGTTGCTTCAATTTTTTATTACATTTATCACAACAATTGAATGAAACTTACCGGAATCTTAATCTTATCTGTGGAAGTATTGATATTTGATACTGCTCCTCGAGTACTTGTGAATCAAATTTTGGATTAAGAAATGAATTACCAGCTGCACGTTCAAAGGCTAAGGGCAACATCACACCGAAGCAGGAATATCTTCGGGAAGTCTGTGTTAAGAAAGCTTGGATGTATGGCGCAAAGGTTGTCAATTGACTATCCTCAGCTATTGTTGAGTTTGACCGATGATATGATGGTGTCTTTGAACGAGAATTAATATTATGTGTAGATAATTTATTAGTTAACAATTTTTGCAACTATGTAAGTTTAAAATGGTTCATTAAATAAAATGTATATCGTCATTCCTTGGAAGAGGAAAAAAATAAAAAATATCATGGAAACAAGCAGAATATCATCGTTCAATTCACAAACACGAATAAAATGATACTGAAAGTTTTCATTGCCACTATAAGCAGAGAAATAAGAGCTCTACTTAAGTCTTCTTCTGTTTGAAACAGTATCTACACAATAATAATCTAAATTATCTCACCGCGTATAGTGTAATCTGTGTATTTACCTCGCTCATTTTCGCATTTTTTTTGTTCTCTCGCTTTTATTTTTCTCCTATATATAGAACGTAGTGATGTATTGTTGTTGTTATCTTTTTTTCATTTTCAATGTAAAGATAATTTTCATGATATTTCCTTTCTAAGATCACACCAAAATATATTTTCTCTTTTAAAATTATTCATTATGTTTATTCGACAACAACATTATTTAAAACACATTTTACAGATTATACGATTTTTAAACTAAATCACGTGAATAAGCTTAACATTCGAGTAGACGTCATGCAAGAGCAACAATATATTTTCACTTAATCCATTTTTCTAAAGTGCAATTTTTGTTTCTTTTAAAACTATAATATTACTATTAAAATAGATTACAATTCACATCAAATTCTAACAAATCACATTCACTCGTTGATATATTAGGTATAAAATTCGTTATTTTATTATCTTATAATATTAAGGCAAAATTTGTTCTATAGCTGAACTCAATTAGGTAGATACATTTACGAAAAAAACATTCAAAACAAAATCCATAAAATGTCATTGATGTTCCTGAAAAAAACATGTAAATAAAATTTATTCGATTATAATGAATGAACATGAGGAAAATTTTATTATCACAATTCAAAATGATTTAATTGCAATTGATCAAAGTGAATAACTTTTAAATACATTCGTTTTAAGAACAGGAAACTTTGAAAACAAGTTTTGAGTGTTTTTACATGGATCAGTCCTGCTTTTCCCCAACCGCTGCAAAAAATCCCCACATTTCAAATTCTTAACGTTTTCTGTGTTTTATTGACACCTGTTAATGAGTTAAATGCATTTATGCTGACCATGAACGTAATGAAACTAAACTTTCGATTGCAACACATTGATCAGCATCACACACAAGTAGATTTTTTCCTATAGGTGATTAGAAAAAAACGTTATAACATGTAAATATATTTTTATCTCTTTATTAATGTCTGATACATAATTGTCCCATAGAAAGTTTCAAATATTATCTTTTGAAATCATTAAAAATTTACAAAAACGGAAGAAAGAAAAATGATAAATGTACAAGACAAATAAACTTAAAATTATATATTGTGATGTTCTTTAGCTTCTATTTGTTTTAAATAGCTGTCTGCTAAATCCCTATCAACTCCTGAGTATGAAAGATCTGCATCCTCTAAAACAGATTTCTTACGAGAATTTTTATCGCTTTTCTTCTCCTTTGGACTTTGTTTCTCATCGTGAATAAAATAATGATTTTGATAAAGATTTGAACGGTAACTTTGTGGATGATTATAATTTGAAACATTCGTCACATATCCCATCGTAGGACCATAAATTNAATGGACTCATGACGAATGCGAAACGATCCGACGATCTTGCTTTTCATTCAGAAAGTTTGCGGAAGCAAGAAAAATTCAAGAAGATCGTGTAAATTTTCTTTTAAATGACGAGTTTTTCAAGAGAAAAATGGGAAAAAGAATTTCAAAAATAACATTTTTCTGGTATTTTTTCTATTGTCATTTGAAAATTCTTAGCATTTTATTTGAAGATTTACCTCAACATGAGCTTGGAAAGCTTCCAAGAGAATTGTATCCAATATGTATCACAAATGACATCACTAAACTTGACGAGTACAAAGAAATGTTTAAGCTTTTAAAGTTTGTTTCCAAGGAAAAAATCCTCATTAAATTGGAAAAGATAATAGAAGTCATTGAATATTTCGTACAAGATACACAGCAAGAAGAATTGAGGACTAAGATGAGACAGCTCAGAGAACCCTTTGTTTATTTTTACAAAAACATTGAAGAAAGTGGAATAAACACAATCACTAATACACCCGCATCAACTCATGAGAGATTTGAACTGAAAAAGAAAGGTGCTTCAGGAAGACAAGAAATGATGGAGAAACTAAAAGAAATGGCTAAGCATAATATTGCACCAGTTGTAACAAAATATGAGCAAGCTCTTTGGAAATGCATTGATTATATAAACAGAAAGATGGAAAAGTATCTAAGACCATTGCAAGAAGCACCATTTTTTTTATGAACTCACCGTTTTCTGTAACTATTATTCAATTAGAAAGCAAATTATGGGCATTCCTCGAGGAGCATTACATCAAGCATTGTCTAATCCTCATATCTATATGCAGTGTTCTTGTTGCAAGATTCCAGAACAAGAGCGCATTTTGCCTTCGCTTCCTGACATTTCAATTGTTTATAAACTTCACCTTGAATGTAACAAGTTCATCAGTTTATATGATTGGCTTGATGGCTTCAAAGTTTCGCTACAATTATTGAATATAATGAAGATGAAGATCATATTAGTCCAGAAGTTCAAGCACATTTCACAAGATCAATCGCCGAATTACAATTCTTAGGATTCATCAAACAATCAAAGCACAAGACTGACACTGCTGCTAGACTAACTTAGTGTACCAGGCTGGAATGGTATCAATGAAGCATTGAATGAAAAATTAAATTTTATAAAAACTAGGAAAGGGATGTAGCAGCGCTGCGAGCGGAAAAGACGAGAACTTCAAGGATAAGAAGTCAGTCGGATTTTGGCGCCCGAGCGAAGCACACGCTTCAAACTTAATTTAAGTTTATTCGGGTCTTTCCTTTATTAGAGCGCTAGGTACCAGCCTGGTACAGCTTCTATTTGTTTTAAATAGCTGTCTGCTAAATCCCTATCAACTCCTGAGTATGAAAGATCTGCATCCTCTAAAACAGATTTCTTACGAGAATTTTTATCGCTTTTCTTCTCCTTTGGACTTTGTTTCTCATCGTGAATAAAATAATGATTTTGATAAAGATTTGAACGGTAACTTTGTGGATGATTATAATTTGAAGCATTCGTCACATATCCCATCGTAGGACCATAAATTGGAATTTGAGGATAATTGTATGGAATTGTTCGATTGTTGTGACTCCTTGTGGAAAACGCTTTCTCGCTTTTAATGTAGGGTTGATAGCCATTATAATCTGCCTCCAGGATTCCTGCATTTGATAGCGATTTTAAATAGTTTTGAATCTTCTCATGATTCATTGCATTGACTTCATCCATCATGTGCTTGCTAAAAAAACATACGAATGAAAATAAAACGATCAAAAATAATTTGAATTCCTTGAATTTCTAAACGTGCACAACTTCAATTCGTGTTATGTTCTGATTTTTTAATTTTCTTGAACTTGCAGCGTATTGCAAAAAGATAAAAACATAAGTTATTGTAAAAGCACTATAAAATTACAACATTGCATATGTTTCCGACTTCTGGTCAAGTTACGAAATTATTGAAAGCTTTGAAAGTTAGTTTTCGTTGTTTGGAACAATAGGATTTGTTGATGACACAATTTTAACAAAAAAGAAAAAGTATAAAAACAAGTGAAAATTTTATTGTGTGATAAAAACGCAAATTAGTAGATAAGAGCAATGCATGGTTAAGCATTAAAAGCGGTTAATTTGAAAGCTTTCCAACAATGTTTAATAGATTCAAGAATCGCGTTTTAACTTCAATTGTTCCAGAATTTCCATCGATTTCACCAGCACCAAGTCACATAAATCGATCACTTCCTGACAAGTTTCAATATTCTCGTCCTCCTTTTCTACAACTTCTTACGGTCGACGAACTTAAAGCTTCAGCAGATCACAATGTGAGGCCAATTATTGTACCCAGAGATATTTCTGTGATGCCGTTAAATGCTGGATATGCAGAATGTGTAAATTCAGGAAAGTCTGAATGGAATGAGGATCAAGCGGCTTTCTACCAAGGCTTACTACATCATCCAGCAAAAGATCTACCAGATTTACCTTATATTTACTTTGGTATTTTTGATGGTCATGCAGGATACGGCGCAGCTTTGGCAGCATCTCATCAATTCCATCACATTCTTCATGAGAAACTTGTTGACGTAATTGATCTCCTATTACCAACAAGTGAAAATGAAACACCAGCATTCCCATGGTTATTCCATAAGTCTGTATCAAAAGATGAACTTATCGTTGGTGCTCTCGAATCAGCATTCCATGACATGGACGCTATGTTAGCTGAAGATAGAAGCAAATATAGAAACGCTGGCGGATGTACGAGCGTTGTGACACTTTTCATTCTAGGCAAAATGTACGTGGCAAATGCTGGTGATAGTCGTGCAATTTTAGCACAAAAATTGTCTAAAGAAGTGATCAAGAAACAAACTGATAAGATTTATCTTAATGGTTCTTCTGATAATGAATCACCAAACGCTTATCAAGTAATTGCTACTCCATTTTCGTTCGATCATACACCGGACACTGAACGCAGTAGAATTCTTGAACTTGGAAAGATTCATCCCGATCTCATGGGAGGTGAATACATTGCAATGGAATATGCAAAGAAGCCTATGACGAGAGACTTAGGAACAAGAATTCTTTACAAGCAAGGAAATATGAAGGGCTGGACGTATAAAACATTGACAAGGGAAGATCTTAAAATGTCAATCGTGACAGGTGAAGGGAAGCGGTCTCGTCTTCTCGGCACAATTGGAGTGACACGTGGATTTGGTGATCATGACCTCCGTGCGCTTGGAAGTGGAATTCTTATCAAACCATTCCTAAGTTGTCACCCAGAAATCGTATACCGTGACTTAAGTCTAATAATTTCACTTCCTGATGATAACAACATTGACGGTGAATATGGAGTGTTGGTAAGTTTAATTAAAAATGAATTAATGTTTCTCAATATTTCATTATAAATTTCATTCTTCAGATAATGGGAACTGATGGCCTTTGGGATGTTATTGAAAACGATAATGTGGCACGAATCACATTTGAAACATTAAAAAAATATCCAAATGAGAAACATCGTTATACGATGGTTGCACAAGAACTTGTTGCAAAATCACGCGGACGTGCTAATGATTCTGGTCATTGGAGGCTGTCAGACTTGAAAGCACCAGCAACTGTTGATGATATTTCAATAATCGTGATACCAGTTTATCAGTACTACAAAGAATTCTGTCAATGGGAGAAAACTTTCATTGAAGCGAAACAAAAGCGAGAAGAATTGAAAAACTTGACGATGAAAGCTTTGGAAGCTAATCATATAAATAATGATGATTCGACTCCTGTTGACAACGATGTCGAAGAAGCAAAAGAACAAGAAGATGAATCAACAATTGAAACAAAAAAATCAATATCAGTGAATGATGACGATAAAGATGAAGAAGTTGTTGGACTATCAAGTGAAGATAATGAAAAATTAGATTCACCGTTAACAACTTAAATTAAATAAATTATAATTATATAAATTAATCGAACAATATTTCACCAGAGTTTTGTTATTAGTGAATTAATTTAAAGCAAAAAGTATGTTTTGTAATTTTTCATCACAATTTTGTTTAAGTTGCACACAAATATTTAAATACTTACTTTGAACATAGTGTAAGTGCTGAATAATACACTGAAAATAAGCTTGTGAAGAGATGAAGTACCAGTAGGAATGTCAATGCTAGTGCTGCAGTTATTGCTCCGAAAATCTCCTGAAACGAGATAATTTATTATTATTTCTGATCTCGATAATCTTTCTTCTTTTTTCCTCATTCATCGAAAATTAATTAAATAAATTAATAATTATTCAAAATAAAAATAATTTCATTCCTACCGGATCTTGTTGGTAAATGTTGTAGTCACGTACTAATCCAATTCCAGTTAAAGCAAGTGCCAAAGTTCCAGTGGCAACAGAAATCAAACTGCATGCTAAGAATCCATTGAGTAGTGGCTTTAGATTCATGATACCTAAAGAGCCAGCAATCCCTGAGAAGATTCCACTCCAAATGCCTGAACCAAATGATGAAAGTGAAGCATTTCTTGCAAGAAGCAATCCGCCAAAGGCACTGAGTAAAATGCTCAAGATCAGCTGAAAAATGCCCAAAGTTGAGAACATTGTGAGTCGTCTTCTTGTAAACGCATTTTGATGACTCTGATCTTGAAACAGGTTCAATGATGAGTTCATAACACTCGATGTGTTGGCTTTGCTTAATTTTTTATTTTCAGCACCGATGGCACTTATTTCATTCACTTTTATGGTTTGTATTTTTTCATATTTGGGATCTGTTGAAGATTCGTCGTTTTGATTGCTTGTAGGCTTTGGTGATGATGAAGGTGAGGGATGAGGGATTGGAGATGACACAGTAATGGGTTCGGTTTTATTCTCTTCTTGATTGCCTTCCATTGTGGGTGATTTTTTCTTAATTTCAATTTTTCGTTCTTCAATATTTAAAGTGGAAACATTTTTTAAAACTATTGAAACATATGAATGCAAGAAAAAGAAAAGAAATAAAAACAAAAATTAAAATAAAAATTGGTTTTCATGGTAGAAATCGTGCTAAATAAGCAAAACAAATTAAAAATTTCTTCACGTGCAAATGAAAGAGATTTCAAAAATTTTTGTTCCTTTTTCATTTGCATACTTGGTCACTTTGGAAGTGCCAATTACAATGTGGCTTGTAATAAACTATCACTAAGCAAACATCGCATGCACTGTGGTCGCTGGTATTATAAAATTAAGAAAAGAGAAATTCATGAAACACAAACTTAAGCATGAACTTCATTACTACAAGCATAGCAAGTCAAATATTGAAAAGTATTTTGGAACGATTTGGATTTTTGTCGAAGTTTCTTTCAACTCATAATCTCGTTTCAATGACGAAAAATGAAAATGCATGAGTTCCTTTACTTTAACCAGTGACACCACTTCAGACGCTACATAATTAATGTTGAAATATCTTCGCATGTTGAGCATAACATAACAAAATACGGAAATTTTCACTTTTCTGTGTTGCACTTTTAGAAATGAAGTCAACAGCATGTTAAGGTAAGGTTGACGCAATTTTTAACATTAATGAAATACAAAAGAATTTTATTGCAATTGATCCAAAAAGGGAAAAAACACTGAAATTAATCAGGTGCGAAATCATAATTTTATGCTTTCTTATGTCACATGTCACTGATTTGTCACAGAAATTTCTAAAATTGAATTTCAAATTATTTATTACTAACAATATCGGGTGAAATATCTAATTAACTATTTTGCAACTTAAAATGTTTCAAATCAAATCGACATGACAGCAATAAACTTTAATTTTGAACTCTCACGTTCCAAATCATGTCTCTCTGGAACCTTCGATTTTTATTTAAACTCATCTTAGCGTCATTCTCACAATGCATTGGTTATGTTAAATTTTATAAATTTTTTTCAACAAGGAATTTCAAATATTTCAAGAGTTTATTTTATGTTTAGTTCGGTAACTGATGGAAAAAGAGTATTCGAATTGGTTGCAAAACACTTTTTGAATAGAAATTAAAACAAACAATAGAGCGATCATTTATGTAAAGCTATAAAACATCCAATAATTGAAAATTCACATTTCTACGCTTCGACAATTAATTATTCACAGGAATAAATGTTTAAATGTTTATTTCACTCAACACTTAAAATTAAATGCTGTGCAACTTACTGAATGCTCACGCTAAACTGAAATGAAGTTGAAGCAGCTAAACTTGTAACACTCTTTCAGTTATGTTTCTTCTTTACGGCTTAAGTTTATTTTCTCCGAGTATGGAGCTTTGTATTTGTTTGGCTAATTTCTATACTTACGAGAGTAGCAAGTATGCATACGTTTGTCTGCTTAAAGTCATGCGGTGCGAATACTAATCAACTTCATATGACATTTCGGCACTGCACTAAAAGAGTTTTATTTATTCATGAGAACATAATTCGGACAATTTATTATGTAGAAATAAAAGAAGGTGGACATTAACTACTTTTCACAAGGATATCTTAATATAATAAATAAACAGCAAACTCGAATCTCTTAAGCATGTTCACGATCACAAGTTCATTGAACAATCGAAATAAAAAGCCCAATGATGATTGTTGTTAAATTGATCGCGGAGAAAGTGAAAAATTCTCTTTTATTTGTTATCGAACAGCATAGCGATACATGAAAGTGATAGTTGTCATATTTATTGGAAGTCATCTGTATTTGTAAATTTTTTTCTTTCTTCATTTCTCTTTTGCATTCATTCGTATTATTGAAAACATGTAATGTTCCATTACATAAAACATGATGATTCTCTTTACGGAATCGAGATGGCATTGAATTAAAAAAATTTCTACTTGCTACTTCCTATTTGGAGTTGTTATGTTGTTATTAAGAAGGCATTACGATATATTCAATCATCATTTCTTCTATTATTTCATTTCAACAGTAACAAAGCAAGTCTTGTACACTTGTCGATGAACAACAACGTAAATATTTCAAATATCCACTCATAATCAGATCATATTTGGTCATCTTTCACCATCTATGGTGACTTCCTTCCGATTTATAAAGCAACGTAAAAACCGTTTCACATTTTCGAATGTATGTTTTACCTTCTTTTGTTTCGTTGCCAACGTAATGGGCCATGCCTATGTTCCATTTATTAACGATGTCATAGCAACAACTAAATATTTTAAAAACATAACAAATCTGTTTTGATCAACATAAAGTTGACAAAAGTAGAAATTTGGGTTTTTGATGGCTGAAGTATTTATTATTGGACAAATTCTTAAAGCTGTGAACTTCTGTGAACCGAATTTATTCGTTTGTTGGAATATCCAAGCAGGTTTTTATAATTTCTATTCAACTATGTGAAACATAAAAAATTATTTAGTAATATAAATTTAGGTTCATTGTGGAAAGTTGTCGAAGGTGAATCGAAGGGTCAAACAGCGACCGATAGAAATCGTATAGATCTTGTGTCTGTCTTCGCACATCCAATAGACCTTCATTTAGCAACAAGAGGTCTTCAAGGTTGGCCTAAGTTCAACGTAGAAGTTTATTCGGTTAACGCTTTAAAGCAATATCATCCTGTCGGCTTTGGTTTTGCATATATTCCTTCTACGCCAGGATATCACAATCTTTCAATCACAACCTGGAAAATTTCTCCAGTTACAGTTTTGGATTCTATAAAAGAAAAATTCTTTACAGGTGGTTTCACAATTGTGAAGAAGGATTTAATTTATTCAGGAGTTGAAAGATATAAAATTCTCACTATTTCATCTGGAATTGTAGAAGTTAACTTGAATCTAATTTTTAAGAATTTCCGAAAGTACGATATCATTTTTAATCGGACTTAAATATGTTTTATCACATTTTTATTGTGCTATTTTGCACATTTTTTGTATTCGCGGAAAAAGAAAATTCTACAATCCACACAAACTCAACGTCTACAACTTCCATCATGTCAACTGCATCAACGCTTATTGAGACAACAGTGACACCAACTTTGTCTCCTACAATAGAAACTACAACAATGCCAACTATTTCTAAAACTAATCAAACAATTCATTTGAAACCTACAATTAACTCCTGCAGATGTGACTTGACAGTAAATATTTCAATGTTGAAACTTTTATGGAAATTTTTTATTCTTTGCTCAAAATATATTTACAGCTCAACTGTGACAAGTATTGTTGTTGCGATCAAGAATGTTCCGACGAAATTTTGATGAGCTTTGATTGTGAAATAAATATTGAGGATTATTATCATGGTGAAGGCTTAGAACGTTGTGAGACTAGCGATAGCTTGCTCTGTGTCGTTAAAGACAATTACAGTCCTAATTATTATGTAATTGATTATCTCAAATGTCATGAATCTAAATAATTGATTTTAATGTTCCCTTAGATTAAGCAACCACCGATTAAATATCCAAAGTATAGTTGGCACATGTCACCATCCAAGAATGAAATTAACGATGAAAATGATCAAACCTACTACGCTTATGGAGATGTTTTGCTTGCTTATGATGCAAAAACCATGCAAATTGAAACATTTAAAATTCCAATGTCTCTTGTCGGCGATTCCTGCAGCAATCTTGAACCGATAAGGTTTCTCATCGAAAAGAAAACACAATGTTTAAGATCATTGAGTGATATGTGTGCTTATAACAAATATTTGTTAAAGCGATTGATGAATTTCAATGTTTTTCACCGGCCTTGGAAAGCGAATGAAGTCAAATCAACAACTGAACTTTTCAAATTTTCAATCATGTCTTGTACAGAAACATTCAACAATTGTACATCACTTACTTTCAACGACGACGACGATGACGAAGAAGAGAATTTCGAACTGATTAGCAGTGTTGGATTTGACATTCAAATTTTGTTTGATACCAACGGCACAAATATTTCTTCAATGACGGCAATGTTGTTAACACACGACGAGATGGTCTGTGGTGGAATGGAAGAAATGACTTCAACCAAATTTATTCAAAAATTTGAAGTCAAATTTTTAAGAAACAAAAATCAGACAAGAGACAAAACATATAATGAAGGAAAAATTGGCTATAGCACAAATGATCTGATCATCGCAACAATGTTAAGACCTTTGAATATTTCATCACCAGATGGAGAATCAATTCTTGAATATTTTCATAATGAAACATCAGAGGACAAAGATTTCCATCTTAAGATCCCTGAAAGTGTTGATGGAAAATGTGTTTTAAATGATCAAATCAATGACAAGCTTCATTTTAACGAAAATTCATTAACAAATTGTAGGATTGAAATGACATATTATGAGAAATATAACAAAACATTATGTCAGCAAGTTCAAGAACAAGCTTTGCACCATCTCTTCGATCACATGAATTTAACTGCCAATTATTCCGAAAATCATAAATATTTTGCTTCCCGATTTCGATTACCACGCTTGGATATTGATTCGTGGACTGAAATCGATATTCAAAACTTACCTAATTTGAATCCCGAATTAAAGGAAGAAGAAAATTCGGTTTCATGTGAAAGCATTGCAACATCGATCAAATATTCGTTTTATTCATCACGCAAGAGAACAGGTGGAAAAAGAAAGTATGAGAACGTTCTTGATAACTTGGAAATAAAATTCGGAACAACTTGTCTTAAGTTTGATTTAAAGTCTGAAAATGTAACATCAGAGATGACCCTTCTGACCAAAGATAAGGCAATTAATTTTAATATACAAATTCAAATGAATTTTTTTCAAAACGATGACAAAATGATGAGTAACAATGCCAGATACTTCAGTGGTTGTCAATTAATCTTAGTTTGTTTGGTTTTAATTAATATGAATTTAAATTTAATTCAGGATTTTTTTTAATAAAGCGTGCATCTAATGTAATGTGTGCTTTCAATTATTAAAAAATAATATTTCCAAACAAGTTATGCAAGAGAACAAAGATCTGTTTTTACTTACTGCGCATAAAGAATCTTTATTCAATATATGAGTTGTCGTTTCTTCTTACACAATTTGTAACGATTAAATAAATTTCAAAAGCAAAGCGTATGAAACCAGGCGTAGTTGAATAGAAAATGAAAATTGCTTGAAATATTTTCTATAGAGTAAAAATTAATAAGAAAATCGAGTCTAAAACATTAACAAAGTACGTTCTATCTTATTATGAATTGTCGTTTTAAAGCTTTTCTTCATATTAATCGTTTTAAGTGTTAGCAATGCAATCAAGAATAAAAATTTGATGTCAACGAAGGATAATAATCATAAAGTTGAAAATTGGAAAGAGAAAATTGATAAAAATAATTATCATGATTAATGTATGTAAATACTAAGGAATATAAGTGACGAAATAGAAAAAAATACACTGATTTAATTAGTTTAGAGTCAATAGTTTAAATAGCTTGTGATTAAGATGCTTTCATAAAAATCTTGTAATCTTTGATTTTAATAAAGTGAAAAGCGAAAAAAGAAGATAAGAGCGAGAGTGAATTTTGTGCTGTGAAGAAAGGGGAAAAGTTACACAAAAAAAAGTAAGAAAGAAAAAAAGAAAAATGGGAGCGAAGGCGAGCACAAATGGAAATCAAAGTCCTCGAACATTCTCTAATTCATCTAGCAGTGATGTTGTATCAGCTGGAAATAATTCCACCAGTTTCAATTTCTTACGTGCTATACATGGCGCTGAAATGGCAAATGATTCGCGACAAAGAGCTCGTAGTATGTCATCAGTGCCAGATATTCAATCTACCGGCACTAATCATCATCACCATTCGAACGCATATTCCAATTATTCGTCTCACACACCTCAACAATACAGCTTAGATGTTAATAATTTTCAAAATTCAGGTGACGCTGGTAGTCCGCACTTTGAGCTGTCATCCGCAAACCCCGATGAAGGGATCAATCAGGAAGATAACAATCCAATGCTACAAGGAATTAACGCACTTGGTTTAGGTCGAGTATACACAGCAGCTTCTTTGCCCTCCCATATTTGGTCAATAAATGGTGAGATGCATTTGAAATTTGTCGCAACATTAATTAACATAAAACAATTTTTTATTAGGTTTTAAATGTCCAGTCTGCAGCAAATGCATTCTACCCGATGATATCGAATGTCATATAGTGATGTGCCTAACGAAACCGAGATTGTCATACAACGGTCTGTTCTTCATTCAAGTTCCTTTGTTTGAATCGTTTTAATCTTTTTTATTCTGAACTGAATTTCTATTTTTAGAGGATGTTCTTAGTGATCCTAAGGGCGAATGTGTAATTTGTTTAGAAGATCTTATAACTGGAGATGTTATTGCTCGCTTGCCATGTTTATGCATTTATCACAAAGGGTAATTATTAAGATTCTTCTAAGATCATCTTGCGAATGACTTTGTGTCTTGTTCCTCACATTCTCTGATTGATAACATCAAAAACTGTTTATTCAGTGAATCATTCATTCATTCATTCATTATCACAAATTGAGTCTTAAACAACGAACTTCGCATCACAAATTAATAAAGAATTTAATTAACTTCTTATTTTTCGTTTTCTTCTTAGATGTATCGACAAATGGTTTGAAGTGAATCGATCGTGTCCGGAACATCCTTCTGATTAGTAAAAGGATTATTTTAAATGATTTTGAACGAGTGATTCTAATGAAAGAGAGTATCTAGCAGGCGAATAAGGAAATGAATCAATTATTTTTACCGAGGAAAACAAAAGAAATGATAAAAATGATGACAGTGATTTAATGATGGTTTTTGTTACAAGAATAAATATATACACTAAAAACGGAACGGAAAAGAAGAATGAAGAATTATTGAAACAACAAAATGTCATAAAAAATAACTTGTAAAGTTAAATATCATCATCATCTTTCTGACAGTCGACAAACTTCAGAAACGCTCGAGTCCAAAGTTTCGAAAAGGTTTTATCATCACAATCAAAGATGTTTGTGAAAATAATGCAAAATTTATTAATAACATGAGGGTTGTTAGTTATTTACTTATAATATTATTATACACAAACATACACACAAAAAAGAAACAAAGTCATTTTTATTGTTACTTTTTTAAACTCTCGTGATTTTTTTTGTTTGTTTTATAATTTTTAATAAATTTTTAGTGGTTTCAGCCATTTCGAACACAGTTTTCGTTACTTTGATCTCGAGCCATATTAGCGAGTAATTCTGGCATATAAAATAAACAACATTAGAAACATGAAAACAATGGAATCTGTTGCGTCGCGTAACTAAGTAATTGATGATTGATTGTATAAAATAAAATTTTAATCAGTTAATAAAATTCACGTATATAGATTCTTTGTTTAAAGAATCGTCTTGGTTTGCAATTTCAAGCTGACAACATGAAAAATGTAATTTAAAATTGTTAAAGTTTGTTACATCTAAGACCAAGCAACTGTCGGTTTTTGTTCGTTGTGAATTAATTTCGGCTGAAGACTGGATTTGAAATTAAAGTAATTTCCATAACTATCGAATGATCTTAAGTTTGTAGTTAAATAAATTCCTGCATAAATAGATTTATGTTGATGCAAATATTTGTTCACATTGCTCGAGGAGAAGATAATGTTTGAAAACAACGCATTTGCTTGTCAACAACCAACACTCCACTAAATAATGATTGGAAGTTTATTGTAGTTTTTGTACAAAAAAAGAAAAAAAGGAAATAAGAGATGAATGCAACATGAAAAAAATTGTCTTCTGATTTTATAAAAATCTGGGAATTTTTACTGCTGTAACATAAAAAAAAATCAACAAAACTTTAATGATTTCTTCAAATTGTTAATTTTCTCTTTTATTTTCAATCTGAATAAATGTGTTTTTCAAGCATAAATATTAATTAGAATGCGTTTTGTACGACTTCTTATTTATGTTTAATGTTGAAGAAAACATGGAAGCATGTAAGTACATTTTATTGTTCGCATAACTACAAAATTTTATATAGGTATGAACGTGAGACTATCAAACTTTGAAGCTCTGATCTGATTCATAATTTTCATGTCTTACTTAAAAAAAAACGCAGGATAACAAACTTACAACAAGATTTATGACTTTGAGTAATTTTCACGTTTGTTTCTTTCCGCATAAGAAAAATTTTGGTTGAATCGTCAACGTGACGAGAGTGAAAAAAATCTTTTTCTTTTTTTGAGAATTTTTTGTTGAAAATCTTCTCAAACACAGAGTGATCAAGTCAGTAGTGATCGCGGAGCTGCTTGAAAAAGATTGGAGACTGAAGGCGCTAAAAAGAGGCAATAATAAAATCGTAAAATCACTCGCGTAAAATCTATTTTTATATTTTCGCGCTCCGCATCGGTTGGAAAAACGAAAAAACTTTTCACTTCATTGAGAAACTTTAGTGACTTTTCGTATCTTGATTTGTTTGTTTCGGAATTGGGAGGAAAATTTCATTCGAAAAATTTTATAGAAAGACAAAAGAGTTGGATTTTTAAGCTTTTCTAATGATGGAGATGGAAGTGGAAATCGAGAAAATTGAAAAGATGAAAATTACTCCAGATATGGTAATTAACTAAAGTCGTGAGTGTGAATTGACAACCTTAGACAGACGTCTTCTCGATGATTCGCACATTTTTCTGCAGTGAAAATTAAGTCGCATAAAGAAAATTTTCCGGTAATGATGTGATCTTAGACTTTTTTCTCAACACATCGACACTGCACATGGCGATCCTCTAGAAGACTCACAAAATATTTCTAAATCAAAAATTTCATCAAGTGATTCATCATTTAAATCTACCTATGTAGCCTTTGCTATTTTACTTTTGAATATTCCCGCCTTATGCCGATGTTTTTCCTTGAATGTATTGAAGTCAGAGAGAAAATCGAAGAGAGTAGTGAGAGAAAGAGAGTCGTTGAAGTCAAGAGAGCGAAAAGAAAAATATTGAAATGAAAAGAAAAGACCTGCAGATGATAAACTCATATGGAGTCAGTTCTATTTTCTATCTTTATTGAAAACGGGGCGAAATAAGTAGGAAGAAATTAAAAAGTCAAAAGAATTGGAAAATAGTTGAAGCAAGCTTGTTCATGCAAATTATTTATTTTCTATCGAATGTCGTGCGATTTCAATGTAAAAGTTTTAAAAGCAAAGTGTGAATATTTTTCAGTTTATAATTTTAATTCTTTTTAAAAGTAGATACAAGTAATCTGTGATATAATAACCCTTCAAAATTATCAAATGAAAACGTTAAGTTTAGAAGAAAATTGATAAGAAATGGTCGAGAAAAATGTAAGTTTATTAAAGCTAGAAAAGGAATTAAAGAGAAAATCAAAGGGAAAAGTGGAAATTTCTCATACACAATGACAAATTCAAGAATATACAACTACACATGACCTTCCTTTCAAGGCTTCTCTACTTTTTTTTAAATAAAATTCCTGAAATTATTTAGCTCAGGTATTTGCCTTTAAGAATCAAATTAATTTTTGAACATATTTAAAATTTACGAGAAAGATGAAAGCTAAAGCTCAGGTCGTTAATTTTTCTAGAAATATTTCTCCAATACATAATAACTTAACGAAGAGTTAAATGAAACAGTCCTCAAAAAGTTTATGTTTGATCAATAATAATTTTGAAGAAATTGCGCGATAAATTATTTTATTCATTCAAGTTATTTATTAGCATAAAGCATAAGGAAATCTCGCGATGCTTTTTTATTGGTCTTGAATTTAAATTGCACATGAGATGAACACGAGATTTTTCTCATCGTAAAAAGTCATCATCAGAGATTGTTGAGAATAGGTAGATTTATTATTTTATGTGAACAACTGACAAGCTACCTAGTAGGTAGGAAAGAAAAATTACGATGAGTTTTGAACTCTAAATGTGCATTAGCAAACCATGTGTGAGCGATCATGTCACTGGGTAGTTCAGTGTCATTAATCTCTGCGGTTTATTTCATTTTAAATACAGCAAGAAATATTCAGACGATAGGATCGTGTAGTGATTAAACGTAAACCACCCTGAATTGAAGAATAAAAATAGTTTTTCCTCTCTTTGTGTTCTGTTCAGACAGACACAACAGTAGCGAGAAAATAAAGAAAAATTGTCCTATTTCTGACCTTCATTTTTATTAATAAGCTTCGCATCTCAAGTCTACTTTTCTTTTATCATTCATTCATTTTCTTTTCGACTTTCACATGCACGAATCACGACATTTTCAAGCAGTTCTCTCTCTGCTTCTTTACTTTTATTAATTTAAATTGTCGCACCCTTACGAATGCATTTTCATTGACTGATCAAGTCTATTCATGATATTTTTCTCTTTTCTTAACGTTGTTGAAGAAAAATAGCAAAGCATGTATTTATGTTTATAGAAAGATTCAAAATTGATGCGTTTTTTGAACTAAAAATATTTGAAATGTTTGCAAGAAAAACAAACTTTTCTTCTCCTTCATTACAAAGTTATTTTTTAATTTGTCTCATTTACTTTATTTGTCACCATGTCCGCTAACATTTATTTTAATATCACACATTGTTATTGTTGATTTAGGATTGTTGAAAGAAGTTTGAAGAAGACATAATTACTTGAACTACCTGAACTACTTGAAAAGCCTTAACAAAATTCGTTAATCTGTTGAAAAATTGGAAGAAAACTCAAAAACTAAATTAAATTGCTGATTGAAAGTGAAAAGAAAAAATGCCGGTGTTATCCACAAGACGTTATAGCAGTAGCTATTTGACACCTTCTTCTTCTTCGATATCATCTTCAGTTGGAGGATATCGCTCCAGCTATACATCATCATTATCATCATCATCAAAAAGTTCATCACTGTCGAAAGACTTACCCTCAAGTTCATCATATAGCAGTGATTTGGGATATCGCTCGTATCGCACAAGCTCACTTTCATCAAGTGGAACAACAGGTTCATATCGATCACGTTATGACATTGATGATTTAGACAAGAGAAGCTCATCATTATCATCATCAAATGGTAGCAGTGCCTTATCAACAAGAATTGGCGTAAGTAAGCCGATTAGTGGTAGTAGCTCATATCATTCAAGTAGATTACCGCCACTGCCTCCATCATCATCCTCAACCCTCACCAAACATCAAAACATATCTCAGAATTACGGCACCTCACAACGATCACTATCACGTGACAATACAGATTTGGGTGACACAAAAAGAAATGGAACGACAAAAAATAGTAAAATAAACAATGAATTTTCCTCGTCAATTCTGAGTGATTTGGATTTTTATGAAAAGTATAGTCCTAGTCGTTACATGACAAAGTTTGAATTGTCAAGGTCCAAATCACTTTTAGAAGCAAGCCCCACATCCAATTCAAATGACACATCAACGTCTTCATCAAACAGTTCATTAACTGATACTTCAACACACACTCCACAGCGAGAGGTAAAGTCATTTTAATTATTTTTACACTCGCATTAGCCTTTAGTTGATGTAATTTGTTTAATTAGAATACTTAATCATTCATACATTTGTTCGTAAGCTTTTTAACAACTGCTGTCGTCATTGTCATGTTGTTTTCATTTGAATATTTCATTTTGTAGATAACGAAATGTTAAATAGGTAAATACTAAGAAAAAGAAATAATACATAACACCATTTAAATAATATAGAAAATGCTTAAAACCTTAAAATTATCTAATTGTCAATAAATAAGAAATAATTAAAATTCATCTTCGATAAACCAAAAAAAAAACTTGAGCTTAAGCTTTCGATTTATACGAAAACTTTGAAGGGAAAGATGAAAGAAAATTTGTCATTGACGAAATGATTTTGTCGCAAACGTCAAAGAGATGAAACTTCAGTATTAAAATATTCTATTGATCACAGATTCGGAGTGTGGCCTTGAGAAATACTTTGCCGTCGACAACATCAACAAAAACGTGGGATCGCGATTATTCTTCGAGTTACTATCGAACTCCGTTAAGTGATTCAAAAAGAGACAAAAATGAAACACGAAATAATTTGAGTGGATCGAGCTATGCAGCAGGCGGTTATCGTGCGTCAAATATTTCACCAACAAAATCACCATCACGTGATTCTATTTATGATCGTAAAACATCAGCACTTGTTGAAGGGCAATGTGGTTTATGGAATATTGGCAACACGTGCTTTATGAATTCCGTTTTGCAATGTTTGAATCATACAAACGATTTATCAAAATATGCACGCTCACCATCTGCGCTTACTACTTCAACGAACAAAGGCTCCACTTCATTAACGAAAGATCTGCAAATATGGAATGAGTTTTGCAGTTTAATCCAACAAATGTGGCAACCTGGTGCTAAAAGCATCAATCCTTCAGAATTAAAAATGGCTTTAAGTAGCAAGTATCGAATGTACAGTGGATCAGCACAACAAGACGCTCAAGAATTTTTACGTTACATTCTCGATGCTCTACATGGTGCATTAAATTTAGGAGGGAAAAAAGTTTCACTTCATGTCGATGATACAATGAGGTATGAAGTTGATTCAGAAATCTTAATATAAAAACTTTCTTTTAATTTAAGAAATTTTTGCTAATCTAATTTAGTGATTTAGAGAAAGCAAATGTCATGTGGGATTGGTATACAAACCGAGAGAACTCAGTCATTAAGGATCTTTTTGTTGGCCAACTTAAAAGTTCTCTTTACTGTAAGAAGGAAAATTTCAATTTTTATCCTTGAGTAAACAGCTGATTTTGAAATTTTTTTTGATTTATTTTTAGGTTGCCATTGCGAGAAGACGAGTGTAATGTACGATCCTTTCTGGGACTTAAGTGTTCCAGTTCCAACAAATCCAAATTGCAAATTGGATAAATGTCTTGAACTTTTTACAGTCAAAGATGTACTTGATGGTAATGAAATGCCCTACTGTGATGTAAGTTTATATAAAATTATATTTCATTGTTTTCTTTTAAACATTTTTAATTCTATTTCTAGTTTTGCAAAGCGAATAGAAAATGCATAAAAGGATTTACAATTCAGCGGTTTCCAAAATATTTAGTGATACGTAAGAAGCAAAAGCACATAAAAAGAATGAATTAAAAAAATGTCATTAAAAATATTTATAGATTTGAAAAGATTTTCTGAAATGCGCTGGACAAAATTGACAAATATTGTTGAATTCCCGATTGCTAAACTTGACTTGACGCCTTACGCTTCTGAATCAATGGAGAAAAGTGATCCTCCACCTGTTTACACACTGTATGGTATCTCGAATCATATGGGTGAGTATTTTTATTACACACACTACTGAAAACATAAAAGATTGTTGAAACATTGTGAAAATGAAACACAAAACTGTTCATACTTCACAAAAGAAAAATTCACCTCAATAACGAATGTGAAGAGACTTTAGCCGAAAATGTTTAACTGGAGGTTTGGCGCCCTCTGTAATCTCAGCTTCTGAGAGGTTGGTTTATGGACTGATTTGAGGTTGGGAGCCCTGTCTATTGAACGGGCATGTTGACGGTTCGTCCGCGATAAGCTTGTCATCAACATAGATCATTATACGGAGGTATTGGTGGTCTAGGTTGCTAAGGAAGAGGGCAAAGGGCTAGAATCGAAAGAGAGCAGCCAGAACTTCTCGTGGCAAAGCAGTATCACGGATGGCGGACCAGAGTGAATCCGCCAATAACAGCTCAATCAATACAATCACACCATAAACTTTTTTGCTATTTATTTTCATTTATTTTTTTCTTAATTATTTCATTTTAGGATCCACTCACGGAGGTCACTATGTCGCATCTTGCAAACATCCAGTGAACAAGAAATGGTTCGAATATAATGATAACTTGTGAGTTGAAGTTAAATTGATTGATAAATGCGTCGAAAATATTTTCTTTTCTTAATTTCTTTTTAGTGTTAGCGAAATAACTGAAAGCTCGTTGGTAACTTCTAGTGCCTACCTTCTGTTTTATGAACGATTGTAGATAATCCAAAACTATAATTATTGAGCGAACATAACATCGCCTCCTACTTATATAACTCATACCAAAAACAGCAAAAGAATCACTTACCTACCTAAAAATTTTCAGAGTGCATAAATAATTTCTATGAATTAATCTGACGACTTCATTCAATACTACCTACAACTGTTTTTGTTTGATTTTGAGATTAAATCGTGTTTATTTATTTTTATTTATTATTAATTTAATCTCAAGAAGTCGTAGCTAGTGAGAAATGCTATTCTTCTCTTTCTTTCTTTTTAATGAAAGTGCAAAAGAAATTGAACAAATAAAAAAATTATTATGAATTGATTGAATTATCAAAATTTTAGGAAAAAGGAAACATTTTATTTCATTTTTTTAATAATGTTTATTTCAAAAACGTTTTTTTAAAAGTGTTTTCTAATATTATGTTTTCATTTATATCCAAAGGTGATGCAAACTATTCGAAGAATATTACATTGAAATATTATTTTTGATTTTTTTGTTGTTGTTCATGTTTGCAAAGCATCGTTAATTTGTTTTTATTTTATGTTTCGTAACTTTTGTCTTTTGTGGAGTACGAATAAAAGTTATATTTATGAAGTTTTTTATTCGCGCATTACAAAAATACTTTTAATTTTTGATTTACTTAGGTTGATTGCGTGGTGGTGTAGATATTTATGTAAAAGAATGAAAAAAGAAGATTTGAGTTTAATTTTTTCTTATCATCTATTTTTTATGAAAACTATTAGATCACTGTAATTCACAAGTTCATAGCTTAGCAAGCTTAAGCGACGTACATATTTTAATGATATATGTTTGTGTATAAGAAAATGTTGGTAAAGTTATGCTTTCGACACCTGCACTTGTCGCGATGAGAAATGTTTTTGATACGTTTTTATTTGATTTAGTTTTAGGAAAAGTTTTTATTCTTTCCATTCTGACAAAGCATTGAATTTATTATTAAAAAATGAATATTTATAACAAAAGGAAACTAAAGTTTAGTACAAGTTGAGAAAATTAAAGAGAACATCAATGAAACCACCAGCAACGGTTTAATCTCTTGAGTTGAGTCAAAAAAGTTGGAAATTTTTGTTTCCGTTTAATGATGAAGGTTGAGAAAGAAATAATAAAATAAAAGTTTAATTACAAGTTTCACGTCTGACAAGTTTCACGTCTGAATAATGAGGGGTTGGACCCTAAAGTTTAACATGTTAAAAACTATTCTTATAATTTGTGTGAGATTTGTGATTAAACCAAAGCGAAAAAGTTAACAAAGATATTTTGACTTAATCATGAAATGAACAAAAAAAATGTCATAAAATTTCATGAAAAAAAAGGAATTGCTTGAAATGATTAATTAATTTCCTTTACAAAAAGAATCATTTCAATTTGCGATATAAAATGAATAAATGATGAGAGAGATTAACGTTTGCCAGGAATCATTTTGTGCGAAATCATTTCCTCTTTCTCCAATTTTGATTCATAATCATCCAAAAGATCAGTGCAAGGTTTTGCATAGAATGACAGTTGACGGAAAAGTTCTTTTCCTCGTTTGCAGAAGGCTAAAGAAGAATTTAAATTAAACTTTAACAATCTTCTAATAAATGTGAAATAAAATTCTCACCATCCTGGTCGTAATCTGGATCATTTGTCATTCGACACAAATCCATCAGTTCCGGTACAAATTTTGAGCTGAATTCTGCCATCAGCTTCAATTGATCAATCATTTCATCTTCTACTTGTTGAAGTTCTGATATGGCGGTATGTTGATTGTATAATTCCACACTCATGTCATGTTCTTGGAAAGGCTAAATTGAAATTAAAATAATTAAAATTTATGTGAAACGCTGATCCAGACCGAACAAGGAAAGTTCTCTGAAAAATTAACTTACATTTAATGAACCTAAATGTGCCAGATCCATGTTCTTTCCACCACCATTCTGATCATTTGGCTCAACTTCCATCGTCACTTCATCGTTATATTCATTTCTTTCAGAAGGATCGATGGCAACCAGTTCCTTCACTCGATTTGCATATCTAAGCGTGTTAAGCGTGTGTTCGCACGATGATAATCCTGGACTTATCATGGCGATCATACACGTTTTACTCTTCTCACCAATGAATGAATCGCGCAAAACCTGTGTGAGTTTACTCACACGAAATGGTAAATGAGCATTTTGTTTCCCCAAAGCGCGAATACATTCCTTCAGTGCCAAGAGAGATTTATTAATTTCAGCTCCTTCCATACGCGTCTGCCGATTTGCTGAGTTCGTATCAGCCCCACGCTCATTACCAGCTAAATCAATAAAAGAGAACTTTCCATGAATCTTCACACTTCCCATTGGACGCACGACAATTTGAAAAACGGCATGTGAACGCGATGAGTTTGCATTTGCTGATGTTACTCCAGATGTTCTCGTGCTATTCCCATGTTGAATTAATTTTAAAACATCATCAACACTGTCAACAACACGCTCTGTTAATCCAACGACTTGAACTTGTTGCTTTCCATCTTCAAGAACACGCAACTTATTCTTTTCTGAGAGTAAATCAAAAACTTTTCCACTATAAATCTCAAAGAACGATGCTGAAACTGTGAGGTTCAAATGACGATATTTTGGACTCTTTAAATAACCGAAAACATCTTTAGCTGCCATGGCATAAATGCCCGTCTTACAATCTTGAACTTTTCCATTAAAATCGCCACCCATTGTGTGCGTCTTTCCACTTCCTGTTTGTCCATAAGCAAAACATGTCGCCATCCCACCGTCAAAGATTGTCTGTACAAGAGGCTTCGCTGTATATTTATAAACTAACTCATTATTACATCCGTCATCAAAAGCATAATCGAAGCGAAAATTGTGATTTTCCAGGAACTTCGTGAGGTCAACTTTTGTCTTAGGTTCATGCACAATGAGCGTATCTTTTGTTGGAACTGTGATGACATCGAGTTCCTTCTTCATAATTTCTTTTCGAGATAATGGTCGTTTTCGTACGCATACTGTTATCTGATGATCATCGACTGCTTGCCCGTCCATTAAAGGACGAAAGTCGATGGTTGATTGATATTCTCTGGAGAAATTAAAATGAAATTAATAAGTAATTAAATTAAATATGAAATGTTCACCTTATCATTGCTGCCAACTCCCAATTGGGATTGCCTGGGTCCATGTTCATCAGTGCTGTTTTCTCTTCCTTCATCTCTAATTGACGAGCTCGACGCTTCTCGCGATTCTCTTTAAGACGTTCGACTTCTTTCACGACATACGATCGTCGACTAGCTGCGTTGTTTGACATCGCTTGTAGTTGTTGCTGTGGTTGTGTCGGTTGAGCGTTTAGTGACATTCGATTATTTCCCAACTGTCGATTACATCGCAATTATATTTTTTATCGATTTAATGTTTATCAAAAATTCATATCAATTTACCTTTTGTTTTGTTGCTTGTGGTGGTAAATTTTCTGAATGCTCTTGACCGTTGTGATTGTTGGAAGCGGGCACTGCTATCTTTGAAGCACGACCTCCTTTATTTATCAATTAAAATAATTAAATAATTAATTCTTTTTCTTATGTTGCAAGAAGAATCGTCTTAGACGATTTTATTTATTAACAAAAATCTGATCAGACGCAAGCAAAGAACTCTCCACGATTATTTCTCGATGACTGAGAGAAATTTGAAAAGTTTTATGTTTTCCTTTTTCAACTTATTTATGATTGAAAACAAAACAAAAGGAAAATTTTCTTTTTTTCATTACACGAAGTTGTTATTTTCACGCCAAAAAGCTTTTCAACAATGTAAAAAGAATTCTTTTCGATATCGAAAGGAAATTTGTGTGAGGTCAAATTGGTGACCGTGGCAACAGAACAAAGTCCAACATATATCAATTATTATAACTAATTATGACGATGTTATTATTTGTTTCATTATCTTGATAATAAGCACACGAAAGAAAACAACTAAATAATAAAACTCACCATTAATTCCAGCACTGGCTGCATTGCTTGCTCGTGTCAGTCGTTGAATATTGCCCTGGGTTGGATTCTGTTTATGAAAAATAGAAAAATTATTAAAGATTTCTCAAATAAATCATTTTAAAATCAAAAACCTCTATTTACACATGAAAAAAAAACTTTAAACCAATTTTTTTGTGCAAATCTAAATCATAATTGTGGTCACAATAACAACATCAAGTAAGAAGACAGATGAAGAAACTTTCCATCATATTTACAAAAAATAATAATAAAATTTGAAATCAACCAAAGAAGAAAGCAATTTCCAAAAAACATTAAAACTCTCATTGAGACTTTAATTTACCAATCGCGAAGCATTTCCCGACGTTTTAATTGGTAATGTATTTCCTGATGGAACATTTGCTGCTGGTGATTGTTGATCAGCTGCCATTTCATCTTCTTGTTCATCCAAATATGCATCATCGTCAATTGAAGATTCAGATGAATCCTTTTTTGTTTATTTTTGTTATTTGCGTTTATTGGTTTTTAATTGATTGAATAATTTTTGAGAGTAGAAGTTAGACATGAAAAAATGTCAAAAAGTTTAATTTTATTTATTAGTTAGTTACGAGTTAGTTGAGAGAGGGCTTTAATGACTAATATATGAACAACCTTCTTTTTCTTCCGCTTCTTTTTACTCTTCTCGTCTTTGAAGAAGTGTATGAACATTGAAAACATAAACTAGATTCGAATAATTTCACTGATTCTCTTAATTCTCTTAAATAATTACCACAAGACTTTCACTCAATTTAAGTGATCTTTTTTAAAAAGAATAAATAAGTTGGAACGTGTCACGTCGAAACATAAAACGAATTCAATTGAAAGAGATGGAAGGAGGAAAAAAAATAACAAACTTCAATGGTTTCCATAACAGCTAGCAGTGACTTCAATAATGTTGAACTACTCAAGAAAATTGCACGCGACCTAAACAAAGAATCGGTTGATGAAAATTTCATTTCACGGTCGCACAATGTTCAACGTTTTAACAGATATTTAACTTATCATCGCTTGGATTTACGTCAGAGGTCGAAAACTTAGGTCAGTTCATACATAAAATCCGATTACTTACTCGTTGCAAATTGGCTGATGTTATTGCTGATTGTGGCGGCACTACATAAGACTGTTTGTTCTGCATCAGTTCGGGATTCAATGCCAACAATATGTCCAATTCAACTTCCTTGCCTTTTGTCTCGCCACGCTCATACCATTCAACAGTAACTGAACGTTGAGCTGGATTGAGCTTTGACACCATGGCCGAATGAACGCGACCTAAAACAACAAACATTTTCTTAATTCTCTTATTAAATGAGCTGTTAAATGATTTTCCCTAACTAAATTTTCTGGATTTTGCACGATGTCGAGCTTTTGCTGACGGTTTCTTTCTCGACATGCATGAGAAATACTTTGAAAGCCATGAAGGCATAATTAACATGAACAACAGACAACAATAATAAACTTTATAAATATTTCAGGAATCTTTTAAGGATTGTCTTGAAATCACATTAAACAAGGAAAACACAACACAAATTTTCCACTTTTCATCAAAATTTTAAAAGTGTTCTGATGTTTTTTTTTTTTGTGTGTGCTTAACTTGTTCACTTCGCGCTTGTTTCGGCTTTTAGTTTTTTTTTCTCTTTTTTTCATTTTATTTTTCGTCGTTTGATCAATAAAAGCTTATTACGTGCTCGCTTTTTTACGATTTGGTTCCAGTTTTGTTTTTTCTTCCTCTTCTCAAATAGAATGCATGCAATGACCGACCACATTGTACCACGACGACAATCAATGAGCATATTGTTAGAAATTTGTGATCGAAATGGATGATTAACATCTCCGCTATAGTTAAGTTAATTTCATCTAAATTATCGGTTATGAATTGAGTGTCGTAACAATTTTAAATTAAATTTATATCTTTTATAGAAACTGAAACTCATGGCAACATTTAAATGTCTCGCATGTGGCTTTAAAGTGTTAGTAGTCATCGTGTATGTAGCTGCTAACTCTGAGATGCTGGAGGTGTATGAACTTCCTTTTTTGGTTAGGCACAGATTATCGATTGTCTCAAAGTATAGTTTGTTGTCTGTTGTTGTCTTAACTTGGTGATGCTGCTAGTATATTCAGAGGCTTTTTTTTTCTTTTCGTTTCGTTTTTTTTGTTTTGCTTTTATTCTTCGAGAGTTAGAGGAGAATTGAATCATACATGAATCACTCGCAATGTATTCGCTTAGTATTGGTAAAAACTTGATTGTGACTAATCAATCAGCTGAAGTAATTCCGTTAGTAAATCCTTTAGATAATATCAAAATTATTTTCCATGAGTTCTTTTTATTATTCTATTGGGGGAGTTCACGTTAAATAAACGTCGTCATGTTAATTACTAATTTATGAAATTCATAACAAAAAAAATTGTTCATTTCTATTTATGAGTAAAAGGTTTAATTTATATTTATCCCTTCCCTTAGAAGTTCATCCTCCTACACTTTAGATTTTGTGTTCTTTTCAATTTTTTAGAATCATTAATCATTTAATTAATTAATATCTATTTGAGCAGCCGACTCTTCAACAGAAAATCATTCAATATTGAACCATGAACTAATTCATTACGGTTTTTAAGCAACTTCAATCTATGGATTCAAGCGCAACAGCAAAGTCGTAAACAAACGAATGAAACAAGCAAGGAAACCACGAAATTTACTTTGAAAAACTGCAAATTGCACACAAATAAATATTCAGATGTCCATATTTTATTATTCAAAAAAAGTGCTTGAATCTTTATTTCCATAAAGAGTAAAATCGCAATGGTTAAGGTTGTAGTAACAGTTAAACCTGATTTACATATATGTAGGACATTGCAAAATACTGACTCAAAGTTAGAACCCCGAATAGATTTTTTTATTTTGTCACAGTAAAATATCTGTCTAATTCATGTAAAAGAGAGGATAAATTTTAAATGTTGTTTGTCTGCTATGGTCTGAAATATAACAATAGCAATGTGAATAGAAAATGACAAAATCGCATCGAGCACATCAGCTTTTTTTTCTTTCATTTAACTCTCTTCATATGGTTCACATTTGTTGGACTATTTAGAACTTTTTTATCTTGCATAGTTTCAAATTAACTATTTATGTTGTCAAACATACCATGAACCATTGGATAATGCTTTTAATCTTTCAGAAACTAGTATTTTTATGTTCTGAATTGACAGAAGCTAACAAAATTTTTTCACAATCATGGACTCACCATCGCTTCTTTTGATATTTACGCTGTTTCCAACCTCGATCTTACAGCTTTCCATTGTTGGCTTTGTTTAACGAGCTTCCTATCTAATCAATTTGCTCTCATAAAATCTCAGAACTGTTTTGTTTCCAACTTTTAGGTCGAAAAAATTTTTTGTTGAGATATTTTCGATTCAAATCAAATTGTCGGTTGATAGGATGGAATCGAAAATGACGTTACCATGAAAAAATTTACGACCAAGAATACAATAAAACTGAAAATGATTGACTGATAACTATCGTAATTTTTGAGTAATTTGCAGTTAATGACAAAATTTTGGGTGATTACGAATTGATATGAGAATTTGAACGTTTTATGAAAGTGTCGGAGATGACTCGATTAATCCATGTCCAAATGGACAAATTTCCAGTGAAAAATCGAGGGGCCAGTGCAAATAACTTACGATTGTTATTAGTTCCTTCAGTGCTACAAATTAGACTTTTTCATCAAAAACTATACATTATTTAAAGCCACTACTTAAACGAAAAACAAGTCATCATTTAACTCATTAGGAATTAGATGTTAATGTGAAATGTGTTGAATTGTGAGAAGAAAATAAATGAATAAAAATGGGTGAACCGCAAATTGAAGACGTTTTAAAAAATATCTACGATTTATACGAAGGTCCTGATCTTGCTTTAAAAGAAAAAGCATCGACATGGCTTGCGGATTTTCAAAAATCTGTAAGAAAACCGAACTAATTTAATGAAACTTTAAGTAATAAATGTTTTTATTTATATTTATAGATTTACTCATGGAAGGTGGCGGATCATCTTCTACAGCAGAAAAATGACTTGAATTCTTGCTATTTTGCAGCACAAACAATGAGAAGTAAAATTCAACACTCCTTTCACGAGCTTCCTGAATCCTCACATACTTCTCTTCGCGACTCAATTGTTTCTCACATCGAGCATATAACTTTAGAAACAAATCCAATTATAACAAAACAACTTTGTTTGGCTCTTTCAAATCTCGTTCTATTGATGGCATCATGGGAGAAGCCGATAGAGTTTCTCCTTGAAAAGTTTTCTTCCAAACATGACTCTATTCAACCTTTACTGCTGACTTTAACTTACATACCCGAAGAACTTGACGCGCGATATCTTCGACTTGGTGACAATCGACGAAAACAAATCATTAAAGAACTCGAAAGCAGTTCACCAATTTTAATAAATTTCCTTCAGAGTTGCTTAACGAACAGTGATGGGGCTTTCGCTCAAAAGATTCAAATCGATGTCATATCGTGCTTCACATCTTGGGTGAAAATGAACTGCATCCCATTATCAGATGCTTCAGGTTCTTACGTCTTCTCATATGCTTTTCAAATACTCGTAAATCCTGCTGTATCAAGTGAAACTTGCCTCGACAAAGCATCTGATTGTATTTGCGCCGTTTTAGAAGCGATGGAATATAACAAAGCATCACCTCAACTTGAGAAAACAATTTTCGATGGAATTATGCAATTAGAAAAAGCTTATCAAGATTCCTTGGTGCAAGAAGATGCTGACAAGTCGATGATTTTATGTCGAATACTGACTGTTCTTGCTGAAACATTTCTACCACGAATGGTTTGTTTTTCCAACATAATTTCACCACATTACTCGATAAAAGTCCTCGATAGTCTCATCATGTGTGTTGGTCATTATGACTTTGAAGTTGCTCAAATTACTTTCAACGTTTGGTACAAATTAAGTGAAGAACTTTATGACAAGAACAATGACGAAATTACGAAATTATTCGAGAATATCATTGGGAGACTTATCGAAGCACTTTATAAGCATTGTCAAATTGATGCTGATCATGAGGGGCTCATTGACACTGAAAGTACTTTTTCCGTAAGTTAAAAATAGAAAATTTCTCCTGAATAGATTTTAATGACAATTTTCATTTAGGAATTTCGATTTAAAGTATCAGAACTCATCAAGGATGTGATCTTCATTGTCAAAAGTATAAGTTGTTTCGAGAGAATGTTTCGAATCTTACAAACACCGAACGTGTCATGGGAAGCTACAGAAGCAGCACTTTTCATTATGGAAGCTACAGCAAGAAACATTTACACTGAAGAAGATCGAATTGCACCACAAGTTATTGAAGCAATTCTCCAACTTCCTGATAATTGTCACATTGCAATTCGTTACACTTCAGTGAATATTCTCGGTCAACTTTGTGATTGGATTGCAGCCCATCCGACGGTATTGGAAAGAGTTTTAAACTTTCTTCTAAATGCATTACAAAGGAAAGAAAGTTTAGCATCAGCATCAGCTCAGTCACTACAATTAATCTGTTCAGCATGTCATCGTGATATGATTCATCATATCAGTGGACTTATTGAAATTGCACGTTGCTTAGAAATGTTTGAGATTGCACCAGATGCTGCAATTGTTTTATTAAAAGGAATTGCAATCATAATCAATCGATTGCCATCTGAACAGATATTAAATGTGATGAGACAATTGTGCGGATTCCAAATAACTCACATTCATATGTTGATGGAGAAAGACAACAAAACCGACCCAACACAATGGATTGATCGTTTAGCATCAATTTATCGTCATGTTAATCCTAAATTAGAGAAGAATCAGCAACAAGAGAATCCTGCCACAATTGTCATCTTGGAGCATTGGCCTGAATTATCTCGAATGATTGATTGCTATCAACATGATGCAAAAATCATGGAAAGGATTGTTCGTTGCATTCGTTATGCCATTCGATGTATCTCAGAGCAATCATTGCCAATTCTTGAACCTTTAGTGAAGCAAATGGTGGAAGTTTATGCAACACACACACATAGTTGCTTGCTTTATCTTGGCAGCATTCTAGTCGATGAATTTGGTCACGATATGAGATGCGTGAATGGACTTCTTAAAATGCTCGAAGCATTCATCGAGCCAACATTCAACATTCTTCAAATGGAGAATGGATTGAAGAATCATCCAGACACAGTCGATGACTTCTTTCGTTTAGCTGTTCGTTACATTCAACGGATGCCACTGCATTTCCTTCAAAGTCCTATTGTATCGCCAATTATACAATGTGCAACACTTGCTTGTACCCTCGATCATCGTGATGCTAATGCTTCGGTTATGAAATTTATTTCGAACCTTTTGGCACATGGAAAACCAAATGGCAATTCTGAAATTCGTCCTTTTGTTCAGCATATTGTGGAGTTACAAGGAGAAACTTTAGTTGGAAATTTACTTTACTCCTCAATATTCTGTTTGCATCATAATATGTTAGGAGATGTTGCTGATGCTCTTTTGGAAATCAAAATAATAAATAATGATGCGTTTGGTGAATCCGTGCAGAAATCATTGAGTCAACTTCCAAGGAAAAATGCTGGTGGATCTGTAACAGCGACTGACACACAAATGGCTGAATTTTATCAATGCATTACCAAGTAAATTTATTAACTTCTTTATTCTCGATCAATAAAGAAATTAATGAAATGTTTTCTTCTTTTTCAGAGCAAATGTAAGTGTGCGACAAGTGACACATGCACTTGATGACTTTTGTCGATTGTTTCGGTAAAAAAAATGAATGAAAGGCAGCATTTTAGAAGTGAGACAACATGGAAACGAATGGAACATAAATACAACAAAATAATTAGATTAATAACAATTAATGTATTCAATATATTGAAAATAAAAAGAGAAAATGTTAAACTTGAAAACTTCATTTTTGAGCTCTTTTTTTCATTTTCTTTCACAGTGAAATCGACAGACACGTCACGATTTGATGCTCTTTCGCATTTATCTATCTAGAATATGAAATAAAAACAGGGAACCAAGGCTAAATATTTATTTCAGTGTTGACATGGAAACACAACAAAACACAAACAAAAAGCTTTTATTTTATTCAGTCGAGAGTAACAAGTACGGTGAATCGGTTGTGCTGAAAATTATTTCGTAGTTGATCTAATTAGAAAAGAAAATATAAATCAGGCGGTTATTTAACAACAAGAATGTTCAATTAAATTATTCGATCAATTTGATCATAAGCGGAACATAAAAAAATGATAAAATTAAAATTTAGAAGTTTGTGGTTCTCAGTTTGCTTTTTAATAAAGTTTGGATTATCATTACACTCGAATGAATTGAAATTTAAACGTTCAGGTAAGCAAAACTTTCTCTAATATAAAATAATTTATCTTGTCTGTCATTTAAACATTTCACCTGATAACTTTGAAACGATTTATTATTAGTAAATAAAAATCTACACATAAATGCGTTTTGCGCCACTTATTTTAATGTTACGGTTGAGAAAGCATTAAAAGTTCTACAGCTAATACGAGAAGAAGAGAACAAAGCTTTGATGTCATCAACAACGCATTCCATTGAATTCCAAAAAATAAATAATGTTTTTAATCGTTTCATGTTGTACATACATCTTTTTATATAATATAAAGCAATATGTACATAATGTTAGATACAATGAACTGATCGAAAATCCAATTCAATGGTCAAAGCTTGATGACTATCGGCTAAATATATTTTAATTTTGCAAACATTTTCCGTATTTCAAAACACTACCAGATGTGTTTGATATATAAATAAATAATCAAAATAAAATTAGTTTAGTAGTGCGTGAGAAAAACCTTCATAATTTATCGTGATTATACAAATATGTTATCACGGACATTAAAAGTCCGTCTTCTAACATCAAACATGACATATTTTCACTGTCCAATTTGTAACATAATCACGAATAGAAATCTAGGACGATTCGATTAATCATGTTATCGAAATGAAAGAAAAAAGGAAGGAAACAAATCAATGATTATTATTCTTACACTTTCTAAAACCTTTAATAATCTCAAACATTAAGGAAAGATTTTTGATTTTTCCTTCTTTCACGATATGTTTTAATAGCAACCGACTTAATTATCGATTAAATAAAAACAATGTAAAGTTTGACAGATTTTCCGTTTACTTCATAAATAAATGTCTCGTCGTTTTATATTTTTGAATGCTTATCAAAAGAAAGTTTCATGCATTGTAGTCATAGAAATTCAACTGAAACTCAACGTGGATTTATCGATAAAAGAAAAACAGGAAGAAGGGAACTTTATGACTTATATGTTTTGCCACATAATTATATTAATCGAAAAATATATGTTGAGGGAAATTTGCTGTTATTATGATAACAATCAAGCTTTCCTTTTCAGAAGCATATTTGGTTGAAAGTGACATTCAACCATCGGAACAAGATGTACCGTTAGAAGATTTTTTCTGGACAGGTTCAGGTGATGGGCCTTTGTATGTCAAACCAAACCCACCACATGACCATAAGCATCCAAATTCATTTGTTCGTACTGCGACGATCTTGGCAACGGTTTACATTGATGGAAATTATGTAAGATTAACTAAACATTGATTGCATTCAATGAAAGTTTTTATTGTTAGGAATCTGATGTCGACCCTCTTTGTGTGTTTGATTGCGATAAGAATTCAGATGAGAGAAAAGTTGTGGAATCTTTTGAAAGAATTCCAGTAACTGATCGAAGATATTGGCTTTTGACTGTCGTAGCAGGAATTTTGAGTCCACAAGATTTTCCAATTCTTGAAGAGAAACTAGCGAAGCTTTATCGAATTGCATTTCTACGTCAACAAGCTAAACATTTGGGAATTGCAAATGGATTTCATTCAGACACAAATCAAACTGATCCCGATCATGTTACTAGGAATAAAAGATTTGTCAATAAGTTTATTGAACCAACAAATACTTCCTTCAATGGATCGCATGTTACATTTAAAAGATTTGAAATAAATCGACATGTTTATGAACGTCAAGTCAGTAAAATGAGAAAGCAACGACGATCTACAAAATGGCTTACAGATTCAAACAATTCAAAACTTCCACTTCAAATTCTTCTTAAAGATGTTGCGAAAAATCAAAATCGAACATTTGTCTCAAATCAAAACTTTATGCAAAAAGTTTTCGTAATGATTCACAAACTAGAGAAAGGGAATGAGATTGACACTGAAAAGAACACGCAACATGATGATAATCTCAATCAAACAGAGATTGTGTATTCGGTAAGCGTGGGTGGAAAGCCCGTGTTGGCTGCAACAGCTGCTGAAGATATGAAACTTATCGATATGGATGAAGTTATAAAAATCATGGAAAATGATGTTTTTCTCAAAGCTGAACGTGAGTTTATTGATAACAGTTTTAAACTAGTAAATAATTTATCGCAATAATTTCATTACAGCTTATCTTAAAGATCCGCAAGCGACACCACTCAGCCCATCATACATGAATTCATCAAGTACTGTTTCCACTTACATCAATCAAAATCCTATTTTAATTGGACTTTTATCATTGGCGTTGATTCTTTTAATACTTTTAATCATAACTTTATTATTTTATGGACATTCGAAAAGAAAATTAATTGCCGAGTCTAAACGACAACAAGCAACACAAGCACTCGTTCAGAAGATCAACGTTGATGATGAAATTCGAACATTGTGTTCAGACTCGGTTGATGTTGTTAGTGGTGTTGATAACTTTGCATTTGACAAGGAATATGAGGGCGGTGATAAAAAGAAACCTCCAGTTTTACATTTCCCATTGCCACCTGCAAATCGTCCATCATCAAGCAGCAGCACAACTTCAGATTCTTCATTTTATTATCCCAAAAGAAAATACAAATTAAACAACATTTTAAATCTTTTCAATGAAAATAATGAAAATGTTAATGATGACCTCGAAACAATTTACACAAAAGTTCAAAGTGCTTCAAAGTCCTCTAAAAGTCATTCGAAATCAAATCGACGGAAATATCGTTCAAGTAATCGAGTCAGTTCAGTGGAAAATGTTGACGTTCACACATATCATGGAGAACGAAATGCTTTCAATGATGAATCGTTTAAAGATGGTCAAGTTGAAGATGAATTAAAAGCACGAAAGGAACATGAAAGTGGAAAATATTCAACAGCAGAAGCGATCAACAAAGAATTGATTCAAAGGAAAGCAAGAGTTGCATCAGCTGATAGCAACAGCATTGGATCATTTCTTTCAATGGTTTCAGTCAGAAGTTTTCCAAAGTAAAATTATCTTCATGTTAATGCTTTTAAAGAATTCATTAACATTTTTCTCCTTACAGATGCACAGTTCCTGAGCCTCTTTCACGTGTTCTTGAACCAGTAAGTGTCACTCATTTAGATCATTCGGATGGTGATTACGAAAATTTCAAGAATTACAGAACGATGGAGTCGAATGATTTTGATGAGGTTGAAATTGGACAAGAAGTTCCAATTCACAGTGATGGAGCTGATCCTGGAATTGTCGGTCCCGTGGTGTGGGAAATGCATAAGAAAGGCTTAGATCAATCAATGAATCTTCTGAACAGTCCACTGCGTAATCCACATCAGACACAAAGCAGATTTGAAGGACTGTTACAAGGTGCAATGAAACTTTACGGAAGTTCAAGCTATTCCAATTGTCATTCAGCATTACATAAAGAAGAGTCTCAACAAATGCCGGGTGCAATAAAAACGAGAGACATGCGAGGGAAGTCAGCAGCAACGATAAGATTGACATCACGAACATTCGGTCTTTTATCTCGATCGGATCTTCAGGAGACACGTCCAATGACTGCTGGTCCAACAGTCAGTCAACAAGCACAACAAATTCCTTCTATTAAAGCTTGGACATCTGGAAGTGGATCGCAACTTGTCCGGCCACTCAGTGCAGGAGTTTATCATAAGCCAAATTTATCGATAGCCGTCGAAGAATTAGAGAATTCTCAATTAAAACAGACAACAAGTGCAAGTCCTATCCTTGATGCTATTCAAAATGAATTGAAAAGATTTAGCAACGAGGAAAAATAATTTTAAGATTCACTGCCATTAGAATTAAAGTAAAAATCCTTTGCACTAACTTTTTTATATTTAATTAAACTTTTAATGTAAAATAAAACATTTTGTAATAAGAATTCAACGAAAAAGAAAAAAAAAGAAGAAAACTTATTTTCTTTATAGATATTTGCACATTTCTTTTTTATTTCTTCAAACTTTCTCTCCTTTAAGCTTCTTTACAGGTTTTAAATTCAATTTCTCATAATTTATTTGTTATGCTTACTTAATCAAAAGTTTTCCATCAAACACATTTTTGTTCTAATTATTTTGATGAATTTAGGGGAAGTTAAACTCGCAACATTAGAAAAATGTTACTTTCAGATATCATCGTAATTTATTATGGAAATTCAACTTTCTTTGAGATCAAATTTTCCGAAGCGATTTCTCAAAAATATATCGCAATATGGTAAAATATTTTACAATCATCAGAAGCAGAATTGAATTTCCACCAGCCTTAATAAATTCCACGATGATTTCGAAGCACAAAGTTAACACTTTTCCAGATGTTTAGAGATATTACTTTAATTAAATAATTTCCTGCTTTTAGTGACGAGATTGTGAGGGAAATTAATGTGACCACCCCGACCTAATCTTGGCACAAACACAGTGTTCTCTACAAGTTTGTTGAAGAATTTTTAGAACAAACAAAAAAGAAAAGAATTTTCATTGAGATTATAAATTTTCAACACAAAAAAAAACAAAATTAACTTTCCAATCAACATTGAAAACACTCTCGTATAGTTTAAAGTTATTCTTACCAAATCATCTCTCATATACATATTTCCCGAAAGAAATTAAATATTTTAATACTAGGAAAAAACTCACAGTCAATTAAATATTTTTAATAAAAATGCACGCTGCAAATTCCATGCAAACGTTTAAAACCAAACGAAAAGAAAACTTGAAAAACTCGCAAACTCTTCTTTTTACATATTTTCACCTTGATTGAGGGCTCGCTTTCCAAGCCTTGGGCCAAACCACATGTTGGAAGAAGATGGAGTTGCACCTGACATACTTCTCTTGATATAATCTGACAGCTGTTGGTGATAGAACCTTGAATTTGGTGAACCAGATCGGCCAACTCGTGGAAAAGGAACGAGACCTTGTCGTTTTACTTCATAGCGGCCCAAATCTGTGGATTTATTTATTTATTCGATTAAATCTCACACTTTAATCATTATCATCTACCGTCATAATTCTCAAACAAATTATTCGATGATGGTGAATCAAATTCCGCTAACAAGTCTGGATCACTTCTGCCTACTCTTGGAAACGGAAATAATCCAACGTTTCCACCGCCAGCGGCACGCTTTTGTTTCGTATCATCAAAATCTGTTTGCGAAGTGACAAAACAAAAAAGAAACTTTTTAATTTTTTTACTGTTTCAATTCTTTTCTGTTTTTAATGATCAAACAATATTTCGCTTTTTGAATTTTTCTATTTACAAATTTTTTTAATCACTCTTTCTGTTGTTAATTACACAAAAAATCTTAAAGAACTACCTTCGTCAGCATGACACAATTTCGTAGATATCAACAGTATAAGCACCATGAAATTTAAAATCTTGTTATCCTGAAATGCCCCCATTGATTGACTTTTTTTGTTTTGTTTTCTGTGGTGCGATAAAAAAACGTTTCAAGACTTTGAGAAGAAAAATAAACTGAAAACTCTTAGACTACAGGTATCAATAATCAAAAACCAAAGTTTCTTGTTGAATACCTCGAAATCATTTAACATGATGCTGTTGATGTGTTGCTCCTTTTATACTTTCAACATTTGAATGATTACAGGAAAATCTGTTGAAACACTCAGGCGCAGACGTCATTGAAACGAACGAGAGGATGATGATAAGAAAATGTTGATTAAATGATATCCCAGCATCATCGGCTTCCGTATAGCAAAACAATAAAGGCAAACTGTTGCTTCTGTTGTGCTTACAAATCACATCGTGGATGATTCAAGTCTGAAAACTCTACTTGAATTCCGTTTTCAAAACATTTTTAACTTAATTTAAAAAGGAGTTGCTTGAATTTCCGAAACTTTCCACAAAAAACGAAATCAAGAAGAGTTCAAGTCTGATGTAAACTTTTAAAAGAGTTCATGATGAAAGAACAATTTTTATAAAATGAAGGATATTTATGTAAGTTTAATGTTTGCTGTTGTTATCCAAGCTTATCTTCGCGAATAAAAAATTCTCTTTGCATCTTTTTTTTTGTCTTACAAATGCAAACCTTTGCACAAAGAAACGAATGTCCATTGAGTTACACTCCGATTGTTTTCACATTAATGTAAAGTCCATTAAGTTTATTATCAACCAAAGAAGATTATGAAACTTAAATAATTATATTTGAATATTTTTAAGAAATCGAAGAGATGCTTCAGACGAAAAACGATGAAAATGTTGAAGATTGATTTTCACAAATTGAAAATAATTTCATTTCTTTATCTGACAAATCGCCTCCAGATTTTGGGACCTTTCTTAAACATTAAGCAAAGGGATGAATGATAGAAGGTTGAAAAGTGTTCAAGTAAAACTGAATGTCGTCGTTTAGAGACAATTTTCTAAAGTGTAAATATTTTCCCTCAGTCTATGACAAATTACGATGAATAAAATTTTTCAATTTCTTAACATTTCTATTTTTACTTCTTTTTTCTTCAATGACCACAAGATATCTCAGTGACGTCATGATGAGATATTTTCATCTAAAACTTTTATGTATTCGATATCCACGTCGAGTTTTATTAATCGGTAAAACGTAACAAAGCTCAAAGTACGATTTCTTATTATAAAGACAAATGTCTTCGAAAAAAAGAAGATTAAAGATCAATCAACGAGGTTTAAATGTTTTTGTTTTATCATTTTATGTTTCTTTCTACTTTTATTTTGCTGTTTCTCTCTAACATCATGTTATGAAGTGAAAGCGTAGGTAGGATTCGTCTTGAGTCTGATGTCGTTCAGTTGATATTTAAACGTCGGCTATGAAATAAGTTGAAATGAATATAAACACAAAATGTTAATTACTGTAATATATTAATTCTTCCATTAAACATTTTATTCTCTTGTTTGTCTTTCACTAAAGTTATAAATGATTTTTCTTCTTTAAAATTGAAATTCCTTTTATGTCTTATTTCAGGCATCCCTAAGTTACATTCCTTTTTTCGCTATGTTTATGTGAACATTCATTTAAAACAACAATTATTATTAGATCCAACCAGTTAAAGTTTTTCCTGATATTTTTGATTTTCCTTTATCTCCGCTGGTTAAAGAAGGTGTTGGAGAATTTGAACGACTTGAAACTTTTGGAACATTAAGATGAGTTGAATGTTTTGGTTCATCATCATCCTTAATTTCATCGTCACTGTCAGTAATTGATGATACTGGTGACACAACATTGAGTTCTGGATTGGATGTGATGGAATTCTTTTTTGATGAGTTACTGTTAGTCGGTTCACAACTTTCTGTTGAAGATGATGAAGAAGTTTGCTTGGTGGAGGATTGAGGTGTGGATGTAGCTGATAATGGTGAAGCAATTTCACTTGGAAATGGAGTTGGTGTAGGTGTTGATGCATTTAAAGTACTGTCAGGAGTCGAAGACCGATTAGGTGTTTGCATTTCTTCTCTAGGATCTTCTTCAATCGGTGTTCTTGCTCGAAAATCTTTAATTGTTAAATGATCTGTTTCAACAGATTGAATAATATTTCCTGAAGTTGATGGAACTTCATTATCAGTGGATTCCTTTATAGTTTCCACTGCTTTCTTCAAAATACCAGCATTTGCTTTAAATTTATTCAAAGCTTTAATTCCACGTGCACGAACTTTTTCATTTTCTATCTGAATTTTGTCATTTTCAAATTTCAATTCCTTCTTAATTTTTGATGTCATAAATTTAGCATAAGCAACTCTTGTCGTGTGACTTACATCAGCAAGTTTAGGATTAAATTCTAACAAACTTTCAGTGTTCATAGTAATTCCGGAATTTTGAGATTCCATTATTTGACGACGCAAACTCTGACGAGAACGTTGACGTTGTAATGCTTCAGATGTTGATCCAATTGGATTATTTCTTCTGGTGCTTTTACGTACCATCGTGTTCCAATCCTCTTTTTTCCTGTGGAAAAAAAAATTCACATCATTATTCAAACATTTACTTAAACTTTAAATATCTTACATCTTAGAACTGGAGCGTTTTCCAATTGCTTTAGCAATTGCACTGAAAACATCTTTAGGTTCTTCAGCACTATGAAGTGTCTCATTAATAATTCCTTCAACAATTCCAATTTGAAAATCTTTCAAAATTCTTCTCTCCATCATTTTTCCTTTCTTTCCAGCAACTTTAAGATGAAATCAAAAATTAATAAGCTAATAAAATATAAAAGAGTTGTAAATGTTACCATTATTTGCATCACGATTAACAGTTGGAGTTTTCATTCCATTTTTATTGAAGATATCAATTAACTCATAACGTAAAGTGCTAATATCTTGACGAATTTCCATGACATCATCTTCAGTTACACCAAAATCATCTCGTTTCCTTTGCTGTAAAATTTTTATTTTTCATTCAATATGAACAACTTAGATATCCTTGTTATAATTTTATAAATTGATTCCACTTAAACTTACTTCATCACAAACATATCGACGAACCAAAAGCTTCATTACATTGTCATGTCGTTTTCTTGCTTTCTCTTGAGATCGTTTCTAAATAATCGAAGACATTATTTTAATGTAAACTTTTTATTTATTTCTACATTGATTAAAAAGGGAAAACTTACTTTGATACTAACAGTACATCTTTTATTCTCCCCACAGCGGACGACTTTAACTGTTGGGAATAAGTTGAAAGGTGGTGGCAATGTCGCACCGTCATCGAAGTAACTTATCCATAAATGAGAACGTGCAAATTTCCATTCCTTGTCACTTCTCTCCGAAATGATTTGATAAGAGTTTGACATCATGGCAATCAGCATGTTTAGCAAAACAATTATGTTGATAACCGAATAAGAGCCAAACATAAGCAAAGCCCAAAAACGAGTGAAACTTTTTATTCCTTTTAAGTCAAAAGCCAATAAATCTACTAAGCCAAAAGACGCCCAGAACAGTGATTGCGATGTTTCAAATAAACTAAAAAAAGAAAATTCATCAATATTTATTGTTTTCTTCAATAGGACTCAAAAAGAAATTTTTACTTTGCAAATCGTCGCCAAACAGCACAAGCTTTCTCTTGATCATCAAAATCTGGTTCACCACTTGAATCATGATAACATATGTCTCTCTCCAAATCCGCATAATACCACAAGAGTTGATTCAAGCCACATCCAAATGCAAACAACACGAGTGTATAAATGAAGAAAAATTTGATGATGTCAATTATCATTCGTCCCAATGACACTTGCAATGGTCTGTTAATTCATCATTCATTTGCATATAAAATTAAAGAAATTGTTGATGTTGTTAAATTGATTAACTCACCCCAGGTGTGGATTTATTGAAAAAATGTGAACAAGTTTGAGAAATGAGAAAATCATTCCAGCTGCGAAAGCGCCTTCAGATAAAAGCATTGGATCAAATGTCGACCATTCTTCCCTTGGAAACCATGGATTTAAGCCAGCTTTTGCATCACGTTGCACGGTATACCATGAAGTAAAACGAAGACTTATCCATGCAACATAAAATGTGTTTGAAATGAAATCCTTTATTTATGGCAATACAAATGAAAAACGGAAATTAATTGAAGTAGCATAATTTGAAAGAGTTTTAATTTCCTTACGACAATATTCCATAAATCGGAAATATAATCCAATAAGCCATCAGAATATAATGACCGTATCTCACCCCAGATCAAACTGACGATGTAGATCATGCAAGCAAATTCAGCAAATCCTGGTAAAGCACCACGTTCATGTGCCTTCCACTCTTCCAAAATTGAATCAATCCAAGGATTGTCAAGCCATTCCAATAACAAAAATTCAACACGTTGACTTGCAGCTCCCAACAAAGCTGTATTAAAAATTTATATCAAACTATGAGAATATTTTAAAAATAATTAATTTACTTAGAAAGAAGGCATAACTTGCTGAGTGTGTGATGAACTTAACGAAAGGTTTCTTCATGAATTGTCCAATTTCTGAGTTTGGCGCCAACATATAAACAGTGCAGTAGAAGGGAAACATTGATGCTAATTTAGCAACTTGAAAACATTGTCCAATCATTCCTTTACGACGAAATCCCGGCAAACCTTCGTACCAAATTTTCGCCAACAATTGTTGTACATTTGGATGAGCTACAAATTGTTTCTGTTTATATTTTATAGCAAGTTTGAGACGATCTAATGTTTGTCTTTCTCCAGGTTCCCAATTTTCACCGTTTGGATTGTAATTCAACATGATTTCAAGTTCATTACTCGTTCTTGAATGATCCAACAACGCTGTTGCAAAATCTTGCGTGTTTTTTCTCATCGCATTATATTCAGCCCGAAATTCGGTTTCCATTCGACTTAATCGTCGTAATTCCCAGCTTAACTCGAATGCAGTTAAAATGGGATCGCGTGAACTCAATGCAATCAACGAACTTGATGATAATGCTTTGTAAGCATTAATGCGTGACTGAAGGATAATTAATAACATAAAATAAATAAAATGAGATTTCAGAGATAGCATCGAGGTCAAACCTGACTGTGTCGAAGAGAATCGGCTTCTGATGATACAACACATTCATCGCAACCACATCTAAGGAAGACATTCAACAAACATTTGAGCAGGAAGACAACATAAAATGATAAAATTACTTTACTTACCGCACATCATGAGGCATTGGTAATGAAGCTCCACGATCAAGCAGAATCTTTAAGATTTCGTAATTATTCTTATGAGCGGCGAGAATGAGTGGAGTAATGTCTTGTGTGAAACTCGATGACGAACGGTCAACTGATTCCCAACTGTACGGGGCACCAGCAATATGAGTTTGTTCTTCATATTGTAAAAGTGTTTCAACTGCTTCAACGTATTCTTCTTTGATAGCATGCAAAAGAGCGTCTTTAACATGAATCTTTTCGTCAAGCAACAAATGAATCAATTCAATATTTTCATTCTCAATTGCGGCTATCAATGCTGATCTTTCCAAAGGATCAACACAATTGATGTTAAGTTCTTCAGGCTGACCACGAAATTCTTGAATAAGTGTTTTCACTGTTGCACAATCACCACGTTCAGCAGTTAACAAAAACTTTTTTTCCGTCGCAGTTAAAATATTTTCAGGAATATTATCAAACTCGTTATCTGAGCCCTCGTCATGAACTATTCGGTTAACATCATCTTGACTTGAAGCATTTGATCTCACTAAATTTTCCCTCGATTCTGATTTCATTGTTCAAAAGCTTTATTTTCTATTTACTTTTCAGAAAATATTCTGTTTAATTGTTTATTTCCTTTTGACAATTTTCCACTTCACTTGACAAGTTTTTCATATGTTATGCTTATCATACTTTCTTTTCAGAACACATTAGAGGTTTCCATTAAAGTATTTGGTTTTCATTGACCTATTTTCTAAAGGGATTAAACATTTTTCAATGTTAAAATGCATTCTTCAATACTTAGAAATTGCAACATTATGTTAAGGAGTAATATCTAAGAATTTCTTTTTTGTTAATTAATTTAAAAATTTAATTAGGGCATGAAATATCTACAAACATTTCTATGAAACTTGAACCCTCCTAATTTTCTTTGTATGCGATCAATCAATCAATCATTTTTTGAGCCCTTGAAAAAATGGAAAACAACTTTAAATATCAACTGCAATAAAGTAAGTTTTCCAATTTTTTTGACGACTTTACATTTAGATATCACTAAGTATTCCTTTTCTTATGATAAAAAATATTACAGATAACTCTCGAAATTTTCCAAACAGTTATAAGCGTTTAAAATTTCGACAGCAACTAAATTTTTCCTTTCAAAATTTATGTGTATTTGTTTTAATTAAATTAAGCTCAATTATTCTCTTCTTACCTTCATTTGAGCTTAAGAATTTACTAGCTTAAGAATTTCTTCAGGTGATGTCTATATACGATTATTAAACTGTCAAAACATATTGGAAAAACTATTTTCCTGGACTTTTATATTATGAAAATCATCATACATGACTTTCTCTCAATTTCTCTTTAGTCGTTTGACACACAATTGGTCAAACAGTTTGATAATAATCGATTGTGAAACCTGAAACATGCAATCAGGACTTAAGACAATGCATAAGATGATTTTTTTACAAAGACATGCTTTCCACATCCGGTGCTTAAAAGGAAATTATTTTTGCATGACTCTCTTTAACTTTTAATGAGAAATAACGACATTTGCAATTTCAAATTTATAATAACACGAGCCGAGCCGCTATTTTCAGACCGCTCTCCCCATCATTGCGGAATTATTTGTATCATTTGAATATTTTTTTCTGTAAAAGAAGTTTTCGCCTAATAAAGTCTGTTTTAAAATTTCGTGACCTTGTAATAGAAAAATTATACAACACAAATGATGCGAAAATAAAGATATCCAAGGAGAATTTCTTAAGCTATTGGCAGAAATTGTGCATTACCAAAAAAATCGAAAGTGCCTTGAAACAAAGTAAATTTTGTTCCCACACTCAATTAATAATTGCCTTCTTGAAATATTCATTGTCATCATACTCATTATTGTTTAATTAGTGTGCAAAAGAGAAAAAAGATTAAAGAGTATTCAAAATCAAACGTGAAAAGATAAAGATTAATTAGTGTTTCTACAGAAATGAGTAAAACAAGTTGCGACAATTTTGAAAAATCCAATAATGGTACGTAAATATTAACTCAATAAATCTTTTGTCGAGTGTCAAAATAATTTAGATAAAGTGATATCATAATCAAAAATAACTTTATAATTCACACAGTTGAAGCATCAACTTCCAACGTCAACAACACAAGTAACAACAGTAATGCTACTCCAAAACGAAAGAATAAAAATAACAAAACTCCTAATAATAACATTAATAACATCAGTTATGAACATCACTTAGAGAAGTGGCTTGAAAATACTTCAAAAATGAACGGCGATGACAATAGTTTTGATAACATTTGGCCATTTATGAATACGCCTAGCTCGTTCCAGCCACACTTGAAGAACCGTAAGAGTGCCGTCCACCCACAATTTCAATATAACGATACAATTTCACTACCTTCGTTCAAAGTGGGTTTTCTTTTAGTCATCTTGTTATTATTTTTTTGTGCAATGACATTGAATATTCATTTTTGCAGAATTCTTCTCAAGACGAAGCACAAATACTTGCTGGTTTCTTAAATCAAAGTAGTAGTTCAAGACAACAACAAATACCGAATTTTATGTATCCACAACAGCACTCACAACAATCATCTTTAAGCAATCATCCGTTAGCGTCGTCTTTTAGCACACAAGAGTTCCACAGCCTCCCGTTTTTTGATAACATGAAAAACGATAAGTCCCTTAATTCAGAACCAGATTTCTTTGACAATGCTAGACGGTGAGTTTGCTTAATTTCTTTTTTCTCTTCATTTCATTAACTATCTTCATTTTTGCAGCAATGAAAGCTTATTGATCAAGGAGAAACAAAATGGAGCAGCGATGTTGAATGAATCGGAAAATAGTCCACGTACCAATGATTTAAGTGTTGATGGTGACCTTGATGATGACGAAGAAGAAAAGCAACTTGATTCGAATAATTTCACTGAGCCGAACGACAAGAAACTTCTTGTCAATCTTTTGAAGCAAATCAAATTTCTTCATGAAACAAACTCAAAAATCTTTCGAAATTTGCATGAAACCAAAGGTAAGAGTACAAAATAGAAATGAAATTTGATTGTTTTTGATTTGCAAAATTAAAATCTTTAGTTGAATTGGAAGCTTTGAAACATGCACCAAGTTGGGGTTTGAGACACCGTAAAGATAGTGTGAGTGGTTTGAGTGTTCACAGTCAACCATTTGGTTATGGTGGAACGGCAAGTCCGGCACCAACTTATTATTCACAAGGTAGAAAAAGAAAGAGTTTAAATTTCTTCATATCTAATTATTTCATCTGAAAGGTGGTTCAAACTATCCCGGAGTCGTGACTGACTTAATTCGTGAAGTGCGTGATGCTGGAAGAATTCGTGATGATTCACTTATGAATCGTGTACGAGCGATGGTCGATGAGAAGTCATGGAGTTTAAATGAAGTGAACATGAGGCTTATGCGAGAGATGGAAGAGATAAAAGTTCGACATGAACACATTTTTTACTTTAGAAAATATTTTTATTTATAGAATTCTTCTTTAGATTCATTTGCAAACGTTGAAGATTGAACGCGAAACAACCGTTGACCGAATAAGCAGATTAGAAGAAGAAGTTCATTTGATGAAAGCATCGCAACTTGCCAGAAAAAATCCATTCCAGAACTTTTCACAATTCCATACACAATTAGAGTCGAGTCTTGCGGCAAATGATCATCAAAACCGAAGCAACAATATGAATTTAAGCTATGGAATCACGAATCGAACAAATGATGGCTTTTTATTTGATGAGAAGTCACAATCACCATCAAAAGACGACAATTCAAATGGTTCACATGTCATGCAGCTTGAGAAAGATACTGTCTTGTTACGACGTGATCTTCAAGATGCATTGGCAAGCAGAAAACAAGCTGAAAATCGAATTCTTGCGTAAGTTGAAATTGTCATAGCATGTTGTTAGATTTTATGTACAATAGTAAACTGTCGTCTTCTAAATCTGTACATTTCTCTCTATCTCTTTATTTCTATATCTTCTTGCTGCCTCATCTTGTAGCTTAGAACATCTGGTAACATCATTAAAATCTTCTACCCAACTAACTGATACAGGTCATCAACACAACAATTTGGATAAAAGCGAAATGAATGAAACAACAACGAAGACACGAATCACTGACAAAAAACAAAATTTTCCCTCGTCACATGATAATCAAATGGAATCAGTGAAAACAGCTAAAGCGTCACAAGTTAAGCTACCAACACCTTCAGGTCCGATAACAGATCTTTAAGCATGTTTGGTAAAAATTATCTTAAAAGTGCCATCAGTTGATTTCATCTTTCTGAACAAAACATTCTTTCTATGTCATTCAAATTGAGCTTAAAATAATACTTAAAGACATTAAAAGCTGCAGTTTCTATTGCAGTTGAACATTGATTGATTTTTGGTGCCTTAACTTTTTATTATCATACTCCAATAAATATTCAAATCGAAACTTTAAAATATTCAATGAAGAACAAAAAACACCAACAAAAAATCACTAATTAAAGTAAATAAATCGATAATAAATCATATGAGATGAGACTACTTATAAGACGATTAATATTTATATGTAACTTTCACTGTCATTTCATCATAACTTATAAAACATTGTCTCGAATATTAAATATTTTATTTATTTTTTTTCTGTAAAAAAAACTGTCAGAGATTTTCTTTTATGTATTTAATTATTACATACGACAATATATTTTTATTTTAGCAGAAAATTTTAAACATTGTTTTAATTCATTCAGGTTTTTCTGTCTTGTTTTATTGAAAAGTTGAATTTTATTTCTTTAAAACTCTACAAACGATATTTCCTAACATATTTCTTAGATTTTCAACCTTTTCAGAATTGAAATGAAGATTTTATTTAAAAAAATTTGTAGCTTAGCATAAAATCTAATCTACATGAAAGTTTATTTAAATTATTTAAAAGAATTGAAGGAAAACAATAACTTATGAATGCATTATGCATCACAACAAAAAACGAAATTAAAATGATTTTCATGACTTAGATGTTTGTTGATTTTAGAAGGCAGAATGCTTCAACGACTAGATACATAACATAAAAACTAAATTGAGCTACAAATATTTCAAAATATTACGACATAAAATGAGGATTGAACATCCACAATTGAAAACAAAAATAAATTATAAAACTTTAACAATTTAAATATTAAATTTATAAGTCTGATTCTTAAAATGTGTGGAAATTTCTGCATATTCCACAACCTAATGCAAACTCCTCGCCAGTTGGTGGATGAACGATATGAAGTGGACATTCATCAGTCATGAGTTGCATAGCTTTAGGTCCAGCGGGACATTTAGGGAGTTTAATTTTCGGAATATTTGTTAAGCGTTGAAAATCATCATGACAAGTGTCACAAAAATGTGTTGTTCCAAAGCAGAAGAACACTGCGACTGAACAGCAGTAGCGACATTTGTATTCAAGAAAATCCATTCCGTGCTTAGGGCACATCTGTAAGTAAAAAATTATTTTAATAATTGAAATTTTCAGTCATGTCTAAATTTTCATTATCAAGAAGGTTTAAGAACTGAAATTTACACCCAACCCTTGTTAGGTTTGTCAGCTTCATGTCCCTTAACACTCAGCTAATCTTAAGAAGTTGTAATCCCCATTAATTAATGAAATTTCTTGGAAAATTTACCTGAGCTTTCGCAATGTCACTGCAACCACCACATACAAGCTCTTCGGGATTAAAGTTCTCAGCCATTTCAACATCACAACGAGCTTCACCGCCGTAATATGCCTAATTTGATTAAGAAAATATGATAATGAAGTAAGCTTTTTAAATTATTTCCAAACAATTTCATTCTCACCTTTTGACATTTGCAACAAACGTAATAAGCGTAACGTTCCATTGCATATGTCGATAAATCTTTTTGATCTGCCATCGTTTCTTTTTCAATTCCTTCGAATTTAAGTCGCATGACAGCTTTTCGTCTTACATCATCTTTCAAAGCATTAATTGGTTGCAATAAATCTGTCAATGATTCGTGATAAATGTCATTTTTACAAATCGGACATTGCGAGAAAGCAAAACTGATTTTCGCTCCATGCCAACGCTTTTGAAGAATTAATTTCGAGCAATGATAATGAAAAACATGTCCACAAATCATTTGAATCGATGGGGCACATGAAAGAGCTTCGGTGAAGCAAATCATGCACATATCGTCACCATCCTGTGTAAGTTTGGGATTTTTAGAGATGAAATTTGATGTTGATTGACATTTCTGATGAAGACACGGCAAACAATTTGCTTCATTTCGAATGCCACCACAGAAATGGCCACATTGAAGAATTTTCGAACAAGCATTTGCCGAATGTTCTTGACATTGTTGTTCGACACAAACATTTCCAACTGACAGAAGACCAGCATTGCCATAAATTCCACAGAAACGACATCGACCAGTTGCATTTTGTGGATCACAAACTATGATATTATGTCCATCACGAAACTCGATGATTCCTTTCAACGTTCTACTGTCAGCAAGTCCAAGCAACCAAAACAATTTAATTCTTCCGCAACTTTCGTGAAGTTCAACTTTTATCGACTCTTCTTCTTCCTTACACACTGTTCGATTATGATTCCAAGTTTTTCGATTCAAATGTAAGAAGCGATCACAATCAAAACACAAAGTTCCACATTCAACACATTCAATGACAGCTGTTGTGATGCTATCATCATGATTGATGCATAGTGGACGTTTATTAATTCCACTTTTACTCCATTGACTCGATGAAAGTTTCATCACATGTTCCTCGTCTAAAACACATAAACTGGCAAGTGCGAGCCACATGGTTGGTGTCTTTAAACACGCTTCGGGTTGTCTGTGAGCGTCATCAAGATGTGTTAGATTCACAATACATTCAGCTACAGCTGTTTTTGTTACATTCGTCCATTTATCTGATAACTTTCCATTCATCATGTCTTTGATTAAACAAATAATGTTTTCAGCAAGTTTGGTCGATGACGATCCACATAAGAACCATCGTGTCTTTAAGTCTTCTCTGAAAACATTCTTTTCTGTTGATTCATAATAACCATGTGATGAATGTGACACAACTGAACCATCGCCATCCGTTCCACTGCTTATTTGATGTTGATAAGTTGGAGCGATTTTCTGCGTAATTAAAGATGACGGCTGAGATACAAATGGCGGAACAATGTAATCTTCTAATTTTACATTTAAATTCTTATTGTTGAGAGGATTCGAACCATTTTTAAACTTCACTTGAATTTGAAGAGACTTGGCAATGATTGCCAGAAGAAAGTCGAGAATTCCAACATTTAATGGATTTAAGAATTTTGGATTTTGAAGAAGGCTGTTGATGTCGCTATGAGGTTGATATTGAATCTTTAGAATTGAACATAAACCTTCGGGTGATATTTCCGGTAATATTCGGCGTAAGAGTAAAGCAACTTGTCGTTGAACTCTTTCACTTCCCGTATGGAGAAGAGTTAAAAGATCTTGAATCAAATCGATTTGATGTGACAAATATGATCGTCCAACTGAACTTCCTGACAATGCCAACACCATGCTTAACATTTCGAAACAATAAACGTCGTTACTCTTCGGCAAAACAACTTCACTTGATGAAACGCCTTTCAATGCATTACTTGAACTTATTGTGCTTAGTTGAAGTTCCCATTCTTCGCGAGATTTCTGTGCTTCTTTTTGTATTGAATGAACAATGTGAACGATAATCTGTTGAAGAAAATTTTATTTTTAATATTTCTTAAAATAATACGACTTAAAATCTTACTTGTTTCTGAAGATTCGTGAGTTTACTTCGACTGAATAAGATTCCAACCATATGTTCTCGTAAATCTAATGAATCATCAACTGGCGATTCAAGATGTGAATCAGTTATTCCAACACCAAAGTTGTTGCTATTTAAATGTCCACCTTCAGTGTTGATGATCAACTTTCCAAAAACTTGATTTGTTAAAACACGAAAAACTCTCAACGTTTCAAGTTCACAATATTTTTGTTGAATTTGGAAAGTGTTTGTTTGTGTAATGCCATAAGAACCTGCCACCGACTCTTGATTAATTTTCTTTTCATTTGAATATCCCAAAAGCTTTATTTGACGAATTCTGATGTTATTCTCGACACCACGAAGTTCAACACGAAAATGTGTATTAGTTTCATCTTTAATAAGAACAGAATACCATGAACCAATGTTTGATTCAGTTTCAACTGATTCAAGGAAATTTAATTCGCCTAACGATGTTCCACTGTACACTGTGAAGCTTGTCACTTTATGCTGTTGTTGTAAAGTAAAATAAGTAAAATCAAAAAGAAAATTAATCATAATTTCAAAACAAAAACCTGCGCTACTTACCGCTAAATCACGACAGTTGTCGATGTGAATATTGATTGATTTACAAACATAATGAGGTCTAATCATTGAAATTTCAATAATTTTCGGTTTGTTTCGATCTTCATCGTCACTTTCCCAAAATGTTTCAGTCGAATTATCGGTTAATGCACATGCCATTGCTTGTCGCGATGAAATGTTAAGCTCGAATACGTCAGTAATATCAACATTGTTATAGACAATGACTTTGTCTTTGGGAACTTTTATGCTGCTTTTTCTTGAACGATTATCTTGTGATTCAATCAACACAGTTGAGAATGTCAAATTTTCTTCATTAAACTCCTCGCTTTTTGACAGAATCTTAGATATGTTGTTGAAAACATGTGAATTGTGTAGAAATTGATGATCATTTGGTCGAAACTTAATGCAGAAACATTGAATAGCAAGTCTTTGAAGAGGCGAACCCGAAGGCAATGAAAGAGTTATGTCAGCAATACTCTGAAGTAATTGATGGAGATTATTCAGTAAAAGATTTTGAATGTAATCGTCAATGTTGGAGATTGCAACTGGATGTTCATAAGAGAAGTCTGATTCGTCAAGATTCGATGACATGACACTCTCGTTCTTGGAACGTGTTAAAGATGACAAGAACCACCACATAATGTCATGAACACACATGGTTTGTGACACTGTCCTTAAAAGCCAATTCAATGCTTGAATTCCAAAAACACTGCAAACGGCTTTCCTCAAATTTCTTCTAAGCAAATGACGAAGTTTGTCAATCTCATGTCGAGCGAAGATGAATTTTATTGCAGGCCGATTCAAAAAAGAATTCTTTGAGAAATCATCTTGACCTTGTTGATTTTGTTGAAGAAAATCCAAAAACATATTTTCAGGATTCTTTTTTGAAGTATCGAAAGCTTCTACGGCATCACCTGTAAGGGTTTGATTAATTAATGTTTAAATTAAATAACGGAGAAAAGAATTCTTACGATCAATAGCTTGCGATGAAGGAACTTCAATGAATGTTTTCAATTTTGGATTGCGAATGTGTTCAGGTACAAGCTTCTTTAAATTCGTAGATGGAAAATTAAGTAAACTGGCATCAGTAGCTATAAACGAAAAGAAAACAAATGAAATATTTTGATTAATATAAAAATAATTAAACTTACATGAATCACATAAACAATTTTTCTTTCTTCTCATCACGACATTTCCACCTCTCGTTCCACCTTCATTTTGATATGAAAGATTTGCTTCATCATTGCAATGATGATTTGTTAAATCACTCTCGCTGATGTTATGCGAATAAAAACTCCAGCCTTGAATCATTGAGAAACTTCGATGAAATTTAATTTCATTCGATTTGTTTTCATTATTTTGATTTTGTTGAATGAATGGATCTTGATTGAAGATGTTGCACGATTCAGACTCGCTAACTTTTGCATTTAAAACATCTAAGCATGTGATGTTCTCTGGTGGCGTCCAAAGAAGATCTGGAAGTGTTGATTCAATTGATTGCTCTCGACCTTTCTTTCCATAACAATTTGGCGATGAATTTTGTTTCTGATTGTAAACTCTTCGGGAATGTTCGTCAGTTGTCGAGAATCGATTCATAGGATTTGCTTGCATCAAATTTCCCCGCATTTTACTTTTAATTGACATGAGATTGTTGCTGTTTGCTTTATTCAACAATCCACCATTACATGAATTAAGATCGAGAAGAAACAAAGCATTGTCTTTCATAGTGTCAACAAATTCGGCTGTCATATTTGAATCGAGTTTTATGTTTTTACTGAAAAACGATTGACTTGAATTGTTAGTCGAATGAGTGGTGAGAATTCTTTTTTGAACGATCGATGGTCTATTGAAAAGTGTTTCATTGACTTGCTTTTCACTTGATGGCATGTATTTGTCACGACAGCTTTCACACATTAAATACCAGCTTGTTGCACCAACACCTTCTTCACCACAATGACCAACCCAACCTTCGCAATAAACGCCACTTGCATTGTAACCTTTTCCTTTTGTTGGACCTCCACATCCAGGATGATTCATTTTCAAATGTTGAGTGAAAGTATTCTGTTGGTGAATACCGAAATTCACTTCAGTGTCGCACAATTCACACCAAACGACATCATCATTAACACCACCAACAGCACCTTGTGCAGCAGCATTCTCGTCACTTATTAACTTTTTCAAATTTACTTTGCATTTCGGTGTTTCCGTTTCATTTGAATCATTTCCGCTTACCTTCGAAGGAAGCCAATCTTTCTGTTCTCTTTCCATCATCATTTTATTCAAGAAATTTTGAAAATCCACGTTGAGACCATCCCAAACAAATACAAGACACTTGAGAGCAGGTGGACAAACATTTGTACAGAAATCATCGTTTGATTTGTACATCGAATGCTAATAGGAGGAGAAAAGAATAATGAGAGTGTTAATAAGAGATAATCAACGTCAACTACTTTTTAAATATCTAACAACTACCTCGTTCAACTTTCCACGCTGCCTACGATAATGAACACAGCAATAGCCACTTTTCGTTAATGCTTCCAAGGTTGATGGACGAGCGTTTAAATAATTGCTTGTGTTGATAATCTCCACTGAATGTCTTTGCTGAATTTTCTCATCTTTTGTGAGAAGTTCTCGTGTTTCTTCCAACGGTTTATCACTCCACTCGTAAACACTCTTCTTGGGTATTGCTGGATGAAATTTAAGAAAAGAGGCACAAGCAATTGCATCATGAACAAGACCTTCATGCCAAAGAAAAGCAGCAAAGATCGCACGAATTGTTTCAGCGACTGTTGCTGACAATGCTTGCTTTGGAGAACCAGCTTCTTCTCCACAATGATAAATTTCTTGATTTTTATTTGCTTCACGTGGGCTTTCAACAGAATTTGAATGTTTTTGATCATGAACTTCACTGACGTTAACCTTGTTAAGTTTATTTGGTGCAATGATGCTGTCTTGCATTGATGGACTAAGTTTGATGTCGTTTGAAAGTTTATCCGAAATATCATCGCTTGCAAGATTCTTCAAATCCAAAGTATTGTTGTTATAAACCTCAGGAATTGATCCAATTCTCTTCCGAATTGTTGCCGTTGTTTCTTCAATGCTATCTCGTTTAAGCCACTTTTGAAAAGCTTGAAATTTATGTGCTCCGCCTTCAACAACACCCGCAATTGCTGCAGTTAAATTCGATTGATTTGTTTGTTCAACTTGTGATTCAACAATGTCTTCAAACTTTGGTGGCTTCTCATCATCACTGATTTTGGATGTGTCCGTGTAAATATTTATCTGTTCTTCTTTAAGAACATTCAATCTTTCAAAGTCACCAGAGAAGTTTTCTTGAAATAATTTCACGTTGTTCATATCGTCAGTTTGATTGACTTCCATCTCACCATTTGGCTCAATTAAAGCAAAAAGTAATCGCTTATCAAAATGTTTATTATAAGCTAAACACCAAGCTTCCATTGGATACCAAGATGAAGCGCAATATTTTCTTATTGCATCAGTTGAAAGTTTCACCCATAAGCCGTCACCATTCTCAATCTCTTCGATGAATGAAACCACATCGTTGATCTTTATAACACCAATTTGATCAGCTTGAAGTGTTGGATGAAGACGAATTCTTAAGCCACTCGTATATTCAGCGTAATATCTTCGATATTTATATTGCGGTTGAATCTTCTTGATTGCATTTCCTTTAATGGGCGGAGGTATGTTTGCATTTATAACATTCACGTTGTAGTTCTCGTTTACTTGCACGCCATCGATTATTATATTTATCGTGTAATTTCCTGGCGCTTCCGGTGTCCAAAGAATCGAATATGAATGATCGCCATAATCTTTCGCAGTGATCAAGTTCGACGTCTTGTTCTGAATTGGCGTATGCAAGCGAAGCTCTTCAAAAGAACATTGAGAATATGCTTTCATTGCTGTAATGGATTTAATACAAATTTTCTCCTTCTCTTTAATCACTGGCATGTAATTAACTTTACTTAATGGAATAAAATAATGATGATCTGAAGGAATTTTATTGTAACGTTTATCAATTGAAAAGTTAGAACTGTGAACCAATTTCAATTGAATTCTCATGTTGGGAACGTAAACAATTTCTCCATATTGATCTCTTGTCTCAATGACCAGCTTTGTTGGCCATCCACTTTGTATTGGATCTTGGAAGAATTTCAATTCACAACGATTTGGATCTAAACGTGATTCTGGTTGAATCCAAGAAGCCAATCGAGCACCTGCTGAATCTGGCGCTAAGAACACAAAATCTTTCAGAAATTGTTTCTCATGTGATTGTTCCGAGCTGGAATTAAATAGAAAAAATTTTTTTTGATATTTTCAATGCTTGTCATGTGCGAACGGTTAGTTAACTCTTGACTCAAGATTAAATATTTCAAATTTAAGGCTGTGGTGTTTCATTCATAAACAAATTCGTGAACAATAGATGAATGAAAATGAATGAATGAAGACACCTGCGATACAAATACGGAGTGAAAAAGAAAGAAACATTCAAAATGATGTATTGTGTAATCAAAAGATCGGAAAAATCATGAGAAATTATTTAAAAGCATTCTTAGCGTTGCACTGTTGAACTGTATAAGAGTTGAAATAAACAAACAAGAAATTGTCGCTAAGTAAAGATAAATCAATGAATAAGAACTGTTCTCAATTTATTAATGATGAAGGGACTTTGTTATTTAAATATTCAACTTTTTAAATAGCCAACAGTTTAAGTTGAACAAAACATTCCACAGAATGTTGAGATTGTTTAATCTCACAACCCAAATATTGAAATTGTCACCACACAGATTTCTTTTTAGACAAAAACTCTTGAGAACCCGTGACGTTCGTGATGAAGACAGAAAATTTCATAAATATACAACGAAATAATTTTCAAGATAACATAACATTCAACAGACAAAAATGGACGAGGTTCAACACCACACAACATATCTATCTACTTAGGATCGGAATTGTTTAATTTACGATTTCTTTCTTTTCTCTTCTTCTGTTTCAATGTGTTTTGTTTATGCTGGTGCCTTGTGCACACAACCATGCTTCACACTCATATAGACACATCTATCTGACTTGTATGCCTGTCACATACCAACAAACATCACTGTCAGTGAATGAATCAGTTCAGTAGTGAATCACAACATCAACTCATAACAAGCAATAAAATCGGGTGTCGTCATTTTCTACTAGAATGCAATATTTTCAAGCTCTTTGTTTAATTTTAAATGCATAATCGATAAAAAAATAAGTTATGTAAATAAAATGTTATAATTTAGTGCCTGTAATCAAAGTTTTTGAGTTCATCTGTCTAAAAAGAAATCAACAAAAAAAAAACTTTTTTTTGATCGTGAAATTTTGTGAAACAAAAAAAAACTTTCCTCTTCTTCTCTTCTCGTTCAATTCTCTCAATTTATTTTTCTTACTGTAAATTGGATAAAAAAATAATAAAATAAATTATAGTAGAGAAAGAAGCGACAGCTGATGGTGTTTATATTATAAAATGGAACAACCTTAACCATTATTGAAAGGAAAGCGATCCAAGTGGATATCTTTATAAATATTTAAATAATATTCCAATCGAAGACTTGTTCGGTAAATGAAAAGTGCATAAAGTACGTCAAGTACTTCGACGAATAATAAATAGCGACGAATGGAAACCGGAAATGAATTATCAAAAGAGAGAAGCCGATGAAAAAAAAAATGCTTGAAGCGACTAAATGAAGAATAAAAATAAATAAGAGGAGAAGTAAATTGATAATTTAAAGAACACACATACTAAAAGATATTTCAATGCTCATGACAAATTTAGCCATGAGTTTCCTTTAAACTTTTATTTTTCGTGTTTATTACAACGTTGAAAATCATCAAACCAAGTTATACAAATAATCTTATGGAATTAACATTAAGTGCGGCAATTAATGAAGATCACATTAAAGAACATAAACAACATAAGAAAAACAAACTATTTGCATTAAAATAGATTGACGATGAAATTAAAAACTTTTCTCGGTTATTATGTGATTGTTCTCCTTTTGTGGATTTCTGACACGACAAACAGTCAAGTGAACATTTGTTCCGAGCTATGTCGGTGTGTAAACGAATCACATTTTGTGAAGATACATTGCGAGCTTACGCGATCACAAGAATATGTTCTTGATTCCGAATTAAGATATCCGTCACTAGGCGTTACTCTAAATATAACCCTCGGCGACAAGTCTAGACTGTCTCTGAAAACTGGATTCTTCAGTTCAAACAATCGAATAAATTCCTTGACAATTCAGGGACTGAATCATCATGACTCGAAGACATCTAAGAATCAAGTCTTGTTATCAAGTCATTCGCTACTTGGAATTCGTGGAAATTTTCCAGAAATAACTTTCAAAAATATCAATGCAGTCGTGTTGTCTGAGAAGTCAATGGATGGATTGCTAGAAATAAACTTGATAGCAGAAAACATTTGGCAATTTATCATTCATCGAGAAGTATTCGGAACGACGTCATTTAATGCATCTTTCTCAGATATAGCTGAGCTAATACTCGAAGATGGATTTCTTTCAACATCAAGCTACAATCTTACAAAACCGAAGATGTTCATAAATCGTTCATGGTTAAGAAATATTTTTCCAATGAGAGGAAAGAAATTAACAGAATTCAGAATAGAAAATTCAGAAATTGGATCGATTAAAACTTCAGCATTCAATGTTATTGAAATTCCATCAATAATTTTGGATAATGTGACCATTCAAGACATTGAAAGCGACATATTTCGAGAGGGTGTAAGTTTTGATTGTTAAATTTTACTTTTTTTTGTTTACTATAAGAAACTGAATTATGAATTATGTAAATTTTCAGATTGCTATCGAAAACCTGGCTGTGACTAATTGTAAGATAGAGAAAATAGCAACGAAGGCAATTAACAGCATTGGAATATCAAAATTTATGTTTAAAGGAAATACGTGAGTTGTCTAAATTAATAAGTGTTTAAGTAATAAATTGCGAAAATATATTCAAATATGTTTCTCTTTTTCAGTGTGAATTCAATTGAAGAATATTCAATGGAGTTTGTTGGAAGTAACATTGAGATCAGTGACAATAAGATCAATTTAATGGGAACAAAATGGTTGAAGTCAAACCAATGGTACAAAGTCATCATAATTAATAATTCATTCGGAAATTTTGGTTCAATATCGTTAGAGAATCCTACGAATAGTCTTGGTGACATTCATTGTCGAGTTCATCACAATTCAATCACAAAAATTGATGTTGACGGCTTTAAGTCATTTAATGAACATTGTCAATTCACAGAAATGATTTTTAAGGAAGATTGTTCATGCAACTTTCATTTGTGGCTGACGAAACTTTTCGAGACATCACGAGAAATTAAGAAACTTCAGAGTGAAGCTTTCTGTTCACTTAGTTTCAACGACACACTATTGAAGTGTCTTAAACTTGCAGAAACTGTCAAATACAATCAGTACTTTGATGCTATGTGCAATAAAAGAAAGTCAAAGATAAAATGTGATAGCATCAAAATTGATAAAATTGATGCAAAATTCATTTCCGATAACGATTTCTATGATGCACTTCAATTGAAAAATTACATAAGTTATGCGATCATTGGAGCAATTGCAATCATATCAGTTACTTGTTTCACCTTCTTTTGTGTAATAAGAAGGAAGTCAAGAAATTCAAATCATTATGATCGTGAAATCATTCAAAATCAAAATGATTTAATTCATTTGAATCAATCTGAAGGACCGCCGTCATATGAAGCTTCATTACGAACTGGGATGTTCTCGATTCGCGATCAAATGGTCATTGATGATGCATTAAAATCGATGAAGCAAAAACAGCCCAAGGAGAAATTTGATATTGTCAATGAAAAGACGCAACGTTTACTTCGTCATGAGTTGAATGAATACGAAAAAGTGAAAATTATCGGTGACATTGTTCAAACGATTGGCGAATGTGAAAATTGTGGAGAAGATTTTGTAGCCTTCACTGACATTCTTTACAAACATCTGGCACCTAATTCAACGACACGTTTAAGAAATCAAGCACCAAGGGCTGTTGAATCATCATCGTCAGCATCTGAAAATAATCCCTTGAAGAACAACAATTCTGAACATATTTATGCAGAACCGACAATTGTGATGAATCAACGAACACTCACTCCTTTACTTCATGTAAACAAAAATCTTTCAAGTTCGTTACACAACGAGAATAATGAAATTGGAAACTTATATTCCGAGCCAGTGACGAATAATTCTCACGCAAGTAAATTTTCATCTCATTTTGTTTTTCTTTCATTTCACTCAAAGAGTTTGTTTAATTTATTGCTTTTAGAAATAACGCCATTCAAACCTCAAGTGATAACTCCATATGCCATAAGTCAAGCTATTAATCCATATGGTATTGATAATCTTCCTGACGTTGTTAATAAATTTGAGCCTGGACCGAGTAATGAAGGAAAGAAAAATATTCCTGAATATACCGTCCCAATAAAAACAAACAAAACACCAGTCAGAGTTACTCCTGATAACATTGAAGATTGGAGTGATGAAGCATCGATGGAGAACTCAACAAGTTCAAATCATTCTGGTGGATCAAAAGCTACAATCGACATCGACGAAATTGTTTGAACTTCATGTTTTTTGATTAAAACAAAAACGAATTGTAATTGATACGTAAACAATCACATAAGCCAAGGCTTCCAAATCACAACAATTTATAATTTGTAATAATAAAATGAACTCAAAAAAATTTATTTCACATAATAAATCTCAAAAGAATTGTAAATATCACTCGATAAACAAAACTTTCGATCATTTTTTGCTAACATTTCATAATCATTTTGATGATTAGGGAAATAAATACAACTTTAATGAATCAACTTTGTGTACACCAACTTAGTGAATCATATAAAGTTACACATTTGAATGTGTACAGAACGCGATAAGATAAAGAAGAAAAATTTTCATTTATTGGTTATTTTTAGTTCGTATAAGTTCGGAATCGAATCAAAAGCATTTTTTTTACTTATTTACACATAATAAGAAATTGGAAGAAAGTAGAAACAAGCAATAATGAAAAGAATTGAATTTCTAATCCTCATTTGTTTGTTTCTCAAATATTCTGTTCGTTGTCAGTTGAATTTTGATGAATACGACGAGGTGAAGTGCGATTATCAGTGGGGTGGAACGGTGTGTGATTGTGAAAACTCAACAGATGTGAGTCTTTGTCATCGTCATTGAATTGAAAAATTTCACATTTTTTAATGTTTTTAACTCTTTTTTAGTCATTACGGTTACCAAACTTGCATGGAAACATTCGACAAATTGAAGTTAAACATTGCCAAACATTTCTTGTTCCAGCTTTTTCATTGGAGAATCTTTTTCAAGTAAATGGAATTCGTTTTGAACATATTGGACGCTTGGATTTTGTTGAAAATTCGTTTGATAATTCGAGAGATCATCCAGCAATACGATTAGAAATCTTTAACTCAACTGTTCCTGACATTCCATCACATTTCGTCAAAGGAAATCTTCACGAGCTCATCATTCAAGATTCCGTCATTACAAAAATTCATATTTTTGCATTGACTGGATTGTCAAATGTTATTGACAAAATTAAATTTACAAATACACAAATTGGAGAAATTGAAACGCAAGCATTTAAGAAACTTAGTGTGAATAACGTGGAATTTATCAATGTGACGTTCCAACATAATTCAGTGTCGAAATCCTTTTACGATTGTCACGCTGAAAATATTATAATTGAAAATTCGCATTTCTCAATGCTTCAACCAAGCACTTTTGAGTTCAAAGAAGTAAACTTTCTCAGAATTTACAATTCAACTTTTGGAGTTTTACAAGGAGAAGCTTTCGTTATGGACGTTGCTGATAGAGCAATTTTTACTGACAACAACATCACAATGTTTCATCCTGGAAGTCTCAAAGGTGAATTAATTCATTTCAATCAAATTCAAGAATTTTTTCAATGAATTAAATATTTCCAGCTATCACAAAGAATCCAAAAACATCAACGTTAAGAACCGAAAGTGTTTACTTTGAACTTAAAGGCAACAACATCGACTTTATCGATCCCGAACTTGACGTTAAATTATGTCCAAATATGAAGCTGCAAGTCAGTAAATTGTTTGTTAGAGATCGTTCCGATTGTCCAACTATCAATAAGATGTACGAATATGAATTCTTCAGTGAACATTCGAATGCGATCTACATGAGGGTCAACGACGATTTCGAGCTAATTTCATCTTTACATAATCATTGCACTAAAAATTCATCAACTTGGATTGCTTACTTAGTCATTTCATTATTTCTTATCTTAATTCTTTTCATTATTGTGCTTCTAATATTTTGGTGTGTGACGAGAAGAAAGAACGCATTGAAAGTTATTAAACCTGACCCCCGCACATATCGTCAAACAGAAATTTTCGTTAAAGTTGAGACGACTGGTCTCATGAAAACGGATTTTTAATACCAAACATTCAATAAAATTAATTTATTTATTTTCCACTTCCATATTAGATAATTAAAAATTGCTTTTTACTCACTCGATAGCGATATCCTGTTCCAATATTTTGTTTATTATCAACGATCCACTTTGAACTGATAATCCTTTCGAAAGCAATGCTGAATGTTTCTTGAGCGTATTTTCAGTTGCATAAAAGTCGTCAGATTTTTCATCTGAAAATTATAAAATAAATTTAAATCCAATCTTCACTTGCAACAATCGTCAACTTACCAGAAAAAACTAAATCTTTTCTCATCAGATTTGCACTGCACATTCCACCAAGATAAGCAACTTCTGATTCAAGATTGATGAGAGAATTGTTGAATGTTTTTGATGCATCAATACTTTCATATCCAATTAAAATGCACTTGAAACCATATCGATTGAGTTTATGATCAGCAAGATAATTTGATGCTGTTTCAAGTGAAAACATGACTTCATTTCCAGGAATAATTATTGCATTTGTTGACCATCCACTCTCTGTATTGAACTTCTTTATCATTATGTGTTGTTCTGATGAAGACATTTGTTGGAAGTTTTCATTTGAAAAGACGCTTTTATTGATCTTCACTTGTTTCTTTTCATCACTTTCATTGTTGCTGTTCTTAACTTTATCACGTTTAAAAGGAATGAGAATCTTAAGACAATCTTCAGGTTGTGCTGTTCCACATTGCGGATCAAATTCCAATGACATCCACTTGACTGTTGATGGAAATAGAACTTTAAAGGAATAAATTGAAGTTCCTTTATAAGGATGATCGCTTTCAAGAATCGCATAATGATTGCTTGTTGTACAGAAATCGTAATTATCAAGATGACTTTTATCCATTTGATGTTGTGTCGTTAAGGAAGACAAACCATTATTGCACATTTGATTGAGAAGAGTTATATGTGGCAGAATTGATTTAACAAGATTAAGAATCTCGATAGAAACTTTTGGATCATTGCAAATCAATCGGCTGATGTTTGCAAGAGTTAATGGAAGTAAAGTATGAAATAAACTTGATTCTTGCTTTGTAAACATTTCATTGATTTTATCGCTATCACAAAAACTCTCATCACTATCACTTCGTGTGATTGGAATTGCGTTTATTGCTTTTCTTACATTATTTCCATTGGCATTCGATTCAATGGATTCCTTTGCACGCTTTGAACTTCCATAATCATCAAGAATATCGTGAGGTGTTATCTCCGATGCATTGTCAACTTCAACACAATCTGCTGGAAGAATTTCAAACTTCTTATCAAGTTTCAAAGTTTCAAAAAGTCCACGTGAAAATGTTTCAATCTTCTTCGTGATATCTTTCGTTGCGATGTTGATATTTTTCTCCTTGCTCGATGTCGACGGTTCCTTCGAATTGTAATAAGGATTAAAGCTGTTTGGCTTCACTGATGGCGCTGCAATTGTTGATGGATTTGCCATCCATGTCACATCGAAATGCTCTTCAATAGGCGTGATGTTATGTTCCGAATCAAAAGTTTGAGTTGCTGTCGAAGAATTCGAACTTTTGTCACTTGACGATGACAATGAATAAAGTAAAGCATTTCGTGTCATCACAAGTAAGTCACGACTACGATGAACAATATCTGATGCAAATTCAAGTGCAATATCTCGAGCGAAAATCTCATTGTTGTTCTTCATTTTATTTCCTTGATGACTGCATGGAATGCTGTAGTAAAGTAAAGATGGAATTTGACCTCGTTGTGGAGTTGTTCCATTGAAACTCAGATCACATGGATGGAATCGGAAAATTGTACCACAAGGTCCACGAACTGATGGATATCCAGCATCACCTGAACATGTTCTTGATCCTTTCGAACAGAATCTTATCGCATAGCAAATATTTTCTCGCAATGGAATTGGTCGCTCAAACTTCAACTGAACCATGTTTCGATGAACATTCTCCTGGTCAAATGTTCCAGATGTTGATTCTATTGTCTCCCATTTATGTTGCATTTGACTCTTTGAATCAAGTGTATCATGAAGAAGTTCCAATTGATATTCATAACTTCCCGAACCATAATAAACGCAACATCCAGCAAGAACAATTCCTGATCTATCAACAGTAAAACAAATCGCATCAGAAGCGAAATGTCCTGTGTTCCAAGTCTTATTAAAATCGCATTTCTTAAATCTTATTCCAGTTGATTGTAGTACATAAGGTGAGATGATTGTCGTATCACTCTGTAAAATAAAAGTTTAATATTATTAATCCAGATTATAGAAAAACGATTAATTTTAATCTAGATTAGGATTAATCTAGATTAAATTTTAATCCGAGTCAATATTTTTAGAAAATTTTAAACTTACATCGTCTGTACAACTTTGATAAACAATTTCAGCAAGAACTTTTGACAGCAATAAACAACAGTTGGAAATGAGATTATAATTACTCATCTTCTTAAGATAATCGTTTGCCATTGCATCAAGTTTCGTGTTACTGAAAATTCCTTCAGTCTTCAGTCGAATCGGTCTTGAAATAATTTCCAAAAGTCTCGAAAGAATTTCTCTAAAATTCCAATTTCTATAGACGGTATTTGACTTTTCTTTCTGTCTGCGACACATCATTTGCTCCACAAGAATTGGATAGTAGAAATTATCTGTGTCTTGTAAGATTGGATATCCTGAATTATCACTTGGACTTGTCACTGATTTTTGTTCTGTACATGGTGACATGATGGAAAATGTCATTTTTAAATTAATTATTGGATCACAGAGACCAGCAAGAACGCCACTCAATAGTCGAAGTTTAAACACGCCCATATCCATTTGTGAGAGAAGATCACAAAGGCAATCCCATTTAAGATACGATGTTGGATAGAAAGCATTGAAGCAGCTGATGAAAGTGTTGCTACATTCATCCATTATTTGACACATTAATGTTTGAGCTATGACAAAAAAAAAATTAATTTAATAAATAAATTAAATATAAATCAATCTTACTGTTATTTTCATACGAAGCTGATAAGTCATCACAAAGTATCGTAATAAGTAATGCACGAACATTCCCAATACTTTCTGCTAATTGAAGACTTTCTGTATGACATCTGCGAGGTATATGAGATGATCCCGAATCTGACAAAATTGAAACTGAAGATGCTGGAAGATGACTTGCACGTGATGATGACACATTTGAAACTTCATTTTGCTGATAAGAACGATTGAAATTTGACTTTTCGCCTTCACAAAGTTTGAATGAGTCTGAAGGATAAATTTCATTGATGTATTTCTTCAACAAACGTAAGCTCACTTGACAGAAGTAAACATAACGATTTAATAGCAATTCATCACTCGACGACACTTTCTCAACCATTTCATTTACTTTCATCTTAAATTGACTCCAAGACCAATTCAAAAGCTTCACAAGATTCTCAAGATTCTCGCATGAAATTGTGTTAACAAAATGTTTGCTAATCTTACAAATGTTTTCAATATTGTCAGATCCATCGGAAATCTTCCGATTATGTGTGACAATTCGATAAAGAATCGATGGAATTTGTCCTGAATTGATGTCAGTTCCATTATTTGATTTCTTTGAAGATTTGAATGTGAACACAACTTGATCATCACCAACGACAATGTTTTGACCACTCGAGCCACAATCTGATGACGGTCCCGATACTTTCACCCACAACAAATACCATTTTCCTGCACAAATCTTTAATGGTCTTTGGAACATCACATTATGAATCGTTCGTGCTGGACAATAATACGGAATGTCGTCAATTTCAAAGATCATTGTGCCATCTTTTTCAAGACCTCCGCCATCAAAGCCAAGCTCAAAGATTTTGATCTTGCATGTGTATTCACCACGTCCACCATAGAGTCCAATGCCTTCCATCGAGATGTCTGTGTCACACATGAATCTAATGGCTTCAACACTATGTCCAAAATATCCCCAACCACCACCAAATGCTTCAAACCGACAAATCTTTTTCGTTTCTTTGTTATCTTTCAATATTTCAGGAACGATCGTCTTCAAACTTTTCTTCTTTGACGACTCAAAACAAGTGTTGAGAGAATTCTGCGCCGATGCTAATGTATCAAAACATGCAAGAACATTTAAACATGCGTGAACTCTTGTGACGTTGAATAAATTCTTCTTTGGGAAAGTCACGTCAGATTTGAAAATTGCTTTGACATTATCCGCTACTTTACTTGCAATGATATTAAAGCACATGATTTTCTTATTGACGACATCAAAACACCAAAGAACATCGTAGAGTGGATCGATTGCGAAAATGATGTTGCACGTTCCAATGTACGATGACAATGGTGATGATGACGATGTTGACGGAAGTTGATCACTTGATTCTTTCAACATACGATCAGCTGTTGAAAACGATGAAGTCATTTCCGATGATAAAGAATCAGCAAAATGTTCTTCACTAAACTGATTGTTAAATGTAAATTGATTACTCAAATGTGTTTTACATTTTCCATCTGGTTTACTGATTGTTATGCATCCTGGCACACCTTCATTGTTAGAAATGAAAATTATTGTGTTGCTATTTGCAGCGACACTGATTTTTGCTAATGAACTTGCATTCACCAGAGACTCGTCGATTTTCATAAACGTTTGGTCACCACTGGCTGAAATCCAACAAGCTTTCTTACGATAATTTGGACCAATGCCACTCACTGGCGCTGGAATGCAATTCCATAGAAAACGCTGACGTTGTGTCATTATCAGATTCGTGTTATCAATGGTAAGATCATTAAAACTTGGGAATGGATTATTGCTTATGCTTGAACTTGGTCCATTAGTTTGAAGATTTTGATCGAAACTTCCGTTAAAATCTGTTGGCAATCGACCCAGTTGACCTTTTTGATAATTTCCGAATGTATAAACAGTTCCCTTTGAACTTAAAACAACACTGTGATTACTTCCAGCTGATATTTGTGTGGCAATTCCAGGAATCTTCACTAACACTGGCACTTGAACTGGTTGAAGATCTCCCGTCCCAAGTTGACCATATTGATTACTTCCGAACGTAAACACTTCACCAGCTAAAGTCATAAGAATTGTATGATGTAAGCCACAAGATATTTGCACAACGGGACTACTCGATGGAATTGAAACCTTTGACGGTGGTAAAGGCGCAACACGCTCTGATTCATTTGGATAATTCAACTCTTCCACATTAATTTTCACATCTTTCTTCATCTCTTTGAACTTATCTGATGATTCGAGATTTTGATCTTTGCTATGATTATTCTCTTGTTTAACTATACAAGCTTTACATGCTCCACATTTGATACATCCAGAATTTCCATATCCACATAAACATTTGCTGCAAATGAAATTAATTAATGATTTTGTAATTAAACATTTTGAAATTAATCTTACCGTCCTGGTATTCGATTCTTAACAGGAATCTTTAATGAAGCTGAACACAATTTATTATATCCAGTACATTCAAGACAAATTTTGCATATTTTACAATGTTGATCGACTGTTTCATGTTCTTCAGGATCACAAAGAATATGATTTGATTCTGCTTGTTCTTGTTGTCCCGATTTTGGATTGAAATATTCTTCATTAACCATCTTGTCTCTGCTTGTAAAAGTTCTTCCACATTGTCCTTTATTGTTGACTCCAAATGAAAAGATTTGTCCTTTACTATTTAATGCTATCACATGAGCTTTTCCCATCTCAACTCTGACGATGTGACTGTCTTGAAGTTGTGACACGACGCCATTGGAATCACAGAAATTTGTGTCCTTACCAAACATTATAAGCTTTCCAGTTTTAGTAACAAAAGCTGATGTTCCATTGTTTGAAGCTACATGAACGATGAAATTATTATCAAGGCGTGAGATTCGTTTTGGCTTTGTTGGTTTTAAGAGTCGTCGTTTTGAGATTTCGCCATCTTCACCACGTCGGATTGAACCAGCAAAGAAGACTGAACCATCGTCACTTAAAAGTAAAGTGTGAAGACCATCATGACCCAAAGATGCTTGAACTATTCTTGACACTTTTGATATTGTAAGTTCACTGAGTTTCAATGATGGACTCTTAATAAGTGACTTCAAACCTAAACTTGCACCTTTTCCATAATAGAAAACTTTGTTATTCGATGTCATTACTAATCCAAACTCCTTTCCTGCTACAATTCCACTAATTTCAGATTCATCAGGCAATGCTGGGACGAAACAATTAAACGATGATTGAATTTTTTGCAATTGTGAATTATTCAAGATTTCTTCCTCAAAAGCAGCATATCCAAATGTTCTGAAACTTCTTTTCGCTAAATTCAGCATCATGTCGGAATTTCTTTCATTTTTTGAAATAATCTCTTTGATTGTAAAATAATCATCCTTAACAGCACTTATGGCATTTATTGAATCACCATCAGAGTAGAGAATGTAATTTGTTGGATCCTTTTTCAAAGATGGTGATTTCATTGACATTTGTAATGGACTTTGAAGAATCAACGATTCATGATCAACAACAATAAAGTTATCAATTGTTTTCTTCGACAATTTCTTATAATAAAGCTTATCACCACAAAATCCAATCCAGCCACGCTTGTCTTTGGTGAAATCTTTGTTCACTCTATAAATGAGACCTTTTGTTGTTCCACTGTAACCTGATCCAACCTTATAGAGACTTTTACCCAAAAGAATGTAAAGAAATTTGCCATCTGATGCAAGTGCTGATGATGAAAATGGTTCGGGAATGATGTTTTTGACGAAAAACTCATCGATGAGACCATTTTGTGGAATTCCATGTTCGAAATATGTTGGCTTTTCAGGATGACCCAAGGCAACACATTCCACACTTTTCTGAAGTTTAATCAAGATTTCAGGAAGTTTGATCGATTGACATAAAATGGTATTCGATGACATGAGAATTGATGTTATTGCTTTGATCGTTTTTCCAGTGTCACCACGAGCTATGCATAATGCCAACAAAACTGAACAACTTATTGCACTCCAATTCTTCTTTTCGTTATGATTTTCAGAACTTTTCTGAGGACTAGCACCGTTTGATGTTGCAAGATCGAGCAAAAGATTGTAAAGCGATTGAAATAAGATGTCAGGTTCGGATTTGAAGCTTTCAGGATCGTGACCTAGAAGTAAATTATTAAACTGAAAAATAGTTTGCCAATTTAAGTTCATTAATTTACCTTGAAAAATATCAAAAAGCGATGATAGTGCTTTGGAGCAAACAACCGGATATTGATTCTTCGTTTCCGATATGATCTCAAATAATGTTTGAATTCCCGCGTAAACAATCTAAAGAAAACAAAAATTATTACAATAACTAAATGAAGGAAAAGATAATTCAACTCACATGTGGAATGTTGTTAACATTTCTATCCATACGAGGTGGTGAGAAATCAATAATTTTGAAATCATTGCCTTCATCTTCACTTTTCGTGTTTACTAGTTGATCATGTGATTTTGTTTTATTTTCCGCTTTATAACCAGAATTAAATTTACAATCTCGCTCCAAAACCATTGATCGAATAGCGGAAAATGCTGCAAACTTTGAGGCGTTTGGTGAAATTTCAAAAACAATCGGCGACAAAATTGTTTCATCGTGACTTTCTGATGAATTCTAAAAAGGAAATTTAATATTCTTATTTAAATGCAAAGAATGATGAAAGAAATTAATTAAATAAAGGCAACATTCTCATTCCGTTAAGTATTTCCTGCACTTTTACGACAAAGGAAATATATTCTCCTATTCGCACCCACAATTATCGATCCAATCACCATTTCAAAATTTTTTTCACTTACTTTTCCTTTTTCTTTATTCTTTTTCCTAGAAATGATTGAATTAAATTATTCTTGAAACAGCATTAGAAGTTTTAACTTACGAATTATCATAACTTTGGATGAACAAAGAGTAAAAATCCGTATTTAAATCCTCATTGAGCATGGCGAGCGAGATTTTATTGATAGACGATTTTCTTTACATCTATCCGATTTAAACCAGTTTAACTCGAATAAATTTATGTTAAAGCCGATATCTAAGTGAATTATAACATTTTAATTAATTTAGGAAATCAAAGAGTGAAAGTAGCACTAATTTTCACAAGAAAAATGTCGGAATTTTCTTTTTTTCGTCCTTTTTTCAGGATTAACAGAACAGTATTGAGGGTGGAATTCGCAACCCTTCAATTCTCGAAAATTTGGTTGATGGTGTTTGAGCAATACATATAAAAGTGGCGGGGTGGTAACTAAATATGCTTCTGCGTTTTCCAGAACGTTACAATTTCAAAAGATGTCCTTTTTAAGAAAATTAAAATTTATCTTATCCGCAATTAATTAAAAGTTCATTGACTTATTTTACAATTTTAATTTTATTCATGAAGAAAATTTAATAAATTTTATAAGAAAAAGACTTAAATAATTTAATATTCTTAAACGAATTCGCGTGCATCTTCACATAAGTGACACGAATTGAATTCGTCAGCTGATATGAAATTTTATGTATTAACCAACACATTCATAAATTGATTTTGAATTTCCCCTCTTGAATGACGAATGATACGCAAATGTTTGTGTTCATAAAATGCGTAAAATTTATATAAACATTTTCATGTGGGGTAAATGAATAACAATTATGATTCTTATTTCTTTGGCATTTAAATTTTTAGAATGATGAAAAAAGTTTATAGCTACGTTCAACTCACTAGAAACAAGCCAAAATCATTTATTACGTTATTATTAATAATTAAATTCGAAATCACTACAAATTAGACATTTTTTCATGATTTAATTTAGGCCATAGGGGATGACCATGCTGTGTATTATTTAAAACTTTTGACTGTTTAAACATGGTAAGTGGTTTGAGGAGAAACCATTCAAGTAATCAATGATGCAATTGGTCAAGATTCCGCAAAGATACCTGCTTAATAAGAAGAAAATGGAATTCCATAATTGATAGTAAGATGTAACAAATTCTTGCACTTAATTGAAGAGTCCGGGTGAGCAATATATAATAAATAAATTTCTCACGAAGAGAAATACGCGAAACAAAAGTCTAATGGAAAATGCTTTGCTTACAACATTGAATATTTTCTTTTCTCACATCTTCGATGATGTCGCGACTTCCGTCAGCATATGGTGTGTAATTTTCACATTTTTCTCATAAAATTATAACTAATGAAACCTATTACGCTTGTTAAGAGTGCTTCATTGTATGGTGCACTGTGTACACTAATACCAGGAATGGAAGTGCAATAATGAGAAGGAAAAGCAAAAATAAAGTAATTTGCATTGCTGATAACTTCGTTCGATATTATGAGAATATAAAATTTATTGCTTTTTCTTTTTATTCTTTTACATGATGTAAACAAACTTAACAAATTATGGTTATGAAATATGATTACTAAATTTATGTCTTCTTAAGTTGCACCAATTAGAAAGAAATGCTGTTTGATTGCTATTAAATATCGAGATATTTTCCTTACAAATTTGACGTTTGTAACTGAAGAAAAAATGTCTGATTAATATAGAAAAACGCCAAAATAAAACTAAATTATTAAATAAAGTATTCTTTAAAGAATCAAGCACTTGTAATTTTAGTAAAACTCAAGTAATTCCACATAAAAAAATTTTCATTTCAATGAACATCTTCAAGAAAATCTCAACGGATATCAAAGATTTGAATAAATTTTCATCATCATAAAAAAAGAACATTAAAAATGAATCGAATCGGAAAATGTTTATGGAGGAAGAAATAATAATTGTCTTATAAATGATTCAATTCAGTGATTCTCTTTACTTCTTGTTTACATTTACAAGAAATTAATTCATATGGTTAAAATAGTGAAATTGCTTTTCGGAAAAGCTAATAAAACAATGAAGGTATCAATGTGAAGAGATCATTATCAAGAAGATCCGCTGGTGAGACCAAAAACTAAGACAATATGATGATATCAATCATCTCTCAAAATATTAGTGTGGTTTCTACTTGCAAGACAATGATAATGGTTTCGGAAACAGTGAAATAAAAATGACAGTTATCATTTCGCGTTTTGCCATATCACGTCGAAGTAACTGCTACCTGATATTTACAATACATAGTTCCAAATAAAGGCAAAAAGACAAAACTACTTAAATAGTGAAATTAATTTTTATAGCTAGAGATGCCTGACATAACCCTGGGAGAAACACGATTTCAAATTTGACATATCTGTAGCAAGCGCGAGACTATCAAAAGAAAAAGAAAGGAAAAAAATAGATCCAAAGTGAAACTAAACAAAAATGCACAACATAAGCTATGGTGCTCTGTTTGTTGTGATGAATGTGCACATTTTTTTTTCTATTTAACCATAGCGAAAAAATCTGACATCATCGGAACAAGTTTAAATTGTTTTTATTCATTTGTACTCAGTTTTAAGATAGAAGTTTTTATTGTTCAAACGAAAGAAAGAAACAAGAGAATGTTTTGTGGAAACATAAAAGCAACATTTAATTTCTTCGCCAACATATAACTCATAACACTTTATTCATACAACATTCGCGATCCCATTTCTTTTATTTGTTAACGGCGAAATTTTATACTGATTACATAAGAAACAAGTTCACTTGATATAAAAGATAAAAAAATTAAAAATTGCCAACCTATTCGACACATTGTAAGAGTTCGAATGATAATTTAAAGCCACTCCAATAACTTTCCATTTTATTATGAACAATGGAAAAGTGATTGAAGTTATGGTTGATATGACTTGATTAAATTCCTGCATAATTGAAGCCAAATTTGACCGACCTTGAGAGTAATTTTCTTTTACGCCTGCGGGACTACTTACAATTCCCTATCTTCATGAAAGTTAATAATAACATAAAAATCGATTTGTATACATATTTGGGAACGACGACATTTGAACCATTCTGCTGGTCATGTCAGTAGGTTTGTGAAACGAAATTAGAAATGAGAAGCGTTATTCAGTTAATCGTTTGAATGTTTCAGTCATGTTTCTCGTGACTTTTGTTTTCTTCTCAATTTACATTGATTTTGGCTGACCAGTTTTATTAAAAAATTATTAACAAATCACATTGTAGGCAACCTTTTTGTCTTTCCTTCAGTCACATTCACATCAGAAAGGGAAATTTACTTATGTTTCAATTTTTGATGTATCAAGTAATAAGAAAACTGGAATTGAAATAATTATCAAAGATTAATCAAATAAAAACCAGATTTTTAACTGACGATGGTTTGCAATGTCTAATTCGCACTTTGGACGCATTATTAATACCCATAGACAGCCAGTGAAATAAAAATAATTTCTGTATCAAAATGTAATCAGTAAATAAAAATCATAACAACTGAACGTCATTCAATATGATTGAGATCAATAAAGAAGAAAATAAAAGCAACAGTGGATAAAAAATGATTTGCGAACAAAAAACAAATCTCGTTGAGATGAAATTAAACAAAAAATTAAAATGATATCTCATACTTTTAAGTAACAAAATATGTTGAATGAGATTTAAATGCCCGTCAGCTTAGTGAATGGATAAACTAATATTTTTGTTCATTATGCATGTTGAGTGTGTAACATGTTTACATATTCTACTGCTGAAGAACTTTCTTTGAAAGCTAAGACAAGTCACTTAAAAAAAGAATTCACATCACACGCAATTTCATTCCATTGTGCCGGGTGAAAGCCGTTAAGCAGGTGATGCTGAAGGTGTAGACGCAAAGTACTTCACTAAAGCATATTTAATGTTTAATCATTTCAAGAGGTTTTCGTTTCCAATGCGAGGATAAAAAAATCTTTCTTTCTTTCTCTCTTTCTCATAACTTCATGACGTTTCTTAGATTGATTTATGCTCGCAATATTCTGCAGAAAAAAGCATTTTTTTCACCACTGTCGAGAGAAAGACCAGAGAGAAATCCGCTCAGATGTTAATATATTTGGTGAGTTTGCATGAATCATGTTTCAGCTTACCTCGGGGCTGGTCGCGAGTCATTGTGGCGGGGAAAAGCTTTGATATAGAGCAGTGAAAATACTCAAACTGGATCACTTTACGTTGAACCTTTGAACGCTTTGGATCGTGTCTTGCCACTTGCTGTTGTCGTTGCTTATTTATAAATAAAAATGGATTAATGAATTTAAAGAAAGTTGACAGAGGCTGAACAAAAAAATATAAATAAAAAAATCGAAACATAAGCAGGGATAATATTTAAATTTCTCTAGTGAAATAAATCTAAGATTGTGCAATAAATAAGAATTAACAAGCAGTGAAATTTTCTGAAAAAGAAAGATATAAAGATTAAAACAATAAGCAGAAGTTTATACTTTCTTTCACTACACAAAAGCTATGAATAGAAGAAAAGTGGATTAAAATGATTTTATTGAAGGTAATGAAAAATTAATCGACCACTGGAAACTTACTTAATTCAATTGACATTGAAATTAATGAACAAAAAAAGATGCGAAGCATTGTGAAAGGAAACTGAAAAAAATTTCTATTCAGTAAAGTGAAAACCATTGAATGCACATCCAGTTCAATGTATCGGTAGAAATTTAAAAAAATTAATTTGTCAATCAGCATAATATTGACAACAATATTACCTATTTGATACTGGCTTAATTAGCTGTCTGGTTTAAGTTAACAAAGAAAAAAAAACGACACACGAGACAACTTTCTTCACATATGCAAAGTCAATCTGTTTAATATCATTTAAAACTTCATATAATTATTTTTTTTGCATGTTAAATTATTATTAATGCAAATTCTCCATTAATTAATCGAACGCATGTGGTTTGATTAAAGCTTTTTATTTTCATTATAATAATTATGAAGAATTTTTCTCTTCCCGTTAATTATTTGCTTCTGCCCAATCATTGAAGTCTTTTGTCAGTTAATTAATTTTTCAAACTCAATTGGAGTCTTGTAAATGTGCGTTTAGCCAGACAATAAATTTCACTTTCTTCTTAATTCAACCACCCAAATGAAAGAAGTAAGAAATAAATAACATAAAAAAACTCTTTTTCGATTATGTTACATAATTAAGCAATCGTAATCCATTATTTATCGACATTCTCCCGAATGCTATTGTCGTCATGCATAAAGCGTTTAAATCTTAGCTTTTATTTGCAAGAAAATTAATTCGGGACACATGAGACCTAACACCTTCCTTCTCCAAATTTTCTCTCCCGCAGAGATTTTTCGTTTTGGTTTTAACCATTCATACAGTATTAGCTGTGAAGCCGCCAAATTATGTTGAAAAGCCTAAAGTTCCCGACAAGGTAAGTGATTTTTGTTTTCTTTCTTTCCTTTATATTCCGTCACATGCTTTCGCAGAAAACTCGCTTATAAATGTGTACACCTTCGATACTGAATGGAAAGTGAAATTTCTGCTACACATCTTTCTCGTTACTCTTTTTGAAGATCATTAGCGTTTACCGTGCACGTTTTACTCTTATTTATGCATAATATTTTATAAACATAATTTAATGTTTTCCTGAAGTCATCGATATTATTGTGATTAAGCATGTGGCGAATTTAAGTTCATTTTCTCTATCAATCAACTTATAAAAAACATGCACGCATAATTTATTTCATTTAGTATCCACCAAAGTATGAATACAAGTACTTTATAGCAAATCGTCATACACAAGCAGCACAAGGTCACAAGGAAAGTCGTAATGGTGACAACACACAAGGAAATTATTTTGTAAACCATCCTAAAGGTGAAAGTAAAGCGTCGGTCAAATACATTGCTGATGAATGGGGATATCATCCGGTGGCCAGGTAATTTAAAACAACAAAAGATTGATTGATTTGCTTTATATTTTCTAAACTTGAATTATACAGATATTCATTAAATGGACCCCATCATCGAGTGTCAAGTCACTTTGCTTTGGGGCAACATGCAGTCGAGCAGCTTAATCAAAATCCTGATCAAAATAATCTCAATACCAATGAGATTTTATTCAATCAATATTCATTGCAACAACCTCAAGATAGTCTTTCTACATCACAATTTGCTTTTGATCCGAAATCTTCTCTTCAAGCATCTGTGATCGATGATAAAATTCCAACAAGCGGAATTTATGCTCCAAATCAGCCACATTACGATCAACAACATATTATTGTGCAACCACTGGTTTCGCCTTATAATCAACAGTTACCACTTTATCGGAATCAAGAAAAACATTCAGTTCCGGTGACTTTTCAACATGTCCAACAATTGCCATTTATTTATCAATATGCACAACAACCAAATCAACCGCATTTCAATTACTTTTATCAGCACAAACCACAAGAAGTAATTTATCATCAACAGCCAATTGCATCAATGGCTACGCCACCACAACAACATTTAATTATTGAAAACCTCGAAGTATCACCACCTGATATTGACAGTGAGAAAAACAATGAAAGCATTAACAACGCAGCACCCAAAGTGGAACTACAACAAGAAGATAAAAATGTTGACTTGAGAAAACTTCAACCAGAATCTCCATTAAACAGTGAAACAGGAAACAATCAAATGAATGCAGAAGAAAAAGAAATAGACAAAACAAATTCAAACGTAAATCATTTCGAGTCGCCGATTATTGTGAATGAAAATAATTTACCAAATAAGAATAATGAGATTAAAACAGTTATTGTGCAACAAAAACCAACTCAAACATCAACGTTACTTAACAATTATCAACCTCATAAACAATTTAATCTTCAAATTCTTTCTGAAGCAAATACTGAAAGTAGAGATCAAGGAACATATTCAAGTGGCATTGTTAACAGAGAACCAAAGATTATAAATGGACATACGAATAATAATAATTACCAATATCTTGTTGAAGATCAAGATTTTAGAGATTCAACACCATCAGGAATGACAGAAGCACCAAGTCGTCAATTTTTAAGAAACTTTAAAAATTTCAAATCTTACGAATCGTCAACAACAACTCAAACATTTTCCACATCAACCACACGTACTGTAACTGAGTCAAATGATAATCCATGCTGCAAAACAACTGAAACTTCAAAAGAAAATGGAAAAATTCTTGAAATTACTCAACGTCCAAATTCAGGAAATTTCTTAATTCCGATTCATGCTGGTGTGAGGCTAACGTTAGGTGAGAAATCAAGCCAATGTAATGAGACTTATACTGTGAAGCCACCAGTAGTTAATGTACATAAAACTGTCAGTATTGTTCAAGAAGAACAAACAACACGAGTTCCTGTATATGGTGATAGAATTATCGTTACCACGCCTTCACAACCATTTGTTACCAAACCAATTTACATAGAAAAGCAACAACCTATCATCGTTGAAAAATCATTAATCGCTCCACCAAAGGTTATTGACCGTCCAATTTATATAAAATCACCACCTGAGACAAAAATCGTCGAGAAAATTGTTCACCATCCTGTCGAGGTGGAAAAAGTTGTCGAGAAAATTGTTGACCGTCCCATTTACATCAAAACAGAACCAAGAGTTAAGATCGTGAAAGAACAAGTATTTGTTGAGAAGCCTGTGATTAAAGAAGTTAAAGTTCCAGTAGAAAAAACAGTTTTCATAAAGTCACCACCCGAAACGAAAATCATTCATCAACCAACGATTCAAACTGTGGAAAAGCCAATTTATGTTGAGAAAATTGTAAAGCAACCCTATGAAGTCGAGAGAATTGTCGAGAAAATCGTTGATCGACCAGTAGTGCAAACAGTTGAGAAGCCTGTATATATTGAGAAAATCGTTGATCGGCCTATAGAAAAGATTGTAGTAAAACCGGTAATTCAAACATTAGAAAAGTTTGTTGACCGTCCATTCATTCAAACTGTTGAGAAAATCATCGAAAAGCCGGTAATACAAACAGTTGAAACGCCGGTTTATATCGAGAAGTTTGTTGATCGTCCATTTGAAAAGTTTATTGATCGACCCTATCCAGTACCTTACGCAGTGCCGGTTCCAATTGAGAAACATATCATACAACATAAGCCTGACTTCCATATCATTACAAAGAAAATACCAACTAAACATAATCTGTTTGATTTCGACAGTCTCTTTGGTTTCTTGAGTAAGAAGAAAGAGATTCAGCATATTTATGTACCAGGCAGTCATCAACATCAGTTAAAACAACTGAATCATCATCGCTTAATAGCTTCAACATTTACTTCAATTGATCCAATTCAACAATCGCCAGTCATTGATTACTCTCGCTATGCTACTTCTCATTTAAATCCTATTAAACCTGTTTATGGAGTTCCCACAATATCAACAGAAACCACAAATCAAGGCTACAGCTACCCTAATCCTCTACTTAATTCGTATGCTGGTAAAGCCGCTGGTGAATATTTGTTTAAAACGTTCAAGTTTTCAGATAATATTAAAGTTTTTCATTTAAAGGTACATTTACTTATAACAATTTAAATCCTACTGGAATTGCTTCGTTGCCAGCCCATTGGCTTAATGATAATCTTCAATCACAATCTCAACATGTACAGCATAAAACTCCTTTAATTCACCACGATCATTATGTCGGTCCCGCACCTCTGTCTGAAGATTATTGGGCTATGAATGGAGTGACAGCAAATGAAGGTTTGAAATTTCGTCGTAATGTTGAAAATGGAAGAAGTTTAAGAATCGAATACGGTGGTTTTCTTCCGAAAATGTCTCCTTCACTTGAGATCGATGAGAATGGAATGCCCTTGAAGAAAAAGGAAGAAAATACTTGATACCACTCAATTTTAATACGCAGACTGTTGAAAAACTATTTATTGTAGACATTTGTTTTCTTTAATTTCATTAACCTTCACCTCCATTTGATTTTAAAAGATTTTGTGCCATTTTTTCTCATTATATTCACATCATTATAAGTTCACTTTTTATGTTATAAATATGTACGAAAACTTGCTATTGCTCTTTTTTAATTAAATATAAATTTATTTCCTTGAATTTCCTTTAAGATTTTCTTTCAACAGAAAGTTTTTAACAAAGTTTTAAATCACAACCTCTTCCTTAATATCGACTAAATATTCCACAATAAGTCGAAGAATGCACAAAATATTCCTTAATAAAATAATAAAATTAAATATCCCAAGCCAATTCGGATCGATGTTTCTGAAATAATGTTTTTATTTGTTTTATTAGGTATCAGCGCCATCTGGTGCCAGGTTTAGAAATGAGAGAGTTGAGTTTTTGTGAATAGAATGTTGATAACTTATCTGTTGTCAGATCAATCTCTCGGGAAAACGGATTTTTGAGGGAAAGAATAAGCAATTTTTATGAAAATTTCTCAGAAAGAAAATAGTTTCGTATTCGACACTGACTCCCTGGCAAATCATGCTGATTCCAGTACACATTTATCTGTCTATCAAATATAGTATCAACTATCAAGTAAATCTATAATTCCCTGTAATCGTAATCTGAAGACAGAAATGTAAAGAAAAGATATTGTTTTTCTTAGGAATAATTTTTATTTGTAAGTCAAAGTGTCACAAACTCTTAAGTGAAATGCAGTTTTTAAGTGTAGATAAATTCTGTGTTGATATTATCAAAAATACAAGGAAATGTTCCTTTCATTTTCACTAAGGAACGACCAAAGGAACTGCTGATATGTAGAAAATCTAACATATCTATTTATTAATTTACAAATTAGGTATGCTTAGGTGCACTCTTTTCTTTTAAAGTTATATTTTTCTTTAAATTAGATATTTAGAATCTTATCACAAATTTAAAACATTATTTTAATTAAAAAATTGACAGAAACATTTTAAACGATGGCAACACTTCCACCACGACGCGGATCAAAAGCACCGGTAACCACATCATCTTCAACTAGAATACCAACAAGAGCAGCAAAACCTATTGTACTTGTAACATTTTTCATTGTATGATTCTTAGCAATAAGACCATCAATAATTGCTTTATCAAACCCATCTTCATAAATAACAGCATTTGGAATCAGTTGATGATGTAATCGTTTCAAAGCAAACATATCTTTTAGTGGAATATTCAGTTTCATATAATAATATTGAATAATTGTGTTCGCTATTGCTGTTGTAATTTTCGATCCACCAGCACTTCCAATTACCATACTGACTCGACCATCAGGCTGAAGAATTATAGAAGGTGCCATGGAACTGATGGGACGTTTACCTGGTGCAATGTAGTTACTTTCTGATGGCGGAATTCCATAAATATTATTCAATCCTGGCGTTGAAAAATCGTCCATTTCATCATTGAGAATTATTCCAGTCTTTGACCTTCTCAACGATCCTAAAATATAATTTATCGTTCCAGTAACTGAAATAGCGTCACCATTTGGAGCAAGCACGCTTATTTGGGCAGTCCCATGGTCATCTGGAGTTGCAAAATGTGAACCATAATAGCCAATCTCGTAATGAGTTTTCTTGTCATCAATTTTCTTTCGAATTTCTCTCGCATATTCGAGACTCGTCAAGTTTTTAACTAAATTTTCAACATTTTCTACAAAAGCGGGATCGGCAAGTTCAGATCGTCTCGCATAGGCTAATTTGTAAGCTTCCATGATTCGATGATAGGAAAGAACGTCATGTTTCAAATCAAAATCTTTTAAAAGATTCATGATGAAAATCAAAATTGTTCCAGAACCAGTAAGTGGCATGGAGTAAAGTTTCTCGCCATGCTTAAGCGTCGTCTCAACAGGTTTCAACCATTTCACTTGATATTCTGCAAAGTCATCTTCACTTAAAATCCCACCAAATTCCTTGATGTCATCAAGCAATTGACGACCGACGTCACCCATCAAATACATCGTATCAGCGCCATGTCTTGCAATCGCTTCCATTGTTTCTGCTAATGCAGGTCTTTTTATTCGATCTCCTGCATTCCAAATCTGTCCCGTATGAGGATTGATAAATACTTCTCGAAGTGACGGGATCTCATGAATAGATTGATTTTTTCTTGCCAAAACACTCGCCAAATATTCCGTGACTTCATGTCCATTTTTACATAAATCAATAACTGGTTGGAACACATCTTTCCATGGAAGTTTTCCATACTTTCGATGAAGTTCCCACATGCCTTTCAGTTCTCCAGGCACAGCAATTGATAATCCACCTTCAAGAGACGATTTATTTTTATCACCAACGTACATGTCTTCAGTTGCAGCTTTGGGTGCAACTTCTCGAGCGTCAAGGCATTCAACGAGGTTCTTTTCTTTTATGAAAATGGTCATGAGAAATCCACCACCAAGCCCTGTTGATTGTGGGCCTGGAATAACAAAAGTTATATTAAATAAAGTTCAATTTATTTTCTTGTGATTAAGGAACTTACAGGTGACACCTTCACACAACATTGTAGCGATTGCAGCATCAGCAACTGATCCTTGTTGCTTCAAAATTGAAGCTCCAATAGCAGCACATTCTTTTCCATTTGCAACAACAGCTCCATGAAGTTCTTTATGCTTCGGTTCATCTTCTTTTTTATTCAATATGATGCTGTATGCTGTGATCGTTCCCACAACGATGATTGTAGCAATAATAATTGCTATAAAAATACGTTTACGGGAAGCATTGTTTCTAGGAATAAATGAAAACAAATAAAAATGTAATTAATTTCATATAAACATTTAAGTTGATTGATTGCTTTAACAAGTAATTGATGCTATCAATTTTTATGGTGACAACTTTTCATTATAATTCAATCAAAAGTGTTTATTATGTCCGGTGTAAATGTCAATGTTATGCGATGAAGGTCGTAACGAAATTAATAATGAAAGTCCAACAATTTCTATTAGGTAATCAAATACCTCACAAGGATGACTAAACATATTTTTGGTTTGAATGTTATTTCTTGATATTAATTATGATAATAAAATTTATTTGATCTTTTGTGTCCCAATTTTAGTTATAACTTTAAATCTTTGATGAACCTCGTAATTTTCCCATAGTGCACAATACTTTGTAATAACCTTCATAATAGAAATTGAAATAAACTTAATGCAAACATTTTGCTACCTTTTACATGGTTTTAAATTTTATCATATGACATTGTTAACAGTAACAAAAAAATTCATTTATTAGTCACTTGATTAACTTTTTTTTCTGAAGGAATTTAAAAAAAAAAGTGACAAACTTTGGTACTTTTTTTGAACTGAATATAACAAAATTTCAACTATAAATCAATGTATAATTTGATTATTCACCAAAATGTAAAAAACAGCACTTACATCATCATGTATTGCGAATATAAAAAAGAACAGTAAAATTTCTGCCAACAGTCAGTTAACGTCAACAAACAAATGAGAACTGAGTCAATATCGAAATATTCAAATTTTTTAATGACTTCAGTGAGGCATAAGTTGTATGAGAATGAGAGATGGAAAGTTTAACACAAAAAGGGAAGAATTCATAAGTGAGTTTCAACAAAAAACTAATCAAATTGTTAAGAAGAAAAAACTGTAGTCAATTACATTTAATTCATCCTAAACACATCGTTTGATTAAATATCTCATTTATCTAGTGTGTAAATGAGAACAACCAAGTCTCGGCTATATTTGTAAAAATCAAGTTGGAGAGAATATAAAAAAAATTGGGAGAGAAATTTATTTTTAATTCCATAAAAACTTTTCTCAAGACTTTTCTGTAAGTGTGTGGACTTGAAAGCATAAACATAAATGCATGAACAGGAAAGACTTCAAAGTGCTTTTATAAGTAAGTGCCTATTAATTTTATCGATTAATTTACCGGCTATAAAATATTGTCAAATCTAAATTCTTTTTATCTTAACGAATTAAGTCTTATCATCTAATAATTGGTTATAGATTAACATGAAGTCGACATTTATTGTCATTTCTTACTACCAACCATGAAGTTATTCATTTTATTTGTAATTCTTATAAATTTTTCTTTTATTTTTGCCATTGAACCAGTTGTTATTGTTCATGGTGGGGCTGGAAGTGTTGCAGAGTCAAGAGTAAAAATTAGTCAAATTATGACAATTGATAGAAGTTAAATTTCAATTCAAATCATGTAACAGTTTCCAGGAAAATATCGTGGAACTATACTTGCTGCTAAGGTTGGGTATAATGTTTTAAAGGAAACTGGAAGTGTCTTAGATGCAGTGGAGCATGCTGTGAGAAGCATGGAATTAGACGATGATTTTAATGCCGGTTATGGATCTGTCTTAACAAGGTAAAAGATATTTTTACAGAAACCGAAAATAACTTTATATGAATAAAAACCAGAGATGGTGAAGTTCAAATGGATGCTTGTATAATGGATGGACGAACTATGGACGTTGGATCGGGCACAGGGGTTCAAGATATTTATCATCCAATCACTTTAGCTCGTCGTGTCATGGAAAAAACGCAATACAATTTTCTAGGCGCAACAGGTGCTATGGAACTTGCCAAATCAGAAGGATTTTGGTTTCTTCCTAAAGATGCATTAGTCTCAGATTTTGCTCGGGATGGATTAGAGAGATGGAAGCAAAATCAGTTAATAAATGCAACAGGAAAAGTTGATGTATTGCATGTTTTTCATATTTAGTAGATGTAATTATGTCAAGTTATTTTCAATGACTTTATTAGATTGGAGAAGGAAATACTGTTGGTGCAGTAGCAATCGATGAATTTGGAAATATCGCAGCAGCAACATCAACAGGTGGTATAACAGGAAAAATGTCGGGTCGGATTGGAGATGCACCAATGGTAGGAGCGGGAACTTATAGTGACAATAACTTGGCTGGATTATCAGCTACTGGTGAAGGAGAAGTGATAATGAAAGCAGTTCTTGTTTTTGACATATTAAAGAGAATGGAATATTTAGGAGAAGATATTCAAACAGCATCGAAAATTGCGTGCGATGAAATGACTGCCAAGTTTAACGGAGATGGTGGTGTCATAGCAATTGATAAAAATGGTGAAGTTGGAATTGCATTCTCATCAGCACAAATGTCTTGGGCTTATCAGAAAAGCAATAAAGTATTTTATGGCATCAATCCTAATGAGGTTTTTGAACTGAATTTAGATGAATAAAATTTACAAGATTTTGTTGATTCAGTGAGAGCTTTCCAAGTTCTTGAAAAATAAAATTCTTTCTCTTTCTCTCTCTCATATCCTCTCTCATTCATTCCTCTCATTTTCTCTCATTTTTTTCTTATATTTATTTTCATTTTATTTTCATTTTAATCGCGATATTCGAGTGCTCGACTACGGTCTGAAGACAAAAGAAATATTTTCAGTAAACAATGGAACCAATTGTATTAGTTCATGGTGGTGCTGGTGACATTCCAATGTCAAGAGTGCATGGAAAACTCAGAGGAGTGAAGCAAGCTGCTCAACTAGGATTCTACGTTCTTAATCAAACTGGTAGCGCAATGGATGCAGTGGAAGCGGCAGTGAAACACATGGAAATTGATGATTTCTTTAATGCCGGATATGGTGCAGTAGTTACAACTGAAGGAACAGTTGAATTGGAAGCAAGTGTAATGGATGGGAATACATTAAAAGCTGGTTGTGTTGCAGGGGTCATTGACATTATGCACCCGATATCAGTAGCACGACGAGTCATGGAAAAAACTCCACACAACTTTTTAGGCTTTCATGGAGCTAATCAATTTATTAAGCAGCAAGAATTTGAAGTTCTTAAGCCTGGTTCGCTGGTTACAGATTACGCACGTGAAGCATTAGAAGAGTGGAAGGAATGTCAAAGATCAGGTGGACTTAAATTTGCAAAGACCGAAATTGGACGTCGACATGATGAGAAAAGTGATACTGTTGGTGCAGTAGCAATTGATAGAAATGGAAATATTGCTGTGGCAACATCGACTGGTGGCATTACTGGAAAACTTCCTGGTCGCATCGGTGATACGCCAGTAATCGGAGGTGGCACTTATTGTGATAATCGTTCTGGAGGTGTTTCCACAACAGGACATGGCGAAACAATCATGAAAGCGTGTTTAGCACATGATATAATTAAACGTATCGAATATTTGGGTGAAGATGCGCAAACTGCAACTGAAAAAGCATGTAAAAATATGACTGAACGTTTCATAGGCACTGGAGGTGCAATCACGATTGATAAAAATTATAATGTTGGAATATCTTTCACTTCAAGACGAATGGTAAATTATTAAATAATTACAGGAATTAAATAATGTAATTTTAACAATTCTAGGCTTGGGCTTATCAGAAGAATGATCAAATCCATTACGGTATTGAAAGAGATGATCATATGCAAGAAACTTTGGTACAAATTAATTATGACTAAACGAAAACATTTTTAACTTATTCACTTTCATTTATCAGGATAAATCAGTCATTGAATCATTCATGAAATCATATGCAGCATCTCAGTGATCATCATTTCAATAAAGAGAAGTAAATTTCACTTCCGCCAACTTCCGCTTTAAAATAATCATCTGTGCGTCCTCGAGACTAACAACAAACAAGAATTCAAAGAATTTCTATACACAATTGTAATAAGGTGTGATGAAGATACTTGTATAAAAATAAATTTAATTCATAAAAATCAATCTCCTTGAATTTCATTAATTAGAATGAAGGAAATCGAAAAAGAAAATTATTTTTTTCTTCAGTTAAGTGTCACAAATGAGAGGAAAAGCACGAAGATTTGCATTAGTGGAGCCATGTCTGATAGTTCATGGCGGTGCAGGAACAATTCCAGCAAGTCGAGAGGCTGGAAAAGTTAAAGGTGTAAAGAAAGCAGCATGTGATGGCTACAAAACACTTATCGAGACTGAGAGTGCAATTCAAGCAGTTGAAAAAGCAGTCAATGTGATGGAATTAGATGAATATTTTAATGCTGGATATGGATCTGTCTTAACAAGTGATGGAATTGTAGAAATGGATGCAAGCATCATGTGTGGAAGAACTTTAAACTTTGGTTGTGTCAGTCTTGTCACTGATATTCTTTACCCAATTTCTCTAGCACGAATTGTCATGCGAAAATCAAAATACAAATTCTTATCAGAAGAAGGTGCCAGAAACTTTGCAAGACGACATGGAGTTGGTATTTTACATCCACCAGGTCAACTTAAGACTGACTACACAACCGATTTTATGCAAAACTTTATAAATCTTCAGCATTTAGCAAGCAGTAATGGAAGAAATCAAGAGAAAATTTTCGAAGCTGTTAGTAGAAACATAAAATTAAAATTTTAATAAATAAACTTGAACATGATATATTACAGGTAGGAGAAACTGGAACTGTGGGGGCGGTAGCAATAGATTTATTGGGAAATATAGCCGTTGCTACGAGTACTGGTGGGATAGGAGGAAAACTTCATGGTCGTATAGGCGACACTCCAATTATTGGATGTGGAACGTATTGTGACAATAAATTTGGTGGAATTTCTTCAACTGGCCATGGAGATATTTTAATGCGAGCATGTTTAGCACATGATGTAATTAAACGAATGGAATATCTTAATGAAAACATTCAAATAGCATCACAAAATGCAAGTAAGAACATGCTAACAGATTTCAAAGGAACTGGTGGTGTTGTGGAATTAGATTGTAAAGGAAATGTTTCAGTTTTTTTTACATCACAACGAATGGCTTGGGCTTATCAGGAAGAGTTATCACTTCATTATGGCATCAAGAAAAATGACCATTTCGAACAGAATATTGACGATTACATTGATTTAGAATACGAAGAATGAACTCACCTGTCTAGTTGGGAATATTTATATCCTGGAGAAATTCGATATCGAAACTGAGACACTTGACGACTAAAATTATTTTGAGCCATTTAGTCGTAATTTTTCTTCTGTTTTAATAAAAGTTTGTTTTGGCACTTATTTAAAGAATTTATATTACAGACACTATCGATTGATGTGGTTCTGTTTTTGAAAAGCAATGTTTGTGAGTTGATCTGTACAGATGCTCGTTGATGACACTATGACTATTACTGAAAATAAACATTGCAATGAAAGATATTATTCTCATTTTTAGACTTTCAGTTTTCTTACCTTCTACAAATTGATAAGCACAACTCGAATTGATCGGAAAGTTGAGTAAACAAAAGTTTTTGGCGATCACTAGCTTGTGCAATGACTTTTTCTAACATTGGTACCTATGATTTAAGATGACAAGAATAATGTCTTATTGAAAATAATAGCTTAAATAATTTATTAGAGTTCAGATTAGAAAATTACCTTATCAGGATTGAGACAGCATGATACGCAATTTTCAAACACTTCACAGCAATGATTTTCGTTACAAGTATTGCAAACGTAAAGCTGTGTGCTATCTGCTTTGATATTGCAACATCCTGTCACGAAAACGTCTTCTCTTGAACAAAGAAATCCTCGTTCGTCTGTTATTAATTCAATTCCTTGTTCTGTGTTTCTACAAGTTTCTGTTTCACTTAAACTATATTCTTTTAATGACCTCCAAATTAAAGGTGAATCTCTTTTGTACACTATTTCTTCAAATTCAGTGTCCTCTTGGAATTTTCGATGCTGTAATTTTTGCAATAATAGAGTGAAAGTTGCGAAAGCCTTTTGAAACAATAACAAAATGACTTACCAGACTTATAAGTTGAAATGCGTTAAATTGAAGCAAGAAATATGCCAATGAAAAGAGGAATATTAAAGACAATACTACTTTTTTACGAAAAAAACATAAAATTTTGATGTATGCATCCATTTATTTATGGAAATGTTTATTTTAGTTAAAGGAAAACATTTTTTTTATTATCTTTATGTTGACTATTCATTACTCAAAAGTCGATGTTACGATCACTGGCAGTGACAGTCAGACACAAATGAAATTTCTTATCACCGCAAAAAAGAAGCAGAAATTGTCGTTCGCCGCCAAAAACTTTTGTTTGGGAAATTAATAACAAATCATAAAAAATGGCAAAAACAAGAGCAAAGCCGAAAGAAGAAACTCCAAAAACTACACCAAAGGTCAAAAAGCAAATTACAAAGAAAAAGCAGCCTTCAAAGCCTGAGAGCAAAAGTCTACTAAATAAAGTATCAACAGATTATGTGAACATTCAGTTCGGAATTGATGAAGCCTTCAATCATAAGATTGTTACATGGAATGTTGCGGGATTACGCGCTCTTTCTGAAAAAAACAATGATTATTTTATACATGAAGATGCTGATATCATATGCATGAATGTAAGATAAAGAAAACTTTTATAAAAATCTCAATTTTCATTCTAAATTTTTTATTAGGAGTTAAAATGCGGCAGTGAAGATGACATTCCTGAATCTTATAAGTTAACTGGATATCATGCTTATTGGAATATTAAAAAGGGATCTAGTGGAGTTGCGATTCTCAGTAAGGTAAAACCTTTGGATGTCACCTTCGATTTACCTGGAACAGAGTTTGAAGATGAAAAACGACTCATCACTGCTGAATATAAAAACTTCTTTTTGATTTCTGTTTATGTCGTCAATGCTGGTCGAGGATTAAAAACATTGGATAGACGCTTACGTTGGAATGAAGTCTTTGATGATCATGTTAAAAAATTGGACAAGAAGAAACCTGTCATCATCGCAGGTGACATGAATGTTAGTCACCAAGAGATTGATCTTGCCAATCCAAAAACAAATAAGAAAAGTGCTGGCTTCACTCAAGAAGAACGAGATGGTTTCACTGAGCTCTTGTCGTTAGGCTTTGTCGACACATTCCGTCATTTTAATCCCGAAGAAGAAGGCGCTTACACTTATTGGACTTATATGAATAAATGTCGCGACAGAAATGTTGGATGGCGACTTGATTATTTTCTTGTTTCTCAACGCTTTTTAAAACATGTTAAAGCCAACGTCATACGCTCCGCTATCAAAGGATCTGATCATTGTCCAATTGTTCTTTTTATGGAGTTATAAATTTTCTGTCTCCTAAATGGTTTTTTGAGTTGAAGTTCATGTTATTTGTTCAATAAAAATATTAAATAAATGTTGTTTACTAGAAGAAAACAAAACTTTCAAATTATAACTGTAAGTTAATAAATTTTCTCCACAGTATTGGCCATCCTATAATTTGCATAAATCTCGTTTGCCGATCATTGAAATCTTTTTTAAGATACCTTTCCGGTTGATGAGTTCGGCAGAAATTCCACACTACACATGATATAAAAATATTAAAATTTTGAGAGCATAGCGCTGAGAGTTTTCCAATCGAGTTTGTGAAGTTTTTATTTATCTCTCGCATTGACTCACGATTGGATGAATTAAAGTTGTATGAAAACAGAGAAAACATCAAAATGAGATTTTTTCTTCTTCTCACCAACACCCACGCATTTATGATCAAATGAGTGCTCTGATCAAAAAGGCCAAGACTGTTTCCTTATAAGTAATGTATGAGAAAGCTAATAATAGAAACTTAACTGAACCGTTATGACAATATTGTTCTGAGTTCATTCTTTATACAAAGATTTGCTGAATGTAAGTTTAATGAATGAAATATGTTGATCAATCAAGTCAACTCAAGTTGCACAACATACTTCTTTAATTTAAATATCATTGAGAGTTTCTCTGACCTCGCTAACCGTTCAATATAAAGTCGAATGCATTAAATAACAAAATCGTTTTAATAGAAAAGAAACGACAAAAACAAGAGTCGAAATTCGTTTTTATCTCCTTACAGCACCTACGAAAATAAAAATGAACAAGAAACAACAATTTTTAGATGTAAGAAGAAAAGTCAACAAAAATAAACTGGCTGACAATTTCTTTTATTAACATTAATTGAATATGTGAATACTGAAGATAGATGTGTGAAATGAAGTCACAAAAACATGCTATAGATATCGCTGTTATTTTTGAATACAAACACGAAAAGTTTGTTTTCTTACGTGTATGGGATCTCAACTTATAAGGCAAAAAACATGTAAACTGCGAGAAATTCATAAAGTTTTTGACACATGCCTTTAAAAGCTCAATTAATGTGGGTGTTGTGATGAACGGTGTTGAATTGAATGAACTGTTTTATTGGGGCACGATCAGCTTCTCTATGAATGGTCATGTGAAGAACCTTTCTCATCTCATTCAAATATCATTCCAATGTCATGGCCAATAACTTTATATGTATGTAAGGTGTTTTCCCTTTCAGTTCATTTAAGCGCAATTGAAATTCTTCGAAATTTTCGTCTCTTCAATAATCTTATCATACATGACCTTCTTTTTAATAAAAAGTTTTTCGTTTTATAGTCCATGTTACTGACTTCACCCAAAATTCTTCTTTTTTCATAAGTTGAACAGAATTTGATTTTTCTATGTAGGTATTCGGTAAAAAAAACATCCATTTATCGTGTAAAGACTGGTTAAATCAGCACACTTAAAACCAAAGCGTATAAAATCGGCCATAAAATTATTTCACCAACAAAAGGAATTCGTTTCGCTCGATAATTGTAAAGAGAAGCAATTTTTTTAGGTAGATAAATAAGTATTTGGGGTTTTATCAAACAACGCAACGTGAATGTTGTTGATAAGGCACCGATTGTTGTTACTATTATTATTTCTATCAATTGGAGTAGGTAAACTGAGTTATCAACTTCTGTGTAATCGCGATTTGTTTTCTGGCAACATAGCGATTACACCGAGTGTTTACGAAATTCAAACCTTCAGACATAATAAATAAGTCTTGCTGTTGTTCCCAGCCATGAGAAGTTTATTCAGCTTTCTCGTATAAATTATTTTCCAAAAAAGAGATACAGTTCGTGCTAGAGATCGCAGGATGAACATATTAAGAAACCTGTTCTGTTTATTAAGTTAGATTGGGCAAAATTGCGTTTGCCGGCACTAAGAGAAAACATTCATAATTTTTGTATCCGTCAATAAAGTCTTGAAAGTCGATGCTGAAATACAGAAACACCGCCCAAAAGCAAACGGAAAAATTGTCTTTTATGTAGGTGTGCAAAATTCTGCCTTTTTCTCTCATGTTCGTTTTGGTGACCCTCGCACAGCTCCCACTCTGCTGAGAAGTAAAGAAGAAAAAAACTCAGGCATTAGCGAATACTAAAAGTTGTTTCAACCGTCGCTCCAGCTCAGTTACGTTGCAGAGTTCGTCGAGTGATCATCTTAAAAAAATATTTTGAGAAGTGCAAGTGCCTTGTGTGTTGAGTTTGCTGTGAAGAAGAAAACATAAAAAGATATTCGAGGAAAAAAAATAAGAAATACAAAGTGAGAAAAAAAAATAAGGCAAGAAAGCAAAATCAAGTGACTCAGTACGCGAAAAGTTCAAGCCATTTATGGTGATGTGTTAGCTCTGAAAGTCAAATTTGAATTAAAATTGTGTGATCGCCTGGAAAAATCATTAAAATCATAAGATTTAATTGTGAAGTAATAAACATAAAATTGAATCAATAACGGGAATTTTGATCGAATCAAAATGGTCATAAGCAAGACAAAATCGGGTAAAAAAGATTTAAAATCGAGCGAGAAAAATGTTTCGCAGACGATCGCGTCATCGGGCGTTGTATCAAGCTCATCAACAAGTTCAATGATTACGAGCGGTGGTCAACCGAAGTCTGACACTGTAGTCATAACAACTCATCAACAACCAATCAGAGAAGAAATGGTCGTTCAAAAATCTTCTTCTTCGAACATGGTAACCAAGTCATCATCATCGACAAAGGTTTCATCTTCGAAATCATCAGCACAGGAGAAGAACTTCTATTCAACATCATCCAGCAGCACTTCTAAAGCTTCAAAATCAAGTAAGATGCACCAGATGCAATCTCATTCTGATGCTTTTTTACATGGGGAACGATCCATGTACGATATTGATGCAAAAAGAATTAAGTACGATTCAAATGTTCTTGAATCTGCTGATTTGCAGAATGTCTCAAAAGATTACGAAATGATGTCAAATTTGGATAATTTGGTGTCAGTTGAAATTGAGTCTAAAGATGCACGTGCCAACAGTTCCACGAGCAATGAAATGGTTACCAATACATTTTCAAAAGGCAGCAGCTATGGAAATAGAAATGATGTAATCACTGTTGAGAGTGGAAGGAAAAGCGGAGAGACAACAACATCAACTGCAATGAGTGGCGAGGTCATAGAATTGCCGTCTGTAATTCAAGGGTCTTCTTCGACTGCTACTTCATCGGCAATGTCTCAAGAATTCTTTTCATCATCGGCAATGGAATCGTCCGAGGTCGGTAAACGGGAAATGAAATCGTCGGCTTCTAAAAACGTCGCTTCGTCAAAGTTTATTAAAGATGGTCACGTTATAGACAATAAAAATGTCGCAGACACGACAACAACATTTACTTCAAAAGTTTATGATGACAAAACTAAATCTTGGGTGGTTGTTGAACAGGCATCAGTTAATGAAACTGACATCATGATGCCGACAACCATTTCTAATACAACAACATCAATTGATCACAATGCTTCGTCATCAAATAATAACTTCAACACAGTGACAAATTCGTCTACATCTGGAATTAATTCTTCAAATATGGTAATTGATTCAATGAATACGAATACTAACAGTAAACTGATGAAATCCGATGTGCAAATGAGCTCAAAGTCATCAAAGGAAGTTCTCGAGAAGCATGTCAGTAATAAAAAAGAGTCTAGTCGTGATGAAAAAATTGTGACAACTTCATCAAACGAAACTGTGCAAGTTTTTGATAATAAAACAAAAACTTGGAAAAATGTTGATGCAAGCAGTATAGATCGTCAGAAGCGACCTTCATATGTTCGCTACCGAAGTCAAAATGCCGATGGATCATGGCATACGATTTATAAGCGTAAGTTGTATGATCAGTTCACTAAGCAATGGCGCATTGTCGACGAAAAAGTTGTCAACAGTAATGACACTGTAACAACAGACATTCCCCATATGATTGATAATGCAACCAATCTAACGACAACAACCTACACAACTAAAGTGTATGATACAAGGACCGGTAAATGGACAATTGTTGATGAAAAATCTTATGTCGATACTGAACAGGTTAACGTAACCCAAGACATTAAACGTGAAATTGAAAATGACCAAGCTGATCTTGCTAATGTTATCACCACAACGGAAACTACAAAGGTTTGTTAAATACCTTCTTATTTTAATTGATTTAAATTGTCATTTGATGATTTTTCAAGAGATTCTTAAATTATTGTGTTCGTATTAAATTTTTTATGATTTTCTGTTTCCTTGAAACATTGAATCAAAAGCTGTGTAACATCAAAAGTGTCTCACTTAAGTGCTTCGACGACATATATAAATTCATTGTCTTTTAATTAGCATATTTCGTCAGTAATTTTGGAAACAATAAAATAATTTTTGAATGAGTTTAAAAGTCTACATGAAAAAGCAACAATTGAGTATTGTAGCTTATGAGTCGTCATGACTAACGAAAGAATAAAGCTCCACACTTGTTTACTAACTATCTAATCGAGAGAATCTAAGGGATTGCGCAACAAAAAAAATATTTAGATGTGTTGTGTCGGTTTATTTTTTCACAAGTGTTAAGCCTCTGAGAGACTGGAAATTTTTTTGTTCAACGCTTTGATTCAAAAGAGAAACAGAGAGTGATTGTCTGCATTCCAATGAGAGTTTAAAGTCACTCAATCATTGATGATGCTAAGACTCATGCGTAATCCAAAACAATCTTTTCCACTTATACATGCTTATCTTCTCACATTTTAATATTTTCATTTCACTTTTTTCTCAAGATTTTCGATGCCAGCACAAATAAGTGGAAATTGGTTGATGAGAAACAGCACACTGATGTCTATGAAAAAATTATTGAGGGCCCGATCGAAGAAGATTTACTTTATAGACGAAACATAACTGACGAAACGAATATCATCAATAACTTGGAACGAAATTTGTTGCAAGAAAAGTTAGATGAAAGACATACTAAGACAACGGATTCTGTCGATTACATTCGAAGTGACCATCTAATTGACGAAAGTATTTCATCGTCAGATTTGGTAAACCAGGTGGTTATAAAGGAAGATGTTCGATCAAGGAAAGATAAGGTAAAGAAAAAGAATTTGCATATTTTATTTGTAATGTAGATATTTGAATATTCAATTTGGTATTTATTTTTTCTTTCAACAGAAAAAAGTCGACAAATTCTATAGCGAAACTTCGACTCATAAAGAGCAGTGTATTTGTGAGATGTGCACTTGTGGGTAAGAATAATAATCTAACATATATTAAACATGACAATGACTATATCAATGAACTTTAATATGTTTGTAGGAGACATCGCTGTCCACATGAAGAACCCGAACATTTAACAATAGAAGGTGACTTCTACACACCAGAAAAAGATTCTTATAAGCCAGCAGAAAAACAAAAACCATTCAAACCTCAGGACAATTTGATTGTTGAAGGAACTTTTGAGGGAAAACGAACTGACGATTATAAAGTTTACAAAGCAGAGCGTTCAACTATTGTGCGTCATGAAGACAATCTTAAAGTAACTGGAGGTGAATTTTATAGCTCGACTACAACTAGAGCAGATTACCAAAGGGAAACAGATGAAGATCATCCAATAAGACGTAACACTTATACAAAAGAAGATACAGAAGAGACAACTATTCGAAGAAGAACTTGGACAAAAGAAGAACTTGAAGAAGTCAGATTGAAAGCTCAAGAAACTGACAAACCGAAATACAAAGCGATAGACAGACCACAGCAAGTGAAACCAACTGACAACCTCAAACCAGAAGGAGAATTTTATAGTCCAACAAAAGGAGAATTTATTCCAGCTGATAGACCTCAACAGGTTCGTCCTGCTGACAACCTTAAGCCAGAAGGAGATTTCGTTCGAGATCGCAAACCAGAATACCGCCCAGGTGAACGTCCACAACAAGTGAAACCAGCTGATAATCTCAAGCCAGAAGGAGAATTTTATAGTCCGACAAAAGGAGAATTTGTCCCAGCTGATAGACCTCAACAGGTCCGTCCTACTGACAATCTCAAGCCAGAAGGAGATTTCGTTCGAGATCGCAAACCAGAGTATCGTCCTGCTGAACGCCCACAACAAGTGAAACCAGCTGATAATCTCAAGCCAGAAGGAGAATTTTATAGTCCGACAAAAGGAGAATTTGTCCCAGCTGATAGACCTCAACAGGTCCGTCCTACTGACAATCTCAAGCCTGAAGGAGATTTCGTTCGAGATCGCAAACCAGAATATCGTCCTGCTGAACGTCCACAACAAGTGAAACTAACTGACAACTTGAAAACTGATGGTCAATTCTACACTCCAACAAAGGAACAATTTGTTCCTGCTGATCGTAGAGTTCCTGTCAAACATGACGACAATTTGAGACCTGAAGGAGAGTTCTATACTCCAACAAAGGAACAATATGTTCCAGCTGATAGACCTCAACAGGTCCGTCCGACTGACAATCTCAAGCCAGAAGGAGATTTCGTTCGAGATCGCAAACCAGAATATCGTCCAGCTGAACGTCCACAACAAGTGAAACCAACTGACAACTTGAAAACTGATGGTCAATTCTACACTCCAACAAAGGAACAATTTGTTCCTGCTGATCGTAGAGTTCCTGTCAAACATGACGACAATTTGAGACCTGAAGGAGAGTTCTATACTCCAACAAAGGAACAATATGTTCCAGCTGATAGACCTCAACAGGTCCGTCCTACTGACAATCTCAAGCCAGAAGGAGATTTCGTTCGAGATCGCAAACCAGAATATCGTCCAGCTGAACGTCCACAACAAGTGAAACCAACTGACAACTTGAAAACTGATGGTCAATTCTACACTCCAACAAAGGAACAATTTGTTCCTGCTGATCGTAGAGTTCCTGTCAAACATGACGACAATTTGAGACCTGAAGGAGAGTTCTATACTCCAACAAAGGAACAATATGTTCCAGCTGATAGACCTCAACAGGTTCGTCCTACTGACAATCTCAAGCCAGAAGGAGATTTCGTTCGTGATCGCAAACCAGAGTATCGTCCAGCCGAACGTGCTCAACAAGTAAGTATACTTTTCTTGAAAAAGAATTAGTTTCTTATTATAATTTACTCATTGTTTTTTTAAGGTTCGACCTACAGATAATTTGAAACCAGAAGGAGATTTCCAGAGAGCAGAAAAACCACAGTTCAAACCAGCTGAGAAGGTCACTCCCAAGAGACCTACTGACAACCTTCGTCCTGAGGGAGATTTCCAAAAACCTGAGAAACCAGAATATAGACAGGCCGAGAAGGTTACACAAATTCGTCATGAAGATAATTTGAAAATGGAAGGAACTTTCTATTCTCCTGAGAAACCACAATTCCAAAGTGCTGAGAGACCTGTTGCAAAGAGACCAACAGATAATTTGAAACCCGAAGGAGATTTCCAGAGAGCAGAAAAACCACAGTTCAAACCAGCTGAGAAGGTCACTCCCAAGAGACCTACTGACAACCTTCGTCCTGAGGGAGATTTCCAAAAACCTGAGAAACCAGAATATAGACAGGCCGAGAAGGTTACACAAATTCGTCATGAAGATAATTTGAAAATGGAAGGAACTTTCTATTCTCCTGAGAAACCACAATTCCAAAGTGCTGAGAGACCTGTTGCGAAGAAGCCAACAGATAATTTGAAACCCGAAGGAGATTTCCAGAGAGCAGAAAAACCGCAGTTCAAACCGGCTGAAAAGGTCACTTCCAAAAAGCCTACTGATAATCTTAAAGTAGAAGGAGAATTCCACAAACGCCCAGAAAATCAATATTCTCCTGGTGAACGTCCAGTTGCGAAAAAGCCGAAAGATAATTTGCATGTAGAAGGAGACTTCCAGAGAGTTGAGAAGCCACAGTTTAAACCTGCAGAAAAAGTTACTGCTAAAAAGCCTATTGACAATCTTAAAGTAGAAGGGGACTTCCAGTCACCGGAAAAACCACAATTCAAGCCAGCTGAGAGGGTAACACAAATTCGTCACGAAGATAACTTAAAGATAGAAGGAGAATTCGAGAAAAGGCAAACAACTCAATATAGACCCGGTGATCGACCAACTGCCAAAAAACCTCTTGACAACCTTAAACCTGAGGGAGATTTCTATACACCAGATAAGAAACAATTTTCTCCTGGAGAGCGACCGGTTGCTAAGAAACCTTCTGATAATTTGAAAATGGAAGGTTCCATGACAGTGACGAAGAGAAATGAATACGGGCAAAACGTTGAAACTGCTAAGACTACTCACGTTAGAGACAAGCACACTTCCACTGTTAAATCTTCAATTGTATTAGGAGAAGATCAATCGATTATGAAATCAACTAATCAAATGAACTACAATAAAGTAGTCACTGCTCAAAAAGACAACGTTGTTGTTGAGAAAGCTCCAATTAAAGATAACGAAATGAGAAGAGATGGAGCAATAATGATAACAACGAAAAAGGTTACAACCGTTCTGGCTAACCAAGCAAAGAATAAAGAGAATCGAGTTGGAGGGCGTAAAAATGTTTCTAGCATTTCATTTGATGATCAAAATATTAGCATAAATCGTCAAAGTAAGGTTAATGTTGTTAACAATGTAAAAGAAAATACAGTGATAAAAGAAGGTTCCATTGCTACTCATTCATCCGAAAGAGTTGTGAATGGAGTGACAACTTCTGCTGTTGTGAATGGACAAACAAGACAATCTGTTGATTCAACTACTCGAAGTGGTGTTAACCAGCAGACAGTTGATTCTTCGAAATCTTCAACAGAAAGGAGTTCTACTTCAAAGACTCAAACTTCGAGTCATCAAATTCAAAATTCTTCTTCGACATCATCTCATCATCAAATTCACGAAAAATCATCCATAAATCAAAGTGGAATAACTTCCAACATTAGTCACACTGATGGAATTGATAGAACTTCAACATCACAAACATTAGGCGGCTCATCTCAACATCATCGCAAAAATGTAATCAGCGAATCTTCTGAGCAGATGTCAAATGCTATTTTAACTCGTAAATCTACAGATCGAAATAATGAAATCGCATATTCTAAAGGTTTGAGTACTACTGGCGCACAACAAAGGAAAAGCATTAGCAATTTGCATGAACAATCTCAGTTCTCTACTAATGTAGGAACAGATAGAAAGAGTTTAAGTTATATTCATCGTACAGGTGGTGGAAGTGGCGAATATTATCATACATCAGAATGCCAGATGCATCCTACACAACAAAGATCATCTATGGAAACAACATCACATCAAACTTACAGAAATACTGGGCAAGATGGTGGTTATGGAAACACACAAGAATTACGAAACTACGATAAATCTAGTGGTCGTAACATTACATCCACATCAAAGACATCGTCATCACAAGTGTCAAAATCTCATCATTCTGAAATGCATCAACAACATTTGTCATCTAGTTCATCTACTTCGAGAAATATTTCTCAAAGCACTGGAGGATCAAACACACATATAATGTCGTCTGATCATCGCTCAATTTCTTCAGGTGGTGGTGGAGTGTTAGGTGGAAATGGAACTGGTGGAAACTCATATTCAACATCAACCACTTCCCGTATAACATCAACTCCAACTGCTGGTGCCACATCTATTCAACTTGCTAATCAAAATCGTTCCGAATATCGCATTTCTTCAGGTGGTGGAGGTGTCGTAAGTGGTCGTGGAAGCGGTGGAAGCTCACAAGATTCAAAATCTCATCATGCTGAAATGCATCAACAACACATGTCATCTACTTCATCCACTTCAAGGAATGTATCTCAATCGACTGGTGGAACAAATTCACATACTGAATATCGCACAGCGTCTTCAAGTGGTGGAGGCGTATTAGGTGGAAGTGGAACTGGTGGAAACTCATTTTCAACAACTACTTCACGTGCTACATCGACTCCAATTGCTGGTGCTTCATCAATTCAACTTGCTGCAAATCAAAATCGTTCAGTTAGACGACATCAAGCAACATCATCTTCGATAGTATTTGGCGGATATGAGGGATCAAATAATGCGCAACGTTTTTCTTCGACATCACGTTCTGAATACGTTAAAGACTCATTCAAACCATGTCCAGCAAGTCACATTGACAAGAATCATATGAAACAAACTAGACAGACAAAGTCTCATCAATTCTTCTTACGAGAAGAATGAAAAGAGACATTTTCCATATTTTTCAAGAAATTTTATATTAATCAATACTAACTTCACATTTATTAATTATTCATGCCAACAATTTATCTTTGTACTAACGACGAGTCATTTATAACAATTTTTGTCATAAAAACGTTTCTTATTATAATCATTTGTTTTAATGTTTTCAGTTTTAAAAAGGAACGGAAAAATAAAAACTAATAAAAGAAAATGATGTTTTTAAATGAATTAAAAATTATCTTCGTTACAGAGAAAAAAAATTAATTTAGCATAACGGAATGTCAACGACAGCATGTCAATAAATTTTGGCTGTCAATGACTTAGGTAGACATCAAATTTCAGCACCACAAAGAAAAGATGTTTCAAAAGAAATCAATGTATGTAAAGTCCTTTGTTCAAACATTTAGATGTGTGTATCTGTGTAGACAAAGATGGCAAAATTTAAATTTTTTTATTTATTCGTTGACATCGAAAACATTGAAAACATTCACAATGAATGCTGATATTTTTCGTAATGTTTTGCATCGTTTCACAAAACATTCAATAATTTTGTTTTGTTTTTAAACAAATTGAGCAACTTCGAAAAAACATTGGTTGCTGAGATTCACAAAAAACATTGATATTTTTAAAATGTCTTTTTTATACAATTTTTAGGAAGTCGTACACCAACTGAGTACACAGATAGCTAATTTAGCTTTATTTTAAACCAAACAAATGGAAATTTGCCTTGAAAACAGGACTTGGAGCAAATGCTTCAATGTTTTCACAAAAAAACTCAACAACTAGGGACAAGGGGAAATTTGAAAAATACCATTTGGGGGATACCAAGGGGAGAAAAATTGCTTCAGTATGTATGTTTTGTTTAAACAAATTGTCTACAAGGCATTCAGTATGAATTTTAACTTCAGACGATTGCTACTTGACTGGATTAGGAAATCGGAAAAAGTTGAGAGCTGAGTGATAAAGTATTTTATTGAGATGGAAGAGTTGGAAATAATTGTGGATGAGAATAATTATGAGATTGGCATTAGAAATATTTTGAAAAAGATTCGAGAACATTGGAACAGTGATGGAATAAAATTTAAAGTAAGTCAAATAACTTGTGTGTGGCCTTCAGATCAATATGTTATCAACCGATGAAAATATTTATAATTTTTTGAATTATTTTTGTGATTAAAGCGAAAGAAAAAGAAACAATATCGTAAAAGTGAAATGATAACAAAGAGAAGTGAAGTTGAACATAAATCAGATTAATTTTTTAATCTAACTTAATCACAATAAATGTCAATTTACGCAACACTAATAAATTTTTTTTCCCTTATAATCTTGTTTGCTGCAGTCATTTACGGATGGAATTACAAATAAGTTAATTGGATGTTTCTACACTGACCCACAAACAAGTCGCGATGAAGTTCTGTTGGTTCGAATTTATGGAAATAACACCGAATTACTGATCGACAGAATAGCTGAAAAGAAAAACATTTCTTATTTGCATGAGCATGATTTGGCACCTGAGTTATATGGTACTTTCAAGAACGGTTTAATTTACGAATTTATTCCTGGTTCAACATTGACAACAACAAGTGTTTATGAGCCAAGCTTATGGCATCTCGTCGCAACCAACTTAGCTCGAATGCACAAACTTCCATTAAGCTCTGAAGAATCTGCAAAGGTACCAATGCTCAAAAGCAAGTCATTAAAGTTTCTCAATTTAATTCCTAACTCACTGTCCGATCCAGTTAAAAATGCAAGGTGAGTATGTAAATAGAATAATCCAAGGACGTCCTTAAAAAAATTAAATGTCACAGAGTCACCTCATTACTTCCAACACGAGAAAAGTTGAGAGAAGAATTCATTGAGCTTTACAATAAATTAGAGAAAACGGGTTCTCCAGTTCTCTTCTGTCATAATGATTTATTATTGGGGAATATCGTTTACACTCCCGAAAGAAATAAAGTAACATTCATCGACTATGAATACGCTGAATTAAACTTTCAAGCATTCGACATAGGCAATCATTTCGCAGAGTTTCCGGGTATTGACTCTAGTAATGGAATTGATTATACAAAGTATCCATCACGAGATTTTCAGTTCAATTGGATAAGAGCTTATCTTGAAGAGTTTAAAGAATCAAACGTCACAGATGATGACGTGGTGACACTTTATAAACAGGTCAATAAATTTGCCCTCGCTTCACACTTCCTTTGGACCTTATGGAGTTTAATTCAAGCGGAACACTCAACAATTGATTATGATTTCATAGCGTAAGTTTGTAAGTTAATGTTACTCTATTTTATTGATAATTTAATATTTTCAGATTTGGATCACTCCGCTATAATGAATATCTCGCCAAGAAAGATGAATTTCTCAATTTATAAAAGTTTCCTTCAAAAATATTTCTTGACATTCACAAAGTTATCTTTTTTAAAACAGTCATCACAGTCTCCATGTCATTCCTTGTTCTTAGTATTAATATTATAATTTTACCTGTAAAACAATTAAATTTAATTAACTTTGTTGCTTCTTAAATGTAATGTCTGCAATAATCATTTCCATTTGCAACCTTTTGTGGTGCTATTTTACTAATATTATAAAAACACTTTTTGTTCCTTCTGTTTTTTTTAATGAATGTTAAAAGGCAATAAAATATATATTTGAGTCCATTTAAAATATTTTCATTACATAATAATTGTACAACAAATGTAAAATAAATGCATCAAGTTCCATGTGTTAGATAAATTGCAAAATTAATTGCACTTTGTTGGTTTAATTTTTAGTGCCCGTCAAGAAGGAAGAGATTTGGATTTTCCAAATATTGTTTCCATAAATTGACAAATGAGCTTATTGTTACACCGTCGATGATACGATGATCAGCTGAGAAGCTTACTTTCATGATATGCGCTTTGACAAGCTCGCCATCAGCGTCAAAGCGAGGAAGCACATTGATTTTCCCGATTGCAACAATGCATACCTGTGGAGGCATGATGACTGGATGTGTATACGTCCCGCCAATAATCCCAATGTTAGACAAAGTGAAAGTGCCATCAGAGAAGTCTTCGGGAGTTAAAGCACCTTTCAGCCCTTTGTCGTGTATTTTCATGACTTCATTTGAAATTTCCAATATTGACTTCTCATGAACATTTTTAATGTTTGGAACAACTAAACCCATTGGTGTATGAATGGCAATAGATATGTTATGATATGGTTTATAGATAATCGAAGCATTCTCAACATCTAATGAGCTGTTCAATATTGGATATTTATGAAGACAAACGCTTAAAGCTTTGATGAAAAATGGCATGTAAGTTATTTTTATTCCTCGGGATTGAGCTTCAATCTTTATTTCGTCACGTACGGATACCAGTTTTGACATGTCAACCTCTTCGGAATATGAGAAGTGGGGAATTTTTAGAGCTTCCGTCATTGATTTGTACATAACTTTAGGAACGCCTTTCAATCGAACAATTCTGTGTTCAAGAGGCGAGATAACTGTGCGAGATGTAAGTGGCGGAGGCACTTCAAATTCGGATTTTTCTCTCTCTTTCAATGATGGATGAGGTTTTTGAGTTCCTTTTGGAACCAAGTTTAGATATTCGAGAACATCGCCCTTTAAAATCCTCCCACCTTTTCCAGTTGGATGAACTTTATTCAAATCGACATTGTTTTCTTTTGCGATTCGCCTTACACTTGGCGTAGTTAGAATTTTTGAAGTCTCACTATCAGAACTGCTGCCGCTTTCCTTTTCATCTTCTGAAGAGCTGCTACTATCGCTGGAACTTCCAGAGTTCTCGTCCTCTTCATCATCAATATCAAAATCAAGTAAAGGTTTTCCGACTAAGGCAATGTCATCGATAGAATGATATAACTTCATTATCCTTCCATCATATCGAGATGTAATTGTTACTGACGCTTTGTCTGATTGCACTTCACAGATGTTATCGAATTGAGAAACTACTTGTCCGACTTCAACAAACCATTCTTTAACTGATACTTCATGAATACCTTCTCCTATATCGCTGAGATTGAATGTCACTAACTTTTGAAGTGATAAAGAAGTTTGAAAAGACCTTCTTAAATTGAAATTCACCTAAAATTATTCATTATCATATGTTATCAGTGACGTCTCACTTTTTACTAATTATCAATTTATGCAATATTATGATTTGAATTTCTCACCGAATATCCAAGATGTTTCGAGTTTGCAAGGAATGACTTTCTTGGAAATATACTTGTCCCTATTTTCCGTAATAACTGTGCCATTTTTAACGAACCAAATAAAGTAAAAAGTATTAAAAGAACGAAAATATAAAAAAAGTCTTAAAAATAAAAATAAATGGGAAAAGTGATTGTAAGCCCCCCGATTTTTGCTTCTTGCATGTGATGCGATTTGGTTTTCGCATCTTTCATATTCACTTACGAATAACAAATTGTGTTTAAATATCTTAAAAAATTGCTTCGAATACATTTTAAGAGATTAAATAAAGTACAGAAAAACACGATAAGGTTATAAAAGTTTCAAATATCTTTTTTCTGCATTAGATCATACCAAAAAAATGGGAAATACAGCTTCAACAATGACTCCAGCAGTCGAATCAATAAATCCACCTTCAGAAGTCAAACAAGCTGCTCCAGAAGAAAAGAAGAAATGTAAAGCATGTTGTGCTTGTCCAGAAACCAAAAAAATCAGAGATGAATGGTAAATCTAAAGGATGTTCAAACATTTTTTTTATTAAAATATTCTTTCTCTAATTTTCTAGCATTATGGAAAAAGGTGAAGAAAATTGCGGCGATTTAATCGAGAAGCATAAGCAATGTATGAGGGATCTTGGATTTAAAATTTAAGAAATTGAAGGAATAATATTGAATGTAATGGCTATTTATTGGCACTGAACCTTAGAAGATTTCAAGTTTATGAGGAAATGACTTTTCTCACATTATTTGTTGTAAATATTTTTAGTCCTTGAGAAAAAGATTAAATGAAAAAGTATCTACTAATATAATTTTACTGTTTTTATTTAAATTAAGGAATCTTTTTTCCACAGAATTTCATGAAAAAGATCCACACGATTTTTTTTTACATTTTGTATCATTTTTTAAATATGTAATTAAATCTGCAAAAAACAAGACATCTAACCGGTTGCCTGAGCTTTCTTTACTGCTGCCACACATTTTGCCATTGTTGGTGAAGCTCTTGTGATGGAATCGGTCATAAAGAAGTCTTCCAATGATTTCTGATTAACATCAACATCACCTTGGAAACTTGAAGCTTGTGTCTGAAAAAATAAAATAAATAATTAGAATAGGAATCATTGAATCACCCTTCATGAATTTACTTTAATCAGCTGTTCAGCCTGTGCATAAAAATTATTCTCTTCTAAATGTCCATAACGAACAAGATGTGGTGCAATGTCTTCCATCCTATTTCTGAGTTCATCTAAAGTGTCATATGGCAAAACTGTCCCAACAACTTCTGAAAGTGCTCGAATAATCTTCCAATCTTCTCGTGCCATACCTGGTGGTGACACAGCGACTAAGGTTTGCTGGGCACGACCTTCTGTGTTCACATAAGTTCCTTGTTTTTCTGTGTAGGCGGCACCAGGTAAAATTGCATGAGCGAGCTGAGCTCCTTGATCTCCATGATGTCCTTGATAAATGACAAAACAATCTTTCGGTATGTTTTCCTTATTGACAGCATTTCCATCAGCTCCAAGAAGGAACAACACTTTAGGTTGAGCAGCTAAAACTTCCTCAACTCCAGGCTTATATCCAACATCTAAAGCTGCGACTTGAGATGCATTTGTCTGTAAAACATTCCAAACCTTCCAATTTTTATCTTCTGGCTTGAGCTGTCGTGCAAATGATTGAAGTGCAGCTATATATGCTTTTCCATCATTTCTCGCCAATGCATTTGCTCCGACAATAATAAGCGGACGTTTTGCTTGCTTCAATCGTTGTGCAAATGGATGTTTTCCTTTTGCAATGTCTTCAATTGTCAACGAACGATTTCCAAGATATTCATAGCGATAACTTAAGTCAACTTCTGGTCCAATATATGCAATGTCTTGTTCTTTATGTACGTATCCTTTGCGTAATCTTGTATTCAATAATGGAGCTTCATAACGTGGGTTTGTTCCAACAAGAAGAACTAAATCAGCATCTTCACAAGATGCAATCGATGAATTCAACAAATAGTTTGATCTGAGATCAGTTCCAGATGTTCCATCAGCTGTTGGGAATTTCTGTTCAGTACATAAAAGTTCTGAGCCTAAACGATTCAACAAATCTTTGACAGCGACTAATTGTTCAGCATCAACCAAACTACCAGCAACAGCAGCAATTTTATCCTTCGGTGCATTTCGTATGGCTTGAGCGGCAGTAATCAGAGCTGATTCCCATTCAACAGCTTCAAATTCTCCATCAGGCTTGCGAAGCATTGGAGTTATTAAACGTTGACGTTTAAGACCATCACAGGCAAAACGAGATTTGTCTGAAAGCCATTCTTCGTTGATGTCTTCATTTTCACGCGGTAAAATTCTCAAAACTTCACCAGTTCGTGTGCTTACAACGATGTTACTACCAAGGGCATCGAGAACATCAATGCTATCAACTTTACGAATCTCCCAAGGACGGGCAACAAAGCTGTAAGGTTTATTGGTGAGTGCACCAACTGGGCACAAGTCGATGACATTGCCGGAAAGTTCCGTAAGGAAAAGTTTCTCAACATACATTCCAACTTGCATTTCGTTACCTCTACCCGTGGTTCCTAAATCATCAACACCAGCAACTTCAGATGCAAAGCGAATGCAACGAGTGCAATGAATGCAACGAGTCATGATGGTCTTAACTAATGGACCAATATCTTTGTCTTCGACAGCACGTTTTCCAGCGTGATTAATATCAGTAAATCGTGAACGATCTGAGCCAAAAGCCATGGCTTGATCTTGAAGATCGCATTCGCCACCTTGATCACAAATTGGACAATCCAATGGATGATTTGAAAGAAGAAATTCCATGACACCTTCACGAGCTTTACGTGTCATGTCTGAGTTTGTTTTAATTCTCCAGCCTTTCATTACAGGCATAGCACATGCTGCAACTGGTTTAGGACTTTTTTCTACTTCAACTAAACACATTCGGCAATTTCCAGCGACTGCAAGTCTTTCATGATAGCAAAATCTTGGAATTTCAACACCAACCTGAGCTGCTGCCTGCAAAATATGTTTTCAATCGAATTGTCATTAATTTAAAATAAATTTTCTTTATTTTACTTGTAAGACTGTTGTTCCTGGAGCTACCATAACAGGTTGATCATCGATGAAAACTTCAATTTTTTCTGGTGCTTTTGCTGGAGCATTTGATTGCATTCGAGATGTTGTGAATAATATTCCAGCTCTTGATGGCAACTGAGCTAAGACAAGAGCTCGAAACATTGGAGCACGAAGCATTTTTCACTATGATGAGAAGTAAGATGTTATTAAATAAAAACGCAAAAAGATATGTTGATGAAAAAAATTATTATCTAATACTGTCAAATACAAAACGCAGTTTTTAGGGAAAAAATTAATAAATTAACCGATAGTGGAGAGAGAAATGATTGAAAATGATTGAAAAAGATGCCGCATCATGGCAAAATTAATATCTTAAAAAGAAAGTTTAACTATTAGAGCACATACGCGAGTTTCAATAGTAAGAACCTTTAAATATTTTCACCAGTCCCGAATTTCACTTCGAGTACACTACAACACAATTTTGTCAGTTGTTGAAAATGGTTTGAAACTTTGATAATGAAATGATGCAAAACTTACCTTTGTACCCCATTTGAGAAATTGAAATTTCAAATTTATTTTCAATAATATCGCTACTTTAGGTTATTCTACAAGATATTAATAAATGTTCTACATTGCAATGAAATTCTGATTATTGGCTTAACATATTAACAAGTGAGTTAAAATACATTTCTAATATTAAGAACCATTCTTATTCTTGTTCTCATCTAATAAAATTTAAAATCATTAAAATCTATTGTTACAAATTTTCTTTGGAGAAAACATCCTTATATTGTATGTGCAAACTTGGAATTTCATATATCCAATTAGTCACTATGTGTTAACTTTTCTTTTCATCCATTTGGGGAAAAAAATTTCAGAGGCTTTAATGATTTGCAACAATCTTTTAGGTTAATGAATTGATTTATTAACTAATCATTAAACATTTTACCATTTGTTTCTTTTTTAATAAATGTAATATAATGTAGCATGATTAAAACAAAAAATGATGAAGGATCGTCTACAGATTCATGCGATGAGAAAGACAAGGCTGATGATAAGTCGCAATTGGGATGTTCTCATGTCACCAAATCCATCGAATCAAGTAAATTGCGTAAAGTCTTAAAAGAAAAAGGAATCTTACAAAAATGTTCCGAATGCGAGAAACTTCCAGTTGATGATATGTGTGACGACAATATGTACGAATACGACAACGCGCTCATGCTCTGTCTTCGTTGTGGAACACAATTGTGTGGACGAAGGAAAAATAAACATGCATTGAGGCATTACGAGGTGAATATTGATTAAATTAATGTTATAAATGGATATAGAATAATTTATTATTTTGAAATTGTTTTAGACACCCCATAGTGACTCCCACGCTCTCACAATAAACACAGCAACGTTTCAAGTTTGGTGCTATTTGTGTGATAACGAAGTGGCTGAGAATTCGAGTAAGAAGGTTTTGGAATGTGCGCAATTGGTCAAAAAAACTGCTCAAAAGCCTATAATTGATCAAGAAACAGCTGAAAATAAAGTTCGGTCTGTGTTAGAGTCAATGACACCATTGCTGTATGATGACAACAATACTACAGCTGAGAACACGAAACTTCGTCAAGCTTCTCCTTCGTCCATAATTAATTCTTCCTTAAAATTCGATTCAACTGTTGGACATGATTCAGTATCCACCGAAATGTTGCCGAGAGTTCGCGGTTTGACAAATTTAGGCAACACATGCTTCTTCAATGCAATGATGCAGAACTTAGCGCAAACGCCTTTTTTGTTGGAAGTTCTGAAAGACACTTCAGCACCAGGTGAAGAATTTGAACTTCCAGGTGGAAGAATTAAGAGTGGTGATGATGAGCTTGATCTTCCTAAAGTGATTGGCGAACTTAAAGAATGGGGGCCGTTTACACAAACACTTGCTGAAACTTTAGAAGAACTTCAAACAAAGTCAGGAGGAGTTTTCACACCAAGAGATGTTCTCAGACAATTCACATCAAGATGGCCTCAATTTGCCGGTGGTGATCAACATGATTCACATGAAGCACTCCGCCATTTGTTGGAAAGTGTTAGAAGTGAAGATTTACGTCGTTTTCAATCAGTTATTCTTCAAAAACTTGGATATAACAGTAAAACTGATCCATCGAAAGTTGAAAATGATGCAAAAGCAAAAATTAAGTTTTATGGTAACCAAGCACAGGAAAGAATTCTTCAACCTGAGCCAGTTTTTCGTGGATTTCTTGTGTCGACATTAACATGTCAAGATTGTAATAATATTTCACCAAATCAAGAAACATTTCTTGATATTTCGCTTCCAGTTACGACTGATAAGCCTCATCCACCAGCAACACGAAGAAAAACTAGTCCCGAACCGCTTGAAAAGCCTCTCGGACCAACAAAATCTCAATTGAAGAAAGAGAAAAGAGCTGAACGAAAAGCTAAGCGAGTAACGAAAAATCAATCACGAAAGCAACCACAATCGTCACCATCAAATGCTATCGATGATGAGAATAAAGAAACAGAAAATGTGTCATCGCCGGAGAGTGAATCAGACGCTGATGTTGAAGACAGTGTAACTGATGATCCATTACCACGTAAGATTGAAGTTGATGCTAATGGTAACAGCACAGAAATGAAATCCCCACAAAGTCCAGAAAAGAAAGACGATATGCCTGAGAATATATTTAAAGGTGAAGACATTGCAAGTAATGTTGCATATCAGGCAACGATCAGCAATTCAGGAATGGCTAATTTATCGAATAATATGTCAAAAGTGAAAATTGCTGATGATGAGTTAATTGATGAAGATGAGAAACAGAAAGCAATTAAGAATCAGCAAATTCTTCGTCAACAACAGAATCGAACACGTCAAATTTCACACGCTGATTGGAGTAACACGCTTGGTCCTCGTTATCAATGTCCCGAAGGTGAATTATCAGTTCAGTCATGTTTAAATCATTTCATGAGCGTTGAATATATGATGGGAAATAATAAAGTTGGCTGCGAAGCATGCACCGAACGAATTAATGGAAAGAATGGAAAGACTGTTTACACGAATGCTACCAAGCAATTTCTCATTTCAAGTCCACCTGCTGTCTTGATTCTTCATCTAAAGCGATTCCAAGTTGGAATGCGTGGAATGTTTCGAAAGATAACAAAGCATGTTGAATTTCCAACAATTTTGGATTTGGCGCCGTTTTGTGCATCAAAAGTTAAGTTGTTGAGTCATGTTCGTAGACATCAAAAGAAGCTTCTCTATTCGCTTTATGGAATCGTTGAACATTCGGGTGGAATGCATGGTAATACGTCTTTAATTCATTTCGAAATTCTATCTTTAAATCATTATTTTCTTCAAAGGTGGTCATTATATTGCTTATGTTAAAGTTCGACCGAAATTAGGTGGCAAAGATCATCCACGTTGGGATTATTTGCCCAAAGGAACAAAAGCAGAACTCGATCAAATTGATGAGCAGAAGATGGAGTTGGAGAAGCAAGCAGAGAAAGTAAAGAAACGTCAAATGTCAACTGCAAAAGATAGCGATGATTCCTTATCAAGTACATCAACATCGTCATCTGATGACGAAGAAGATGCAGCAACTGGTGGATCAGATGAACCCAGCGAAGAACCACCTCAAGGAAAATGGTATTACGTCTCCGACAGTCATGTACGTGAAGTTAGCGAGGAGGTTGTTCTCAAAGCTCAAGCTTATATTTTGTTCTACGAAAGAATATTTTAAGCTCGCAATTTGTTCGCTTTAAAACTATTTTTGATTTTATTCTAGCCAAAGCTCGATATCACTCGACTTTCACTCATTTTCTCTTTTTCCCTTTAATGCCGGTCACCAAAAAAGAAGAAAAAATTATATCGTTAACACAATTTTCCTTAATTGTATCCCTTAAGTAAAGTGTATCATTTTTCTCTAAATTTCCTTAAAAAATTTTTTTCTCCGAGCGAACTTAAAGTTGAAATTCTCCTATTGAAATTAAATTTGTAACGTACTTCTTTGTTTTGAAATTCAAATAAAATTGATCAAAACGTTAAAAAAATCTTTTCTTGAGAAAGAAGAAAAGCAAATTTTCATCCCCTTGCAAGCAAAAAAAATAGTTCTTAAATGAAATTAAATTTTGAATAGAGAATAAAACAAGATTATTTGATGGAAGAAATAGAAGAGAAATGGGTGGGCACGCCTATAACTGACATTTATGGCAATTACGGTATATTTGAGCGGCAAAATGTAAACCATAATTTGTAATTTTTGTTTGTAAACAATTTTGATTGTCTTTGTTGACATTTCAGCAAGCTCCAGTTATAGAAGAGAGTGATTACCATACTGTATTATTTGAGTTGCCTTTACCAGATGATGAACTGGAATTTCCAAAACCTAAGGAAGGTAAAGATGAATGGAATGAGAATTTCGTTCGTTTACCATCAAGTTCTGAAAGTCGTTATCAAGAAATTGACGAAAGTGGATATTCTTCGGAGAAGCTAAGATGGGATTTGATTTGCAAGTCATTGACGGAAAATAAAATTGAGAACAGTCACGATCTCGAGAAAGCTATAAAAGCTTATAACACAAAGTATGAAAATCAATGGGATTTTTCGGCTTTACATTTCACATTCGAAGAAATATTTCTAGAAGAAGAAGCCGAATTTTTCTTTTTTGAAGTAATGCCAGAAATCATTGATCTTGCACTTCGTCTACCTCAATTAATTAAATCATCAATACCATTACTGAAACAAAGAAAAAATCACGCAATTTCGATGTCACAAGAACAAGCCGGATGTCTTATGGCGAACGCTTTCTTATGCACATTTCCAAGACGAAACATCAAAAGATACATGTCGGATTATCCGGAAATAAACTTTAACAAATTATTTAATTGTGGAATGAAAAATAATGTCGCACAGAAAATTAAATGTATTTGTCATTATTTTAAACAAATTTGCTATGTCAAAATGCCAACAGGTGTGTTGACGTTCCAAAGACGCTTCATTGATTCATCTGAGCTTCCAAGCTGGGAAGAGTCAAATGTAAAGTTCTCAACGATTAATGTCAATGTTTCTAAAGAAGGGACGATTGAAGATGGAACTGGAATGCTTCAAGTTGATTTTGCTAATCGTTTTCTTGGCGGTGGCGTTTTATCCTGGGGATGTGTTCAAGAAGAGATTCGTTCTGTAATTAATCCAGAAATCATTGTCGGCATGTTATTCTGTGAGTCAATGAGTTCAAAAGATGCAATTTTATTAACAGGATGTGAACAATTTAGTAAATGTTCTGGTTATTCGACAACATTTGAATGGGCTGGAAATAATGTTGACACAACACAGCGTGACAAGTTCAGAAGGAGAATGACTTACATTGTGGCAATTGATGCAATTTCATATCGCAAGCCTCATCTTCAATTTGAACCATTCGCAATAACAAGAGAAGCAAACAAAGCATTTGTTGGATTCTATCATGACCCCAATGACGAAGTTTTTCCCATACCAATAGCATCGGGAAATTGGGGATGTGGAGCATTTGGAGGAAACAAACAAATCAAGTCATTAATTCAATTAATGGCTTGCAGTGTTAATCAACGTAATTTGGTTTATTTCACATTTGGGGAAGATGAAATCATGAGTGAGATTAACGAAATGTTTGAGTTTCTTAAACGAAATGAAATTACGATCGGACAAATTTGGAAGCTTTTGAGAAAATTTAAAGAGAAAGGGATGACAAATCGACCTAATTTATTGTATTCGTTTATTTATAAGCATTACAATTCAAACGATGATGAATCAGGTCCCGGTGAATTGAAAGATGAGAAGACCATTAATGAAGAAAGTGAAAAAAGGAGTGAAAATGCATTCAGCGAAATTGAATTTTCTGAAGAGACATCATCTGAAGATTCAAATAAACAAGAAGAGGCACAAGAACTTCATTCAGATGGTCCATCCATGAAAAAAACAAAAGTTGATGAAGATGATCAGAACGAAGAAACTTTTAATCAAAGCAATGAAACATTAAACGCAATCGCAATGCCCACAAACAATAAGAAAATTACCGACTTTTTTAAGCCAAAATAAAATGATTATGTTTAAATATGTTTTATTTCTTTTATTCCTTTCATTCTTTGTTATTTCACAAAAAAATAAGATTGCAAACAAACAAATCTTAATACGTAACACAAAAATGTTATCACAATAATCAAAAGAATTTTCATTCTAATTTTTGTTATTTTGAAGACTACATTTGTTATTCCTTTAATTATTCTCTTCATTAAATACTTTTTAAGAAGACAGACAATAAAATTTAAGTGAATTAGACTACAAACTAAACAAAGTGATAATTGGGATAAAATCAGAGATTGAGATTTTCAATCTCTGCAATAAAACTTTAAAAGTAAATAATTGAAATTTATTTATGTATATTTCTTTAAGGAACGAACTTCTTTTTATATGGAAGTTATAAAAAAAAAATTAAATACAAGATTTCAAATTTAGTTGATGTCAAAATCACAAAAAAATCTCACTTAAATTCCTGTCAGAAATCAAACGAACAACAAAAATCCAATCAATTTCCACCTACTCTTAATTGCTACCAATCTTACTCAAAATGTCATGATAATATTCCCCATAAACTGCGTAATTATAAAAAGTGACTCTTTTAAAAGCATTACCCAAAGCTTCAAGTTCTTCAGCGAAGTCTACAAAGCCTGGTGGTGGTGGAATGCCAATATTTGATCTAAGAATAAGTTGAATGTAAGTTGTAAGACGCTTCCACATCAATGCACGAACTGGTGATGTTTCGATTGTGGCTACTTTCAAAATGTGACTCTTCAGACTAGCTTCAGTCTCTTCGTCAATCGGTTTTTGATGAAGTTCTTCGATTCTCTTCTCTAACACTTTCTTCACTTGAAGCCAAACACTTGTCAAAGCATCTTCCAATTCTTTGTCGGTGTTTATGTTTTGTAGTAAGATTTCAATTTCCATGGCGAGATTTTTCCTCACATCAGCTGATTGTGCAATGACTGGGAGACCTGAAACAATGGCAAACGACGAAGCGCATGCACAAACACGCAATGCACGCCCTTGTAAAGCAACAATTCGATCATGATCCATCGAAAAGAATTCAGGAAATTCATTTTCTGACTTCCAACAAAGTAACTCCATGTAAGCATTGAAAATTATATCCTTGGCCTTACGATCGGGACTGATTGGAATCGATGAAGATGATGCAGATGAGTTCGGCTGTTCAACAGCTTGAATATTTCTTTTCAACCATGCTTCAGTTGCTGGGAATCCTTCTTTATAATATTCCAAATATTCTTTAAACTTTTGTTTCTCATATGAAACCGAATTTGCAATGACTTCATGTCGAGCTGCGTTGAGTAAACAATTTGCCATGTCAAGCTTCATGAGTGCAAGTGTCTCAAGAATACCACGAAATGAATCAACAATATCGTCGATTTCTCTTAATTTTGCAACAGCTTCGTCACGGATTGGCGCACAAGCTAATGACATGACGTGAACAATAAAATTTGAATAAGCTTTGAAGTCGAGAACGCCTTGTTCAGCTTGTTGCTTAATCAGATCAGCATCCAACATCTCGTTAATTTTATCCATGACTTTCTTATTGTTCTCAAGTAGAATTGATTGGAAGGCTTCTTTAATGTCATTAAGAAGAACCAAAGCGTGGTCATAAACCGGTGGATCTGATTCAAGTTGAGTTCTTAAAATGTTCCAAAAAGCTTTGTGAATTGTTTCCTTAACAACTTTCTCAATGCTGTTCTCTGGTGGTTCGTAAGCTTCTAACTTAAAGTCATTGTTGACAGCAATTTCATGTGCTAATGCCATATTTTTAATATTTTTAACGACATCTTGTACTTCGTCAAGCGTTAAGATTTTTGGCGGTGAATTTGGAGTTCCAGGAAGAACAAATCTTGGACCAGATCTGAAATATTCAATAATGTTTTAATTCACTTAACTAAAACGAACAAAATTCTCTAAACTTACTTGTCAGAACTTTCACTTTCAGTTCTAGCACGAATCGGATCATTGTCGCAATTTTCTGATGTCCGAGAGCTACCCGGGATATCTTTAGCTTCCGAACTAGACATTTAAGTGTGAGAAGAGAATAAAAATGAAATTGAAAACTGTGTAAATGGGTCATCGAGAAAAGTTTCGTGCTATGTTACCTTGAAAGAGAATCGCTCGGCATGTTTTTCCTTTACACACACGTCGTGTTTACACAATTAACAAGTAAGCAGCAGATTATTTTTTGATGAGAAATGAAAAGATTCCCCGACTGAAAAAGCAAATTTCTGTTATATTGCACAATTTTCAAATATTTGCGGGCTAAGATTGTGTAACTTAACAAAGCAGAAAAATTAAGCGGGTCAGTTCGATGAAAAGTGAATTCACATAATCGAATGAAAAAGAAAGATAAACTTTTTCTGTTTAGCTTATGATGAATTCACGAAGGTCGGAGTCGAGTGTTGTTATGGAATAACAAAAGTAGATATTACTGTTATCCAATAAAATTTCACACTTTCATGATTTCTTTGATGAGGAAATTATGTTGATTTGGAACAATTGGGCTTGTCGTGTTACTTTAATATTTATGAGTGAAAATAAAATAGATGCTTTTATAAACTCAAAGTTGATCATTGAAAAGTGGCAAGATGTAATAAACAACTCATTATTATTTTCACAAAGTAACGAAGAGAGATTTTCTTAAAAGAAAATTAGTTAAAATTTTCACTTTTCTAACAATTTCAATGCCAATATGAATCTTATAAGAATATTACAGAACACCAATTAAAAAACATTAACATCCAAGGTTTTGGGCACTGAAAAATCATTTGTTTGAATTCCAAACAAAGGAAAATATTTCTGATACGCAGTTTGCTTTGTTAACCACCAACCACTTTCTTGATTTTCGATTTTCACTTACTTTTCTTGGCTTCCAATAAAATTAACAGAAGTATAACTTCACCTTTTAAATATTTACTAAGAAATGACTCAAAATTTCGTAATATTGAATTTAAATATTTTTTTCGAAGAGCTTCAAGAAAATTCGATTTGTTTCGAGAAGGTTTTAAAAGAGAATGCTGTAAATTTATTTTTGAATGTGAAATGAAGTTAATGTTTTGTTTTTGTTTCAATATATGAACATCAAGCAGAAATATGTCCGACTGTCATTAAAATTGACACTGCTTGTGACCGTTAGAAAACGCTTATTTTCAAACAGTTTTGTATTTTTTCCTAACTTCTTCAGTGAACGTTTTACACAGTATCAAACATTGAGTACATAAATTACAATCATCTGACTCATTGTTTTTGTTATTATTTGGATGTTTTATAACGTTTTTGTTTTTTTCGTTGAATGTTTTTCAATGTTTTGTTTAATTTAAAGGGGAAATAAATTTGAAACAACAAAACTCCGGTGTTTTTACGATTAAACTGAATAAAATGTATGAGAAATATTTAAGCTTTGTTATATTGTGTTTAATACTTCAATCTCTTTTTCTTTTACTGAAGAATCTTAGTTTTTATTCCAAAAAGGAAGTACAAGAAAGAATCGCTTGAAAATGCTTTGTTAATGTCAGTCTCTGAATGCTGATTCATTAGCAATCAAGTTTCATCTCAGTGGCATTGATTTTCCATTTATGGAATATCGAGGAGTTCCGCAAATCGTGAGAAATAAACAAAGAAAGTTGAACGAACCGCGTGTGTACCTAAATGTTTATTATTTACAAACAATTGTGAGAAATCTTGTAATCGATCTCACTTCCAGCTCCCCTTTTTGTTTTCAGACTTTTCCGCGCATGGAAAGAAAATGTACAAGGCGGAAATTGGAAATTTTTCTTTCAGTCTTCAGCAAACATGCAAAATGCCTAGACACGTTATTCGGAGCTTTTAAGTTTTCTCACTAAAACTTTTCCTGTTGAAATTTTTTTTGTGTTATAAAAGAGTTAAAAGATGTGAAAATTTGTTGAAAAACTGCTGAAAGTTAATTGAAAGTTTTGTGAAAACTGTGTTAACAATATTTTCTATTCAATTTATCTTCATATTACATGGTAAGTTTCTTATCCTTATTGATGGAAATTTTTTCACCTCATCGCCATTTTTATTTTTTCTCTTCGTGCTTTTGTCAAACTTCTGAGCTTAACATTCTCAAGCAATTGCATTAAAAATTATTCTATGAAATTTTTCTGAGCATTCAGAAATTAATCTAGTTTTAAATTCATAATTTATTTCGATTCTTAACAATTTTCACAAAAATCGATAATTTTTTTCTATGTCAATGACGAGGAAAATGTTTTTTTCTCAAGCCTCAAGAGGATTATTGTAAAAAAATTTTCTGGGAAAATGTATACATAAGTTATGAAAACCCTCATAATGTCAGTCAGATTCAACATTTGAGTGACGTAAACCTTGCCGATAAATCATTATTTTATCAATTTTCTTAACATTCTTGACATTAACGTAAAACGAAGATGGAGAATACAAAAGGCAAAATAAGGTACCAGAAGATAATGGAAAATGTTTCCAAGGTCATGATAAACTCTTATGTAAATAATCCTTTGCTAATCTTTTAATGTCCTATGTAATATCCTTCTATTTATAAATGAACATAACTTTGAAAAGGTGAGCTAAATGATACTTTTCATAAAGTTTATATCACCTTATCTTTCTTCGTATTTACTGTTGAATTGTCAATTTACCTTTTAATTGCTTATGACATAATTCCATTATAAAGTTTATATCCAAGCGTTTGCATTGTCTTTACTCATACTTACTACGTTTACCCTCAAACCACACGCGTGTGGAAATGGAGTAATTCAATGTCACCCAGAAAATTGTGATATGCAACAAGTTTGAGGGGAAATGATTAATGCACATGAAAAAGAACTGGAAAATCCCATTTCCCTGATATTCCATAAATTGTTCCTGGAAAGCTAACACATGTTAAGTAGAATTTGGAGTAAAAAGAGTTTTTATGTCTTTTTCAGGTGATTTTGAAACTATAAAAAATAAAAGCGCGATGTCAGTCTGGTAATTGACAAAGTCGAACGAAATTTGCATATTGGAACAATAAAAAAAAATTTATCAGCAATAATTAAGAGCCATGCTTTAATTGTCAAGTACGGTAAGTTTATTTTATATTTTTACTTGAAATTAAGTGTCTATAAAGTTAACTTTTATTTCATCAGTCGGTGTCTATAAAAAGTATTACTAAGAAAACTTAAAATTAAGAAAGAGAAACAAAAATGGCAGAGCAACAGAAACAATCGCTTTGTCCACGACTGATTGATTACCTTGCCATTGTTGGGGCACGTTCTGGTCATATTCAAAGGTCTTCTGGTTCGAATAACAACCAACCACCAGTACAAGTAAGTTTCAATTGAATAATTTATTCATCTTTTTGGTTTGATGGGTCGGGAAACAGTTCTCGGGCTGACTTGAAAGTATATAAAGTTCGATGACGAATGTCGTTGATAGTATGACGGAAAACTTTATCGGTACCAAACAAGTAATCCATCAGACCTGTCGCCCCATAATTCACATTAAACCTTAAATCGAAAGTTACGTAAAAAATGTCACTTGCACTGGTAAGATAGATAACTCACTTTAAATGATGATAATCATGAAACTCTGAAGAATGTAAAAATGGAACATGATACCCTGAATGATCAGCAAGTGTTGATATCAATAAAAGTCCTAGCCAAATCCAAGCAGTTGCAATATGACAACCTGAAATGATAATTCCACCAAACACGCTTCCAAGATTAACAAGAAAATGTTCGAATGGATGCGAATAAAGTGCAATAATAGCAATGCTTGATGTCCATTCGTGATGAAGCTTGTGACAATATTTATAGAATAATTTGTGATGTAATAATCGATGTGAAACATAAAATATGATCTCATAAGAAGTCATACAAATGAAAACATTAAAAATTGCTTTGGGGAAACTTTCCAATATCAACACATTTGGTATACCACGCCAGCTTAATATGAAGTACAAACAAAACATGAACGGCAAGCTCACAAATATTTGATTAAAAAGAATTACAAGCAAGGCCTAGAAGGAAATTTTCAGATCGATATTATTTGGCTTATTTAAAAAGGTCATTCAATATCCATTACCTTCCGAAGCTTTTTATACTCAAGAGGCTCATTTGTGTGTGGTTGAACTTTATACTTCCTAAACGTTTCAGGCTTGAGTGTCAGGTCCATAAATAAAAATAACCCACTAAATGTCACAACCAATATGAAAGAAAGGTTGCTTGTACCGTGTACAATTAAATTGAATGTGTCATCACCTGTAGGCAAATATATCGAAGTTGAATATCGGAAAGAATCTCTTTCTTGCTGGTGATTGAAATTTACCGTATAAATTAAGAAACCGGCTCCATCCTATCTCCCAAACTGTGTGTTCACTTAACGTCATCCATTGCAATACTTTCGAAATGCACCATGCAATTCCAATCCAAAGGAAAAGTGGATTTAATCCCGTCTCAATTTTATGAAATTCGATTTTAAATATTTTTTTACTTTCATTCCGAGGTTTCATTTCTGAGAGAAAAATTCGAGTTGCGTCTTATTAGTTTGAAAGTACTTGTAAGACTATTTACGCTCACGAACCTTGAATCTTCTCATGATTATTAATATTTTTTTCGTTGGCTCTTGATTTTCGGCTGTGAAGTGATAAAACTTGCGGAACAACGGAATATGTAACTCAGACTGAGAATAATTCGCGATTCTTATAAGATTCAATTTTTTATGGTGTCAGTTAAAGTTAACAACGCTCGAAACTCTATAAAGTAATGAAGCTTTTATTACTTAATAAATAATTTACATGTAAACTGTCTCAGCTGGACTTAAAAAAATTATTTACTTTATATGAGAGAAACCTGTTTTGAAGCACATTCTTCATTCATAAATTAACTACATGTTCAAGTACATAATAAATTCCCAATTTATTAATGTTAATAATAATAATATTTTTATTTTTGTTTTTCGTTTTCTTAATGGTTTTCAAATAAGTTTTGGAAAACAATTTACTAATGGAAATTCAATGAATTTCAATTCATTACTTTGCACTTTTGATTACGGTTATTGTAAACTCATAATTAATAATTTATGTATAAAAACTGTTTTGACTTGAAATGTTTTTATGATGTTCTGTTTTGGATGAGAACATTTTGAATTAATATTTCTCTTTAAAGATTCCAGAACTTTTGCGACGATATCCATCAACAGATCATCAAGACTTTCCATTCCCCATTGACATGGTTTACTTTTGTCAACCAGAGGGATGTGTGAGTGGATCTCGTCGTGCAGGAGTTGCAGCAGCGATAAGGGAAGCTTCGTCATTTGTCTTTACATTGACTGACAAAGATTCGGGGAAGACACGATATGGGATATGTGTTAATTTTTATCGACCTGTCGAGAAGGTTTCGTCAGCTCCGAGTGCATTGAGCGGAAGTCGAAAAGCAAAGTCGTCAAATTTTCGACGAGAATCATGGCGTAAAAGTATGGAGAAAAGTTCAGATTCAGCATTTTCCAGTGACCATCGAAACATCGCTGACTCTGATCGAGAACATGACCAATCATCACATTATGCTGCACACTTTACGACACCTCGTTTAGGTGTTATAGCTCCTGATTCTGAATCTGAACGTGGCAGTTGTTCACCGTCGCCGCGAGCCTCACGAAAACCAAAAGCGCGAAATCATTCACTTACATCACTTTGTATTCTCTCTCATCATCCATTTTTATCAACATTTCGCGAGTGTCTGTTCATACTCAAGAAATTGATTGATGCTTGCAATGAATCATCATCACCAAAGCGCTCTAAGCAAACAGGAAGGTAAATTAACATCATTTATTTAAGCTTTTGCTAATTGCTTAATTAACAAAATTCACATATTTCTCTCTATGAATATTATCAGAGATTCTGTGTGGACAGTGTTAACAGGAAGCGCTACTGAACAAACATCTTCCATCGTCATTCATGATGTTAAAGAAATTGAAACTTGGATTTTACGTTTGTTATCAGCTCCAGTTCCAATTCCTAATTCAACACGTGTTGAAGTAAATTTGATTAATCAATAATTCCGATAATTTTATTAAATTGACAATTTAATTGATTCAGGTCGAAGTTTTAAGTCCAACAGTTCATGCGCCTCTCTTATTTGCCCTTCCTGACCACACCAGATTTTCTCTTGTTGATTTCCCACTCCATCTGCCTTTGGAATTGTTGGGTAAGCTTATAGACAGATGTCATTGTCAGCAATCAAAATCATTTTATTATTTACAGGTGTCGAAACATGTCTTAAAGTGTTGACGTTGATATTGTTAGAGAATAAAATTCTCTTCCAAAGCCGCGATTACAATGCGCTCTCTATGAGTGTTATGGCATTTGTTACAATGATTTATCCTTTAGAATACATGTTTCCTGTCATTCCTTTATTGCCCACATGTATGAGGTAAGGAATATTTCATATAAAAAATTCTCGAAGCTTGAATATGTTTCATAAATTTTCAGTTGCGCTGAACAATTGTTGTTAGCACCGACACCGTAAGTTAATTTGAAATATTCATTGATTCTTTGATTGAGATAATTTTTTTCTTTCTTTATTTCAATTTAGATTTGTCATTGGAGTCCCAGCGACCTTTTTAATGTATAAAAAGAATTTTAGGTAAGCTTATTGATTTTTTGTTTGCTGTCAAACATCTAATTTAATATTGATGGTACAGATTACCGGATGACATTTGGATGGTTGATTTAGACTCCAATAAATTAACACCAGCAAGAGTTGATGCAGAGCTTCCATTGTTACCTGAACCTGAAGGCACAATATTAAAGAATCATCTAAAACAAGTAAGAAAGTTCAATAAATTCATATAACAAATTGCACAACTTTTTTCACGAATTTAATTTAATAAAAAAAAGAAAAAAAAAATTTTCTACAATTCGCTTGGATTTATAAATTAATAAAAAAAATTATAAAAATGTTCTCATTGTTATGTCGCAAGAAAAAGAAATCTTGATGTGAATTATCTGATTTTTCTGGAAAAGTTTACAATGATGTTCTATCGATGTTATCAACTGGCAGTGATTTAATATAATTTCTCATCTCTGTTTTCTTTCTCTCCTTTCTCTTTCTCTGTCATCTGTCATCTTTTAAATTTAATTTAATTTTTTTCTTTCATTCATTTCAATATTTGATGTGCAAAACTTTTTTCATCTTATTTCGCAAATAATCCTCAATATTAATACATTAAGGCTATGACACTCATGGATTCTGCTGGAGCTGGTGTAAATATTTTAATTTTCTTTACGATTATTTACTTAGCTTTGCTTTCAAATTGAAGCTTTTGTTGAGTTTTATTTTCTAAGAATCTTGGAAAACTTTTCATAACAAACATCAATAATTTATTTTCTACTTCCATCTTACATTTCCACATAAGCATAAACATTTAATTTACTTGAACTTGAATGAATAAACATTAAATATTTGATTTACCATGCATATCGCTTTCGTTCAAATTTTTTTAAGCAAGCCTTGGAAAGCCTTGTTAATTCATTCAAGATTTGTATCAACCTTTGTGTTATGAAGAGTTCTTTATAATCTTTTTAAAAAAATTAAGCATGATAACCAAAAATATCTGCATGACGTGATAATTCTATAAATTCTTTTCTTTTATAAATCTTCTGCTAAACCTTCTAAATCTGAAAGCTTTACTTTAAGACCATTTTGATTGTTTTTAATCCTGCTTTTTAAAAGTAATCCAAATAAGAAGTAAAGATTTGAAGCAGCTATTTGAGTGTTGGATGTAAACAGCACTTCAAAGTTAGCTTTACAGATTATTGCCAAGGTGATAGGATATTTTTCTAGACTTTATGATATTTTGTTCGTTAGCTAGAAATTTATAAATTTATTAATGAGAAGAAACCCAATAATCAGTAACATGAAAGTTAAAAATAACATTTTAAAATTAAACTTTTAATAGGCATTGAGTTCAATGACAGCTAGCAACCAAGCAGCTGCTACTCAACAGCTTTTACCATCTGCCAGAGATAGTTTGGGGAATATAACAGTTCAAAAGTAAATAATTAAAAAAATATTAAATAAGAATGAAAAAAAATTAACATAATTTTATTTAGTGTCACATTCCCAGCTGGATCAGCGAATTCAAGTCAAAGAAATTCATTTTCAAATGCCTCAGGATCACCAACTAAATCTTTGGCAAGTCCATCAATGAATCAACCAACTCTTCAATCAAATATGATAATTTTTGGTCATGACGTTGACTCAGTTGACGTAGCAACTCGAGTTGCAATGGTTCGTTTCTTTAACTCACAAAACGTTCTTGCAAATTTTGCAGAACACACAAGAACTTTAAGACTTTATCCAAGACCAGTAGTTGCATTTCAAATCAACAGTTTCTTGAGATCGAGACCAAGAGCTTCTCTTTTTCTTAATCGTTTTGCTCGAACTCAAGCTGTAGAGTTCCTTGCTGAATGGTCATTAACACCAACAAACTTAGCCTTTTTAAGAGTACAAACCGGAATGCTTGATCCGACTCAAGTCGGTGACAAAAGCAAATGGTTTGCAAATACTTTAACACCAATAAGATTCTCTGTGTGGGATGATGGATCGTCACTTAATGGAGCTCTTCGTAGCTTAAAACAACATGAAAACCAGCCAACAGATGAAAGTGGATCAGATTCGGAAGGTGCTGAAAGTACTTCATCATCATATTCGTCTTTATCTGATTTTGTTTCTGAAATGGTGTCGTCGGATTTATCGCCAAGTCTTCAAGAGATTTACAGTGGAACTTCATATCATCATCATGTCATCAATCAGTCAGTGTCACTTGTTGATCCAAAGCTCGTTTATCGTCCACCTGTGAAACTTCAATATCCTGAGGGATATCAAGATGTGTTAAAAATCGAAGAAGATCCTGAAAGGGCTGATTCAATTGCATCGACATCATCAAGTCGCTCGGATTTAAGTTCTCCAAGTTTCAATCGTGACTCAGAGTTTGAGTTTAATCCAAAAACAAGAAATGAAACTCACACAACAAAAGCAGAACGTGAACGTGAAGATATCGGAAGTTTTGAGTCAGAAAATTCAAATTCAACTGCAACGACAAAGACTTCAATTTACAAAGACAAAGATGTGAAGAAAAAGGTGAAATAATTGCACATTTGTACGACTTAAATAATTGACATAAATAATTTTTTTAAGGTTCCACCACCTATAAGTCCAAATCTGTCTAAAACTCCAAATGTTGGAAATGTCCTTGCAAGAACATCAAGTTCAGGTTCAACTGGGTCGAGTCACCCTTCACTTGGTTCCGCAAATTCACAACGACAAAGCTCACAATCATCACTATTTGAACATTTTGCAAGTCATGCTAAAGAATTGGTGAAGGAAACGACACGTCAAAGCAGTCAAGATGGTTTACTCGCTCATGTTGATAAGGTGAGATTAATGTTTTTGTGATAATTGTGAGAGCGAAATCTTCATGAATATTTCTGTATTAGATTAAAGAACAAGCAAAACATATTGCGGAAGAAGAGGCAAAGCGTTTAGCGCCTCTTGAACAGGTTCGTTCCACTAGACTTTCTCACCATCAAGAAACAAAGCTAAAGAACTTAGAACACATTTTATAAGAAATTCATTGTAGTTGTTGACATTTTTAAGTAAAACTAATTCTCTCGTTCACCTCACGTGTTCACCAGTTAGTTGAATCTAGTAAATTAATCATTAAAACGAAAATTCGCTGCTTGGTTTTATTAGAATTTGATTGAATATTTATAAGAAGCTTGAATGATTATTTTAATTTTACATTAATTATTGAACGCTTTTTCATAAACAAATCTCTTTCCGTTTTCATTTTAGTTGACACTTCAGGCAAAGAAACAAGCAGAAGAAGCTTCAAAGAAAGCTTTCGAGGCATCGAAACAAGCTGCTGGTGTTAGTAAAAATACTTTTGAGGACTTAACTTATGTTGGAAAGTCAACACTTGGTGATTTAACAAAGACTGCAAAGGAAGCAGCAAAGAAAGGATTAGTTAAAAGTGATTCTGGTAATCAACAACAGCAACATCAACAGCAATGTTCACAACAATCAGCTTTAGCAACATCACATCAAGGGAAAGATTTCTTCTCATCTATCAGTAGCGACATGAATTCAATTGCACATTCAACAACTTCCATGTTTTCCGGTATTTCCGGTTTATTTGGTGATAAAAACAAGCAAAAGAATCAACAACAACAGCAACAACAAATGCAACAGCAGAAACCGAAAGAACAAGGAAAAGTTCTTTCATTTGATCCATTTCCTGGTCGCAAAGGTTTGGCACCTTCATTGATTAAACATTCAGGTCCGAAGCATACACAAGAAGAACTTCAACGAATTCAAAATGCAGAACGATCGTCTAGCAACTCAGAAAATCAAGCATTCTTGAATGATGTCGTTCATCAAGTATTAATAGGTGAAGGTGTTGGTTGGTTGAAGTTTAATCGACTCAAAAAGCTTATGGAAGATGAATCATATCGAATTCTAATTTTGAGTAAGCTCAATAAAACTTTGGATCGTAAAATTGCTCCAGATGATCACATTGATGATGTTTGTGTGCCAAAACCAGTATGGAAAGGAATTTCAAAGTGTTTGCAAGCAGTGACATTTGGTTTGGAACAAACTTATGGTAACTTCGGTCTTGGTGGAATGGCAAGCGTCTTCTCAATGATGGAAATTGCACACACACATTATTGGACGAAAGAGATTAACGATGGTCTTGACATGTCAGCGAGTCTTCTTTCAAGTCAATCTGTAAGTCCAACAGGAAGTAAGGAAAACTTAAGATCGATACCACAAAGTCCCTCAGATCCGAACTCAAGAAAAAATTCTTTTAATGATCAAAGACGAGGATCAGAACATGATCCACCAAGTGAATCTCAAACACAATCAACCAGCGAAATGTTTAAAGATATGTTAGCACAAAAACGAAATGTTTTGATGAGTAAATTAACTTCATTTGAATCAGATGCATTGTCAACAGCAAGTGACGTTCTACCTTTACAATCGGGTAGTTCTGTTCAAATACCTTCCATCTCATGTCGTTCAACAGTTTCTGACACAGAATATGAAAATGTTCCAAAGCAAGCAATCTTGGGAAAAGATAATAAAAATAAGTCGGGAAGTATTTTCTCTGGAAAGTCTTCATTGAGTGCTGGTTTTAGATATACTGGTGGTCATTTGATTAATACATCGACATCACCATCGCCAGACACACCACGAGTTTACGTTTTCGAAGGACTTCTCGGCAAAGAACGTTCACAACTTTGGGATCAAATGCAGTTCTGGGAAGACGCTTTTCTTGATGTAAGTGAATCAATAACGTTACGAGCTTTTCTTTCTTTTCAATTCGACATTTAATTTGAATTTTGAATTTGAATTTTCAGGCTGTCAGTCAAGAACGTGACATGATTGGAATGGATCAAGGACCTGGTGAAATGATGGAGCGTTACAAAACATTGAGTGACTCAGAGAAGAAACGATTAGAACATGATGAAGATAGACTTTTGAGTACCATGCTGTATAATCTCATAGCAGAGTTAGTGATGTTGAACGTGAAGAAAGAAGAAATTCGAAGAAAATGTCGAAGACTTCTTGGTAAAAGTCACATTGGCTTGGTGTATGCACAAGAAGTTAATCAACTTTTAGATCAAATAAATAATTTGGTGAGTTATTAAATAAGTAAAAATGTATATGAAGCGATTTTTTAAAAAAAATATTCAATTAAATTTAATTTAATTAGAATGGCAATGATATTGACCTAAAGCCCCTTCAAAGTCGTTTGCTTCATCGACACAGCTTTACAGTTCATCAAGGAGTTGACATCTCAGGTCCTTTGAGATTCATGGAAGTTCGTGATGATGGTTTAGTTCTGAGATCGGTGAATGGTGCCATTGTTGAACGATGGTGGTTTGAACGTCTAGTAAGTAAACGAATTATTATCAAACAAATTCAATTTTCTAGCTAATTTGTTTTTCTTTCATTCTCTCAGGTTAATATGACATATTCACCAAAGTCAAAAGTTTTATGCTTATGGCGACGAAACAATGAACAAACGCAACTTCACAAATATTATACGAGAAAATGTAAAGAGCTTTATAATTGTATTAAAGAAGCGATGGAACGAAGTGGAAGTAATGCGGGTGCTGCACCTGAATTAGGTTTGTTTTACCCATTAAAAGTCTTCTTGTTTGAATGAACATTAATTGATCGTTAATTCAATAAGGTGGCGAATTTCCAGTTCAAGATTGTACTTCAGGCGAAGGGGGACTTCTTCAAGTATGTCTGGAAGGTGTTGGATTATTATTTGCAACCAGCAAGGTAATGTCAAGCTTTCACATATTTTCTTTTAATTTTTTGCATTTTTTAATCTTATTTAGTAAAATTGATGTTTTAACTTTTAAGATCAAGTAATTAATTAAACACTGACCTGATGAAATGAAAGAAATTGACAGAATCTTTTGTTCTGTTAATTCAAATACAAGAAAAAATATTTTTAGTTGTCTTTTTCATCTTCCTGTTCATTTTCTGGAAAAACAAAAATGATCAATGATGCTGCATTATAATTAATCGCAGTTCATCCGTTATGGCTACGTTTGAATTCGCAAAACAAAAGAAACAAAAAAAAAGAAGAAATTAACAAAGTTTCATTATATTTTTTGAGAAATGTACAACAAGGACTATCTCAATGCAATTTAGAACACTCACATATACTCTCACAAAAAATGGTGAAAAACGATAAAGAAAAACTTTTTTAAAAAGGGAAATTTCTCAAAAAAGAACAAACAAACAAAGATTGTTGCAAGCTACACGTGGCCATTCGAGTCTTGACAGAAATTTTTCTGTTGGAATTACACATGAAATCAAATTTATTAATGTTAATTTTAAGAATATTTCTACATAAATATTGCATGATAATTCAGTAATCTATATTTAACCTAAGAAAGTTTCATTTTAGTCATTTTTCAAATATTTATGATTTCTTTTTAATCAACTCTTTTTTACTTTCCAAGGCTTTTCTGTATTAAATTAATTGACAAGTCATTTCTAGGAAAATTCTTCCTAGTTAGCCGGAGTTGCCCATATTCCTTATATTTATTTCTATTACCANAAGACAAAAAAAATTATTTTTAAAAATGAGTTTAGAAAACTGCAGGAAATTCCACTTTTTTTTGCAGGAAATTCCACTTTGAAAGTGGAATTTCCTGCAAAAGAGTGGAATTTCCTGCAATATTCCTAGGATTCCTAGGAATCTTAGGAATCCTAGGAATCCTAGGATTCCTAGGAAAAATCTTAATCTAACCTTTAGTTAATCCTGAAATTTCTTAATCCTGCCTGCAATTTTCCTAGGATTCCCAGTATTCCTAAGATTCCTAGGATTCCTATATATAGGAATCCTAGGATTCCTAGGATTCCTAAGATTCCTAGGATTCCTATGCATAGGATTCCTAGGATTCCTAGGATTCCTAAGATTCCTAGGATTCCTATGCATAGGATTCCTAGGATTCCTAGGATTCCTAAGATTCCTAGGATTCCTAGGATTCCTAGGATTCCTAGGAATCCTAGGAAAATTGCAGGAAATTCCACTGCAGGAAATAGGACCCACTCAAATTAATTGACAAGTCATTTCTAGGAAATTTCTTCCTAGTTAGCCAGAGTTGCCCATATTCCTTATATTTATTTCTATTACCATAATTTATTCAACATAATTAACTTTTTACTTCTCAAAACTAATCATTCATGTTATTAAGCAAAACTATGTGATTTCGCATGAAAGTTGTGAATGAAAAAATAACAGATAAAGAAATAAGTAAAATTTCCTTCTCAATTGGCAATCAAAAGTTTTGAAGATATAATTTCTATGATTTCTTTCCTTGCGACTGAATTTCTTCTTAATCATCCCAAATTTATCAATTCAATCACCGAAAGTTAAGAAATTTAAAATTTAAGAAAATAAAATTCGTGAGATGGTCCTTGTGTTTGATTTCTTTTTTTTTATGTAAATTAAATTATTTCATTAAGCGTATGTTGGTTGTGTAATCGAGATGAAAATGCTAATGATCGAGCTATTAAAACCAAAAACAAACTTTTTTCCTTTTTATTCTTTTCATTCGCGGATTGCTGCGGCATCTCGTTGCTACTTATTCGTGTTGAAAATCGAAATCTTTCTTAAAAAATTATCAAAACTCTGGATTGGAAAATATGAATGAATTCTATGATTACGAAACCGAAAATCTTCCCCCGACCAAAATACCAAAAAACTTATTGAAAAATATCAAAATTCAGGATTTCGAGGTATAGAATCAAATTTTTTTCTATCTTATTAGTATTATCATACACTAAACTAGTTTAATAATCACACAGACGAAATATTGTTTTACGTTTTCTCACACCTTCTGCATCACAAAAAAAGAAATATTAACTAACTTAAAATGATAGTTCTTTAATGACAGTTTTTAAGTTCTTTGTACTTTTTTGGATTTATAACTTAGATGATTTTTATTACAATATTCTTTCTACTGTTTCTGTTTTCTGTACAAAACAAACTATACAACTAGAAATTTAGCTAACCATTAGTCGATTTGCTTTCAACTTATTTTATGAATTAGTGATGAATATTAGTGATTTGTAGTGATTATACAATGTTTTAGATAAGAGACATAAACCAAGTTCGCCTTCTCCAGTTCTCCAACACTGAAAAAGCACCCCTTGAAATGATGATGCTAATTAAATTCCTTTTTAATCGACTTTCCTTATCATTTGTAGTTGGGTTTTTGATAAAACTTTTGGCATGATTGATACTCAAAATAAAGCTAAAAAATATCTAAACATGATTTTAAAATTGGCTAGAAAGTTTTTCAGATTGCTCGCTTGCACTCGAGCGATATAAAATATGATGATTTAGTTTTTTACCATCTCACGAGTTATTTAATAAAAAAAATGATCCAATGAGTTTTTGAATTTTTCCCAATTTTTATATTTTTTCCATCCTACTCTCTTCCAAGTTTCCTTCTTCCATCCCAATCTTTACCCTGGATAGCTTCTTATTTAATCTCTTTTTTCAGATGCATATTCTCACTAATGCATGAAAGCTTCACACACTGCTAATGTTCCACCCCCGCTATAGCTTTATAAATTTTTTTCTTGTGGATGGTTTAAAGAATTTTACATATAAAACACTCGCTTCAATTCTTTTTCTTTATCACTTTTGCTTATTGATTTTGTCTCGTCATATTTTCGTTTCCATTTTTTTTATTGTTTTGGATTTTCACCACATGTTTTTGAATGCACAATTTAATGTTTGTATCTACTTAATTCCATTATTTAATTTTACTCGGTTTTTGTAACTAACATGATTAAATGTCACAGTTTAAGGCAGCATATGAGAAGAAAAATATTTTTATCGGTTACAAGCAGTCAATTTGGCAAACGTAATTTTCAATCGATTTCTTCTTTTCCTTGAACAGTTTTTCGTTCGTTTGGATCACATTAGGAAGTGCTTCACAAAGAATGGAGTGTTTATCTTGGAAGAATTCAGTAAGTTTAAAGAAGTCGAAAAATTTTGTTTATCAACTTTACAAATTTTACTTTCAGATCCCAAAACAAGACAAATTATTCAACGAAAATTTAAATCGCCATTGGTGAGTTCTGCGATTCACATTTGTTGTTTAACGCTTCAGTTTATTTTATTTTCTAACATTATTATTAATTTTAAATTTAGGGAAATGATGTTGCTTTACAATTACATCGATTTTTTACTATTCGTTTTGCCTTTTTGGTGAATCATCGCACCAAGAAAGTAAAAGACTTTAAACATCTCAAAATAAAAAGAGTTTAAGGATTGAAATTTATTGTTGAGTTTGATTTCGTGCTGGAAAATTTCATTTTAAATTGAGATGTTTTGAGTTTTGTGTACAGTTGATTCACACACATAAATGTTAAAGATATGCGTTGCATTCATTGTGCTTATATGTTTATGTTGATAATAAAATTCTGTAAGTTTTATTTTCCTTTATTTCATTTTTGATTTTAATTTTCTTTCATTCCCACAAAAACAAAACACTTTCATTATAAAAATTCCTTTAATCTTTATCAGGCCGATCAAATTTGCTACTCGGTTTTGTGTGTTTTCTCGTACGTCGCAGCCGAGGCAGATCCCAAAAAATCTCCACTTATGCAACATAGACAAGGAAAATCGCAACCACAAATCCAACAGCAGCAGCAAATACCAACAGCAAAAGTGCAACAAACGCATTTGCCACAACAAGTCACCCCAAAATTGCAAACGGTCATTAGCAAGCCTGGTCAGATTATCCCTCCAAAGCCCGTTCAAGTTCCATTAAAGCAAGCTGGCCAACCTGTACCAGTAAAAGCTGAAGCCGTACAGCCACAGCCTAAACAAGTGCCCAATGTTCCTGCCCGAAAACCTTCACAGCCATCATCAACATCGCCACCACCTTCAAGTGAACCTCCAAAAGTCAAACCACCACAGTTGGCTGATGCTGCAAAGCGAACACAATCAATAAACGTTCCAAATCGTGGCCCACCTCCACCAATTCCCGCACGATCGGGGTCTGTTCAGTACCCTTCGGTACCTTCACAACCAAATCGTCCCATCCGAAGACAAAGCACTATCAACTCAGCGATGCCCACTTGCACTCCACAACCACCTCCTGAGTTTTACATTCCACAAAGACGTGGTTCGATAACACGCCAACAAAGTTCCTCATCAAACACATCAAATTCGTCATCGAAATTCTCAAAATAGATAGTTTATTAATTGAATTTCTGTTTATGTTGAAATATTTTTCATTTCATATGTTAAGAATATTTATCGGCTCAATCTCGAATATCATTACAGTTTAAAAGAGACGCCTGAATATATCTATACGATAATATATTTATTTATCTATCAAATGCTTAGCTTCATATCGTCTCAATGTTAAATCCTTTAGTTATCCCCAAATATAGCCGCCGGTGAAAATCCGTCAGATACCAAAGACGAAGAAAATATGTATCTAAGATTTACCTCGGAGATGAATCAAATGTTAATGAATTTCAATGATAATCGACATGAAATAAAGAAGAAAATGAAAGAAAAAGGATTGCGAGAGACTTTTCTTGTTTCAGATGAACTTAATGGATTCAAAGAAAGGATAATTCTTGTGAGACTTTTCAACTCACTGAAGGATTATTTAAATGAACTTGATTGACACATTTTAAGTCAATAAAAATTTTACTAACGTCCACTGAGAGAGATTTGTACTCGTTTAGGTCCAATTTGTGGATCATCCACTTCCACCCCCTCCAGTGTGCCGACAGTTGAAAATTTTACATTAATACATTCAAAAAGAAGAAGGAGAGAGAAAACACTTTCATAAAGTTTTCCTTTCAAATCTGAAAGCAACAAAAAACGAAACGATATAAATCAGTTCGAGATTTCTTTTTTTATATCATCCAGAGGAATGAAACATGGGGAAAGTTCTTCAATAACTTTTAACTATTCATTTTAAAGGCTTTATATTATTTTCGTGACATGACTCCCACACAAATCTCAATACAGAATGTTAAAATTTTCTACCATGAACCGCAAATGAAATTACATAATATTTTGTTATTATTAAATTTTATTCGCCTGTTTGGTTGTATTGCAAAAATAACAAATTTTCAACAAAAAGTATTAGCAACAAAATAAATATCTACAAGATTTTTATTGGATTAGAATTTTCATATTTTCAATTTCTCTTCGGAAAATTCATTCTCGTTATCTACAATGGTTTGCTATTCAATTTCATTGAAAATTTAATTATCAATTTTCCCCTTGACGTTGATGGTTTTGTTTCAGGCTTTCAAAGATTCAAAGATTTCTAATTATTTATATTCGTAGGATAAATAGTGTGATAACTCAAGTGAAGATAATCCCTTGTGCTAAAAAATCTTCCATAGTCATGTCTCCGTAAACATGCATTTAATAATTTCACTCAGTTGTTTTAAAAAGAGAAAAGGAATGAAGAAAAGTTTGTATTCAACGTCAAGTCACGATTATTTCCATCACAAGCTTTTAAATCAGGAAAATCTCTTTCGTTCTCTTCTTTAATATGTGCTGTGATTGAATCACAAGAAAAGTAAAGAGTATCTAGACACAAAGAAGTAGGCTGAGTTTGACATTCGTCGACTGTCTTCGGCATGTGCCTGTCTGCTAACATTTATCCAATCTTCTTCGATATGGACATGTGGACGGATTGAAACGTAAATCGAAAAGCAGTTTCGCTTTGTTCAATTTTCCATTTTCTTCTTTCCCCTTTGTCTCGATTACTGATGAAGCATAACAGAAATGAGTAAGAGCTTAGGGGGTTATTATTGGGGACATCAAAAAGCAACAACTCGTGTTTCATATCTGTCTGGTTGAAGAGAAGGAAAAAAATGGAATAAAATTAAAATGTTTTTCCCTAAAGTGTGACTGACACAATACATCAATGCATTTTAATCACGTACGAAATTCGATGAATAAATAAAATAAAACCCGATGAGTTAAGGAGCTGCGAGTGAACAGAAAAAGAAGAAAATCTGGTCTTGCTTGTTGTAAATGACGAAACAATTCACGAGATTCTCTGTTGCCTGCTTAAATGTTTACCGGAAATTGTCGTCATAAATCAATGGAAATGTCGAGGAAAAGTTTTTTAAATTCTGAACAAGCACAATATGAAAGCGTTTCGTTTTCCACTCACCCAATCTTCAGATGCGTTTTGTTTCGTTTTTCCTTGTACGCCTTTCTTTCTGACTTGAAAGGTGAAAATTGTGTTAGTATCAGAAAAAGATTTCGCTTTTTTGTTGTCTTTCTTCTCATTCTGGTCACATTCAAACGACTTCATTCAATATCTTGTCATATTTCAAGAAAATATTTTCGTGCTCGAACAAACTCAAATCTACCCTCACCAAATTTTTATTTCACTTTTCTTATAAAAGTGCTTTTCCTTTTCTCTTCGAATCTTTGCAATTTTTCGGTCATTCAAATAATTCAATAAATAGTTACGAAAAAATTTTAATTTTAATAAAAAATTACTCAAGTTGAAAGGGAAATGTTAAAAATATAAAATAAAATTATTGTTAAAAGTTGTCGCTTTTAAGTTCTTGTTTTTAAAGAATTTTCTTAATTAATTTACAATACTTTACTACTTTTATATTTCATTGTTATGTTTTGTTAAAACAAAACCAAGCGAAAACATTCCACAGAAATTTTCATTTCATTCTCTCGACGACCCCACAACTTTAAAGATGACTTGAGTTTGGTCTCTTCGCATTCGATTCAAAAGGAATGTAATAATGAAGCTTCACGCTGCGGAGGCTTTCATGATGACGATACTAAAGCGCAATTTAATCTCGCATTTCCAAAACATTTCACACTGACCAATGGGCAGTTTTTTGTTGGTTGAAAAGAGTAAAACTCATTTGGGATTGTTTGAACTTTCGTCTCCATTCTACTGATTATTCATGTGTATAGTAATTTTGTTCATTTAATGGAGACAACGTGATGCGGATTTAAAGATCGGTGTGTAGGAAGAAGATCTGATAATGGATGTCACCACATATTTGTGATGATTCACTGCTCACTTTTTGAATTTATTTCTTCTCAATTATCGTTTAAGATTCTCATCAGAGTTGAAGAAGAAAAAGTTTTATGGAAATGTGGTTAGCACCATTCTCTCATGATATTAAGTAATGATTTGTTACATTAATCTTAATTGCATAAATTCATAATGTCTGCAACCTGATATAGGAAATAGCTTAATTCGCTTAATGTATTATTTTAAATAACTAATTAACAGCTACAGCAACCCACGAGTAAAAAAACACGTTCAGCCGTGATGCCACCAGTTATGTGTGTGTTTGTGAGTTCATTTGCAAACGGAAATTGGAAATGCACGATGGAAATTCTGAAAGGTCATCAGATTCATTCCGATTGCACAGCTTTTTTGGTGAAACACATGAAAATTACTTAGGAAATGTAATAAATATCATTTATAAATGAAAGCACTCATTCTCATGTGAAAGCAGAATCACCAACACCGGACCTGATGGGAAAATCATTTATGTAAATTTAATGAATTTGAAAATGAAGCATTTGAAATTACAGGAAATATTTTACTCTTCTCTTATAAAAAAAATGATGAAAAAAAAGAATCGAATGAAATTTCTCTCTTCCTCTATAACACGATCACCCACTCGATTCGTTGTGAATACATAAAAGAGCATTAAAAGCTTAAATTTGATAGAGAAATTGCAGATAACCATTAATTTTTAGAGAATTTTAGCAAACTTTTTATTGCTTTCAACGTTTAGGAAAAAAAGGTCTCCAGTTTCTAGTTTCCAACTGTGACAAGTAAAAAAAAATGGAAACCAGAAACAAACGTATGTAGCGGAGATTTCGCGTAACATCTGAAAAGCATTCGCATTTTAAGTGGTTGTAAATAAAATCTACAGTTAAGAAAAATTGTCATTCGAACAACCATCGACCCGATATTTTTATTTTCATTTCATGTTTTTTTTTATTTTCGTCTCGAGCGATTTCTACTTCATTTCGAGGCTATTCATTGTTCTTGTACTTTGGTATTGTTGAATAATCATTCATGTTTGAATCGAGTTTAATCTGAATGAAATTATTCAACAATTTTCAAGTTCACACCAATTGAGGTCGAAGTGCAATGTAGCTGGAAAGAGAAAACATGATGAAATTTAGTTTCTGTATTTGATGAAAACATGAAAATTATGCAAATTCAATTCCCACACTCTATAATACGTACATAGTGATGAATTTATTTGTGAAATATTTAGGAGCATAAACAAATCTGCGCTATTATTTGGGCTTATTAAATAAAAATTTATTGTGACATTATTTATCTAATAAAAATTATTAATTTTGCATTGATTTAATGATTTTTGATCATGAAACATTTTTTTAGGAAGGAGCATCGATTGTATTTAAATTTAAATGTCGATATTATAAAATGAAATGTTAAAAAACTTAACCAGAAACAAGATCCATTACATCAATGCAATTGTATTGATTTTAAGCTTCACCTGTTTTATCATGAAGTATAATTTATGAATAGGTTAATAATATTTATAGTACCTCAACATTTCATTGAACACTCATGAATTTTTCATGAATGTTCGATGCACTTTAACGGAAAGTTTCACACATCGAATTTCTTTTTTCCATGCAATCAATTTTCAGATTCGATAGGTTGAAAATTCTAAAAAATTCATTTATCGACTTCGGTTTTTTTATACGGTTGAGATATTTTCTCCCCGATTTAAACTTATCCTTTCTCAAAACAAAAACAAAAAAAGAACTTTTAGAAAAGGGAAAAAAAGGGAGTAAAACCTGCATGATTCCGTTTTGATGGACTTTATCTTGCATGAGATTACAGAAGGCACATATAACAAAACTTTGTAGTTTTCAAGTTTAAAATTGGAGCTTATGAAGAGATTTATTGGGAAGTCGATGATGAAACAATAGAGCGACTTTTTTTCCCTGAAAGAGTGAAAAAGCAAAAAGAAATCAAAGCAACGACAGAAGGGAAATATTGATGCCTTCAATAATAGAAGAACGACCTACCATTCATCCCTCGCGCAATTATCAATTCCCAGGAAAGGTTCGTATTTGTCTCGCAACTAAAATAGAAAATGATTTTACTTCTTTTTTACTTTTACTGCTTTCATGGGAAAAATAGCTGAAAATGAGAAGGATCGGATAAAAAAACAGAGAAAAGAAAATTGAAATCAGTCGCAAATTTGTAGACAGACATCAACAGAAAAATGAACATTCATTGCATTGCATTTCAATTCAACTGATATTAAGTGAATAAAGCAACAAGAGCATTTCGATCTTTGTTTTCAAATGAAATTTAAGTAGCTGAAAAGAAAGAGAAAAGTTCTATTTTTGCTGTGAATTTTTTTTATTTTACTTCATGTTTATAGTCGAACATAAAAAGTTTTCTCACGCAAACCAACAATTAGCATAGCATAAAGTTTACATAACTTAAAAAGCTTCATGCTTCTTTTTACACTTTGTTTACTCAATTATATTATTTTTAGTAATAACAAAATAATTGGCTTGATAGAACTGTTAAAGGGGTGAATAATACTTCTATAAACAACGTCAATTCAATCAAAATGTGTTTTCACAAATTTCATTTTTCCTCTGCATTTTTGTTGCAGAAATTTCTTCCACAAATCACCTTGATAATGATGTCATTTACAAAGTCATAAACTTCAACGAAAAGCTTTCAGTTTGTTGAAAAAATTGTTTGTCTATTCAATCTGGAAAGAGAATTGAGGGAAAAAATTTTTGGAGTCATCGAGACGTCGATTTTTAGAGGCAGTTTTGCTATAAAATAATATTGAACACCTGATATTCATGCAATTGGATAATAAAACAATATCGTTAAATTGAATTGTTCCATGACCCGCCTCAGATTCCAATTGAATGCGATTTTCGAGCAACGATATTGATCACCATAGAAATCGAATCTCAAACCTTTGCTACGTATTTTTGACAAGAAAATTTTCATTTATTGACCACTCTATAAATTCATTATTAAATAATTTCAATAAACTTCTATTTTATTCATCGCAACCTCATAAAATTTCCTTGAAAAGTCGTAAATTTTAATCGACCTGAAGCGCAAGAAGAGTTATTTAACATTTTTAAATTTATGACATGAAACAAGCACATTCAGAAAACAAATAATAATAAAGTTTTGAAGTGTTCCACGAGAGTTGTGTTTGATTTATAGATAATGCCACTTTTCGGTTGGTCTATAGACTCATAAATTATGACGATGTGATGCTCTCTTTGATCTTTCTTGTACTTTACTTGCAACTTCTTTTAGACATTCATGAAATTTCTTCTCTCAATGCGAAAGTTTTTAAAAGCTTTCCGCTGTAAGCTTATGGATGTGACACAAAAAGCACTTTTAAAGAATTATCTACAATGTTTCTCAATAAATTTGCTTATTCGTGCATAAAATTATTTCAATTAAGTAAATATTTGAACAATTACAAGCTATTATTAATTTACTGCATCATGCATCCCGCGGAAAAACTAAATAAACAAAAACAGGAAAATTACGTGTTGGACAAGCGATAAATCCGCAACCAGAAACCGTCGTCGCAGTTTTAATAAGCTTTCAATGCTTCGGGGTGGCGATGAAAAAATTCCCCATTTATAAGTATTTTTAGACTCGTATTTAATGTGGCATAAGCACATTGAACAAATGAAATATTTATTTGATTTTGCTGCATTTGAATTTCTGATTTGTGGATCAACATAAAAAAAGTAAAAACCTTTGTCAAATGCACATATTGATTCATTGTGAGCCATTAAATCTTCCTCTATATGAACAGATAAATATTTATTTGTGATATTTTCATCTAGTTATTTATGACATTACCTACATGTCTAATTATATATTTCTAATTATGTGTCAAATTATATTTCAGGCATTTAACTATGAAGCTGATTAGAATCTATAAATCATATACAACATTTAAATGTTATTTTCACCTCTTTCTCCAACATGAAATAAAATATTACAACTTTTTTTTTTGTTTTCAGATGCCACACTTACAACAAAGAATTTACAATCTTAATGGACTGTTCGCAAACTCGTTGCTTGCATAGATGAATGTATTCTCATCAAAACCTTACACTGCACTGATTGTTAGTTGTTTAGTTTAAAGTAAAAGATATTATTTCATTTCTAATTTATTTAAAAGCTGCTTTGTTGCAGCTGGACAATGGATTGGAAAAAAAAATCTATCATCATGAGTCATGAGAAATGAAAATAAGAGAAATGGTCACAACGAGTTTGTTGCATTTGATAAATTAAAAGCTTTTTTTCATTTATTACGAAAGTTGATAGAAGTTTTATAAAAGTGTTGATGAAGTCTCAAATTTATTTCAAATATTCATTTTTGAATTAATAATAACTATTGAAACAGAGATTCTGAAAGTTGTATTCAAAGGATGAATGATTCCATCTGTTGCCATTTATTCTCTCTATTTCACTTTGACAATTGAGGTTTCCTGACCGTATCTCTATATTTTCGGAAAATTAGAGAGACTGCCGATACATTCTTTGCCTTCATCAATTCATCCTACACAATGTGAATAAATGTAGGAGAAATAAACAAATAAGCAGACAAATAGAAAGCAATCCCGAGTGCCACAAACGGAGATTTTTGTTTTATTTCTTATATCAGTTTGCTCTTATAGTTAAATGGGAAGCAATTCCGTTCATTGCACATTTCAGATTTTAGTTTGACATATGATGAAATTTAAATCTATTTTGGTAGACAACTTAAGTTAGCTTTTGAAGCCAGCCATTAGATCAACTTTCAAGGTGATTGAAAAGAAATTTCGTTGAAATGTCTGGCATATGCACTACCACATTTTCCTATTATTTGATTTCCGGATATTTATTTCGAGGCAATGCTCCTTAAAAATGCCAGACCAAAATCCGCTAAAGTCTAACTAAATGCATACATGCCGAGCAGTTGTGCCGTTCGGGAATGGGGTTGAAATGTTCACAAAGAGAATTTTTCTGTTGTGTAATTCAAAGCAGAGGCCTTCACAATTCTTTGAATAATTTTAGCATCTTACTTAAGATATTAAATTATATCAATATCAATGGACGCATAACGAGCAGTTGTACTAGTTTAAAGCTGCTATTGACCATAAAACCCCAATGCAACATGATTTCTAACGCATTCATGTGGAGTCTTTATTGGAAAAGAACTCGTCTTAGATCCGATGATCATGATGATACTTAATATATCAATATCAACCTTGACAGCATCGATTGCGACATGAACTTTCTAAAGTTTAAGTTAATGAAGATTTGATAATAAAAAGCATTTTCCTTTTAATGTAACAGGGAAAAAAACATTTAACTTTTAAAAGTACGATTATAATTATGTCCACCACTTTATATTATTACTTTCAATTCTTCTTCTAATTTAGAAAAGTAGGACTTAATGGAAAAAATAAATTTTAAATACAGGCCACAATTGATCACTGATCAAATTCGATCATTAACTATACCTTTCCCGATAAAGCTTGAATGAATTTTGATGTACATAATCCAAGGAATTGCGATTCGTTGATGTGTTTCCATTCAGCCATTCAAAATCTTTGTAGCCAACATCAGAATTAATTTGAAGCATCACCTAAGGACAGCAAGAAAAATTATTAAAATTCAAAATCTTTACAAAAAGGTTATCGATGAATTTAGAAATCATTTCTGTAATTTTAATAGGTCGGGTCTGAGGTATCAATGTATGTATAAATATGCATTTTTATAATTAATAATGGGAAATTTAATCTGCTAGATGAATCAAGATAAAAATGTATTAGATGGAATTAACCTTAACATCTGAAGAAATTGACAAGTGTTTCATTCTGAATAAACACAATGGTCAGAACGAATACAGCGGAGATGGGCTTATTAAGATGGTTCGCGATAAAATTCACAACCTTTGGGGCTTTGTATTCAGAACTAAATCAAAGCCTTTAAGCTCAGGACCATCCATTTATTTCTATCGGAAATGTGAGTCGTCGGATCGCACGTCATTTCAAAGTCACATCACTGTTCATGTAAATGAAAGTGAAGTGATAAATAAGAATTCAGCGAAAATGACGGTCAGTAATTGAAATTTAAATATATTTAAACATATACGAAATTATCGCCTTCTCAACGTGTACTATCAATCCGACAATTCATTCTAAATGTATTTATAGGTATTTTTTTTTGTTTGTCTTTTTTTCCTGTTTTTGAACTCAGGTGAAAGTGCAATGTTCAAAAATAGACATTATTCCTATTATGACTGTGATAGACTTCGTAACAATTTGCCCGATTTCATCGTTAGATTTATTTTTTCAAAATTCAAAAGACTTGCTGCATTGACATTCTTTGATGATTTGATTTTGAGATTTCCCAATGATCTGTCTCGACTTGAGATTAATCCAAATATTAAAACACTCAATATTCCTCGCCTTAAACTTAAATTAATAACTTGCTGGCAAATTGGCCTCAAATAAATCTAATTTGCAACGATGCACTACAGAGTCCAATTGACCTGACAACAAAAGCTGCAGATTGTTAAAATGCCACTACGCGAGACTAATTTATAATTATGAAAAAACTACATAAAATGAAATCAAATTCATCGATAACTTTAATGAAAGATTTCATTTTTCTTGAGAGTCCTTACCTGATAAAGCTTGAATGAATTTTGATGTAGATAATCCAAACAGTTTGCGATTCGTTGATGTGTTTTCATTAAGCCATTCAAAACCTTTGTAGCCAACATTAGAATTAATTTGGAGCATCACCTAAGGACAGCAAGAAAAATCATTAAAATTCAAAATCTTTGCAAAAAGGGTATCGATGAATTTAGAAATCATTCCACAGTGGGTACTAGCTAGGACATTAGTCGAGTTTTCCAGTTGCGCCATATCGTCTTCATCTTTTTTAGAACTTCTAGAAGACTATATGGCGCAACTTTTGACTTCGTATTGTTCATCCCGGAAATAAGTGGAAGTGACTGAAAATTAGTCATGAAGTCACCCA